TAAAGTAGTAATTAAACTTAAATATATTAAAAAGCTTTATTTTAATATTAATTTCTTTTTATACCTTACTAAGGTTATATAATACTATTATTACTAATAATATAGGAAATATAAGTACTTTATTTTATAAAGTAGTTTCTAAGTATTATAAAATAAATAAGAAATTTAAATAGATATCTATTACCTAAGATATTAAATATATTTTATATTTTATTTATATTATTTAATTAGTATTAAAGGAAATATTAAGTACTATAAGGATTAAGCTTTTAAATAATAAGTTATAAAAAAACTAGAATAATAAATAAGATATATAAGAAGTAGAATTAATAAATTTAATAGACTTTTAAACTTTATTATAGCTTTTAGCTAAAATAAGAAAATATTCCTCCCCTTTTTAAAATTTCTATTAATTTTTATAATAATTTTATTAATTTTAAGTTTTAGCTTTATTAGCTAATATTAAATATTATTTAGTTAAGGAAGTTATTTATATATATAAATATAAGTAGTTAATATAAGTTTAAATTCTATAATAGAATAGGAATAAATTAATAAAATTCCTAAGTTTTTAATTAAAAATAAAGCTAGATTATAGGTATGATTAAGATTTTTAAAGCTTATTTTAAATATTATTACTTAATAAGATTTAATATTCTATATAATAGTATATATATTCTATTTCCGCTATAATTTTAAGCCTTTCTTTAAAAACTAAGGCTATAACTATTTATATTTTTTATAAATAAATAAATAATTATAATTTATTTAATAAGTATTATAACATAATTTATAAAATTAACTTATATTATTAGCTATATAAAGATAATAACTATCTATTAAGTATTCTTAATCTATAATAAGCTTTTTAATTATCTTAAGAATATATAAATATATTTTAAGTTTAAATATATAGCCTAGAAAACTAAGATAAAAAAAGCATTATAAGTAGCTAAAACGAAATTATATTTTTATTATATAAAAACTAAAGAAAATCTTAGGTTTTTCTATAATAAGGCAATGCTTTTAAATCTAGCTTATAGCGATAAAATATTTAAAAACGCAAATTAGGATATTTATAATAGATATAAATTATAGGCCTTTTAATATTAATAATTACTTAAAAAAACTTAAAAATAAAAAGTAGTTTTTGCTTTATATTAAGTATTTATAAAAGGGCCTAGCTAAAAGAATATAATATAAAATAGATAATTACTTAGCTTTAGTTTTTATATTAGATAATAGTAATAATAAAGAGAAAAGTATCAATAAAAGTAAGTTTATATATTATTATAAAAGTAATAAAATATTATTTTAAAAGAGTATAAAAATATAAGCTATAATACTAACTATAATCTAAAGTCTTAGAAGTTATTTCTAAATAATAATATTTTTATTATAATAGAAATTATTAATATTTAAATATTTAATCTTAAGCAAAATTACTTATAATATTTTAACTATAATAATTAATAAAGTTAAAGTTAAAAAACTTTTTTTATATAGCTCTAAGTTATATAGTAATAAGTATTAAGTTTTAGCTACTTTTTAGGCTTATATATTTTTTTATAAATATAATTAAAGATAAGAGTAATAAAATTCTTATAAAGTAATATATATAAATAATCTTTTTATAAAGAATATAGCTAAAGTAAATAAAGAATAAGAAAAGGAAACTTATTAAGCTAATCTTAAAGAAAGATAATAATATAAAAAAGAATAGGGATAAGTAAATAATATTAAAAATAAGGAAGATATTAGCTACTTTATATAAGATTTAAGATTAGTAAAGGTATATAACTTAATATATAAGTAATAGTTAACTAGTATTATTAGACTATTAAATATAAGGTAAATATATATTTCCTTTTTATTAATTTTAATAAACTTTAAAGCTTAGTTTCTATTAATTTTCTTTATAATATATTTCTAAACTAGGTAAAAGGATTTATATTTAATAAGTATTTATATTATAGTCTTTAACTTTAGAATAAAAGAAGATTAAAGTAATATTTATCGCTAGTTAAACTTAAAGAAATAAGTATAATTCTAATAAATTAAATAATAATAACTATGATAATTATTAGACTAAAAATCTATTTAAAGACTTATTTTTATTATAAATACTTATAAAGCTTTATATTTCTTATCCTTTAAATTTTTTAAAACTTTAAGTATAAATTATATAAAGGCTTAGTCTTTTTAGAAAATGAATATAAATATATAAGTAGTTTAATATTATATTATATTATATATATTTCTACTAGATTTTACTAAATTTTTCTATATATAAATTTGCTACTAAGTTAAACTATTAGGTTTTAAAACTTAATTTAATCTTAGTTAAGTTAAATTAAAACCTCTATAACTTAACTTAATAACTTAACTTAATTTTACTAGTTTAAGTTAAATTACTAGGTTAAACTATATTATTCTAAAGTATAATTATATTATTAATTTATTCTTTATTAAATATATACTTAAGAATAAGTAATAAATTTTAACCTTTTATAAGATTTATTTATATAATTAAATATATAACTTTAAAATTAAAGCTAGAGTTCTTAAGTAATTTATAATACTTATAAAGTAAATTAATATTAAATTTCTTTTAAATACTATTTAACTATAATTTATTATATATTATTATTAAACTCTTATTAAACTTTTACTATAAACTAAGACCTTATTATAGGCCTTATAGCCTAATACTTATAGTATATTACTATTATTAAAAATTATAAAATTAATTATAAAATATTAATAATACTTAGCTAATCTCTCTAGGTTTAATCTCTTCTTAGTCTTTAGAGTTGTATTAGATTTCTAATATAATAATCTATATATCTTCAATGTAAATAATACTTAATTAACTATTAGATTTATAGGATAATAGTTCTAGCAAGTTTAGCACATGCAGTGCCTAGTGCTTGGTACTCACGGGGTTAGCAGGCGCTAGCGCCCGCAGACAAATGGGTTTTGTTCTCAAATAAATTCGTTTACTCCTCAGATTTAGCTAGGTTTAGCCAACTATTACCAACTCACGTTTAGGCCCTTACATTCAAGACCTACACCTTGGCTGTTAACATAATGACCCTTTCCACCATTGCTACGGAATTTCTAGTCATTTCCGACACTCATAATCTTCAATTTGACGACATCTCAGACTTCCAACCCTTACCAAAAGCTGACGTACTCTTGCATTGCGGTGACCTCACGCAGGTCGGTGGAGTGCGTTCATTCAAGAAAGCCCTGAGTTTGATAAAAAGTTTCGATGCAGACTTGAAATTAGTCATCGCTGGGAACCATGATTTGGAGCTGGATAAAACATTTTGGAAAGCGCAATGCGACGCAGATGATATGCCGGAAGACTTTGAGGATCACGATCTCTCTATCAAGGCAATGAGAGGTGCTCTGGCGAAAGAAGCTGGAGCGACCTTCCTAGACGAAGGTACCCATACATTTAAGCTAAATAATGGAGCTGTTCTGAAGATCTACGTCTCTCCGTACACTCCGGCATTCGGGGACTGGGCTTTCGCCTATGCCCATGATGAGGATCGGTTTAACAAACCACAACATGTTCGACCCAGCGTCAAGTCTATAGCAATAAATCCAATACCGGATGATGTTGATGTTGTCATGACGCATGGCCCACCTAAAGACATTCTCGATCATTGCGCTGACGGCCACGTTGGTTGCCCGAATCTTCTGCAGGCTTTGAGAAGAGTGAGGCCAGCCATGCACTGTTTTGGTCATATACACGAAGGTCATGGTGCCAAAATTGTCGACTGGGGCCTGTCCGTACACAGGCAAAAGGAAATCGGAGATAGAATTGCTTCAACGATACTGAACAACTACCCGCAACCTTTGATTTGGAATAGAGAGGACAGATTCAGCTCCCTCGCCGTGAATGCTGCGATCATGACCGGCGACAATAAGCCTGAAAACGCGCCTTGGCTTGTCAAGTTCCATCTGCCAGCGTCGTCATGACATATACCCATGACGACAATACAATATTGAAACCACCCAGTCGCGCCGCATCCTACTATCAACATTGTTCCCATAGGCATGCTTCAATAAGATCCTGAAGTCATGAATCAATGACTTCGACGCTAATAAAGGACAATAGGAAGCCCTCGGAAAACGTGGCGGAGTCCCTGAACCGGGCTTTTGGTATGTTTCGAACATGTTTCAACAACAATAGTAAGGCCTTCAACCACAAACTGGTCCTTTTAATTCGCGCATTGATGAAGCAGTCTTGTGTTCTCTACAGCTGTCATATATATGACCACTGGTAATCTATAGTCAGAGAAATTCAATCTGCATTGACTGGAATGACAAATATAGCGATGCTCACGGTCAATCGGACGATGCATACTAAACATTCTCATTGTTGTCAAAAAACCTCAGTAGGGAAATCAATACAGTTTCTTGCCTATTGTCCTGAGCCCTCATTGCCTCAGGTTTTTTTATTTTCTTCTTCTGCCTGAATATATACGCCGATTTCTTCCCATGCCCAGTCTTTTCCTCAACTATCTCTCTCACTCTTGTCTTCATCCATCTAACATTCACCCATCTCGTTCCCCCTTGCAATTCCCCATATACATACCATAATGTCTCGAAGCCAGCCAACATCACCCCACAAGCCGTCTCAAAAGGGCAAACGTCTTTCGTTGACCAAAGCGTTCCCTGGCTTGCAGCTTGGCAGCTCTTCATCTGGCAATACAAGTAGCCAAGTCACGTCCTATGGCAATGGGTCATTCAGTCGCGGCTGGCCGCCAATGTCTGCGTCGATGCGCGAGAAGCTGGCTTCTTCGAATCCTGGGTATGTCTGCTTTATCACACTTGCCTTTGCATCTCCGATGAAGAGGAATTCTATATATTCCTGCGTCTCTTTTTCTGCGGCTTCTCAAGTCATATGCGAAGAGCCTTTGCGAGATATTGAGAATCGATTCAATAGTCGCTGACATTGCGAAAGACCAATACCCTTGACGCTGCGCATGTCGGAAAACTACCGCATGTATGATGACCGCTGGCGTGTGGATCCAACAGTGACAGACCAGCCATACGATGTATCCACAGATTTCAATGTGGCTCACAATATCATGGACGAAATTGCCACTATCATCAATGCGCGTCCTACATTAGGCCAGCAAATGGAACACCATACAGCATACGAAATGGCGCAGGTCGTCTTCGGATCGAATCAAATTGAGCGCTTGGGTGCTGACTTGGATGAGACTAAGCGACTTTGCATGTCAATCTTTAGGGGAGATGAGGGTTTGGAGTATGTGGAGAGGTGAGTCCCCTCTTTTTTTATGACTGTGCGCGTATATTTGGAGCTAATGGTGATCAGGAGCGACGAATACCAGCAGAAGCTGGACAATTTTCTTCTGCGGCGGAATAAGCCTGGTGAGAAAGCTATTGTTAGATCGCGGAGGGAGGTGGTGCAGCATGCAGCTGCTTTTCAGTTCATGATCAATGCCTTTGTCAAGCAGGACGAAAACATGACTGAAACCCTGATCAAGGAAACTCACGCCATTCTTACCAAAGGCTTAAGTGCAGAAGACGCTGGCTTCGTCTCTGCAGCAGGCTTTGGTGGAACCTACCGCTCAGAACACGTCTTTGCTGGTGTCTCAAAGATGACCAAGCCAGCTAACATCGCTGGTGCTATGAAATCAATGATAGCACAGCTCCAGAGTGACTTGGCAGTAGTTGAAGCTACGGGGCACATTGACCCATTTATGCTAGCTGCGACTTACTGTGACCGGTTTATCAACATACATCCTTTCAAGGACGCTAATGGACGGATGTGTCGTATTATCCTTAATGTAATCCTGGTCAAATATGCTGGGGTGGTGGTGCCGCTTGGTGAGAAGGGAGAGGAGCGAGATGAGTACTTGGCGATTGCGCAGGAAAGCACACGAGTGGCTGGCCATCCAGGCCAGCTTGGAACTTTGGTGCTTGCAAAGGCTAGTAAGGGCTTTAAGAAAATGCTTAATACGTTGAAGCGACCTAGTTCAGAGGAGTCGTAGAGTCAGTATCCACGTCAATCGACACTGTCGAGGTCAGTAGCTAGCGATCACTCATTACATGGTAGCCTTTCTATTGACCTTTTCCAGAAGGAGCAGGTGCTGTTTTGTGCGCCCTCAATATGAATTCCAGTCTATCAGGGAGGACTGCGCCACAATTGTCACAACAGACTCCATACCCTTATAGAGAATGATTTTCATCTTATACTACAATCAAAGAACCGATAAATGTCGTTAGAAAAACAACTTCCTTGGTATACGTATCTTCCTTCTGTTTGGCTTGGAATGTTAGTCAAGAGATGGCGTCTCCAATTTCCTGTCTCGCAATGAGGCGCACCAACATTTGGTTGGTTCTTAAGACACTTGAGACCCTTTAACTGCTCGCAAGCGGCTTATAACCTGATAGGCACGACCCTACTTCTCATGCGTAAACCAATCTCCAATCTACAGCTCCTCTTTACTACATGCCGAATCTCATGCTACTATTTCCATCTCTTATCTTGTGGAGCACCTTTTCCAGCTTAACCTCCGCCGCGCCACAATCCATCACCACCAATGCCACCTCTCCCAGTCTCTCACCATCCACCAAAAACACATCTACCTCCTTGGACGCCAGATTCCTCACGTGCCACCGCACACCCAATTCCTCATCATCGACCCCAACGACTGCGACGTTCCGCTAGACGAGATCACCAGCGTTCCAGGGCGGCGTATTCGCACCGACCACTCCAAAGAATGGACGAATACTTGGTCATGGCCAGGTTGTGCTATTCGGGCTGGTGCTATTGGGGCGAGAGAGAGAGAAGACGGCGATAGATTCTCGGCAAACGATATCGTTGAGCGCGTCAGGGATATGATTGATCAGTGTGTTGACGAGTTGGGGGGGCTGTATAGAGGGGGTTTTGTAAGCCTGGGGCTTGCGGAGACTTTCATACTTGAGGTGTTCAGCGATGGAGCGCAAGTGGGTCACGATTCGTCAATCTAGCATGTGGTGTAGATGCACCTCTTTGTACGACCTGGGCGTGGTAGCTTGGCAAGTGGTATTGGCACCATCGGACATGTCCAGAAACTACCTCTGATGACAATTTGGAATGCTTTACATCTGCTCGGCTGAGAGAAGGGCAATACAGTGGTTTTTGGAGCTATCACTCGATCGGTGAGACATCCAACACCGTCGCAATGCTCGCGTGTCAACTGTGCCCATACTTCAATTCTTGCATGAGCGGTACTGTGCTATGAAAGCTAGAGACGCAATATCGACGAAATGTGAAGATTGCCATCCGTCGTAACCATAACCTGTAAGAGTATGGGCCAAATAATCTCAATCGAGTCTATCTTGATAGCTAATCGCTTAAAAGTCAGTGTGCGATCGTGCCAGGTTGGGTCCTGAGACATAACAATCTTGCGCAAATAATGTTTGTTGCCTGAATTCAAGTTCTATTAGACTATCGTAATGAGAAGATTTTGGCATACCAGATTCAAGATGCTCCCGTCTCTTTTCTTCGTACTATATCAATTGCGTTCATAGAGGTCGACGATTGTTTTTTCGCCCGATTCGTGACTCCTCGCAATCGAAGTTGGCCTTATGCTAGCGACAAGTTACCGGATCCAACTTGGTCGTCAGCAGACTGCGAAATCAGACTCGGCAGTGTTGACATGATTGACGTGACTGGAGATTGATTCCGTTCATAATACTCTTATTCAAGTCTGTGAGATGACAAAGAGATAAAGCCTAAGTTTCGGGGGGTTATTTCAGGGTGGCTTTGTAGGCTTGGTAGCAACACAGCTGTCTATTATGGTGGTGTTCAGATATGGTCATTTGTAATCAGGGCTGCTTCACGGTCCTAGCATGCCTTGAAGATCAGTACTGCAGCCGACAGAGACGATACATTAGGACTTTTTGGACGGTATTCAATGCTTCGAAGGAATGATTCTGGCCAGAAAGTATCTCAGGTAGATCCCGGAGTCTTTCTATTCAAAGACACTTGGTGCAAAGTCATCATCGGCAAACCCTCTGCGTGTTCTTACAGGCAACTATCAGATCAACAACAGAGGTTTAGCCTTACTAAAGCCTCTTCGAGACAATGATATTGTCTACATTCAGAGTACTGTGTCCAAGAGAACTTTGAAGATTACTTTACTTGGAACGCTTCGTTGGCGCCAGCTAACGCTCCACACACCATCCCCCCCGTTGAACACGGTCGACATGACATCGGTTATTGATATATGTACGGACCCGAAGCTGGAAAAATACGCATCACGCCGTTGCGTAACAAGTTGTATCATTACCCACATACTCCCCCGCGTTCAGCTCACCTGAGACTGCATTGCAGCATTGACCATCGGGCGGCAGCACAGCGCCCAACTTCAGCCCAGGACGTTCTTGCACCATACCATTTTCCGACGTACAACAAGCGATAGAGATATATGTGCAATTGCAAGGACAAGCCGCGGCTCCTCCCACAATGTCTCCCAAACGATTGAAACTTGGTGGCGGCGCTACTGGGAACCCTGTTGCATTGTCCGGTACTGGTTCTGGGCCTGATACGAGGTAGAATGCGTCGTCTTCGAGACCAGAGGGAACGCTGGCCATGAGGCGCCGACGACTGGCGAAGGCGAAGAAGGAGTCTGTGCAGATGCTTTTGAAGATCGATGCCTTGGGGTTTTCTAACGTGTCCGCTATGCAGTGACAGTCCCCCGTGCATGGATTGCTATGTCCGGAACATGTTGCTCCGCATTTTGGCTGCGTTTTGAGACTGTCCAAAGCCTTTTGGGGGTCGGGCACGATGTTCTCGGGATCATTGAGTACTGCTGCGGAAAATTTGTCGGTTGCCTTCTGGCCACATGGTCCGGAACCCGATACCCCCATCTCGCCATCGAGGCGCTCGTCTGTCGTCAGGCATACATCCTCCCATGGGTCATCACCAGAATCGGTGGCATTCAACATGGATTCGTCACTACCTTCCGCCACTGCCGGTGGTTTCTGCCTCCGAACGGGTTCTTCGAATGAAAGCGATAATTGCTCGCGTGAGCCTAAATATGCACAGTCTAGATTAGCAAAAGCTCTATCAAGGCATTAAACCTCGAAAGTAAATCGAATATTGCTACAGTCATACTGTTGAGCGAAGAGTCGAGAGGGACGCGTCGCCGGGAGATTGAGGTCTTACCAACGCGATGAAACCCACCCCAGCCATCATCGGCTAAGGTCATGCAAGTCTGAATGATATCTACAGCCGCAGGAAGCATTTGCCTGAAGCTATAGGTGTCGTAGCCAAATCTTTCTCCGGGCGCAATGATGTTTTCGAGTACCATCTTACAATTTCCTATGACAATAACGGTGAGCCATGTGAAAGTCGACCACAGTGTGCCACCAAGGTAAAAATCATTTACCCAAATGCACCTCTATCGCAAGCAGTGTCCTGAAGGTCCAATCTACTGGTGCAATATCGTTTGGTCTGCTTAGGCCGTTATCTGAAATGAATGATCTCGTAATTGTCCCCGCGAGGAAGGACCCAGGTCTGCCAATCGCCTCATAACCAGGCCAGCCGTAAGCAAGGCGTTCAGCAAGTACGGCGCAGTCCATTGGTGAAGGTTTGCCGTGCCAAGCATTGCATGTTGCTGCTGGTGCTACGAGAGGCCATAACGTGGATTGCACGATGGAGAAAAAGATTATGTTCCACATACTCATGAGGGAGCACTAAAAGGCTGAGAGAGCTGTGACCGATGTCCTTTTCTTTGTCCAGAGAAGGTTGCTCTAGCACATTATATGACATCGTTGATCCGCAGCAAGATGTAAGAGATGTGCAAACCCTGCAATTACGCTCCACTTGGAAAGGTTATGACTTTTCACCCACGATGATTTCTCGGTATGCGGCTCTTACTACCTAGGTAATTTCCATAAAAAGATGTTGGAAAGAAGCAATGTTGGTCCTTCCTAACCACGAACAGCTAAGATGATCTTTGAAAACTCCGTCATTCGAGATCTCTTCGTACTATTTTATCTCCACGTCAGTCCGACGAACGTCAGACGGGCATCGACAACGACGAGTCGTACATTGAGTCTTTGATCACATGATCTAAATCCTTCGACAAGATCAAATCTGTGTTGCTGCTGCATGATCTCAAGTCGGGTAAATCGTCCGAAGTTGCGTGAGTAACAGACATGAACCTAATCGCTCTTTTGCGGATTGAGCGGCTAATGCATGCTGTTGGTTGGTGTTGGAAACGTAAAGTGGCCTTTTGGGAAAAGCGCATGTCGCGCATTAGTATTACCGCCGCAGGACGGGTACATATCCAATAGTAGCAGACATCTGACCTCGTTCATCTATGAGATCAGATTGTTGCCAGATGGCGGGTCTGACGCCTATCATAGAAATCTCAATGGCTCCAAAGGTTACTTCAAACACGGAGTTTGAAAAGCCTGTAGTCTGCCCCACGCCATTGACCCCATGTCTTTCAATGTTTCTGACCTCTGGAAGAACCCATCGAAAGATTTGGAGTTCCCCTTTTGCAAGTCATGGTCACCCTCAGATGATGGCTTCAGCACACAGAGTATGACAAATCTCCTGAGCCTAACAATGAATGCGAATGTGAATGTCAAATGAACCACAACCCGTTCAGCAGAGCGATTGAATATGTTGGCAGCCTCAGAGATCGCTGAAGATGCTAGCTTTGGTCGTCTTACACGTGCCAATGTATGTCAAGAAGCGACAGCATCTTAAGTAACAACGGCTTCCATTGTTCATCCATACACATGACCCAGCAAAGGCGAGGCAGGTCTAGCCTTGTTGACGATAGAACTCGCTTCTGTCAGCGTTTTGCAGACTGCGTTAGATGCGGTGAAAGTGCAGTGAAGAGTCGAGGCACAACATCGTAAGATATAATATCAGAACGGAAGAAGACTAGCTGGATGGCTGCTGTGGTCCCCTGACATCACAGGATTAGGTGTGAAGCAAAAAGTCGGTCACACAATGAAGAGTCGTTGAGCTGCGCGGAAGGGAGACTGTCGATTTGTTGGCATAACAGACTAGTCAACTATAGCTGAGCTATGTATTTGCTTGTGGATCTGCAACTCCTTCATCGAGTATGAAGTCCTTCACGTACCAAACCGAACGATTAGCGGTCTCACAAAAGCCATGAGGTTCACTAGCTTTTGCCCATGGTTTCTCGTTTCACGCTTAACCTTCAGCAGTAGACCGTAGTGACGAGTACGACCGTGACAGTGCTGTGTAGAGACAGCAACACGCACACCTTGCGGGTAAGCGATTGAAGTCCCTGAGTCTTTTCTTGCATCCTTTCTGACGAAGTTGTGACTAGATCTTAGTCACCTTCTCCTCGGCGTTCAGCTGTTTGCGCTGGGCAATTCAAGTGTATCATCTTCCTCCTCCTTTTCTTCCCTTTGAAGTCCATCTTCCTCCTTCTCCTCCTCCTCTACTTCCACTGTATGACCTTGCGCTTATCAGAGACGGTTGGGGTAGGAGGAGACCCAAGAGGGCGAGGTTTGGGAGAACTTGAGGGGGTCGTAGTCGGTACGCGCTGTTCCAGGGTCGTTATTGCTCAGTCACCTTCAGCTTTCTCTCTTTGAGGGGTACACTCCAGCCCATGGGTAGTCACTCTTGAGGCCCAGCATCGACCAGGAGCTTCGGCTCCAAAGATTGTCTGCTGCCCCGAACGCCGCCCTTGACCACGGTGTCTATGTCATTGAGGCCCTTGATCTTTTCCTAGCGCACTCTCATATGTGCTTCTAGACTCTTTCTCCGTTGCACGCAGTACCAATTTCAATTCGAGAAGGGTGTTAGCCAATCAGAGTCTCAGGTGGACTCATTCCAACCTATGCTCAGGCAGCGGATGTCAAGGGATCACAGGTCAGCAAGAGGATAGCTCGAGCCGTGAGGACAGTGAAAGTTGAGTCAGGAATCCGAGAGGCCGACACAGCGTCCATCGTGGCTTCTGTCGCCGCTGGTGCAGAGGTGAGAAGGATTTGGCATCAGGTCATTTTGCGCCATTGAAGGGGCTCAAATGTACGCGGACAAAATAATGGTAGTTGTCATTAATAGTGCGAAGAGTTTCGATGGCCTAGTCCGCATACTGGACTCTATCGTTGATTGTCCAGAGTGCAAGATATGGTGGTGGGTTGAGATTGAAATTTTGGTTCGATGGAGATTGCGACGCCGGAGATAAAACATTTCAAGCCTTAAATCCGTCCCCCCCGTCAGGCTTTCCAGAAACTTTTCAGATCATCGAGGCAGTTAGTATTTAGGCTGTAATGTGGGCGAAGAGTACGACAGCATCTTGTTCATACTACTCACTTCTAGCATGACACAGTTGATGAGCTGACCATTGAACCGCGACCTTCACGTCCACTCGCAGCCCTGACTCCTGGTGGCAAAAAATCTAAACCCACCACGTTCAATGGCAGTCTTGCAATATTTTGCATCTAATGGTGCGTTGACAGAAGTAACTACATTCATAAGAATCCCAGAGGAATATCAGAGAGTTGATCGCCCAATGACATGGCCTACGACTGCCATTCGTGCGGAGAGGTACATCCAAGCCCGAAATGCTTCCTAAAAGACGCTGCAAAACAACCGTCTGGTGCGATACCGGTCTTCCCCACCGTCCAACTCTGCCCCTCTCTCACTGGCCTGAAAATGACTCGCTCCATGTTCTCCCATCGCTCTCATCAACTTCTCCAGAAAGCTTGAAACCCTCGAAAGGCACCCCTTGCCCCAACAGACTTGCCGTGAACCAGCCTTCAAACTTCGTACAAGCTGCATCTCGGAAGTCGATTTGTCCGTCGTTGTCGTCATATTGGTCGGACTGGATCTCATTCTCGCCTATCTCCCGACGGTGCCACCTGAGACGAATTGTTCGGCCAATTGAGGTGGATTTGCTTTTTTTGGCCGCCTGCCTAGCAGATGCTTGGGGTCCGGCTTTGGGCTTCAATGGATGAGAGGCCGAGGCCGCGATGCGACGGTGTGGCTGCTACCTGGCTTGCTCTTCTTCGTCAATCTCCTCATCATCCTCATTATCTTCATCTTCGTCAACTTCGTCATCTTCATCATCGTGGGCTTCACTGGAGCTATCGTCTCGGGTTGCGCGCTCTTGGAGACAGTCGAGATCTGCATCTAGCAACATGATACCTTCAATGAAGCCGAAATCAAAGCTAGCGATCCAGCCATCAACTTTGCTCTGCAGGACGCTGAGACTCATCATTTAATCATCATGTCCGTATCCAAGCGCGTTTTCGCACGAGATGAGATACTCGCCCTAGGTGTGCTTGATGTCAAACGGCTCTTCCAAAGCTGAAGGCGAAATGGTTTTTGCAAAAGCTCGATGCTCTTGAATCTTCTCTTTCAACATATCTTTTCGAGCACTATCGCGCCGCTTAGCCTGATGGGAGTCAATATTCATGGCTGCTTAAGACACAGTCAATCGGTCACAACCAATGACGAGGATGCGATGAGGCTCATGGCTGCCGTTCTCCGTTGAACGTCCAAAGCAATCTGCAGCTACGTGCATCTTTGAACGACACTCTAGATTTCGCAATTCAAACGCGCAGGGTGCCTTGCTACGATCAATCGATTTTCCAACGGCAGTGAGGAGCAGGTTACATGTTAGTTTCGGATGTGTCGGTTTTTCTGCCTGCAGCGTCAAAGGATATGAGAAAAGCAGTAACGACGTAGTTCACAGTACAGTCCATCAAGACTGATGACGTAATGCGTCTTTCTCACTCAGATTGAGAAAGAATTCGCATGACCACAGATCTGGACGTGATAGAATATGTAAGAGGATCAGTCAATGGTATCAACAACAGCAAAGAACGCATTGATAGAAGATAACAGCTGAAGACATGTCCCGATTCAACGTCATGCACACGCGTAGATGTCTCTCAGACTGGTGAGATCGAGAACAATGAGGAAAAGAAGTTGAAAGGATGATGATGCATTCAATAGTACCGACTTTGTCCCCGCATGCCTACAGGAGCCCGATTGGGCAATGTCACTTGGATCATATCGTTACAGCCTGCTGGACTCTATGTCCATCTTCTCTCAAAGCATATGACAGCTACTCCTACAGCTTACACATGCCTTCAAGGATCATTGCTCGGCCAAGTCTCCGTGTTGTTCGCCCACGTTGTGCTATCACTTGGGCTTGCGGCCGGTGCGGGAGAATCATCATAATCATGCTCGAAAGCACTCGTGAGATTAGCATCCGCCAAGGTGAATGACGTGCCATTAGCAGTGACTGTACTGCCAGTGCCATTTTGAGCCTCCGAATACCCATCGAGGAGTCTCCGCGGAGGAGGACGACTATGTGAGGCGCCACCTACTGGACACTTGTTGACGTCGCCTCTGTGGGCTGCGGCGATGGATGCTTGACAGGTGTCAGCGGCATTGCCGTCGAATGCTGGCTGGTAGTAGGTGTCGATGGTGATTTGAGGGTCGAGGTCGATCTCATCGCGTTTCCATCTTCTGGCGGTGACTACATGACCTATCGGTAAAGAAGCGTCAATATTAAAATTGCCAAACAGAGAGACGGGATATGCAGATGACGAGGCAGACTCACCTCTCGCCCATCCTCCTTTTGACCTCGAGAACGGACCCGGGTTCACCACGCATCTGTTGATCAACTGTATCGCAACGCCGGCCAAGGCTTGCCACGAGGCCGTTTGATGCTTTCCGCTGCGAATGCTTACAGCACAATTGCCGGACGTCTTAATAATCGGTGACGACGGGTCAAGCGTTGCGTCTCCTTCGACAGGGAATTCAAAGAGAGCCTGATCGCAAGAAGCCTCACCTGGAGAGCCCATGCGACTAACACAGTGGTAGTCTACGTTGGAAGGTTGTGGTGTCGTAGGCGCTAGAGGAAACTCCCACCAGCGGGGTGTGTGAACGCCTTCCAAACGCCTCACCCAGTATGGCGATACGCTTGAATAGGTGCGATAAACAGACGCGTCGCCAGTAGCTACATATTTCTGGTTCAAGCTAAGAGAGCAACATCAGCAAGTGAAAATGGCAACCTGACATTTATGAGGATACTGACAAAACTTGAAAGCCCTGGGCGATGGCCCAGTCCGTAGATGTCTTTTCGTGTTTTGGGTCCGGGCCACTGACTGTGATCAAAAGATGATTACGTACATCTGTCTACGTTAGCTTTTTCTTGACAGATTACAGCCTCATGTTGCTATCACGAATGATGCACTGCGCTAGCTAAGGCTCCTGGGTTGTGTCGAGTAGCTTCTCTACAATAGGATCGATAAATCGGCAGAAAGACGGAGACACTTACCCAGGGTAGATCCCCTTGTACCCGCTGGCAAGCTGGGTGGCTGGTTCGAGGAAGACGCTCCGCCCCCCGCTGCGGAAGATATCGGTTCCAGTGGCGTCATGTGTTCCCATGTATTGAACAAACCAAGAGTGGCCCACCCACCGACAGAAGCGGGCTCGACACATTGACTGATGACATGAGACGCTGCTGCTTTGATGTTGGGAAATGTCGACCACTCCTCAGAGGTACCGTCTTGGTCAGAGTGTCCATCAAGGTCAATAGTGATAATGCAGGTAGGATTCGCGTTGTCGTCCTTATACTCTAGTGGCACTTGAAGCTGATTGTCGCTACCGGCTTGAGGAAAGTGTCGAAAGTTCCATGGTCCAGTATCACTCGGTATCTTGGCAAAGGCCGTTGCACAGGCTGGGGGTAATGGGTAGCCATAGTTGGCACTACAACCTGACATGTCCGTGGTGACATCGAGGTTGGGCCCGGCAAACGAGATTCGGTCGATGAGTGACATGATGACGAGTACTGTGAGAGTCTGAACGAATTGACTTCTCGAGTCCCTGGCTAGGTCAATAGATACGTATCTCAATGCACCCCTCTGCTTATATGTCCGATGTTTAGAGCCTTCGATTTGGTACGCAGCACTTGAAACTACCTCAGCCGGCTCGTCTGTTGCGATACAACCGTAGCGTTAGATTTATTACGCTTTTCGCATTGCGATTGCTTGAGCGACAAAGGGCGGGACGTCCCCAAAAAGGCCCCTTGCTGATTAAGAAAAACAGCTCGCTGAAGATGAAGTCGCAAATCGGACCAAGGCGGCGTTGGCAACATATCGTGGGACTGTCAGTCGCTAGACGGCATAGCAAGTCCGTCAAGATCGTACTAATGCAAGGGGAGCGTTGGATAAAATCTATTCGAAACACCTAAGCGAGGTGAACAAATCTATCACACCCATATGATGGCCGCATTTGAGACACTAGTCAAAATGACGCTTGAGTACTAGCCATTTAAGCTATGTGACTTTGCATCTGATGAAGGACTTGGCTTGAACTATCCCGCAGATCGAAGTGAGGCGGAATCTGCCCAGTCGCAAGCGATACTTGCATCCCTGTCGAAAGAGTACCTTTGATTCCATAGATCAATCCTCGCCTTTCCAGCGGCAAGCACCGGCAAAAATAGACCAAGATCCAACATGCATGACAGCATACCTTTGCAAGGAGTCCTTCCAGCGAAAGTGGGGTTTTTGTAAAGGAGTCCTCTGTTCACACGAACATCATGAACTTTCAACACTGATGTATATGCCTCACGAAAATCGATGACTCTACAGCGACGTCTCCAGTTTCGTGACCTGACATCGATTATACGAGGCGAGCGGGGGTTGGGATGGTAAACGAGAAAACTCTTGCGCCATCCCTCTCCTCAAGGCCCAAAATGACTCCGCCAAAAAAACTTCTCGTCCATCCAACGCACATCAATACCAAGGCTACGATTCCCGTCAACGTGGGACCATCCCAATCTCCCCCCTCCCCCTCCCCCACAGCCCACGCCAACACCCTCCACGCTCACATCAAATAGAAGCTGTCCAACAGCAGCCTCTCCACGCTGTCTGCTGGAAATCCTCTCCACGCTGTCTGTTGGAGATTCTCTCCACGCAGTCTGTTGGCAACAAACGACGCGGGATGAATACATTACCCGTGCTTCTTGTTCTAGTGCGCTTGAAAGTGCGGCTGTCGTTAGGACTAGGTTGAAGCCGCGTAGTGGGCAGTGCCCTTGGTGAAACGTGACCATTGACGCGCAATTATGCGCGACCGGGGGAGGGGGGTTAGGGGGGTTAGGGGGGGTGCGCTGTTTGCAGGCTCTGTGTAATACTTGGGGAAAGGCTTGAGGTAGGGATGGATGGAGGGAAGGAGGGAGAAAGGTCGATGTAGATGTATGATGTGGGAGGCTGAGGTATCGCGCGTTGAAAGGAGAGATGTGGGGGGAGGGGGGACTCATCATGTTCTGTTTGGTAGTGGGGGCATAGACAAACACTAGTAGTAGTAAAGGACTACACAACACTGCTTCCCCTGCATCGATCCAGCGCAGCAAACCACGCTTCGACGACAAACAAGTACGCGTTTGGCAGAGGATGAAATTGCATCATACGTGAAACTTCAATGGCTCTCGCAACGAGGATTGCATGTGTAGGAAACGGTTGAAGGCATGAGTGAGTGCATTTAGACCCGATCTTTAATCCAATCGGATTTTATATATTTCTTTCATTTATGCCTGGCTGATGAGCTCTATCAAGACAACCATTCAAGGCGCCCAGTAGGACGCGGGACCTTATGTGTTTGAAGTGATGGGGAGATGAGCGTAGAAGCTGCACCATTGTAGCGTCTTCATCGTTCACCTCAAGCCAGCCTGTCGTGTTCCTCATATCCTAGCGCGGGGCCGGGGTTGCTTTGTCATTGTTGAACCGCATCATTTGATATATTCTTGTATTCAGGAGCTTGATTCCATCTCAATGATAGGTCTGTGCGGATGTAGTCTCGTCAAGTACGCTCGTACTTGAATTTCTGTATTGGATCTTCTGGACTGGATATTCTGTGTCGCATGTTCTGCATAGGATATCGACTCGTGCTGGGGAAATCCATTGAATGGGTGAGGTCCCAGGCCTCACCCATTACTTATCTCTATCGGCGCCGAGCACAGCACTTTTGTTGTGTCGTGTGGAAGGCAGTTATCGATTGGGCTTTCCGCAATTCGGCGCCGAACACAGCACATGTGTTGTGTCGTGTGGAAGGCCTCTCTCGAAAGCCTATCAATGCACGACGAGGTGGGTATCGTCATGATTGGCGAAAGCTGCAGCCAGTTGAGGTCATATTCATCTCAGTGGTAGGTAGTAGCAAATACTCAAATGAGAACTTTGAGGGCTGAAGTGGGGAAATGTTCACATGTGAACAGCAGTTGGACATGGGTTAGTCGATCCTAAGCGACAGGATAGTTCCGTTATAAAGTGCACACCAGCATGCCGTCAGGTGAAGGCAGGCCGATTGATATGTTGGTCATTGGATGTGGATTTTCCGCGGCAACGCAGCTGAAAGTAAAAATGTTGGTGGGGGTGGTGGCCAAGGGAAGAGTTCTCTTTTCTTCTTATTCGTCTTTCACTCTGGAATTGGTTTGTCCGAAGCTGGAGTGAGATGATTCGTATAGTGAAGTGATATGTTGTGGATGTAGGACAAGACTCTTTTGGGTAGAGAAAAAGTCGGTATGCCGTCAATGTCGAGTAAAAGCGAGCTGTATGGATGTGTGACGCCTAACAAAGGATGATTTTCACGCCAGGTCGTACTCATAACCGCAGCAGGTGTCCGTTGATGGGCAAGTCAATCGTGATGAAGATCGTCGACAGTAGATGAATTCATGCATCGATGTCCATCAGTAATGACAAATGTGTTTGCACTTGATTCAAAGGCAGGGAGGAGGATGGCACATCCCTCTCTCAACAAAATGGTGTTGAGAGAGGGATGAAGAAGAAAGAAAGTGTTGGGGAGTGAAGGGTCTTTAAATATTCACTTCTTCGTGACGTAGATTTTGTGGCGCTCATTGTGCGTGACTCATTGGTGGAGAAAATTCTTTTACCTCCAAGCCTTCCAGCCACTCCAAAGTGGCTGGATCGAGAGATTCATGAATCCTATCTTGTTAGCATGTGAGAATGTAGACGCAAAGTCTTTCAATGGGTGTCGCTTGCGGGTGTTGGGCGAAGTAAATGATGACCAGTCAACTGATAGATTGCGATACCTGAACATGGGCAGATAATATCGTGATCATCAACAGAACGCTGAGCTCAAGATGTCGAATGCCACAACCAACGAATTCAGTGCCGAAATCCGCCATTGGCGGACGGTAACGCCGTCAGCAGTGGGGTTCCTCTACACATCAGTGACGAATTTTCGAGCTTCCCCATGACTGGAGTCTTGCATAGTGGATTTGAAAGACGCCGTGGCTTGCCCTCCCCGTCGCCAAAAGTCTACTATTGTCAACTCAATACGTTCTATTCACAATAGATGACCAATAGAAGATTTAATAGGGCAAAAGTTGGCTCGATTCAGGCATTTTCTTGACATTTCAGTCACTTCTTTGTGTCTAAAGTCAGTCATTGGTCTCGTAACAAGCCTTGTCAGCCTTCTTCTGTCTTTCTATCACCACGCAACATCCTTGCAAGGCATCTTTCTCGACGACACCATCCAAAGTTGTCCCATACGCATGAATGTAGGCATTTAGCTGGCACAATTTACTCAGGTCGTGATTTTTTCTGCCGGAACTTGGTTCCACTCATTGTTCTTTCGGCACACAATAGCCACACGGCTATCTGGTCCGATGATACATTCCCTTCGCAGAGAATTTTGAAGTCAGACTCCAAGCCCTATACGCTAAGTTGTGGATGCTACGGCTAAGGCTTCTCTATTGTGGGACTTTGCACTCTGTGTGCCGGCTCATGACTCAACGCCTTGGCGTCGTTTTTCAACTATAAAAGCTGGCTTTTCCACTCTTTGATTTCTTTCCACCCACGTTTAAGGACTTTGATTTATTCTTACTTCATCAAATCTCAGTAGTCAATCAGTTGAATTGCCACAATTGACGACAATTCCTCCAATCATGAATATTCCAGAGTACTCTATGCTTCCCATGCCGCCAGCAATCTCTGCCTCCCAACGCTCCTCGCGTCGTAAGATAAATTCTAGTGAGGTACGATGTTCTTGAAGCTCTTTTGTTGTCTGTTATAAGGCATTTTGCCCTTCCACTTACACCATGTGCGGGTTATTACCGAATTCCTACCGCCTGCGCAATACCGCTTGCAAAATCTCTCTTTGCATGATCTGGTTTTACAGTACCTTTCTTCAGCCAGATATTGGAACTTTGAAAGCAGCATTATCAGCATAGTTTCAAACATATGCTCTCTTTCTGTGTGTTCCTGACGTCTCTCGCTACTTTCAATACAAAAAGGGGCCGAGTAAAGGATGTGAAACGAGGGAGTGAGCCTGCTATTGATAGATTGCAATGGACTTGCGTCTACCGCATTCGTCTCCTTGAATATGGCGTCCGCTACATTCATCTCCTTGGTCATATTGCGTCTGCTGCGTTACACCCCTGGTCGTATGATGTCTGCTGTATTCACCCTTTGATCATATGAAGGAGCATTGACGAAACATGAGTAGGAAGTAGCGACCTCAAGCGGCTCCGTGATCGTCACGTCGACCGAAGAATATAGATCAGGGTGGCCAAAACTTCAGAGTCTTCCGCTACAAACTAGTAAGAGATACGTACGGTGAAGACGCGTCAGGGCTCACTATGTACTAGTACCGGTAAGGCAGGATGACGTAAAACATCAGAAGCTCTGGGATCTGTTGCCCCATCTTGCTTGGACTCTGATGCAACACGGCGTGAAAGGAGGCACGGCGTTGGTTAAACGCTTTGCCCCTGACGATAAGCCAGATGATACAGCAACAGTCCTGGTTTCGACCACAAAGCTCGAGAATCAAGACTGGGCGCCCGCCATAGCCGCGATGGCAGAGGTTCTCATTGAAAACCAGCTTGGCGAGAAGACGATTGTCGAAATTCTCGACGACAGGGCTGAAGAATATTTTTTCCCTGCGCGAACAGATACTGAGACGCAGTCCAAGTTCCGGGAAGAATGGCCCAGCAACATTGAACCTCAGATGCTTGAATACCTAGGAAATGGCCCTGAGTGGGAGACGCTCACCGTTCTAAATAGGGGCCGAACTAAGGAGGACTCGCATCTTACAGTCACTGTAGGAATCACCAAAAAAGCGTCTCATTCATGGCAGATCGAGAAATACAATTACCTGGTAAATATGCTCGACAGCTATAACGTGGGGTTCGCTTTTAAGCAATCGGATCTTGATCGCCCGAGTCGCTCTGGATAGAATCAATTTGCAAAGCGAGTCAACGTTTCATTTCTGAGGTGCAAGTATGGCTTGTCCATTTCTCAGAATGGGCAGTGAGAGCCATTGGGAAGGACGACACATTCATTTATCAGATGCGAGTATGGCTTTTCAATTGACCAGAACGTGCAATGAGAGCTTTTGAGAGGGATGAAACACTCATTCATCAGACGCTAGTATTGCTTTCTAGTTAACCATAGTGCACAATGAGAATTTAAGTGTGAATACCACCAGCATTCTATGCATAAGTCATCAAAGTAAAAGATATTACACAACAAGACTCGGCTCCCCGGGACCCGTCCAGGTATCCCAAACAATCTCACTTCCTCCCTGCATTTAGCCAGCGATCAATCATCACCACAAAATGCCAACTCACTTCCTGATCATGCCACATTCCCCAACGTATTTCGCTCCATCTCACATTAGTCCTGCCAACCAACCCTCCCCCCAACTTCCTCATCCCCATCCTCTCCATCACTCGTCAGGTCAATGCAATTCTTCTCAAACAAAGCAGACCGCTCTCGGCGCTTCTCCTCTCGCTCGGAGAGGGCGGGACGGGGCATCCGGCCAGGGAAGCCGGAGACCGGTAATGACATTGGTAGGGAAACTGTTGGGTCCTTCATAACATACTGCGCTTCTCTGACTTGTGAAAAAGGTAGGTCGGCATGAATCATGTCTTCCCCCGCGCGATGATAGAATATGAAGTCGCCGCCTGATTTCATCTGCTGCAGCATTTGGTTGTAACCTCGCCCGGGCGCGTATCGGCCGTTCTTTGGAGGTCGAGAAACGGCTGCGCTGTTGCTAAGGTGTGGTGGGGAGATTGTTGGACGTTGGATTGGGTATGCTTGAGACACTGGAATGGTCATCGCTGGGGAAAATGCCGGTAAGGGTTTTTGGTGGGAAGGGAGCGGCGTGACGGATTGGGGGATGGGGAGGGGAGGGATGACAGGTGGTTGGATGGCAGTTGTTAGTCCTGGTAATATCAGTCAGCCTCTATCTTCACAGGGGATTATTTCAATGATAGCAGTCACAGCGCATTGCTTGGCGCGTCACTTCAAATAGCTCGACGTACCTGCAGCATTGTTGTTGACTGTAGATTGCGTCAATTTGAGTTTCTTCTCCGCGCCTTCGAGGTGTTAGCATTGCTTGCCAAATTGGAGATCGTTGCTTCGGTACTTTCACGCTGTCTCTTCTGGTTGCGGTTCGCACGCTACTTTATGTGCTGAGCTTGATTTGACCTCTTCTGCTCCTCCTTGGTCTTGCCAGCCCACGTCGTTTCCCCGAAACTGTCTGGCGCGCGATTGCGAGCGTCGAGGTCTCAAAAATTGGGTCTCGCCATGGTGGCAGACTACCAAGAACGGTTGCAGTAGTGTGGTGTAAGAGGAAGGAAATGGGCGAGAACAAAGACTTTCTGGCTAGAAAAATCCTGCTTTCTGAGGGGAAAGTGCCGACCTTGGAGATGAGTCATAGCGGTTGCACATACCATTCAACATTGTCCCAATGGGATCATCCTCCTTCGCTGCTGTGAGACTTGCGGAAAGGCGTAGTATATATTTATATATAAGGTTGAGGAGAAAAGAAAGGATGCTAGACTAAGGAAGTGTTCGCTTTATGTACTCGTCAGGCTCCTTACACGTGTAAGTCCACCTGACCAGAAGCCAACTTCACACATATAGTGTCTGATAAAGACGAGTGGGTGTTGGAAAACAGAGAGTATATCACGTGCATGTGAATTGCAAAAATGAAGAGTGTCTCATGTGCAGCGAATTGTCAAGGTCTCGACTGGTGTCTCATTTGTTCACCCACTAGTTGAGCGAAAATACTATCAGCATTCCATGCATATATTGACAAAACAAATTATGTTAGACGTGACGGGATAGAATTGGCGTGAAAACACTGACCTTCTATCTTGAAGGTGGGTCGCTCTCTCTTAGACTGCCATCATCAAAGTTCCCGCGTGGGAGCTCAGTAAGGTTCAGTCTCCCCGAGGACGCGAATTTAGCAGTATTAATGCACTTTTTGGTCTTGGGGAAGTAGCAATCTTACGCTCTAACAGCTTACCACAACAACATGCATAGCTGGTAAGGCTGCGGGGAGCGGAGTATCACTTACTGTTCTTTGCGAGGGGGGAGAAGAAGGGGAAGACAAGGAAATGTGTGGAGGAGGAGAGACGGGGAGGGAAGAGGGAGAACAGGACGGGTAGGGAAGAGGGAGGCTCAACAGGGGGGGCAGTAGATAGTTGCAGGGATAGGTACGGGAGAGGGGATGCTCTATATGAAGGTAGGGAGCGTTAGGCTGAGGGTGGAGAATGAGATGGTTTAATATAAGACAAGAGGCGGAAGGTGTGCTTTTGTTAGGTGTATGATCGGGAAGGGAGGGAAAGAAGAGAGATTGGCGTAGCGAACTGAATGAAGGGGGGTGGGATTGCTCGTGTCGGAATATACTTTTTGTTCTATGGCTGCGGTGAGATTTGGGATTGGATGCTGGTGGATCTCAACCGGCGCAAGCCAACTTTTTCCAGTGTGCTGAATCCAAACTCAAAAAATCAATTCTGCGAGGCCGAAAAGTCGTGAATGAAAACGCCGGGAGTGCAATTGAGGTTCATGCTCAATTATAGTGGCCGTCGAAAGTATTGTGAGCGTTAGTCAAGTTGTAACAAAGAGGGGTCGAGAAGTGATTGAAGCTCCTACGATTGATCAGCACTGCTCGGCGACGACAGGAAAAGGAAGGCAACCTCAAGCTTATCTGACATTGAGTCGTGTCCGCCTCCATCGAAAGCGAATTTCATCATGTGCTGCTTCTTCTCCTGGAGTTTTAGTATCCTCTGCGTAAGGTAGATTAGCTGACATCGCTGATCAAGTTGGTTGGTAAAGAGGCATACCTGCTCGATTGTACCCTGCATTATGTATCGAATGACAGTGACATTCTTTTGCTGCCCCAATCGCAAAGCGCGACCGATTGCTTGCGCCTCCACGTTCGGGTTCCACTGGGGCTCGACAATGTGAATCCGGTTCGCGGCAGTGAGGTTCAGTCTATACCCGGGTTAGCCGCTTACTTCCCAGCATATCGTTGGATCAACGTACCCAACAGCCCCAGTGCCAAATGTCATCAACAAGGTTGAGACATTTGGAGACTCTTGAAATTGCTTCAGTCTCTTTGATCGCTCTTGGTAGCTTACGTCACCATCAATCCTGAGGAAAGTAACGCCCTGCTCAGTCATGATTGCGGAAAAAATGTCCAAAGTCCTCGTCCAGCATGAGAAAACAATGCTGTATTAGTTGTAAGGTAGCCTATACTGAGATTTGAATGGAGAGGACTCACCTTTTTGACATTTCTTGGTGTTTACGAAGATCTTGTACAACCGCTCGCAATTTGCTTGGATAGGCTTCTGATCGTGGGAGACGATGATTCGGTAGAAATCTCTCCTCGGCAAAAGACGTTTCTTCAAAGTCTTCTGAGAATTTGCGCTTGGCCCTCCGCGGCACGAGTAATGCTGGGCCGGCGGGACCAAATTCTGGAGCTAGTAATCGAGAGCAGCTTGGACAAAACTGACAGTCTTTGATCAAATCGACAGAATCTTGTCGCTGGCAAACATCGCACTCGACATCAATAGGTGTGCGTGCATCCAGGCTGGCTGGCAGAGTCGTAAGAGACGAGGGTGATGGACTTGAGACCTTGCCGAAGTCGCCATGATTGCAAAATCTCCGAAGCTTGTGGATAACACTGAAGAGTTTTGAGAACTTCTGTATCGCTGGAGCAGTACTCACGACTACGTTCATGTCACTCTTGGCGTCGTTGAGAATGGCTTCATAATCTAACCGTTCTGTTGCAGATGAGTCTATGAGTCGTGTTTCATATCCCGCCTTGAGCTTTGTCTCGGTACTTGTGAGCCGCCTAAGACAAAATGTCTCCAATAGAAACCGAAGTCTGTAGTATGGGTCTTTACCGGATGATACAAGTGTCTCGTCAATCAGGCTCCGGAATGCAGTGCTCGATCCTTTGCTCAGGAAAGGTTCAATTTTGAGGAAGCGCATCAAGGCAGCTAAGTCTTCCATCTTATTTTGGATCGGGGTTCCAGTCACGCACCATCTGCGTCGTGACATCAAAGAGTGAGTGGCGCGAAATTGCTCGGTGTTTTGGTTGCGTATCCAATGCGCTTTCGAGTCTTAGCCCTCTCGCTTCTCCAATCATGGATGCGGGGCATTCACCTTCGTCTAGCACTACCCGATACCAGGCGAATTTGTAAAGAAGTTTGGCGTTCATGTAATCTTTCATCAAAGTAGAGTAGGTAGTCAAAATAATATCAGCGTAGAATGCTTCATTGGGCATTGAATTGCGTTCACTGCCGTGAAAGACAGTCACGTTTATTGTGGAGGGTTTCAAATGACTAGGACTTGGTAAGCCTCCGCCGCGTAAGGGAGAAAGGAAATGAACCTATCGATTTCGCTTTTCCAGACTTCCAAAACCTCTACTTATGGTCAGTACAGGTACGCAGCACCCGGACATAAACCTCACGTGCGGAAGGAACAACGATTAATGTAGCTCGTCTTGGATAGATGGCTCGCGCTTCGTCCACACTTGAAGCATCATGTTCATAGCGAAACGCTTCGTCTATGGAGTTGGTTATATTGCTGAGTATCGATAACGTCTTCCCACTAGATTGAATGAGACACCCATTCAGATAACAGGGGCTTTGGGGATGTTTACAGGCCCATGTCATCAGCAAGCAAGCCACTAAGTGGAAAAGTGTCAGGCGAGTAGAGGCTTCTGAATTTCATCAGTTGGTTCAACTGGTATTGCGATGATCTGCTGTCCCTAGTTCTGTGGATTGCTTACTCATTGTGGTCTTCACTGGGGCTGTGGTGAGGTGGAATGCCATGTTCCCTTCGTATCATAAAGCCTAGGGCTTTCCGCTGATGCCTACAAAGAATGAACTATGCCGAGAGAATGGAGCAAAAAGGCTTCGAACTTCAGTAACGGCGTGACAACGATCCGGATCGGCGAGATGACCTCGGATTCCTCTTCCACATCAAGCGTGTCCATTATCTTGGACAAGTCTGCTGTGATGGAACTATCCGAAAGGCCATCGACGATGCAGTGGTTTGTAAAGTTGCGGACTTCAGTAATTGATGGACTCCGAAAACATTGTGGGTTGTGGTATGTAATGCGTGACTCAAGTGCATCGGGATGCTGCAGATAGTGTTTTTCTTGCAAAAGATATTCACCGATTCTGGACGCAAAGTCAATTGGACCGTATACATTGACGGACACATTGAGCTGGCTCTTGTCCTGAGAGATGTTCTCGTTGCGTGAGGTGTTACTAGGCTCCCTCGGGAACCTGCCTATCACGCCTTTAAATTCTGTGGCTCCGCGCTCCTGCAGATTGCGAAGACATGATGCAGATCTGAGATCGAGCAAGGCAGTATCATTTCCGTCCGGCGATTGGATAGTGACATGACTGGAGCTGGTAGCAATCTTGAACAATTTAATAGGAGCATCAGGCTTTTTGATTTTCTTGAATTGGGCTTTGTCAAGTGCAAAGCCATTTGGACACGCAGCCCTAATGTCGAAAAGCTTGGGAGACTTTTAATGCCGGCTTGACACATTCTGATGCAGGAAGCTTGAGACTTACTGTACCATAGCACACCAGCTGAGTCTTCGGCTCTTGGTCGGGCCTATCCAGCGCCATTGTATCGCTTCAAACATTCAGTATGAGCAATAGAAGCAAAGCATTTTCGCCCATCAAAAGACAACAAGGACTTCTGATCGACGATGTCGTCTTCAGACTTCTAGCATGATGAGGCATTGCAAGTGGTCCACACTCCACAAAGACACTGAAGCTGAGATGAGATACCTTGCTTGGGAGTTCGTTTGGCTTGGCATTGTGGCTGAGCAAACTGAGTGTGGCTGTGAAAGTGGGGGGTGTGGCACCGCCTGGTGCCGCCCATCTTTTCGTTGCCTTCATCGCAACCATCGTCTTGTACCTCTACAGCCCATGACACGCATAGGCGATAAGATTCATATGTTCTCAATTGACTGTGATGTTCAATTATGACCCTCATACCCTCTTCGGGCCTACAAGGCCTCTGTAGCCTGATTGAAGATGTTTAGCGCGCTGGAAAGGCCCCTTGATGCCGATGATAATCTGCCTTTTGCCAATGCAGGAGGGTCTGGGACAGCGCCTGCATACGAGCTAACACGATACTGGACAGCTATTGGAGTCGCTTACAACGTAAGGCTGAAAAGCTGCGGATGGGCAGATTCAGCCTTCTCAAGGTGGTCAGCGCTTAGACGAGAAAGACAGGATCTTTGCGACCTTTGTTTCTATTCCATTCTCTATGATGAACATCGAGTGTCGCAGTATACAGTTGATAACTTGAACACTGCTTGACATGGCTGCTATCACTCCTCTGGGCTCCAGCTTTGACCGTGCACTCGAGGAGTTCAAACAATCACTATCCTCCAAGCAAAAGCTGGAATTCAGCATCTGTAGTCTTGAAGATGTATCAATTGCTATTTGCGAGATTGAAAAACGACATGGCACTCAAAGGAAGTTGCGCGGCATGGGCCGGATGCAAAAGTTTCTGGAGGCTATGGACCAATACCGGAAAGTCATAGAAGCTTTCCTTAATTGTACCCCCTTCATGGGATACGTTTGGGTAAGCATCGTGGTCAGAAGCACTTTCTCAATCTTATACCAATATAGGGACCATTACGCTTTGCTCTGCTTGTAAAGTGCCCTGCTCACTTCATGCCGCATGCTACCGACTAAAATTATCCACTGTAGGTGGCAGATACTTGGGTCACTTCACTAGACACCCTTTTGGAGGCCTATCGAGATATCGCGGAGCAGCTTCCTGCCTTTCTACATTACAAGACGCTATTTGAACAATCTCCGGAGATGCGAAGAGTTCTTGGACTTTATTTTTGTGACATCCTTGGTTTCCATCGAATTGCACTGAAAGTGTTCAATAGGCCTGGTTCGCCCCATCTTTTGTCATCGTGTAAGCGTATACCCTAATGCGTCTAGCCTGGAAACACTTTTTCAAGTCATGTTGGAAAACATTCGACACCAATTTCCGACGCATTTTGGACAGCATGAAACGCCATAAAGAATTAATAGAGAGCGGAAAGGGAACTGCGACTTTGATCGAAGCTCAAAAGACACGCGAAATAGCCGAGCTTCAATATCATGAGCAATCTGACTATGAAACCAAACGAAGGCTCACCGCAGTCATTGAGAAGCTTGACCCCCTAAGTATGAAAACGATCACTATGCAGCTGCGGCTCAACATCGCAAAGGGAAGTCTGGCATGTGGCTTCTGCAGCATTCGGCCTTCACACAGTGGGTTCATACTGAGAATGGTAGCCATAGTCTTTTTGTTCACGGCATCCCGGGTGCTGGTAATATGCCTTCTATAAGCCGACCGTGTTTCAACGAAAAGACTAATGCAGCGAACAGGTAAAACTGTTCTAGCATCGTTCATCATTGATGAAGTCCGTAATATGACGAGTGCCAATGTGCTTTACTTCTACTGCAAGCACGATCAAGAACGGAAAAAGACTTTGACCGAAATCGTTCGTGCGATGCTTGCGCAACTCGCGAGGAAGGACCCTACCGTAGCATCTTACATACACGAAGAAATCATATCCTCAAAAGGCGAATTAAGCCAAAGAATGATCATAGATGATATTGGTCCAAAGTCATTCGCAGGTCAAGAAAAACTGTCCGTCATCTTGGATGGCCTTGATGAATGCAACGCAGAAGAGGCAGAAGAAATTCTCGATTGGTTCATGTTGGTACAGAAACGGCATAAAGAGGGCCATGGTGGCCAGGTGAATATTCTGTTCATGGGTCAGCGTACCGATCTTCTGCAGCAACGACTTTCAACTGCCGCTCAAATTTCATTGGAAGCTTCAAAGCACAAAGAGGACGTTACTCTCTACGTTGAACGAGAAGCCCATAAACTGCAAGGGGAATTTGAGCTTAGCCACACCATTAGATTCCAAATAATAAAGCGGGTGGCCGAGACGGCGAATGGTAAGACCTCGAGACGCTGCAAAGAAATTCCTAATATACACGCTTACTTATTCTCGAAGGCATGTTTTTGTACGCGAAGTTGGTAATGGAAAATTTTGAATGTCAGACTAGTCTGGGAGAAATTCTGACAGAGCTGGAGCCTGCTACCTTCCCGGTTGATCTGAAAGATGCGTATGGGCATGCTCGCATGATCGATTATCTGCTGCTGACCGACGTCATTGTAGGTACGAGCGAGTCGTGGCAACCATCTTTCGCAAGGGACCACAACAAGCCGCCGCAAAACACATACTTGAGTGGATCATATGCGCCAAGCGACCGTTGAAGTGGCGAGAGGTACAAGCAACTTTCTTCCTGGATCCTGTGGAGGGGAAAGCCGACTACAACAATAGTCGCCGCCGCAAAAGCTGCAAGGCAATCTGTGGTTCTCTTGTCGATCTCCAACAACACACCTCAAGTCTTCAAAGTGACGCTACGTTAAGTCTTGTGCACGAGACCGCTCGCGGGTAAGTCAAAGTCAGTGTTTCGAGGTATAGCTTACGAATGTGTAGGTACCTCGTTGAGAAAGGGCTTGTCAATATCTCCCTCCGCGATGCAAACATCGCTTTGTTCAACCTACAATATTTAATGTCGAAGCCTTTCCAGACTTTGAAATCGGATGATATCCGGAGCAATACTTCCTCTGGCTACTATGCTATGCTAGATTATGCGACCTTACACTGGGATGATCATATTCGCTCAGTCTTGAAAGCAGGCGGAGACTCTGATCTTCGGTCCGAATTGCAACAATTGCTTCAACAAGAGCTGAGAACCTTCTTGGCACACTACGACATCACTACCATGACTAGTAAAGGAGCACTGAATGACAAGGAGGACCTACAAAGCCCTCATGAAATCGTCAAGATGCGAAACGAATGGCTCTATCTCGAGCAAAGGACGTCCACCATCAGGGATCGGATCGAGTCAATTATGACGGATAGTCAGACTGAGCAAGATCACCTCCAGCTCATGCGTAATATATACGGTAGCCTAAGGTTCAAGTGTCCGAAGATAGGGTGCCAACATTTCACTAATGGCTTCCATACTGCATCTCAGAGAAAGGAGCACTTTGCTAGACACAGCCGGCCTTTCAATTGTTCTGAAACCACATGTCCCTCCTTTATCATAGGTTTCGAATCGGCTAATCAGCTCCTGAGGCACAAAGCTCGAAGTCATAAAAACGATGCAGACAAGATCATGTTTCCCAAGGCCCAGCACACCCAAGACACTTTCTTGAAAGCATTACGTTGGGGTGATGTCGGAGCAGTTGAAGGATTCTTGACCGCCGGCGCTGGCATTGACGACCCTGTGCGAGATCACTATGAAACTCCACTCTTTCTCGCCACCAAATACAACCGACTAGATATTTGTCGACTTCTGCTTCAGCATGGCGCCACTCTCAAAGAACATGGACTGAAGAATTATCCACTTCGTGAGGCTTTTGAAAAGAACAAAGACGCAATCTTCGATCTATTTCTCAACACAAGAGTCGGAGAGTATCATGACTTCTCACGTCTAAAGACTCCAAGCAGCGAAACAGCCGTCTTCGATGTGCTAAGAGATTCCGCAATTGGGATCGAATGCGCTAAGAAATTGAATTTGGCGCAATGGTTCAGTAATGCATTAGAACGTCAAGATGAACCTTTGTTTAGATGGCTCATAGAAGTTGTAGGCTGCGATAATCTAGTGGACTCTTCGAGGCGCACTGCTTTACATCAAGCGTCGATGAGTGGAGTCCTCGCTGCTGTCAAAATGCTATTGAGTAGGCCGAGTGTGAACGTCACTGCTAGGCATGCCTCAGGTTATTCGCCTTTGGACTATGCGCTACAGAATGGTCATGCAGCTGTCGTGAGAGAACTTCTAGGTAGCAAAGGTATCGAAGTTGGGATAAATCCTGGTGCGCTAAGTACGGTGATCCATAAAAATGATGTCAAGTGTATGGAGCTTCTGCTACAAAGCGAATCAGTGGACGTCAACCGTAAGTCATGTCACCACTTCAATTCTAGGACATCTTGGCAATCCGGTACTCCTCTTTCCTTAGCGACTTTCTTCGGCCACACGTCTATGGTCCTTCAATTACTGTCGGTTGAGGGCATTGATGTCAATTGTCAAGATCAAGAAGGAAAATCACCGCTCTGGGTGGCCGCAACCGCTGATCACGCAGAGATCCTAAACATCTTGCTGGCCCAACCGGCGGTAAATTTGGATGCGCTGAATGAAGGCGACAGCAATGGTTGTACGCCGCTGCACACGGCCGCTGAGCATGGTCGCGACAACATTGTCCAAATTCTCCTCTCCTGTCCAAACGTGCATGTTAATGCACGGAATATGCGGGATCGTACTCCTCTTCACAGTGCAGCCGCAGGAGACCTGGGAGGTCATGCAGACGTTGTAAAGCGACTGCTACTAGACGACCGTGGAGAACATGACCCAGTGGACATGTACGGCTATACACCTCTGACTGTTGCCGCAGACAGAGGTCATGAAAAGGTAGTACGAATCCTTCTCGACAGTGATCGTGTGAATCCAATTCATGCGGACAATTTTGGTGAGATTCCTATTACGAGGGCGCAGAAGTCTGGTCACACCAGGACTGTAGAAATGCTGAGAGGGCGGAGCTGTACTCCTGCTGCACTGTTTGCGGCGGCGTCGACCGCAAATCAGCAAATCGTCGATCTGATACTCGAGTCTCGCAAGATTGACCCGAATGCGCGGTTTAACGATGGGTATTCGGTCATTGAACTGGCCATCCTTGAAGGTCATAGGTCAATAGTCCAGCATTTTCGGGACTCTGGCACCGTGGATGTTGCACGACTTTCAGTTCAGGACAGATTGGCATTTGAAAATGCAGATCAAATGCCCATGCCGCTTTGCGCGGGCAACCATAGTATGCAATTATCAGATGTGAGTCAGTCAGCACTTCCAAGAGACGAAAGGATGCTGCCGCCTGCATTAGCAAAACCGCTAGAGATTTGTGCCATTGGACTGGAGCTGGCGCAGAAGTGGACGAAGAAATATCAAGTTCTTTGTCAGACTGAATCAGAAAATCCTGCGTTGGTAGACTACAACCACTAATTAAACCTTCTTGAGGAGCAAAAATTAAGGAGATTAATCATGGGCTTGGAAGAAAACGGAGTCCTCTAATGAATCACAGGACTGAATTCAATTCTGAGCTCTAAGCATAAGAGCTTTCCAGCATGATCCACTGATTTCCTTTCACAGATGATGCAGTGGTCGCATCTTCATAATCCCTAACCCTCAAAGTCGTACCAAAGACATTAAAACACGCAAATCTCCCTACACTTTCTCGCCCCCATCACTAACCACCTCAGCTTTCGGCTTTCCGTAAACATCAGCCCTCAGCTCATGGCCCACCGCACTATGCATCTGCAAATCCGTGCTCGGCACAGCCGTGACCTCATCCTTTGGACTCTCCACGCCAACCACGTGTCCTTCCAGCACCTTCGTCTCATCGCTCTCGACGTCACTCACCCCCAACCCATCTCCCTTTCCCGCTTTAAGCTTTCGCGGCCCCATCGGCCCACCGGCCTCCATCGCCGTGTCAAGACTCCCAAGGTCAAACTTGATCGTTTCATTATTGAGGCCAGTGAGGTATAGGTACCAATAGACTGTTCCAACGAAGAAGCCGCCGCCGATAAGGTTACCGAGGAGGGTTGGGACAAGTGATTTCCAGATGTACAAGCCGACGCCAATGTCGGGGTGGTCGTAGAAGATGGCGCAGGGGATGAAGAACATGTTCGCTATTACGTGGTCGAGACCGAGGGCTACGAAGGTGAAGGTGGGCCACCAGATTGCACTTACGCCAGTCAGTCAATAAAAAGAAAATGCTATTAGCGCCATTGGTGACTTACACTACTTTGGAGACCAGCTCCCTCGAAGAGATCGACAAGAAGACAGCGAGGCAAACGAGCCAATTCGCTGGAATAGGGAAGTCAGCCAATTATCATAGGAGCATGTAGAGCGACATACCGCCAATCGCCTTCAAGAAGATCTGATGCCACTCCGGAACCAGCATCTTCATAGTCGCAAAATCGAACAGCGCCTTCCTATACCCCATAACCTGAAAGACCCCGCCATCTACCCCACAGAATCAGCATTTTCTTCAAGCACCTCACCATTTCGAAGCACTCACACCCCGTAATCAACGCCATAAAAAACAACATCCCCGCCAAATTCCCAAAAAAGCTCACGAACCAATTCACCAACAAATCCCCCACGCCAATGCGTCGATGCCACAGCGCGACCCCCATAAACATAACATTACTCGTAAACAGATCCGCGCCAGTCAACACAATCATAATCAATCCCACAGGAAAGAACATCGCGCTAATACTCCTTATAAGGCCGGGGGCGTTCTCGGCGTACCAGGGCGCGGACTCGGTGGATATCATGACGGCGCAGCCGAAACCGAGGAGAGGGCCCGTGAGCAGGGAGTTGAAGAGGAGCTTGTCGTAGCGCATGTGGGATTTTTTGGTGCCGATGCGCGAGACGAGCTCGGTTGTTTGTTGGGGTGTGAATGCGTCCATTGTGGGGTATATTGAAGGGGAAGGGGGAGGGGGGTGTGGGAAGCTGCAGACCGCGTGTATAGAAGACAAAAAGATGGCCTGGGAGGTGGGAGGTGGGAGGGAGAAAACGAGAATGAAGGGAACGGCTGCTAGAGCTGCACGCAGGAGGCAGGAGGTGAGGAGGTGGGGATAGGAGAGAGTATGCACAGCGACGTCAACCCCCCCTTTATATCTGCCACAGGAGCAAACTCGAGCCGGAGATCGTCTCCATAGCTCTGGATCCCATGGCGTGAGATTGGCACATGGCACTTCCCCTCCCCCCCTTCCCTACCTCTACTTTAGCACGCCCCTTTCCTGCCCAACCCAAGACGTTGCAAATAACGGAAAAGAAGATCGTGGGGAATCGCATCCTTATCTCAAGTTTTCTTTTTATATCGGAGATCTGGTTGGCTGATAAAAACCGTTGCAGATTGCCAGATGGCGCTAGGCTGAAGTGGGCGCTAGCGCTGTGTTGATCCGGCTTGGCTTCTTGGTGCCGGAGGAATTTTGCGCTTTCGACAATCTTCCATCCTCCAGTTGACGATGTTGCGATGGCGTCTAGAGCTGCAACGCCCATGCTGGACTGTGCTGTCCATGGTTGTTGTGAGCTTTGACGCGTTCTTGAACAGCTGGAAGCTCTAAGCTTCCACTCCCATCAGCACAGGACCCATTAACACAAGTCCTCGAGCATGTGGAACAGCTGCATCTTCACGACGCACGGTCACCCTGTGTAAGATATGATACTCATGCAACAAGGGCACAGCATGGCATAGATCGTCGAGAGTGCGTCGGAAGAACATGAACGAGCAAGAGCAAGGACATACCCTCCCCACCCCTCCCCTCCCCTACCATCCCATGGCAGCTGCGCGCCCACCTCAGCGCAAGCAAGGCCAGCATCACACGCCCCTCGCTCGAGATGGTGCGTTGCAAAAGCCGATTCCTCCTCCTGCGGCGTGCGGCTTCCACGAGGCCTGAAGAGCGGACGCAAGATTGTTGTTTCTACACACATTTCGGGTGGAGGATGGTGGCATGGTACCTCTACAGCACAACCAGAACCGCCTCGTCGAGACGTCGGGTAAGAGCTATGATATACATATACATCTGTCTATAGGTAGCACGCTCGGTGCAGACACTTCTCACCACCCGACGGCTTTGGGTTCTATAAGCTCGAAGAAACTAGGGCAGCCGTTTCCGCTTCTTCGTCAACAGACACAATTTCTTGAGTCTATGAACGCTCATCCTATCGACTTTCGCCCTGGCAGAGTGCGGCTGCGCATTCGAAGAGACGAGACGTCTATTTTGGAGGACGCCTGGATGAGGGTATGTAGAGCAATATCTACAAGAGCCTGGCTCGTCTTACGAGTTGGCTGTGAAGATGCCGACGGGTGCGTGAAGTGGAGATGCGGAGACAGCGTGGGGAGGGGGCAGGTAAATAGGGCATTTTGGTGCGACAAGCTTACGCCTCAATGCTGTATGACTATTCGTTGACGAGGGGGAAGGAACGAGCTTCAGGAAGAACAGGTGGTGTGGGTGGCTAGCTGTGGGATGAAATTCTATTACAGTGTTATCCCTCTAGACCTGTTGGGTATCTATGACCTGCGCCAGTCTGCAATCGAAATCTGTTCATATGTACATGCTGCTTTCAACATTTGTGCTCTTCTCGCCTCCCCATTACGCACCCCCCGTCCCCGCCTTCTTCACCTTCTCCGGATCCAGCTTCTTAATTGGTACCCACAGCGCAACCAGCGCACTCACACCCGCGACTGCAATCGCAATCGCATACGTGATCCTCAACCCACTCATGTAGGCCCTTAGAATGCCCGGGATTTCCGCCGCCTCAAACACTTTCCTCAGTTCTGTCGCCCCGGTGGCCACGACCTTCGCCGGATCAACACTGGGAGCCTCAATCGGAATCCTGCTCAACAGCCGATTGGCAAATCCTGTCTGGCCTGCGGAGACAACGAGAGCACCACCGATAGTTTGGAAGAAGAGCGTGATGGCGGTGATGGCGGAGATGTCGCTGGGTGACACGCTGGCTTGGTTGACGATGACGGGGACTTGGAAGGCTAGACCGCAGCCGATGCCGACGAGAGCTTGGTAGCCTATCCAGTGACTAGACGACGTGCCGATGTCGAGCGTGTAAAGCAGCCCCGATCCGATGGCAGCGATGATTGACCCCGCGAAGATCATAGGCCAGTAGTATCCCGTGACGGCGATAAAGATGCCGGAGAAGATGGTGCAGAGGGAGGCGCCAATGACGAGCGGCAAGTTGCGCACGCCGGAGTCAGAGGCAGACACGTTGTCGATGGACTGGAAGTAGATGGGGAGGTAGTACAACAGCACGAAGAACGTCCCGCACAGCCAGAACACGTACATGCTCAGCGAGGCGATAAGGCGCTGTTTCAGCAGGCGGCCTTGCAGGAGGGCTCGGTCGCCCATGAAATACTCGTTCACGATAAACGCGGCGACGATGAGCCCGAAGCCCACCAGACATCCGATGACCGAGGAATTACTCCAGCTTTTCGTCGTGCCGCCCCATTGCAGCGCGAGGATGTAGCATATCACGGCACCGAGAAGGAGGAATGCGCCGTTGAGGTCCAGCTGCAGGAATTTCTCCGTCCATGTCGCTTTCTCGGGCTTCGCGGCCACGGGCGTAGAGAAAGAGAAGAAGATGATGGCGGCGCTGGCACCGCCGATGGGGAGGTTGATGTAGAAGCACCAGCGCCAGGACGCATTGCTCGTCAGCGCGCCGCCGATCAAAGGCCCCGTCACGGAGGCAACGCCGTACGCGGCGCCCACAACGCCCGTATATGCCGGCCTTGTCTTCGGCGGGGCGGAAAACGCGAGGATAGTGTAGCACCCGCTCGCTACGCCAGCACCCCCAAACCAGCGATCGCCCGCCCAACGATGAGAGTGGTGGAGTTGTTGGCGACGCCACAGATCAGACTGCCGACCTCGAAAATGAAGATGCTGAGAAGGAAGGTCGGCTTCAGCGGGAAGTATTTGTAGGATTTCCCCAGGTGGACTGGAATGCTGCGAGGGTCAGGAAGAAGGCCGAGGCGTACCAGCCTACGTCGTCGAGAGAATGGAATTGATCTGTTATTTTTGGGATGGCGGTTGCGACGATTGTCATGTCCAGAGCGACGAGGAAGATGGAAAGGACGAGGGCGACGAGGATGGAGATGAGGCGGGCTCCTGTTGGATAGTCGGAGGTTGCTATGCGGGAGAGTTCCGTCATGTGTGTGTCGGTGTTCTCGAGGTCGTGGTGTTGAGATTTTTCGGATTTGACGCGCGTGATGCTCTCGGCGGAGGTGGAGGAGGCGGAGGAGGAGTGGGGGTTGGGTTGGGGCGCCATTGTTGGCTTGGTGTTGCGGAGTGGGTGGTTCAGGATTGAGGCCACAATGATGAAGTATTTGTTACCGATAAGGAAAGTCTTGGATTGGCAGAAGCCAAGACAATATTAATTAAGAATCTCACCTTATGGTTATTGTTGAAGAGACGGAAGGGTGAGATGGTGGGGAGACTCAGAGATTAAATATCACACCCATCGAAGGAGAATGGTGATGTGACCACAAGTCAATGCAGCATCGGAGGTGCAACGTTCCTCCGAGTTCTGCCTGCAATCGCGAGATAATGCCCAAACGGGTCGTGAAAATGTGCAAAAAGGGGCAGAAGGTTGCGGCCATTGGGCCGTAGTATCGGAGTTCCGGGGCCTGTATGGACTTTAGGTGGTGACTCATACAAAATCACGCAAGAACATGGACGAAAAGCGGACGAAGAGGAGGATTCTAGACTCATTCTGGTGTAGTGCTTACGGAGCTGGAAATTGAAGGGCAAGGTACTCCGTCTTGGCAGAAGGTGGAGGACGGAACCAAGGCCGGTGTCCGTCCGCTGACTCGTCCGTCCGTCCGTCCGCTTTTGTCAGCATGTTATTCAAACATCCCACCGTTTACGTTTCCGTCATTCGTCCGTCATCTCTTCAGACCGTCGACCATTCCAATAATATGTCTAATATGATGCTTCAAAAACACGGTGCTGATGGGGATGCGGAAGATGCCCCATCTTCAAAGCGCATGCGCAAAGGGACCAAAAGCTGTGCGGAATGCCGTCGCCGGAAGATCAAATGCAACTACGACGTCAAGCCTGACATCTGCGACAATTGCGCCGAAAAAGGCCTAGAGTGTATCGAGCAGGCGAATCGCCCAGCTTCGCCAAAAGCCCCCAAGAGCCAGAACACCCAGCATTTGCAGGGCAGACTGAATCAACTAGAAGGGTTGGTCAAGACTTTGCTTGTCAAACTTGATGACAAAGGGACGTCGAAAGGAGATATTCCAAACGAGTTCAAGGGTTAGTCATTCAAATAACACCAACCATACGTACATGTTCGGCTCATTGCATTCTAGACATCAACATCGTGGAGGAACAGCTGCGGCCAGACCTTCTCCCAGCAACGCCAGTATCTCTGCCAGATCAGACCAGCCACGTGAAGACCAACAGTGTCACCCAAAACCTTGGCAACAAACCTGACTTAGGTCCCAATCCCTATCTCAGCCTCTTTCAGAATGACTTTGTCGAGGCACAGGGCGACTGGGTCGAACCAGCCACCACTGCCATTGCTCAAGACGTGCCTGGCGGTGAAATCTCTTTCGACCCTTCTCGGATACAGCGCTTGAAACAGCAGCTCATCGCTTACTTTCCATCCCAACATGCTATTAGAATCCTAACAAGGGATTTTGGCCAATGGTTTATAGACTGGACCAACAATTGTGAGATGGCCCGTCATATCTCCTTATTTTGATCATATGCTGACAACTTTTCTTACGCAAAGTACCTGACATCTTTGACGCAAAGTTCCAGACTCTAGATGATGTCGTCCAGGACGCCTTGATCCGAGGCTCACCAGTTGCCCTTGCACAGAGCCTCCTCGCCCTTGCCATGTGTATGCAGCAGATACCGACTAGCTATGATGCAACGCCCCTACAGTTTGCCGCTGCTCCCTACGAGCTGGCAGACATCTTTGCAAGAGAAGTCTATCGTCTTGTCCTCGGCGACGACGATTTAGCCGGCACTTTCGAAGGAATAGTATGCTTGATTGTTTACAGCAAATTCTGCACAGTGGCAGGACGACCTCGAAGATCCTGGCTGGCTCATCGCAGAGCCGTTACGTTCGCTCAGCTTCTCAACCTGCACCGTCGGCCTAATAGAGCCGTCGACTCGCCTGGGTTTAACTCAAGCCGCAAGGAACAGACATGGGCGAATCTTTACATCATTGACCACATTATGTCGCTCGTCTTTGGACAGCCCTATACCATCTGCGCCTTTCATTGCGATATAGACACGTCAGAGTACAGCAATCTTGGATTTGAGACGTCCTTCATGGTTCGTCTTAGCCAGATTTGTGGCCGAATTAGCGACCGCAATCACCACATGATGGAGTCAACCCCAAATAAACTGCTATCTGTGACCTTTGAAATTGATCAGGAACTTGAAGAGCTTGTACAGTCATCGCCTCAGCTTTTCTCGAATACAGAAGCCAAAGGACTTGCTGGTATGTTCAGTCTCAGATCATGAAACTCATTGTACAAACGCTCACTGACGCTGACAATAGCACGACTCCTCCTGCGTTTCCTCTACTTCCATATCCGCGTCCTCCTTCACCTGCCCCTGATGATCAGATCAGCAAGCGACACGCGCTTCCACCACGGCAAAGTAGCCGCCGTCGACGCCGCCCGCGAAATGATCCGCTGCTTCGCGGACCTCCGCTCCACCAAGAGCGGCGACACCGGCTGCAACAAAGTCGTCGACTTCGAAGCCTTCACAGCCGCCATGCTCTTGATCCTCAACATTCTCGGCTACTCGCGCGACATAACCCAAGGCCACGAAAGCGACTGGAACCTCGTTAAAGTCATCATCGACCTCCTCCGCTCCTCCGTCAACGGCACAGGCGGCAAAGTATCCGAGCAATGCCTTCGCACTCTCGAGCTCTTCTACGCCTGTCGAACAGGCGGCTGTGACGACAACGGGCAGCAGAACGGAAAAGTCGTCATCCCCTTCTACGGCACGCTGATCTTGGGGCCAAACAAGACTAGCAAGGCTGGTGCGGCTGCTATGGCTGCTCGCAACACTGAGTCACAAAACATGGGTGCTAGCCAGCTGCCAACACCATCGATGACGGATTCGACGGCGACGTCGCCGAATATGACGACCCCGGATCCGACACCCCTTACAGCGTTCCCCAATGGACCAGGCGCATTCTCCTTTGATCTCAATCAAGGGATGTTCCCTTATTCGACGATGGGAATGGGGCAACAGCAGCCGGCGATGGATGGGGATGGGATGGATGGGTCGTGGAATTTCATGCCGCAATACAATACGGATTTGGATCATGATTGGAGCTGGTCTCTAGGAGGGGAGGCGCAGACCTGATGGCTTATGACGTGTACGGACGAGATGTGATTTTGCATGAATATGAAAATACATTACGGGTGGCATAGCGATGGTATAAGGGAGATGGCGTCTCAGCTCTTGCAGATTTGGTGATTTCTACTCATACGCGCCTTTTCTCTTACCTTAAAATATGTTATTGTTTGGATGAGCTTCCCTCCTTAGAGGGACAAAGGAGCTAAATCTCTTCAAATCAGGCATCTACAGTCCAATGTCTGTGTCTCCAATACATCGACCAATTTCAACTCACTCCAGCTTGGACTGGCATCAAATACGACCAATGCACGAAACCTTCCACATTGACACTCGTCGATGATAGGAGCTACAACCACTACCCTTCCCCTTCTCCTCGACAATCCGACTTACTCTCACAATAGCTCAATCAATCACTTCCAACGACCTACTACCGCATTACACTCCGAGGTATGTCGATTGCAGTTTCTCGGTCACGAAACATTGTTTTGATTGGAACTGACGCTAGTCTATGAACCGCAAAGAGAATGCTTACTTATGTAGATGTCACACAACTATCGGCGCAATCACCAGAGCCATCGCACTACAGAAAGAACGCATATCCTCTAGCGAGCACCTTTCGTCGCTGGATGAGATCCAGCATCAGTCCTCACTACTGGCACCACCTCAAAAGACGAGGCATAACAAAGGTTTAGCGGGCGAAACGAAGCCAGCACAATAAATCAAAGGAGATAGATGAAAATACTGGCATTTACACCCGTGGTTAATATCTATAAATGAGCCAATATTTCTGTCGACTATTTACCCCCCATCATACCCTCACCCCACCACGCCCTCAACCTCCTCAAAAACCTCCCAATTCCTCACACACCAAAACCCCATCGACAAGTCCACTTCATGCAATCCCCTCATCAACTGATTCCACGCGGCCCAATCTTTCCTGAATAGTTGCATCTTGAATGCGCATAGTTCGCAGGTGCACCTCCTCCCGCCCCTTGGCGGCATCACACCACCAGCATCAACCCTCCAACATCCCAGCGCCGGATCATCATGGGGAGGGGAGGGGAGGCGGCGGAGTTTGTGTGCACAGAGGATGCGAAAGGGCAGACTGCCGGCCCCGCCCCCGTCCCCGCCCCCGCCTCCGCCAGCGAAAGAAGGATCGAGGTCGCGGCGGAAGATATGCAGGGCGCAAGTGCAGTTCTCATCATCGTCAGTCAATGGCGCGGCGGGGGCTGGCGAATCGATCTCCATCACATCCTCCCCCGCCCCACCCCCTTGTCCAACAGGTATTTCAGCAAGGGAAGAACTTCCACATTCGACGAGATCACGCAACGGTGCAGGCTGCTCGGCCCATCCGTCAGATTGTCCAGCCCGCTCGTCTCGTGGCGGGGGAACCATGACCTGGAAGAGCGGCGAGGGGGTGTATTGGATGGGGTGGATGGAGTGGTGGGGGTGGTGGGGGTGAGGGGCGGGGACGCGTAGATGGCTTCGGAGCTGGTGCTGGTATTGGCGTCGGCGGATGTGGTGGGTTGCGATGTTGTGTGGGGTGGGAGGGTGCTGAGGGTTTTTTCGGTCTTTTTTGTTTGCTGCTGGTGGGGAGGGGGGTGGGGAGGGGGGTGTGGCATTTGGAGGTGGAGGTGGAGGTGGAGATGGTGAGTTGGGAGTGGAAGGGGTGGGGTGAGGAGTTGGAGATGGGGAGGGGGAGGGGGAGGGGACATAGATATGGGGCTGGTGAGGTGAGGAACAATGCAGCTTTGTTGGAGATGCGTTCTTTGTTCTGGAAGGGGGGACAATGCTATTGTTCATACGGGCGAAGTTCGCTTGCGATCGTCAGTGTCAGTCACCTGGAACCTGAAATGGTCTTGTGGGGAATAATGGGGAGTAGGTAGGGGATGGAGAAGAGAGAGGACGAGTGATAGGTAGATCAAACCAGCTCGGATGTAGATCCCAGTATTCTCATCCATTCCCTCTCGTCCGCCGACGCTCCCTTCGTCACGCCTCATCTCTCTCAACGTCGGCACACAGGACTGACAGCTTCCCTAGGCAACAGCCATATCTCTACCCACATCCCCGGTTTCCACTTGTGCCTGTATGCTCCCGTTCATAGTCACCTCTCCTCGATGTACCGCGTCCTCCTTTTCAATGCTCGCAGTGAGAACTGGTAGCTTGTCCACTGTTTCACTCGTACTCTCGATGGTGGCAGTAAGGAATGGCGGTTCCTCTATACGATAGATTTCGCGGGTGACCTCCATGGAACTGTCGCCTAGTAGCTTGTTAGGAAAGAAACGAGTCGTATACGGGGAGGTTTTGATCACTGACCAGCATTTGTGCCATTGTTCTCTACCCTGTCAACACGCGCAGCTATCGCTTCAATTCTCTGCTGCATTTCTTTTGTCTCCTCTGCCAGCTTCTCCCAGCTCTCATTCAACTTCTTCTCGTTCAATCTCTTGGCTTGTTCTGCAGCGTGTCAGCTTACACGGCAAATCGTCTGGGTCCTGTGTTGGCTGGTGGTGGAGAGCGTTACTTTCTTCTTGTCTTTTGATCTTGCGGTCGGCTCTTTGGGGAATTTGTTCCTTCTGTTTGGCTGCAGACTGTTAGCGTAAACTTTGAGCCCAAGAATATCTTCTCAATACCTGCTTTGATTATTTGTCTCTTCACCTTGCGATTTGCCCTCTGGGTGATATGTTGGGCACGATTCGCCTCCCTCTGCTCTTCTGGTGTCTTCTTAGGCCATTTTCTCTTTCCCTGACTATTCGCAGTAGCATTGTTACTGGAAGCGCCTCCAAAGTTATTATCAGCCATGTTTTTGATGCTTTTGAGAATATTCTGATGGGATGTGAGAAAAGGAGTAATGGTTGCAGGAACAAAGACCGTCCGAGCTGGATCATTTTCTTATCAGAGGGGAAGTGTTGACCCCGCAACCCTGCACAACCCGAAAGTGAATGTGTATTCATTGAGATAACAGTAATCCGGATTTGCCTCCTCGCCACCCTCGCTTGGCAGTCAGAGCTGGAACAGCAGCGACAGCAAGTTCAAGGGAAAACGTTAATCTGACTCGAAATTTAGTGTGCCAAGATAAGCGGAACAGCTGCCAAAGAGAAGAGTTGGAAAACTGCATAAATTCTATACCTCTAATTTAGAAATCTTGCATTCAATAAAGAGTCTTGTAAAATATGCTACGATCTTATTGTATGTACAATTATTGCGACAGCAAAACTTCATTCTCTAGGGGAGACAACCTATAAGGGCCTTGAGAGTAGGGGGCCCTATTCCCTTAAGAGCCTCCTTGCCCGGGTACCTAAGCGTAGAAGCGGTAGCTGTTCCGCTTATCTTGGCACACTAAATTTCGAGTCGAGTCAGAATAACGGCTTCCAGTCCAAGAGCAGGCTGTCGTTTCTGGATGCAGAATTTTGAGATCGTAATTGGAAGGGCTGCTCAGAAGGCAGAAGTATCAGGGGATAGATTACAATGTCTTTGACGTGAGAAAAAAACCCTGCAAAAAAGCGTGCAAAATCAATGTTGCGACGACTCGAACTACCGCGAAAAAAATGAATGCTTCGAAGCTATCGTCTCCCGGAATTTTTTCAGTGTCTCCATTTCTAGATGTTACAGATCCTTTAGGGATGTTAGGTGCTTGCATTGACAAAAACATTAATATTTCAATATATATACCTTTTGAACAAAGATCACGGCCCATCACACGCCTACTACCTGAGCCTACCTTAATGTGTTTTCATGCACCTTAAATCAATCCTTTGCAGAATGCCCTGGATAAGTGTCATTTCAATCCTCATGGGTGCTCCATAAGCCCTCCAAGAGTCTGTGCTGAGTCTGCTACGCGACCTCAAGGCTGGGAATTCGCAGTCCAAACCATTGCGAAAGGAGGTCCCTGTCAAAGGAAGCGCTCGACTCCTGCTGTTCAATGGAGCAACGAATTTGTTCTACGTCAAGGCAATCGGAGATGTGTTTATGGTGTCCTACCCTACCTCTTGCCTGCCCGACCTGTGATCCTTCCCCCATCAACGACAGCTACTGTATATTCTGTCCATCGTTGTATCCTGGTCTCAACCATTGATTGCGTGTGCGCCCTACTTTCTCAGTGAATCCGCTCACTTCGGCATAAGCCGGTAGCACTGAGGGTTTCCGCCCCCGATTGCCACTTTGGATCACGACGCTTCGGGGCAGCAACCACATGATCCAGAACGAAATGCACGCCACCTACCATCTTTCTTTCCCAATATCCTCTTGGTCTTTCTGTGTCATCATATCACTCTCTATCTTATCCTCAACACTCTCCAAATATCCCACCATCTTCGAAAGTCCAAGATGGCAGCTCGTCATCGCAAAATACCCCTCACAGAGGCGCAAATTGAGCATAAGAAAGCCAAGTTGAAGCAGCGCAACGACGCCAGACGTCCTCTACAGCATGAGAATAGGCGAATTTTCAGACAGGGGAAAGGTCAGGGACTCCCTCACAGATACCTCGCATTGTAGCAAAGTTTGACTGACGCGTCGCAGCCATCGCGCGGGAATTGAAAGATCTGATCCATGAGATGACGGAGGGTGAAGGGAAGAACTTGTTGCAGGACAAACTTGCGCATATAGTCAGTGGGACGAAGGATACAGAAGTTAGGAGGGCGAAATTGCTAGCGATGCTGAAAGAGTTGGGAGGGACTGCTAAGACCGCGGGAAAGGATGGTGCAAGTGCTGGTAAGTAAGGTGTCTCCAGACTTGCATATACTTTTACTGATGACCTGCTAGGAAGGGACAAAAATACTGAAATGCGTGATACAACTGAGCGAAAGGAGCAGCGGGCGACTGTCTGTGCTACCATTGAGAGGACAAATGATCAAGAGGAGAAGCTGCCAGTCATTTGTGCCACCATCGAGAACGACGACTCAATGATCAAACAAGACCAAGAAAACGCAGGAGAGACCAAACAGCGTGAGGCAGAAGACGTGGACCTGAATACTGGGATCTACACTTGCGACTGGTGCTTTTGAGCGCGGTAGAGGCAGGGAAGACCTAATCGCCAGCTATGTAGAGTAGAGACATCTTCATCATGATGATACAGCCATAATATCTCTGCATCAAGTCACCATGCACCATTTCTCCCCATTTCGTTTTCACATGCGGGCCGATTCTAGCTTGTCAGGACGACTCGTCCGTCTCATTTCGCGCTGACGATGACCTATGAGCACTACTGAGACCGATGTAAAGAGGACAATGGTAAGAAGCAAATACTCCATCGATTCGTCTCGTCAACATTAACATTCTCTCTTCATGTATCTTACAGGTTGTGAAAATGACTCCACATTTCTTCTTCTCGGTGAATCCTGTTATCTTCCACTGGACTCAATGCCCCAACTTGGCATGCAACACTTCGAAAAAGGGAACACATAAGACTGAGGCCGAGATTTTGCCGCCACCTGGTATCAGAAATTCAGTCACCGACGCAATAAATCCCTTCCTCCTACACTTCACGGTCAGCCTCAATGAAGTCCCCACACGCCACCGCATGCTGCTTCTCAAACATTCTACAACCCCATTCCCATTCCCCAACAGAGATAGTATCAAACAGAGCAATGAAACACCGCAACAAGACTCTCACGGTTACTCAAATCGCCACCAACAAAAAAAGAGCAGCACAGAAAGAAAAGAATGACGCCATTGAGGCAAGATTGAAAAGTATGAGAACACACCATGACTCATCTCCAAGGTCGGCTTCCCGGGTGACCGCAGTAGACTCGAAGAACCGATTTTCTCTCCCCAGCCTCCAGCAAGCGCAGAAAGAGCCGCCCTCTAAGAATCAACTTCAATCTGCCTGGCAAATACGTCAAAGTGAGCCCACGATGTCTCTAGATCCAGAGATTGGATTTCACGCCTCACGATACGCATTCAATGAGAGGGCGTCACGAAGCGTCTCTGATGATCACTTCACACCGGGACCTAAGATCATAGCATCTATTGAGCACGTTTCTACATATGACGAGACAAGAAATCAGTACTGCAATTGTGTCCACGGGGATGACTTAGGCTGACCTGTGAAGCGATAGACTTGGTGAGTGACGGAGAAGGGGACAACGTCTCGAGATATTGTCAAAAACGACGAGGACGAAAAAGAGAGGAAAAAATTCATGGAAATTGACGGGGAGGGGCAGGAGATGGTGCAGTTTCTGGGGCGAAACAAAAGCCAGTGATACGAGACAATGGCGCTGATGGAAGCCACGCGGAGGAAAGGCGAGGGATTTGCGCTCAGTTTGAGGGAGGGATGCAAAATGTACGTTTGAGGGGCGTTATTGACCCTCATGCAAGTCTAAAGGTACTACACCACAAGCAATGAATATTCAATCTGATGGTTGACCTGGTATTTGAGCTTTCACAAGGCGTGTATCTTTGGCGCCCTGACCCGCCACACTTCGATTTTTTAGTCACGCTTCCTTTCTATTCACGTCTGCGATCTCGTGTATACTGCATTCATATTTGAGCACTTGCTTATCTGAAACACGACATCTGTGTGAAGAAGGCTCACTTCAAGGTGTCGTTACATATTGTCGGCCTTCCAAAGGATATTATTCGGTCCGAGATGTCTACTATCTAGCCGCTGCAGTCGACACATAGGTCTTTTCTTGTGTAGCTGTGTATCTGCCAAATTTGCTCTGGAAGCTCTGCTAATGCTAGTGACGTTCGAGTCCCGTGATGATCTTGAGACATAGGCTTGAGTGTCTTACAATTCACGTGAAGTGGCGAGGTCACTCTAAGCTCAGACATGCACGAACCTTCGTGAGACATCGAGCGTGTGAAGACGGACTTAGGCCCACATTATGCGTGTGAAGACGGCTCGTGGTCAGGCGGTCTTGTGTGTGTAAACAGCTCACGGGTATATAATTAGCTCAGCCCACCGCCTTCTCCTTCCTTCCTTTTCCCTCAACCCCTTATATAAATATATATATTACACCTTCGGTGGGTCCAAGGTATCGCAGAAGGTACCGAGAGAATGTTCCTTGACCTCAACTCTCGAATCTGGCAGCCTACAGCTACAGCATGGAATGGAGGCGAGGTTCCTGCGACATGTGGAGGATCAAGCAACGGTACGTAAAATTGCTGTAGTTCATTCCCAAGTCTTCCATCACGACATCAGTTCATGCAAACACCATATTTTGAGACCAACGCTGACTGAAGGAGGAACCTATAGCCAACCAAGCTCCGTTACCATCTCCCCGTCGGTATGACACGTACAAGCCAGACTACTCCCTCCAGAGGGATGATACCTACACACAAGATCAGCGCCCCCAGAATTACAACGGCGACACCCCCGAATGCCCCCGACAACCATACATGAACGCACGGCGCAGTTCCCCTACCACGTCACTCGACTCGGCAGCTGCCCAGCACGCTATCCGCTTTCCACCCGACGATGAATCCGAAAATGACATCTCCGAGCACTACTTGACACCGTAACCAATGCAGTCCGCTTGTGGAGAAGGCAGTGATGGCCAGAGTGCTCCACAAGGTTCGTACAGAGATTCTTCTCGTTGGCGTGACAGAGGCTAATGGAAGAAGCCGTCAAAACCGGATTGGACGTCATTGAGCTGAGCAGTGACGAAGAAGAGGGGGAAGAGCAGAGGGTGGTGTTGATAACTTCTTTGACTTTCCTTTCCTTTCTGCTTCCATAACCCTTACATAAATAGATATATTACGCCTGCAACGTATCCAATATGACACTCTACTAGACACAGCTATCACTCAGGAAAAAAATGCGTTGGCAGTGTCCTAGACACGAACGCTACATAGACGAGACATGACAAAAAGACCGCGAAGAACAAGGAACGACGCATCTGCGGCATGCACGAAGCCTCTCCAGCCACGCCCGTCGCAGATCCTCCCCTGACAATTCCATTCGACCGTCTGGAGAAGACGCTGAGCCCTTCGCCTCCTTCATTCCGACATTCGAGAATGCAAGGAACTAGTGGTGCGACGCCGATGCCGTCTATGACTCATGAACCTTTCCGTCAACAAACTCCAGGTCCTCTTTCCCTATGGCCCTCCATCGCAAGACGATCTTACAACATCAATCGACACAATCGATCTTACAAGCGAAAAAAAGGAGCTCGAAGGCAATGCTGTGATCAACCTACTTCGCGATGCCGAAGAAGCTGAGGAAGCTAGAGGGGCGGATGCTATGGAGTTGTGAGCCAAAGCTGGTCGTGGAGAATATCGAGAAGGTGGGACGGTTTATGATGAGACTACGAGGACTCGACATTGGCTTTCGTTTGGTGAGAGGACGATATCTTGTATTGCTACACCGACCACGGTCACGCCAGGAACGCTACCGACCATTGCTCCACCGAACTCTTCATCGGTCATCAACATTAATAGACAATACTGAAATTTTGCCCCTAGCGAGCTTCATGGATTGACGTGGTGAAGTATTGGGACATCGTTTTCAAACAAATGCGTCACGTGCCTACTCTTCTCCCTCATGTTGTGTGCATCTTTAGGAACTACAGTCGCGTGGAAACACCTCACACTTAGCCATCATTGCCGTGTAAGAGGTTTGCATGCTATATGACGGATGTGAAATGCTTCATGTTTACTCAATTACACTGGCATAAGACGTGGCGATTGAGACTCCACACTCGAAATATGCCATTCTATTTCACTCCTCAAAGATCGATGACGGGCTGGGGTGTTGATACCATACTAAAGTGTGAAGGCAAAACACGAGTGTGAAGGCTGAGACACAGCCCAATATTCACCGTGTCTCATTTCGGAGACATTCAACATTCAAGTGTGATACACAAAGTTGTGAACATAGGAACTTCACACGCACAGCATGTCTCTAATTGCCACTTTCTATGAGACATCCTTCCTCATGAATGATGAACACACCTCTCACGTTTGCCTCTGGCTGTCTATATAAGGCCTCAAGTCCCCCGTCCTTTCTTTCGTTCCTCATCTACCCTCGACCTTCGGGTACGAGTATATATATACCGCAACTTTATGACGACATTCTCGTCTTTTGTTCTAAATATATATACTCACAGCCTACCCCAATCTACTCTTCTCTCTTCTCGGTCGAGCCCCGAAAGGTCACTCTATAATACCAACTTGGTACGTGACGAAGCTCGAGGAGGATGGGCCAGGGGCATGTGGAACTTCGTCAGAGAGACGTCTCATGAAGCGGGCTGTGTCGAGGACTCAATTGTTGCACAGCCTCTCTATCGATCACTTGCAACCACAGGAGTTACTTCGCTCAACGTGCAAATCGAACATAGGAGAGAGGGCAACGACGAGACGGAAATGCTATGCTCCTCTCAACTCGTGCTTACAACATCTCAAAGCTCCTAGCGGCACCAGACGCAGCAAGAAAAAGACATCACTCTTGAGCGAAAACGTGTTGATTATGCTCCTTCCACTCTTGCAACTCGGACAATGGTCGTAACCTCGGGTTGCTCGCGTCGAGGCAGTGAACTTAGCCAGATATAATCAGGTCATCTATTCACTGGCAGCGTACGTGCACTCGCACTTACGACCTTAAGTCGCACCTGTATGAGTCCGATACCGGTGAAGATGGGTCTTAAAGAGATCGAAACGGCTGACATGGAATAATTGCCAGAGCTCTTCAACCGAACTACCCTGGAGTTTGCCCTGCCCGAGAGAGCCCTTGATTTTCGCAGCAGCAAGGAATGATATGCTAGGTCATCACGTTTGACATGGCGAGGTTTCAGGAGTTGTTGAGCGCCAAAATGACCTGTCTTCGCTGAATTGCTTGGATCATGAGTAAGAATGATGCCATGACTAAAGCTTTGAAATTGCTGCCTGAATGCTCTATGATCAACATCAGGGAAGAAGCCATCAAACAGAGCTGCGGAGTCTCGATCACAGTCCTTGGGAGAAAGCGTACAAATCGGGCTTACTCGAGAACAGCGACAGCTTGAAGGCATTAGACAACTCGATGTACGAGCTCTTGCTCTCTGGCGTGAAACTTGGGATGACGACGATCCCAATCAATGTCTCGCTGCGACGTCAAGAAAGCCATGGACTCGAAGAACCAAAACAAAGGCTGGTACTAAAACCGCACATGCCTGGGTTGCCTTGTTTTGGAGAAGGGTCAGAAGGGCTGTCAGAGTTGTGCAATATAGTGTCGTACAATGGCAATATCATCAACGCACCAGAGACTCGCTTGCTCAATCGTCCGATCTCTAGAGAAGTAATAAAGTTCTTTACGGAGACTTATAATTAAAAGACCAACACATCTTATGTGTTCCTGAATATCGACAAGGGCGTAACGATTGTTAGTGAGTCAAAGAGTCGATATAATCTCGAGAGCATCGCTGTCTGTCTAAATCACATCAAGCAAGTCGTACAGAAAACCTCGATGACGCTTAAAGACCTCACAATTATAGCTCCTTTCAAAGAACAGTTGCGAAAATACCACGTGGTGCTATACGACTGATATCGCAAAGATGCTTTCTGGAAAACGCAAGACATTACTGAGCTCGGAGTCAAGACGACTGACACATCTCAAGGTGACGAGTCTAAGGACCATCATTCTATCAACAGCTTATGAAGAAACTGGGAGTCTGACGAGGGCGAGCCCCCAGAGATCATGACAGAACCCTCTGATCACAGCAATAGACTCGCCGCTATGTGAAAGCCATTCCACAAAGCGCAAACAAAGTTCGCGTCCAAGTACACGGCAGCCGATCAAAGATAAGACCACACCCGAAGCTGAGAGTAAGGATCTCAAGAGCAGAGATCCTATGGGAGAAGAGTAAGGCCGAAGCGCAATTTGAAGTCATCCACGCTTTGCAAGAGGTAAAGTAAAAGCTTGGGGATGCCAAAAAGGCGACGGACTTCCGGTCAGATTCTCAAGCAGCAAGGGCATTCCGTTCCAGAAAACACATAGAAGAGCATCCTGAGAACACGACGAGTGACGTTTTCGGCGACTGATTCGAGAGACTTTGTTCCAGCATAGAAGAATAGAAGCAAGAGCAGAGCCGTTTGCCTATTACGAGGCTCGGATGAATCAAGTTCAGCATCTGGAACACCCAAACAGCCCGTCAAACAAAGAGAGACGACAAGCAATTGTGTCTCTCCAGCGCCGGCGGAACGCCACACAGACTCGCCCCCACCGGCAACATGGGCTTGCGAAATCGGAATCATCCAATACCGCAACGAGGCGCGATGACTTGATCGATCGAGACGCCGTTGTTCCCGGCTCATTTTCTTTGGCATCCTTACCATGGAGTCTCTGGTGGGCATGATGATCATTTGCTGTTCCACATTCGACGATTGGCTTGACGTGACAGTGAACCGCTATGAGGAAGACAAGCTTTGGATAACCGACCCAGGTCAAGTCTCAAACACTGAAGTCAAGCCGAAGCCATCAGTCGGAAATGGATCTCAGGAGTTCAAACAGGCTTTGTGCCTCAAGCCATGGCTCTTGACCTTCCTACCATTTTAGGGTCTCTTCGAGAATAAGCTGGAAATCATATTACCACGTGGTTGCCTAGGTGCTTGGAAACCGCAAGCCTTTTTTACTCACGGCTATTGCGCTAAAAGAGTCTCTACTCTCTTGGTCTCGATCGCGGCCATTTTAAATATATATAATACACGACTCGCCTGACGAGTTCTAAGCTCGGCGACGACGGCTTCTAGTCGGAGTCAACAAATGAATCTCTTGCCCGCCGAAGACTTCGATTGGGCTGAATCTGATGAACGCCAAAGGTACTTCACAGATGGCTTGTATCACAATGTCGGACGGTTTTGAGCAAGCCATGAGGGCTAGGAGGGCTCTCGAAAGCAAATGCAACAGAAAGAAGCGCGACAACGATCGGCTTCATAAAAAGCAACGACCGATGCGAAAGGTCGAGCGGAAGGAGAAAAAAAAACGTACCAGTCTCTTTACTTTATCCTCAATTCTTGTCTTGAAATTCGGTAGTAAGAACACAAGACAAGGCTAGCCTAGGGTCAAGCACAACGACATCCTACCGAAGGGATGACAAACGCTACCTTTATGTTTCCTCGGCCCATGCCATTGGTCGGCTTTCAAACATCAGTGAGCTTAACTGTTCAGATCTAGATGCTAATTGAACATCTTGTTTGGTCTGGCAGCAGTGGTCGCTCACTAGTCTCAGGTACGGCAGACAAACAGACCGTCGAACGGTGCTCTATAAATATATATACGTTGGCAGAGAGAAAGGAAGGGAAGAAAAGGCGAAACAATGCCAAACTTCGAGAATCCCAGAACTCGAAACGACAGCAGGCACGGCAAATGAAAGGTACCAAGTAACACCTTCTGCAGAGCCTAGTACCTATAATTTTCCGGCAGAGGGTCAACAGACGCAAGATTCCAGTGTTTCGATGAGCATAAGCTCTGACTCCAGGTCCCCACAATATCAAGGTTTGTCGACATGATAACATTCGTCAAAGGGTTCTAGCGTTGACTACGGAGTACCGCTCTTAGACAACGGAAGCGTGGACTCGATGCTCTGGACGGATTGAAGGATCTTTTTGAGGACTTTCTCGAGCCTGCAGAAAGGGTGCCCTAGTCGTGGCTGGTGTCTACGAGGGACATGGTCCACCTCTTGGGGGTGCTGTCTCGACGACTATAAAGCATCTATCTCCCGTACTCGCAGGTTGAACGTAGACTGAGAAGCTTCCATAGTTGAATCCTCGACGACCTACCACTATCGTTCCTGAATTTGAACACAGCCCTGGGGTGTGTAGGGAGGAGCTCCACGGAGAACGACCGGCTAGGGAAAGTGGCCATGGAGATCAGGTTGGAGGTTTACGACCAAGTGATGTCCACCGAGGGGCGCAGTACCGCTATGAGGTTGGATATACAGCGGTATGGCAAAATACGCCAGTCGTTGGGCCTCCTGGCGACGAGCAAAACCATCTAGGGATTCGCCAGAAATACCCTCCATCCCTGTTGTCCCGATCACAGCCTCAACAGAGACCAGCCGCTCCACGCTGAGTGCAACTACCTTCTCCCAGAACGAGCCCAACTGTTACTTCGTCTGCGGTGGGACTGGATGCAACGGCCGGCTATAATCTTCTCCCTGGGCGCGATAGGAGTTCCCTGGATCGTTGTGACCATTCAAATCGACGCCGTCGAGAAGTGAGACGATCTTCCGGCCGTGCCCATTACGATCATCGAGAACGACAAGCGCTGGGCCGCTCTGGCGCCGCCGTTGGGGGGATGATTGATGCATAGGCCTCGACGAGGAATTTGATATCCATCTATATCAATCTGGTCGTATGGGCGTAGTCATCTACGAGCTCCCATTGCTCATCCGTGGCTGAGGCGGGGAACATTTCTCGGTAGCCTCAAGACGCTAAAGTATGTGTCGATCACAATTACTTGGACCGCAGGGCGACAGCCAGCTTCAAAGGCAAAGGGGACCCCTGACGCAGCGCTGCGCATGGCAGGAGACAATTACGGTACCGTCACGGACGATTTTAAAGGGATGTCGAATGGGTTCCTGATTATGCCTGGGAAGGGGTCGATGAGTATCAGCACAAAGTCCCAGAGGAGGCTGTATTCAGGGAAGAGTCTGTTCTGGCCGAGTCATGATGTGCGGACCCTGTGTTGCAGCAGGGCTTCATGAATTCGACTATCTGCATCGGATCCCCGCGAATGGACACAGGGATCTAACGATTCGAATACGGAGATCACAGCATAAATATATATAAACGCTACCCCAGCGACGAAACACTCGCAGCTACGACTACAGACCAAGACAAATCTCAATATCTAGCGGCAACGATGGATCTTACATGGGTGACGAAGAGATGCGAATCACTTCAGTTGCAGACTCACCTGCCTCTGACAATGAGATATGCGCAGCATATCTGAGATCCGAGACCAATGAGGCTGAATTAGGCATACGTGCTTATTGGAATGAAACCACATTTGTCGGATTCAAAATGTCTACCGTGAAAGTCGTTGTGCCCGCTGGTGTTATGGTCGAAATCATCAGAGCCGCTGAGACCCGTGAAGCCAACACTGAAGCAGGACGAAATGAGAATGTCTCGGACATAGAAGAACGATTGCAAAAAGCTTTCGAGCGGGGCGCACTGTGCAGCGGGCGTTGGACGAGACAGAAACCCGGGAGTTGTGGGAGGCTAAAGACGTGAATATGCCCGACAATATCATCTCAGGAGAAGGTCGAAAGCGGCGCAATAAGCCATCTGCACAGCTGACGTTCCGGCTCGGGATGGCTGGGCGCGAGCTTCCAGTGTCTCGATGAGCAATATCTCTGACCCTAGGTCTATGCACTTCCAGGTTTGGTCGACGCAATAATAGTCTTAGAAAGGCTCTAGCGCTGATTGGCTTCCATGGCGCTGGAAATCGGACGGTTTGCCTGATGCTGCAGAGACAGAGCTTGCTGAGGATTGGGTCTACGAACATGTGGCCCATAATTGGAATGGCAAAACCCAAAATAAGGGGCAGTCAGCGGCCCGATACATACAACTACGTATCATTCTCTAGACTTGCTGACGAGGGATTGTGCTGCATCAGAGATAATCTACAACAAACGGGAATGCGTTACACTTAGCGCACATAGACCACACCACTACTCAGGTCCGTCTATTTACCCATACCATACTAGCTCAATTCAGTATGAAATCACCGTATTCATCGAGGGGATGTGACTGAGCACTTTCCTCAGCGGACTACAGACACCTAAATATATATAATTTCCGCTCCCTTGGATTACGATGCCGAATCAGGCACCGAGACTGACCCAGGTGCTACAGTGACACGAGACGATGTTCACGAGCAAGAAACAGACGCTGTTACGCTACAACGAGAGCCCTTCTTCAGTCCCTCGGCGTTAAGCAGACCCCAAGCAGTCTCAGTGCTAGGTTGGCAGCAGTTGGCATTAGTCAGATCCCTGACGGCAGTGATATCGCCTTGGCAGCCGGCAGCCGTGAGCAAAGTCCAAGGACTCTCGATACTACTTTGGCAGCCGTTGGCTCGGAGTAGACCCCAATAGGCTTTCTCACCCAGAAGAGGTGAGGGGCTCGCACGAGTCGAGCATTTATGACTTTTCCAGTGATAGGCAGCAGACAAAAGATACCTTGCAGCTACAAGCGCCTATTCGAGTTTAGGGTCAACGGATCAAGCAGGATGCTTAATCTCGCGTCGTCTTCGGAGCATATCGACCGTGATTACTCTCGCCCGCCAATTCACCCAGAGACTAGGCGCTTTATCGACTCAACGAAACACTTCTAGCTTTCGTACCACTGGAGAGATGCGCAGTTCGACTGCTAAGTTGTCAGACGAAAACCGACAAACCTTGTGACCGGATGGTCTTCAAAGGTTATCAGCGATCAATTGGAGGAATATGGGAAGACAACAAATATTTGATAGGATGTGGGAATTAATTGCTGCTTCGAAATGCAGACACATCCCGGGGAATATAGAAAGCGTTAACAGATTCCCTTCTGTGTGACCATAGGAGTCGCAAGGATTTGGGGTGACAGAGCCTTAGGCCAGAACCGCTCTAACAAAGCGTCAGTAGCAATAGCGATCAAAGATGAGGGGGCAATTGTTACATGGTAGCGTATAGATATCCCCTTTGATGGAACCTATTTCCGGACAATACAATAACAGTATGATCCACAGATGACACAGTTTTTTCTTTTTTTGGAAGCTTTTTTCGCTTTGCGACAGGGTTGCCCGTCACATTTGATAGCAACACCTGGTTTCGTACACAATCCCAGTCATGTCTCTTATAAAAGCCGCCATTTCTGATTTTCATCAGAAGAGAAGCAACAACGATCTCCATCCTTGAGACCAAAGCTCGATTAGAAGAATCTAGTTGAAATCACCGACTTAAAGGGTGAAGGGGAGGAGTCCGGCGACGGTGTCGCGAAGGCCATTGACCTCTGACGTAGGGCAGAGGTGGCAGGTGATGTGCGATAATCGTATTGGAAATGTCGAGGATTGAATGATGTTCCTTGCGCCTTGTGAAAAGACTGGATGATGGAACAATGAATCTGTGGCGGAATGCGGGAAACAAAATTGCGCATCAAATCAAGACAGAGCGTTGCGCGATTCATGTATTGCGATTCAAGACACAGAGAAAATTCAATGGATGTTGAATTATGAATAGGCCTGTGCATTTGATCATTTGTCAGTGTCTGCAAACGATCGCGTTGATTTTTGTTGAGATGGTTGGTTGTGGATTTCATTGTTCACACCATGAATGATGACCATTGTTAGGACTTTAATTGAATGATGAAGATGCGTATACACAAATTAGACAAATTGTTTCCAACAAATTCACTAAATACTCACAAGTCGCAGATGCAATAAAGGATGACTTTGCGAAACAAGAGCGAGTGGCAGGGTGCGCGCGGGCGACGGCTTCGTTGTGCTAACAATTTGAATTCAAAGGTATATGTTTATGAATATGAAAGAAATTTCCTGCAATTGGAGAATGCGTGCGTCCTAACCTGAAGTCGAGGGCCCTTAAATGTCGACTGATAAGATGAGAGAGTGCATTCTTTGGAGGTGTTGACCAGACTTGCTTGGTACCCCAGACCATCTCCCTAGCGGTAGAGGTAGAACACCAGAATTTTTTGGCGTGGGTTCAAATCTCAGCACAAACGGGACAATGGCTTTTTTTCCCGTCTTTTTTCTAATATTTGCTTTTCGGGTGTCATGCAGGCTGGACTGAAAGGTGTTGGTTCGGACTTCCCGACCACCCCTTGCGATAGGCTCGTTTTCCTGTATTACACTTCCCCAAAGTCATTGCCCACTAATATTGGGCCGTTGGAGGCTGGTCATTGGGGGATAACACTTTGTTCAGGCAGCGTCGACACACTCACCTTTGGAGGGGAAGCCAATCAAATCCGGCGTGTCAAGGTCATGGCTGGGAGCTTGCCGGCAGAAAGTTTCTCTCCTAACACTTTCTCCTTTTGATACCCAGCATTCTCATTTGACTTTGTCTCCTTTTGACATCCAGCATTCTCTCTTGACTTTGTAATACTTTAGTCGATCTTGTGAAAATGTTAGACGGATGGGATGCAGCTGTTCGGGCTAGGAGAGCCGAACAGAATAAGAAGGATAGAAAGAAGAGAAAAAACGCAAAACTACATAAAGTCCAACGGGCAGAGAGGAAATATGAGAGACAAGCTATGAAGCTCGGTATTTTGCCCTACTTTTTCCGTCCTACCTTGCTTACAGTTGGTAGCCAAGAAAAGAGCTCGTGTTGATGGGCGCCGAGAGGAGGCGATGGGCTCACACGAGTCGAGCATTTACGACTTTCCCGGCGAGGGGCAGCAGACCCGTGAGACCAGTCCGTCCAGTGAGCCGAGTGTAGCAGGGGATCAAGGTGAGTCGGCACAGCGAATATGTTCTGACGTTGAATGCTGACAGTACGTGGCAGACTCGCCTTCGCCCGGGTATAACGATGGAAACGGAGAACAAGAGTCCGAGACAGGAGACACTGAAATCGCCTCGCCTTGGGTATATGCGCAACTGACCCAAAACTATATGGCAGAGCCAGGTTCGGGCACAGCCAGTGGCCCGATTCATACCAACACGTACCACTCACTGGACATGCTGACCAGCGGATTCGTCCCCAGCCCAAGCCTCCATCTCAATTCACCACAAATTCCAGCAGGGAGCAGTTCAAACCCACCGCCTCCGGACCACGACTACTCTCGCCCGCCGGTTTACCCAGAGACCTGGGGTTTGACGAACCACTCTGACCAAAGCACTTATGGCTTTGGTGTCGCTAATACGGCTCCTGCCCAAAGGACTAGACCACTTTATGGTCATGCAGTAATGGAATCCAGTATCTACCAGAGATCTGGGATGGCTTTCCCACCGGACTCGAACAGGCAGAACGAATATGAGCGGTTCAGATCGTCGACAGAGGTCGTCGACTTAACCGGCGACTCGGGGGACGACGAGCAAGGTGGGGTTCCTCTGGAGAGACGATCTTCTTGAGAAGACTACAGTGGTATAATGCGCGAATGATGATGGCTGCTGGAATTCCTCTAGCCAGTATGCACGGCAATTTGGCAATAAGTCATTTGGACAGGACGCCTCAAATGTCCTACCAGAACGAACGCGAGACCATGATTGCCAACACCATCCAACTTGAAAGATTTGCATCCATTTGCCAATTGCATTTTACTTATCTTCAGCGTGTGACACCATAATCGATTGCCTCCGATGCCTGACTTGGTCTCCTTAGCCTACCACGAACCTTTGATCACAAACGTCCCCATTCTATCGTCATCTCTACTCTTCGCCAACATCATCAACGATTTCAGCAATCTGGTCCTCTCAAGCGACTGCAAGTGCCGACTCATTCCCAGCTTTCGATGGACTGCCTGCCGTCCCATGCCAGGTCTATTGTAACGTGATGTGATGCAATTGGTCAGCTTTTCGCTTGCAGCGCCGCTCCCCACACTTTTCGATTGATAACATTCCTGTCGAGTCAGTTCATTGTACCTGGTGTCAACCATGGGGCGAAGGCCCCAATTCTGCGGGCCGTCTCGAGACTAGATCAGCCAAGATCATGAGAGTCGAGCTTAGGAGGCAATCGAAACAGAGACCATGGGCGTTCAGCCTTCAGTCCTCACCACTAAATCCCGCAAGCCAACATGTCCCAGCTCATAGAATTCGGCATAATTCGCACAGATCATGGCTCTAATGCAGTCACGTGCTCTGTGGGAGGCGAAGCCAGCCCAAGCATGACATTTGTACCAACCTGCCAAGCAATCGAAACACGACTAATGTGGGATGCTGGAGGGCTTAGAAATGGCACGCAACTCAGAAGATTGGCACACGACATCAATGATACATCTCAGCCTTGGTCTGGCCGGATGAAGCATCTGAAGGAGGCCCAGTAACGACCCTAGCCCCCAAGTGCGCCACAAGTCCCGAAGACTAGACAACACCACTACAAGGTCAAGAGAGGCTCCTGGTGGTCAATTGAGGCTCTTCTATCGTTGTGTAGATGCGGCGCTTAGCCCCTTTCTGCAAAATTTGATTCTGTGGGGAAGAACGTGCTGTGCCTCGAATCGCAACACTCAGGGCGTTTCACATCGGCTCTCAAGCTAGTACACCATGCGATGCGCGATTGTTGCCCGAATAGGCCTAGAGTCTCTGAAAAGCTAGAACGTAACGTCATTCACACCAATCTGAAGACACAGGCTCATCAACACTCGACATGTCTCACTGCTGAGCACCGAGCTGCATGGCCTGTCTACTGAAGGATGCACTTGCCATGATAGCTAGTGTAACGAGTTCCTATCTCGAGCCGTCACAATTCGATGGACAGCATCGCCACAAAGGCCTCTATTTCTTCGCCTCGACCTCGGCGGCTCTCTATCTGTGCCATAAATGGAGCTTACCCGCTCGGGCCCGGATGACTCTATGCAGCCAAGGTCTCAGCCTCTCAGCGATGGAACCTAGTCCAGTCTCAGCATATGGTCCTTACAACGCTTTTTTGACCTTAACCGGACCTGCTAACAATGTCTGGATAGTGATGATCGCCTTAACTTGACGTGGATCAGATAGCTCTGAGAGATAATTTAAGCGACTTCAGCCACTACATGTATGATTGCTGCTAAGACTAATGACGAATGTGATGGCCTCACTTGGTTTCTTATTACCTAGGCGACCTCAAAGGCAACACCCTGGCTTGGCGTTTGGGAAGTTGTGTTGCTACACTAAGGTAGCAGACACCGGAAACTGCAAATGACTCAAAAATGCTGGGCAAGATGGCACAGGATGTCTCCTTAAATCACCAACAATGTGTGGATTTGACGAAACAAAAGCCCATAAAACTCGCGCATCCATTCCGGCATGCCTATCTTACAGTTTCGCTTGACGAACTCACCGGATTTTACCAACTGGATGACTAGCGCTAATGGGGTACCATACGCATGGACTTGGGGCTAGATCCGTGATACTATGCCTAGCGGTCAGATACTCCAAAGGCGAATGTGATGCTCAAAACGAAAATGGTTGCTTGCTTTGAAGCCAGCCTCCTGACTTGGACTATTGTTATATCGCCAACGGTATTGAGTTTCAAGTCGAACTCGGATGATATACAAATTCCAACGAGATGAGAGTGGTTGGTATAATGGTCTCTCATTCAAGGACCACTTATCTAAGGGTTCAATCCCTGTATTCTATCAATTCCCAACTACCATCAGCACCCTATCCTGACCATCCGTAGTTGTCATTGGCACAATAACTCGAAATGTTGCGTCTTTCGAAATGTCTGCCCCTTTTGGGCGCCTTGAGTAAATACTGCACCTTTAGACCCACTTGTTGACTGCCATAGCTAACAGTAAGATAGTATCTGTTGTCATTTCAAATCCAGTACCCCAGGATCAACCGGAGTCAAGCAGTTCCGCAAGTTCAACGGTGGCAACCTCAGAAGCAACAGAAAGCTCGAGCTCGACTTCAAAGAAGACTGTTGCTGATACAGTTGGCCAAACGATCACCGTCGCTGGTAAATCTTTGAAAGTTGCAACTGTCGCGGAACCGGATCTTGATCAAAACATGGTTGATGACATCTGTGGTACTCCGAACGGCGACTACGTGGGGAGTGATACAAGAACACAAGCAGCATGGAAGAGTTACGGGATTGGTGATTGGTTCTTGAACATGACCACGACGAACTATGAAAACAATTGGAAGAGAACTGACGGGACGCCGTTTCCCACTATCCAATCGTTGCTTCTACATATGACGGGTAACAATGGCAATGACCCCTGCTATGATCTTGAAGCCCCGCAGTGTTCGGGTAGCAACCTCCCTTTCGCGCTTTGCACATCGCACCCTAAGGCAGGCTTTGCCTGGTACGGTCTAGCTCATTGGGCAGAGTTCCTTTCTTTGGTTCACACCAGATTTGGCAACAACGTTGAGAGTATCGGGTTCAGGACAAGCGAGTTTGTGACCAGATTTTACACTCCCGTAGAAGATCCTACCACACTGCTCATCCCATTGTCCGTTGTGAATGGAATTGTTGGGGGTATATCCGGATTCTGGGGTCCTTTGGCAATCGTGGGAGGTCTTGGTACCATCGGGACTGGTATGATCACTCAGGCTGGACTTGACAAGGCAGACCCCACCAAGCTTTGGGGTGATGTTCAAACAGCTGTTGGTGACGCGTATGATGCCGTCCGCGATGTGCTACGAACTTGGTACAAGGCGACAGTCTACAGTCCCCTACCGGCATATCCTCCTCCCGACGGCCAAGAAAGATACGACAAGAACACGACGCTGCTTCCCCAGATACTGTTAGACGGCAATTTTGCATTCATCCCAGCTCTCAATGACGACACGGACACGGCCCTCAAAGCATCTCTCGCCGCAGTCGTGGTGAATACTCTCTGGATCCAAGACCGCGTCATCATCATCAAGATCTCGCAGAATGCCTACGGCGACCCAAACAAATACAAAGTATGCAGCGACTTACCCACGGACATCATATATTGCGACAAAAGCAATCCTTCCAACTGGGTAGCGCACCTTCTCGTACGATGGCAAATGGACGGCGGCGACGAGATCTCGCACAGCAGATTCAGCACCGCAAACTGGAACGTGTGGGGCGCCTACGCGATCGGCGAAGCAACGAAAACCCAAGGCAGCAAGAACGTCAAGACCAAGAACAAAAACTGGCTGACCGAATACGGCCTCGACAAAGACCTCCTGATCAAAGTCTCCGTCAAAACGCACGAGACGTACGGGTTCCTCTACCAAGACCAAAACGGCGCGCTCTTGAGGCAGATTCAGAAAGATCCGACGAAATTGAGCCAGGAGGATATTATCTTCGCGAATCTTCCTGTTTGTGATATTGATGCGACGATTGGGCCGGGCATGCATCTCAATAATGCGTACGATAAGAGTGGGGATAGTCCCATTGTCTTTTGGGGGGCTTGCACGTGCGTGCAAGGGAAAGATAAGAATGGGACGCCTTGGCCGACGGGGACGGATGATGAGGGGAATGATTTGTATCCGGATTCTCCGAATGGGTGGCTCGCCTCGGAGTGTAGGGAGAAGGGGTGGGCGAAGAATAAGTAGTGGGGGGGGGATGGTTTATGTTGGGATGAAGGCATGGGGGTAGGTAAATCAGACCATCAATGTCAATGCAGACAGTAAATCTGACTCTTGTACAAATAAATGTGGCTCTAGCTTAACGCTTACCTCGATCCACGGAGTCTCCAGCTGTAGCTGTCGCCAATGAAGCCGCTCTCTCAAACATCAAATCCACAGAGCGCCTTTTGCCTACTACCAACATCCAAAGACAGCCCCTAATCCCAAGAATTCAAACAGAGGCAGTCTCACGCAGCCTTACAATCTCGTCTGGATAGCTGCGAGATAGGACGCCATTACCAAGCGAAGACGTAATTAGGAGCCCCAAACTCCCCAAGACCCTTCATCTCGCGAATCCACTATTCCCCTCCCCGCGTCCACATTCGTACCGACTCTCACCTAATCATGACAAAAAGCTACGTCTGTGATCTCCGAAACAGATCGTACGGAGTCAATTGCAGCTATACGCTCTAAACCCCCTTTGCATAACTATCAGTTGCAAAATGCCCGAATTCAGCACCAGCACCCGCGGCGACGTAAAGTTCTGAATCGCTGCCAGAAGAGTCTAGCTATCACGGAGCAAGCTTGCGTTCGTACTGCTAGGTGGCGCATGGAGTGCGATGGCGACTGATATGTTTTCCTCCGCTTTCTCTGTCGTGCAGTTAGAGTAGGAAGGTAATCAATATCCTAGGGGGCGGGGTGAAGGGGGGAAATACCAGCAGACAAAACATCTTTCAAATCCTGCTCTATCACGAAGTAGTCAAGATAGACCAAAGCGTTCTCGATAGCCGGGATTGATGCCAGTTTTTCAAGGTCCCAAGGTGTGTAATACACTAGCCATGTAAACTCGTCGACGCGTTGCATAATCGCTGCATTTTTGTCTTCCAGAATTGCAAGCGTTTCATTGTCTATCTCATCTTTCAGCTCCACGAGAATATAGTTGGTTTGGAATGCGTGGTGAGGTATATAGAGGTGCCCAGGATTTTGAGGATCGAGGATATTTCCTTCGATGTTGATGATTCCCATGGTAATCTGAGGATGACGATGTTAAGAGGATTCTGGATGTTGTACGGGAAAATGCTGATGCGAACTTCAATATATTGCTTAGGAAAGAACGAGGGATTGATCAGAATACTTTCCAGTCGAGTGTGCGTTGTGAGTCATGTAATTGTGGGGCGTGGCGCTTTTCCCCCTAACATTACTTACTTAATATCTCAATAAATTGAGCTTAGCATAATTCTTGACAACCGGGTTCAGAGCGAATAGTACCATCGCCATAGCGACAACGTAAGAGAATTCAGAAGTCGTCCGTACCATCATTGCCGCTTTGGTGACGACTTCCACAATATGAAGCCCAAACCCCCTCACGATCAATCCTATGACAGACATGAAATTGCAGAGAAAATTGCAGAGCAGCCTAAATCTATAGCTTCTCATCACAACCTTCAAATCCCTTGCAAGGCCGAGGCACGCTAGTGCCTGATAGAACAACTAATTATCATATCGTCTGGCTATCGTACGATGATTGTGACATCCTGCTGGCTGGCTTAGCCGTTCCTATCCATTTATCTGGTTGTAGTAGGGTGTCGGTCGACTGCCGCCAGCTGATATAGTGGCGCTTGTCGTGTCGTCTGGCTGAGTAACTACGATTTTCGGCTGCTGCTGGCTGGGGATGCAGCTCTTGCCGCATCGCCTGGCTGTCGGGCCACCTAGCTTAGTGAAAGCAGACCGCATCTTACGATGGGCTTTTCCTCTGTGAAAGAAGTCATGCAGGTAGAAGATCGTGACACTTTGACATGAGGCCCGACTCTTTTTTCCTTGCGAGTCTCTGCAAAATGACACTCAAGGGCAGCGCGACGACCGTCACTGTCATAGTTGAGGATGACTTGCGACATACATTCGCCAGCTTTGTACGCAGCTTCGTTTCAGGAGAGACCTCGCCACAGATCGATCAATATGCTCTGTATCTGCCTGGGTGGTCAAGTCAGGTTGAAAAGCAGGAACAATATGATTGTGCAATTCTGGAACTGACTTGCTCCATGTTTATTGTTCAGTGCTGGCCTCCTTGTCGAAAGCACAATGCCGGCAAACATTGACATCAGATGTCGGGTTGGGTGCCCAGAGCTCATTGTATTGTCGAATGACCAACGAGATTGTGGCTGCATTGTGCCATACCGGTATGAATGGCTTGCCATATCTTCAAAGCTCGTTCGACGTGTAACATCTTCGCCAACCTCTTTCACCCACGCATTCATCTGCAATCACCCACATCAATCAAACTCGAAAGCCAAAACCACCCATTCTACCTCACCAGCAACCACCATGGACTACTCACCAACCATCTCACCCTCCACCTCCCTCTCTTCCCTCTCATCCTCCCTCTCAACATCCTCATCCCACTATTTCCCCCTCTCAGACCCCACCTCCCACTGCCACATCTGCCAAGAACCCTTCCTCTCCTCTGAACCCCCCCTCACGCTCCCCTGCAACCACACATTCGGCCTCACATGCCTAACGCAATGGCTGGACACAAGCCCGACCTGCCCGCTCTGCCGCCGCAGCCCCTTCAGCCCCACCTCCACCACCACCCCCAAACACCACTCCCCCTCCCCCTCCACCTTCACCCTCTCCATCGCCAGCGCCACGGACTTCGCCATCTCCATGAACGGCACAACATGGACTTCGATCCCGTCCGCCGTGGACGGGCTCACCTCCTACAGCATCAACGCCCTCACCCTCCCCACAAAAAACGGCGGCGGCGTGGGGGAAATGGAAGGTATCTGGACCAGGGGAGGGGGAAAAACCTCCTATGGCCATATCGTCGACAAAGGGCTGCAATTACAGCGGAACGCGTTTCTGTACCGGTCGCGGAGCGCGCGCAGCGGGGCTCTGGAGCGGGAATTGTCGGGGGAGTTGGCGGCGGAGTTTGAGCGCGCGAGGGTAAGGAATAGGGCGGAGGTAAGGTGGGCGTTTCAGACTGCTGTGACGAGGATGATTTGGCTTGCGATTATGGAGGTGAAGATGCTCGGGCTGGGGATGGAGGGGTGGAGGGCGAAGGAGAGGGTTGATGTTGCGATGCGGATGTGCCGGGGGGATCTGGAGAGCATGGTTTTGGAGGGAGGCGGGGAGGGGAGGGGGGAGGTGAGGGTGGCGGCGCAGTGTATGCCGAGATTGTTTACGGCGCTTTGTGTGTGTAAGATAACGGAGGAGAGGTTCAAGGAGGTCATTGTCGTGCCGCAGGATGTCGAGGAGTTGAAGGTTATGGATCTTACTGAGGAGGGAGAGCTTTCTGGGAGGAAGAGGGCGTCCAGGCAGGCGAGACGGGATCCCGTGAGGAAGGCGGCGAAGGCGGCTTTGAAGGACTTTGTTGCCCGTTGGGGTGTCTCGGGGGATCATGTTCGAGATTTTCTATGAGACTGTAACGGAGGGATGCCTGGCTTTGGTGTCGGCGCTACTGGTATTGTCATTGGCAACATACCACACTGAGAAGAGTGGGGCAATCAGTAATCTGCTTGTTCATCGCGACCATTGGAGGTCTGAAGACAATTAAACGTCGCTTCCCTATCGTTGTTTGCGCTTAGTCTTATTGTGGTAGTACAAACGCAATCCATCCGTCTAATTTCTCAAAATAGTCACTATTACAAAAGGAAACCAATCGACTTAATCAAACCCAATGTCCAGTTTCGTCAGCCGCATAAAACCCAACCAAAGGCATAGACTGATAACATCTGCAAAACCCAAACGCAAGACGCGCATGAGCAAAACACCTGCATTGGACGTTCGCCTACCTTACGATCCGACATTCTTAGCTTGCGAACAAAGCCAGTATATGCACCGCTCTTTCCTCACCCGTAAACAAAAAGCCACCATCATTTCCAAAACAATGCCTCCCCATTGCAAACCGCTAAACGCCTCAAGACAAACTACCAACCCAAATCGCGAAGTCATTTATTTGTCAGACGCCAAACCATTAACTCTCCCCGAATTCTTCCTTTTTCTTTCGCCCTCTCAATTCTCCCCCATCAATGATTCTTCCCAAAAGTCAACTGCATCTTCTTCGCCCTCCCCAACCCTTTCAACGTCCCCCCAGTTCTCAAAGGCTTTCCCACATACTCACCTCGCTGACAACCCGTAAGCAATTGCTGAGCCGCATTCTGCATCTCAGTCCAGGTCGCAATATCAGTTAGTGTATCAGCTGTTGCTTGTCTTTTAGACGTCGCAGACGTCCCCCCACTCTCCACTACCGTCCCCGCCCCATTAGCAGTACCATTAGTAGACCCATCTAGCCTCGGCTGGCTGGGCGACGCAAAATCAATCGTAATGAAGCACTTGCCCGCGCGATAGATATCCGGCAGCTTTACGGTCTTGGAAGAAGTTGGGCCGTCGTCGTTGGTGAAGGTTATGATGTCGAGAAGGGCAAGTGGGAGGAGCTGCATTGCGGAGATGCACTCGTAGGCATGCGGGGAGGTGCGCGTGCTGAACTCGTCGCAGGAGATGGGACCGTCTTCATCTTTGCCGCCAAGGGAGGTTTCGTCGTCGTGGTTTGTGGAATTGGAGGGAGTGGTAGTTGTCGTGGTGGAATCGTTGGCGGAGGAGAGTGTGAAGGCCTGTGGATCTTGTGGTTGGGGTAAGGCGAGGGCAAAAGTGAGCAGAGGCGTGGCGAGGACGAGGAGCGCGGAGGTGGATCGCATGATGAAAGCGTGCGAGGCTTTGTTGATCTTTGACGATGGCTGACTGAGCGATTGCTAGAAGCCTGCAGTTCTCGAAAGACAGCCAGCAGTGAAGCATAAGCCAAGAAAGGTTGAAAGATTGAGAAAGGCATGATAATGCATGGTGGCGCTGTTATATCTGCAGCGCAGCCAGCCCTAGCGCGAAAAAGCGCCTATCACAGGTCTCCATGTCTTTCAGATTGTAGCAAGGTCCAGTGAAACCCATCAGCCGCTATGCGCGTCCGAAACATTGTTTGAGACCCACACGGCTCTGGTCGCGGGGATCAGTTGGTGTCGCTCACGGGCTTTCTCAACGCCTGGAAGGCCAATCGGAGGGTTAGGTTGCCGGTAGGGCCAGTACGTAGAGACCAATGCTGAGACTGAAGACATAGCTTCTGCATAATTGGGCAAGAGAAGCTGTGGCTTGATCAGCTGCATAAAAATGGCGAAGATGGTCGTCTTCTGCGTCAATGATGGCAGATGAACGAAGGGGGGATCGTCATCTCCATACAGTGATTCTTGTCATTCGAGACTGTGGATAGACATCCAAGCTCAAGAAGAAGAGCAATATGTCAATCGATCATCAACGACCGAGAATCTGAGACAGCCAACGGCGCGCGGGTGCAAAGGCGCAAGCGCTCGTCCACAGGTGTTCTAGAACATTTCAGAGGACCTTTGACGAAGCCAGTAGATCTCATAACAATACAATTACTCAATCTTGGTATGAGCGCAGCCAAAGACCCTGCGTGACGTCAGTAGAATTCATAGCTATGTGGCACCTCAGCTTTCGATGAGCGCAGGCTTCGATGCACAAGTTGAGATGAGACACCACTTGCCTCGCGATAACATCGTCCATGGGCCATCATTCCGATCCTAGGATTTGTTGCCTCTGATGAAGAGTCAAAGCAGAACATGTTGAAGCTTCCCGTCCAGTTTAGCCAGCTGAGGCAGAATAAGCACAGACCTAAGACGCTTGCTTTTCCAAGCCTGTTGAACATGCGCATTAAGTCGAATTATTGGCTTGGTACGCAGGAAGTCCTTTGTTTTTCGGAGGTAGAGGGCCATTCAAAAAGTCCCCTGGATCAGAACAAGCTTGCTGAGGGCCAGTCTGTAGCGGTCTCAAACGCCTGAGTGTATGCCCATCTATATTCAGAGTTTGATGCGCCTGCACCGTATGCACTTGGGTCATCGATCCAAGTTGATCCCAGTTGCTCGAATGAGATGTACCGGACTGACGGGCGCCCACTCTTGATGATGAAGTATCGATAGTGAAAGAGATTTTGAACCAAGTGCCAAGAGTCGGAGTATCAATAACCCGAGCCGAGACATGAGTGTCTCAGCTCACCAACTGAGACACATGATAAATTCGACGCAAGATCACTAAGAATGCTTAAAACGGCTTAGTCTTATCGTGGAGAGGTCACAATGATTGTACGTGCACAACCGTCGCGCAGACTCGACGCGAGACCAACATAAATTCCGAAAGCGGGTTAGCATCGCTCTGGACTCTACTGCGAAAGCGATGTACAAAGGACCAAAATAATGCTAGTCTACCAGCACTCGCGTCATCTATTGGTTGCGATCTGCAATTAAGAAGTCTATCCCCTCCTGCCCCTCCCAAGCCCCAAAGCCCCCAAAGCACCCGCCTACGCTCCCCCAAAACCAATACCCTTTACAATCTCACCACCTACTACCCACCCTCCTGCCACCCCTCCTCCCTCAAGCTCTAGGACCAGGAACAAAACCCACCCAAAGACCCCTCCCCCTCTCCCCCGGCTTAAACCTAGCACCAAAGTCCAGGTCAGTGACAGAAAGGCCACAGATCCCCGACGGCAAAAACCGGTAAATGCGCGGATGTGGCTAGCGCCAGGGGGGCAAAAGGGGCGCGCTAGCCGTAAGCCCTTCTAGAATAGGGGTGAGGGATGGATATTGACGTTGCGGAATTCAGCGTCAAAGAGGGAAGGGGAGATGGATGACATTTTGGTGGTTGGGTGAATTTAGCGGTGGTTGTGCAGAGCGACAAAGCTGGGGGGAAAGGAAAGATGAAGCCTCCGAGGGACGCGACAATCGGATATGTTGTCCAGCGCACCCATTTTTCAGTCGGTGGGGAAGATGGGGAAGGAGCAATGGATATAGTAGTATGATTCGTACCCTGCAAGCTCCACCATTTGAGTCGTGCGAGAGATAGGCGGGAAATAGATGTATACGTCTGGCGATGCTCACCACCATGCGCCACGCCCCAAAATTCTTTAGGGGAAAAATCAAGTCCTTGTCGTGCACTTCGAACACCATGCAATTCCTCTGCTGCCAAACTCCCCCCTCCCTCCCAAAATATTAATCGTCCCATTTCCCGCACAGATTGTCTATTCACGAAGTAGGCGCGTTCGTGGCACCAAGCCTCTATACGAAGTCAAGAGACCCTCGAGGCGAAGATCTTCCCTTCCTTGCCACTCGAAGATTCAAATCTCTGCAAGATTCTTTCCATTCGATTCTATGAGGTTCGACATGTCATGCCGTACCCCACTCCACCCCACTCTATCCAGCACTGTCATGATGGAAATCCTACGCCTCACAGCCATGGCGCAGGAACCACCCCATCGCACGGCGACATTTTTGACGCCCACCGCCACAGGCTCCATAACTCAATTATACCCCACCCGGCCCACTCACCCCACTCACCGCACCCCACCCATCCTGTGCTACCCGACTTTCCCCCTAGACATGTGATCTCAGACAAGGTTCCATGGCTGCTCCCATCCCGTTGCAGGTGAATACTTAGGGCTGACAGACAGAATCTGCACGGTCATCTGACCTCGGGAGGAAGGCACGACCCACCGGGCGTCAGAATATGGAAGTCAATTCGCGACCGAGTTGATTTTTGGGGGGGAAGGGGGGCTGGGGATGGGGTTTGACGGCTATGGCTTTCGGATGGCATATGACGACGCCTCTGGCGTATTTGCGCGTTGTTTACTCCTGGGAGTGGGGGGATTCGTCACTGCTGTACTTTTGCGCATTGTGGCCAGAGCCAAGTTGGTTGATTGTAGAGGGGGTGGTTGAGATGCTGGAGGAGTTGCGTTGGAGTCGTAGCTAATCAATGTTCAAGACCTTCTCAATGGCAATTTTTCGTACTATTGGAGAAGCGCCCAGTAAGCCTGAATAGAAATTTTCGTTTTTCGCCTGTTCTGGCGGAGACTTCCCAGATATTGACTTCCAAAATCTGAAAATCTCTGCATGAAAACTCCACTCCCAGGCGAATTTGGTGGAGTTGTAGTCGGAAAGGCACGTGAAGTCCTTCAGCCACCATACAAATCGTTGCCGCCCTTCAGAATCTTCCCTGCATCTCTCTTCAGCCAGAACTCAAAGCGGTATCCACTCGCAGGTATATAACACTTCTTCTTTCCCTCTGTGTTCTTCCTTCTTTCACATCAGTCTCTCACACACAATCTGGTCCAGTAGATAGCAATTAACACATTCTCCATCCAAAGACATTCTTCATGCTTAGAAACCACTGCTTTCAAACACGAAATTCATTTTACAAACACTCAACGACAACTTGATCGACTTCTTCTTCATCATCATCGACTTCGTCCTCAATCTCGACCTTCGATCTCAACATCACCACCACCACCACCGACCACACTCATCCCATCTCATCGAGCACAGACTGACAGCGACATTTGGCGTGGAGAGAGCAAGCAAACAGGCAATCAAGGTAGGCACCACCCTTGATTAGTACGTCCTCGACAGGTCTCCAGTAAGGCATCGCATGGCCGGCTACATGTTGATGGGCGGTTCAAGTCCGTCGAAGCCGACCGAGTGTAGGGAAAGCTTGGGTGTAGTTTCTGATTCGATCCCATATGGAGGTCGTCTTCGCAGTCATCTGTCTACTCAGTCCAGCCGGGCTGACACCTACTTTTTTCTCATCTAGGTATTCCAACCACACCATCGTCGAAGCGATGTCGTCCAGACGCTACCAAAGCCCGTCACCATCACAGCCAATCTGCGAAGCAGTCATCTCATTACAATCTTTTGAAAGGTGGGTTCGAGCATTCCTTGTCCCACCGTTGTCGGTGAAATTGGTCCCAGCATCGAAGCGAGGGTCGGTTCGACTCCGAATATGATCCCTTAGTGGTGTTGAATTGGAAGCGAAGATTCTGATTCGTCCTGTGTCCAACTCAGGGCGTCTGCAGTATTCTGCCCACTCAGTCCATTGTGGCTGACACCCATTTTCTTCTTCTAGGTATCCCATCCTCCGACGCCATTCGAAGCGAGTTCTCCGCCTTCTTCACGACCTCGTCATCAGTGTGTTCACATTCTCAGATTAGGTAGGTCCGAGCCTTAAAGTCCATGTCCGCTCCTACGCCGGTGAAAGAGGTCCCAGAGGCATTTTGTAATGATTTGTACGGGTCGGTTCGATTCCGCAGAGAGCTTGTTTAGGAGTTGAATTGGACGTGGACGGCGAAGTTTCTGATTCGTTCCCCTGAAGTTAGGGGCGTCTGCAGTCATCTACCTACTCGGTCCTTGTGGCTGACACCTACTTTTCTCTTTTAGGTACCCATCCGCCCCATACAACGATCCTTCGAAGCAATGGCAGCAAATCATATCGTGGCCGCTCGTCTCTATTCATGCTTTTCAACCAGGTAGGTCCGAGCCTTTTTGTCCTTGTCCGCTCCTATTCCGGTGAAAGAGGTCCCAGAGGCATTTTGTAATGATTTGTACGGGTCGGTTCGATTCCGCAGAGAGCCTGTCTAGGAGTTGAATTGGATGGGGATGGCGAAGTTTCTGATTCGTCCCCTCAAGTTAGGGGCGTCTGCAGTCAGCTACCTACTCAGTCCTTGTGGCTGACACCTACTTCTTTTTTTAGGATTTCCGCTTCGACAGACCTCACGACCCGATGCATGTCCCCGGCGCCGACTTCGCTCTGAGCAGTCACTCATATCTTGTGAGGTAGGTCCGAGTCACAAATATCCATGTACCTCCTGTGAACGGCGAAATTGGTCCCGCACTCCGCTGTCAGGGTCGGTTCGATTCCGCTGCGAGCCTGCCGCAGTATGAGTTGAATTGGATGGCGAAGTTTCCGATTCGTACCTAATTAGGGCGTCTACGGTCAGCTACCTACTCAGTCCATTAAGGCTGACACCTACTTTTCGTTCAGATACCACCGCCGGCATCCATCATCGTGATCATCTCCAGCCTCACCTTCAGCAATCTCAGTATGACGCGGCATCAATAATCACAAGAAGCCTCCCAGCCTTTCAACATCAGAACATGTTGGAAGTCAGCTACACCAACAATCTCTTCGAAGCTTCTTCAACAAGCTTATCCATGCGTGGCAATGGTGTTCTCTGCCTTCCCTTTTCCCTCCATTCCTCGCCAGACATCCTCGCCAGATCCCGCCTTGGCTCGCCCGCCCAGCAATACTTCGCCACATCCTCCGCACCCGTCCCTGACCGGAATCTTCCTTACCTCCCACATCGACCACTCGTCCCTCCCCCTCCCCAACCGAGCCTATCTCCCCGGACGCTCCCGTTCACCGCCCTCCCTCTTACGACGCCCTCCCTCTCACGACGCCCTCCCTCTCACGACACCCTTTTACCCCCAAAGATTTTGTCCCTGGTTCGGCAACTCACCATTCAAGCAACTGTAAGTCCATCGCCTTCAAATCTCTCTATGTTTCTCCAGCTCACAAGTGCCATAGCAGCTGAACGCTAACAAGAGCCTGGTCTGCAAGGGAATCCAGACAGCAAGAGAGCTCGGAAAAGAAAGAGTAGGGAATATAACTCTTGCTGTGGTTCGAGAGGCTAGGGCGAATGCTAAGATGGATTGGATTGGAGTGAAAGTAACAATGGAAAGTCAATGAGTGTATGGTGAAATCAAAGTGTGGGCCGGACAGAACGCGGGTTCGCAAGAGAGCTTGGAAAGAAAGACGTAGAAACTACAACTCTTGCTATGGATTCAAAGATGGATTGGGAGAGACTTTGGGAAGGAGATGAGATGATGCAAAAGAGTGCAAATTGGAGAAGAGTCTGGCGTGAGAGCAGAGTTGGAATGCAAGAGAGCTTGGAGAGACAAGAGTAGGGAATATAACTCTTGCATTGACTTAAAAGAAGGAATAGAAAGATGTATCGGGCTGCGGAGTAAAGGAAGCACGTGTTACAAGGAGAAATACAATGCGAAAACCCGCAGGCTGGGGAAGAGTACGGAGTGAAACAGAAAGCGGTCTGCAAGAGAGCTTGGAAAGAAAGGAGGCGGAATTACAACTCTTGCTGTGGTTTTGGAGGTTGGGAAGAAAGAGATCTTAAAGTGGAGAGAAAGATGGTGCAAAAGAACATGAGTTGGAGCAGAGTCCGGTACGAGAGGAAAGATGGCATGCAAGAGAGCTTGGAGAGACAAGAGCAGGAAGTACAACTCTTGCATTGGATCAAAGGAAGGAATGGAGCATGTATTGGGCTGTCGACGGGAGGAAGCACGCGTCACAGGTGGGGATACAATGCGAAAAACTGCGGGCTGGGAAAAAGTACAGGGTGAGAAAGAAAGCGGTCTGCAAGAGAGCTTGGATAAGAAAGAGCTGGGTTCTACAACTCTTGCAGGTGTCCAAGAGACCGAGTCACATATGGTCGTGGAGTGAAGGAAGCAGGGGTTGCAGAAAAGAAGAAGGTTGTCGAAAAGTATGGACAGGAAAAGAGCACGGACTGAAAAAGGCTAGGCGGGAAAAGTATGCAGGCGAGAAAAGGACGAAGGCGGGAGAAGAAAGTTGGCTGCGAAGGAATGGGAAATGCAATGAAGGTTGGGAAGGAGGACAGCAAGAAGGAAAATGACCTTCAGGAAGTCATGATTGCGCGGAATGTAGATCATAAGGGAGATGGGATGAAGAAGGAGGAAAAGGAAGGTGGGAATGGACGACTTACCAACAGAGTACCGTACATAACAGCAAAACAACACAATTCAATCTCACTCACATCTCTCTCTTGCCATCTCTTTGTGCATGTACTTGACGTCTCACGGTTCTTGATGCTTCAAAAGTACTACTAGCTCTTGGTCAGCAAGTAATGTATTCCATCTGGGTACGGACCGACAAAGCACTGGTACTAGAACTTCGACGATTTGTGCCCGGTCTTCATCAAGAAAAGTCCTATGGAGGCTCTTGCCTAGAGGACATCTGGCTATTCCCTTGGAAGGAGGTTTCGGGAACATGCACTTGTCTCGTACGTATCTAGGGTTGTAGCTTTTGGCCATCTGACACGCATCTTGTTGCTGGAAACCTTTTGAGCGATTGAGGTATACCACTGCATCTTTTACGTCTCAACATCATGATTCACCCTCCTACCTTTTCTGTGGCTCCAGTAGTATCCCGAGTCCCGAGTCCGGAAGCGCAAGGCCCGGCGTCATGTCACCCTAAAGATCCGATCCCCAGCCTAGCTTTCGTGAAAACATCTTCGACAAGAGCATCAGATCACAACCGCATGACATCGATTTAATCTTCAAGCCCTAGATCTCAAGAATATGGACTTCTGAAAGGCATATTTGAGTCCCCGGGTTTTTTCTGCGCGCCAAATATTCAAAAACTGTAGAAGAGATTTGACAGGGCGAAGGGAGAGAGTCTTAGGTCTATTTGAGGGCCCAGAAGGAGGAGGAGTGTCTGATTGAACAAAGAGTCCGCGGATAATGGAGCAAGATTGAAGATGGTTCCAAGGACAAGGTCAAATACTACCATCACCATATGATGTCAGCTTAGCTGTCATCGAATGGAGTCGCAGGAAGATTGACAGGACATACGTAGGAAGTGCCATGGCAGAGCCCAGATTAATCGATCAATGGAGGTCACGAAGAGAGCATCGAGGTCATGGTAGCTCAGACTTTGTCTTTAGGGAGACCAGATAAAGGAAGTACAGGGGTAGTCTGCCGCCAAAGATAGTCCAACGCCGGGCAGCGAGAGTGCCTGACTTGCTCAAGTGGCTTATTCAGTCTCGAGTCCCTTGCATTCCACGTTCCTGTGATGACCAAAGTATCTCGTCCTCCATTTTTCCCCACGCTACCTCCGCTCATCAAATGCCAAAGCAGCATTCGTCGAGGTCTTCGTCCTCATGTCCCTTCTCAATCGGCGTTTCGGCAGGCAAACCACTACAGCAACCACTCCGGCACACATTCATTCAGTCCTATCTCAGTCCCATCCTATCCTTACGGACGACTTCACAACAAGACTTGCATAGTCACCGGTTCCTCGTCAGGTCTAGGCCGCGCCATTGCCCTCCTCTTCGCCCGCGAAGGTGCCCGGCTAGTCGCCTGTGCCGATCTCTCAGCCAATGCGAAATCTACATTCCAGGCTGAAGAAGCGGGAACACCCACACATGAATTGATATGCCAGCGCTACGGTGAGCGCAAGAGCTTTTTCAAGCGCTGCGATGTCACGCATGCGCGTGATGTGGAAACATTGGTGCAAGAGACTGTCAAGAGAAGTGCATTTGGAGAACAAGAACCCAATGACTACAATTCTGTGGGCTACGATTCAATGCGACTTGACGTCATAGTGAACAATGCAGGCATCGGCGGAACCGAAGGACACGGTCAGGTCCACGAGATGACAGAAGAGACATGGGATACTACAATGGCCGCAAATTCCAAGGGTGCCTTCCTGGGCTGCAAATATGCTATCCAACAATTTCTTCGGCAGGCACCCAACCCTGCTATTGCTGGCTCAAGGGGCACAAAAGGTTGGATCATTAATACATCCTCAATCATGGGACTTGTGGGGCAGAAGGTCAATGGCGCCGCTTATTGCGCGAGCAAAGGCGCCGTGATGCTGCTTACGAAGAGTACGGCTGTCGCATACGCGAAAGACAAGATTGTCTGTAACGCCCTGTGCCCGGGACATTTGAAGACGCCAATGACAGAGGGACAGTATAAGGATGAGGAGATGAGAAGGCAGATTAGTAGTCTCTATCCGGACCCAGAGGATTGGGGTACGGCTGAGGACGTAGCAAGAGTAGCTGTCTTCCTGGCCAGTGAGGATGCTGGGTTTGTTACAGGAGTGGGACTCCCTGTTGATGGGGGTTATTGTGCCCAGTGAAGGGATATGCGATGAAGAGTTGCTACACTGCCATACATTTGAGTCGATTGAATATCACGGCTCAGTCGAGCTTTCATGGACGTCGATCACCTCGCCGGACAAGCCGGGGCACCATTGAGATTCTCTTGACTACGCCACACCTCGCCTTCTTGGCTCTGGACACCCCTCATCGCTCTGCGTCATGCATAGTCGTATCTAATCGATGATTGGCACGGCGCCCAAAGTCGTCGACCAAGCTCCGGGTCCAACGGTCTGCGCCGCAAGACCGCTCTTCCTAGCTCTAGGCTAATGCAAGACGTGCCTCTGTCCTTCCTCAAAAAGGAAATAGATCTTGATGAACGAACGCAAACCCCGCAGACTGGGCTTGGGGCAAAGTCGATACTAAGGTTAGATACGTACCTACAGTGATGGGATGATAGCAGGCAGCTCAGCGCCGCAACGTGCTTGAAGGTCAAATTCAAGCGTTGTTCTGCTCGTCTGAATTTGTTTCAAGTCGCGATTGAATACTATAAAGGATAAATGTACCGCGATACCAGCGGCCAGCAGGCCTTCATTGCGCTTCCAACTATACAACAAATTCTCGAATAATGTCAGGAAGAGCGACGACGCCTCCACCGCAAGGCGACGTCAATGTCTCAGGGGGACTTCTAGCCACAACGATCCTGGTCACAGTCATCAGCATCTTATTGCTGGCGGCACGCTTTGCGACGCGCATATGGATCGTCAAAAGAGTCGGCTGGGATGATTGGACGATTCTACTCGCTGTCTTGGGCCATCCAATAGGCATGGCTTTGGTCGTTGTGCAGATTGGGTATGGACTTGGTAGACCAGTCTTTTACCTCACAGAGCATCAATTCCAGGAATTTATGAAGTATGCGTATGGCGAGTGGCTTCAAGTACGCGCTTCAATCGAAAACAAGCAAGTGGAAAGCATTGACAGTAGAGCAGACCTTTGCGACCCTCATGTTCACTAAAATTTCTATCTGCCTCTTTCTCCTTCGCATCACGATATCGAAGAGCTTCGTTCGACCGTTACAAGCCGCGATTGGGATCCTAGTGGTCAGTAATGTCATCCTTACCGTCCTTTGGATTGTGCAGTGCACTCCACACTTGGACAAGGCTTGGAACACAAAGCTTTCTGGGAAATGCTTTGGAAAAGGTCAATTGGAGCGCATCATCATCGCACAAGCAAGTAAGCTCTCCCCCGTGTCATACGAAAGGGGCCTTGGCTTATCTACAAAAGTCATATCTTTCATATCAGACTACTTTCTCTCAATATTCCCGATCTTGATCTTGCGCAAGGTGCAGATCAGCTTCCGCAGCAAGGTCGGCCTTTGCTCTCTCATGGGCTTGGGTGTGGTGTCAGTCTTTCCCCTTTTTCTCACTACCATCGCCAACGCCATACTTGTAGCACCACTCTGCTACTTGACTATTGCTAACTTTCACCTAGTACCGGCTCACTAGGAGTAGCCCGCACGGTTCTCAATTGGCAAAACGTGACCTCAGACCCAACCTGGCTCGTAATACCCAATTGGTACATTCGAACCTGGGAAGTCATCTTCGGCATCGTAGCCGCCTGTGTTCCAACCCTTCGTCCTGGCTACAAATGGTTGAAAGGCGAATTACACACTCAATACACGCGACACAAAGGATCACCACGATCAGGATCAGGCCAGACACCGCTCCGCCCTGACCGGGACAGCGTGCAATGGTCATTTCGAAAGCCCACCTCGATTGGCGACGATATTCCGCCCGCACCACGCAATGAGAAAGTTCGATTCAACACTCCCATCGACGTGACCATATACCGCAGCTCTCACACCTCCACGCGAAAATCAACCCTACCCCTTCAACGCCCCGAAAGCAACAGCTCATCCAGACCACCCACACCACCACCAAAAACCACGGCCCCTCTACCCATGCAGCCGCATAAAGTCTACAAACTTCCCCAATCGCACATCGCCTCCCAGAGTCAACCATCGCGACGTTCTCCGCACCACCAGCCCTCGCATTCCCAAGTCATCCCAAGCCATTCTCCCCACAGTCCGTCACCTTCGCAGTCGCATATCATACACCAGTACTCCCAACGCCGCTACTCGCAAGATCGGCAGCGAAGATCGCCTCGCCCTGCGAACGCTATATTTCCACCAAGCATGGACCAAGCATATCTACCGCGCGACTTCCATGACGACCATAAGAGGGGCGGGAAGTGCCTGGCGATAGGCATCCGCAGTCAGAAGACGTGATGCAAAAGTGGTTGAAAAAGGACGATAGCGAGGAGATGATTGGAGGAAACTTGGGGGGAGTCATGAGGAGAAAATATGATATCCATGCCTGGTTTATAGATTTCCTAGAGAATTACCGGTGGATGATTGGAATAGTGAACATTTATATCGCCTTACACTACATGACCCAGCCCCTCCTCTTTGGCCCAGCGTGTTTGGATGCCTCTGCCGCCGACGATGTCTAAACCCCGCTCCCTCAGAGATGTAGCTCCACTCCTCATGTAATGAGCAGCACGACTGGAAAGATAGATGAGCTTCAACTCTATTCTTTGTAATATGTGAATATAATCGTTTAGGCAGGTCATGTAAGCAGAAGCTTTGGAGAGGCATGTTAAGATTTTTACTTCTAGCGTTCTTTTAAGGCTTGTATATAGATCATGTTTAGTAGCAGAGCCGTGAAGGTAGATGAGCTTCACTTCCATCCTTGGTAACAAGTGAATGTAATCGTTTAGGCAGGTCAATCACACCAGCGCTTCGACGAGGCACATCAAGCTTTCCACCAACGCTGAGGCTGAAGAGACTTCTATCGAGGCCAAATCCAAGCTCTTTTGGTCACGCAATCACGAATATCAGGCGCACGGGTCTCACAATGTCATCAAACCAATTATATTAAGGGTGCAACCACCCCTGACCCACAGAAGGCAGGCAAAGCACGATCATCACAGCTATAAAAAAGGCTTGCCCCTGCTTTTGCAAAACAAACTTTTGACCCCTGCAGCCACCTGCTGCCACAAACCCACCTCCTGCATCCCAACGAGCGTCTATGTCCACCTCCTCATCCCTCTCTCATTACAGCACGCGCCTCACCAACTCACGCAGAGGCCCTTCAATCCCCTCTTGCAGATCGGCGACGTAATCTTCAATCCCGCCCGTAATCCTGCATCCCTATTAGCCACCCCGTCTTTCAAAACGGAGAACAGGTGGGAATTACGTACCCCACCTCAGCAGCAAGCTCCACGGCACTCAACTGCATGCCTGCACGATTCGCGAGGCGCTGTAGCTCGGAATGTAAGTCCTCCAGGTGGTTGCTTAGGTCCACCATTGCTTGGGGATGACTGAGCCGGCCACGCTCGCGCACAGAGCGGACTGGGGAAGGGGAAGGGGAATGCTCGGGTGAGGGCAGGGTGGGCGAGTCGGCGCGGAAAGGGTCGTCGAGATGGCTGCTTGAGGGGGTGTAGGGGCTTTCTGGCGTGAACGCTGTAGTAAGGGAGCTCTCTGGCGTGAATGCTGGAGCAAGCGATAGGGAGGATTGGGATGAGCGGGAGAATTTGATCGTGCTGGCGTCGCTTAGGGCGGGGGAGGCGGGAGGGAGGAGATTGGTGCTGGCGTGAACGTTGAGCGTGCTTGTAGATGCCGCTGTGAGATTGAGCGTGCTGGTTGATGCTTCGAGGTTGAGCGTGCTGATTGACGCTTCAAGGTCAAGCGTGCTCGTCGACGAGACGCGGGATGGGAGGTGGAAGGCGATGGGGTCCTGCGAGCGGTGCAGTGGCAGTGTATGCTCTGGACTGGGTATCACGATTTCGGGCTGTGGGAGGAGGTCCTTCTCTTGCTCGTCGTCTTCGTCTTCATAGTATGGCATCCAGGGAGCGGGGTCGTAGGAGAAATTCCCGTGAGAGCTGCGCTCACGACCCTTGTGATGGTCTTCTGACGGTGGGATGTACATCATGGCGTGCCGTCGATGGTTTCGACTGCGAGTTTGGAAAGTTGGGATGTGTAGGGAAGGGCTTGTCTGGGTGTTCGGTAAAGCTTTGGCCAATTTGAAATAATTCTTCTTCATTTTCCTCCACGCTTCTATATTCCTCGTTTTCTCAGTCTCGGACGTAGCGAGTACTGATTCAGTCAACGAATGCTTTAAGGTCGGGCGTTTGGGTGCAAATTTTGGACCTGGATAGTCTCTTGCTAGCATTCCTTTCACCTCTTGGCTCAGTTCACTGGATACTTTGAGAGAGTGATTCGGATTCATAGCTATGAGACTTCTCCTGTCAGCTCACTGGCGCTGCGGAGGTCAAAATGAGAGGAATAGGGGGTCTTGGATCGTGCCAGAGGTAGATTGGGTCTTACCGTGATGTGCAAGAGGTGATTGTGGAGCTGGTGCGAAGCTTTCCTTGTAAATTCATCAGCTCATCAACGCTACAATGGCTAGAACGAGAGGAGTGAAGTTCTGCCACAGGTGATTGGGGCTGTACCGTGGTGTGCAAGAAACGATTTGAGAGATGCTGCGTGCTTTCTGTTGTCAGCTCATCAGTTCATCAACGCTGTGGAGGTAAGGAAGACGGGTGTAGGTGCTCATGCTAGCCCGCTACAGGTGATTGGAGACTCACCTTGGTGTGCGACAGACGATGCTCAAGTAGGTGCTACTCTTCTCTCGTCAGCTCATCAGCACCGCAGAGGCCAGAACAAGAAGAGTGGTAGCCTGCCACAGGTGATCGGAGCCTTACCGGTGTGTGCGACTGGCTGGTGCCAGTGTGGATGCGAGGTGACGCTCAGACCGATGGAGCCAGGTGAAGATGTAGCAACCAGATTCAAATCTATAATTCACTATCAAGCAGGTCTTCACAGTCGATGAGACTTGTCGTCGACGAGTTGTCGAAATTTTCATCGAGTGCGGTGACTTGTGTGTTAAGCTCCTACCCTATATAAAACCACGTAGCGTCTCAAATGACTAAGCAAGATCCTCTTGTTTCTTCATTTTGCTGATTATGCTCCCTTACGCATCCTCCATTCGCCGATTCGATGGTCTAAACTTCGATTTGTTCTGATGGGGAGCTATCGATCCCATACGCTTCTCACCTGCAACCACCAGGCCTCATCACAGCCGTATCTCAACTCTATTCGGAGCTGGGGCAAGGATACTGGCCTTTCTCAACATCTCGGATGACTGGCTAAGCTGTGGCTCTCATTTGCAATCACAGTGCAGCGTCCTCAGGACATTCCTAGAGTGGTGCGTAGAGAATTTTGATTTAGCAAGAGATGGCGTCTAATTAGTCTACCTCAATCACCATATACTGAACGATCGTTTTTCAGACTACCTATTGGGGAAACCCGTTCGTTGGTGCGTGGCTCCAATACAAGTCATCGCTGCTGAAGATGTCGCAGTCCTTCAGGTTCTTTTTAGTCCAGCATCTATTCACCGGTACAGCACGACGGCATTCCTTCCCAGCAACTCCAGTTTCGACCCGTGTGAGCAGGATTCGCGGAGGTATGAACTCATCTGGTTCCGCCTCTGGTTGACCATCAAGCGTTCGTTCCGCATCTGTATAGTAGGACGCCCCGACGACCTCTAGATTGAAGCGCTTCTCAGGCTTTTCTAGGTGTCTCGCATTGAAGAGTACCTCTGCTATCTCTCGCAGTTCCCTCTTAAAGCAAAAGAAGTCGTACTCCGGCGTATATCCAATTCTGGCATTTTGTTCGTATCTGACAGCCCAGAAATTTCCCAAGTCCAAGGCCTTCAGGTGCTCCAATTGCAGTATGGAGTCTAACGCCCGCCGAAACACAATACTTTGTACGCATGAGCGCCAGGGTCGACCCAATCCTTCCACATGAAGTTCTAGACCTAGCTGGACGAGACCCTTGCATCTGTCACAGATCTCTTTGACTGCTCGAGGCATCCAAAAACGAACTCTTGTTGCCTCATGGGCTGTCGACATCATACTGAGCACACGCAGTGTTTTCGCGCGGCTGACGATATCCCGTACGCTTGGGAATCGCGTTCTGTCGTTGACGATCACGGCCAGGTCACTCAGCTCACGTTGCCTACGCAACAAGTATTCAAAGCGTGTCATAGTCGCATTCAGCCTGAGACGCCATTCGTCAAGGTCAGTCATGTGCCATGTCAGTTTTTTCAGCCGTCGAGGTGGGTCTTTTGATCGGCAAACTGCATCTAGGAATATGTGAACTTTCTTGCAGCTGAGAATGTGGAGAGTCTCAAGGCTACTGAAGTCGATAGTTGTCCTGTGGTGCCCGGCTCCAAAGATGGCGAGGTTCAGACCGCTCAAAGTCAGGTGCTTTAGTTGCATCTGCTGTTCAAGAGACGCATTGATCTTGTTGTCCCTTAAAGTGGCAAAAATTCTCTGTTCGAAACCCATGGCGCCACTGTCTGGAGCCTCGTGATTTTGGCTCGCGATCTTCAGCTCGGTTAGGTTGTTGCAGCCAGAAAGTATCAGCTGGCTAGCTCTGGTTATATCTTCATTGTCTGCATGACCCCAGACTGATGCACTTGTAATTAGATCTTTGTCGGTGGAGAACCGCTGATGGTTTTCCAAAACTGATACTGGGCGACAGCATTCGATATTTTTCAGAAAACGCTGCCTCAAATATAACTCACGCCACAACTCTCCAGGGACAGTCATCTCAGTCAAATAACATGACTTAAGATTGTCTCTCGGAAGAACCATAAGAAGCTGTTTGAGGTAGAGGGCAATTCTCTCGAGGTCCGGTCGCCGCATAACTCGATCAGTCTCCCAACACCACGGATCTAGATCAAGAAAATCTATGCCCGCGGAGCACGAAAATTCCGTATAGTGAGATCCGTACTCTGCGACGACATGTCTAATGTATGGTAAGCCGGAATGATTTGGCTCTAGAAGTGCGCGATATGGTCGATCTTCCGGCCCACCGAGTACCAGACGAAGATTTTGGTATAGTTTAGGTGTTGCAAGAGAATGCATCGTCTTACATGTCAAGCTGATTTGGAGCAGATCGTTCTTGTCATGAATCTACAGAATGTCAGCGCCTTCCAAAAGGTAAAGGATGAGCAAGTGCTTACGAAATCGAAGATGTCTAATTTGACATCCCAAGGCAGGATGTCCCATTTGCACTGATTGTCAGGAATCTTTCCTGGCTTTGGCTCATAGCTTTCAGTCATGATGACTATGCTGCTTGATTTGTAACTTATTAGATTGTTTTCGGATGAAACGTAACAATCATATGAGGATGTGTAGTGAGAATTAAAGAGTTTCGGGTAAAGTCAAACGCAACTTGAACGGGCACAAGATCTTGTTAAAACCAAAAGGCTGAAATGATGCGTCAACGATTGTGGCAATGATTGAATGGCAACAACAAAGGCATAAGGGAGAGTGTAGAGAAAGCTTCCTTTGTCGGGCCTGAAATATCCTTGGGAATAAAGCTACAATTCTTGGGGTTCGACTCTAGCGTCTGAGCAGACAAAGGACAATGGGCCTCTTCCAAGCTTACGGATTCCCCAAGACTGACGATGATGACGAGCTTCAGTAACAGCAACGGCTCTTTAACGTTTATATTGATTCTGAATTTCGACGCCACTATTACGAAGAACAGAATTCTTCTAGAACAATAGTGAAAGATTGCCTTATCATATTACTTTCCCTATATCGTATGTACTAAATGACAGTTTGAGAGATCCTCTCAAAGACTACCTGACACAATCAGTTCTTTGAAATGACGACACTACCAGAGCATCTTTCTGTTCAGCATCGAGCTCTGTGGTACCAAATCAAGCACCTGATTCAAGTCCGCCTTCATCGCCTGGGTCTTGATCTGTCCTGCCAGATCTGTTGAAGTTACACGCATGAACATAGCCGGCTCTTTTGGCATGACATCCATAAAACTCTCCTGGTACACTGACGCCAACACCTCCACGCTCGCGCGACCATCTTTTACAGAACGGTCCCAAATCCGGAAAATTCTCCCCATGACACTTCCAAGTTCAAGTTCGAGGGTATAGATTTGTTTGTTTTGCAAAGCCCCTATTGCAAGTTGCACAGGCTCCTGCCAAAACCGCCCAAGATTCAGCGCTTTCAATTTCGGCAATCCACGAGCTGCCTCGAGGCTTCTCAAAAAAGGTTCATCTTGGTCGTTCGAGTCTTCTGCCCACAGTCGATTGCTGATATTGATTGCAGGGAAATCCATCCATAGTTGCTCGAGGTTCTGACATTGCTTGCAGATCTCCACGATCTGACCTGCGCTGGAATGGACCCCAGGCGGTCCTCCAAAGGTTACCCGAAGAACACGCAAGGTTTTGCTGTGGGCAGGGAGGATTGGAACTATGTCTGAGTAAGTAGCGGCACCTCGGCTTGTTATCTCGAGACTCTCCAAGCCTGAAATCTTGCCTAATAAGTTGATCAAGCCTTGAGGGGCAGTCGGGCCTCCTGTACTAATTTCTTCGTCTTGGTCCCGGCCAAATTGCACAGTAACGTGTTTTAACTTGCGAGGTAGCGTCGCAGGAGCTGTCAAAGCATCGAGAAAGCGGAGCATACGATGGCAGTCTAGCACTGTTAAACTCTGCAGATTGGCGAAGTCGAAGCGACGCATATTTGAAGCAAGTTCTCCAAGGTCTAGGCCTGCCAAAAGAAGACGCTTAAGTGGTGTCGGATGTTGTGAAGGGGTTTGCAAACGCAAGTCTTCGAGACTGGAGCGTACCACCCGTTCATTGACCTGGATGGCCCCGGGCTGAAAGACGTCAGGTGGTATCTGGACTTTACCCATAAGACGAAGGGTTTCGAGCTTGCGGACTCTTCCAATCACGATTCGAAAAGTGTCGACTGAAGAAACTGAACAGACTGATATATCTCGAGCCACATCCTCTGCGGTAAAGATGTTGGGTTTCCTCGCCAAATAAGTCGCCGTATCTGAAGTCTCGAGCTCGTGTTCCGGAATATCTTCCCAATCAGCTTGAGACTCATCCTCACTAGATTCATCCAGATCGACATCCATGCCAACATAAAGAGGCTGGTCGTCGTCTTTGCTCGGAACATTGGGAATAGTAATGTTATAGATCCTAGTCTGGCGCTCATGGAGTTTCAACCACAAGAACCCCGGCATCTCCCACCGTGAAGGCGAAACGAAGGTTCGTAGCTGATCAGCCGGAAGCACATCGATCATTTTGCTGACAAAAAGCTCGGCCTTGTCAGTGTGCTCCAAATTAGGAACAAGAACAAGCTTTCTACCCTCTTTGTACGGCATAACATTGAGAATTTGACGACTGCGAGTGAATTGGAAGTTTCGGACGCTCTCGACACCACCATCGATCTCGGGCTCCATGCGGCCGAACTCGAATTTTAAGTGGCGAATGAACTTCAAGCCCGGGTGCGAAGGGTCGAGAAGTGCATCCAGATATGATTGTTTCGTGCCATCGAGCAGTAAGTCAACGTTTTCGTAGAGCTTGGGTAGAGAAAGGTCCTGTAGACGCTTATTGGTGGAAGAAAGGGCGAGCAGGTCGGATTTGTGGTTGATCTATGCAGTGTTAGACTTGTGATACTAGAGACAGGGAGATGAGGACTTACGTATTTGAGAAACTCAAGGCATACGTCTAGGGGTAGGCTAGAGAGGCGATCGTTTATTTTGGAAGCCATGTTGTACAAGATCACTAGACGGTGGAAGTCAAGAGAAGGATTAGTGGTCAAGCACAGATTGATTTGAGTAGCGAGATTGAGTTGGTATGTCTTTGCTATCAAGTCAACTCAAGAGACAAGACCAAGTGGAAAGAACAGCTTATTTGATGGACAGCCGCAGTATTTAAAACCCATTGTCGCTCCAGACAATTCAGCATATTTCCTTTATACCTTTATCCCACTCATAACAATCTCCCCAATTTTTTCCTCCTAACCAAAAGCACCTTCATGCTTTAAGCATACAAACATTCTTTATACTACACCCATTCTACCCTCCCACATTGAGCGGCAATCACAACAATGCCCACTCCCCTCCCTTCCCCTCCCCTTCCCTCCCCCCCCCCTCTCTTTCCCACGCAAATCCTTACGCTCAAACAAAACCCCCTCCTCTTGGTACCCCCTCTTGCTCTAACCATACAAATCCCTAAACCGACGCACAGCCTCATCGACATCATTCCTCCTCCGTCTCCTCGGCGGCGTCATCATCTCCACGAACGCGATTGCGCTCTGTAAATCTCTCGCCCCCGCCCCCATCCCCATTCCCACCGAAGAGCGTTCCTGTTCCTGCTGGTGTTCTTCCTCTGCTTTTTCCCCCACTGTGGTGTCATCCACGTGCGTGCGATTCGTTGATGGATTCGGGGATGCTGCTTCCGCGGTCTGGTGGTCTGCTGGAACTGCTTCTTTTGCTGCACAGGGGTGAGGGTGGGGTTGGGGGCGGTCGTGCTGTGTCCTTGTGCCCTTTTCGTTTTTATTTATGCCAATCTTCTTTCGGTTGCGCTCTTGGAGGTGATCGAGGAATGTGTAGCGTACGATCAGTACTAAAAGGGCGATGTCAATGATCCAGCTGAGAATCGACACCCTCACTGAGCCAACCTCTGCCTTCTCCTGCATCAACTTCATATTTGGCGCTTTCAATGGCCTTCGGAGCATGACCCAGTTGATTACTGACCACCACCACCCCATCCCCCCCATCCACCCCTTCCCCCTTTCTCCCGCTTCTTCTTCAACATCACACGCGGCACATCCAACTCCCTCCGATCAGTCATAACCCACTCCAGCAACTCCGCTCCCCTCAATCTCACAACCCCCTCCCTCTCCCCCTCTTCTTCAAGAACATCATCAACGTTAATATACATTGCTTCCCGCAACCACGCCTCATCAAACCCCAACGACGCCTCAGACGCGAAATGACCACACACACACCTCCCACACGCGTCATTGCCTGCAGGGTGGTGAGCGCACTGCGCCGCCAACTGGATGTATGACGAGAGCGATATACTTTCGATCAGCGCGCAGGACGTGATGTCTTGCCATGTGAAGGGGCAGAGGATTTTGTCCGCGTTGGATGGAGGTTCGGCTGCCGCTTGGGGCGGTGGGGGAAGGGAGGATGTGAGGGCTGAGGCGACGGTTGCGATTTGGGGGAGTAGCATGGTTGGATTGGGTTGGGTTGGGTGTTGGAGGGTGGTGGGTGGGTTGGAGGGTTGGAGGGAGGATGAGGGACGGAGGGAGGATGAGGGACGGAGATTTTTGTTATGAGATGGGTTCATAGTGGGTGGGGGTGGGTGGCGGCGGGGATTTTTATACTGTGTTATTTACACCTGGGTCTCGTGAGTGGGGTTTGTTCAGGTGTTTGGTGGGAGGCGCGAACAAAGGATTGTTGTGACACTCAGGCGGGCGGGCATGCGTGGTGTGTTGTGGGGATTGTTGCTTGCCGGCACGATGCATATGATTGAAGAAATAGCCGCTTGGTACGATGGTGTGTTGGTGATGTAGGGCAGCGTATCTTTTTTAGATGATTTGAATTTCTCGCTATACACGTAGTAATACGCCATATACAGCAAGCACATTAGGGCATGGAGTCATGTCTGTTGAACGAAATCTAGATTCTATCAATACAATGCTCAACCGCGTCTACGTCTAGCGTTCTTCCTTCCCTGCTCGTCATAGAAAGTAGAGTAACGGTCCGGTAGCTCTTCGCACATGACGCATTGTGGATCTGATGCGAGGCTCATGATCGAATCATCGGAGCACTTGCCGCATTTCCAGTATAGGATAGAGTTTTTATAATGTCGATATTCACTCAAAATTGATGCAAGATCATGCTTTTTGGAACTTTTACGTGATATATTCTCATTGATAGACTGAGCTCCTGGGTCCGAGTCCAGAGCCCATGGCTCGTTTAAACGGCTGTGTGATGACGAAGAACGAGGAGCGATTATAAATTGGTATGAAGTTGGAAGTCGTGGCTCTATTGATAGGTTGGGTGATAATGAACTGTATCTGGGATCCTCCAGATTGTACAGAGCGTATATTCTCATGATGGCGTTCACGGCGATTATGAAACAAACCACACTTGTCACTGTAATCACTCCGAGGAATAGGACATGAGAAGTAAGTAGCCTCTGCTCAACTTTAATTTGGGCATATGACCTGTCGAGCCCATTGGCCTCGTAGCCATGTCGCAATGTAGAACCATCTCTCCTAGGTGGCGGACCCAAAGATGATCTCGAAACTTCGTCACATTCAAGACTAGACGGTGTCTTGGAATCCTAGGCTTGGTGAGTCCAGCTATTCAGGAACTCGAATATTGCACGAACCTTTTTGGCTTGGCACAGCTCGACATAGTCCTTCCACGCTTCCCACTCTGCAATCTGGTTTGCGTGGTAGGATAGCTTCCACTGGACATATGCATAACGCAGTCCTATGATCCCTATCACTAGGGCCACTATGATCGTACCCATCGCTGTGACATATTCCCGGCGGCGGTGAGCGACACGGTCGTTGCAAAGGTCAGGTCTGCAATTGAGACCGCACATCCAGCTTGGCCATCTTAGGGTAGGGACAAAGTTCGTAGATAATGTGCACCATTTGGTCCGCCGATCCGTGTTGTCTGGTGGATCGCTCTGTGGTGATGAGACGACATCAATTTCCCCACTATCTGTGGTATGGGTGCCATCGGGAGGTTGCTGCCATCTGCCATCCACCCGGACGTCGAGCTCAATAGGAGAAGACGCTCGACTCATCGGGAGTACATAAAAACATTCATACTAAATGGAGATGACTGAATACTGCCTCAGGTGTGCGTGCTTAGATAGCCAGCTCTCTAATACTTCAGTGGACGTCAGCTCGAGCCTTGTGATACCTCAATTGGGTTAAAGCGAGAATGGACGCCGCTGACCTCAACGTGCATGACTAGCTTGAGACGTCGAGCCCAAGGCAGAATTATATGAGCGAGTGGATTAGGATGATAAAAATTTACAGAAACAAGCTCTTTGCACTGGATTGCCTATTTGGTGTTTTCTGAGATTCACTTCTGAATACCGACTCATCTTACGGACTACATCGAGGTCTTTTGAACATCACCTTCGCGGCGATTGAGGCTTCGTCCGACAGGAGCTCCATTGAATTATCTAGACAATCAACTTCTCTCCGTCATTAATTCTGGTCAAAATTCAAGTGCATGCATGCTTTGTCCCCTTCCTGCTCGAATTGTGCGATGTCTTCAGCCAGACTTTGATCCCCAAACATGTCGCCTGGACGTTGATGCAGAAAAATTTGCATGATGCCAATTTCGCGCATTGTATGATGTGTTTGTTGTCTGCATCGTGCATGTGTCACAAAGGATCTAGTGCTTCTGCTGAGTTTCCCTCATCAGAGGCACAGTCTTGGGCTTGCGTAAGATATCGGCCATCAACTCCATGTAATCATTGTCATTCTTCATATCATAATACTTGCTGATGTGGAGATCCAGTCTAGCATCTTCATATGGTGTTTCGAGCTGCTGCTTTGATAAGCGTCCTTTCCCCCAGCGCAAGTTGAACAGAATGTAGGCGAATGAGAATTTGGCGTCAATGATGCGCACCCTTGTACCACTAATCGAGACAAGCCGAATCTAGATCCTTTCATGTCAGAACTTCTTTCAACATCCCCTTGATCATTGGCCTACCGGAAGATATTCAAAGAAAGGCGGCTTCTCATTGAAAACTCTCGTCTGGTTACTCTTAGGAGATCGAATCTTGGAAATGTCTCGAGAGATAAGGGGAGAGTACCTTCTCCCCAAATCGCCGATCAGGTTAAGTTCGATTGAGCACAAGGAGTCAGTCCCGGATTCAGGTGACTGGATTTGCTGCGGATGTGTGGCAATGATCACGACATGTGGGTTCGGCGGAAGCGGATAACGCATGATCTCAGGAACCTCCGTAAACACCACATTGAAGGTGACGGGTACACCACTTGCGAACATCAGCGTTTCCATCGTCCAAGGCAGGTTCAGTCGCTTACCCTCGCAGGAATCTTGCCCTTATATTCGCGTGATCCGGATCATACTTATACCAATCTTGGTTGAGCCAAAATATGATTATCCGTCTGATTATACCAGCACGACTGATGTCATAAAGGAACCTGTTTCTTTCTTTATCATCTTTTTCTTCATCATCTTTTTCTTCATCCGGTTCACGATCATCATCACTATTACCATAGTAATGTGCAATAACCTTGCTAGGGAAGTCATAACTCTCGTTTGTTGACAGCGGCTCTGCTGGCTCCCATGACTCTCGAGAAATGTCTATCGTTGTACAGCTGCCATTTGCTAGTATTTGTCCGTAAGTGTCGAGATCGATCGCCGTAGACATTGCATGGTCTTCGTCCTTGAGCGCCCGGAGCATGAATTTGTTGAGCTTGACTACATCTCTTTCAAGAGTTGACCACTCGTTCTTGAGCGCAAGGGAGTTCGCTTGGAACGATTGCATGTTTTGCAGCCAGAGATGCCTTCGTGTTGGCACTAGTTTTGAGCATTCGGATGCCTCTCTAAAAGAAGGGTATCATGTTTAGCGATGATCGTGACCTGAACTTTTAAGGTGGTCGATTCTGTGAAGGGAACAGCCGAAATTGACCATGACACTTGTAGCATTCCTTTGTTTACGGTGCGAAATAGGCTTAGTGTTAAAGCTATTCCTAAACCGGCGATCTTGTGATCTTTTCCCCTCGAAGTAGATCGATGAATACTTACAGAGACGAGGTAATTACAAGTCGTATTCAAATATTGTAAGCGTCTGTGGCATCTTCGTTCAATTTTCGGGTATGAGAGACATACAATGAAGCATTCCCAGCCACGTTCTTAGAGCCTGCCTGCGCAAGGAAGAATTATGGCAAAATTTCCAGCTTTGTTCACAATGGCTCAAAGCAACCGGAAACGGTCGCGCTTGAGATCATGGAGGGTTTATTTGAAAGTACAGAGCTCAGCACAACGCCTATTTCGTCCACACTTGATTTTCATTTTGGCAATTGTACGTCTCTGACGTCGAAGTACCCAAAGGTTCTGTTCAAGGTGTATACTTGGCCTGATCTACGACAAACAGATTGAGAACTATCTAAATGATGCGCTCAGTCGCTATCCCGGTTTCCTCCATAGCTCGAAATGCCACTGAATGGCACAATAAAATCCTGGCAGATCCATCTGAACCAGTCTTCCGAATGAATGGGCAGATGAAATTGCATCCCGGTAGCTCTTTTTCAGATCAAAACGTCCTATCAACCAGAGTCATCTACAATAGATATCCTCAAAAAGGGGAACTTGAGAGCCAACATGGAGACTTGATTCAAACTACAACCACACAGCTAGTCAGCAGCAAGCTGACAAAGGATTTTGGCATCCTTGAAGACGCAGTCTCGCGATCTGAATATTTCGAGAGTCCCACAAAAGAACTCATGAAAACAGCAGGCCAATGGGTGCCCGCGATAGAGTGCATGCATTTGATCGTCACAAGGGCTACGGAGGAGGAGACAAGCTTCGTAAAGCCGTCTGAGAACCGCCCAGTTACGCGATCCCAATCGCGACTCATGCCTGCAAAGGATACCGCCATCGACAACCAGGTCGAGGAAGACGTTGATTCAACTGGCCAAGACTTATCGATACTAACGATCATCTCAGATGAAAGTGACCAGGAAGAACAGTCCTTCATCCAATCGACATCTCATCGGCAGGAAGTTGAAAAAGAGAAGATGGATGAATTCGTTTCCGGTGACGAACAAACCGTGAATGCAGTCCTGATATTACTGATCATGCCCCTAGCTAGCATCGACGGCGTCTACGGACGCGTCAGATTTGACCGCCGACAATATCGTGTCATCAATGAGAAAGAATGCATATTCTCAGCCAAAGTCGACGGTATTGTACTCGGTCAGTTCCAGGGAAAGCCGGAATATCTACGTACAGTCACTTTCTTCGAAGCCAAACGGGCACTCTCAAGATCAGATGACGCAACGTATAGGCGCCAGATTTGTGCTGAAATGGCTGCAATCATTCATAATGAGGATGACCTAGGTTTGGTGACAGCTCCTGAAAGTCGGTTTGATGACGATGCCGACGAAGCAGGGAGTGCGAAAGAGGCTCGAACGCCTTACGTCAGTTGTAAAGATGGTACGAGGTAAGATTTGCGTCGGCTTTAGTGGTCTGAAATATGGATGCTGATGTATTCAAAGGAAACGCTGGATGGTATGCATGTGGGGCTACGAAGGCTTCATTGTGATAGCGACGTACGGAGAAGGGTACGTTAAATTTTTGCGGAACATTTCGTCGCCCGAAGAGGACAATTTCCTTGAGATGCAAGAATACGGTCCTTTCGACCTCAGAGATTGGGTGGTGGGATTGAGACCATTTCTGACTTCCATCGCGGTCTTATTACATGAACCTTCAAGACCTTGAGACTCGACGAGCAGACTCCTGATTGCGCCCGCGCAAGAAGATGGCGTCCAATGGATGTGTCCAAACATGACCAGTCTGTTATTTATCTACCCTTATCTCTCCACTCTTCGCGCATCCAAAAAGCCACTTCTACCTCCAACGCAACGCACATTAGACACATTTTACCGTCTCCAAGCCCCTCTGCTCCACCATTTCCCATTCCCCCAGCTCCCCATCCTTCCAACCATCGCCCTTCTGAGCCAAGGACGCTCACTCCCACAATCGCCTCGCCCACTCGACTCCAGCCACCTCACCCACCATTCCCACCTACAACACCTCAACCCATCACCTTTCTTCCCACTTATTGGCGCAGTCACACCAGCTCTTGCCCCTCAATCCAGCCCTAACTCAACGCTAACCCTCTATCACTCATCAAATGCAGAGATGAAAATCATAGCTGTTCCACTCCGATGTCAGGAGAAAAAGAAGGCAACAACGCGAAAGAAACGGTGGGGCTAGAAAGTATGGGAAAAAGAACCTAGCTGCGGAGGGTTCAGGAAGGAAGGGTCTAGAGGGAGCAACCCGTATAAAGACGCAAAGAATGATGGATGCAGAGACTGTTGCAGCCATTTGGATATCTCCTGGGCATGTGATAAGATCTTGGGGGTGCTGAGGGGAGGGTATGGTGGGCTGTTTGGGGTACGTACCGGGATGTGCAGAGGTGGAAATGGGTACTTGGCGCATTGTGTGTGGCTTTCTGAATGTCGTGCTGTCGTTTAGCGCGTCTGGGAATTCGCTGCCGGTAGGATGGTGTATATTCATCTAGAGGAGGAAAGCTTTTGGAGGAGGCGGCGGATTGCAGCCATGGTGACAAGCAGGGCTGCAAATATGTCTTGGGGGCGTATCTCAAGTTCTTAGAAATGCTGAGAATAGAATTTAGCGGGATAGCTTTAGAAGGTGAAGAGGTGCAAGAGGCAGAGAAACGTAATTGGCCTGTTGGGCGTCGATGTAGGCATGTCGGGCCCGTGTGTGACGAGGTGGACAAGTCTTTGCGCGCTGGATCGTCTGGGTCGGGGCAGGGAGCGCGACGCACGTAATATGGTAGCGGTGATCGCGTGAGGGATACATAGCAACGCGGTCAATATACGGGATCCGATTCGGATGGCAGCAGCCTACGAAGGTTGGTGGGTGAGGTGGTTCGCCGATCTGCGCCACTGGGCGGACGATGGCGGTCGCAAAGGGGGTAGGTAGTAATCAAGGCAGCATACGTAGAGCAAAGAGACTCAAGAGGATGATTAATGAATGATGTTGTTGTGTTTTAGGCTTGCTGCTGCTCGCCATTTTGTGGTCTAGAATACTATGCATGTCATGTTCCCTGTTTTTGTGGTTGCCTCTATCTTGTGCCCTGCCTTTCACGGGCGGCTTTGCACTTATTGGTGGTTATCTGATGTTATTGTAAGTGATGCATCTGGCTATTGCTGCCTTTCGTATCCATGTCTCGTCATATTCTCGTCGTTCGTCGTCTCGTCGAACCCAAAACCGGGCTGTCTTCTATGACTTCTGATTTCTTGGCGTCTTTGGTGTCGATGGTGGCTTTGAGGCCTTGGATCCCTTACTTGGCGTGTTGGTGGTCTGTTTGCTCTTCTCTGTCGCTGTCGCCTTTGCCTCAAGGTCGCGGCAGCGCTTCTTGTGCCCATTGTCTGCCTCACTCACACCCCAGTCCATGATGTTGTGTCCATGTCGGCGAAACTCTTTGAGCTTGTGCTTTTCATCCATATTAAAGGTTCCTAATTTATTCATGTGGAAAATTAGGCGGCCAGTTGCCGGCTTCTCAATCCAATGCACATAGAATCTTGCGATGTCGACATCCCAGGCGCAAGAGAAGACAAATGATTTCAGTGCACCAACTTTGTGTTCTTCGCCTGCGAGTCGCTCTAGTTCCAATTGCGCATTCTCCATAGCTGTACCATCCCGTAATGCCTGGATTGCAGCCCATGCGAAAGATTCCTCAGCGCCTTTATTCTCAATCACCATAAAAGGGTGGTCGATACCTCTGCAGATATTCATAAGTAATTCGACTTGCTTGGTGGGCAACGACGTCATATTGATAGGCTTCCTTGGCTCCAGACCAAAGGTGAAATCTGGTTTGGGATCTTTGATCCCAAGTGAACTGTCATAGTCTGGGTTTTTGGGGAGGCAGCCGGTGACCCATTTTGTTTCTGGCACCATCTTGAGGCCATCATCCTTGAACCAAGCAGCAATATACTTGATCTCATCCTCTGCATTGCGTTTCGTTGTCGGAACGCTCCGATGTGCCGGCAGGTACTGTTCCAATTTTGACTTGGTCCAGACTTGATTCTCGGGTTTGGGATAATCTTCCTCCATGTCCATGATGAGCTGTTTCGCAGACTGGTCTTTCATCTCAGAATGTCGATCAGCATCGTAGACTTTCTTTATCTCATCTCTTAATGCGGGAAATTGGTCGAGAGTTTCGGCGCTCTGATGCAGAATCATGCGATGGCACTCAAGGGACCTGGTGACATTCTCGATGTTCTCTGTCTTGCTCGACATAGACGCACCACTCGTGTAAGTTTCGCCGTCCTGACCCGACATTTTTGTCTGGTGTTTTCGCAAAGCACGTTTCGTCAATGGAATATCACCTCGTAACCTCTTCGTACTCTCCAATCCCTCACCTTCACGCCTGCGCTTCCTCGAATTCGTAGGTGATGTATGCAGAAGACTGTGCGACGACCTTGAAAATGAGTCCGAGCGGCGTGGCGAAACAGCTGCTGCCTTGGGCGGTGACGGTGAAGAGTGAATTGCTTTATCGGAATGAATCTGCGAAAGCCATTCGGCGACGCTGCGTGAAGACATTTGCGGTGAAGAAACGCGATGAATAATTTACTACGAATGCATGTGGGTGGCAATTGAACTTTTGCGATGAAAGCAGGCGCACATGGACTAGGAGGGGTGGAGGGGTGGTGGGGTGGTGGGGCGCGAGTGAGGGCATACACAAACATCGGGGCAGGGTTGTTCCGACCGGGCGGAATAGGCCGGCGCTAAGACTAGATCGAGAGTTTGTTGCCCCTTTTTTTGAAGTGCCAAGAGTCGCGATTCGCATTTGGGAAGCAGATCGTTACGATGCCAGCCACGATGCAGTCTTTGCGGGATACCTCGTCAGTATTATTTGAATTGATCAGATTCTCTTGTTGAGCCGTGTTTTGTCCTTGGTATAATCAAAATTGAGAATGCTTTTTAAGCATTGGTACCGATCTGCCTAGTATCATCCAAATTGTATGGCGACGATAGCATTTGGTAGCAGTGCAGTAGCTTTCCTGGGTCAGATCAACTTCTTTCGCGATGTTAGAAGGGTAGAGTCTAATTTGTTCGGGGTTAAAGAAAACTTTGTAGTCTTGTGCGTGAACTCTGCAACAGGAAGAGTTCTTAGACCACACTCGAATCTCTGGCTGAAGTTTCTCGGAGCACAGATACGCCACATCAAGACCCTCAGGACTCATATGTTCGCGAAGTTCGTTGGATTTCTTTATGCTCTGAACGTCAGGGTGTGATATGCCGCTGGGAGATCTTGGCGGACGGCGTACGGCTGCTGAATGTAGGTTGGGGCAGGCAAATATGGCGCTAGAGTCTGAAATTGCTCTTTTGAACATGAGGGAGGGCGCGTCTAGCTTGGGTTTCATGTGTTAGAAGCCAGAAACGGGCTCAGTCAGAGGTAAAAAGTGGTGGGAACTTGCTTTGCAAGATTTCCGAGCCACTGCTTTAAGGCGACGGACAGGTATTTGGTCCTGATCTGGTAGGTTTTCGATCTTGAAGAAGGCAAAACATTGAATCTGCAGAGACCCACTTTGCCGGTAGCAGACTTGAGAGCATGGTTGTCTACCCGGATGCGGATATCTTTGGTGGTGCAAGAGGCGTGAAGCCCAGACGTAGAGCTCTCTTTCGTCGCCCGCTATTTTGAGAGCTTGGAGTTTTGCCTACATTTATGTATTCCGAAAGAAATTAAGGAATCTATTTGTTTTGCAAGCTCTTGCTCCACCAACCATATATCTGCAAAACGGCATTTCCGGCTTGATTCCCATATACTCAGAGAAACAAAGGCATGGTCTGATTGTGTCAGGCTCCATTATCTCAGCGCTATGCTTATGGTTGCTCTCTTTCTATCTTAATGAATGTTCCTCACTGCCCTCCCTATCCTCTTGCATAGAAAGACGTAGTACTTCCTACCTATTTCGCTCCGTGAGACTTAGTATTGTCCCTCATCCTTCCCTTCGCTGGCACCTGAGATCGGTCCAATGTCAGATCGATGTCGAATTCCTTTGGTTTCAAGTGTCCACGGCCATGATCGCCAACCATTCTATCGATGGTTGCAAGGACTTTTCCTGGTGAGATTCGGTCTTCGGGTTCCCATTCCGTCATGGACTTTATGCTGTACAGCAAGGCCTTGTCTGCAATGCTCCCAAGCGCGATTGATCCCAGGAAATATTGTAACCGCTCGTACACGTCAGGATCCACGCGCTTTGCTTCTCCATGGTCAGCAAATTCAGCCCATCGAAAACGTCTACCGATCAATATTCCGTAGAATGAAAGACCCATGGCCCACGTATCCACCGATCGATCATAAATCCAGACCTCAAGATCTTCCAACTTCTGCTTCTCGACTTCGAGAATCTCCGGCGCATTGTAGGCCAATGTGCCGATTGGAGTCTCTTGACAAGTCTCGTGGTCGATGATCGCTTGATCAAGATCTATTATGACGCCTCTCGGGTTGTTGATTGTAGTCACTGCCAGGTTTCCCGGTTTGATGTCACGATGCATGACTTCGCGCCCTTCGTGCAACCAGTCAAGACCACTCAGAAAGTCTTTCACCAGAGAGAGTTTGGCATCCGAATCAAGATCATACTCTCCGATCACATCAGCGAGGGAGAAAGATGCTAGGGGAGCGTGGACGTGAAAGACTTGGGTCAATTGGGAGGCTGGACCTGGAATCGGAACGGTTTGTACCAGTTCGAGAACGTTTTCCTGAAATAGATTGAACATATTAGTGAAAGGTCATCAGCGCTATCTGCATGGCAAAAGTAAAGGTAAATGCAATGAGACAAGGCTTACATGTTTGCCAATATATTCCATCAAGCTTTCATGATCTTTGACCTCCGCTTTGGTGTCGTAGGCTGTCATTTTGATTGCAAAGGTGTCGCCCTGATCATCCCATGCGGCGAATATTTTGCCATAAGTTCCCCTCGCAAAATCCTTTTGGGCGGCGCGGTATTGACCAATTCTCCTGGTAGCTACGACAGAACCGGGGGTCATGTGGCGATTGATCACCGCGCCCTTGCCTGCTTGCTCTTTTAAGGTGAACTCAAGATAGCCTTGGAATCGGGGTTGTGACGTCAGCTCCTGGAATTCGAAGGTGTATGCGAAATCGTTGATAACAATTGTGTCCTTGTACTTGAGAGCATGAGTCATCCCTGGGGTAAGTATTTTACCATTCTGACTCGCCAAAATCACAGGATGCTTCGCAACGATGACGAAGCGACCGCTATCAGGAGCAAGCTTCAGAGCAAAGTGCCGGGCTTCCATACCCATGTCTCGATATTTTGGCCCTGGGGGTGTTAGTAGGACGTCGACGTCGGCAATGGGGCCTCCGGATCCCATTATCCATCCCTCTTTTGGATTCTTTGGTGCTGCACCCATGGTAAAAACGTACCCTCCCGCCCAGCGCACCCGGTTCTCCTCTCTTCGGGGCGAAGCTGCAATTGATTGATTGGCTGCTGCATTGTGTCCGCGGTTGTCTTTGGTGACTGCCATCATGTAGCTTTGCGCATGATGAAAAGCCTTGTCCTGTAAAGCTGCCCTCAACGCTCTGTCGAACGCTTCGTGCGATGCTGCATTTCTTGGTATTATCTTAAGGAATACCTGGTCTTGGTCAAAGGCAGCCATCCGGCGTAAGAAAAGCTCGGTGGGAGACGAGAGTGAGAGTTCTTGCAACGCTGGTGTGAGTGACATGTTGGCAATGCTATTCGTGATGAATGATGAATTGGGTTTTTTTCGACAGAGTAATGGATCTTAGTAGGGTGTGTCTAAGGAGGGTTTGCTCGAAGTGTCACCTTTCCGAGTGGCACAGATGCAATCTTGAGGACGCAAAGCGCCAAGGTAGCACAACAGAAGGCAGGAATAGGTAATTTGCGTTATGTATCACCAGTTTGCAAGACACGAAAGTAATTCCGTGGATGCAAAGGGTGAGAAGTATCACAAAAGAAGGCAGACGCAGTATGTGGAGTAACACAGAAGAGGCAGACGCAGTAAGTGGATTGGATCCGCGATGGTTTGACACGTTCGTATTGTAGTACAAGGAGGTAGGTGCATTACGTGAACTCGACTCGCAGCGGTTTGGTACACTCACGCTGGGGTACAAAGGGGCAGGCGCAATACCTGGACTTGACTTGCACTGCGTCAACGATTCACGCTGTGATACAACAAAGCCTGATTGTATTGCATGGCTATAGTGTTGTACCGCCATATCGATAGGCAATCTGTACATTTGGGTCGATTGCATGATTCACGCATCGCTAAAGACGGCAGTCACACAGAAATAGGATATCACAATAGGAGACAATAGCTGCTCATGTGTCACAACAGATCACCGTACCGAAGCTAATTCGTAAATAGTTAGCGTCGTTTCGCCGAGGCAAAACCGTCCGTGTCGTGCGAACTTGATTCTTTCGTTTGACAACCACCAATATCGGCGTGTCAACAGATATCGATATGGAGACAGTGGTCGAGACAGAGCCACCCAGTCTAATAGATGAGCTGCTCAGGGAGCAACGCGAGAGGCATGCGAAAAAGCGAGAGAAGAATGAAGAAATTGCGCTTGAGCAAGGCTTTGCGTCCTACAGGGCATACGTGCAACACAAAGGTCAGCGAGCACGGGATGAACGAAAAGATTTGGAGAAAAGGCTAGAAGTAGAAGCGGCATCTCGAGGTATAACAGTTAACCAGCTCAAGCGGGAGAAATGTGGAACCAAGAACTACGGTCGACCCGTCGACATTACCTCAGTCCTCGATCGCGACCTCCTCGGACTTCCGCCCGGTAAGGCACTCTTTCTCTCACTTTGAAATGACACTGACCGAGATGTAGTTGCGCGACCGTTCAATGTTGAAACCCTTGAAGATTATCACTCACGCGACTTGCGAGGATACATCGAACTTTCCGGCTTCCTACATCGTGTTGAGCTGGATAACATATGCATAGAAGACAATTTGGAATCTCATAGGCTGAATGAAACTATGCTACAAAAACGATGGGAAGACCTTTCTAATGGGCCAATATCGATCATGCCGCCGTGGACAGAGAATGACGCGGTAATGCAGAAAATCATCAAAGTGGACTGGGAACGCAAACTCGCCGAAATTCCAGATTATAGCCTGGATCATGCCATGATTGAGCAAATGTATACTCCAGAGCTCACCGAATCTGTTTGGAGTCCGATAAGTCATGGCGACGACTCAGAGATAGAATATCCTTCGCCGACTGTCAACGTCAAGAAGCGACGAAGATCTTCACGCGAGATAGGTACCTCGTCGTCATTGCGAACAGTATCTGGGCCTCTTCATACCTCAAGGCCAACACATGACACGTCAAAGATGGAACGATCGAGATCGTGCCCGCCGCCGCCAAGGATGTCATCCACAATGGAGGAGATTGTTGAGAGCGGCGTTCCGGAGCCCAATACGGAAGTGAGCCAGAGTTATGGCACCGCTCATTCCTCTCCCGCGCATTTTCAGGTCGATACGCCTGCTGCTGATTCTTTTCCGGCAGGAAGTCATGACCTGGGCGAGAATACATTTGAGCCACTGGCGATGCCTGGAGCTTTCATCATTTCAACTCCCCGTGCCTTACAGTTGTACCAAACGGGTGGCCAACGCACAGATAATGGAGAAGATATCGGCGCAGCTCTGAAAGCTACCATGAGCAGTATGGCGGCGTATGCTGCAGCTCCACTTGGGCGGTTATGGTCCTCATTTCCGAATATTTGGCCGAACAACATAGACATTGGATCGAAACCCAAAGCAAGACATGTCCCAGGAGAGTGGTCAGACGACTGACTGAACATGATGCATAGCGTTCTACACACATATTTCATTCAGTCAGGATGGTAAATCAGAGAGAGAACACGACTGAATGGTGAAGAGTAATGGCAGGAAACGAGTCTGGCGCGGCAGGAAGGATGCGTGCCTTTCAACAATCATGCATTTGATCATTTTCAGCTGGGTGTGAACAATGGCAACAGGCTTGACTCAAACGCCTACCCAGGCGATTTCTATTGGTAAGATTGTGATACTTTACTCGCATTTCGATCGCTCTCAAAGGCGCGCTGAACGAATTCGATCAAGTCTTAATCACTTTATTCCAATCCATGCAGATTCAAGGTATTGTACCTCCTTGATTCATGTTCGAGATCGCATGAACATTTCCGTCGCTTGCCATTGCCAAAACGGAAGGAGCAGAGTTGACCGGCTGCTCGCATTCACGGCAAGGTGCATTTGGTCGTTTGCTTTTTCCCAACCACTCCCCCACCTTCGAACATCATCTCTCTCGAACCCCTCGATATCAATATCTGACCTTGCGCTTCCAGATCGCATTGTTGCAGCTTTTCAATGCGGCTTCGTGCTCGTACTACCCTTGGCAGAGATACAATGACGCAGACTGTACGACATCGAAAGCCACAGCGAGAAAGCAATCGCAATGCACGACCGCGTAGGACAAGAGTTCCAACAACGAGGGCGCTTGAGAGCGAGTCATACGAAGTATGTGATTGCCTTGTACCCCCTACGCTAAGACTTCAATTCCGTCATTCTGATGATTTCAGAAGCAACACTGGTATCGCAGTCCCAGAGGCAAGGGTGGCAGAGCTTTGCTAAAAGAAGCCGACAAGCAAGCTATGCCACCACATGCAGTAAATGCATCGCTCCCCCCCCTCCCCTTTCAGCACATCTGAATGACTTGTCTCCAGTACAGTTCAAACCATCGATCTTCGCAACAAGCGCAGCCCTCCATGACAACCCCCCGCAACAGCCCCAAGGCTTCACCACCGCAACCAAAACCTCGTACGACGATGAACCCACCTCTACCAACCACACCTCCTCCCCTCCCCTCGCCCCTGCCTCCTCCACTCTCTCCCCCGCGCAATCATCGCCTACGTCAACAGAGCCAGATCCTTCCGACGCCAAGCTGGCCGAAGTCACTATCATCACGACCCTCTGCTGGCTCGAGGCCATCGGCACCATGGCGCCCCTCGGGAGGGGGAAAATGAATCGGAAGATGGAGGGGAGAGGGGTGAGAGGAGTGAGGGTTTTGTGAGTGATCGGAAGGGTAGAGCTGGGGGTGTCCAGAGATATGTGGCTCGAATGTGGGTATCTTGGAGGACTCTGCATGAACCTGGAGTCGAGGTATGGCCATGTCTGCGTGTGTGCAAACAGCTTCAATTATTTTCCAAGAAAGCTATGAGCTCATTGTTGTCTGCTGTCTCTTGCTTTGTTCTCGGCGCTGTGCTACAACTTCATCGCCGCAAGCGTCCATCCATCCATGCAGACTCCATTGTCCCTTCCTCCGTCCCCATTCCCCCTTCAACGCATTGTTCCACAAAATAGGTCCCGATCAGATGCGTTCATACCTCTGACCTTCACCACATCCTCGTCACTATAATCCCCCTCCCTCTTTCCTAGTGAATACCCTCCATAGCTCCGTCACGATGTCTCACAGAACTCTTTGCGTGAATAGACCCACTGCTTCACTACTCTTGCTTTTTGAAGTCCATGTCTCACTCGAGTGTATTGTTTGCAGTTATGTGAAGCTCATGGTGAGGAAGACTGGTGAGGCGGGGGGAGGTTTGGTGATGAGGGTTGGTGAGGGTGCCGTGCACGATGAATGCATCCAGTCATTCATCCGTGTGCGAAGGTTTCTCGTAGTTTCACTGCGGTGGCTGGGTATTTAAGGTCGCTCATTTCTCTGGTGTTCTTGCTCTTCTTCTTCTTTCTTTACTGCTGTTGTGGATGTGTAAATATGGGTCCGGGGCTTGATTGCGGAGACTTCTTCTTCTCCTGCTCTTCCTCTTCTCCTCCTTCTTCTTTTTTTCTCTCATCCTCATCTTCGTCTTCCTCCTCCACCTCTTTTTCTTCCTTTTGCTTGTCCTTCTTCTCCTTGTTCTTGTTGTATTCTTTGTTGAGGACTCGTACAAAGAAGCCCAACTCGCCCGCGGACACAGTAGTGCAGCCTCACGATGAGTAGAGATCTGTTGTCACTGACTAGTTAGTACGGTAAAAGTCCAATGGTCAACCGATGGACAAGACTAGGAACGTCAGTCCAGTCAACAAGAACAAGCAGACCCAAGAGAAACCTACAAAGCAAGAACTGCGCGTCACTGTTGACGCAGCTTTCTGCCACCCGTACGGAATTTAACATACCAGACACAGGTAGCCGTTGCTTTCGGAAATTTGACAGCTGATACGCGAGAAGTAGCCTCTCGCCGAGAAGCACTCCCAGCGATGGGACCTACTGACCCTGGTCCTTCTGCCAGCCGAACCATTCAACGTACCAGAGGACGCCCTCACGTACATCAGATCCTACATGGATGGAGTCCCTTCTCGGCGGTACTAGCAGGATACTCAGCCGGGAGCCTGACACGATACACAGTCCATTCCGACCCCGACTTAAGCGTCTCAGCCGCGTCCTCCGCTGAGCCGCTGGACGCTAAACAAGACTTATCACCATGGAACTACTCAGGAAGCTTTCGAGTCCTGCAGGTCCGTCGTCCACAGCGTGTTTTCCGGGAGATGCTCTCTTGACCGTCAACGGACAGTGTAAGACGCGTTCGAGCTATATCATGGTCCTTCAGTGACTGGTGCTGTTGTCTGAACCATGCGCGTGAGGTCTCCAGCAAATGAAAGAAGGGCTGCGCTAATTTCAGCAGGGTCATTCAACAAGTCATACTGGTGCCTGATTCATGCCAGTACGATATCCAGAGAACAGACAGAGACCTACGTGACGGTCAGCGAGGTCATCGAGCGCTTCGATCCCTTCGTCGATTGAAGAGGGTCGACGACCAGATAAGACGCAGGTAGCCCTACTTCTTCTCACCCAGCAACCCTCCCTTATCGTACTCACGCTTTGGGTATTCCCATCGTCTACACCTACACACACAAACATAATGCTCTGCCAGAGGGTTTACTCTGCTGGCCGTGAATTACGTCTGGGTCCTCGCAGATATAGAGCCAACCTTTGTTCGTCGTTAGAAGTGAATCTGAGAGCTGTTGGCGTCTCGAAACAATAAAAATATATATCAACAAGCCGCCCAAAGATGGCGAAGTGCCAATCAGTGCCAATTAAATTGTCGCAGAAGTAACGAAACGTTGCACGGTATTCAAGATGGTGGAAAAAGCAGCCAGGCAAATTACAAATCCTTCACGGCATAGGGTTTGACGTGTAGCAGCAGTCTACTTCGGCATATAACATATGAGGTGACGATCCTAGGATGGGACTCGAGCTCTGCAATAGTTCGGACGCTGCAGACAGAAAATCTTGAACAAAAAGCTCGTTCAACATTACGTTCAACATTACCATCATCATATCTGTCGATGCCGATAATCTCCGCATGCAAAATAGGACCTGAAACTCTATGACTTCAACCTCAGATACCTCCAAAGAAAAAGGCGAGAGAACACCATGGAAAGGAATAGACAAGCAGAAGCCTTCGAGATCTTCAAACCTGCAGCAATGTAATCTTTTATCCACGATGGGATCGTCAACAAGCTTCGAAACGACTGGATGGACTGTGAAAACATCTCTTCACAGACCCACTTTCAAGGTTTTGGTGCCTTGTTCCCAAAAAGCAAGACATTAATGAACCGTTGGGTCAAAAGACAAGTCTCGATGCTGTGAAGTCACATGCAGATAAAGGCCTTTGATACCGAAATCTGGTCCTATACTTAGCTTGCAGTCAGTCTCATGCAGCTAAATTGACATGAGAAGGAGACGATGTCTTGGCTACCTTCATTAGGACCAGATGTCCAATAGGACGTATGCATACTGGTGGGAAGTCTTAGCGAACTTCCAAGGATCGAAGAGAGGACAGCTACCAGACTGTATTCGCTTATCGCAAGAATACCAGCCGTCTCATACGTCTCTAACTAGTGGGACTAGATACTGATCGAAGAAATAGACTCTCCAGTGTGCTTCAATCTCAGGTAACGGTTGACTCATTCAATCGCTCATGGGAATGCTGTTATTCGGCAACGAGAAGTGAAAGCTTTGTTCCCGACAAAGAACCACTACGATTTGGAGAGCTTAGAAGGAGATATTGAAACATAGAAGCCTCACGAGAAGACCATTTGACACGGCCATAAAAAACCGCATCTTTCAGATAAGGAGCGACACAGCTTGTGGGGAAGTCACCTTCAATCACGCAGCATATTCTGGATCCACTAGCAAGCTGCTACCTCTCTCACGAAATGTCGCCGCGGACATCGGACATTCAACGAAAGGGAGTCGCTACTTCAGAAAGGAAAGGAGGTGTGATCGCCGACCTGCAGCCTAAGATAGAGTCCTACGTCAGGTTTGAAGAAAAACACCTTCAAGTCGATGAGCTCGGAGCAAAGAAAAGGCTCCTACGACATGGTGAACTCCGCGACGGCGTCCGTAAAGTTGACTTCTCAGACTACAAATGGTCTACACACCACAAATGGTCTAAACGCCACAATTCTTAATATAGAGTGGGAGCTTGACACACCAACCATCGCACTCGAAGGACTTTTCACCAACCCGTCGACGACGAGTTGCATCGACTGTGCAAATATACTTAAAAGTGGATCATAGACTTGAACCCAATTAAACCATGGAGATACCGTTCATGACTCCGAGAACAACAATCAAGAGACTCTGTAAGCGGTTTACAAAGGTGCCTTCAGCTGGCCGTTGACCTGCCGTCGCTCATGGAACAGTAGGCAGCTAGACTCGACGAAACGTACAAAGACTTATGGAAGAACAGTCTTGAAGTCTCGTCAACTTACGGTATTAGTGAGAGAGGCACCTACCCCAGAACGTATGCGATGAAGGCCGGGGGGCAATCAACCAGGATCCATAAAACCCACTACTTGAACATGTCAAGCAAGAGACACAACATCTCGCGATGCTGCTCTTTGCGAAATGACAAGAGGAGATCAAGTTTGATACTATATCATTCGATGACTACATATGAGCATCCATCTATCTTTGGGGTTTATTGACGGCTTTCTGTGTAGTAGCTTCTACGTTGGGCAAAGAGATTGAAGGGAGGCGATGCCTTCTCCGTCTCGGAATATTTCGCGCATGATTTCGCTTTGAAGTTAGATACCCTCTTCTATTAGTGATAGCATAATTAGAGCTTCCTTGATTTTTTGCCCTCCTACTCCCCTTGTGGCGTTCAAGTTAAGTTCGCTTATACTTTATGCGTTCAAGTTCATGCGATGAGCTTTCCCTGCTGTTGAACGATGACTAGCTTAGATTCGTTTAAAGGAACTACTGACGGCAGCTTGGCTGTGTGGTGGAAATCAGCCTTAGACGCGTCGGTGTAGTAAGTGATGTGGGATTAGGATGAGGTAGAGGGTTATGTAACGGCGTATGGATAGAGAGAAATGAATTTTTTTATATGTATCTTCGTTGTGTTTAGGTTTTCTAGTATTGTCTTACTATGATGGTGTATATGGTTCGATTTTCCAAGACACCTCTACCTAGGATGGTGTATGTGATTTGACTTTCCAAGATTTCTCTAACATGCATGTGCGTTGTTCCAATACTGTCCATCCAGTTTACCAACCACCCGATGGGTCGATGACCCATCTACCCCGAGAATATTTGCAGTCATTAAAACTCGCTTTTGCCTCCACGTCCGTAATGCCCCAACTCTCCAGAACCTTTTTTACCAACGGTTTTCTGAAACTTACGTGGGCTGGAATGTCTTCCATGCGCTCATAGACGTTACTGCCATCATAGTGTCCGCGTAATTGAACATCAGCCTTGAGAAGCTGCTGAACATCGAGCCTCCAAAATCTTGATGCCGAGGGACTTGTACCCCAATACAAAGCCAGCAGTAATCTTGGGGCAGCTCGAGCAACTCGAATCATGTCGTCGCCATCTTCCGGATGTGGGTCAAACCCAACTTGACCGTCCTTCTCTATGATCTGTTTTAAAAGAATCGATTTGTTCGAATAGGGAATTTTGAGCCAGTAAGCTAAGAAGATGGCAGTCTGGATGGCTTTTTCTAGTTCAATCCGGTAGGCTCTGAGCTCAATCGGACAGTTGCGTTGTCGATACTTGAGTAGTTCAGTCATTAAAGACCCATAGCGGGAGGGGCGTGACTTGTCTTCCTTCGAGCTTGCGTGCATTAGGTACAATCCTATGGCATTTAGGATACAGTCCATGGCTTGAGGCTTGGATATTTTGTAGTTATCGGTATCCAAGAATTGACTGGGCATCTTCGTTAATTTGAAGTAGATGAGCCCTTCGATACGTCTGTCTTCAAGAATTTGGTCTCGAAGAAGGCCTTGAGTACTGGTATCGGCAATCCGAACACCGTCCACTATTCCGCGAAGCGCTGCGTCCTCGATATCTTGGTCCAACCTTCGAAAAACTGTTTGGTAGACTTTGGTTCGGCAAAAAGGACATGTCTGTTTAGGTGGTTGTCCTCCGTTAAGCCACTCATTGAGGCAGATAGAACCAACTGTGTGCCCACAGTGCAAGGTCAAAGGTACTTCTTCAGTAAACTGCTCATGACAGATATAGCATGTATCTGTGTGAATATCAGGATATTTGGAATGGTTCAGCTGTCTGGACCCACTTCGGTAAGCTCTACCTCGACAATAGAGGCAAGTGTCTTTGAGTTGTCGTCCTCCATTGAGCCACTTATCAAGACAGTTAGAACCTAAAGTGTGCCCACAGTGCAAAGTTAGAGGTACTTCTTCACCATAGTTCTCGTGGCAGAGGTGGCATCTATTTGCGTTGAGACCACGGTACGTTGGGCGATCAGCTCTTTCAACTGTCGCCGTCGGAGAGCCAACGCGAGCAGGTCTCGCCACCAGTGTATCGTAAAACCAAGTGGGCTGTGTACCTGCAGGGGTGGTTGCTGCTGGAAGAGAAGCATTCTGAGAAGGCATTCTGTAATAGATTTGTGACCGAGCTTGTTTTACTTTGTAGACGCGGAAACTGTTTGCTGATGATGTAGGTGACTAGCTAAACAGATTCTTTTTCAAAAGTAGCGTTGGATGTTCGGCAAGATGATGTCTGTCTTGCGAGCCAGTCGAGAGAGAGATATTGAACGTCCTTTTAAAGCCAATGGGCGTTTTCACGCCAATGTTCCATTGTTTTGGTAACGAGAGAACAATGGCATTGACTCGTGACAGAAGATCAGTCACACAGGTGCTGACATGTGAGACTTCGTGTCGCCGTCTTTGTGTCGTGTAACAATGATATTGATCATACCTCATGGTCTGCTAGAATTCTTTTATCATAGATTGAGGACGCGGACTGGTTGCAAAAGCTTTTCAGTTCAATTTTCAACTCACAGAAGCCGAGGTAAATCGAAGTTCGAAACCAACATGGCAGCAATCCGTCGCCTAAAAGGCATTGATACCCGAACTTGTCATATCTGCCATGAACAATTTGACGAAGAACCCGTGGAGGCGCCGCTGACGCTACAGTAAGTACGCCTTTCCGTACTCTGGTGGCGAATGCCTAGACAGAGCCAATGCACTTGTACTGACCATACTTGAATTTAGCTGCGGTCACACATTTGGATCCGTTTGTATCACCAATTGGCTCAACAAAGCCAACGAGCCAGGCTGTCCATTGGTGAGTACTGACAACTATCGACCCCTAGGTTCACCGTCTCGAAAACCTCAAATTTACTGACTCCATTATAGTGTAGAGTCGACGCTTGGCAAGCGAAACCACGACAGAAAGACAAAGATATCGAGGACGCTGCACTGTACGGCCTGGTAGAAGGACAGACGATAGAAGGGCTGCAAGAGCTTGCCCAAGCCCTGGTCTACTACAAGTTGAAAAAGTTGGATGTTTCGAAGCTGAAAAATGGTCGAGAACTCAAACAGCAACAGCTTTACGACTGTGTCTCATGGTCCATCAACTACTACGTGGTCAATGCATGGCTTGACGACAAATATTCTCCTGAAGGTGACATGTATCAGCGATTAGGGTATCAGCTGATCGAGACATTTGAGGCAGAGTATACGACAAGATTGCAGTCGATAGAGAAAGAACTCATTGAAGCTATCCGTCTGGGGCTCGCCAAAGCCCCGAGGCTGAACGTTCCCATGTCTCAGCGCATGGCTGCAGCTGACCGCCTTCTCGCCCCAGGTCTCATTGTGGGTCATCCAAGCGAGGACGTTAGAGTGGGTGATAGGTACGCGCGCTCCATGGTCCCTAGACTGATGGCATTTTTATCGCGAGTTCGTGAATGGCCTTCCGATCCAGTCAACTTTCCTGTCTGGAGACCCGATGTCGAAGCAGCTTTAGAGGCCGATCTCCGCGATCAAACTATGGATTTATTTGCGGTAAATGCTTATATCATGCGAGATCTATCTCATCCTCTAGTGACGCGAGATCACATCAACCAGACTCTACAGAGCTGGGGAGTCACTAACTTTGCGGCAAGGTTCGACAGAGAGACTGGGCGAATGTATGTGAGATAATCGGACGTGACTTGGCGGGGAAACAAGTAGTATATATATTTAATGATGATTTCTGATGTCAAAGTCCTCGAAACTTGCGTTTCTCATACCGTTGAAAAGAGAAAGCAGGCTGTCACTGGAATATAGATTTTCCACGGAAACAATTCCGCGCTTCTGCCTGATCTAAAAATAGGGAACGCGCTTTCCACGTGTTGTGGGCTTGGCATTCATCTCATCCACCCGAGTTCTCGCAACGTAGGAGGCCTCACTCTTTGCTTCTGTGATCCTCTATATCGACAGAGACATGAGATGCCTTCCTCCGGTGCTAGTGCCCCACACCCTGGGGTTCCCAGCTTCAGCACGTCTAGCTCCACACCATCACCTTCGAGATCACTCTTTGTTGCCCCGACTACCAGTGCTGCTACAGGCTCTGACACTCGTTCAACCAGTATCAACGGCTCTCCTATCAACATGTTCACTTTTTCTCGATCTCCCAGCTCTGCACAAACACCACCAACTCTGCCGCTCTCTGGACAACAAAGACCCTCTGAGATTTTCCCCTCTAGATCTCGACGAACTAATGCCGGCTCAGGCCTTTTCGCTCCTCTGACCTCTTCATCGCCATCCTTTGTAGCTAGTCAGTCAGCACCAATGCCCACCTTCAGTGCGACAACAAGTGCGCGCGGTGGTGGAGCTCCCCCGACTTCACTTTTTGGCGCGCCTTTGCCGCCTCTTGACTATTCTGGCTTCTCCTTTGGTACACAAACAATGGGGTCAGCTGTAGCGACATCAGAAAGCTCCACAACACTGACTGCAACCCCATCAAATGTGACACAGACTTCGACAATGTCTAATCACCCACCACTAGCTGCTGCGAGCTTAAGTGGTGCATTCAGTACTCGCACTTCAGCAAACTCGCCCAGTGCGATGCAGAACAGATCAGCGGCTATCAATAGACCCCTAGCAGGCTCCTCTACCGTGCCTCAATTTGGGAACATCCCTGCCCACACAGCATCTACCGCTGCAGGTCCTCAATCGTCCACTCAAATTCCTTTCAGAGGCTTAGACACACCAGAATGTTTGATCTGCTATGAATCCTTTCTTGATGGGAAAGAGGCGCCTTTGACGCTACAGTACGTATGAATTCTTTATCCCGTCCAAATGAACGCTCGATATCAATCTTTTATTGCCAATGCTGATCTTGCGCTTCCAGCTGCGGTCACACCGTCGGATCGCGCTGCATTGCGAAGTGGCTGAACAAGACCGAAGATGGTGATAAGACTAGTCGGACTTGCCCCTCCTGCCGCGGTGAAGCATACCGTGTGATCCCGAGACAAAAAGACGAAGCAATCGAGAATGCAGCCCTGTACCAAAAGGTCGAGGGTGAGGTCTTTCCGACATTTGACGCAGCTCTCTCGGCCTTGATCGCCAGCAAAATGTTTAACCTCGACAGCACCCAAATCGCTTCGACGTACAAACTTCTTAACGAACAATACCTTGACTGCATCGTCAGTGCAATCGACAACTATCTTGAAAAGGCTTCCGATGAGGCTGACACGGAAACTTCCGCCATTTCTGGAAAACCTGGTGGCCCTTATCATGGATTCCGAAATGCCGTGAAGCAACATATGCTTAGAAGCTCTTTCACCAGAAGACCCCGCTACGAGGAAGAACTGACCCTAGCGATCGAGAAAGCCATTTATTCATGCCGTCGGTCAGAAAGCCCCATATCAAAGCGAATCGAGATGGCAAGATTTATCATCTCCAACCGCGGTCGATTTGACCCACGTGAGGCTGACGGCAAAGTCGACCTTCGCGATGCTGCAGGGGCCACCCCTCGACTAAGGCTTGTTCTGTCAAGGGGCTTCTACCATTATCCACTCTGGAGGCCAGATGTCGAGAACCTTATTGCTGTGGACTCCATCATTCCCCAGAAGCTCAGCAATCCAACAGTTCGACAGGACGTCGACAATGACCCTTCTCAGCCATCTTTCGTGAAGCCGTTCGTGAAGCGGACTTTAGAAAGCTGGGGTATCACCGATGTTGAGGTAAAATAAAGCGCAAGAACACATGGCATACAAATACTTGCGCATTCAATTTGGAGAAATATCTGGGAATATTGGAAAGCCAGGGTCGTCGGATACGACTTTCTACTAAATTGTATCAATCTTGAAGATTCGTCATCAGCTTGCATGGAACTTGCATATTGGAACCTTGTGATAGATTCAAATCAGGCCATTCTGGAAACTCATTGAACTTGGACAGCCTATCAACTTCTATTACCAATTCAAATAGACTAATCGTCTGATAATTGGTGGCGCAGAAAGGCCTCATTCAAAAATCATAAAGCTGGGTAGTCACAGATTTTGTCGCAAGATTTGACGAACACGCTATGGCAATGGTTTTGTGACGAGACGCGCATTGATCTGTATATAGTACAAAAGAACCCTGAGTGAGGGTTGATAGAGACCAAAAAATTCCTCCCCTTGACACATCGATCTTGGTTCAATTCGGTTTCTTCCGGGCGGTCAAGGATCTGCGAGTTGAGGTTTCGTCGTCAATGCATACACATAACTCCTTGCGATATGAAACAATCAGCAGCTCCGGCTCTACATTGTGTTTCAGTATCAAGCTTGTCTCATCTTGGCTCGATCTGACCCTATCGCGGTTTGGGGCCGTTCTTCGATGCCGGTCTCGCCCAAAAATTCCTGGCGGTTAGGGTCTCAAAGACGGAGACCATTACCGCCGGCCCCCTCTGCCGGAACATTATAGAAATCACTGGGATTCTAACCAGATGTTTACTTGAATTTGATTGCTACCCTTATTCAATGGCTCATGCTTACAAGATAATGAAGACTAAACCTACAGCGATAGTACAAACAACGCCTGTCAAAATCAGATCCGCATTGAACAAGGTCGATTCCTACACGACGGAGCTCATGCCCGTACCGTGATAAGACATACTACCTATTCCAGTCTTGTCATTCCGAGGTTCACTGGCTTTGCGCCATCACCACCAATGGCCTCTCCAGCCAACGCGACCGTTAGTGCTGACGTCGGTCGATCAACTGTTGAGAGTTCTGCTTCAAGTCCGTTTGGTGTCACCGACTCACCTTCAGGGTCTGTCAGCTCAACTGAGCCGTTGTCAGATGCATCTTTGTCCAATGAAGAGAGCGAAAACATTCGAATCTCGCTCCTAGGTATCGACACCCCCGAATGTAGCATTTGCCATAAGTCTTTCAGTAAAGGAGAAGAAGCGCCTCTCACGCTGCAGTATGTGGAAACCCTTACGCATCATGATTGAGCCGCAGCGGATCATTTCAATATCATTGTCAATCGTTTCGATTGCTAAGTTTGGGTCTTTAGCTGTGACCACACATTTGGATCTAAGTGCATTACTAGATGGCTTAACATGCCCGATAAGCCTCGCCAAACTTGTCCTGTCTGCAGAAGTCAAGCTTATCGCATAGTCCCACCGCAAAAGGATATAGCCATCGAGAATGCAGCTCTATATCGAATAGTCGAGGGCGAGCGCTTTGAAAGTGATGACTTGGCTCTCTCGGCTCTGATAGCTACCAAATTGCTGAAGCTTGACTCCGCCAAAGTGGCTCCAGAAACCGAACTGCATAGTGACCAGTATATTGACTGCATCATCAGTGCAGTCGACTATTATCTTACCAAGGCTCAAGAATATGAAACGGAATTTCCAATTCATTTTTCTGGGGTAGGCTCTTACAGCGGGCTCCAGGAAGCCGTAGAGAAGCTCAAACTCAGGAGCTCTTCCATCAGAAAACCTTTTTTTGAGGAAGAGGTAGCGGCAGCGATTAAGAAAGTGATCTTCTCGGATTCTGCACTGAATGTTCGTATATCAAAGCGAGTGGGTTTAGCAAACCGCATGTCATCCTGGTGCGGTCCAATCGACTCAAATCTGCAAGGAGATAAACGATATACTCGAAGAGCAAAAATTATGACCCGACGATTAATATATGTTCTATCCTCAGAGTTCGATCATTACCCACTATGGAGACCGGAAGTGGAATTGCTCTCGAGTCTTGATCAGGACAGTCTAAGAAGATGGAAACCCGATTTTCGCGCCACCCATAAGGATTTCAACGCCAGTGAAGATTTCAAAGCCCGTGAGGACGTCGATAAAGACCCCTCCCAATTTACCTTCGTGAAACCTTTCATTGAGCGTACACTCGAAAGCTGGGGTATCACCGACGTGAAGGTAGAGTGACATTAACGGGAGTTCGAAGAAAATGGCAGAGAGAGAGAACTACACTTACTGTGCCGGGCAATTTTAGATAGATGGGCATTATGTTTGATGGGGCATGGATCGTTTTGCAACAAGCATAGCACAGGAAATTCATATCATAGATACAGATAAAGCTACCCTGGAAAAATTCATCAAGTTTGCACCGTCTTCCCAGACCCTGCTGCAACTTTCTCAAACTCGGCACTTCACCATCGGTCATATTTGAGCGTATTCAAACACAATAGATGAATGGACTTGTGCATTCTATAAGTATTTTGGACCTGAGTCACTGAACAAGGATGGGATTCAAGTAATGGGCGACGAAGCCTTTGTAACAGGGGACTTATAAGACGTCATCATGTTGAACATTCAAGTGGTCCGGAATCTTAATTATCGATACAAGCGTGTATCAGCACTAAGTCAACTAAACGAGGATAGGGCTTAAATCGTAGGAGACAAGGCGTTATGATAGTAGCTTTCGGGAATTATTTGTTTTTGATAGCATTAAATATAACTCTTTCATTTCAGGTGAAACAAGAAAGATACAATATTAGTAATGAATGAACATTCTTCAACGGTAGCAATGACTATTTCATTTTGAAGGAAACAAGAAAAGCACGATATTAATAATAAACAAACATATTCGGTAGTTTAGATCAGAGGAGCCAGTAATACAATGGTGCAGACATACGATGCAAATCAAAAATTCTTCTCAGAACGATTATGGTAAATCTCTAAACACTGCCTCGGCATCACGCTCCACTGTCCACGTCCACGTCCCCCTTCCCCTCTCCATCCCCAATCGTCCCCACTATCCCCACCAAATCATCAATCACACACTTCACAGCCAGTAAACTCTCCGCACTTGAACCACGTGCACCAAGTAACCCATCGATCTTCGCCTCCAAAGCAGAATCACTTCTCCCATCCCTCACAGCATCCTTCAACTCCACCATCACAGCGCCCAATTCCCTCCCCGTCAACGGCAGCGTCGTCGCCACATCACCCCAAAGTCCACTAATCTCTCTTTCATTCTTGTGTCTCGCAAGCTTCCCTTGATATTCCTCTCGTTTCTCAAAACGGTCCAGAGCCTCATTCAACACCATCGCCTTGGTGAGCTGCCCACCATCTTTTTGCCCCTCAATCCCGATTTCTGGATGCTGCACTAACCACGTGCGTACGAACTGGCCTTTCATCCACCTCTCCGCCTTCTTGCCGCCGCCGCCTCCCTTCTTCCCCATATCCCCCTCACCCTCATCCTTATCCTTGGCCTTGCTAGAAACAAAGACATCCCGGCGGAAGAACCTGCACCGCACCATCCACACAAACAGCTCATCCAGCGTCGCAAAACCCTCCTCATATCTCCGGCCACACAGGCCGAGGAATGAGAAGATCTCATCAGGCACTGAAGTCAACACCAGGACACCATGACGCTTACTCACCTTCTCAATCTCCGGCATCCGCAGCTGGAGCCCGCATTCTGAGATAGCTAGGTCATACCGCGTCGCCATCATCCCGAGCAGCGTCCACAGATCGCCGTATGAATGCAACACTGTCGCCCAGGGGAAGATGTCCAGCTCAATTTGCTGGACGTCGAGCTGGAAATGCGGTTTCCGAGGATCCCTTCCGTGGTCCAACAGATCCGCATACCTCTGTTCGCCTTCCAACAGGCTGAATGGTAAGGGGATGGCGAAATGGAGGGATGTGCCGTTCTTGGTGAACGCGTTGGCGTTTAGTGACCATTGGAGACGTTGGAGGTCGACTTCGTGGGGGTGGTGGGGGGTGTGCACGAGGATGTCGACGTCGCCGTGGTCGGGCTTTTCTGGTGCGGGAGCGGGGATGATGGGGTGGGGAAAGTGATCTTGGATGATCGGATGGCATGTGTCGCAGACTGCGGAGTACTGCGTAGGTGATAATCGGACCACTGAGATGTGGGGGTGGGATCTGGTGAATACTGCGCCGCCCATGGTGGTCGCGTCCTTTCCCTTTGGTTGGTGTCAGTGAGGTCTATTTATCTATGAGGGCCTGAAAGCGCCTTTTCGACCGAGGTTTTGGTTCCAGGGAAGGTGTTATTGGGAGGCGGAGGAACATTCGCAGGCTGGTGTTTGAGTGCCTAAGGAAATGGACGCCACACCTACCGAAGGAATGGCTCTGAGGCTGGGGATGTTAGACGAGTGGCTTTGACCGATTCGTCTTCAATGAGCGATCAAAAGGGCCGAAATGCTCAGAATGGGTCGTGTGGTGACACTATTATTTACGTGACTCATGAGGGCTGTCCGTGAGGCGTCGCGCCTTCCGCGTTTAACACAAAGGTAAGTCCCGCCCAAAAATGCCATCGTGGTTTTAGGCTCGTTGATAAGCAGCTTTTACGACATCTTCAATGGCAATATTACCCTGGAAGTTTTTTGCTCGGCATACGATGCGTGGGCTACGTATTGAAGGTTGTGTCTTGAGGTACACGGCCCAGCCAAAGTGATACCCTCCGTGCAAAGTCTGCGGTCAATGACGATAATTCACAACCTGAAAGCTAAGGCTCGATGAGTTCATCGTGGTCCAGATGGTACGCGGAGAATTGATTTGACTGTAAAGGGGTCGTGTTGCCCTCAGTACTGTCGCTGTCGTAGGGCGGAACAGCGCTAAGAATAGATAGAGCTTGTCTTGCTTCCCCAGATTAAGGTCTCGAACTTGCGTTCATCACAGCAAGCGATTCGCGCTCTAGTGACTTTGGTGTCTCATCCTGTAGGACCAGACAAGGTATTCAAGGAATTGAAGTATCTCTTTCGTGAAGACGTATACTTCCTGAAAGCGATATCTATGTCGAGTTTTTCTCAGACCAAAGTCCCTTGTCTCATACGACGATCGAAAAATGAGCACGCTTAGCTCTGTGGTCTCTTTCCTTCTATTACTTCTTGGCGTCGCAGCGCTCGACTACCAAATCACGTGCATGCCGTTCCAGCACAATCCTAGGCGCACGACAAATGTGCAAGTGGGTGCCGTCGATTGCTTTCGCACCTTTTCAGACATGACACGAGAAGACAACGCCTCCGAATTGTCAACATGGCAGAACTTTCAAAGCTCGGATCCGACAATTAAAATTCTGCCCTTTCACTGGGGCGTAATTCAGTGTCAGACCAAGCTCCTCGTCGATACTGGCAAGCAGCCCTTTAGCGACCAGCTCACGATCAACAGTCTCGTCGCCATTGCTGTGCAGATGTTCGACACATGCATATTGAGACCTGCAACAGGAGGATTGGTCCGGAATTATGGAGGATGGGTAATGGTTGGCAGGAAGCAGGATATTAAATTTGAGCTCATCGTGGGCCAAATGCCGAACGCGGCAAATGAGACCACTTCTGGCAATAATACGGGTCCAGACAGTCAAGATACTCTATACTGAGAAGTTTCTGGAATGGACTCGTTGTGAGGCGCAATTGGATGTTCGCACTCAATTTCAGCAGGGAGAATTGCCCCTTAGACCAACATTTCAAAAGGTTGCGCCAAGCAGCACAAATGCACTGTGCTGGAAAGTTGAGGAGTGTGAAAGGGTCTTCCAAGCCCGAATGAAGAGGATGAGCATGGTGGTTAAGCAATAGTTCAAAGACAATGGAAGGGTCAAAAAGGCAAAAGCATAGCCGTGGTAGTCGCTTAGAGAGAAATGACGCCGTTTCAATCTTGAGCAACTCTCGACATTCCGAGAGCAACTATTAAGATGTGATAATGGCCCATGAAACGATTCCATCCGCTTACATAAATGGCATTGAAAGCACACTGCATGTAAAGGAAGCACAAAAAGGTCAATAGAAAGTTTCGAATTCGAGAGAGCTGCTGACTCAGTGATTATTAAGCTTATTCATGGCAGTGGACCAATCAAGGACCCGGAGATTCGGATGACGTAGCTGGCCGGATTCTTCTCCGTCTCTTATTGAGCAACCATTTACAGAGCAAGCATCATCCCAATACATCAGCCGTCAATTATCCGCGTATGGCTCCTCATGATACTCCTTAGGTCGAAGTGGGACATCTCTATTTCCATTCGACGCTTCGTTGTGCGGGGTGTGGAAGGACGTCTCGTATGGCTCCTCCGCTTGTGGTGTGATCCTAGCAAGATGCCTACGTGCACCCGATACCCAATCCAGCGTCGCTGAATGACCAGTGACACGATTCTGCATCATCAGCTGGGGCATTCAAAGAGCACCAAAGTATGACAACTTACATCCCAAACCACAACCGTCTTCTCCGCCCACTTCACGCGCGCCTGGAAATCCGCCCCGAACGCGATGTGATCGAAGAGGAACTTGAGGAGCACGTCGCTCTCTTCCTTCTTTAACCCGACGATACCGCGGGTGACTTCGATGCATTAGAAGATGTCATCTCGCGCTCTTATGGGCTGTACTTACACTGCGGGTTGACGAACAACGCCTTCTCCCCCGTCGCGGGATGCGTCCTTACAAGCGGATGGACGTGCGTCACCGGCTCCCTCCTTACAATAGATTCCCTTGAACGCGCAGAGTCCGCTTGCTCGATACCCGAATGCACCGCTTTGAGCCCATGCAGCCTCTCGCGGAACGCGGGGCTGAGTCTCTGATATGCTTCCGCTTGGTTGACGAACAAGGTGTCACCACCGCTGCTCGGCTTGTCGAGCATGTACAGGAAGGTGGTACCTGGTGGTTGTTTCTCGTACGTCACGTCGCTGTGCCATGCCACTGTCGAAGTGCGAGTCTCGAGGAGAGTCTCGCCTGACTTATCGTCTGTTCCGCGATGCACCAGGTGGATCTCAGGATGACCTTCAGGGGCGCCGGAGGTTGGGTGGATGTGCAGGCGTCCGAAGTACTCGCTATATTTGAGGGCGTCGCTGATGGGCAGATCGGCGAAATCTTGATCGCGGAAGACGAGGACTTTTCGTTGGGCGGCAAGCAACGCCAACTGATCTTTGCCGGCGTTCGTGAGGCTGGTCAACTGGATTCCGGAGATTGTTGTGCCAATGGTAGGCGTCAGTTCTTCGACTTTCGCAGAGGGTCCTAGTAATTCTGGGAAGTTCTTGTCTGCGTCCAGTCCATGCTCTATGTGGTTGAATCGCTCCAAGGGTGGATACTTATCATCTGGGTTCCAGACAGGGAGGTAATTCTTGTAATGAGCACGCGGATGGTGCTCATCGCCTTCTTCTTCCAATTTTCTGTTGTAAGTCTGTGCGCCTGCTGCTTGCTCTTTGTAGTCGCCAGTGCCCTTCTTGATGGGAACTGCCTCGGTCTGAGCGTGTGAGTTCGAATTACTGGTTGCTATTGGTGCCATGGTGACAGTTGACACGTCTGGAATCTCACGGTAGTGAACGTGAGAGGTTAACATCTTGGCCTGATGTTGGCTGCTATTATACTAGACGATCCCCCACTGACTTCATGCCAGTGATGTCACGGTACCTGGATACAAGTATGCGTACGACAATTGCACAGATGCTACAACGGAGATAACGTTCTCTGGGCCTATCGGGGCTCCTGGAACAAAGTTGGAGGCCTTTGAAAGACCATGCGGAAAGGCATCCGGCTTGCATGCTATCACGCCATCTCCATGCATTTAGCGTGGTTCGGCAAATTGATGCCAACAACCAAAAGCGAGGAGAACGCTGCATTAGTATCAGTGCTAGACCTTTCATTTCCCTGTCACTTGTCGGAGCTTTAACGTGGCGAAATTGTGTGGGATTGCGACATCTTTGGTCAAAATGATTCCAACAACCTGGAACGAGCTTCACTTGCCTAAAAGCGTTGGCTCGGCCGCTGTTGATGGTGGTCGACGCTGGAGCATCGGATGTCTACAGCAAATGAGAACCAGAACCGATAGATTCTCTTTTCAAAGATCGCATTGTTCAATAGGATCGTAATGTGCCTTGCCGGCCGCTACCACATTGTGTGGATGTAAATGACGACAACCCCTACTGATAGCGCGGATCGCTCTGCTATAACAGACGGTAGCCCCCTATGCCACCATGCACATTCCGCAAGACAGTATCTGACCATAGACTCTGCAAAAATGGGTGTTGATGAGAGCAAATCATCAGCAACAGCGGCGGTTGAGCCCGTGGAAGGGGTAGCGAGACGAGGTGGTGTTTCCAAGTTCTTGTCAGGCCTCAAGTCGAGAGCTCAGGAGGAAAAGTCGACCTTTGCCGCGGGTGCAGGTACACAAGTCAACACCCAGAGCGATGATGGAGAAAGTCTTCGCAGCTTGAAAGAGACTGAACTTGGTGTCAATACTGAGCATGGTCTGGAACAATACTATGTCCCAATTGATACATACGAAGGGAGACATCGGTATGATCCAAAGGCAACATGGACACCTGACGAAGAGAAGGCGTTGATTCGAAAGCTTGACTTTCGCGTCTGCGCCTACGTCTGTTTTATGTTTTTTGCCCTGCAGCTCGATCGAGGCAACATCTCTCAAGCTCTGTCCGACAACCTCCTGAAGGATTTGCACATGAATACCAATGATTACAACACGGGACAAACAATCTTCTACGTCTCTTTTCTGGCTGCTGAGTTACCATCCCAATTGGTGAGCAAGAAGATAGGGCCAGATAATTGGATACCGATTCAAATGATCTCCTGGAGTATCGTCGCTAGCTGCCAGTCAAGATTGAGTGGACGAGCCACCTTCTTCTTTTGCAGATCCTTACTCGGCATCATCGAGGGTGGCTTCATACCCGATGTGATATTGTACTTGAGCTACTTTTACAAGAGCAAGGAACTCCCCATACGACTGAGCTTTTTCTGGGGGGCTTATGCAATGACGTACATCATCTCGGCCTTTCTCGCGTATGGCATCTTGCATCTTCGGGGCCACAACGGCATGGCTGGTTGGCAATGGCTCTTCGCTCTTGAAGGGGCCTTGACAGCAGCAATAGGCATACTCTCATGGTAGATCTTATGCGTGCTGGAGCATACATTCTTCTAACGTTGCTTAAAGGTTCTATCTCCCTCCATCTCCATATCAGACGGCAAGTCGGTTCCGTGGGAAGAACGGGTGGTTTACCGAAAGGGAGGAGGTAAGGTTTAAACAACCAACCATATTTATTCAAAGCTGAAAGTTCTAGGTTGTGCTGGCCAATAGAATCATCAGAGACGATCCTTCGAAAGGCGACATGCATAACAGGTAAGACGATCCTCAATCACGCTGTACTTATATGAAGCTGACTTTCATTAGGCAAGCAGTCACTCCACGCCTACTGTGGGAAGCCCTCAAAGACTATGACATGTGGCCAATCTATCTGCTCGGCCTCACTTGGACCACCGCAAATCAATGCGCCAATGCCTACATCACGCTCATTCTGCGCTCGCTCAAGTTTGACACCTTCGAGACGAATCTACTCACTGTACCTGCGTACGTGCTATTCATCTTGCAGCTCATCTTTTGGACCTGGTTCTCGGAGAAGATCAATAATCGCTACATCATCATTCTCATGTGCCAATTCTGGATCCTTCCTTTGGTAGTTAGCTTAAAGACTTTGCCAGGCGGCCCAGCCTACGCGTGGAGCCGATATGTACTGATCTTGATGCTTGTTGGATTCCCATATGTTCATGCTATTATCGGTGAGCCATCCAACGCATACACGTACATCAAAGCTAACTCCAGCCGTGTAGTTGCCATGACTAGCCGTAATGCTGGCTCGGTACGTACTCGGACCGTCGGCTCAGCACTATACAATATGTGTGTTCAAGCGTCAAACATCATTTCTTCAAACGTAAGGGCCATCTCATTTTCCAGGCGCACCAATCTGACCGCTCTACGTTGCGTCAAAGACCCAGCTGACAGTGGCGGCAACGGTAGATCTACCGTGATAAAGACAAGCCCCTCTATCGGACCGGAAATGCAGTCCTCATTGGCCTTTGCTGCTACAACATAGCGCTCATAATCGCCTCGAAATCATACTACATGTGGCGCAATGCAACCCGAGAAAGGAAATGGAACAGCATGTCCGAAGCAGAGAAGGCAGACTACCTTCGGACGACAACCGATAAGGGAAACAAAAGGTACGAATGTCGCCAGCTGACGTCTTTCAGCTCTGTTAATGACCTCGGCGTAGATTGGATTTCCGCTTCGCCCATTAATGTTGTCTGCCCGATCTTCCACCGATGGGAACGCCTCGTTTCGGCATCGGTGTTTCCCACCGTCGTTCCCGCCGCCCCTACGAGAGATGATCTAAAGTCAATGAGCATATCTACCATGTTTCAGATACAGCCCAGTCCAAGCACCCATTGGACACCGTTCCGATATCGTCCATACCATCAGTGAAGCTTGTGCAGATCAAGCCCTCGGCTGAAAACAGATGACAGATCATCTCCTACCCTCGCGACCCACACATGCTTTCACCACAACGTGCGCAGACTACACGAGGTCATCTCCACATTCCACATTCCCTAATGCAGATTTACCCCTGTCCCCCTTTTCAGCTCGCTTACAAGCTCTTGCGCCAAGCATCGCCCGTTCCTGCTTCGCCGCCGCCATCAACCTTCTTCCCCCAGAAACATCTCTTTGACTAGCGAGACCCGTGAGTCCGTCGACTGCTAACTCTCAGCTCCCCGCCAAGCCTCACGCTCTATCCTCCTAGCGTCTACAGATTCCATAATCAAGCTTCAGCCTCACCCAGCCTTATCAGAGTTGCTGAAACGTGCAATCTCCCCTCCCTTCCCCTCTTGCCTCCTCGTGACGATGATCCAAACGAGCATTCATCTTGCGAGCATAAAAGCGAGCGGGAATCCTGCTATGCTCATCATCTTCTTATTCGGTTAACACTTAGGCTCCCCAAACTTGTCAGCATCCTTATCGCATTATTACCCCCTACGAACAGATCAGAACAGCATGTCAGAAGGTTATCCCTCCCAAGGCCAAGGTGGAGGAGGGTATGAGGGCTTCGTGCCGCCTGTGGGGCCTCCGCCGCCAAATGTCCCCGAGGGCTGGAAGGCCGTTTGGCATGAGCATTATAAGACCTTGTGAGCCTCTCCCTCCGTCTGCCTCCCACCCTTGTTTGTTTGTTTCCGTTCCTCCTCGTTCGCTGGTTCCTTCGTTCCCCAGCAACCCGTCCCTTCCCCTCTCTCCAGTTCTTCACAAGCCCGAGAATGATTCTCGTACTTCATATCTCAACCACCGCCCCCTCGATCCCTCCTCCCTCCCTCTTCCCATCCATCCCACCCCCTACCTCTCCCCTCGATCCCCCTCCATCGACATTCCAGAAAACACCTAACAACCCCCCGCAGTTTCTTCGTCAACCTAACAACTCAGAAATCCCAATGGGAGGCTCCAACGGGTATCGCACCACCATCTGGTCCCCCGCCCGGGTACCTGTCCGAGAGGGATTTAGCTGAGGATGAGGCGTTTTGTGATGGTCATGGTTTGTCCCCCTCCCCTCCCCTCCATCCCCCTACCCCTCCTCCTACCCCTCCCCTTCCCTTTTCTTTTGTTGGTGGTGGTCGTGGTGGGAAGGGGAAAGCGGGGGTAGGGGGTAAGGAATGGTGGGGTAGGGGCAAGATGGCTAACATGACTTGAAAAAACAGGAAGTCCCGACCACCCGGCCGCCTGCGGCGCCAAAGAGCCGCATAAAGCGCATAAATTCAAGAAGGCGGTGAGGAAGTTGTTTGGACGGGGGCATTAGGGTCCTTACCCCTCCTCCCTCTTCCTCCCTCTTCCCTTTCCCACTCTGCGTGGGGTAGCTAATGGGGGGTTTTTGGAGGTGAGGGAGACGGTGAAGTAGGGAAAGAAGGGGGGAAGGTGGGGGAAAAGGAGGGGGAAGGGAGGGAAAGTGGGTAGGTGTACATAGCTTTGAATTAAGACGTGTCTAAGATGGAGTGCATCGTTCATTTTCAATGCCTTTTACGCGGTTGTAGTGGAATCGTTAATAGTGATGAGGAATCGGAGAGCGACGGCAAAGATAGGGGAATGGTGCTATGCTGGGATGGGTTTGGTGCCGTGGCTTGGCGTGGTGCTTGTTTGGGGCTGTGGGGAGGGGGGAGGGGGGAGGGAGGCCCTGGTGTGAGATTGGATGGATGTTTCTTTTCGTTGTATGTTGTGAGGGAAGTATGGGAATTTTGCTGGGATGGAGGTGAGATAAGAGGTGATTATTGATGGAGTAGGCTGGTGAGGAGGCGGAGTCAAGATATCGAGTTGGAGCAGAGATCCTGATGTCTTGCCGCAAAAGCAATGGTCTTGCGAACTCCAAGTTTTCTCGGCGTACAAGCGTCGGACGGACGTGATGAGAACGTTGGGCTTCTATGCGTCTGCACTCAACAACCGTTGAAGATGGCGTAGAGTAAGACGTCAATAATGTGCGAAGCATTCCCACATGTACAATCCCACACCGGAGATCATGTTCTCCTTCCAGATCCGCTCCTCCCAACCCATTACCACCCCATCATCACCCGTCCCTCCCCTCCCTCCCCTCCCCTCCCTCCCACACCCCCTAACAACCCCCCAATACCTCGCCGGATCAGCCCTGACATGGGCACAATGGCCACTGCCCACAAACTTCTCCCTGCGGACCTCAAACCCGTTCTCCGCCGCCTTCCTCGCATGTTCCTCCACAGCCTCGTGTGGCACCATGACATCCTCCTCAGAGTAAATATACACCCTGCGCATTTCCGTCCTCATCTCTCCCTTGCCTGTGGCGGGGGTGGTGGGGGTGGCGGGGTCGTTGTCGAGGAACGCTGCTTTGACGCGCTCGATGGGGTCGGGTGCGCCTGTGTTGTATAGGCATCAGTATCGGTGATGCGATCCTTCGACAGACCGTACCTCTCTACGCCCAGTTTGTCTGCGCCAGAGAAGAGCAGTAGACAGCAGAAGTGGGATGGGATAAGGGTGGGGCAGACTAACCAAAAACCCGCATAGCGACCGCATACCCCACGGCCACGACATGGAACAACAAAATAATGGCCCAGCGCGCAACGAGGGGCACACTACCCTTCTTCGGCACCGAAAGCCACAGCGCCGCGAGGAGCAGACTCAGTCCGCTGTGGCCGGGGCAGGAATCGAAGATCGTGACGTGCTTGGGCAAGGGTGCGCCATTATTATTGCTGGCTTTGCTGTATGCCCGGAACAGCTTCAATGCTTGGTTGGGCCCGCCGTTGGAGAAGCCGTGGAAGAGGATCTGGGGCTTGCGGTCCTTGTTTGCGGTTCCATTGGAGAAGGAGGGGGCAGGGGTGGAAGGGGAGGGGAAGGGGGTGGGGGTGGGGCACGCAGCTTTTATGGCGGCTACGGCGGGTGCGAATTGTTTGTCCAGATCGGTGAGATTGAAGGGGACGATGTCGGGTGGTGCGGAGCGGATTAGCAGGATCGGGACACCAGGGTACAGCGCGCGGTAGCCGGTCAGGTATTTTGTGATGTGTGCAGGGGCGGCGGAGAGCCAGGTTGCGAGGAGGATTAGTTGTGGGGGGTGTGGGGAGGAGGAGGGTTGGGGAAGGGACGATTTGAGGGAGGGGGATTTGGTGGAACCGTTGGATGTGGCAGAGGACTTGGTGGTGGTGGTGGTGGTGGGATCATAATAGTAGGTCGCTGGGCCTATTTCGACAAAGTCGGGGAATGCGTCTTTGGGACTATTGCTGCCTGTCGAGGGGGAGGAAGCCATATTGCAATTGTATCAAGGAATGAAAGGAAGAGAGAGATGTTGTGTGACTCGAGAAGGATATCAAGATCAATCAACGTGCATGCATCCAGATCTTTTAATGCATACGACTCGGGAATATCACCCGTCCGATCCATCTCACCTGCATGAGATCGTGCGGCGGTGGGATCCTTCAGGAGCAGTTCCATGCTAAGGTAAGCTCCTTCTGCGTACGATCACTCGCTGTAAGCAGAGCCTATGGCTTGATATGCTCGCACAATCTGACGTGGAAGAGTCCGGCGAATATATAGTTCACTCAACAAATGCTAGTTCGGGTCAACTTTTGCCCGATGAAGCAGAGATGCCGAGGTCCGAGGCTTATGTGAAATAGGGCCGGCAATTAGCCCCTTTTGGATAGGTCGGGATGTGAGAATAGATTAGGAGATTGAGGATCTGCTGCTGGAAGCATAAGACACGAGTGCTCTGTTGTGACGCGTTAACGTTCGAGTGGTTCGGATGGATCGTATGCTTTGCGGTGCTTCTCAAACTCTCATTGCGGACTGCTGGATTGAACACTGGTGTTGTACAAGAGAGAAGTCAAAATATGTCGAGAGCTCTCGGCTCTATTCTTCCCTAGGCCCAGCCGCTGATACAGTTCTAGTCGCTGTTCAGATCGCAACACCCCTTGGCCACAGGTAAGGCTACACTGACATAAAATTGCGGTCTAAAGGCTGTTTCTTTCATTGAATCATCGCATCAATGGGAAGAAGAGCAGTTCAGTCCATTCTAGACACAGGACTTAATTATCAATTACAACATATACCCTCATATCTCATCTACCGACCAAAATATACAACAATCCCCCCCACCCTACTGTATCGCAATCGGAATCTTCCTCGCCATCGCCTTCGCCTGCTTCACAAGCAGACTCTGATACTCACTCGCAGGATCCTCACTATAATACACAGCATACTGATCAAACGGGCTCGTATCCGTGAACGGTGTGCCGAACTGCCAGACCATATTCCCCGCGATACTCGTCTTCTTCAGTATCGTATCGTGCCATTGCGGCAAGAATTCCATCCTCAATTCTGGCGTGGGTGCGGCGTACTCCTCAAGGATGACGGGCTTGTTGTATTTCTTGCCGAGGTAGTTGTGCTGAGATATCCAGGTCGAGCCCCAGGTGTAATTGTAGCCCCATTCTATGTGTCACCGTCAATGTCAGTATTCTTTCTTCCTCAAATTGTGAGGAAGGGCTTTTTCTCACTGCTTCACATTCATTGCAGCAATCGAGGGAGGAAACAGGGGGGAAGGGAGGGAGGACTCACGGTTTGGATACAAATGCACAGTCCCATAATCCAGCGTCTTAATCTGCAGATTCCGCTCAAAATCCACCCCCTCATACCCACTATACGCATACGTCCCATCCCCGCCCACTACTCCCCCTCCGCCCGTGAACACGGGCGTCAACCACCCCTCATCCCCCAGACTAACCATATGCCGCCCCTTATCCACGCCCTTAATATACGCGCTCACGTCCGTGGCCCAAGTGGTAATCACGTCCGTCGAGCAGGTGGAGCAGCGCGGCTCATTGGCCAGTTCCCACGAGAACACCGCGTTAGATTTCCTGTACCTCTCCACTATGAATTTGATGTACGCTTTGTAGGCGTTCTGCGCGGCGGTGTTAGTGTAGAAACCGTTATGGTCCCCGCCGTAGGTGTTGGTGTACGTGTTGATGCCGCCGAGATCGTCGAAGTTGTTGAGTAAGGCCAGGATGAGCTTCAAGCCCAGTTTCTCGGCTTGGGCGACTACGTAGTCAAGGCGCGGCACGCCGGTCGCGGGGTCCAGGTTGAAGAATTGGCCTGAAGAGTTGAGCGTTTGGAAGTAGATCTCTGAGGGGTAGCTGGGGGGGTTGTTGAGGGTGCCGAAGCCCCAGACGCGGACGACTTTGAAACCGGACTGTATTGGGGGTGTCACGTGTGATTAAGGGATTGGGCGGAGAACATGTCAAGGCAGGGAAGGAGACTTACGCTGGCGATCTCATTCATTGCTTGGTCGACGTCGGCATTTGTGGGGAGGTGGCCAAGCCACCAGGCATTGACACCTGCCGGGTGGTCAGTCAGTAGGGAGGTTAGGCTGTGGAAATAGTGCACGCACCGGAAAAGTATTGCGGTCGGCCATCAATCTGGAACAGACGACCGAATGGTGATGGTGGGAATGGGAACTGGAATGCGCGCGCTGAGATGGGACCGGTGATGTGGGAAAGTGAGGCGGGTATGGCGAGCGCGGTGCACGTTGTGTAGAAGGCCCAAAATAGGGATAGGACGCGGAGAATGGGAGACATATTCTGTGGAGAGAGAAGGGAAGTGGAGGCTGGCCGTAGACATCTTGATGAGATGGTTTCCTTTTATGTTGATGGGTAAAAGAAACTGGATAGGGGAGGTCTGTAAATTGAGCTGCCTATTTGGGTTAGAGGGTTATCATGAGTATTGATGAGATGTCATGCATGGCGCAGAGGTCTAGACTGTGACCAATATAAGGTTAAAGCCACCGTTAGCTGCTAAGCTTCGCTAAAGAGGCGGCATACTGTTGAACGACGAGGTCGTCGGACCTTGAATGCAGTTTATAGCCTGCAGGGGCATTGTTCATGAGGATTAGGCTCAGGAGTTCGAACGGGGGGACAAAGGGTACATCACGATTTCTTTGGAAAGACAACGTTGGAATTCGCAGGCCATGAGACGCATTGCAAGGCTCGTGGGTAGGTGCTAAGGGCTGCGTCTTCCCCAGATTTCGACATGACAAGTGCCAGTGCCAGGATCTAGATTATCCAATCTTCTAGTGCGGCAGCAGCAACGGCGCTGCCTCCAGGAACGAGAGACTCTATTAGACTAGAGAGCCTGACTGCATGGCCGTTAGCAGGCCTCTGAGCCAATAAGGTAATCTGGCAAGCATGGATATTTGACAAGCGCGAGTGGATTGGCGCGCATGTATCTCGCGCCATACCGAGCCCCACATCGGCCCAAGTCGGCGAGAGTCTTTGTAGCCTTTATAAGTCTTTTGACCCTGCGATGGCATGACAGTTGCATAGATGGTAGAAGACTGGTGGTTGTTAGTGTCTATTGGATCAAATTCCAGTTCGCTTACGCTGCCAAAACGGGAAAAGGGGCAATACCACAGCAATATGCTTCTCATGCATTCTTCTGAAGTAGTAGAGTCGTGGCTTGACCATCTTGTGGTAGTCAACGTGAAATTGATCCATAAGAGTCTGGATGCGCCACCTACCATTAAGTATCTCCTGATCCTCGCGTGGCTTGAAGACCTAGCTCGAAGGTTCCTCGCTTGATTCCTGACTAGTGACTTTTGGCCATGGGCCCGTTCATCTTCTCACTTTGAGATCACTCTTTGCTCGGTGAGTTCGCATGAGATGAAGTGCGCATTATGAAGAAAGGGTCAGAGCTCGGAACATTCATTATCGAGGTCACGTACGAAGTCGGAACAAGAAACATAACGCCGTGAGATGAAGCAGGGACGTATTGAATGCGCTGCTATATGATTTGAAAGATCCCTTTGCTGGTGCGTAGGCCGCCAGGATGTTTGATTCACTGCACCTCAGTGCTTGCCACAGTACCATTACTAGCCCCTTTATTGGTCACCCCCGGTCTCGACGGCAGATCTCCCGTGAGATCGACGTAAAACCCTCCATCCTCCAGCCAAAATCGACCACCGACTGGGGCTTTCTCATCCGACACACAGTGTTGCAGAATGATTGATGCATAGTAAGTTACGCTTATGAGCGAAGTGTGTGCTGCAGCATAGCTCTCGGGGGTGTTGACGATCATGTAGCAGGGCGCACTTCCACCAGCTTCCCAGACCTTAGGGACGAGGACCCCTCGCCGCTCAGGAACGTCGGCGGTGTGCCAGATCTTGTCAATCAAGTAGTCGAAGTCTGACTCGGCTTTAGTCTTGCCAATTGCGGCGAGGCAGTCTTCGAAGACTATGGGAGAGCGATGGGCAGGGTCGGGGCTGGTTGAGCAGTCGAGGCCTATCTTATTGGGGGTTGTCCCCGCGCCGATGCCTCCGGTCAGATTCGAAAAGGGGGTTGATGTGATGGGCAATAAGAGCGAGTCCGGAATGGCGTTGGGTGCCGTCGATTGCGGGAACGCTGCAGACGGGTTGATGGTCAGGAATGTTAGGATGAGTTGTTGTAGGAGCGAAGACATTGCGGTGGGTGCGATTTTGTGAAAGTGATGCGCGCGCCGCCGTCGATCAATCCACCGAAAGTAGTGAAGAGGTGAGAGTGAGATGTTGATAGCTTGCGTTGCAGGCGCAAGATGATCGAGGCATTTCTAGGTGACAATTTTAGACCTCAGTTGGAATTGTATCATGTCTAGAACATGACTGATCCATGTGAGACATGACTTCTCGCCCGCATGTTGGCAACATTGCTATCACCCACAAATGTCGCATTGATAAGTACTAGACTGGCATGTAGACGAACAGCTTTGAAGAATCCATATGCTCGACTTCATCCATCATCAGTTGCACCGATGCTTCATAGACCTACAAGCTTCGATTGTCGCTGAATAATCGCTGAATAATCGCTGAATAACTCGGTCCAAATAATATGATGCGCGAACGTATGGAACTTCCTCTACTCTCCCTATGCCAATGTTATAATAGGATAACTGCGCCGAAGTTGGCTCTCTCCAGACGCATTATTTGCTCCTTGAGCCAGGACCTGAGTAGTCTCTGAGAATTTGACGTATCTTCTTCATCGAGATTCGATCCATATTGATGTACTCGCACTGCTCTGGCGTACACTCGCCGAAACGTTTCTATCTCCGCAAGATGATAGCAAGCCAAGATGATCTCCATCCACGTGAAGGAGGGAAGCTAGAAAGTCCAGTGGGGGTAAGTCTAAACGGAGAGCCAGCCTCTAAGCGGCTAAAGCACCGGGACGTCGTGCTGACCGGCTTCGACGGGCGGAATTGGTGCCCAAGACGGTGGAAAGTCTCCTTATCTCTGCGCTCCCACTCGTCCCATTTCTCCCCCGCGCCGCGATTCCGGATGGTCGGTTCCGCCGATCGCCCCATCCTAGTTCTAGAACCTTTCTCCACCACCTTTCCCTTGCCACCAGTATCACCATTCTCACATCAGATATACATAAGCAGGACCGTGGACTGAGACTGAGACTCACTGTGCCATATAGCCACCATGACCACACCCTCAGAGCCAGTGTCGCTAGACGCATCTGCCGCCCCGGTTGAAGCACCCCCCGCGCAATCAGCTCCTGCGGCGCAAAACCAACCTGCACCGCCACTCCTTGCCCAATCCGACAGCGACACATCCACCCTCGAGGCTCAAGCTGATGATAGCAGAAGCGACACCGGCGACTCTGCGCTCGGCAGCGAATATGACGAGTCCACCTACACGGCCTCACTGACCAGCAGCATCACCGCATACCAATATGAACACGGCCGGCGCTATCACGCCTACCAAGCCGGCCGCTACATCCTGCCAAACGATGAGCAGGAACAAGAGCGCATGGATCTTCAGTACCACGCTTTCCGGCTCGGCATGGGCGATAAGCTGTATCAAGCCCCCATCGGCGCTGATGCGAAGGCCATTTTGGATATTGGAACGGGAACGGGGATTTGGGCGATTGACTGTGCCGATGTGCATCCGGAGGCGGAAATCGTCGGGACGGATCTGAGCCCTATTCAGCCACAATGGGTCCCGCCGAATGTGAAGTTCGAAGTCGATGATTGCGAGCAGCCGTGGACGTTTGCGGAGAATCGTTTTGATTTGATTCACACGCGGATTCTGATGGGCAGTATAAGGAACTGGGAGGGGTTGATGGAGCAGGCTTTTAAGTGAGTATCCCTTGTCGCCCTGGCCTTTGCTTCTGCTACAACCCATGTAAGAATGGTAAAGAGTGTGGGTCTCATTCGTGCTTTGTGATAGACATAACAAGCCAGGCGGATGGGTCGAGCTCCAGGAAATGACCGTCATGGTCGGCACCGACGATAACTCGATCCCAGAAAATGCTTATATCAAACGATGGTGCGATAATCAAGAGGAAGCGGTATCGAAGATCGGCATGTCGCTGCTAATGGGCTCTGAGAAACTTCGGGAAGCAGTCGAAAAAGCTGGCTATACCAACATCACCGTCAGGGAATTCAAGATACCGATCGGGACGTGGCCAATGGACCCGAAGATGCGAGAGACAGGTGCCTTTCAATTGGTAGCTATGTTGGATGGGATTCAAGGGCTGATGATGGCGCTGTGGACGAGGTTTCTAGGGTGGAGTGAGCAGGAGATTGAGGTTTTCGCAGCGGAGGCGAGGAAGGAGTGGAGGAGTCGGAAGGTGCATAGTTACTGGCCTTTGTAAGTCTGATTGCGCCCGTTTTGGTAGGCGCAATTCTGTGGTGATCGATACTGATTTTGACAGGCACTGTATCTATGCGCAGAAACCACTGACTGCCGCATCTTGAGTGCGTGGAAGTGACTTGCAGGAACGATTGTCCAAGGCTTGAAGAGTTGATGCGACGCCTGACCTACGACTGCTTTGTTTTGGGAATTGAGGCAATTTGACTCTTTCAGCCTCTTATCTCGAATGACATCCTCCTGTTTTTGTAGGAGGCCTTACGCTGAGTTGGGCGACGTAGAGGTTGGAAGCAACGGTTTAGGATGATCGCTACCAAACCGTAAAGAGAGTCTGCCAGTGGTAGCTAGTTAAAATTAAATGCTGAAAGCACTACTGATGTGATCATTCGAAGCTGTAGCATTCAAGAATCAGGAGAAAACAGGATTGGACATTAGCGTTGACCTAAAAAGGTAAAGCGCTGCCAAGACCTGATGAGATCGAGATTGGTTTTCCTCATCGCTCCTTCAAGCTACACATGCTCTCCAGAACAGCTATCTAGACTCTCAAAGGCGTGTGCTCGTCGAGTCACGTCTGCGTGCAAACCTTTGGATTAAAAGGTGACAGCAGACAACAAGAACCCGGACACTACCCCTATGATCTGAGATTAAAATGATTTCTGTAAAGTCCCTTCGCCTGGATACAAGGCCTTACGTGTATGGGGCGTAATTCTGTGAGACACATCGAACACTTGCAATATAAAGAGATATGGGAATGAAAAAAGGCCGAATTTTGTTCGGCATTCAGTTGTCTTCGTCAAGTCCGTATCAACGCCACAAGTCCTGTTTGATACCACAGCTCTCAATGATTCATCGCTTCAAGAAGACGCAAACAACAATCCCAGAAGCCCACATGTTGATATCTTCAAGTCTAGCGTCCCAGCGTCAAAATCTATCCCTGACCTCCTTTTCAATCTAAGCGGTCCCATCGTCAAAGCCCAGTAATCGCCTAGCACCAGTCAGCATATCCTAGTACAAGTCCGCTGCAGAACACTCAACACTCACCAAGCACAATCCACTCTCCCATCCTTCGCTTCTCTTTCCCCCAGCAACTCCTGAAAAGCTGCCACACTAAGATCAATCTCTTCCCTAACACATCCCACACAAGTATCGGCAACAGTGACCTGCACGCTCCGGCCCGCGGACTGCACCGTCATATTTTCCCAGCAATGTGACCCCACGTTCCATTCGGTAGAGAGAGCCGCTACGAAATCGGTATCGGCGGAGACTTGGCCGCAGGAGCCGTGGACCCCCCATTGTTTGTATTGGGTTGCGATGCCGACGATACTTGAGTTTGTTGCGTTGAGGGGCTCGGTGTCGGCAAGAGCGTTTGTGCTGTTGAGCGGGTGGATGGAGATGGCGTAGCGTTTGGCAAGAGGAACTTTGGTGTTCGTGGACTCATTGTTTGCGTCTGAAGCCGCGAGGTCGCTTGGAGATGGTGCTGTAAGAGCATGTAGAGGCAGGAGGAGGAAGGGGAGGAGATGAGGTGGGACAAGCATTTTTGGTTCAGCTTTCAACCGTCAGGCAGAAGTCTCTCTTATCTCTGAAAACTTGGAGCCTCTCTATGCCAGCATAGGAAATTTCGTCCGCGTTGTTGTGGAATCGTAAGTCGTGTCACCGATACAGGAAGGTCCCAACAGGAAGTATTGATTTTGTCCAGAATTGATGTCGGCAATTGAACGACCTTGAGTTTATATAATCATCTGAGCAATGGCATTAGTACCCAATCAGCGACGTTAGTGCTCTGGTTTCAGAATTATTTCAAACATCAAGTATAATTTTCGTACAGTTTCACATAAAGGCCGCGTGGGACGGCCGGAGCGGCCTCCTGAGGCATCCTGTAAGGGGCAATACGTATTGCCAATATCGAGGGAAGCTTCTAGTTCATACAACGTCAAGGATCAAGAAATGAAACCAAATCAAGATCATTCTTGGAAACGCTGATACTCGATGCTTATCGTACACCATGCTATTCAGCTTCATCAAGATCCATGTGTCGAAGTCGCTGGTCACCTGACGCAGAGTCCTTTGCTCTGCCTCAACCAGCTCACTTCTGTCATAAGACTCGCATCCCATCGGTTGCAGAAAACAATTATCCATCGTGGCTGCTAGCCCACCACACCTAATCTTCCCGGGATGCCAGACGTCCACCTTCGATTCATGCTCCAATCACCTGCCCTACTTTACATCTCGTCATTCGCCATCCTGTCAACATATGTATCGACCAGGTCCTGAATCCTCCGCATTTTTCTGTCCAAGCTCTGCAGTTCCCGTACAGTATCCTGGCTATACGGGCTGACGAACGTCCTCATCATCGTTCTTTTCGATGCTTGGACTTTGGAAAGCTCCACTTCTAGTTTCACCAATAGACAGTGTACTGAAAGATTATCAGTGGATACCCCAATCTCGAACACTGACAAAGCGAGGGCAGCTCACGACATCTTCGGTGGACTTGGCGCCTCGTCTCCTTATCAGTATAGCTAGGAATGAATGAGACCATCGAAGCATACCCGACCTCTCTCAGCTCATCCATACACTGTCCCGGATGATCACCCCTCCTGCAGTCCCTAATCAGGAATCTGTGGTCGTGTCCACAGAGGAAGAATGAGATCGGTTGGATGCAGCATCGGAGGCTTGGTGATCTGTCGTGGTTTCTACAGTTTCCTGGCATTTCAATATGGATGCGATGCGATAAGAGTAGCCGGCCGCCTTTACGCGATCTTGTGGGCTGGTAGTGTATGAGGCATACGGTGATGAACATAGTCAATACGAGCAGGGGTAGCACACTAATCAAGGTCTTGTCAGACATCATTATGAGGGAGCTGGACAATAGGGTTTATGCTCTGGTAGTTCAGGATGCTCAATAACAAGAAGCGCTATTGAAGAAGAGTGGGACTGTGGACGAGGCAGAAAGATATAGACTTCGTGAATCGAGCAGTACGACCTCATCAGCACTGTGCTCGATTAGAACACATTGTCATCGGGTTTGAACGCAAGCACTGATAACAGCGCACAGTACGACCTGCGGCATCTCCGGCCCAAGTGCTCCTCACCTCAGTACAACACCGCCTAATCCACCTCCACACTGCCCTCCTCTCTCCCCTCCTCAAAAGCAAACATATCCAACCTCGCAATCTCCACCACCCCCTCCCCTCCCCCTCCTCCTCGATCCAACTTCACCAAAATACTCGCCTCCTCCACAAACCCCATATCCCGCGCCGCAAGCTGCACGCCCCCCACCGCCACGATCGCCCACTGCAGCTCAATATCCTCGGTCGCCCTAGTGAATCTCAGCTCCATGCCGAGGGCTCGGAAGATACCGGCAACAGGACCGCCTACGCCGGGTATGAAGTGCGCGTCGGGAGTTGAACGGTGGATGAGGTAGGAGATCTCGAGGAGGGCGGTGTTGGTGGTAGAGATGATGAGGGCGAGGGGGAATTGAGTGGGGTGATGGGGGTTGGGGAAGGGAATGGGGGGTATAGGCGAGGGAAAGGGGCGGTAGGTTAGGGTTAGGCCGGTCTGGGGGACGGGGAAGTCGATACCCTCGCTGAGGGGGATTAGTAAGATGTTTAGGGGAGTGAGAGTGTAGGGGTGGGGTGAGAAGGGAGGGGGGCTTTACAGCGGATAGATTGAGGTGAGTGAATGGTTTGTGGGTTTTTGAGGGTGTAATATGGGAAATGCGCTGGAGAATGCTAAGGATGTCGAGAGGGAGATAAGAGTGAGGGGACTCGTAAGCATTATGGGTTGGGTCAGGGAACCTCAGCTGATTAGGTCGAGGTTTGACAGATTGCAGTTCAGAGTAAGGTCGTGCTCTCATATATCGCTTGTCATGTCGCCCAATTCACTTCTCAGGCCCACATCGCGCGGGCGCCTTCCAAGCGCCGCTCCATAAAGGTAAGACGCTCGCAAATATGCTAAATCCATACGTGAATCATACAAGTGGATAGTTCTAGAATGTTATCAAGCTTAGAAGGAAGTGCTCAACGCGGCGATCCTTGGGTTACGCTCGTATTGGGCCGGCATTCCAAGATGGTCTCTCTTGAAAAAAAGTTGGGTCAATCAAATCGGTAGAATCCATTATCAAATTAAGCTGTAACGCAAGATACACAGGTCTATTCTGCAACGTGACTTTGATCACGAGTGTATGTGCGTTGCAGTCAGTGCGAATGGACAAGAGACTAGGCACGGAATGTCCCCAGGAGTTGAAAGTACGAAATCGGAGAAACGTTTTGCCGATCCGAAGAATCTACAATCTCCCCTGTCTGCTTTGCAAGACCACCTGATCCAACTCAGCATGGGCCTAGTATCCCTACAAAGCTGCGACTGCGCGTCAAAAGGACGCTGTATACTCAGCAGCTCAATCTCGATACGCAGCCATGCAGTATTACCTGGACAAGGCGACGTGTCCACACTAGCACGTAGCTCAGTCGAAGATTTCGTGGCCATTGGCAGGCATCACAGGCTGTCAGCCGAGTAAGGCCTGCGCTGCCCTTCAAGAGATGATAGAAAGAGTTGAGAAATACACCGATGTTGCCCACCGCTTAGAGCACCGGCTTAGGAGGATGCGCAAAGTCCAGGCATGATCGTGTCTGTGACCACCTACGGCGAAGTGACGATTAGAGGTCATCCCTACGAGTACTAGCGATCACGTGCATGAAGACACATTGCGCAGTGGCACCATTTGTCGAGATCTTCCCTAAGTCGTACGCGTAGGGTTCATGATTAGAAGAAGATACTACAAGTACAAGTACAGGCACGGCCTGGCCTATGATCTGCTATCACCTCCTCATTCGGGAGTCTCATGTGAAAGCAGCTACATCGAGTAGGACACCATCTACGATAAGAGCCTCGCTCCTGCAGTCTCAGTCATCAGATGGCAGTACAGGAATCTATAGTCTGAAGATCATGGGTCTGGCCGAACATGGAACTTTGACAGAGGCTCTTTGAGCACCGTCACCTCATCAGGAAATCGGATGACGCTCAGCCACATGGAATGAGTCTAAACCTTTCGAGACATTCAGATCAGAGTTCCATTCGAGCATGCTGAGGGAGCCTGACCTGTGGCCGTGGCTGTGCGCTGCCTTAGGGCCCGCGCTCGTCGGTCACCCCTTTGCAAGCTGAAAGGCACGACGGGAAGCTCAAGCGACATATTGAATCTCCTGATAATTGCCATATCCAATCAGAACAATATAATAAATACTCAATGAAAAGACTTGTATCGCGCGACAACCTTGAGAGGCCACTGAGGGTCACAGAATGGGGAACCCCCATCAAGACTCTAAACTCACCCAATGTTTGGATTCCTGAGCCCTAAAAACCACCGCGCGTGACTCTGGGGCGACCGCCGATTCTTCCTCGCGGGCTACGTCGTTCATGTATTTCGTGCCTAGGCCTCTAATGATTCCTTTTTCGTGCTGGCAAACTCACTACAATTGCAGATAAGAAGTACTGCTCAAACCCTAAATCTCGATGTGGAAGAATAGTTGAATGTTCCACTCCTCGATGAGGTACAAGAAGCTTGGGCTAGCCACGGAGATGCTGTTCTAGGGCATCTCTCTGACTAAGGCACGCAGGGATCGGCAGTGGATGATGCGCATCGGGTGTCTCTAATGCAAGCCCCTCACGCCCACCATATAGGTACAGCGAAGATTCCCGCACGTCGCAAAAAGCGGTCAGAATGCCCTTTGCGCGGTCTGTGGAATGGCTCTGAATGCCTTACACTTGGGCAACGACTTTACAGTGTCACTAAGCAGCAGAGTAAGTCTATCGTTCGTCAAATACGAACACAGTCGAGTGGTTCGCCGGATTGTGCTACCAATCATTTGGGTTGCAATGAAGTTGCTGAGCCATCTGATCTTCAGCTCCTCGTACAGATTTTCGTTCTCTTGTGCTTACGCCCTCAGCTCTTGGCCCAATCGCATATACAGGGACCACGCTAACGGCTGCTGACCGCAGCTGGCTAGTGCAGAAGGTTTGCGATGGGAAGAATGGGGGTCACCGGCGCTCTCTATGGGGTTTGGTTTGAATCGGTCCCTACCGTAGCCGAAGTACAAAGGATTCTAGGTTGCATGCTCTGACAGCTCTCAGCCTACTTGCTTGCCCGCATAATCACGCAAGCTCGACTTCCCGCATATCTATCTTGAAAATGGGTGGATGGCCGCCTGACCCACCAAGTCAGCGCCGCTCTTCTGGCCCGGTCTTAAGTTTTCCAAGGATTCCCTCCACCTTTCATCCTGACGTTCACACCTGAGATCTTTACAGCGCATGAAAAGTGCTTTTAGAGAAGAGGACATCGGCCAGATGGATGAGTCCTACAGAGTCAGGCTCCCGCAAAGGGATTCTTCACAATTGCCCGAGATCAAGGAGGGACCAGTCTCTCCGGCGAGTACGCGCCTAGATTCCCCAGGGATCGAGTCTATTCGAAGCGCTGAGGCAACGGAGAAAGAAGCCGAGTCGCCATGGGCAGAACCAGCAGATAAAGAAGTCTACCATGACCCCAACGAGCCACCGCCACCATTTGAATCTCTAAAGGGACCGAAAATTGCGCCAGCAGGAGTACATCCAGCAGAGCGACGGCAGGGAAAGAGTAGAAAAACATGGATCATCGTAGGAATCGTCGCGGTCATTCTTTGTGTCGCGATAGCGCTTGGGGTTGGCCTCGGTGTTGGGCTGACTCGGCATAAAGGGTATTGTTCATATAGCCTGAGAGCATAAGAATCACGCTGACCCTAATCTTTGAGATCCGACAAAAGCGCCGCAAATAGCAAAGCGACCTTCTCAACAACCGGAGCTTTCAATGGTTCTGGCATCGCTTTGGCTTCGCAATCTTTCGAAGACGGTGGGTATGGTAGTATCGTCATGTACTTTCAACATCACAGCGGTCAGATACGCTCTGCACAACTATCCACCGCAGGCGACTGGAAAGGTGGAGATGTTACGGAGGTCGTCGCCGCCGATGCGAAGAACGGAACGCCGATCGCTGCTGCCGCCTTCGCGAGGAACGACACAGCTGCTGTAAGCGCGAGGCAATGAGACATAGTGCGAGGATGCTTTGCTAAGTCTGATCTAGTGGCACATATTCTACATCAATAATGAGAACTACATCACGGAGGTTGTCAACAGCAACAAAACCAACGTATGGTCCCCAGGTCCTATCAACAAACTCAAGTTGCAACCTATGAGTGATACGCATGTCGGACTTCAGGCTTGCTGGTATGGAAGCTTCTATTCAGACGAGGATTACAACCACAGCCCGGTACCTGGACAGACCAACAAAACCATCACCGATACCGATCAGAAGGTGGGAATTCATCTCTGGTATGCCACTAACGCAACGAACTTTGACTCCTATGGCTGGGCATACGGGACCAACACGTGGGAACAACAGCAGAGCTTTAGTCCTTACAATGGCCACGCAGGAGTAGGCTGTTACTCGTGGGGTCCTGGAAGTGATACGTACGTCATCTTCACAGACCTGGACAACAACATGAACATTCTCTGGAAAGATCTCAACACCACTTTGAACAGTACTGTTACGCATCCCATTAATGAATGGCGAGACAGTGAGTTTCCCGGTTTTTGCTTCGTCAGATTGCTTGCTAATTCCTTACCAGGCAACGTAAAGATTCCTGTCTTTCAAAATACCTCGATTGGCTACACCAACTATCTTTACGCGCAGAACCCCGACCTGACATTCAGCGGATACAACGTTACCTGGGCTTCGGAAGACACCTCGGTCGCTATCGACGACCCAGATCAAACTTTTGTTGTTAGTGGTCGGAAAGGTCTACCTGGCTCTCATCTCACTGTGACTTCGCTGCCGGACAAATCGGGCGGCAACTCGTTGCTGGCATTTTATCAGACCAATGGTTCTGATATCACGGAATTCGTGCGGGATTTTGACGCAGGACAATGGACCAGTCTAGCTGTGCCTATTCCGGACGCCTAGAAAAATGTGATTACAAGGAAATTTGCTGGAATTCAGCCTGCGGTGAGACCGTGAAGGCTCACTGATGAAGCCGCGTCTTTCAAAGAGCATCTTGCCTTTCAAGATTCGCAGGCCAGCCGTCGCAAAACAACCTGCATTGGTGTGTTCCGCCGTCCGTGCAGGTTTAGCTGTAACCCCAAGCTGCAGGTTCCCGCTCTTTAATGCAGCCTCGGGATGCCTGACCAACAGGACCATTCTAGATTTTCCTAAGGCCGCAGGACCAAGAAAGCCACGCGAGGAATACGAGATCTTGCCCTCGCATGATGAATCTATCTCAAAATCAGTTCTCGCAAATCGTCCGTTGTTCCTCGAGAATCGTTGCGGGATTTATTGCTTTCACCAGACAATATCAATGTATCTATTCTTGGAGCGGCCGCTTATCTTCCAAGAGAACAACTAGCTGGCCGGCATCATCGTCGAATACGCAGAGGCATCACATGTTTTGCCCAGCTCAGAGCTGCTGTGCATGCATGTGCAGATATTGACGGCTAAGTTTTCAGGCCATCCTCAGTCTCGCCTCGGGGAATCAAGCTTTCGACTGGATTTCCTGCGTCGTCTGTTACACTGGATGCGCTCGGCTAAGGTAAGCCTTGTAGGAATCTTGACGCTTGACCAACGTGAGAATAGCACGAGAAGAACGATGGAAGGCGAAGTCTCTGAAGTAACGACACGACAGCGCTCAATACGTCTTTGAGAAATATTTTTACCTAACTATCGATTTCACCGCTCGAAACGAGCAATAAATTTAGAACCATCATTCACTGAAAGGCTTTCCCCTGCATTGGGATCTGGTCGTGCAGCTGTGCCAAGCCCGGGCACTGAGAGAAGCCCCAGCCCGTAAAACTTCATTACAGAATGACAGGATGCTTTTATGGCCGGAAGAGTATTTCAAATGCCTTTCACGCTGATTAGATGCTCAGTGCGAGACTGTCTTGCTCATTCGGATGTCGCATCTTCAATGCATCTATGCCTATTTTGAGCAGCGTTAAAGGCCTCTTGGCGCATAGATCAACGGGCATGAGTTCCCATGAACTTCTACAACCACCTGCGAGCAAGCCGCTCAAAGGGGACAGGCCATGTGGGGGAACTCGGGGCTATTACCCAGCTCACTGATCTTTTTGATAGTGCTATTACAGTCTATTTGCCGCCCGGCACTCGGTAGCATCGTCGTGACCAGACAAGAGGACCCTACTTCTAGTGTTTCGTGAGTAGATTACACCAAGGATGTATACCATGCACTGACAAGCTGATCTCAGTTCGGGCCCATTCTCATGCCCAGTATCCATGACTCCACAAATTTTATTTCAGGACTCTAGAAACACTTCGCTTACGGAGCCTCAGCCTGAGGAGTTCCACTGCGAATTCAGCTACAAGAAAGGAGGCACAGCCATACCTAGTGTAGAAACCCTAGTCTTTCTTGTCGGCGCTTTAAGCCAAGTCGCAATCCTAGAGTACCAACTGCCAATCTCACAATACTCATTCAACGACCCGGGCCTCACCGTCTTGCTCCGCAGCAGCAAAGCCCCAGATCACGACTTCTACCGCGCTAAACACATACTGTGGTCGCTCCGTATCACCGCTTGCTACATGTTCTCGAAAGAACACTGGGGCGAGATCGGATTTTTCAGCAGATACGGTCTCGAGCCCATCTTGGGCAGCGGGCAGCTTCTACGGCGGACACTGCCTCCAGACATACTTTCTAGCGCAATCACTAACAGCACTGCCCTCGTCCTCACCAGGACAAGAGACGCCGCTACGAATTCAAAGAACGGGAATCCGATCTCTTTGGACAAATTCCAATTCGCCGCCCAAAGACCCCACCTTCAAACCCTACGATATCTTCATCACCATCATCAACATCCTCGTCTCGGAGGGCGAGCTCGACGCCGAAGCACCACAGGGTCATCTCTCGGGGTACAATAGGGAAGCGGACCTTAGTGTCGGAATGGAGTGTACGAGTCGAGCGAGTGTCGAGAACTTTACGAATAGGATCGCTGTTGAGGCGTTTACGCTCTTAGCGGAGTTTTTGCCGACGGTGGAGGAGAAGCTGAGGTGGAAGGGCGTGCAATTTGTGGTGAGGAATCAGGGAAAGATTGTGGGCAGGGGAATTGTGAGGAAGGGTGTTATTCCGAGGAGGGGTGACGGGACTTTTGATGTTGGGTGGCTTGATGATGGGGTGGAGGACGGGGGGTTATTTGAGTCGCCGCAAGTGTCGTGACAGTGCGTCAATTGGTGCCCTATGTCGCTCACACTGCTTACAACTTCACAGGTGTAGCTCGGTAGTTGAGCTAACGTGAATAAACATTTTACAAGTGCATCGGTGCGTCACCAATGGTCCGGGTTATCGATCAGAAGACAATCTTGTACACCAAAGCATTGCGTCCAAATAATAAACTAAGCCCAGCATTTCATGCAACCAGTGATAGGCCTCTCCCTGCCCTGAGCTCCAGCGAAGCTATTGCATAACGCCCCGATGGCGCGCGGAACCAGACTTTCTGGTGCTTTCCAACATCGCAAGCGCCTGTGGTCGATATCTACCGGACATTCGAGCCACATGGGGTTTCTTTTGGCTCGCAAGCTTTAGGAAAGCGCTCATCAACTAGTCGAGAAGACAAGTAGAAGCTCGTCCGCTCCTTCCAGACACCTAAGACTCCCTAGCAAAATCTCCTTGGATACATTCCAAATGACAACATAAAGTCCCTACTTTCTATTCAATTGTTCATTTACAATGACGACATGTCACCGACCCGCCAGCGAATCCTCATCACTTTCGCTGCCTGCCAAAACCCATGCCTATGGCCATGGCTCCGAATCCTCGCTAGCCCAGCCCAGCCCATCCCAGCCCAATCCAACAACCCAAATCTCGCAAAAGACCCCCAACGAGCAATACTAATTAACTCACGAAATCAAGCTCTCGCCACAAACGTGCGGCTCTGACATATACCCTCGCGCCCGCATTAGCGCACCATCCGTGCTACGCGCTCTGCATGCGCACAGACTGACTACCGCCCCCTGGCCTTCGCAAGCCACATGCGTGGAATACATCATTGCAGATAGCGAAAAAACCATTGCATTCTACCCCCTTCAGGTATGATGTATGGGCGGTGACTTCATTGGCCCCCGGAGCCAATCTCGCACGTTTGTTTATATGGAGGAGGCAATGTCTCACACCTCCACCTCCGCCCGTTCTTGCATACCATAATTTCTCCGAAACACTCACTTAACCTCCTCATCGAAATAGATCGTGTACTATGCGCCTCCTCCCCATCCTCGCTATCTTTCACATCCTCCCCCTCCTCCCCCTCATACCCATAGCTCAAGCCCGCACACTCACCTGCACCACGCCCTCCACAAGCTCCTCGTGGCCCTCAACTTCCGACTGCGCTTCCGTCCTCACATCCCTCTCCGACGACGCCACGCTCGGTACGTTTGGGAGTATGATTCCTGCCTCCTCCTCCAACCCCTCCTCCACCTCCCTCACCAACCCTTCCACCTCCTCCGGCGGCAACCACTCCGTCTACCTACCCTGGGGATCGTGCGCGTTACAGTTGAGCACGGATAGTGAGGATGGAGGAAGTGGGGAAGGGGGGATGGGGAAGGGGGGAAGGCGGGGAAGGGGGGGGGGGAGGTCACGAGTTGGTTGCAGATTCAACTCGCGGTTCTGAGGATTATGGCTGGCTGTGCTAGGAATGGGTACGTGAGTGGGAGTACGACTGTAGGGGCGGATGGGGGGGTGGTTGTTGGGTTGAGACATTCGTAGGGGGGACGAAGGGAGGGAGGGAGGGGAGGGGGGAAGGGGTGATGGGTGTCGTGTGTGGGGAGAGGGAGGAGAGGAGGGAAGGGGAGGAGGGGGGGAATGGGTTGGGCGAGGCTTCCGAGAACGGTGAGGGTCTGGTGGCGTGATTGTTTCGGCGTTGGTGGGTGTGGGGTGAGGTGTTGGTGGGAAGTTTCTATGAGTTTTCTGGGTTCGTTGTTTTGCTGTGAATGTTGTCAGCCAAATCTGGGGTTTCACTCATTCGTGAAGCTGGCTGATGAATAGATGGTCGGAGGTTATGGAGATGGGTCAAGACGGGTCTATGGACTCAGGCACCTGACAGTTCTGGATAGGGTTTGTGGTCGTGATGTAAATGCGAAGAGTGGCGAACAGGATTCATGCCAGTGGCAGACACCTTGGTGCAACGAGTGAGTCAATTGAATTTTGTATTGATGTATTCTGAGGATTTGTTCTTACGGCAGGCAAATCTTTGGTCCTTTACCGTTGCGATATGTCTTCCCTTCGTTGACCGGAATTATTCTTTGTGGAGATGCGATGGTTTGACGAGCGCAGACTTTGATGCATGATGAGCTGTGGCAGCGATCATCTACAGAGATGAGTAATTGGATCGATCATTCTCAGTTGTTCAAGTACTTTGTTTTGCTCTCTTGAATTTTGTCACGACGCAGTACGTTAAGATGTCAAATGAATTACTTGAAAGCATCATTGCAAGAACATTACTTATGATTTCTAGGTATAAACATTCTAAGATGGTCTATATGATTTACGTTCCTGCAAATCTTCAGACGCTGATGGCTTCGGTCCTATCCTTTGTATCAATCCCTATTCGATTTGCAGTCCCTCGATCACCCATGTCCCGTTCTGCCTCACGATCTTACTCAGGTCCTTTTTCGCATTTACATCAGTAATACCCCAATGCTCCAGAACCTTTGCTACCAAAGCGGTCCGATATCTTGGATGAGCCAGATCGGAGTATACACTCATGGGGTCGTCTTTCCCTTGAGAGTCGATGTCCGCCTTCAGTAATTCCGAGACATCAGGTCGCCATAGTTTTGAGTGATACTGAGAACCAGCCAGAAAGTTATTGAGTATAAGCCTAGGAGCGGCTCGGGCTGCTTCAAGCATTTCTTCTGTGACGGTTGAACTAGGTGCCCAACCTGGAGGCGAGTCGGTTCCAACATAGTAGCCGCTAAGAATGATTTCTCTAGCAAGAGCTAGCTTCTTCCAGTAAGGAAACTTCAGCCAATTTGCTGAGACAATGGCGACCCTAATGGCTTCCTCGAGTTCGATTCGGTAGATTTCCAATATTTTTGGTACCTTTTGTGTTGCATAATTACACAAACTACTTAGTAGGTGATGGTAGTATTGATTGTTAGGCTCATAGCCTTTGGTGCAAGCTTTAATGAGATATACTCCAATAGCTTGCAGGACGCAGTCCATGATCTGGCTATTTGAAAGCTTATGCTGATCCATGTTGAAGAGATCTTTGGGCAACTTCGCGACTTTGTGGTAAAGCAGAGCTTCCAGTGTGTTGGCCAGAGCGTCTCGAATCCCTTGAGTAGAAACGGTAAAGTCGATGAAGTCACCATTGACTTCTCTTTCGAGGACAGCTTTCTCGATATCTTGGTCTAATTGCCGAGGGTTGACGAGGTAGACTTTGGCGCGACAATAGGGGCAAGTATCGTTTGGTTTAGGGCCCCCATTGAACCACTTTTCAAGGCATTTGGAACCTGCTGTATGTTTACAGAGTAACGTGAGAGGAATTTCACCAACCCAGCGCTCATGACAGATACAGCATTTGTCTGCCTCAGCGAACTCCCGTGCTGTGCGTCCAGACCACGCTGAAAGGATCCAGGCCCAGAACATCTTGTAATAGGACGAGCTTGTGTGTTGCAGGTGGATGTATCGTACCCCTAGTCACTTGGGCTATGCTCTTTCGAATCGAAGCAACGAACTCGCTGGGTCTCTGATTGATAGATGATGGTGAGTGTGAGGGTGATGCTTGAGAAAATTTCCTACAGCGCGACTTCATAAAGGAATCTCATGGCGAGATAATAAGGCACTGTCGAGCGGCACAATAGGGAGGGAACAATGAGTATTGTATCAAGAGCTGTGTCACAGATGCGCATGTGTTGAGTCCAAAGTGGTACTCGTGGGAAAGATAATGGCATTGTTGATTTAGGATAAAGAATCAAAGCCGACGAGACTCGTCTTTCGATTTTTTTGGCAACGCCATGTATCGGGTCGTTCGTGTCATAGAGCAATGATTTTCAGAATGAGATCTTATCTATGACGCTTGATAATCATCTATCTCTTCACTTTGGGTGTATGAGTAGTACAGATAAACCAAATGAATGTCTCTTGATCCGTCCCATGTCTTTACATTCTATTCCAATCCTTGAAATCCTTAGCTGAAGATAAATTCTATACAGATTAGTCAGCATTCCCCCACGACAAAGGCCGTATGACACCACAGAAAGACTTACCAGGACAACCTTCCTTGTCGAAACTATACAGGTAGCAATCATGAGTGTGGGGATGTAGGCGCAGCACTTCTACGTCATATTCCCCAATCTTGATGAAGACTTTCTCTGGCTTGTGCGACACTATTTGTGTACGCTCTTTCCAGTACGGTTTCCGGCCGAACATTTTGTCCAATTGGTCATTGTCAACGAACTTGATCAAGAACGTAGGGCGAATGGTGCCCTGATCGAATTTGAAAAAGTCTGTCTGGTGGGTAAAGTCAGCTATATCGCTTAGTAGATTGAAGGGCCGAGAAGAAAGGAGGAGGATGGATGGATGGATGGATGGAGATAGAGTACTGACTATCGAAGTCTTGTGGACGCCGAATTCTTCAAGCACAGCACGTCTAACATCATCGGTGGACTTTGTACCCGCTTTCGCGCTATGAATGTGTCAGCAATCATCGTGGGACAGCTAGGATTCACAATATACCTGACGATGATGTCGGCTTCCCATCGTTGCTCATCCCAACCCTCGTTTGTTACCATAAATTTAGGCATGACTTTGGATATTGTTCCTATTATATGGGAATACTATCTTCGTATTTGGTAGGGAGGAGATGGCAGGAAGGTAATGATGAAGACCGCTGAGCCTAATTATAGAGGTCTAGGTTCCCCCTGTGTCACCTGAAAATTTGCAATACACAACGAGTCGTGCAACAGGTGTGGCTGCAAGTTTTACGCTTGCTTGTGGCACATGAGAATCGAGTTGTGCAGTCTTGGCATTTAATGTTCTACTTAGTCTATATACCACGGATACAAAGCGAATTGGATCTACTGGGAATTACTGGAAGACGATTAAGTCAAGTTCCCTAGGCTCAGCCTGAGTTTGGCCATTTTCATGTCGCTAGTGTCAAAACCTGTCACAATTCGAACCTTGAGTGTACGCAAGTTGACTAGGTGAGCAAGAATTCTAAGTACCATGGTCAGCAATGTTGGCACCCACAGTATATGGGGAGCTAAGTATGCCTTACCTGGGGAACCTCGCTCGTCACAGCTGATTTCACATTCTCTGACGCTAGGGTTGAGATACCAAACCTTGACATCAAATCCTACGATCTTTGTAGGCAGGATACGTGCCCATCGCCACGGGAAAATTGTCACTTTCGGAAACGGGTTTCTTCCAAACAGGTTCTCAAGGAGTTTCTTATCGTTGACTTTGAGCAAGAAAGTTGGAGGAATGCTTTCTGAACCAAAATTGTGGAAGTCCGTCTGATCGGTTTGTCAGTCAGGTCCTTTAGCTAGCAATGTGGTGGCGGTACCCATTCCTTCGGTTCCAGCTTACGTCCATACTCAAGGTGAAAATGATTGAGTACAATAAGTCGGATATAATCGAGTTCCTTCTTGTCCGTCATCACACTACATCAAGTCAACTCGCGTCTTAAGTTAGGTCGGAGTCGACAACAACCTAACAATGATATTACCCTCTACTGTCTGAAATTTCTGGCCGCTGCACCTGGCTCTGAAGTAGGCCATCTCTGGTGAATCTCCTTTCGTCATCTTCGGTGTCCCTCGCAAGTCAAAATTTGGGTGATGAAAGAAAATGCAGCAGACGAGACTTCATTTAAGGAATGAGAGATTTGCTTGTTTCAGCTAGTGGGTCATCCATTCGTTCCACTGTGTGACTTCAAGTTTCGAAGTTGTTTGTGCTACGTTAAACTCAAGCTATGATTGGCACACGACACGATAAGGAGCTGGTGTCAGATCAATCAACGGTGGTTTCAGGCTGCTTCATTGCTCCTTATTCGACGACTGGTATGAGAACGGCGTCGTACAAAACAAATCACCACTACTGACGAGAACTATGTGCTACAGGACCATTGAATCAAAACCTGACGTTTGAGCCACTGTGTACAGCGTACAACAATTCGTTCGTCATTCCAAAGCCGCGCAATAGGTTGTCTTGCGCTACCAAAATACTGATATTCTCCTTCAAAAAACGCAGTGCTTCAATCTCTTCAGAAGAACTCAATATCTAGCACACAAAATAAGTACCTCACCAACTCTCAAAACATCCTCCTACATATTGGTGATTACATACCCAAATGACCATCTCCATCCGTCCCGTGAATCTCATAATCCTTAGTAAAGGCATACACGCGCCACACCTTCACCGAATATCCACCCATTCTCATCTTACACACGTCCGCTGCCCTGCATCGGGAGCACCATCATCAGTCAGCCGACCATTTGCCTTCCAATCTCTGACAGTTGGTGACTTACGTGCTCTTCTTCGCGTTCCAGGACTTCATCAGTGCCTCTAAGGCTGTCGCGTCCTCGACTCTGATAAGAAACGTTGGAGGTACAATTGGTGCTTTGGTATTTTTGTCGCGCATGGCGTCCTATTCGCGGATTCAATAAGCATTTGAGGGGCCATTGAGACGAAAGTTTCAGGTCTGGGGACAGTGCGTGGAACCATACCACTCCATCTACTGCCACCTTGCCGAATTCCTTGTCCTTTCCTAGCCGCTCGAGAATGATTGTTGGGGCATCTCTTGCCAGGACACTGCGCTGGTGTCAGACGGACTATGTCGGCAACCTGCCAGGAGACAAGACGTGAAGGTAAAGAGGTGGACTGGCCTGACTACGAGATCGACTTTCATTTTGCGCCGACGGACTGCAGATTCCTTCAGTTCGAATACTGGCGGTATGAATCGTTCTTGAAGTGGGTGATGAGATTGCGGGCAACTTTAAATTCCATGGGTCTTCCCTTCATTGTGCTCTACCTACTCGCTGTCCATCGGTGGGCAAATCCTTGAAGGGTCGCTGCTTTCAGACAAGGTGTATTCATTGTACTAGACCTGAGTTCCGTTTGCGGAAGTCATCAATAAGACGAAGAGACCTGCTGCAACCGAGTCCATAGGCAACAACGAATTCAATCATGCTGATAATCCATTGCTGAAAAGGTCCCGACTTGTTTTGTGGGTATGCGCTGGGTTTTCTAAGGAAAGTACGCTGAAACGGATTATTCTGTGGAACTTATAGCTGCAGTCGAAGTTGGTAACGCGAAATGTCCTAGTCGACCGATACGAACGATAGCTAGTCCAAAAATAAGGAAGCTACTTCCGTGGAACCCCCATGACTTGGAAAGGAAATCCCCTGATCGCCTGCAGTACCACGTCATAGAATGTCACCCATTCTGAGATCACGTTTTTATGATTCGTGACACATGCGTTTGTTTAGAAAGATCTGTTACTCTTGCTTCGTCCTAATTGTTCTCCATTGGTGACAGCCTCGGGGATTGACAAGTCGGAGAAGGGAATGTGGCAAGCCACCCCGCAGCTGATACAAACAGTTGTTTCAGTGGTCTGCAGACGTGTCAAATACATTACCAGACGCTCAGAGTCAAAATGTAGTACGATAACGTGTTGTGAGACCTGCTGATGACTATGAGTACTATTAAAGCCGGTCACTTTTCCTTACTCTGACAAATAATGCGCTCTATAATTTCCCATCATTAGCACAACATTAGCATTACCAAATTCAAAAAATGGCAGGTCCTCCCAATGCTGCCCAAGATAAGAATCACAAGATTACTGGAGCTGAGCTTCGGTTCGTGGTGATGTAAGAGTCCTTTGAATAACACACGGGACCCATAGTAAATTAATCTGCAGCATAACCACCGATTGGAGAGATTGTTACCTGAACAATGAAGCTCCCTCAAGGGCGGTCGCCAGTAATCATTTCAATAGGCTCACTAATGGGGGAGTGAAGGCTATTGTAAGCCCATATCGTCCCAAGAGACACCCTTTCCATGGAAAGGCTAATGCAGAGACAGCACGAATTCGCCAAGAAGCCTGGTGGAGAGCCTGACGAATTTCTTGGAGGAATCTTCATTCTTGACCTGAAAGATAAGAAAGCGTCTGACAAGGTCAAGCGTTGGGCCGAGATCGAAGGGAGGGACAAAAACGAGCGGATGCTTGGGTAAGTCGAGTCCTGCAAAAGTATGAAAATCTGCCAAATGCTAATATGAATGGTGAACAAAGTCACGGCAAGGAATTGCCTCCGGGCGACCGATGCGTACCGCGTGAAAAATATCGTGAAGATGGCGAAAAGAGTTTCGCTCCGCGTAAGTACTTAGCTGACTTTCAAGGTTACGTTTTGTTCACGGCACTCTAGATCTGGATATCGAAAGATGGAACGGATGAGAGTTCAACACATGCCGGATCTCTGAGCTTTCTCAACCTAGGTCAAGAGGAGACGACTTTCCGACGGGCTTCATTACTGCTGAGGGAGACGAGATTGGGAGTCGGGACGAGAATGGCTTTTGGGACTAGCCCATCATTTGGCATTGATAGAGTTTGAGACGATCGCATGCCCTAGTATTCTACAACCAAATCTTTAATTGACTGATTTCTCAAGAAAAATAGTGGGGTGACCATCCTTTCCTCCTTTCCCAGGACTTAATTGACCCTAGGCTTATGTCAGCCAGAACCTGAGAACAATGAAATTTCGACAGAGACTCCGCAAGCGACGACACACTATTTGAAGCACATGCTTTCACATGCTCCCATCACATCAATACCTACCCAAGTCTACAATACATTTCAAGATCTAGGCAGATGGTGTTACAGACCATGTTGTAGAAGGTTGAGGCGCCAGGCTTATTGGCCTGCCGAAGCCTGCAGGAAGGGTCTCAAAACTTACACAGTTCTCCACATTTGCTGGTGTAGCTTTGATGTTCATGTGAGCATTCGTACGACCTGGTGTTGCGCTCGTGTCCGACAGTATTGGCTTCATGTCGTGTTACTTGTGAGCAGTAAACCCTTCCTTATATATTTCATCTTTAATTGCAATCTTCTCCCTCCCCGCAAGCAACAACTGGTCAGCATCACCAGAGCCGTACAATCATGAATGACGCCTCCGCATTTATCGTACCCCGTGAGGAGAAGGGAGGGGGTTTGAGATCATTGGGGCTGATCATCGATTTGTCATAGCGTGAGTGTTTCCACGATTACATGAGACCCTTGATTTTAACAAATCTACAGCATAAGTCCAACATGGAGGGATTATACCAAGCGAGAAGAGCCCCTGGGCATTGATGCTAGCCGCAACTTTTTCGCCGAGCTCACAGGTGGTGGGCTCAGAGACATTGTGAGCACCCCTTCATTCCTAGTGCTACCCTCAATTCTGCTTCCTAATCAACAAAGATGAGCCTAACATAGAAGCAGACTGATTTCAGCAAGCAGCCTAAGGAGGTCGATGAGTGGTTCGGAGGCGTCTTCATTCTTGATCTCAAGGATAAAGCGGCCCTGAACAAGGTCCGTCACTGGACAGACAACAAGCACAATGGGCAGGGGAGCATCGAAAAGCCCGATAGGTACGTCCTGCACAGAAAAAGTGGGCACTCGCTTACATGCAACCTTCTTCCAGGTTTGGCATCGAAGTTCCAGCCGGACATACTTGCTTTCTTGTGGAAGACCGGGTGGGGGCTAAGCTGAACTGGCCACCCGGTAAGTACGCAATAGGCTTTGAATGAGCACGAATCACTGATGCAGGCTCTAGACATGCGCCTTGATTCGAAACCACTGACCGAACTAGACAAGAAATTCGAGGACACGACTTTCGCCCGGAAATATGTGGAGTCCGTAGGCAGCAAGGCTTCGGCAAGGTTTGATCGGATCAAGAAACGTGCCAAATGGGAGTTCGAATTGGATTAGGGTCTGGCGACTTGGAGACTTTCTTGTTAGAGAAGAAGACAATGGAGACCAGTGTGAGGTTATTATCTTAAGATGCATGCCACGGAGCACTGTGCCTGTCTCATTGGTCTGACAAACCTGCAGGAGTGGTTTCAACGGCACCTTACGACTCGAAAGCTTTGTGAGATGATTAGATGTCCGACAGCAGGTATTACGTAGTCTCAAGCAACCTCCAGATGCCAAACTTTGAGGATATATGGTATAAATAAGCCCCTCAGTCCTCGTCGCACTCTCCTTCCGCAACATTACTAGCAAGTTCATTTCATCAACCCAAGTCGAAAACAGCGAAAACTCCAAGATGTCATATACCAATGACAACTTCCAACAGCCTCGCGCGAAGCATGAGAGAATCATGGGGCTGTCAGACCGTTACCGTTTCGTAGTCTGGTAAGGATCTCCGTCATACCACCCCAACCATATGCTTAATATGGTAATAGCCTGGCTGAAGACTGGAAACACTACATTAACGTTAACGCAACCGACGGAGGCAAGGAACAGAACCGTCTGTTTGTCGAAGAACGTCTGAAGAAAATCACAGGAGAGAAGGCTTTTGACAATCTTGTGAGTTGACTTTCTCATCGACTCCTCGACAACATGGCGGCAGCGCTAACGTTGACTTAGGTACACTATCCTCCTAAACGGAAGGGAGATTTCCCTGAAGCGGTCTTTGTTCTCAACCAGGATAACGAGTTGCGCTGACGCTGAATTAGCCATTGGACAATGCTCTGAAGCTGGGAGGTTATTTCGGGGTAACCTACCGCATGGACTTTTTCAAGAACGATAACGGCCGTCATGGGATTGCCGAGCTCGCCAAATGGGTCCAGACCCCAATCAAGGATCAGGCTGTGGATGGGGATTTTTTCAGGTACTTCAGATCCACCAAAGATACACATGTACTAAAGATGGGTTCACCCAGGGTTGGTCTTCAAATACCACAATCAATCAACCTTGATATGGAGGTCTCACTAGCAGGCGGCACGGTGCCTTGTTTCCCACCAAGTACGAGCGTATTGGACTTCGTATAGATAGGTGATACTGACTGGAAATCTAGCTATGTGCCTATTAACTGCGCTTACGAACCCAACTACCAAACTCTACAAGATTTTCTTGGACGCACGAAACAATACCCAGGCCTTTATCAAGATGGCCGAGACAGAGTTGGAATCGAAATAAGAGATCATTCAAGTAGGGAGTTCGAGACTGCAAAGTCATCGTCTTCACAGGAACGGGATGGGATTTGATCATTACATGATCATCAGCATTAATAATCTGGGGACAGCTCACGAAGCACATTTTGGAGCTAGAAGACTCGCCTGCATGTACATACACACTCCTTAGCCTTTCACAAAGCAAGAAGTAGCTTCATACCTCTGAGCAAAGTTAGCATTTGCGTTTCCCTCCGCATCACACTCCGTTGTGACAAATGAACAAGTTTACTCCAAAATTTCCCCAGATCTTGGCTCCCAAGACCTATTTTTGTCCCCTTCCGCAACGCCCATCCAGATTCGCGAGACACTGACTCACAGCAGCCGCAAGTCTCGCACGCAAAATCAAATCCATAGTCCGTTCACAATTCTAGCAAGCATCTTTAAAACCCATGACCTGAACTCGCCAAAAATTCTACGACGAGCAGCACACCCACCTCACCACCACCACGCATTTTACTATGTTCACCTTTCTAACACTCACCCTCTTCAGGCTCCTAACCCTCCTCACAGCGAATCCTCTCCTCACCCCTCCACCCCTCAAAGGTAACAACTGCGGCTGGTCCTCAGCCCCCTCACACTTCCGCAACGGGCCGGTGTCAATCTGCCAAAACGCCGTGCGCCGAATGCCCTACTCCCCGGCAATCGGTACATTCCACCAACTCCCTTACCCACCTCCACCCGGTTTCGCGAAACCATACGACCTAACGCAAACGTTCCGCGACCCAGACCCGACGATTGCCAGGAGGGAGGATAATTGCGATGTGGTTGTGTTTCTGAATGATGGGGTGGAGGCGTTCGAGACGAGTTGGAAGGAGGTTAGGAGGTTGGCGCAGCGGATTGTCGATGAGTGTGTGGATGTGGAGGGGGGCGTGAGGAAGGTCGGGGGGAGCTTTAAGATGGGGGGGAGGGAGGAGCTGTGGGTGCAGATTTCTCAGGTTTATGGGATGGAGGCTGAGGATGGGGGGAGGGAGGGGAAGGGGGAGGGGGAAATGGGACGGTGGTGGAGGGGGCGGGTGTGGTGGGTTGAGAGTGGTGTTGAGGGAGCGTGTCGAGGTGAGATTCATCGAATTGGTTCAGTCATCGGTACTTCGTGGACCGGTTATATGATACAGGATACCTTTGGTTTACTGTGATATCGTGGATCTTCCCTCAATCTGGTCTTTGTACTCAGATTGAGGTTGCAGCGAAGGCAAGTTCGGGACTATTAATCCTCGTCGCCGCCGGTGATGGCCGGATTCAGTCTTGATATAGTTCTCGGATACATCTCCAAGGGATGTTCAGGGCTTAGAGAAGAGTTTACTGAGCCTCTTATCCTGATGTTTTGTTCAAATCCTGGAGGATTCCCCCTTTCCAATCGTAAGTGGAAGATCGTGCAGCGAACTTTCTTTCTGTGGTATGTCCTGAACCTCAGGCTTGAGCTGCGGACTGGACATATGCCCGACTCCATTTACCAAAATCGGGCGTTTTCAATGTAAAGATTCCCATCGTGCGACTGGTAAAGGGTTTTGGAAGTGAAATGGCAAGGTCTCTGATTTCAGGCGGTTGTCGTCCTCTCTAGTACTCACACAAGCCCAAGTACCTTTGCGTTGTTCACTCAAGCGGCCCAAGATTCAATCACAAAGAGTCGTGGCGAATGTTCAAAGCGGAAAGACGAGATCACTCTCTGATTCATAGATCAAAGCACCGTCAAATTTGTCAGATTAGCCCCCGGCTCTAACGTAATAAGCCTACTCTCTGCATCCTCGGATCCATTATCAGTTGGCGGCTCTCCAGGCGACCACAAAGTCGTAACATAAACATTCCTCTCCATTCCTGGAAAAGCCTTCCCCGTCAAAGACATGGGGTAGCACTTATCCAGAATATGCTCTCCGGCCTCAACTAAATCTATCATATGGAATCGATCCTGCCCATCAAACTTAGTGATGATATTGTCAACATGGATCTCGCAGTGACAATTTCTTGTGAAGGGCGCAGGGATCAGTCGTTGAAGCCGAAAACCTACGGGGAGCTGGATGTGGTAAGGGATTTGTGGATCGACTGTGCGACCCCATGTGATTTCCATATCACGGCCGGGAACACTGTAGCGGTACCAGAGCTCCTTGAGTATGGCGGCGCAATCAACTCGGGGGCGAGGATGGAGGCGCCGATGCAGTCGGCGCGGCTTGAAGATGTAATAAGTGGTAGATATAGGATCAAGAGCGTCCAAGCGACCAAGATTAGCATGGCTGAGTTATTGAAGATCTAGAGGTCAGCTCAATGGCATAGAATGAACGGGTCAAAGGGTGAGCTAGCAACATTGCCATTTTCAATTGCAAGCTCTCGTCTCACATGTCGATCATCCTTCTCATACCTCAAAACATTGGTCAATGCGATCCAATTATCAAGACTTGAAAACAGAAATAGAAAGCTCCCGAGCACGACCGGCGTCGCGCAGGAGGCGATCCCGTCAAATGGTAGCAAAAAGATCCGATGATTTACCTTCATGCAGGGACGATCACGATATCTCACTAGCAATGCATGAGCTTTAGCATTAACCTGAACTACCTGCTCGATACATAAGGGAGATCAAAAGATGGTGGCAGGAATTTTTGCGTTGGCCATCCCTCACATTCATCATCATCCGAAAACGAGGACAGATCGAGAAACTCAGTCCAGCCTCTCAATAACCTTAAGAAGCCCATGTAGAGCTTTCAATCCAAATCCTTTCCCTCGAGACCACCAATTAGGCTACTACTCCAGCGTAAGATATATTGCCAGGAAGGTATCGCCCAATTTGCTGCGATGAATACTCTCATTGCTTTTCAGCAAGGTTTGTTCTGAGCAGGAGAAGGAGAAGGGGCTTTCAGCTTGTGTATGCTCCGCTAGTGAGTGCAGATGATGGATTCGAAGCTCGAGATGAAGGGGGAAAAGGGAAGGCGCGGGAGTTATCGGATATATGGTAATTGTCGATGATATGTAATGGCACCGCGATCAGTCTATAGAGCCCCCACCCCAACACAAGGGGGCCGCAAAAAACAGACAACAAAGCTGGAATGGTCGACTTTTCACATCGGCAGGAATCAAAATTTCATCTCTCGTTTCCCTCATGATTACAAGATCATAATAATGGCACCATCTACTGCCTAGAAATCATCGAATCAGACTAGCTGAGTCCATCCATCCATCGCTCGCTCGCTCGCTGAACCCGCGTGCTATGCTTCCCCAGCCAACCTCTAGATTCTCAACCAAATTCGAAGCTAACTGTGCTCGCTCTTTCTCTCAAAATCGAAACTTGTATTCTCTTTCTCGTCCTTTCTTCACGCTCTCGGTCTTGCCGCCGGCACCGGCGAGTCATAAGACGCCCCCTGGTAATTGTATCGAACTCGTCTGCCCTCTCCCGCCCAGGCCTTGATCGTAAGGGCTGGGGTTCATGCCGCCGGAGTAATTATTCGTTGTATGTCCTTCCATTGGAGCAGCGTGCTTCCGGAGCATGAACATCGGTTTCTTGCCCTCCCTGTCTAGCTGTTTGAATACTATCAGTGGCTTCTCTTTGAGACCCAGACATCGCTCTTGATCGCCGTGGACGATGTATAGGGCGTAGTTCTTCCAGTCGGCGTTTATGTTGTATTTCTTCAACGCGGCGGGGAGGACTTTCTCGCAGGGGTCGTCCATGCTGACGCGGAAGGATTTGAAGATCTCGACGCTGGGGCCGGCGCCGGATGATGAGGGCGGAGGGTCTTCGGGCTGGGACGACGGTGTTGGCTGTGCTTGGTTGTAATTGGATACTGGAGGACCTCGGCCAGCGAGCGCTCTAGACTCGGCGAGTGTGCGAGGAGTAGGTGTGGGATTGCTGGCATTACGATCGAAGTTGGCTGTCGAGCCATACCCTCCTGGATCTTCCGCATGAGAGTAGATCGTTCGTACCGTCCCTTGCGCCTGTGGATCACGGTACCTGTTGTAGGTATTTGGGGAGGTCGGAGACGGCATGTTCGCTTGGTTGGGAGATGTCGATGGTTGAGACCCTCCATTCATACCCGCTGTCAAGTGATTGGACGCTGCTATTGCAGCTGCCGAAGGATCCAAGGTTGGATCAACCATTGCTTTCCTCTCCTCTTGAACGCTCTGGGGAATATGTGTAGGCGAATTGCTCTTTGGCGTCTGACCAAGGAACAATCGCTTCTTCGAGAACTTGCGGGACAGTACGCTACCTTTCACCTCTGGCGGGATTGGAGCGGTCGGAGACGCACCGTTGTCCTCCGGATGATCTGGGGACTGGCTGTTTGGGTGATATGGGAGAGGCTGGGAGAGGTCTTTTGCTCTTCGGAAGATAGGCAGTAGCTCATCTCGTAGTTTGCGATACTCTTCTGTGATCTTCCGTATCTCAGCTTCGGCAGCTTGAATACGGTGGTCTCGTATCTCGAGTGATCTTATGATTCTTGAAATGTCCTCTCGAGTGGCTTGCTGGTCAAGGGCGCTTGCTTCCGCAGCTGTTGAAGTCAGCATAGCCAATGAATTGTCAAAGTCTAGAGAACGTACATGGTGGTACCCAATGATCAGGATCTGTAGGTATTCCTTGCTTTTGCTTGACATCAAAGACGCCCTTCAATAGAGTCAAACGGTGACCGATGCTCATGACCCCCATTTCTTTCAATTCATCGTGTCGTAACGCTATCAGAGCTTCGCCAATGATCTCGTTTTCTAGTAGCGGTCAGTATCGAAGTCTCTTGAAGAAGGCCCTAGCCGTTCGTGCATGCATACCTATGAAAGTATCGCAGTATTGAGACAATCCAAGGCTGGAGACGTAATCTGCGCATTGGTCCGTGCTCCAGCCCACAATTGTGTTACCTGGCGACAGCTTCCCTAGATCAATATGGTGTCCAAATGCGGTGGGAGTAGGTTCGGTAGAGGGGGGGTCGGTGTCCGTAGGAGAGTTCTCATCATCGGTAGGGAGGATGGGGGAGGTCATTATAGAGCGTTCATATTCATCGTCGGCATCTGAGTCATGATAGCTTGGAGGAATGGCCATGATTGGGCTGTCAGGTCCGACGACCAGATCTCCGCTTAGGTCCTCCTTTTTCGATCGGCCTCTTCAGCTCCACGCCTCCCGCATGGAGTCTGATGGGTACTGTAGCCACTCTACAGTTGAACAGCGCATACGACTTCCTAATACTGCAAATGTAATGGTTCGGAAGGCACGTGGTAGTCGTGAATGTGAATGATTCCTTGTCGGGGCAAATGAGGATTCACAGCGCTGATGGGTTTAGGCAGCTCTCGCACGTGGAAGCCGTAAGGGTGACAGACAGATGGTGGCTACTGTGACGCTGTGTGTTGAGCATAAATCTCTGGGCAAGATGTAAACAAATGTAGGCTCATATGGCTAGGTTGCGAGGTTGAAATGCTCATGGAAGCGCCTTGGACATCAGCTGGCCATTCAAGGAGTCGATGATCGACAAAATGCCAAGAAATCTGGCCTTTCCGAATTTGCATCACCGCATTCGTCCGCATAGGAGATTATTCGATCAATGCCGCGATGAAATTGGAAGCCTCATGGATTTGAGACAAGATCGGCAATCTTTAGTGATGCTACGTCTCTTGCGCTCCGCAGACAGATCGCGACACGCCTGAGGCTACTTCTCCTACTGTCGCTCTCTGGTTGCTTACAAGCACGCCTCGTGGACTCACAAGCAAGCAGATGCACAAATATTTCGTCAGAGATCCCCCAACTCACATTGCCTAATTTTCAGGGCAGTCTAGCCAGGTTCCTACAGTTTGGCATTGCGAGCTCACAAAACCTGCCACTCTGCCTCTTGCGTTCTTCCCTCGAAACCACAGTCCCCCCAATCATTGACAGCGCGTAAGAGCATGGGATCAGGGCTACAAGACGCTGAAGCACGAACTCGAAGGTTCGAGTGGGGGTGGTACAAGGGATCGCAAACATGGGTAGGAGGTGTTTGATGAGAAATTTATCATTATGTGTCCCATTCATTTATTGGACATTTGCTTCCTTCCTTTCATGAATACACCACCCGTACACCCTCAAGATCATGCATTCGCTCGCTCAAGCACGCATACATATGATACATAAGATAAGCATCACCTTCCCCAGAGAGAGCGCGGGCAATCGTCCAGCCCGCTTCTTCCCACGCAAGGTATCATCCCGCCTGTTCTACCATCTCCCCCTTTTCCCTAATGTCACCTCAGCTTAATCAACATTCCCAAAAGGAGCGCTGCGACCAGTATGTAAGACGGTGTTCTCGCATTCGGTGGGGCGGAGGAGCCAATATCCAGTATCGTGCCCCCACCTCCATTCGAGCTTGTTGAAGATGCCGAGGGCGGTAATGATGAGTTCGACGAGGAAGAGGTCGATGTTTTGGTCTTTGACTTCCCTTGAGAAGACGTGGGTGTCGTTTCCGCTGTCGTTTCTGTTATTGTTGTAGTTGCGCTGGAGGATGATGGGGCCAAGGTGGGTTTCTTGCTTGTTGCTGTTGTGGAGGTGGTTGGCTTTTGGAGGGTAGAGGTGGACGTGTCTGAGTCTTCTTGGGTTGTAGTGGTGGATTTGGTGGGGGTGGAATAGACCACTGTGGTGGTTGTTTTCTTCTCGACTGTGGTGGATTTGGGGGAGTTTGTTGTTGGGGTTGGGAGTAGGCTGATTGTGGGCTGTTGGAGGAGTCGTCGGATTGGGAATTACTCGACTGCGAATTGTCTGACTGCGAAGAGCCTGATTGGGAAGTTCCGGGCTGTCCTCCTGTACTCGAAGCTCCCAGTACATTTGGACACAGCGTCTTTGTGCCTTGATCTATGAAGAACAGTCCCATCAATGTATTAGGTAACGCGCTGGTCCCCTTGCACTCATCATTCAGTATTTTTGTCACCCCCTCCAAGTAATTTATACATTTTGATGAACAGCTGTGTCCGTCCCCGAAATCACTGTCTGAGCAGTCTTGCAGAGGTGCGAGGTAAGCTTTCGTACAATCGAGGGAAAAGCCATTGATGGGCTGGAAGTCGTAAAGGCTGACAGCGGAAGTTCTGGCGAGGAAGAGGAGGGGATGGAGGAGGGAGGGGCGCATTCTTTGCGCTGCACAGGTTCGCGCTCTGATTAGATGCTCAATCTTTTCCTGTGAACCCTTGTACGACCTGATGGTGACAGTTGCACTCAGGTTGTAATAGGATCTGTGTAATGAACATTCGCGGCGGTAGGTATTATTGTTTGTTCATTGTGCTGTGTCGAGCAAAGATGATGACAGAGGGGAGGTATTATCATTAACTCATTTCCATTGTTTGCTGAAATCACGTGAAGTAGTATCTTTGTATTTTGCCCGTCGTCAAGCCCAAAAATGTCCGGGCGAAGTCGCAAAGTGAAGAGAAGAGACGAAGGATGAAGATTTGAACCACCACGGGTGTATTAAGAATTATTCATATATCGCGACAAGCTCTTCCAGAGATAAACACGCTCAGCGCATCATGTGTAAGAACGTTTTTCAAATGAGCATCTTTCCGCCAGGAACGAGGAGGGAGACGTTGGGATGTGAAACCATCGCGAAACTGAGGCGTGAGCGTTGCCGCTGGAGGTTGACGGCATCGTGGCCACTAATCCTCACGCGTCTTGATTGGTCCTACAGACTCTGGCCTTAGGTCGCTGTGATGATGACTAGCACTGCAACGTCGACAGCACATGGTAGTGATGCTAGAGGCCTATCGTCAGCCCACAGACCTGGAGGAATTGGTTCGCGCAAAGATCTAGAGCTGGTGCTGCTAAGAATAGTAGTTCCGATCTTCGGCGATTCCCTTTCCGTATGTCGGTCACTTTCCCCGGCTGAGATCGTCCCCAAAAACGCTGTCTTTTTCTGTCTGACCGTACACGCTAAGCAGATTCGTCAGCCACCACTGCCACCCGGTATCTCAGCCACGCGGGGCAATGCTGACCGAGGGGTTCTTCATAAATATGTAAGATCTCGACCATAATCCTCATTTCATCACACACTCAGCTCGTCACATCAAAGACTACGTTCTAATTCTTATTATCACTCGAACCATTTCTTTCCACTCCATCCCTATCTATCACAAAGCCACGTCCACCATGTCAGACCCTTACAACTCCGCACCCCCAAACTACGGCGGGCAATCTCAGCAGCCTCAATACAACCAACAAGGCAGCTACAATCAACAACCACAGCACGGCCAGCAGCCTCAACAACAGCAAGGCTACGGCGCACCAGAAGGCTACGGCCCACCGCGCCGTCAGGACTCCTACGGCCCCCCTCAACACGGCGGCTTCCAGCACGGCACGCAAGGCAACCAATTCGGCACCTACGACGCCTCAAACCCCCAAGGCCACTCCCAATACTACGGCCAGCACCAAGGCTACGGCTACCCTTCCCCCCACCAGCAGGGGTACGGCCAACAACCCTCCTACCCCAACGACCCGAATGCGCAGAATACGCAGCAGCCTGGAGGTGCGCAGTATCCTGTCGACCCGAACGCACCACCACATGATCCCAACAACCCTGAAGGAGATAGGGGCTTGCTTGGTGCGATAGGAGGAGGGCTGGCAGGACATTATGGCGGGAAGAAATATGGAAATCATGGGTTCCTTGGGACGATCGCTGGGGCGGTCGCAGGGAGCAAATTGGAGGACAAGTTCAAGGGACATCATAGTGGTGGGGGAAGTCATCATGGGAGCAGTCACGGGAGCAGTCATGGGGGAAGCAGCTGGGGTGGGAAGTGGTAGGCGGAGTGACTGAGGTCTTTGATGAGTTATGAGTTGGCTTGTTTCAGGGCTGTACAGAGTTGCGATACTGGTCCTTTGGATGTGTTTAGATAGCAGAATGATCATTGACTCCTTTTTGGTGTGAGCCTAAGCTCTCTGTCTCTCGTTTTGATATCGACTCGAGTCTCAGTCTAAACCAATTCCGGCCTTAGCGTATTGGAATCTGTCAACACTTTGTGAGTTTCTAAAGCCGTTTTCATCAACCGTGTTGACTCGTAGTGTGCAAGTCTTCCACATACCTCTGCCTTTGCCTGTGGCTACGCGTAATGCCAACATGGAGGTAATGGATGTGTCGTGTCTGCTCAGCCCAGAATGCCCTTGAGCTGCATGAAGCAGGCTGAGCTACCCCACGTCTAGACCCTTTCTCAGGGTGTCGCAACGCTTGACACTTCGTTCATAAGTCTGTGATCACATTTGACCAGACACTTCCTTCTGGTTTTGTTCTCTACATACTATCATTGTGTCTGCGTTTCTCGAGACTCACCCAACAGGTCGTCGAAAATGGAGGTCATAGTCCGCAATCTCGATCAGCATATGACCGAGTCAAGGGTCGAGAAGTTCTTCAAACCTATTCTGAAATCATATGGCATCGACCATTTTCACTGTCAGAAGCTCAAGGCCAAAGGGTGTGCCACTTTTACCGTGCTCGACCCTCTCAAGTGTCAACGATTCCTGTATTTTCACGGGCAAGTACAGCCTGGGAGAAAAGGCTTTAATGCCGTCAGGCGCAAGTTGTTCATCCAAAAGAATCCAGTCAATTGCATGGTCAGCACTAACGCGCCTAATGAATGGATCGTCTTCGCTCTCAGGAAGGAGGAAAGCGATCGTCACGCGGCATTAAGTCGCAAAGCATTGACCCCGGGTAAGGTCGAGAGCCGGTCTGAAGTCTTAAGACCACGAGCCTTTGACATCAGCCGGATGCAGGTTGGGCAGCTATGGTATTCTGGTGGTAACTTAGTATTCTCCGATAACTACGCCGACCACCGCACTGGTCGAATCATTTTCGGCAGCCGCTCTCTTCTCATCAAACTCTGGCCCATGCAACCAGGTCAAGCTCATTATCAGCTGCAAATTTGGTACGATAGTATAGAGTCATTTGTCGTCGGAGACAACTGCGTCACCCTCTCATTAATACAGGCCCCAAGGCTTTTCGAAAATCTCGATGGCGATATTTCGCTTGAAGCCAGTCTACGAAAGGCTTTAGGAATCCAAGCTGGCCCAACATTCAAACCTATGCAATCATTCAAACGAACACGGCTTTCAGCGCTCAATGATAAGCACAGAGAAGTAGTAGCATCATGTTTTTGTTACCGACTGACACTCACTAGTCTGACGGACTCTCGTGCAGTGCAAGGGTTGAAAGGCTTTGAGGGGATCCCCAACATAGTCATCTGGAACATACCCGTCCAGCTCGACATACCGATACCCGAGCAAATGGCTGCTTTGCAGTGCGGCCTAGCAGAGGTAAGGTACGGAGGGGCTATGCCTTTCGAGGTCAAGTTTCAGCTGCAGAAATTGGCTCAGAATACCTACCTCAAGCCAACAAAAGTCATCGAATTGTTCCCTTGTGTTCGATCGCACCTTCGCGAACGTAGCGTGGCTATCGTAGCAAGTGCCCTGAGACACCTCGCAAGCAGTATTCCATTTGCTGGACCGGACGCGGAGGAAGAAAATTTCAAAGTCAATACCTTAACTAGTCTTCTACAAAAGAGCATCGAGTCTGTATTTGAGGACGATCCGTATTCACTAAGGCTAGCAGAAGAGCACGACCACATTGCGATGGTTCACAAAGCCTTAGTAACCCCGACCGGTATATTCCTTTACGGACCCGAACCTGAGACCAAGAACCGCATATTACGAAAGTATTCCACTCATCTTGACAATTTCATATCAGTATCTTTTGTGGATGAGAACTATGAGCACTTACGCTTCGAGCGGGATACGTCGAGTGAAGATATCTATCAGAGGAGATTTCAAGGCATACTTGATGGCTTTATTACCATCGCAGGACGCAATTACGAGGTGGGCATATCTTTATCACTTTGCGAAAGGAGCCACTCTGACTCTATAACTAGTTTCTAGGATTCTCGCATTCATCACTTCGCGGTAAGTCCCTTCCCTTTTATGACCTGGCGAGGGTTCGTCAACCGGAACATGGCCACGCCGAATGGATGTAGCGGGAGATACAGGGCATTTGCACCCAAAGCAGACCCCTTTACAGGGGCAGATCTTGAATGCACTCTCCAAGTGGTAGGCCCCGGAACTAGGGCCATTTCAACCTGGCGTGGCCACCCTCCGTTTGACTGACCCTCGTGGATCATTTAGGAACTATATCGCAAGATTCTTGTCCCATGAAAAGCTACATTGACTGAGTCACGGGTAACAGAGCAAGCCTGTTGGTTCATGGCTCCTTTCATCATGGACCGAACTCTACTTCATGCCAGAGCAGTCATCGAAGAGCTCGGAGACTTCGGACATATAAGATCACCAGCTAAATGTGCCGCGCGGATTGGACAAGCGTTCTCTCAAACCTTGAGTGCGATTACCATCTCGGGCGATGCCATCATGCGCATCCCCGATGTTGAGCGCAACGGGAGAACTTTCAGTGACGGCTGTGGTACATGTTCACCAGATGTACTAGCTCAAGTTTGGGAGGGCTATAGAGGCGCCCGTGGACTGAAACCCACGATACTGCAAATTCGATTCCAAGGTACTCTACCGCTTATACTGTAACACTTGAGTGGTACTCATAATACCAAATAGGAGCGAAGGGCGTGATCTCACTCGATTCGAGACTTCAAGGCGAGAAGCTTTGCTTACGACGGTCAATGATCAAGTTTGAGGGATCAACGGATACAAATGTCGAAATTTGCGGAGCTTCCAATAAACCGCTGCCTATGTATTTGAATCGCCAAGTCATCAAAATCCTGGAGGACCTGAAAGTCCCAAATGAGCCATTCCTGCGACTACAAGCCGCGGCGGTAGAAGAACTCCGGCAGACCACAGTATCACCTCTTAATGCCTCAACATTTTTCCATAGAAACCGCATTGGGACTGCAGCTAGGCTCTCCTTTCTGATCAAAAAGCTGTTCTATTGGGGGTTTGACTTCATTGAGGACCATTTTTTACGTGACACTCTTGAGACGGCCGTCTTGGTTCAAGTGCGCGAGATCAAATACCGTTCTCGAATTTTGGTTGGAAAGGGGTGGACTTTGTATGGTGCGTCTTGCTTTTTTAACGCGGAGCCTATGTGATCTTATTTTTCTTACCCTCTTGTCTAATCATCAATCTATTTGGCTTCTACTGACAGATTGAATAGGCATCATGGACGAAACTGGTATCTTGAAAGAAAACCAAATATACTGCGCGGCACATCTAGATCATGGCATACAGGTTTTGACAGGCAACGTGGTAATAACCCGGTGTCCTGCTCTTCATCCAGGGGACATTCAAGTAGTCGAAGCCATCAAGGTCCCAGAAGACAATCCTCTGTACTACTTACATAACGTTGTCGTATTCAGTTCATACGGCGACCGTGATCTTCCCTCCAAGCTGAGTGGTGGTGATCTAGATGGCGACCTTTACAACGTCATTTGGGACCCTGACCTCTATCCAAAACAAATATCTCCACCCGCCGACTACCCAATCCCAGAGCCAATCAATATTGGCCGGCCAGTTGAACGTGGAGACATGACCAAACACTTTGTGACTTTCATGGAGAACGACACCCTTGGCATGATTGCAACTCTTCATCAAATATTGGCGGATCAAGCGCCAACGGGAACATTGGACCCTACGTGTATCAAATTGGCTGGACTCCATTCCTCTGCAGTAGATTTTTCCAAGACTGGTATTCCGGTAAATTCCCCGAGTACGCATTGAATCAAGCCTTTTGACATTAATTCCAGGTTTCACGCATGGAGCTACCAAAATATCCCAAGGCCCGACCAGACTTTCAAGCTCCGGGTCCACGTGTGGTCATCGATAAGTGCGTGGGTTTTGAAGCATCAGAGGATCCGATTGATACCCCCATAGAGACTGATGAGATGGATGAAGCCAACAGCTTTGGTCCCCCGCGAATTCGATACTACCCAAGCAATAAGGTTCTAGGAAAACTCTACAGAGCCATCGACGAGCACAAGTTCTTTGCCCAAATACAAAAACAGTCATCACGAGTCGAAAAACAGGATCACTCTTTGATCGAAAGGGTCTGGCAATACGTGTCCAAGAAGGCAGCCTTGATCGAATGGACGCATTACACAGATTTCGCTAAAACGGTCAAAGAGAAGTCAGCCCCCTCTTCTCTTCGACCCCCCTCCTTTCCCCGTATCCAAATCCACTCAGCCAACATCAACTGACTCCTAACCAGCTACGAGGACCTTCTCACAGACACAATGCTCCAATTCGCCTCTCACCCCCACCACCCCGTCTCAGAAATCGAAGTCTTCAGCGGCAGCATCCTGGGCAAAATCGGTTCGCAGTCGAAGCAACAGCGCGAAAATTGCATCACCATGAAAGACAAATTCGACCGCGACGTCCAGTACATCACCAGCTGGATCACGCACGGCGACGACAAAGACGGGAGTACGGAAGCGTTGGAGCGCTCGCTTGCCTGTCTGTGGGTCGGTATGAGAGAAAGGGGGTTCAGGCAGAAAGTCGGGGACCTGGTCAGCTTTAGGTGGATTGCGGCTGCTGTGTGCTTGAAGGAGGTGGAGAGGTTGGGTGGAGGGGATAAGGCGGGTGTGGGTTGGAAAGGGGATCAGGTGGCGCTGGGGTGGAAGGAGTCGGAGGGGGTGAATGGGTTAATGGGGAGTATGGGGGCACTTACGCTGTGAGAGATGGTTGATGTCGTTTGTTCTTTCGCTGTGATAAAGACGACACGGGATCAACGTATGCGTGAGGAACATGCTATGCTAGTCGAAATAGAAGGTGGAACATGCACTATAGCAATTACCTGCAAAATGCCCACACTCTCCTCCCCCAGCGTCATTTGTTCGTGCCATCCCATCGCCCTCTCTTGCCTATCCCTCACCCACCCCCTTCCTAGCAGGCTGCTTCAAGCTACGAATACATAAGCGAGATTTACAGTAGCCATGCGGAGGGGAGAAGTGGGGAGAAAAGAGGACTGAGGGTTCAAAAGCCCAGGGAAGGGAGAGCAAAATGCTGTGGGAAGGCTGCGGGAAGAAGAAGACGGAGAAGTAGATGTGGCTACCCTATTATTTCCCAACATCCCAGGGAGAAGGCTGGTATCATAATTACGACATGACATAAACGTAGAAAAATCTCTCGAATGTCATAACCAGAATAAAAGAGCAGAAGCATATTCGTCTTGTCATGGGGCTCCCCTTTCCTCAACCTACCCCTCCTCCATACCAGTCACCCAGGCTTCCCATCCCTCTCCGTCCCCTTCGCTCCCGGCAACTCCCCCTCCTCAACAACCATGTTACCCGCCAATTCCGGCAGCATATCAATCAACGCCTGACCGACCGGCCAATTACTCGCTTTCGCCACATAATCCTTAAACGATTTCTTCACGTTGATGTAGTTCTGCTTGGGGTCGATATCGTAGATATCTCTTGGGCGGAAAGAGCCTCGGACGTGGACGGTTTCGCATGGGGTCAGCCAGTCGAGAGCGCCGATGTAGAGTTCGGGTTTGGCGATTAGGAGCTCGCGCATGGGGGGCCTGGGATGTTAGTGGTGTTTTTGAGGAGGGGGGTGGTGAGTGAGGGTAGGGGGGGCAAAAGGGGGTTAAAGCGAAGGTCGGAATACGGCCACGCCTTAATATATAGGGGCAGGATAGCGGCAGGCACAAGCTAAGAGCCTTAGCTTTCGGGGCGTTATCCAGGGTTGACCTCCCTAAAAGTGGCTGGATTTGGCGTGGCCGTGTTCCGATAGACCGATTCTCGGAATGAAGGGGGGGAAGGGGTTGGGGAAGGGGGTATTACCAGAGAAGATAGTCAACCCATATCGGATGGGGCACAAAGAGCTGGGTCGACGTCGGTCTCAAGAGGGCGGGGATGTCTGCATAAGTCTCAGGCGTAGGGTGAATTTGCCACTATGCAGGATCGTCAGAGAATGAGAGGTCATCGCGAGGGATGTGGATGGGTGATATTACCCGCATGAACTTGAAGAAACAGTGCATGATCCCTAGCTGGGTGTGCTGGTCTTTGATGTTGAAAGCTTTGGACATATCGTACGCCCACTTCGACAGCGGACTCGTCTCTTCCGGATCTGTGTAGCCGAGAGAGGCAGAGATATCGACGTCAGGCTGGCCGATAATATCATCGGGGGTTTTCCCATTGACGATCTCGTATTTGGCGTGGCTTAGGAAGGCGCTATAAGCTTGACCTAAGGGTTCGACGGACGGGGTGCTAATGGGCTGGGCAAGATAGAGGGGGAGAGAAAAGTTGTGCAATTGGTGTCCTTGATACACATTGTTGGTATATTGGGTTGTCTGGATCGAGTCTGGCAAATAGATGTTGCTGAAGGAATTGATGGTGTCACCGGTCCTTGTCAAAGAATTTACGTGCTCGGCTTTGGCGTTACGGTCTTCTGATTGCCTACATCAATCATGTTAGACCCAGCGACGGGTCGGAATCGGGGTGGATTACATTAGACGTTCCTCTAACTCATGTATCCTTGTAAGCAATCGTTGGTTCTCTGATTTCAGCTCTGCGCTGATGCTCTCTACGTGGCACCGACAATGAGTCAGTTGTCAAGAGCAAGGAGCTTCAAAAGACGACTGCTTGATGCGATAGGGAGGAATCACCGTGCTCAGACGACACCGTAGGTATGATCGCCTTTATCTTTGTTTTTCCTCTGCCGCGACTTGATGGAATCTGTCCTTTCCGGTCCGCTTTGGATTCATTATGCTCTGATGATGCTGTACTTGGCTTGGGGACTAGTTGGCGAAGGCCTGGGCCCATAGTACTTTCGAAGATGTTGATCGGAAGCCTGAGAGTATGGTCCCGTTGAGCTGAGAGATACTGGATGCTTGTTCTTCGATGGAGGCTATGACAAAGAATGGAGGGGGACCCTCGTGGGGAAAGCCACCACGAGCCGAACGTACGTCCTCAGGAATGTGAAGTAGAGACTCCTTCTTTTATTACGGCTCGGAAAAAAAGATGACAAGGACCGGATTCATGAATGGCATGTGAGAATGGCATGGGATCGATCGGACGGGATGGCATTCTGGATGGAATTGTAGATGGAATATCATACTGGCGGCTTACGTGTGCCAAGCACAGGGATCACGCGCTGTGGGGATCGTCTTCGGAAGCATCGAAATGGCCTCCTAAGTGCAAAAGATGTCGCGTTTGTTGCATTTTTTTCCACATTCGTGGTGGATGTCGGTCAGAAATTGTTCAGAGTCTGCGGAACGCTATGCAAGCCTCAACTCTGCGTCTCGCTGGCTCTGTGGTAGGGGAGGCCATTGCCCCCGGATAGTGTACCTGGGTACAAGTCTTCCAGGTGCATTACCCGTAGCGCTCGGAGGGGGCCTGCAAAGGCTTGGCACAATGGCATCTGCCGCCAAGCCCGCTCAACCTTTTTCTTCCATTTCACATCAAGAGCAGCCGCAATATAAATCATGATCTTGGAGGACGGAGCTTTGGGCTGCGTAGTGGAGCCTGATGGAAGGATGGAGGAATGAGCAGCCTAAAGGAACGCGTGCGGGGGTGTAGCTACAAGAAACATTACGTCGTTTCTCGCATGTCGTAACGAGCGGGAGCCTGCCTAAGCGGAGGACTTCGTGGCCCCAAGGCATCGAAAGGTGCATTTACTGTTAAATGGATTACAATGACGTTCAGAAGAGCACATAAGAATGTTGCATTGTGAAAGCTCTCTCGAATCAGTGTTCAAATTGCCTATCGGGATGGTGGGACTAATCCGACAATTACTCTACCTAACAATGCTCACTACCCTTATCTCAAAACGCATGATCTAGCCTACTCAATGTGAACGAGCAAATGTGAACTTCTTATGCGTCCTTGATGTAGCATCCATTGATCCATCGACCTTTCTGACGTGTAGCCTCATGATGGGCGTCGATCCGATGCTCCCAGCTAGGCAGTGTCTCAGCTTGTGAGCCATGAGGACGATAGTGCCAAGCTGATGGAAACGACTTGAGGTTGTCTTCATCCCCTTCTTTTCCAAGATAATCGAGTCCTCTCCGCTGTCGTGCCGAGAGGTTGATCTGAGCCCACCGGTCGAAGTCGCGCGTCGCCCATAAAGTGCCTGGGATGGCCGAGCGCACGTTCGCCCAATTTCCCGTGTAAGGGGTGGTGTTACATGTGCGATGTGCAAAGGCAACGAGGGTTATCATGTCTCGGGCTTGGATCTTGCAGAGCGCTCGTCCGAGGAAGGTGGAGTGGTGACGAGGCAGGGGCCCGCCACTTGTTTCTGGCTCAAGCCAGAACTGCCCCCGGCCATGAGACCATTGTTCCGGATTATCCGCATAGCCAGCGTTCAGCATTAGGTTGAGGAAGCTGAACTCGCTACTATACATCCACGACAGGTGCGGTATTGCGTCAGAGATAAGGTGTAGCGTGAACGTCTTCAAGTTCACACATGTCTCCGCTATCCAGTGCACCGACTCGCAGAGCTTGCCCTCAAACTGTTGAGCTAGCTTGGCCAAGGCATACCTTCTACCATGGATATCCGCAATTTCGATTGGTTGGTGCATCAGTTGACTGTACTCGAAGTCTACGCTCAGATGCTGAATAATCGCCAGCTTGTTTTTTATATTCGTCAGTAACCGAAGACCTCTTAACGGATTCAGCGACAGATGAATACAAACAGTGCTGTAGAATACTAGAACCGACTCTTGATACACTGTCCGGCAAGTCCGCATAATGCCGTTGGCTGCTATGACATGTCTCTTCGGCTCAATCAGGTCTTTAGCCATTTGGCTGACATGGCGCACGGGGGTATCGCCTAGGGATTCGAAAACATTGCGGTAGATCATCACCCTGATCTCTGCAGGGAGATCGAGAAACCCTAAGCTGGATGGTGTGGGAGTGTGGGTAATGGTCGTCATCCTGGTTTGAGAAGTCGTGTTTCCCATGCTGGCGAAAAGGGGCACTGATTTGCCACAATCTGAGTGGATATGTTTCTTCGTCTCTGGAATGATAAGATGGGAAAAGGAGCGATGGTTTTATATCCCACATCAAGATCATCAGGTAGGAAAATCGCATTGTTGACATGAAAATCATTGTTGATGTGACACTCATTGTTGAGGCCAAAAGCTGGTGTCCTCAGTCAGCCTTTCATTGTGTAGAATTCCAAGCTACTACCGCCCGCAAATTCATAGCTTCTTCCAAAAGAGCGCGATAGACGCACTCCAGGCGATTCAATTGTTATTCAAGTATATAAAATTACCGAATAGAGAGCGCGACAATCTTCTGTTCGCACCATGAAGCCACCAGCTTTTCGATTCTTTTTGCTTTGAATTGGCAACTACAGGGCTTCACAGTTGAAAGGCCACCCAAGCGCAAGTGCGATGAGTCGCCAGCTCTGTCGAATACTGCGAGTCCAGAGCCCTACATAGTTGCAGGACTAGCCTTTCCATTCAAGTGACAAAAGTAAGCAGCTTGCTCCACGCCTCTTTCCATCTAATTCAAGGCCATCATTTCAGAGTCTCCACTCCCAACGCCGTCAAGTTCGTACCACCTAGGCTAGCAACAAACCCTGAATCCTTCTTAATTACCCACTCAAGGGAGCGTGGGACGCCTTGAACACTCCAAGAGACCCTAACCCGAAAAACACTCCCCACATCCGCAGCCTGTGCGAACCACATCCTCAGCTGAAACACGTAGCCCGGCAGATGTACATTATTAACGAACTCCTGGCCGTAGGTGAAAGTGCTGATTGTACTGTGGAGGATCTGAGTATAGTCATCATTGAAGGCGTCCACGCAGATGGTTGTGCTTGGGGGATGCCAGTATCCTTTCATCTGTATGTCGCAGATTTGTTAGTTGATTCGTTGGTGTAGGGAGGGAGTGCAATCGGGTCACGAACTCTGAAGAGACTTTCATCTTCCAAGGGAGTGGACCCAGCGGGTCCTTGTCCGCAAGAACCAGTTACAATTAGCCCAACACCCTGGTTGGTATTATTTTGAGGCGGCGTTAGATCGGTGCTGTTGGCTCCAATTTGATCAGTGCCTATGAATGGCCGCCCTTTCCTGTCAATATGTACATGATATCGCTGGCTCGACACATCATTGATGGTGCCGTATATATCAATCTCAAAGCCTGTATTTATGTCCTGGGTGTTCGAAAAGAAGAACGTGAGCCAGCAGTCATAGTGTGGCGAATGTAGAGGGTCGAGGTACTTCTTGTAATGATAAGTTGGGTCATTGAATGAGGTAGACAGAAAGCTCCCCAATTTGTACATGCCGTGATGCAGATCGTAGATATCTAAACAGAGCGTCGATTGTTCCGGGGCCCAGTAGCCGACTAACTGCGCAGTAGGGTTCGTGTCAGTCAAACTTGTCCTCAAACACAGACACAGATGCACAACGGACCCTCACGCCAATACTTGAATCAATAGGAGTAGAACCAGGGGGTACAGTGCCGCAAGCGACATTGGCTGTAAGCTCGGTGTCATTGATATTGTTGAGGATGCTCAGAGACCTTCCACCGAGAGATCGAAGGCTTGGAAGAGTATTGAGAGGTGATGCGCTGACGGCAAGTAGAAAAAGAGATGTTTGCAGAAAGGCTGCAACGCCGAGGACATATCGCCCTATCATCATACAAGTAAAGCAGTCTTTATGAGCAAGCGATCGTGATGCGTCGTAACATCTCTCACAGGAATCTCTAGAATGCCTAAATGGGAATGAAGGTTCCTTCTTATATGAATGAGAGAACGATACGAGACGACTCGCGCGTATGATTCAGTTCAAGGCATGTTAGTTGCTAGCACGCGCTTCTTGATCTTTCGCGACTGAGTCTAAATCTCGAAAAAGAAACACGGTAACAAGGATGTCTTCCATATACAACGGTGTACGACAGACCGGAGAAATTCTTTAATGGTACGTAGCTAGCTCTGAGAACTAGGTGAGTACCAATCGTCATATCATACCCAACAAGACTTCTAAGACTGTCGGGCGCTGTTCTGTCGCGAGAAAATTTGCAGCTGGGCGCTGGCGTGTAGGGATCTGAGACATTCGGTTTGAAGGTCTACTGACTGGCAGCTCCAAAACCTCAGATGTTGGTGTCTGTTGATTAGGCGCCGCGAAATGCGACATATCAACTTGATCGTTTGGTTCTCTCATGTTGTCTTGTAGCCATTGGTCTGAGGCTATTCTGCCCCAAGAAGAGGACGCCACTCGTCTTCATCCCCATCATTCGTTGGCCGTCGGCCTGGCGACGGCACCCATCCTCTCATCCAGCCAGAGACAGCTTTCCATGTAGTTCTTCCTCTTGAATCCTCAACGAGCATTTCGACCTTCTCGGTCTTCTCCCGATACGCTATGAACTGGAAGATCACATAGGCATCAAGGACTAGGACACCAGCTGCCCCAAGCCAGAAGGGAAGAGTCAGCTTCACCCAAGTGCTTTGATCACTTCCCTCAGGTCCTGCCCAGCCATGACATCCATACGGTCCGTATGAGTCCCAGGCTAATGGGTTTGCGATAATAGCTGCGCTGTAGAAAAAGTTGCCACAAAATGTGGCCACAAACATGTACAGGCTGACACCGGCTGTAGAGCGACGGTTGCTGTTCTTGAGGATTTGAGGGAGGCGAGAACCAAGGTACAGCGCTGTAGACGCCCAGGATAAAACTTGGCCGACCACTTGAGCTTTGGAGGAGATAACGAAAGTACTAATTGGGAGGTCCACGTTTGCCGCCGGAGAAGCTGGTAGACCAGTGGCATTTTTGGCATTTGCGAGAGTTAGGAGATAGCTCTTTGAGTGTTTTGGGCCACGACTGCTCCCTGTAGCGCTGGAGCTGGCAGATGATGAGGCCACAATTGCGTCTTTGTCTTCCAAGTTCCCGTAGTTCGAACGACTGAAATTCTGAGTCTTTGCCAGTATATCTGTTTTTCTTCGAAGCTCTTCAGGTTCAGCCTGCCTCCCGTTCGAAGTGAGGTATTCCGCGTCCTCAGCCACCTCAGAATTAACAGCCTCGCCATTGTTCAAAATCCCATTGGAATGAGAATGACTGTCGCCATCGTCTGGATTAAGTATAATTACCCCCCTCATTCTCCAAGGTTTGATATGGGTGTACCAGCAGAATTGGCTGAAAAGGCATATGTCCACGATGACATAATAGGTAGCTAAGCCGACCTGCCATGAAGCTTGTCCTGTCAATACTGCCCCCGACCAATTCGACACGTCACCCAAAAGCCACACCGCTAGGAAGTATATTGACAATCCTGAGGCGGTTTGTAGCTTGTAGTTCTCATATATTTGTGGTAGTTGAGCAAAAAGCCATGCTATAATGCTGAAAATGCCAAGGGATGTAGAGAGAAACGCGAGTGGAGTCGGCACACATGTATTGAAGGCTGATGATACCCTCTGGAGGTATGGGCTGGCAGGAGAACAGTGGTCTGGTAGGTGGGATTGGAACATCGAGAGGTCCGACGAAAACATGGTGGCGGCAGAGGTTCTCCTGCAATTGGAGTCTGCAAGCCCACCTGCGTGTTGGAGGGAACGAATTTGGCACATTCAAGCTTCGTAGCCTAGATCATCTCATTAGCGACTTAAGGCTCAAGCAGAGGCCGAGGATCGCCTCAAGCTTTGAACTAAATCGAGAGGAGTCGAAAGTATATCATGAAGTAGTGAATGTCACGGTGTCAACTCGACCAAAGAATGGTACAATGTCAGATGTGATCTGAAATGATACGAGTCACAGTAGAATGTCAAAAGATCAATATGGTGATGCAGTCATGACCATAAACAAAGATGAAAGCGGTCATTCGAAGGTAGCGGACCGCTCCTTCCAAAGCTCATCTGCAAAGACATCTTGCATGCGCAGATCGGTTTCCGGAGAAATGAGAGGATAGGCTGACATGCCAGCACAGAGAGCGCCTATGACTTCGCCATAATGAAGCCTATCGACCAAAGAAGGTCAGAAGGACTCGGCGATGCTCGGGGATGGATGACTACATCAGGTCGATAAGAAAGCCAGCTGATAAGAGATTTGGTTAAAGCGACATAGGTGTGCACCTAGTGAGGCTCTACAAAAAGCAGCTAGCCGGAAGAGCTATTGCCTTTCGTTGTAGCTTGAAATTGTCTTTGTATTCATTATCCCACAAGCACAGTACATTTCGCCATGAGTCTTCTCCAGCCCTGTTACATAAAGTCTCATCTTCTGTTGCGTAACTTTACGCACGGTCTTGTATTTCCGTCGCAGTCTGTTTGTAATTACCACCGTCGCCCGAGTAAGGAGGCCTGAAGGCCACAGTTCAGCGCTGGTACAATGATGGATTAAGATAGTTCTCACCTACCTAGCCAGGTTCTTCCCAGCAACAATGGCCGCTGAGCCCACTGCATACGCCCCCAAGAGCTGCCTCCAGCTTCCGCTCTGACCGGCTGCAAGAGCAACAAGATCATAGACCATACACCCCCCGAAAATCCAATCGCTCGCTGCGCTGGCCAGTCCAAACCCAACAGCTGTAACGACCTTGACTGGCAACGTCGCCGGGACGTCCTTGAAGTATGCAACACTCCCGTTGTGAACCAGATCCAACACCCCGATTCCGGCAAAGCTCTTGGCCACAACATGTGTGAGAATGGAAGTCCAAGAATTGGTCCTCATGGGTTCGAGCTTGCCAAACACATAGTATAGCTGTGACAGGCTGTTCACCACCACAAATATATTGGACAGCTTCAGCTGCTCTGCGTTCCAGAAGAACATCCAAGTCCCGATGCAGATATTTCCCAGGGCGTAATATGGAACATAATTGGCCATCTCATCCAACTCTCTTCTATCGACTGGCTTGTTTGAGTCAAGTTTGTACAGACGGTACATCCATGCAAGCTGAAATAGCTGTTGAGGGGCGAAAAAGCCGGCGATGAAGAAGGGCTGAGGAGACCAGAAAGAGATGTTCTGATCATTGATATCTTTCATATTCGGGGTCGAGAACATGCCATACTGCTGCAAAGCGAAGTCGTAGAGGAAAGAAGTCGGGGCCTGCAGATGTGAGCTTGCATCCAAAGAACGATGGAGACGAACGTACCAGCCATTTTGCGGTGGAGTGTGAGATACCCATGTTGAGGGCTAGTGTGGGCAAAGAGTATTGAGTACTACCTAACGGAGGTTATTCGCGCTATTAAGTACATCATGAGCTCTCAGCTGCAGCTACCTCATCACCGGTCAGTGTCGTCATTATTGTTGTCTGGAGCCGGGGGAATCTCGGACCGAAAGAGAATACGAAAACGGTCTAGAACGTCCATAGGTTGTCGACGCACTGAAGTCTCGCCAGTTGGAGAATGAGGGACCTGCAACGGCTTCTTTCTGGAAAATACTCAAAGGAGACTTGAACATTGCAATGCCAAGGTTGCTGCAGCAGATATTCCCGAAAACCCACCGGATACAACTCGACCCACCTACAGCGCCTGTACTCGTGGCACATGGATGGTCGACGTGGAAGCTAGGCATGCAAGAACGGTATCTGTCAAAAAGCAGCAACCATGTTAGGACAACGCGATCCATCTGCATATGCTAGTTCCTGCAGAAGTCGTCTTGCTATCATTGTGCACACATCAGCGGCTTCTGCGCAGGGTCCAGAACCTGTCGATCCGCTGAAAGCTTACTGCAAACCCCCCACCAAGGCTGAATGGGGAATACGCTTTGAAGCCATCGCGTTTTCCCAAAGCAGTAAAGCAATGAGAACTTGGTGAGATTAGCTCTCAACACCGTCTATACAGCGCAAAGCCCGTGCCTTCCCTTTGTCAATCATGGCGGGGCACAACGTCATACCTGGACTGATGGAAATAGCGGGAGATATGCGGCGATGTCAACAACCTAGGTCCGACTCCAGCCTATATAAGGTCAACTTTCTCGCTGGAACGAAAGCCTCATCAACCCGGAAACGCTTCGATTATTCATATCACAACTATTACTAGTCTTCTTAAATTAATCAATTTTCTTTACAATGGCACCAGAGGTCCCCAAAACCCACAAAGCCGCCGTCTTCAAAGAAGCAGGCAAACCCCTCGTCATCGAGGATGTCGAAACGCCCCAGCCAAAAGAGGGCCAAGTCCTAGTCAAGGTCCTCGCATGTGGCGTCTGTCACTCCGACATGATGGTACAGCAAGGAGCCATCAACTCTCTGTAAACCAAACACGCCCTCAATCAACCCTTCTCGGTCTAACAATTCCTCAGGCCCCGAATCCCAGGCCACGAACTGATCGGTGACGTCGCCTCTATCGGACCTAGCGAGTCGAAATGGAAAGTCGGCGATAGAGTCGGCGGGCCCTGGCACGGTGGCCACTGCGGTAAGCCCGTCCACCTACCTTCTAACCAAAACCCGTCGTACCCCATATCTCCCCTTCTTGAACCCCACTCACCTCCCTCCCCGTTCAGGAACATGCAAATACTGCACTCGCGGCACCAACCAAGTCTGCCTCACACAATCGATCAACGGCGTCAGCCTCGACGGCGGATACGCCCAATACGTGCTCCTGCGCACTGAAGCCGTCGTCCGCGTCCCCGCCACCCTCTCCCCCGTCGACTACGCCCCCTTCCTTTGCGCAGGCGTCACCGTCTTCAACAGCATGCGGCACATGTCCATCCCCGCTGGTGCGCTTGTCGCAGTCCAAGGGCTCGGCGGGCTCGGACATCTAGCAGTCCAGTATGCGGCGAAAATGGGATATAAAGTCGTTGTGCTATCCAGCGGAGGCGGCAAGGAAGCTTTCGCGCGGGAGCTGGGCGCGAGCGAGTATGTGGACGGCAGCAAAGTGGGGCACGCGGAGGCGTTGCAGGAGATGGGTGGCGCGGCGATGATCGTCAGCACGGCGCCGAATCCGGAGGTGCTGGGGCAGTTGCAGGGCGGGTTGGAGAGAATGGGGAAGTTGTTGATTCTTAGTCGTGAGTGCGCCTAAGGGTTCTCCAGCTCTTGCGGTGGGGTAAAAGCTGACGCCTCTACAGCATCCGGCGAAGCAACAATCAACACCATGCCCCTCGTAGTCCAAGGGCAAACGATCGCAGGCTGGCCGTCCGGGCACGCCAAGGACTCGGAGGAGGCTATCGAATTCGCAAGTAAAAACGGCATCAAATGTCTGGTCGAGTCGTTCCCGTTGGAGAAAGCGAATGAAGCCTTCGACGCCATGGCAAGCGGGAAGGTGAGATTTAGGGCTGTGTTGACGATGTGAAGGCATGGGCCTTTGACGGAGGGGGGAGGAAGGAAGGACAGACAGACAAGGTGCAGGCGATATCCCTTGGATTGACCCAACGATGTTCGCGCATCATCAGCGACGCTACCACGAAATGATCAAGACCTGGTTGGAAACACTCGTCGTTCATGCTGTCAGGTAGCTAGCTAGCATACAAGCCCCTTCCCCCTGCCCTCCCCTCCCCTCCCTCTTTCCACCTCCCACTCATCGCCTAAACGATAGCAGTATAACTAACAAAAACAACCAAATGCACAACAGCCACACAGCTCACCAACAACCCTTCCAACCCTCCATCCCCACCTTCCCCTCCTTGCCCCTCCCCCTCCCCCTTGCCCTGCCCTCCCCCACCGCGGGCAAAGTCAGGATCAAAAACCTCCAGCCTACCCTTCTTCTGCCAATAAAACCCGCCAAAATGAAACCTTGCCACCAAATTCCCCGTCGCTGTATCCACACACAGTAAATCGGTGGAGCGTTTACGAAATTGCCAGGTCAGATTCCTCCCACTCCCCCTTCCCAGCGCTCCTTGCCCTGCCTGCCCCCCAGCAGTACCAGCGGGGTCGGTTGCGGAGGAGGAGGAGGAGGAGGAGGAGAAGGGGGAGGGTAAAGTAAAATTATACCTCGACTTCAGCTTCCCCGTGGTGGTGAGCGGGACGTCCTGGCCATCAACACAGGTGTCGATGCGCGTGGTGAGGGCATGGTAGCTTATCGTCCCCACCGTGCGCCCTTTATCGCCTTTCCCCTTGCCCTTCACAGCCTTGCCGTCGCCTTCACCTCTAGTGCTGCCAGGGTCAGAGATGATGATGTGCGGTTTTGTCATCTTGATGTGCGCGGTATAGATCGGTTCCTCGGCGTCTGGGTGGGGCAGGATGTGCATGTTGTTGCCGATCCAGTTTGTGTATTTGATGGGTAGGGTGAGGAGGGGGGTTGGTGTGTGGTGAGGTTGCAGAGCGTAAGTAGGCGCGGAGTTGGTTGTGTCGGGAGTGGTTTCAGAGGCTGGAAGGGATTGTTTTTGGTCAGATGAGAAGGCGTGTGATTTGGAAGGATTGGAGGCGGAAAATGGTGGTGGTGGGTCTGATGTGGTGAGAGATTCTTCGTCGTCGTCGAAAACTTTGAATTTGTCGTCGGTGAGGTTCTGCATGGTCCAATCCTTAGGGTATTCTTCGTTCGCGGTGGTGGTGGTCGTCATGGTGTTCGCCTTTGAGTAATTTGTAGGTGGATAATTCTGCGTTTTGGTGGAAGTGAGATTGCCGTATATGAATGAAGCGAGTCAATGGTTTACAAGCTTGGCCCGGACACATTTTGACTTATATAATGCTACGGAGGCTGGTTATGTTTCCGGCTTGACGTATGCTGAGCCGTGCAATCAGCCTCGCCAACATCATCAAAGGTTGGTACACGCTAACCGTATTTGGTCGGACCGTGCGCTCGGTCTCTGATTGGTCAACCAGATCCTGTGAGCTACGTCATACGATGATCTTCAATGTCACTCCCCTGAGTATAATGCCACAACAGCCTCTACTCGGAGATCCGCAGGCGGTAAGCTGAGTATTGCTTTAACAAGTATTTAACACAGCCTCAAGATCAATCTCTTCATAATGGTAAAGGTGAAAGCGAACGGTTTTCGTAGTGCGTATCCCGTAGAAGAATTGAAAACATGGTAGGTGTACCAAGTTCATTGGGCTGCGATGCGTGCCGCAAAAGAAAGAAGAAGGTGAGACCAGATACATATGCATACAACGAGTCCTTACCCTGATTGGCGCTCTAGTGCGACGCGACCACTGATGGATGCTCCTGGTGTCGTAAAATAAACATTCCGTGCGTGGGATATGGCCAGAAGCGGTACTTGTTCAAGAACGAGGCTCCCAAGCTAAAGCAACGGTATGACGATCATGCACCTCTAGTCAAGAAGACCAATGGTCAGTCCAACCCACAGCAGCAATGGGGCTTCATGCTAGGGCTGGTCCGAGAGCCCACGAGTGATCTCGATAGACTCACTCAAGCCTTCGTGAGCAAGGCGTCTCCCTCCATTGATATAAGCCATCAGTTGGTCATGAACTTCGGAGGATTCTTGGCCGAAGTCCCGAGGCGCCTTGGGGTGAACGAGGCGCTTGATGCAGCTGCAGGTGTGCTGGTTACCGCTTATGCAGGCTACTGTGCAGGTGATTTGAATCCGAGTGCCAAAACACTGGTCAAACATTCCCACGCTCTCAGCAGCTTAGCGATTTGTTTGAATGATCCTGTTAAGGCTCGATCATCGGAGACACTTTGCGCAGTCATGTTGCTGTCAATCTGCCAGGTCAGTACATCATCGTCATTAATTAGCCTACACTCATTCCGTCTCGCAGGTCTTCATGCGAAATACAGACCTCACAGTGAATCATTACGTTGGTGCGTCGGAAATAATCAAGCATCGAGGTTTCTCTGGGCCGCAAGATGATTTTGAGCGTCTGCTGCTAGCCACCTTGAAAGGTCCTGTGGTATGTCTGTTACCTGTCATCAAGTCTGGGAACTTGATTGACTTCTTTAGGTAATCAACGCGCTTTTCGATAGCAGGATTCAATTTACGCCACACGAGTGGCAAAATCTTGTCCTGATGGGAATGGACATTAGTACCATTGATGGGGATCTAATATTCTGTCTGGCTCAGGTCCCTAGTTTAATGTCGCGTGTCGAAGGAGCGCGTTTTCAGCATATTATTCCGAGAGACAATACCGGCGATATCCAGTCAGACATCTTATGTCTCTTGGTTGAGTACCAGATAATCCTTGGAAAACTCAGGGACAGATGGGAGAGGACCAAGCAGAACATAGTGCCCGCAGGCTTCGATTCCTACGAAGCGCGACGGCTGCTTCACTGCCACCACGCCCGCATGCTTGCTTTTGGCTTGTCAGTCGGCATACTTGTCAATTGTCTTCGAAAGAATTTGAATCGAGCAAGCCAAGTATCCATCAGCCAAGAATCAAGTCAAATGTCCGAAGAGATCGTTGAGCTCGCACAAATGCTCGTTGTGTATCGACCACTTGGAAGCATTGTTTTTGGATTCTTCCTCGGAATTGCCTGGATTGGCGCATCTGATCCGGAACTGAAGGAAAAGATTGAAACCATCGGGATGGTTTATGGTGAGGACATGTACAGTGCCAAAAATTCTCGGTCAGTTCAAGACGAAATGGTAATGTGCCTTGAGCGGTTCGCTCTCTCATGAGACCATATGAGAGGATTTGCTACCCATTCGATGATATATCTGTGGCCTCATCGTCAGTCAATTGCCGTAGGCCTTTTACGCATTCGAAAACATCAGCCTTCGCCTCCTCACAGCGCTGTATCATCTCGTCTCCCACGAGAGCTTCTTCACATACCTCTCAAGGCGCAACACTGTTCGTCAATCTCATCAGCAGCATTGCTATACGCCATCTCTCCTTCCGAGTATTTTTCAGTGGGGTCTCAACGCCTCTTCTTCCGAGCTCTGCAAGGCATATACGATAAGCATCCGCCGGCCAATCGCCCTCATTGTTAATTTCAAAATTCGCAAATTCCTCCTCGGGCGGAAAGAAGCCAGCGAACTCGAAGTCGACGAGACCTGTAACGGAGGGCGGCGAGCCACTGACGAGCACATTACGGGGAGAGAGATCGTAGTGCGTGAACACTGATCGAGCGTCTGTTGTTGCGAAGCGGTGGCACAGCTTCGGTAAAGTTCGGTCCATGAATTCTTCAATACTGGGTTGTACTTGGGCACGATTCGTGGCCAAGGCGTCGGATGTGTTGAGTTTCATTAGCCGGTCCTGCAGGCGGAGAGCGTGATATTCGTGAGCTGAACCGATTGTAATACTGGGAAATTGGTTGTAATTTAGAAGGCCATCAAGTTTGATGTCCAGCTTCTCTTGTACAAAGGGAGCATAATAACCTGGCGGCTCGGACTTCGGTCCCTGACTCTCAACCTTCATATTGCCGAAGAAAGTCGCTGCTGGAAGCTTTTGACGAATATCTGCAATCCAGCGGGCAAGATTTATCATAATATACTCCCCGCTTCCTCCTTCCAGATCCTTCACCTCAAGCGCACGTCCTAGACTTCTAGACATCAGTATCCAGCCGCGTTGACTGCTATTAACGTCATCCATGGGATGAGCCATGGTCTCGGTGTCCAGTGAGTCGCGCGATCTCTTCAGTATGTTAAGTGCTCCGTCCGAGGCTCCATCGTCAGACCATGCAAGGATTCTGGGAGTAGGGACGCGGGGGCAATATTTCTCGATAAGATAAAGGGCAGCAATCTCGTTTTGGATCTTTTCAGGTCCAAATGAAGAGCCTGGGACCTTTAACACGACTTCTTCATCCTTGGTATGGGCGCAAGAAATGGTGCAGAAATAGATGCGGTTATTGTAGGACTGATCCGATGGAAGCTCTCTCAAGTCACTTATGTGTTTTCCGGGATATACTTGTCGCATGATATTGGTGATCTTCACGGTGGAAAAATGGACTCCATATTTTGGGTCGTTGGGTGGAGTGTGTGTCATGACGAGTCCTCTTGAGACGCTGCGACCTATTGACCCTCACTGTAATGTTTCCTATCTGCAACTTTTATCGTCCGCAGATTATACGAGGTCTCGCTCATTTCGCAACGTACACATATATATCAAATCTCTGTACCGCCGTGAAGGGCGAGGGGCGGCTCTTCGGTTTAGCAAGAAGTGCTGTATGACTCATACGATTTAGGCCTGAATGCACCCCACCTTTGCTGACCAGCAATATCCGAGTGTTCGATTACTCCCGTACCATTGTGACAGATTGGATGTAGGGTCTCAAGGCCGCATTCTGTTCAGACTCGGCTGCGGTCAAAACCGGAGATGTCAATATCTATCACTAGCTGCCACCGATCTAAAGATTTCTTTCCGTCCCACTGTGTGCATACCTCCCTCTGTCTCAACCAAAGGAATGTCCCGTCTTCGCGCGGCATGCTCATGGTGTGTTGTGGCATTAACGGAACCAATTCTGCTGTGTGGGAAGGCCCGACTCTGTTAGGCCCGGCCACATGAATTCTGTCCTCAAGTAATGTACCTGGTGGACACTTTCTCTTGGGGAAGACTGCAAACCACTCCCCTGTCATTAAATTGCTATTAAGAAAAGAATTCAAGGCGCAAGGCGCTTATATATTAGGCAGAGCAGAACAAAATTAGGTTTCTCTGGCGAGCCGACAAGAAAAGCAACTTGTTCACGCTTTCCCCGAGAAGAAGGGCTTCCCTTTTCAAATTCCACCAAGGTATCGTCTTCAATTCGTTCGCAAAACAGCTCTTTGGTGTCAGTCACGATACTGACGGAATTGAAGTACCCGCCCTTGCAAGCCTTATCCAGAACTCTCACAGCAGGTTTGGCCTAAGTTGTGTACTGCCACGGAATAGACGGTTCAAGTATCGCGTGCCTAGCCTCTACGTACAAGCTCTCTTTTAGCAGTGTCCCCCATTCGGGCGCGGAGCAAGCGATTGAGTTGGGATTTGTCGGCCAAACCAAAGGGGCATCCATTTTCCCCCCTTCATAAGAACGGGGATATGATCGTGACAGGTCAGCGCTACTAGACTCGTCGATGCAGCACGTGTGATCCAGACATATCTCCAACCTTCCCCTGCAGCAAGTGCGCAACAGGACAATATCTTCTAGTAGCCAGCTGACTGCCGGCAATTTCCCTGTGCGAAGTCCAAAACAAGAAATTCATCGTCACCCCAGGTGATTGCGTATGGCGGAGTGTCTGTCTCGGATTCAATTTAAGAAGCTCTAGACTGGCGGTATCAAGGATTCGCATCTTCAGTGATGAGCGATGCCCAAGAGCACCGTTGATACAAGACGACTCAAGGAGCGGACGACGTCCTGTGATCTTGACTAACAAAAAGAAAAAGCTGCCGGGGTATGAATGCCTTCGCTAAGGATGGCATCTAGGCTCACGTCCTAGCATAGCCAGAGATTTTGACTAAATACAGGAAGAGCATCTTGCTATTAGAAAAAATCTACCTCTTCGAAAAACTTACAGTCGAGTCCCCAGGTGGGTCAAGGGGATGGTGGAACATTCATAAGGCTGAGGGTACCCTCGGTATGAATGAATAGTCGCGGGAAAGTATATAAAGCCTGCCGTATTTTTCGATGCCATTTCGGCCTTTCCTTGACCTACAACACAACCATCCACGAGTTCCTTGCGAACCTATACCAAAGGCCATGACCCAATTCATTAGTCACACCCGTAACTCCTACGTCCCATAATCATCAAGCATGATGAGTCCCCGACTGGGGACGCGCCTTGCGCGCCGGACTCTTCAGCTCTCATCCTCACGCCGCAACCTTCATCACCCCGCTCTCACATCTAGTAGTCTGAGGCCCAGTGGCATACCCTCCAGCTTAAGGCATAGTCGAAAGCTCCGATGGCCCTACGGCGCTAATTACATGCACAACCTACCTATTGTGCGAAATGCGAGCTTCGTCCGCAGTATCCCAAGTCTAGCAATAAAATTGGTACGGCTTCCGGCACTACTGGGTGCTGCGACTATCAGTGGCCTAGCATATGTGCAGTATCAAGCAGGACAAGCAGCGAACTATGTTAGTGATCTGTTCACACAGGGGAAGGACTTGGCAACGAAGGGTGCCGGGGAGGTCTTGGGGGGGGCAAAGAGCTTTGCGGAGCGAATGGGCAGTGGATGGGACAAGACAAAAGAGCAAGTTGAAATGCCAGTATGGCTGCAGGAGATGTTTCAGAAAGGCGAGAACAGCGCTGGAGCTGGAGAGCCGCCGAATCCGGGAGGTGGTCCCCGGGGTAAAAGCAGCGCCGGTGCAGCAATGGCTGCCGGAACAGGAGCCGCTTTGGGGTACACGCAGAGTGACGAACTGGATGAGAGGAGTGGAACACAGGTGGCTAGAGATGATCAAATGATGCTACTGACGAAGAAGATGATTGAGATCAGGAGCATCTTGCAGCAGGTTGGACAATCGGACACCTTGGTCTTGCCATCTATCGTGGTCATCGGTTCACAGTCATCTGGCAAGAGCTCCGTGCTTGAGGCTGTAGTTGGACATGAGTTCCTGCCAAAAGGATCAAATATGATTACAAGAAGACCGATCGAGCTCACGCTTGTGAACACGCCGGAAGCCCAAGCGGAATATGGTGAATTTCCCGCTTTAGGCTTGGGCAAGATCACCGATTTTGCTCAGATTCAGAAGACGCTGACTGACCTCAATCTGGCCGTACCTGCCGAGCAATGTGTCTCCGACGATCCCATCCAGCTGAAAATTTCATCGCCAAACGTCCCTGATCTGTCTCTAATCGATCTTCCTGGCTACATACAAGTATCGGGCCTCGATCAGCCGACGGAATTGAAACAGAAAATTGCCGACCTCTGTGACAAATATATACAGCCTCCGAATGTCATTCTCGCTATCTCTGCTGCCGACGTGGATCTAGCCAACTCAACGGCCCTACGAGCTAGCAGAAGGGTAGATCCGAGAGGAGAACGGACGATTGGTGTGGTCACTAAAATGGACCTTGTAGAAGCCGAGCGTGGAGCAAGCATGCTCGCAGATCGGAAGTATCCATTACGGCTTGGCTATGTGGGAGTTGTCAGCCGAGTACCTCAACAGACTGGCCTCTTCTCCCGTGGAAGTGGCAACATAACCACTGCAATAACCCGGAATGAAAACTCCTACTTCTCTTCTCACCCCCTCGAGTTTGGACCCGAATCTTCCCTTGCCGTCGGCACTACAACTCTTCGCAAGAAACTCATGCATGTTCTTGAACAGACCATGGCGGCTTCCCTGGCCAGCACCTCAGAAGCCATCCGCCAAGAGCTGGAAGAAGCAACGTATGAGTTCAAGGTCCAATACAACGACCGTCCCCTATCCGCGGAATCCTACCTCGCAGAAAGCCTCGATGCCTTTAAACACTCCTTCAAAGAGCTCTCCGAATCATTTGGCCGACCCCAAGTCCGAGAACTTCTAAAGGAAGAACTTGACCAGCGCGTTCTCGATCTACTCGCCCAACGCTACTGGAACAAACCTGTCACTGACCTTACCCCCCACTCCCCGACCCGGAACCTCTCTCCGATCTCCCCAAAGCCGCCCTAGACTCCGCCTACTGGCACCGCAAGCTCGACGCCTCAACCTCCTCCCTCACGAAACTCGGCATTGGCCGTCTCGCCACGACGGTCGTAGCCAACGCCCTCCAAGAACACGTAAACGGCCTAATCAACCACTCAACATTTGCAACTCACCCCTTCGCCCGCCAAGCCATCACAGAAGCATCTCAGGGAATTCTCAATGAGCGTTTCTACTCCACCAGCGACCAAGTAGAGAACTGCATCAAACCCTACAAATTCGAGTTCGAAATCGACGATGCTGAGTGGGCGCAAGGCCGCCGAAACGTCACGGAAGTGATGAAACGTGAACTTCAAGCATGCGAAGGCGCGATCAAGCGCGTTGAAGACAGCGTAGGCGGGAAGCGCAAGATGAAAGACGTCATGTCGTTCATTGAGCGCGTGCGAAAAGGCGAGGTCGTGCTCGAAGGCGATGGGAGAGGTGGAGCCGGCGGATTCAGCTCTGATTTGCTTGCGAAAGGTACATCCCCTCGCCCCTTCCCTTGTCCTTCTACTTCTGAAAATTCTTCCCTACTTCCTTTGCCACAAATACTGACAACCGAGTCTAGGCCGCGACGCACTATTTCTACACACCCGCTCCGGCCTCCTCACCCTCCGTCTCTCCGCCCTAAAGTCTCCCCCCTGCACCTCCCCGCCCTCCAAGTCGCCCGAAAATAAATACGCCTGCCCAGAACCCCTCCTGGACGCGCTCTCCACAAAAATCGTCTCCACGGCCGTCCTCTTCCTCAACGTCGAATTACTGAGTGAATTCAACTATCATTTTCCCCGGGAGCTGGACAGAGTACTCGGCAAAAGTTTAGCGAAGGAGGAGATAGAGCGGTTTGCGAGAGAGGATAAGCGCGTCGCTGGCCATTTGGATGTTGTGAGGCGGAAGGAGTTGTTGGAGGTTGTCCTGGGGAAGATGGAGGGGCTGAGGGGGTTGGAGATGGAGAGGGAGCGGGAGAGAGGGTATGTGGCGGAGAAGGAACGGGGGAAGGGGCAGGGAAAGGAGAGGAAGGGGTGGTTGTTTTAGTGAGCTAAGTTACGATGATGTGATGGGAAAGGGCGTTGAGATCTTTTGGTCAATTGGGTTTCGCTGGGGATGGAGGGGACTGGAGAATGGAGTAGGGATACCCTTTGAACCACTCAATTGATACGATTATTTTATACAAATCGTCCACCTTGATGGTGGCACTGTCGTGCAAGAATATTCGCTCGCTAGCCTCCAGCGCCATCGCTAAGCTATTGATACATCAAAATATGCAGCGTCTTGTCTCATGTCATCCCACCAGTTACTACCTCTAACCCCATCCACTCCGCAACTTTGCAGATCAATTGATAGAAGAATCTACCACCTAATCCTCACACACCTCAACCTTAACAGTCCAATGTCCCCCAAACTCTACACCCAACGGCGCCCGTTTCCTAAACCGTTTCCACGCCGCGGCTGGGATCCCAATATCCGCCACACAAACCTTCATCTCCGCCTTACTATACGCCTCTCTAAACGCCTCAGTCAACAGCCCCAATTTCGGCGCGCCAAGGCAGAGCACATGCTCAGACATAATTGCCGCGTATGCATTCTCTTCATCGAGCGTGACAGCGCCCGTCGTGGCGTCCACACCAGAAGGAACGTCAATGGAGATACAGAACGTCTCGTAGTAGTTCGCCCATAAGGCCAGCTGGGCAAATTCTGTCTGTGTTTGACCTTGGAGATCGTCGTAGGTGAGGTGCATGCCGAGCATTGCGTCTACAATCAGACCGACGGGGGCTTTGAGGACGGAAAGCGTGCGTTGCAGGCGGTCATAGCTGATGGGTCGACCGTCGCATTTGCGGAAGATGTCGAGTTGGCGTTTTACGGGTGCGAGAAGGTCGTCTTCAATGCCGAGGCCGAGCACGACGAGCACGACGCGGGTTTGGTGGTTGCGGAGATGACGGGCTGATGCTATGGCACGGGAGCCGGTGAGATTGTTGCCGGCTAATATGACGACCACCGGGGTTGTTTTTCGTTTGTCAGTGTCTAGAGTGTCGTCACTTTCTGGGGGTGTATGCTTCAATTGGAGGATGCTCAGGGCGTTGCTTGCGATAGCAATAGCGGCATTTTCTGTCAGTATGTCTTCTGTTAGTCCAAACGAAGATATGGATAATTGTTCGAGCTCGAGCATTTGAAGTGGGCCCAGACATGGACATGGGCGCTTTGTCTCAGCAAGCCTGAAGGACGGTTTCGGCTGCAGAGTCCGGGTCGACTCCCGACGCGAGATGGTCCGATCTATGGTGGATGTTCGAGAGAGAGGTGTGACTTCGCCAATATCTGGTAATGAACCCGAGGCAGCCATATGCGCGTCAACGCTAGGCTTCGAGTGCTGCTTCCGGGCAAGAGGTTTTCGTATGCTGCGGTCACTCCCTCTTCTGTCTTTACCGTTAAAGTTCTCATCCGCGCTGCTGTGTTCTACTGCCTTTTGCTTTGGAGAGTCGAGCACCATCTCGCTATGATGAAGGTTCTTGCCGCCAGCTGTACCCAGACGCGGGAGACGGTTGAAAGTATGCAGTCTTTCTTCGTCTGCGGTAGTGTCATCTTGTCTCATTTGCTCGAAGAGCTTACGCTTGTCGAACTTTGATAGATTGCCCTCGAAATCAAAATCTCCCATCTCTTGAATATCCGTAGCATCACCAGTAGCCCAGCCGCTCTGATTGTCAAGATTCCTACCTTCACGGGCTTTTCCTCCCCGCCTAGAACGCTTCGTTAGCTTTTGAGGAGGCGGCCTTCGATGACAGGAGGCAGAATCATCCATTGGGCTCGTAGCCTCCGTGTCTTCGCCTTCTCTGCCTCTGTGTTCCGGTGCTTTGATACCCTTTCTATTGTAGTCTCTCCGTGGCTTGGTCGATGAAATATGCCCGTGCGGCGACTGCCACCTCCTATTTCTGTTGCTGGACGTTTCCAGTGTTGTCTGCGAAAAAGGTTCAGAAAGCGTAGCCGCTGGATCGACATCTGGGAATTGTTTGGCATTGGCGGCGGGTGGTGTGCCATTGACAGCGGGCGAGGATGCCATTTGAGGAAGGGCTGCGGCCGAAATTGAGAATTTGGCCTGACTTTCATGTCCACTCGACTGCTGCTTTGGAGCATCCTTCCTGGAGTAGCTCAGGATAGCTGGATCCTCGAATGGCTGACTATTTTCCTCTGACTCAAGTGATAAGTCTGCAATATTGCTCACAGGGATGATGACAAATTCAGGGTAGTGTCTGCCAGTCGTAGAAGAGATTGCTAGTGGAACGTGAGCATAGATCAGCCTGTGTTGCCGGTGGATCAGGTCTTACCATTGCTAAGTATCAATTGTGATCCCTCGTCCACTTCCTTTACTTTGCCCCGGACGATCTCGCCCGAAGGCTTGCAAAGGCTGACCCGTACAGTCCAGCCAGCGAATTGAGCAGTCATATTGGCACAATGAAATGCTCGTCGATAGTGTACATGTTGTTCAAAGCGAAGGCGAAAGAGTCGTGGATTGAGAATTGGTGACGTGAAAATTTGGAGATTGCCGCGTCGGAAAAGCGCGTTTAGAATTTACATTTTGAAGCTCTGGGATAAATGAGGTGTGCAAATATTGTGATGCTAATCTAACATTCTATGGACTTAAAATAATGTAGCTATATTGCCATTGAAGGCCCAAGAGTTTCATATCAGACATTGAAAGCTCGAAAAGCCACCAGCATCTAGAGACCAGCAATACCTCAGCGCCAGACGACCACAATCATCCATACATCGCTGCTAATTGTTCTTGAACCTCTAGGTCATCGTAGTAGTTGCCGGTACTGCGCTCGCCTAGAGCCCCACCACGACCATCATTCATAGGCTTAGGAAGAGTCGGCTGGTTGAAAGAGTAAAGCTTGTTGTAAAACTGCCGCACTTTCTCGTGGGCCATGACCTTGCTCGCTTCGAACCGCACAATCTGCAATCCTTCCTGACAGGTAGCTCGACTCAAAGCAACGTACGCTTGCCCCTTCTCGAAGATCTTGCCAAGGTCAACCTTGACACGCTCAAGGGTCTGGCCTTGCGCTTTGTGGATCGACAGGGCCCATGCTAGGATTAAAGGAACTTGTTGGCGCGAGGCCTGTACCTCTCCATTTGGTAGCTCGATCTTCCATGATTCTTCCTGGCAGAGCAGATCTCTTGTAGTGCCATCCGAGACTGCAAAACGAATCAAAGGCCATTTTTTACTTGTGCTAGCACCATTAATGCTCTGTATCTGCTGCTTGAGCTTCTTTCGTGACTTGCTCATTTCTTCATCCCCCGAGTTCATATTGTCTATGGCTTGGAACTCATCTTCATCCTCATGATAGATATCGTAAGTTTTCTCGTCCATAAAGGCGAGCACTTTGCCCACGGAGCCGTTCACGAGAGTCTCATCAATATTTTTGATCAGCATAACCTGTGCTCCTTTCTTGAGCTTGATTGAGACCGGTGCCATACAATTCTGCAAAAGTTTATCACGCTGGGCAATATCTTGTATGGCACCACCATCCGTAGCTTTGAACTCAATCTCTTGAGCCACTAAACGTCTCATACGGGCATTGTTAGCTATATCCACTTCATTACGGGTAGGAAACCTGGAGAAAATCAGCATGTGCAATGAAGCGATACTTTCTCCACCTACAGCTCTGTGGCCTCCAAGTCATCCCCAAAATTGGGGTTTCTAGAAAGGGCTCGAAAGGCTTCAATCGATTTCTGTGTCAATCTTCCTAAACGCATCTCGTTGAGCATGCTAGCAAAGATAGGATCTTTCTGACGAAACACTTGAGTCAAGCCAATGGTATGCTCTATTGAAGTATTCCAGGTCGCTGCATCGAAAGCAAACTTCGCTTCGCTTTTTTGGTAGTCGGGTACTGGTGGCAGCTGGAAGAAATCTCCCGTGATAATAAGCTGAATGCCACCAAATGGACGGCCGTTATTTCGGACAGCCCGTGCAATAGCCTCAAGCTTGTCGAAAAGATCCCCGTCGACCATAGAGATCTCGTCAATGATCAGGATTTTGGTACGCAACCATCGGTTCTTGGCTTTCTGGTTTCTTTTAATCTTCTTGACTAATGTGGGTACATCTTCCTTGCCTAGTCCAATGCCAGCATAGCTATGCAGAGTTACACCGCCAACATTACAAGCGGCAAGACCAGTAGAGGCTGTCACAGCAACCCGATCGGGTTCCCTCTTGTACTTATTTCGGAGAATCTTGATTGTTTCTCGGAGTAAGACCGATTTCCCGGTGCCTGCAGATCCGGTGAAGAAAACACTCTTCCTCTTCTCTGATACCAGGTCCATCACTTGCTTCTGCTCGTCACTCAAGAAGACCTTTGAAAGCTTTTCCCTCCTCAATTTCTTCGCTGGTAATCCGTCCTCTTTCACCACCACATCCTTAACAAGCTTCCTGTGACCTTGTCTAAGTCTCTTCTGTTCCTCCTTGATAGCACTTGCCGTCGTGTTCCAAGGGAGCTGGATATCAGAGCTTTTCTTCTTTTGTGGAGTAGCCGTGTCATCATCGAAGCCATGAAATCTCTTGCCCCGTAGAGCGTCGCTTATTGGCACAGGAACTCCATCATCATCAATCTGTGAAGCTTTCCTCTCTTTCTCCTCCTCAAGCCATGGCAATGACCTGCGTTTTGATCCCCCCTGTCTTGAGGTAGCAGCAGGTGCTTTTGGTGGCGGCATCTGGTAGTGGGTGGAGGGTGAGGATGACCAAGGAATTGGCGCGCTGCTAGCTGGTGTTTGTTGCGCAACAGCTGGCCTTGGCAGTGACGCTGGTGTCTTCGGATAGAGGGTCGCTGAGGAGGACAGCGAGGACCGTTCGTTGGTCGTGGGGTTTGGAGCAGGCGGAAGTTGAGGATACAGGACATCCGGAGAATCGCCGAGCAAGGTCTGATCACTTGATACCTCACGATCTTCATTGAGATTGATGTTGCTGTCATCGTCAAAGTCGTTCTCATCAAAGAATATGTTAGCATGTAGACTGTCTAGTCTGCTGCGCTCTTGAGACAGCTGTGGCGTCCCGGTAGATCCATGCTTTCTGCCCGTCTTCTCTTGACTACCGCTTAAGGAACCTTCACCGCTCATTTGCGAGGCTGTTCTTTTCAAGGAGTTGCCTGTTGTCGGCCAAGAAGAGCGTGAATTGAGTGGCGATGGCTGTGCTGGCCTCAAAGCACTCGACTTCTGTTGAGGCTGATAATTTTGCTTTCCTGACCCAGGATGATGATCTTTGACAGCTCGACCCAGCATTTTCTCTGGCTGAAATTTTGCATGGGTTGTATGCAGACCCTGCCAATTGCGGAAACAGTTCTGTGAAATTGGACGTTTGTGCACGGGAGAGCACAAGAAGAATGATCTGGCCAATAAAGAGGTGTGGAGAGCCAGAATGAAGAGATTGTTCCAAAATCACATGGCTATTTTGGCAGGGTTGCACATATTTGTTCCCCTGTTGCTCAAAACAAGTGCTCGTTCGATCTTTTCCGTCGCGCGTCACGAATCACGATGTGGGAAACGCGCTATTCCTGAATGATCCTAGCTCATAATGAACTCTTGGCATGTGCCCTCTCCAGCTTCCAGCCTTCCGAGTCAGAAAGCCCACGGCTACATTTTCATCTTTAGCTCGTGTGGTGGCTGGAGAAAGCTCATTTATCGGCTTGACAGCAGCCTTTTTCCTGCGTTTTATCTTGCTTCTTGATCTTGCTTCTCTTCAGAAGAAAAGCTCGCGTAGTGCACAATAGTCTTACTAAACTATGCTTGAATCTCCACCAAATACATCGCGCTGCCGATGAACAAATCTCTTGTGTGCACGAGTAATATCGCTGCTTTTGATTATTATCTTGATGTACGCGTCGCCTTGGTAGCAGTCTGACGTGCAACAGCTGCTTCTCTGCAAGTACTCTTGGAGTTCAAATTTTGCTAGAAGAGGCGAGAACCTGAAATACTGCTTGCACTCGAAAGTGCGTTCGAAAGAGAATGCTACCCGGTCTCGAAATATCTGAGATATCCATAAGATAGCCACCGACTATTTTCAGCTTGCATGTGATAGTGTATCAAACCTCATGTTTGCTATTTGTCGACCTATAAGTCATGCACATGAACTTACCGGTGTTTTGAAAAGTCATAGGAAGTAATCCCCGAAAGAGTTGTTTTGATGTGCTAGACCTCATGCTCCAATGAAAAAGTTAATAGAGCAGGGCTGAAGAGTCTAGGAGCAAGGCTGAAACTTATTGGCACAGCGGGCCAGTGTCTCTATCCAAAGATACGCTATCTTATGTTCGGACACCTCTTGTTGATTTCAAGAAGATCAATTCTGTCTTCTTGTCCACCACTTTTCTCTGCAGCTTCGTTGACTCTCGTTGAAGATATGAGACATCTCTGGAGCACTCGTTCTTCTGATCACACCGTTCCCTCCGATCTACAGGAGCAGTGTGACCCAACTTTGGCTGAGCCAGGGGATCTGTCGTGGAGGGATGTCATGGGCGGCCAAAATTGGGACGCAACAAGCTTCGGCTCGCAGACCCTTGCGAAATGATAACAGATCGGTGCGAAGTTAAGCAAACCGCATCTTATACTTCCCTCAGTTGCCAGAATGATGGCATCAGAAAGATTTACTCTATAGCAGTGATATTAGACCGTAATTATGATACTATACAACGCTGTGATGAGGACTCGAAGTTACATTCCATCTCTTGTTTTAGTGGTAACCTGACTGGCCTAAACTCAGGGGTTTCGTGGAGTTTAGCCTTCTCTTTGCGTGGGGAACATATAACGCCTGCAGTCAGAATTCAAGATTGGTACAAGGTCCTTGTTCTGGTCAACGTGTCAACCACTGGTATATGCCTCATGTCATGTAAGACGCAGGTTCAAATATTGTAAGTATCGTGGATCTAGTCTAAATTGGCCTCGACTGCAGCTGACACTTGTAAGACTTACTCTTTTGCAAACAATTCCATGAGAACAATTCCATCGAACCTCCTGAACGCCAGTGCTGCTCTACCTTTCTAAGCTGGTATTGTGGGCAGAATATTCTCGAACTCCCAAGACATCGTCGATATAGCCGAGTCTGTACAAACAGCCCAAGATTTTGACGAATCGCGTAGCCAACATGTGGAACCGCAGACTAATCTCAATCCCTGCCAGCGTACTAGAAAATATTAATGCGACAAAAGTCACACGACGCATTAGTACGCTGGTCACACGTGTACCCATCGGTCCGTTTTGTACCTTGGTCATTTTGGACCTACTCTACGTTCTCATTGGCGTTAGTCTCAGAATGCTAGCACTAGCTGCCCTACGGAAAGGCAAAGGTATCAGAGATGCCCAGGCTCGACCAAGTGCAACAGCACTGGTGGCTGAGAACTTTGGGAATCCGGCCCTAGGGGATGATGCGAGGGCATTGGAGCAGCTTTTTGGGATTGCTATTGTGAAGGGAAATATGGAAGGGGGAAGACGATTCAAGCCTGTTGTTGTGTAGATTTTACAAAGATGGGACACTGTTCATACGTCGCTATGTTTCATGAATTTATGATAACGCCGATGACTAGTCTTGTGTTTTGCTGAAGGAGCACTGCTAAACGTATATCATTTTGACGTCAACGAGCAGGTCTCCAATTGATACCTCATTATACCTCTCACAGGAAAGTTGAACAGCGTTTGGGAAGACCTTAAGACTGCCACTCTATGTTATGGCACTACTAGTGAGGCCAGATGCAATGTAGCAGCAACTTTTCAAAGTCATTCTTGCGCTCGTCATCACTTACCCGGCGATGCCAAGCTTTCTCTTGTCACAGACGTACCTAAGGTAAGGTACCTTACACTTCGCAGCACATATGTTGGCCGAAGATGGTTTGTTGATGTCGCGGTGGAGTCGTAAAGATGGGAAAAGGTATGTCTTATGAATTATAAGCTATCGAAAGATCCTGCTAACACAAGCTTGAACCAGGAACTGACAAGCTCTACGTGCGTAGAGCCCTTACATGCAATGCGAAATGGCTTTAAAGATTAACGGCATCAATCGCAGATTACGCACAGCGAGTGGTCCTCAGACGCCGCATACTCTGCCAGCGCTGGCTCGAATGTCGCATCTACGGGCCTCACCGACACCACCTTCAAACGCCTCCCTTTCAATTTCTGTAGCATCTCATTGCAGCCCTTCACAACCCCGGTCTGCACGCCCCATGGTACAATATTTGACATCGACAATATACTCCCATGGCTACTTCAGCATGGAACAGATCCTTCGACGGGCAAGAAGCTGCAGGTGGATGAATTGATACGGCTAAAATTTGCAAAGAATGAGCAAGGAGACTACATTGATCCAGTGACCTACAAAGTCCTCACGAATAACACGCACATAGCTGCAATCAAAAACTCTGGTAATGTGTTCGCGTATGATACGGTAGAGAGACTGAACATAAAGGCTAAGTTGTGGAAGGATCTGGTAAGCGATGAAGACTTCACGAGGAAGGATGTCATCATACTACAAGACCCACAAAACCTCGAGAGTAGAAACCTGAGCTCGTTCAAGCATATAAAAGAGGGAACGAGGATTGTGACTCCGGAACAAGAGCGTCAAAGAAATGCAGGAGTTAACAGATCTGCTCTTGGCAGCGCGGCATCCGTCCTGAAAGATCCGTCGAGCAAACCCGAGATAGGCAAGTATCTTGCACAAACTCGAAACGACTCGACGTCTGCAGGAAGCTCTGCCAACGCCGTCTCGAAAGGAAGGACCAACGGTGCATCCAAAGCAGCTCCTTCCCTCAAACCTACAGCTCAACACACAACTGGCCGCGCTGCTGCCTCCTTGACCTCCACTGGTCTGACTCCGCATACTTCAGCGGCTCTTGCAGAGCTTTCGCAGGAGGACTTCTTATTGAAACCAAAGAAGATCAAACAAAGTGGACTGGTGACTCTGAATACGACATTTGGACCTTTGAATCTAGAACTCGACGCCTTTCATTCCCCTAGGACGGTCTGGAACTTCCTCACACTGACCAAGCGTGGCTACTACAATGACTGCTCCTTCCACCGATCAATACCAAACTTTATGCTACAAGGTGGCGACCCGACAGGTACAGGGCGAGGCGGCGAAAGTAGCTGGAAAGCGCCATTTAAGGATGAGTGGATTCATGCACCACAGCTTTCGCATGACAAGCGGGGTGTTCTATCCATGGCCAACAAAGGGCGTGACACAAATACGAGCCAGTTTTTCCTCACATATCGTCCAGCTAAGCATCTTGATCGTAAGCACACGATCTTTGGGCGACTTGTCATCGAGGATGCTGGGAGTGAGGAGACATTTAAGCGAATCGAGAGCGTTGAAAGAGGTGATAAGGATCGTCCAGTGCAGGAGATTAAAATCGAGGACATTGCTGTGTTAGTAGATCCGTTCGAGGAGTATCAGAAGGAGGATGTGCTTGCAAAGGAAAGGGCAGAGAAGGAGGGTGAGGAGGGCGACAACGACAGGGTCACATGGACTGGGAAACGGATCGGAAATGGCGCATCAGAGGAAGGTCCTGGTGTAGGCTTGTATCTGGATGCAAATACTAAGAGGGCTGCGAGTGGATTCAGCGAGGAGTGGGAACTTGCTGCCGAGGAGCCGGTTGCGAAGAAGTCTAAGAAGGGTGGAGGAGCATTTGGTAACTTTGATAGTTGGTGATAAGACTTCTATGGTGGGTGAGTACTACTTTGTGTTGTCCCGCAAACGCAAGTCCTGAATGCCGGAAGTCGCATTTCATGCAAACTCCACGACTTGCCCATCCACAGCTTCAGGCTGTGCCTTTCTACAGACCTGGATTATCTCTTTGAAAGCATCGCACAAGTTTATTCTTATCAAAACAATATACAAATACGCGTCATGGACAATCGCCTGCATCGGAATGCAGTAGACCGACTATCTTCTGAGGTTGGCTTATTCTACACCCAGAAAATCCCCTTCAAGATATTTCATGGCTACACACATTCGACCCGCAAGAGTCCGTGCGAGAGAAGCCGTATTGTTGATACAAGCAGTCTCTGCCATGTGCTTGAGATCAACACTGAGCACAAAACTGCTCTTGTCGAACCTAATGTATCAATTGGACAGCTTGTCAGAGAAACCCTCAAGCTCGGTCTCATACCGCTTGTTGTGCCAGAATTTCCAGACATAACCATTGGCGGAGGTTTTGCCGGAACAGCAGGAGAGAGCAGCTCTTTCAAATATGGATTTCTTCACGATACCGTGAACTGGATCGAGATTGTCATTCCTAACGGACAAGTCCTAATAGCGTCAGACACAACTCATCGAGACCTATTTCATGGTGTCAAAGGCACCTTTGGAACCCTTGGAGTGACCACCTTATTAGAAATCAGATTGACCGAATCCACATCGCTTGTTCAGCTCACGTATCATAAAGTGCACAGTATCGAAGAGCTTGTCCTCAATCTTCGCGGATGCATCTCCGAATCTTCGAATGACTTTGTTGACGCAATTCAGTACGGTAGGGAGGACGGTGTCATTGTCACAGCGCAGCTCACCAATGATGTACAGCAAGATACGCCTATTCGACGATTTCTTCGGCCCCAGGATGAGTGGTACTACCTCCATGTTCAGGATATCCTTAAGACAGACTCGGTTACGTATACAGAAGCTGTGCCGGTCACAGACTATTTCTTCCGCTACGACCGTGGTGCGTTTTGGACTGGAAGGTACGTTTTCACGTACTTTGCAGTTCCGTTTTTACGGACACTCCGGACATCTTTGGATTCGGTCATGCATACTAAGATACTTTACCACGGCTTGCACGAAAATGGCATGGCAAAGGACAACATCATCCAAGATGTTGCCATACCAATCGCAAAAGCTGTAGATTTCCTACAATGGCTTGACCTCCGTTACGGTATCTATCCACTTTGGATTTGCCCCATAAGGAAGAGCAGGTATGCTGCCTTCTACCCAATGGTCAATAGTGCTGTTACTAGCAGCAAACAAGTACAACTCCCTTGCGCGCTTTCCGTCCATCATACGGCCAAGGAGATCGAGGTCGAGCATCCCCACGAAGAGATGCTCCTAAGCATAGGAGTCTGGGGGCCAAGACTTCCATTCCCTAAACTTTTCGTCGCTGAGAACCGTGTGTTGGAGAAGGAAGTCAAGGATATGGGAGGTATGAAATGGCTCTATGCGCATAACCATTACAGTAAAGACGAGTTTTGGAGTATCTACGACAAGGAGTTGTATGATGATATCCGTCGCAAATACCATGCTGAGTATCTGCCGTCGGTTTTTGAAAAGACAAGGTACGACTGGGATGCCGATCGGCGTGCGATTCAAGCATCTTGGCTACGCTGGCTGTTTAGCTTTGTGTGGTGGATCTGGCCCATGCCTGGTCTTTATGGGGTCATTTGTGTCTTCATGAACAGCGAGTACCTGCTTGCGAAATGAAGCTTTATCGTGATTACTATGACGGAGTGATCGTGAAGTGGCAGTCCCGGCAGCCTGGTGCATAAGGGCCAGAGGCCAATAATGAGCGATTCAAGACAGAATGAATCAATATTGCACAGCGAGAGCTGGGCTCTTACCGTCTCCAAGAATAAGCAGATGACTTTGAGTACGTTTCTGCCGAGCGCATCGCTTCAAGCCCCCTTGCATGATCATGAAGAAGCTTTGGAGGCGTTGCCAGCTGGATGTTTGTCTTTTGCAAACTCTGTTTATCATTGACTCTTGCAACACCTTTGACTTCATGACTCAGGATTGTTCCGCACGCTGATTGTGTCGCACTGCTAGAACGACACGAGGCGCACTTCTGCTTTCGGTCATCTTCAACACATGATGGCGGAACCCCGCCATTCTCATTTCCCTCTGACCATGTTTTCTCTTGATATCGCAAGACACAAACATCATTGGGGTCACTCTATCGCCTCATTGTCTCCTCCTTGATCACTTGAATTCGTTACAAACATGTAATGGCCACACCCCCATCGCCACCGCCGACGCTTTCCACTTCCTTCACAGACATCGAACTCAACCTCATTCACTCACTTTGGCACACCATCCGTCCTATCGCTTCATCGCTGAAGACCATCAAGACTCCCAACATGCCTTCTTCCATTGATACCTCCTCCACCACGATCACCGTCCCTGCGACCAGCTCCTCCACCAAAAGGCAACGCCCCCAATCCTTCAGCCAAACACGAGGAAAGGTCCAATGTACGCACATCACAATGTCGCGTCTCTACGGCGCCTTCCCATGCCACCTCTGCCACCTCCATTCCGGAATGGGCTACGTCTACGCCTGCACACAAGATCACGGGACAGACTTCTCCATCGACCCTTTACGACGCATCGCAGATCCAGACCACTATCTCGATCTGGAGCTCCAGCGTGACCGCTCGTCTCACCTGGGTGGCACCAAAGATCACGATCACAACGAGAGCTGGGTGAACTTAGGAGACTTGACAGGCGAGCTCTCAGTCTTTGAGGCCGAATGTAACGGCCAGCGCATGCCCAAGCCTGAACTGAGTCCGTGGCTGGAAAAAGCGATCCAAAGGGGCGAATACGACAGAGACCAGATCAAGCTCATCAGAATCCAGAAAGAGGAAGTCTGTGCCGTTGCGAAAGCAGCAAGGGTCCGCTTCGAGACCGAAGAGCACGGTGATGTGGTGGAGCCGAAGCGACCAAGTTTGACACCGAAGAAAGTCAAGAGACTATCGTTTGCCCCGCAGAAAGATGAGACGACGGAAATGTACGATACTATGGACACCACGCCCCCCTTCCTGGCCAGGAAATCCAGCGCCCTTCCAGCGCCGAGGAGAGCAAAAGCGAGGGTGAATTCCCTTTCTCCCCCTCTCCAGCGTCGTCAACACCAGGTGAATATCCCCCTTCCCCTCCCCTATCCCTTCCCCCTCCTTCGCCTACACTCCCCACCGCAACCGCGGTATCGGCATACACGCCCGAACCCTCTCCACCAACGACCTCCGCGGGGAAGCCAGCGAGGAAGAAAGCACTGTATCCCTACTGTAGCCTTACGTTCTGCCCGACTTGTCGCCCTACATACTGTGACCGTGCTTGGGCGTGTTTCGAGCATGCCTATAACCATGATCCTAGCGATGATAGTGGGGGCCCCGGTTTGCAATTGAGTATGGAAGATCTGAAGGAGGAGAGTTATGGGCCGTACTTCAACTCCTTGGAGGTCATGCGTACGATTGGTCTTGCGAAACCGGGATTGAGGCAGAAGCTCAGGAGCTGGGATAGTAGGGAAGCGGTGGCCGGGACGAGCCCGGCTACGAGTTTGCATGCGTTGAGTGGTGATATCGCTGCCGAGGGAGTTGTGGGGCAAGAGGAGTCGAAAAGGGAAGGGGGAAAGGGGGTGAGAGGGAGTATTAAGGGCAAGGTCAAAGATTTCTTGAAGAGGAGGGAAACCGGTAAGGAGATTGCTGAGGGGGATGGAGCAGTTGATACGGTGAAAGAGAAAGAGGAGGAGAGTGAGGAGAGTGAGGAGGGGTTGACTATACGGGTCGTGGCGAGAGAGGAGGGTAATGGCGATGGGCGGTTAAGAGCGCCGCTGCCGCTGAATGTGGTTGGGCGTGGTCGTGCCCGTGAAGAGGATGGGATGATTGGTGATGAGGAAGGGAAAGACGTGGCAGTGGGGCAGATGGAGGAAGTCGATATCGCGGACGCTTTGGGGCTGGAGCACGGTGTTGCTGTCACGGAAGAGGCGGTGGAAGGGGGCACGCCTGATGTGGTCATGACGGGCTGAGCTTGCTTGCAGTCCCGGATCTGACGTTCGTCAAAAAGTGGAAACGGTGGAGAGGGTTCATTGCATTGTGTGCCGTGATGATCACAGATGTTGCTTGTACATGGCCAATTGACATGCTTGGCCGATATGTTCGCTTTCACAAAAATGAGGTGAGCTAAGCTAGGAGCTGGGAATGCACATATGGCTTTCGATTCGCTGTCATTACTCTAACTTCTCACTTTGACCGTCGATAGATAATATGGGTATATTGCGTTAAAAACCGGGTACCGAATCCTGCAAAACGACTTGCGTTGCTATTGTCTGTTCTCATTTCCTCCTCCCACCCATCCTCCTCCACTTCCCTCACCATCTCCGCCATTTCAGCTCACGCGCTGCCCCTCCACGCATCCCCAAAGCTCAACCACGCCACCACGCACCCCAGCACCGCGACAGTCCTATCAGCCAACAGCGGGCTCTGGCGAGAATAATGCACCGTCATAGGCGCGTATGCTGCGTTCACACCCAAATTTCTCTTCCATGTCTTCCAATATTGCTCATCCTCATCTTTCTCAGCAACTGCAACTTCCCCGCTTTCGCCTTCGTTCCCCAGCTTCCTATCAATTTTGTTATGCTTACGGAGGGAACGCTGGTGGCGCGCCTGCCCCTCCCACCCGAGCTTTCCCATCTCGAGGAACGTCCACGCCATCCAGGCGCGTGAACACCATAGCTCCATTTTCTGCTTCTTCTGTGTGGCGAGGGAGACGACGCCTTTCTGGGCGAGGAAAGTCCAGTTTTCGAGGCTTTGGAATGTGATGAGGGAGAGGATCTGGAGCCATGCTGTTGCCTTCTTTATTTTTTGCTCGGTTGTGGAGGATTCGTCATTTTTTGATGCGGGTGGGGAAAGGAAGAGCTCCAAACCCGCGTTGAATAGGGGAATGAGACCCCATAGACGGAGGTGCACCCGGAGGTTAGAGAGGAGAGCTGTTAGTGGGGGGAGAGATGTCGTGAGGCGGGCTAGAAGGGAGTTTTTGTGGAGGGAGCGGTGGGGGAGGAGGGAATGAAGGAGGGTGAGTGTGTAGGTTGCTGTCAGGAGGGTTGTGTCGAGGGTGGAGGTGTGGGAAAGGTGTTTTGTTAGGTGGGTGAGGAAGGAGGATGTTTTGGCTATTGAGAGGGAAGGGGTGGAGGGAGGAATGGGGATTGTCGTTGGTGGTGGTGGTGAGGAAGGGGACATAGACGAGGACTCCGACTGCGAAGAGGCTGGAGGATCCATTGGTGATTGCTCAGACAGCCATATGTCGAGTAGACGAGTGATTAGAGGGTTCAGGATGCGAGAATGCGGCCAAAAGGGGTCATCGATTCAAAGAGAACAGGTCGTTATCGTGGACCTCGGCTTGATGGCAGATGCATCTGCGTGGTCTGCAAGGACGTCATTAGATCTCAAAGACGAGATCAAAGTGACGTGTCATAATTGCCATGTTACGTTCCAAGAGAATCTTCACGATGCGGCTTGTCATAGCAAGGGCGACCCTATGTATATTGTGTGACTGGGGTAAAGCGTGCCAAGACTGTCATTGTTTTTCAATGTCCATATACGGCGACCACAACACAGCCAAAGTAGGTTGACTGACGGCACGACGCAGGTGTCAAGGCCTAAAGAGCTTCAGGCACCAGGTCGTGCGTAAGCTTTACGTGAAGCTGCACGTTGTTCAACTCTAGTATCCTTTGGCTTCGAAAGGCTTCCTTTTGGCATAGTCAGCAAAAAGCTAGTCCAGTCTTAGCTAGCGTCAGGTCTTGAATTTCTGCATCATCATTCAAGTTGTGAAACCTCCGAAGCTCTTCACATCTATCTATCAACACTTCTTACCACACACTCATCCGTCCGCTACTTACACCATCTCTCTCGAAATCTTCTGCTTCATTCTTTACGATACACAGCCTCTGAGCCCGCCTTTCGAACCAGAATCAGCGGACTCCGGCAACTTACAGCTCGTTCCTGCCAACTACAAATCACCTTGCACATCTACAGCTAAGCGGACACCATGTCTGCAGAGCCTGAGCGCGTCGAGTCCAAGCCGAAGAGCAAGGTCAACCTCAAGTATGTTTCATAACTTGTACAGCTGGATACGATTAAATACTGATGCCTACGTAGTGATGCCTCTGGCGCCGAGCACAAAGAAGTGAGTGGTAGTCGTCGGACAGAGAAGGAAATAGCTGATTAATACATTCAGGTTGATGATACACAAACAGCCATATTGAAAAAGAAGAAGAAGCCAAATGCACTGATGTATGTACAGAGCTCAGGTGATTCTCCGAACTCGGATGCTAACGTGGCAACAGCGTAACCGATGCTGTCAACGATGACAACTCTATTATTGCGCTGTCAAATAATACCATGGAGACGCTGCAGCTATTCCGCGGTGATACAGTCTTGGTGAAGGGCAAAAAGAGAAAAGATACAGTCTTAATTGTGCTGGCGGACGATGACTTGGATGATGGCAGCGCACGTATAAATCGTGTTGTGAGACATAATCTCCGAGTCAAGCATGGCGATATCGTTACTGTCAATCCTTGCCCAGATATCAAATATGTGAGTGTAATCAAGTGATCTCCCGAATCATTCGACTGACAACTTCGCAAGGCCAAACGCATTGCAGTCCTCCCAATAGCCGATACTGTGGAAGGCCTCACTGGCTCACTGTTCGACGTTTTCCTTGCACCATACTTCCGCGAAGCATACCGACCTGTCCGAATGAACGACCTCTTCACAATTCGTGGTGGTATGAGGCAGGTAGAATTCAAAGTGGTGGAAGTCGACCCTCCAGAGTTCGGCATCGTCGCACAAGATACTGTCATTCACTGCGAGGGCGAGCCGATACAGCGAGAAGATGAAGAGGGCAATCTCAATGAAGTTGGCTACGATGACATTGGTGGCTGCCGAAAACAAATGGCACAAGTCCGAGAATTGGTAGAACTGCCACTTCGGCATCCTCAGCTTTTCAAGTCTATTGGTATCAAGCCACCCCGCGGTATTCTCATGTTCGGACCACCAGGTACTGGCAAGACACTCATGGCTCGTGCTGTAGCCAATGAGACTGGTGCCTTCTTCTTCCTCATCAATGGTCCTGAAATTATGTCTAAGATGGCCGGTGAATCAGAGTCGAATCTACGAAAGGCTTTTGAAGAGGCGGAGAAAAACTCCCCAGCCATCATCTTCATTGACGAAATTGATGCCATCGCTCCTAAGCGTGAGAAGACGAACGGCGAAGTCGAGCGACGTGTTGTCTCTCAACTACTCACTCTCATGGATGGCATGAAGGCTCGCTCCAACGTAGTCGTCATGGCTGCCACTAATCGACCTAACTCAATTGACCCTGCTCTCCGTCGCTATGGCCGTTTCGACCGTGAAGTCGATATTGGTATCCCTGATCCCACTGGCCGTCTTGAGATTCTACAAATTCACACCAAGAACATGAAGCTAGGCGGTGATGTAGATCTGGAGAGTATCGCCGCTGAGACTCATGGATATGTTGGATCCGACGTTGCTTCTCTTTGCTCCGAAGCTGCAATGCAGCAGATTCGTGAAAAGATGGATCTGATCGATCTTGACGAAGACACCATTGATGCCGAAGTGCTCGACTCGTTGGGTGTCACTATGGAGAACTTCCGCTTCGCCCTCGGTGTTTCAAATCCATCGGCCCTTCGCGAAGTTGCCGTTGTTGAGACTCCCAACGTCCGCTGGGACGATATTGGTGGCTTGGAGACCGTCAAGCGAGAACTCATCGAGAGCGTTCAGTACCCAGTCGACCATCCGGAAATGTTTCTCAAATTCGGTCTCTCTCCTTCTCGTGGTGTTCTCTTCTACGGTCCTCCCGGTACTGGTAAGACCATGCTTGCCAAGGCTGTTGCAAATGAGTGTGCAGCCAACTTCATCTCTATTAAGGGCCCCGAATTACTCAGTATGTGGTTCGGTGAGTCTGAGAGCAACATTCGTGATATCTTCGACAAAGCTAGAGCGGCTGCACCTTGTGTCGTTTTCCTCGATGAATTGGATTCCATTGCCAAGTCACGAGGAGGATCACAAGGTGATGCAGGTGGTGCATCTGACCGTGTCGTCAATCAACTCTTGACCGGTAAGTCCGAGCATTATTCCTCTAATCGTGATGGTTGCTGATTGTAATTTTAGAAATGGATGGCATGACTTCAAAGAAGAACGTCTTCGTCATTGGCGCCACCAACCGACCCGAACAACTTGATAACGCCCTTTGCCGTCCTGGTCGTCTCGACACACTAGTATACGTTCCACTGCCGGACGAAGAATCTCGACGGGGCATTCTCAGCGCCCAGCTTCGCAAGACACCAGTTGCTGATGACGTTGACATCAACTTCATTGCATCTAAGACGCACGGCTTCTCTGGTGCCGATCTTGGCTTCGTTACTCAACGTGCTGTCAAACTAGCTATCAAGCAAGCTATCGGTATCGATATTGAACGCACCAAGGAGCGTGAAGCTGCTGGTGAGGACGTGAAAATGGAGGAGGACGACGTTGAGGCCGACGATCCCGTGCCCGAACTCACGCGTGCCCATTTCGAAGAAGCCATGCAATCTGCTAGGCGATCAGTCAGCGATGTTGAGATTCGGCGGTACGAGGCTTTCGCTCAGCAAATGAAGAATAGCAGTGGTAGCAACTTTTTCCGCTTCCCCGAGGCAGGCGAGGCTGCAGAGGGTGAGGCAAACGGCAATGGATTCGGTGACGCAGGAAATGACGACAGTCTGTATGACTAGGTACTAGAGGCACTATTATTCCGGAAATTTTATTTAGCATGAGAGGTGTGACGTGGGAGCAGGATTATGGCACGCCATCTAATTTGATACACTGCTTCAGTCGGTGGTTCTGACGGCGGCACCAGCGGAGAGGAACAGATTCTAGATAGATTTCAACACTTGCTCCTCATGCCTACGTCTATCCATTCTTGGGATACATCTGTCTTTGTTCAGGTTGGCAAGCAGAAGACTCGCTATCTTCCCGTTCCTTGCAAAAGCTCGTACTTTGCTCGCATGATATTCCCGGGACGTGGGAGTTAAGTAGCTCTCACGCCTGCAATGATGCTAGCACCAGACATCCCGTTGTAGCTGTAGACTTTCTCTCCTCGTTCCGCCCGTTCAACTCCCGGGTAGATGTTCTGTCACACAAACTCAGCTTTGACGTTATCTCTCCCATAGCATATCTGAACTCACCACTCTTGTTCATCACAAAGCCCGTCGCGTACGCTCCAGTGCCGCTACCATGTCCCATCATCGTAGTCGCAATCAAGACTATTCAAACAACACGTCTAGGCCGCTTACGAAACCCTTACCCGACACCCCCTTCGCGTCTCTAGGGCTCCCGGTTGAATAATTCCTCTAGCATCCAATCAAGATGCAAAATCTACTTCATCGCCAATCCCTCCACTCCCTCTCCCTCCCAGCATCCCGATAGCCTTGGCCTTGGAGTTGGGGGTAGGATTCGGGTGGGAATGAAGTTTCCTCCCCTTCAACAACCCAGCCCCCCTTCTCCTGCATACTCTTCACCACCACCTTCGCGCCTGCTTTCATCACTTTGTTCGAAATTCGGATGTCTGTTTTCCCCTCCCTCCCCTCCCCCTCCGCCGCCCCCTTCGCCTCTCCGCTCGGGGGGACTTCAAAGTTCGCCAGACTCTCAGCGACGATGATATCTTTCATCTCTTTGTACGTAGACGCAGAGCCGGACTCGAGGATCTCGAAACAGCGCGCGTAGACATGCTCGGACCAGTGCTCGCGCTCGGCTTCGGTGTGCAGGGTTGTTAGGAGGGTGCGTTTGAAGGGTTCTTTTGTTTTTTGAGGAGCTGTGGTTGTTGGGGTTTGGCTTGTGTTTTGAGTTGGGGGTGGGGATGGGGAGAGAAGGTGTGCGAGGATGGCGGCGCGAAGGGGAGGTGAGAGGGGGCGTGTTGGGGTGGAGGGGAGGATGATGGGGTCGGTGGTGGACATTGGGAGGAAGGTTGTTGGGGAGGGAAGTTGGGGAAGGAAGACGAGGGACAATGGAGAGAGTGGTGGATGGGAGTAATGCATTTCACACCAATTGTTTCAATACGCTTAGCGTGCCTTGTATGATCCGGTGGAATGGCGTATCTCCTAAAACCTACGGTCCGCTAAAATTTATTACATACTGATTTTCTTTCCCTACAACTCGGCCATTCGAACAGGCATCAAAAACCCACCGCAAGACTCTGTTTTTTGGAGGCAGAATCTCTTTTGCGCATGCTTGTTGTCTGCTAGTAAGAGGTTTGAAATCATTGATGTTCCTCCTCTTTCCTAAATTCTAGAAATTGGCCCATTTAGCCTTGTGCAACTCGATAACAGGCTATGTCCTTTGGTCTAGGGATTGCTGCGTTGAGTGTCGGCATTGTCTCTCTGCTTAAAAGTCTACGCAAAGATATTCAAAAAGAATGGTACCCTACCGATATTGCTCTGCCGCTTCAAAGGGAGATATCATTATGTGATATTTCTTTTGAAACTTTTAGCAGCCTAAATCTCAAGTATCATGATCCACAGGGCCAGAGCGAAGTTCGTCTGTATCAATTTTCAGAGTTCACTACCACGTTAAGGTCATTAAATCAAGATTTGCAGCTGGTGGTGAGATCTGCAAATGATGGCAACCACTGGCGTTGGAAGCGAGCCAAGAAGGACGTTGCGAAGATTGTTGAACTTTGTCAGGATCAGCGATGTGAGTGTCTGGAGTGGATCCTCGAGATCCTGCATGAACTGGAGATAGATGAGAGTCAGCTTCCAGCTTTGAGATCTTCGATTGTTCCTTTATTAGCAGCACACACATACAACACTAACTCGCATGGTCATAATTATGGCCATCTAATGACGCTTTCTCGTAATGACCTGATAGATCGGCTGGAGCTTTTGTATAATAATATTCGAGACAGCCGAAGACCATCAATCTCTCAAGAGCAGCCACTGCAGGCTGAACAGTCAAGTCAGACAAAGATTCATGAACAACTGGACAGACATCAGAATGTTTTTGATCTTCAGCAGCGAGTAATTATATACGCGTCAACGCCAACGCTACCTTTCTCAATCCTATATCATTGGCGAAGATCTGTACGCTTCTGCCACATCCTTATCTTTTTTGGCGCCATGACAATCATCGGCAGCTTAATACCAGCTCTCTGGCGCTCAATAAATCGTCATGACATCTCTGGTGGCTTTTCGATCGCTCAATACGTTCTGAACGTTGGCGTCTTTGCGGTGGCATGCGCTACAGCCATACATGTGAAGACATGTACTTGCTGGGTTCCAGAGCCAAACATCGCTCATTCAAGATCTGACAATGGAACCGAAGACGTTGAACTTGAGGCTCTGCATGCTAGCTGAAGTATCGTGACAGAGAAACATAACTCTTGCGTCTTTGGTGCCTTGTGGCTGTTTCTAGAAATCATTGAAAGACCAGTCATTCGTTTCCGCATGCAACACATACGAGAAGCCTTGACTCAAGTCCACGACTGCATAGTGGCATTTCCCAACGGCGCTAGGTGACCGATGATGCGAGCCCCCGAAATTGCAAGTCTTGATTGGCTGGGTCATTGCCCTATAAGAACAATATTCTCAGCTCCGATCTACGGATGTACGACCTCGGCGGTTTCGGATTCGCATAGTCTAATGGACTTCTTGCAACGCAACTGGTGGAAATGATGAGAAGGATGTGAGAACATATGCTTGATGAGCAACTGTTTCGAACATTCAAGAAAGTCGAGCAAGAGAGGGAGACAAGAGCGCGGGTAAATATTGCCCAAGTCAATTGACTCTAGCTTGAAGAGAGTTTCTGCCAACATCAACAAGATACGACAAGTCATGCATTTCTACTCAACAACAGAATTCATAGATTACACTGAAGCGATTTTTGAATGGATTGGTGCCCGACAAATACAGAAACAGTTCCATCGACAGTGTCGGGCTCAATGCATGGCGGGGACTGGCGAATGGCTCTATGAATCGCCGAGCTTTAAAGCTTGGTCAGATCCTTCTTATTATAAGGGTGATCAAGCATTCCTTTGGTGTGAGGGCAAGCCAGGAATTGGGAAGACGATTCTCGCGTAGGTTCGGTCTGAAATTATCCTTTTCTCTGTCTCTAATTATCAATTGAAGCTCTAAGCTGATTGACAACTTGAGCGCGACTAACCATGTCGCCTATATCTACTTGAAAGACGGTATGACATATTCTGCAAGCGATATCACGGCTAGTCTGCTCAAGCAACTTTGTTTGCTTGGCGAATTTTTGCCCAGATGCTTGAATGAAGCATACAGCCAGTCCGGTGGTTGTCCTACACAACTACCCGAGCTAGGCATTTTGCTCAGAGCTCTTGAGGAGACATCACAAGAGCTTCGTGGTCCCATTGTTATCGTCATCGATGGTCTAGACAACCTACCGGATGGAAAGGAAGCGACCGATTTCTTCCGTGCCTTGAAGTATACATCCTGGAAGATAATTTTGACAAGTCGTCCTGATCAGGTTATTCTGGAGAAGGTTTGCAGTGGATGCTATAGAAAAAGGATACAAGATGAAGATTTAGCCGGAGACATTCGAAAATTTGTAGATGGATCTATTTCTAAAAATCAGGCGTTCAATCGGATGCTAGATGATTCCAGTAATCTGAGGCAGGAAATCATAGAGACAGTGACGTCGAAATCGCAGGGACTGTACGTGTCACAAAAAGACCAAATTTTCGAAGTACGATTAAGAGTCTTTAATGCTAACGAGATGAAGCTTCCATTGGGCAGATATCCAGATGCGACTCATTCTAGAATCAATAAATCTCTCAGGAGTTCGAAGCGCGATTCACAAGACCCCAAGCGAAATTTCCAAGATAGTTGAAAGTGCTTTTAGTATGGTTCAACTACAACGCCAACATCGCGCTTGGCCAGCCATGAAAACAATCGCTCTGCTAGCAAAGACAAGAGCGCCTCTCACTGCTGATGCAATATGCCACGCAGTCGGCTTAGATCTACTGCTCGACATCGGCAAGAACCCAAAAAGACTTTCAGTTGACGAATTGCCCCATTCTGCACCGCTCATTGAATGTTGTGCACCCTTCGTCGGCATTGACCCAGACACCCAAATTGTCACTTTCGCACATTTCGATGTTGCACAACATATACAGCACCATTATGAGCGATATTTTGCTGAAGAAAGAGTATCATTAGCAAGGATTTGTCTTGCCTACCTCTCCTTAAATGTATTTTCGGGGGGGCCTTGCTCAGACGAAGACAGCTTCTACAGACGCCAACGATCATATCCGTTTTTCATATATGCCGCTCATCACTGGGGCCATCATGTGCGTGACAACTTTTCACAATCATCTTCAGCCGACGGTCTTGGTGATCTTGTCATCAAATTGCTCACGAATCGAGGAATATTTGAATCATACCTCCAAGCAGCGGAACTCAATTTCGAAGTCATGAGCAACATTCAAATGCGCCACCAGCTGGATTTTGACACACAATTGAAGAGGCTGAAGAGTGTGTCCAATTTACAAGTAGCGGCGCGTTATGGCCTTGCTGAGACAGTGCGCATATTGATCAGTAGTGATGGTGACTCGGTCTTTCAACAGGACTTGGAGGGAATGTCGGCTTTACACGAAGCTTCCCGATTAGGATGGACAGAAATTGTCAAAATTCTACTAGACGCTGGAGCTAGTCCCTCGACTACCGACACTAGGCAGAAGACACCGATACATTATGCTCTTGCAGGCGGCCATGGAGAAATCTCATCGATTCTGGAGATAATGATGCCAGCGACTCCACTGCCACTGGAAGAGATCTTGCATGAAGCAGTTCAAAGTGGGGATATCGACGTTGTCGAATTTCTGATCAAGCAAAAAGTCAATTTGAACCCCAGTCATATAGCGAGGTCGGCGCTTATCACAGCTTGTCGGAGAGGGCATGCTCAAATAGTTAGATTGCTCTTAGAGAGCGGGGCAGATCCCAATCCAAGGCCACACGAATGTCCCGCAAGCGAGGACATCCCTTTACATTTGGCAGTCCGTCTCGGTCTCTTGCAAATTATGGAAATACTGCTAGAAAATGGTGCTCATGCCAGCGTTTGCGATGATAAAGGACGAAGTGCCCTTTTTGAGACTCCGGGTACACCAGGTCTTGAAACAACTCTAATGATGCTCCAGTGCGGAATAAATATCACACGAAAAGACAATGACGGAAACAAGATCTTGCATTGGACTGTAGGAAAGGGCGCATTGAAACATACAAAAGCCTTCATTGACCAAGGCGTACCAGTGGATAGCCTTAACAATGCTGGGCTCACACCTCTGGTGATAGCTATCCAAAACCAGAACTACCACATGGTTAGGCTCCTTATTCAAAGGGGTTCTGACGTAAACTTCATCGATGACGAGGGACGAACACCACTCACCCATGCGATCTTAGCATCAAAACCGGAGATTTGTGAGGCACTTCTGCGCGATGGAGCTCCTGCAAAAACAGATGGCGCACTCGGCTTAGCTATCATAGAGAACAAGGAGGATATATTGGGTCTGTTGATAAAATACGGGGCGGATATCAACCAGCCAGACAACCAGTCACGGACACCGCTTGAAGTCGCAGCAGCAGCTGGCCAAATCAACATTGTGCGCTTCTTGATTGATGCAGGTGCGGACGTAAATGGTCATGCTCAGCAAAAGCAAACGCCTCTGACGGTAGCGATAGCAGCTGATCACCCTGAGATTGTCAAAGTCCTTATTAACAAGGGAGATCCTACAGACTGCAAGGACGACAGTTCAGAGGAAGATTGAGACACTTGGAGTGACAACATCAATCAGTCTAGACCTGGCTCTGCAGGGGATTTCTTTTGACTTCAAAGAAAGTGTATCTACGTAGAGAATGATAGCATGCCGATGCGCGTGCCTGCTTATCTATTGACTCCCTGAGTTTGCATCGTATGTTAGACTTTCGACTTGTTGACCACAGAATGGGTAGACTCCTGTAGCCCTCATTATTAAATCTCAAGCCCAGTCAAGATCGCCCAGGCAGATACAATCGTCTCCCTTTCATGGAGATCTAATCTACCCTGTCATCCTCAAAGAAGCACTAGTTGATTTACTATGATAATTCGTTTCTCTGAAGACGCCTAGCTACTCCTCACTGGCGCATGCTTTGTAAGGCTGCATATTACTAACATTACAGTCTACTGCAGGGCCGATACCGGATTAGGCACATAAATATTGAGTCGGGTAGCTAGTGTGGAAACTGTTCATTTCCATATTACGATACCTGAATTCTCCTATTTCCTTCCCATTTTTCTCACCATGACACTACTTTTTGTAAGATTCATCAAGAAGTCTTTTCCTGCCCAGGTTTGACGCCAATTAGCCTGTAACCTACTGCAGCATTTGAGCGACCTCCCAACATGGCTTCGAAGACCATCATCACCGATTTACTACCAACGTCTCGACGGGCCAAAGGGCAGGCAGTCCGACGACAGCGGTCAAGGCTGCTCAATGGAGTTCGAGAAGATACTTGCAAGACCAATACCAGTTCTCAAGGCTCTGAGCAAGTCAACATTCACGAGCATCCTTCTACGGTCTGTGCTAGTAAAACTGTGTCTAGCCAATCCAATCATATGCAGGTTTCGACTAAAGATTCCCAAGATTGCTCGGATGACCAGTCTTCTGCAGGTACTCGACAAGGCATCCAGTCTGATGGTGAAGTTCGCGATACCAGTGGTTCAAAAGGCCACTCTTCCATGCGCTTGAAGCAGTATCGGATTGACAAAGGGGATGGAAACTCAGCCCTCCTTACAGTAAGCGATCTTCGCTTCTTGGCCAACTCATATCCGAAAGAGGAAACGCAGCATCCGTCTCACATAAACCCGGAAATCTTAACGAAAGATGACAACCTGCAACGCGATACACCTAACATATTTCCTCCTATCGAGTGTCAGAAGGTTTTCCATGATGAGACTCTCCTCGAGACAGATAACATTCGTGGCCTCAAGGTCGTCCAGCCAGCACCCATAACAGGAAGTCTGTATATGTATAGGGGTCTCTACGGGGACTGGCTGTGTGGGCGTTGCGGAATGCCTGTTTACTGCGAGGATGACGAGACCTGCTATTTCGCTGGCTTTGCCTTCTTTTTGGCACGCTATCCCCGCCGCTTCACGTATGATTACGGACGGAAATACGACGCGCACACGTGTTGGATGCGGCAGGTGTATATTGAGAAAAGGTTCAATGTATGAGCATAGCAGGGGAGGAGTTCAGTGTTTGTCTAAATTAGCAATTGGTTTTTTCGGTGATTGGATGTTGAACGCACGAATCTTTTCTTCCTAGACTCTTACACTGTTTCAGTATGTGACCGTGGCAAGAAAGCAGATTTTCTTGCTCTTTCCTATGGCGCCATCTTTGTGTAGGTGGATTGTCAAATTCGTTCTGAGATTAGCTTAGATATTTCCAAAAATGGGCATCCAAATTGTATATCGTCTGCTATGACAGGATCGAGTCCATATATCAAGCGTGATAGTGTCTCTGAGTCAGCCAAATCATTGAGAATCATACTACCAATGAACGCTATACAGCCTTCAATCATTCTCTGATAACCTGAAATGCGGCAATCTTCTCATCAAGCTCCTTCTCCCGTGCCTCAAAAGTACCCGTAAAGACATGCCTATGCTTTGTCCTCAGATGCGACTCGATCATCTTTCGGTCATGATATTCAACTTCTCCTTTGGGGCAGCCACGGAGGCGGCACTGATACCAAGTGCCATAACAGGCGCGATGCCAGCGTTTTCCGTCGGCTTGGACGCGGCGGCGGCGACTTCTGACAAGTCTGACAGCACAGTCGGCTATTTGACTCTTGACTTCCTCCTTTTTGAGATAGTTTCCCGTTCGCTCGCGGATTCTGTCAAGAGTTTCATTGCAATCTTGGAACTGGGAAGGTATTCCAACATTCTTAGCCTCTTTACGAGCTTTTTGATTGGCCTCATCATCTCCAAAGTGAGCGGTTTCGTTCGCTGCGCTGGCATTCTTGTCTGTGAGTGGATGTCCGTTCACTTTGCATTGATCTCCTTTGTGGCTCTTACTTTGAACAAATTTCCCTATCCATACTTTGAGAGGACCCCTGGTCTTCCATTCGTCTAATTTGATATCTTCAAGCCCATCGACATTGAGGCGGTCATATTTGAAGCGGTATCCTAAAGTACTTTGCTTTTCTATCACTTTCTCGTGAGTCACTTCCGATTCAGTAACCAGCTGTGTTGCAAAGTGAAACAAATCACTAAATTTGCCTAAACCGACAGAAGATTTAGGTATGTGCCGCTGTCTTTTGACCCCAGTGCCAATACTGATGACATTCTGTAGGCAATCATCATTCAGATTATTCATCCTGCGTACCTCTTCAATGATCTCCATCCAGGGGTTATTGGTCCCAAAGCCACCATCGAGGTATCTAGAGCCCTTGATAGAGATTTCTTTGAAGTAAAGTGGGGCAGCAGATGTTGCTCGAGCAACTTGCCAGATAGGGAGGTCGTGAGCAGGGCCTGGATTTCGTGCGGAACTACGCTCTTCGTCGGTGCATCCAGGACAGATATTTTGGTAAGTTCGAAAGATGTAAGGAACTTCATCTGCGTCTTCTGACTGCTGGTATGAGATCACAGCACTGACCGGGTAAGTCAGCGCTTCTTCGACTATAACGTTGAGACCCTTGACTTACACACGACGCCTACCGTCCGCAATGGCGAAAGTTTCGCCTCCAGGAAATTTGTTGATCTTTGGCACTCTTCTACTGACCAGATCCTCAATTACAGATTTCAAAACTTTGTGGTTGAGCTTTTCCCGAGGGAAAAAGAGAGGTGATTGGACATGAAACCATCGAGGATTTCCAAAGACCTTGGCCCCAAGCTTCTCATATTCATTTATGCAATCATCAATATTCATCCGTAAACGACCAAGCATAATGCTAATAAGCCCGCCTGTGCTTGTGCCCGCGATGTAATCGAAGTAGTGACAGGGTAGCCAAGCAGACTTTGTCGAGTCCGTAAGAATTGAAGCATCGGGACCCAGCCTCTCAGTCTCGCGTGCCAGATTCGAAGGATGAGTGACTGGAAAGAGGCTGGACTCAGCGCTCCCGACGTACTCACCTGCTCCCCTGAGCCGGGGGTCTTGTTCCTCACTGGCAATGGCTTTCATGAGTGCTTGAACGATCAAGAGTGAAGAGTACCTTCTTATGCCACCTCCATCTATAGTATGTAGTCAGATCGGAAGGCTCTAGAAGATCAAAAGCATGATAGTGACACGTGCCAAGTGAAAGAATTGACTTCTGATCCCACGCTTGAGTCTCCTCAAAAGACCCGGAGCCAACAGTGTCAAATGTCGCTTGATTCGAAAGTGGTTTGATATCCAAGTCAGACTCAGGAAAACTATGTAAGTCGGGAATTTGTACAGTCATAGCATGTGGATCTATCTTGGATTGAATGTAGGCTGTAATTGTACGACGGGACCAGAAACCCGCTTGTCTTTCTAGGGGCGCACTGGAACTTGTAGGAGCCGTTACTGGCCGTGTTGGCATACTGGTTGACCCAAGATCCGTTTTACGTGTGAAATGCAAGTCATTCGACGCAGAAGCGTTGGACTCGACTGGCACAGGTTTGTATCTTGATGTGCTCGGTGTATCAGCTAGCCTCGAAGATGTATACGCCATCGGGGAGGCAATATTGGCAGCGCCTGTCTTGTCAACCGCGCAGTTCCGTAGATTTCGAACCCGGCTAAACCGTGTCTGCTGAGCGAGCCCGGCGATACAGCAAAGAACTATTTAAACGAAACGTGCTATTAGATTCATTGATGTGACATGTCAGATCGTTTGGATGTCTAGTAAGCCGAATCGACTAGAGAGGGATTGTAGATAAGAAGCAGTTGCTATCGCGGCGGGACTCAAGTGTTTCAATGAGACAGTACACGGATGGCACTCGAACGACCGGAAATATACCCGATTTCAAAGCAGAACCTCCATTGGAAGACAACAAAACTAAGAAGCCGTGTGATCCATCGCATTCAGACGACTGTGGTTGGTTACCAATTACATGCTTGAGCATGGACGACCACGTCGGCTGAAACAGACAACTCGAGTTACTTCATACTGATAGGCGCTGACACCTCGATGACAGCCAATCCAGGTGCAGTACCTCTGCAGGGTCAAGAGGACGTAAGTGAAGAAAATCTGCCTTGAAATACATTTCGTACGAGGTTCACAAGACTTCGTTTGCCTTCTTCCCCCTGATGCTCTTTTGATGCAGAACGCAACACGAGGTTTGAATGTGAAAAGATGATGGCGGAGAGGAGATACGAAACAAGCAATCGTCTCAAATCCAAGAGTATTTGATCAGTAGTGAGCCCGAAACAATGCTATCGGATTCTTGCTTCAGGCAGAGATCCGCCTATTCAGCGCGGCCTGACAGTAGTCGTACAAAACCCGGACGCCTTTCAGGCGACATGATTCGCAGTGTTATAGCTTCTCACTGACATGCCGCGGAAGGGGCTCCATAATTTGATTTGATTCGATGCAACAACCGGGCGTCCAGTGTCGTCTTGCGTAAATTAGCACGGTCGCACACCAGCCTGCAGTTTCGGGACTGTCAGTGGAAGAAGACTGATTTGACCAGCTGCATCTATTATTGTTTCGATTGCTTGTGGCGCAGTTTATGGCCTCGTGTACTTATCGAGTGACTTGCCCCTGCCTCTCTGTTTTAATCTCCCTTTTGCCTAATTTCACATTCTTCTTGCTACGGAGCACTACGTATCGATTCCGCCAGCAGCAATTAAGTTCCCTTGTACCTCTTCAGAACACTATCAATAATTGACTATCTTTCTCTACAATCATGTTTGGTGGCGAAGAATCAGAGCAAGAGCCCAAGCCGAATGCTCGAACTAACAGCGACCGGATCATCATATTCCATACGTCTACTAAAGCCGTCGAAGTCGTAAAGAAAGCCGACTTTTCGGGTGAGTCCCCGTATGATTCTGAATAAGAGAAACAAGACTGATCCTGATTCTAGCAAAGCTCCAAGATGATGAACCGCGAGAGATTGCCCCAAAGCTGGGCAAATGGATCAATGTACACGCAAAGAGCAGTAGCAAGGAGCTCAAAGGTCTCGTTCTGACAACACTGGATTTGGGCATGCTTGGATGGGCAGATTCATGTCGCAGGTTGTTTGGTCGGTGCAACGAGATATACGTCGTCGATTGAGAACAGGGACATATCAATCAGCCGTAGGACGTTCTCGGGGGATAGCAGTCGTGCTACCTTTTTTTAAGATGACTCGCGTTAGATGCCAAATATGCTTTGATCGGCGTAAATTAGACTGCAAAAATCAGCAATGCTATCGATTTCTCGAATTAAAGCCTGATGCTGCTCATGCCAACTTATGACCTCATTAGGGAAGACACAGACCCATACAATGTAATCTATCCGCGTTGTAAAGCTACGCTATCAGTTTCCAACGTGGTGATCATGCCTGAAAGTGAGTTGTGCAAAGGGAGCAATACACAGCGCCCAGCTTATCGAAGCCCTTTTGAGAGGGACAAAGCGGGGTTTTCAACCTCGAATGGTGCCAGTCCAATTAGTGCCTCTCTAAAGCCAAGCGTGCCCATATCATTCCATAGTAAAGCATGAATCTGCCACAAACTGACTGAAAGACCTCTGGGTATTGATATAGCTTGGCTCATAAAGCCCCCCACGAGCGTCAATCACAGCCGCTGGCTGCCTTTTCCGCCCACGGATTTATTAGAGACATTTGTTGTCATCATTATGGAGCAAATGAAGATCCATTTGCTCCACTGATAATCTTGGAAGACCGTCGATTTGGAGAGATGGCCATGCCGGAAGGCAGCACAGTTGATGCAGGGAAATGCTCACGCTACGATTCAAGATTTTGATGAATTTCTCACTTTTTCGGCGTCCGCGGCGAATAGATCGTCCCTCAACCCCTGCAGCTTGGCATGGTCTGCCTCGCCCATACTCCTCAAGCTCATCAGGTATTCTTTGAAGCCGCTCGACATGGTAGCGACCTGCTGCAAATGCTCTCGCCTGATCTCAATCTTTCCGTCCCGGGTTCGTCTCTTCTTCTCCCGAGCATCCCACTCCGCAAGCGCGATCATAGTGTTGAACGCATTGCGTATCTCTCGGCCGTTCCACATCAATCCCTTGAGTGCCTCGCCCCTGTACGCGAAATCATGCACCGAGAAATCGACCGAGACATCTCCCCGCTCGCGCCCCAGCTTCCGGAATGAGGAGTCCCAGATTCGCGCGCGGTCTTCATCCGTCAGTTCGGGGAAATGCAAGACCACGTGCACGCGGGAGATAACTGCCTCATCGAAAGTGCCAACGCGGTTGGTGGTCAGGAACATCAGCCCTTGATAATATTCGAGTGCACGCAGGAAGACGGAGACAAGGCTGTTGCGCTTAATGTCGCCACGCTCGCGGGCTTCGAGGAAGATGTCGGCCTCATCGAAGAGAAGGACCGCGTTCCATAGCGCGCCGAGGCGCAGCCAGCGCGTCAACTCTTCCTCGACGTCCGAACTGGTCGTACCAAGGTCGCCGCAAGTGATGGAGAGCAAAGGGCGTTTAGTCTGCTCTGCAACGCATTCAGCGGCCGTCGTCTTGCCGACCCCTGGTTTGCCGTGGAGGAGGAGAAGCTGACCGCGGCCTTTGTTGGGCACGAAGTCGGAGCTCCAAGGTGTGGTAGTTATTGTTGTTTTAGAACCGGCGAAATTGTTTTCTGGAGGATTGGAGTGCCGCAGAGAGTATGTATGTGATAGTGCTTGGATGATATGCTTCGTCTCTTCACCAACCTGAAGGTCATTGATCATGTCTTCGTCGAAGATACAGTCGGAGATGTGATCCACGTCAAGGAGAACTAAAAGTTTTTTTTTAGCACCAGAGCAGTTATACGTCTTCCATTTTAGAATTGAATCATGTGCAGACTCGAATTGTACATCTTGGGTCTACACAATTTCATAATCAGAGTTTTCAAAATCGACAAAACATGTTAAGATCTCCCCACGGCTCCTTGTGCGAACGTAATCAGAAATCACTGACTTACCCCAGTCACGCTCTTCCAGAACATACGCGTTCACTACTTGCTCACAAATGAGATATATTTCATCCGAAATTTCTTCAGTCTCCACGTCTGAATGATGAAGCAATTGAAAGAGAGGCTGCTTCCGTAATGGCGTGTCTTCTACGAAGCTTCGAGGGTTCTTCCGACCCAAAATATTTGCTACTTTTGTATCCCAATCTTGCCCTGTGTCACTGACATCATCGTCGTCATCATCATCTCGAGAACGAGATCTACTAACGATCCTACGCTCGTAGTAAAAACTGCCTGATGTATCACTGGATGAAGAACGTCTCATTCTTCGGCGTCTACGAGGTTTAGGGACGACTGGTAGGTAATCGGGTGAGTGACGTGTTCGTCTGACCAAACGAGGGTCGTGATGGAAAGTCTCCGAGTCGACAATGATACGGCTATCTAACCATCGGCGAGTTCCTGATATTGTGAATCCGTGGTATTCAAATTGGCCCCTCGACGACAAGGTTTGATAACGACGACCTCGTGCTACCATAGACTGACGTACTGAGCCATCAGGATCGCAACGATATTTGGCGGGATAGATGGGAAGGTTAGTTATCAGTCGTTCTCCATTGAACGGCAATATTTTAACCTTCTTCTTCGCTGGGATCCATTTCCGGCCGTCATTCTTGAGGTATGTCAAGACAATTGTCACTTTGCGAAGTCGATGTCTAAGTTTCAATTTACGCCCCGTGTCAAGCCTAGATGGCATGACATTAGGCCGCTTGCTATGGCGATCGTAATGGAACAGCCCTTGTAATGAAAATGATTCTACTGTAAAAGCGCTCGGTAAGGAAGTGTTCTCCTTTTCCTCGTAAACGAGAGTTCCGGGAGTGAAAAGCAGCCAAGCCCATTCAAAAGTGCAGACAGCCTCATGGCATTCCCATCGTTGCTTTTCCAAATTCATTGCATTCAAGTATCTCTGGTCTAGGAATTTATAGAGCTCGGTGATATGGTCTGGTTGCTGCGAATTCTGTTGCACTTGCATATCGCTTACTCCGAGACCTTTTGCCACGAAATCATCAATGTCTTTATCCGCGACTTGGTTATTATGAAGTTCGATTCCCACGGAAGATGAATTTGGCAACAGCGAGTCGCGGTACTCAAGCATCTCGTCACGAAATTGCAGCAAAACGCAATAAGGCTCCGCCACGACGAGCGAATCACCTTCAAAGGCTAGGTCTGGATAGCCAGGAGCGACTGAGTGGAGAGCCTCAATGATGGATTCTGAATTGATGGTCAGGATCATCCCGGCATCTGCACTAGCTACTATTTGCTCTCCAGGACGGTAGCGAATTGGCTCTGGATGGGGTCCGTCTGAAAAGGAGTCGTTATCACTGTACGACGGATGGAAGATTTTCTCGAGGGGTCCTTTTTTGGGCATTTTTGGTGCAGCCAGGAATGTAGTAACCTCGAAGATAGGCGCATCACTTTGTTCTTTGCTCGAATGTAGGGTTAAAGGCATTTGCTTATCGTGCTCAAAGGTCTTCAAATATGTGGCTCGCAGCTTGCGTGTCCGGCCAGCCAGCCAAGTCACGCGCAATCGATATAATTCAGCTCGATACAAGACTTTCGGTAGTGGGTGAGGTGGAGGAGATAGACTACGAGTCGACGGCATCTCTGATTCTGCAGACGTAGGCTCCGGCCCTTTGGAGAGATTGAAGAGATGGTCAATGCATTTCCCAACAAACTCATCAAAAGCTTTTGCAACAGGAGCCACGTCAAAGTTCAAGGCCTTGTAATCGAAATTGTGTCCTTCTTCCGGGTCGTAGGTAAATCGCAATTGAGGGTGATTGCGCTCCCAAATTTCGTTCTCCTTGTGAAATTCAACCACTTGCCTTCCATATCGTGCCTCCCAGTATTGCTGCCCTTGTTTTCCGAGGTCATCCCATGCTCTTTCCATACGTGCAGGTGATAGATCTGTGTCCGAGTTGACGCCACATTTTGCAGCATCGACGATGCTTTGATGGGTAAATTGTTCGAATGGAGGTTTGGGAAGCTCTGGTTTCTTCGCTCGAGGGATTTCGTGCATGCTAGCAGAAGCATCGGAGTCTGCGGGTCCGTCATCGTCCATGCTTTCTGACCACTTGGTCCCCTATAGCTGAGCAGCTCCCCACAAAATGACACCGGCTCTTCAGTGGTCTCTTCGGTGGGATGGCATGTCAAGGACAACAAGGAGCTAGCCAGCCGCAGGATGAGAGCCTAAGGAAGGCTGCAGCGTGGCGCAGTCTAGCAGAATTGGCCATCGCGACAGCCACCATGCCACTGTCTTCTGAACGCCATACAGGATTCAGGCCATCATGTGCGCAAGCACACATTCTTCTCCACATCAACACTGCGTTCTAGAGGTCTGAAGATGTCGCTGTCGACGGAGGGACGACATGGGATCATTGTAGGAGCAACTCCCCGGGCGGAATCGGGGCGGCGTGAATCTCCGCCAAGAACCCCCCCGGAGGACCCGCGGGCGTCCTGGCGAGAGTACTTTGCCAGTGACAAGGACCAGAGGTGTGACTCACTTCGATGGTCAGAAACACATTAATGATAACAATCTAGTACGGAAACTCGAGTACTCCAAGAAGAAGGGGATCATCTCTTGAAATTGCTGGCCAAGATTGCTCCGGGTGATACTCGAGAGACCTGGACTTACGCAGACCTTGACAACGCTGTCAAGGAAGCCCGAGTGCAATATGAATCGAAGAATCGCCTTGGTCATGGGAGGCCTCAAAAAGTATTTCATAGCCTGATGCGCAAATTTGACTCTCATTCTGGACTCTGCAAAATCATACCATCGGGCGACAAGTATCTTTCCTTAGTCACAGGGGCTTTGACAATCGTGGTCCAGGTGGGTTCTCCAGCATAATACCTGTCATAGAGTAAGCATTCCAACAATATTTAAAGTCATCCGTCAATCATTCAAAATCCATTGATGAGCTGAGTGATGCTCTCGATCAAATCAGTGAGCTCATTGGTTTCTGCGAGGTCGAGAGTAAACTCGTACAGAGCCAATCAATGCAGAACGCCATTTCAAAGCTATACATTGCCACCTTTCTATTCTTAGGAGATGCTATAACGTGGTACAACTCCTCGAGTCGCTCCAAGTTGTTGAAAAGCCTGCATAATGATTTTTCCGAAACATTCCGCAGTTCGATCGAAAGAATCAAGCATTTGGCTGGTTCTGTTCGTCATGTTGCTCAACTAGGGTCTGAAGCTGAAGTTCGCATCATCCGACTGGACCTCGAGGATCTTCAAGAAGAACTTCAAGACACTAGAATTGGCATGCAAGGTCAGCTACGGTTTCTGGCCGAGGTCGTACGCTGGCAACACGGGGAAAACCTTGAACAGCACAGACAAACTCAAGCTCTCCTGGTAGAAACAAGACCGATGCTTGCAGCAAATGCAAACGATATGCCACAAGTCGACTTTGATTTTGATAAGCACCTCAATCAGCGAGCAAGCTCTGAACATTTACGAATACAGGAAATGGCCCACCACGACCCTGCGCCAGCAGCCCCGAAGCCTTCCGAGGCTCAGATGATGCAAGCGAGCGCACCTGAGCTTTTAGAGATCCAATTGATAAAGGATCTTGCAAGCAAGCTGTGGCTCACCAGAAAGACGGCCAATTACCCCATACTGCAAGCTGACGAGGCCTCTTCCACAAATTTGCACGATAGCCAGATTTCTAGCAAGATAAATCGATGGTTTGTGTCGTCGACGAATGCAATGCTATACCTTGAAGGTTCCACAAGTCTATCTACCAAAGAAATTCCTAGAGTGGCCGCACAGATCTTGCACGAATGCCAAAAATCAAGTTACAACATGGCAGTACAATTTTCGAGCCAACGTGCTCCACTCTGGCAGGTCGCCGCCTATGACAAGGACACCTCGATGATCGATATGATGCTGAACCTCGCTAACCAAATCATTCAACTCTTGCCAGACGATAATAGACAGCTGACCAACCAGTGGAAAACCTTAGTAGAGCTCAAAGACTCGGAGGAAATTCGCATCCACGATGCTGCTGCCATACTCGCAGCTTCTCTTGAAACCACCCCACCAGATCTGCACATCATCATCGACGGGTTTCGTCTTCTCAGGGAAGCGCCCAAGGAGGTACTGTCGCAGTTTTTCGCAATCATCCGCAACGCTCTATCGAATTGTCCTACAGGCTTAAAGGTCATTATCATTTCTGGATCTAGGCTGCATAATGTCATTCCCTTCTTCAATCAAAGTGAGATTTCGGTCGTTCACCACCAAGGGCAAAGAAAGAAGCCATTGTCACCCATTACAAGCGCTAGTCGAGGCAGATAAAGGGATAACGTTGTTCGAGGATGCGGTATCTGCCCTTGAAAGCGACCGAAGCTTGGGCCGGCTCCACAACAAAGTAACTGAGTATTTTGCGCAGAAGAACAATCATTCATCATGTAGCTGATATGTCGTAATTTACTAAAAGTCCATCAGAAGCTGTTTGATCTTTCCCCTTTACACCACACACACCTCGAAACCGAGATTAGAAATTGCTGGCCTAGTCAGGACAGCTAGTGGGGCATTTCATGCGTCGATGTTCTCTACCACGCCCCTTAGCATCATTTGGCCGTCTCACGAATTGTCCATCTATGTCAACGATCAGATGTCGCTTGTCAGAGATCTCAGGCCGAGAAGACTCCATTCCATCATTCCAGAGAAAAGCGCTTGCGACAGGGTCCGTATGTCCGCGATATCCACCACAAGAAAACCACTAGACTGGGGAAAGGTTCTTGTATGACGGTGATCCTCAGACCATGGATGAGATAGAACCAGCGTCGCTCTTTGACCGCTAGTAACTGAATGCAGCCCCTAGTATTCGTCCAACTCATCGTTTAAGAGATAGTCACCCCAGTCGAATTCGCTCCCAGCCCCCTCACATACGCCGTCGTCAGCTCCATCATCTCAGACCACTCCGAGCCTTCCTTCACAACCCTCATCTCCAGAACACAATCGTCAAAAACAGGGAATAGTGCGCCAATCAGCCATTCCATCACCTCCTCGACCTCTCCCCACGTCCAAACTTCAGGGGGAATCGGTTCGGGACACCACGCTCGAAAGCTCGTCATGAGTCTCGTCTTGCCTGTGGTCTTGGGGTAGAAGGCTGGTCGAAGGTATGGGTGGTCTGTGGGTGGTTGGGAGGCCCAGGCATCGCACTGGGCTTCGACGACTGCTTGGTTTGAGAGTACTATGTGGGCTGGCGTGGACCTTGCGACGCCCTTTGCTGTGAATATGCGGTTTTGTAAGATGGCGCGGAGTTCGAAGGGTTGGTCGTTGGTTGTTGTTGTGTTGCCTACTGGTGATGCGCTTGTTAGATGCGCAAAGGTTGCAGCGATGAGGCTCAGCTTGAGAAGGAGAGTGCATGTGAACATTGCATGATTCATGAATTCTTTTCTTTTCCCTGCACAGTCTTGCGAACCTAGATAGGTAAGAGAGCGCAGCCTGCAGCGTTACTGATTTTCAACGTTGGTTTCAAAAAGAAACATTGAATCAGTTGTCTATTAAAACACGGGAACATGAACCGAAAACCCAACTAACTCCTCAAGAAACGACCACCTCCGTCAAATTCGCCCCCTGTGCACCCGCTATGGAAGATGTAATAACCATAAACTCAGAATACTTCGATTGCGGCTTCTTAATCCCCACCTCAACAACAAACTCATCGTCCTGAGGAAACAAGCGGTCTTTCAAGTAATCCAAAACAATGACAACTTCTCCATATGTCCATACCTCTGGAGGCATGGGTCCAACCCAAGGCACTCGGGCCCCAAAGGTCGTCGTAAGCTCCGTGCGTCCTACTGTTTCCGTATAGAAAGCTGGTCGAAATTCGGGGTGGTCGCCGGAAGGCTGTTGAGCAAAGGCGGAAACCTGTGCGTTCCACACGGCTTTGTTCGAGAGTCTGTATCGGGCTGGCGTGTCCCCTACTGTAGCGATGGCTTTGTATAGTATGCCGTCGGCGGTGAATACGTATTCGTTTGTTGCATCGCTGGTTGCAGTGGTATTAGCAGTGGGCAATGCGATTGTTAGATGCGCTAAGGTTGCGGCGATGATGTATGCTCTGAGATGCATTGTGTCGTTTGAATTCCTGAAGATGCATATATCTTCCTTGCAATTGATTAAACCTTTGCGAATGGGAATGACTAGAAGGGCATTGCCAGCGACTTTCTATAAGAGATCTTGAAGCCCAACTGAGACATTGGTTCAGTTGTGGCGGCTAGTTCACCAAAAATTTGATATCCAACAATTGACAACAGACATGAGGCAAATCAATAAGAAGACTAAAGTCTTGTCTGTGTGTTGCACCAAAGCTAACAGCTTTGGGTGTCTAATTTTGCTGGGTCTCTGATCTCGCCTGTCCTTGTGAATGTCTTGAACATCTAAGAGCTTTCCTTACGACAGGAGGCTCCTATCCCCATGATGGCGAGAAGGGATGCGTTGTGATTCAGCAAACCCAAAAAAGAGACGTCCCTGCAAAAGTAGAACTATTGTCTAAAGCTCCAATAAACACCACTTATATATATTTATTCAACCTTGACTAGGGTGTACTATGCCGGAGTCTGGCTGACCGCCAACATACTGCACATAAAAACATGTTTTGGGTTCGTCGGTGAGGTGTATGTAAGGTCTGCAGTTTAAGAGCAAAGCTTTGACCCAGTCAGCAAATTTCTAGCTTACAATGTCTTGAACCATTCTATTCAGCTCAAAATCCCCCGAGATAAAACTTTGGCGGAACCAATGATAATAGCTAGATCAACTTATGAAAACAGCGAATATTGGGATTTAATAGAGGATTTCAATCAATCATCAGAATCGTTCGGCTGCAGCCGAAGTACGGTGGGCACCAGACGAGTCATAGAATCGATACTTCCGCCACTGCGAGCTCTGTTTCGAGAGGCTGTCCGGGAAACATCACTCAAGGTTGTACACCCCAAATGGATGGCTAATGACTTTCCGTCCAATCCGACTGGATGACTTGCTCTAGTGGAGATTCACTTAAGTCGGATTTGGCTGGCCGTGCCTGCCTACGAGCTGCTATGAAGCGCCACAGGAAGAATAGACAGATTGCCAGCAGGGGTATTCCGAGACCAACACCAACGCCCAGGCCGACCTTTGACGCTGTGTCGAGACGGTCAGATTCGTCTGCGGGACTCGGAGTTGAAGTTGACGTTGCATTGATATTTGTCGTATCCGAAGGGAGAGACATCTGATTTGCGGTGGATGAACTCGATGGGAGAGACGTCTGACTTGAGATCGACGAACTCGATACCACGGATTGAATCTTGGACTCCAGTCCACTGATCGTTAGCTCGGCAGACTTGTACCGGATTTGGATCGGATAAGCAATTTGTGTTGGCCATGGGCCGATGGTCGGGGTAAAATGCTCTATCGACATAGCTGGTGTCTGCGATGTTATATCTGTGAGGATAGTTACCTCGACAGTCTGTCCTGTATTCACTGACTTGCAACCTCCTGTCTCTGACGTCTTGGGGCAGTCGTAACCGCTACAACAGTCACGTCAGCCGTTTCCGGTTCTCGGAGGCTGCTTAGTTGGGGGCTTGCGAACGTACTTTGGGCAGCAGAGGAATATGCTTTCGCTTGGTGCTGTAGATAAATCCTTATTTGCAGAACATGGGGAGTACTGTGAGGGACACACAGCAGGGCTATACCAGCTCTTGAGCCAAGCTGTTGCCTCCGTATAGACATTACTCGACGGGCAGCACGCGGACAGCATGCAACCTTGTGTTGCGTAAAAATAGGCGCCCGAGGGCTCCAAAGCGCTATCTAGATCGTTGGGTCTAAAGACAGCTGTCGTGCATTTAGCAGGAAATGACAGGGGGCTGGTAAGTGGTCCAAGGTTGCCAGAGCGATCTACTTCAGGAGGTGCCCCGCCTAGTCCCTGGCCAGACATTGTCGATTCAAAGACGTAAGGACGAGAAGTGTCTATCGATCGAGGAAAATAATCAATCTGAGAGAAATTGGAAGAATGTCCCGAAATAAAGCAAAGTAGCGGCCCCCACACATCTCCAATCCTCGCCTGTAGTTCAAGCACGCCACAGGCCCGTATTCGAGACATTGGTACGAATGACAGGCTGATTATGCGTTGATTTCTGGGATTGGCCAAGCTTGCGCAGAACTAAGACAACCACGCACAGCCGACAAGGCAAGTAGGACAAAACCAAATCTGCGCCGATCGATTCTGCATTTGCATATAAAATTTGCTTAGATTATCGATCTTCTTTGCGCAACTTTTATCTTTCACGATAATACTCGCTATTGCACTTGTGTAATAGGTTAGAATATGTTCCCAGCTTGAAACTATATAGAAATAATAGTTAAGCAGCAGGGAACGCATCGCGCAGCGGTGCAGCACTGCAAGCTATTTGCAAGCTAGTCTCCCAGGCCAAATCAGGCCCAGAAATGGTAGGGAGGGAGCCCCGCAAGCATACAGCGCAGCAAGCTATTTGTAAAGCAGTTTCTCTAGCCAAATCAGGCTCAAATCAGGCTTAAAATCAGTAGGGAGGGAGCCGTGCAGGCATGCAATACTGCAAGCTGTTTGCAAGCCTATTTCTTAAGCCAAATTAGGCCTGAAAACGGCTGGGAAAAAGCGCGTTTTAAAGGCTGTTTGCAAGCCCTCCTGCAAAACGCGCTTTTTCCCAGCTGTTTTCAGGCCTAATTTGGCCTAAGAAACAGCTTTGCCAACAGCTTGCACCGCCGCATGCTTGCACGGCTCCCTCCCCACTGTAATTAAGCCTGATTTGGCCAGGGAAACAGCCTCGCAAGTAGCTTGCATAGCTGGCTATCTGCATGCTCCTTTTCTCCGCTATTTTGATCTGTTTTAGGCTTATTTTAGCCTAGGAAGCTAGCTTGCAAACAGCTTGCAGTGCTGTATACTTTTACGGCTCCCTCCCCACTACTTTTAAGCCTAATTTAAGCCTGATATAGCCTGAGAAATAGGCTTACACTTGGCTTACATAGCATACTGTCTGCGAAGCCCTTTCTTTATTGTTTTTGAACTTGATTTGGCCTGAAAACCAGCTTCAAAAATTATTAATAATTTTTACGCCTGAGCGTTCGGCTTACCTACCAAATTCATATGGAAACGTAGAATCGGTCGGCGCAGATTTGGTTTTGTCCTACTTGCCTTGTCGGCTGCGGTACTAATATCTGAATCGGATCGTGGTTGCATTTCGTATCGCTGCGGAGCGGGCCAGGCCAGGCTCAGCTCAGCCTTGTCTGACAGCAACACAACCCTGTCCATTTGCAAGCTTCCATGCCCTTTCATGAAGCGAAATCGAAGCCTTAGTAATCTCAGACACGCGGCCTATATAAGAAAAAGCCTTCGACTGATGAGCAGGAGGCTCAAAAGGCTGGCGGCCCGTTAAATGCAGAGGGTTCTCTCAGTCTGTACGCCCCCTGGGTCCAGCCTTGTGGCGTCAGGTATTTGCGCCCATTTGAATCCTCGTATTGTTCCCTGCTTATTATAGAGCTCTCAGACCTTACAGTGTGGGTGCAACTCCCTAAAGTACATCGCACGGCTGTGCAAAGTTTTGGTGTTTGCCTATTCGTGCCGCTGCCACCCTTCCTCCCACATACGAGTCCTGGTTACCATTTGAAACGGTGGACACTGCAATGTCTAGCGAGATCGTGAGTATTTCTAGAGGCTCCGAGTTGGGCACCAGGTCCATGCCGACACAAACACATGTGCAGGTACACCGGAGATCACAATACTCAGGGGATCTGAATACACTGATGAGCTTTGGAGCAGCCTCTTCTTCAGGGAACAGGTGTGTAACAGGATGTTGTCCTGAAGATCGTGAGTCATTTCCATACAAAGAGTGTTCATTAAGAATGTCACAGTAGAGAGCGAAATCGTCAAAGATATTTTGGGATGTACAAGAGACTACGATTGGGGGCTAACTACTTTAAGCTTAGTCCATGCTCCCGTCCTTGAGCGTCGGGTACCTACAGTGCAATAATCGATCCAGAGTCTGCCTAGGTCTGTATCGCAGCTCCTTGAAAAACAATGGACCATGTGTATTATCAGTGGCGCACTGAGCTTGGTCAAAGTGAACTGACAATCCTTTGGCAACGAACGAGTCGGATTCCTCATTTTATACTGGGCTTAGTCATTGCCATGTGTACAGCATGTGCCCTCGCATGCTGTGATCTCGAATCATGATGCTAACGAGCTCCGTATTATCAATCCCATTATCTCGCTCTAACATCTTGCTGTCTAGGCGCACTAAGCTCGACGATCATTATCGTCTTGGCCAACCCCTTCATCAGTCATCTCCCATTCGGTATCGAAAGGGAATTTGTTCCGGATAGAAGTATTCTCAGCCTTAAGCCTGAACCGTGGCCACTGAGAGTCCCAGTTGGGTACAATCTTGAACTTTGCTCTCGAGCTATCGGGAGCGGTATTCGCTTGGCATTCGTAGTAGTTTGCGCCCACGCCACTCGTTTGCATGTAGTACGCGTTGAGGTAATTTTTCTTGTTGTCACTAGTGTTAAGTCGGTTTACTAGCTCGAAAGTACCGGGTCGTTCCCAAGCATGATCCAATTTCCACTCGCTTCTGGGCTCGGGATTCATTTCTTCTGCTGTTAGTTCGGTTCCAACTCTCCCTGCCCAGCCTGTTGTCTTCCTCGCAAGCGCTTTGCGACCACCGGCCTGAGGCATACGATGTTAGATGAGATGATACGTACTCCACATCAAGACTTACAACATAATATCGGGTCCACTTTGACATAGGCGAAGTCATCTCCGTAGCGTAATCAGGTTTGAACTTCCTGATGACTGTGGGAAAGAGCGAGTATGCGTAGTCCCTCTGATCGGCCAAGTTCTTGAGCAAGGAGTCTGAGTACTTTTGTACTTCGTCGGAGGCTAGAAAGATGTTGGTCAGTCGATGCAAAGGGATCGGCGATAGTGGCATCATAGGGAGACTCCTACTTTCAGCTGTCGCAATGCGCAGCGCGAGACCTGCGAGCTGGATGTTGCCGTAGCCCTCGAGATACTGATCAAGCATCGCAAACATCCACGACACCGTCTGCCCCATGTCGTCTGAGCTGACTTTGTCTTGGATTTGTTTATTGTAAAGGTATATCAGACCAGGGTCATCAGATCCCGACACCTTCTTGGTCATACAGTCATTTATTGTACTGAGAGTAAAATAGATGCCGGTCCCTGGGGTTTTCAAATCCTTTATCATGGTCGTAAGATCGTCAGGCGAACTGATATTGTCAGTGGGATCCGAAAGCCTCTTTGTGGGGCTTGCTATACCCCGTAGCAGCCTTTGCAAGGGCATCTGCAAGGAGCTGAGTCCAGGTCCTGATCTTTACAGTCTGTGAGTCCATAGTGCTTTGAGTAATAGCTTTCTGGATAGTTCGACCCATGTTTTCGAACAGTTTGACCTGATTGGCAATAATCGCGTTTACCTTTGCTGGTCAGCTGGTTCTGCTCCATCCTTGGGGCTGACAGAAGGACGCACAGCTTCAGTGGCCTCGCCATATTTACGACCAAGCAGCTTGTCCTTAAGATCATTGAGCGCGGCACCCCCAACTGCTTTCAGAACGTCCATATACACCATCTTGGCGGTATCGATATCTGTTTCGCTCAAGACTTAGAGGAGAGAAAGCGCAAGAGAATCAAGCAGCGTCTGCGAAGAAGTAATAAAACCTCAAAGGGGCTGGTACATCGCTTTCTTATGTGATGTAGAAGTTCTAGACTTCCAGCCACGTAGCTGATAGTCAGCTCGGCTCCACCGTTCGATGGACCATGGCATCTGTAGATTGGAGGAAAGTGATGCACTAGCTGCAGGAGTTGAAAGATCCTACCTTAGGCTATGCGTTTCGTGCCGTAGATCCACACAAGCTGAATCGCCATTAAAGGCTAGCATATTCCATGAGCGGAAGGTCAAAGTCTTCAGATGCAAGCAAGGCATCGTTGACTTGACCATAAGCCTTCCTTAGGAAAAACTCAATCAGTCTTGATGGCGATAAAGCGTGAGATCATTCGATAAGACTCACTTCTACAGCGCACACCCAGGAAGACAGAGTTTCAATTCTGCTGGTTCTGATGCGCCACGACTCGACGCTACAAAGTGGCGAAAGGTCTAGATCTTGACACTTGCAGTCCAGCCCGTGCAAACCTTAGCGGCTCATTAGATGAATGAAGCTTAGCCATCGCTGTCGAACAGAGTAACGTGGGGCGTAGAACGGGCTGGTGTTGAGGTATGTTCGTTAGCAAGAAAACAAGAATCGAGAGTCTGGGATTGAAGGCCGGGTACCTAGTGTGGCTCACTCGATCAATGGGAGTAAGGTACCGTCGCATAGTGCTCCTCAGAGAAATGACACAGATGTCCTGACATAGATAAATCTGATCTTATAACCAGATTAGACCTGCTGAGGTTCTACGTCTGTAATCATAAACCGCACGCATGTGATAGTCATCGAACAGAGAGTAGCCAATCAGACTTGCGAATTTGGATGCCGTCCATGGAAGAGATGGTGAACGTACGTGAGTACAAAGAAGCCACGTAGTACGCCATTCACTTCACAGTAAAGGCGTCTCCTGACATCCCCAACGTCTTGAGGGCCATCGTGCGATTGCCTCCACATCAGTCTCCCAATTCAGTAATATTGAGATAAGGTAGAGGCTTGAATTCAGATTCAAGGCGCCCACAATGGAGTTCATCAATCTCTTAGTATTTAATCTCTCTTTTTCAGTATGACAGATTTTCAGCAATCGACTATCCACGGTAGAGTTTGCAAGGCTATCAGTGGTATACTCGCACATTCGGAATAGGTCATCAGAGCTTACCCTATCAGACTATTTCTAGTGGCCAGCGGACATCATGAAAGTCCGTATTCGTAGCCTCGATCTTTTAATATCGTTCCACCAGTTCTTTCGGGCCTCTGAAGCACATTGTTTAGGATTGAGGCGAACATGGGCCAAGACATCTGCGTCCGAGGCGCGATTGCAAGGGCTTCCAATGGAGATTCTACTGGCCATAGCGTCACGTCTTCCTCGACAAGACCTGTTACGCTTTTCGTTATGTTGTCGAAAGTGTAACCAAGCCGGATTGAGAAGACTTTACAACAGCGTTCTTTTCACAAATTTAAGTGCAGACAAATTATCCGACCCATCTCCTGACCGTGTGTCCATAAATCGACTAGATTTATTTAAGCAGACCATGGCAGAGAATGGCGCACTGCGTGCTCAGGTGAAGTACCTTTACTTTCGCTGGCAGAAGGATCAACATGCAAACGTTCTTGATTGCATAAGAACTTTCGAATCCGACGCGAATGTGCCAAGTTTACACTTGAAGCCGCCCAATAATCATTTTATACCTCAGACAATCGCCCCGATCACATGTCTATCTCTAAGATTTTCAGATCTGGCACTGGGTTCTCTGATGGGACCTGTCACATATGAGCAGATCCTAAGCCAGTGCTATACGCTGCTTTGCTGTCCTTATCTCTACCATTTTAGCCTCGATCTTCTTTCTGCGGCGGATATGTTTGTCGACAGTGAATCTCCTCTGACTAGCGTAAAACGAAAAGCACGTAGGTCTTCGGTTGGCGTGCTAATTCTGATATACTCCTCCATACCATACCAATATGTGGAGGAGATGTTGGGTTGGCCAAAGGCGTTGAGAAACTTAAGCATCTTTGCTTTCCCACGGGACGACGACTTATCATTACACCGAGCCGTCTATCAGCAACGGGCGAGTCTCCAGTCCTTGAACGTATACTTTGTAGCGGACCAATTTAATGGTCAGCTGTTCTCTTGTGTAAAACATATGTCATCCTTACTGATAATGCGGTACAGATATAGAACGTCCCGCACCTATCACCCTTAAAGCATTCCCAAAATTGAAGTATCTGACAAGAGCAGCTGCCCCTTTTCTATCGCCTGTACGGATAGCACAGTCGAACTCGGATGTCTCTGTATCAAGAGCAGTCCTCAGGAGAACCATGATCGACTTATTGCCACCTAATGTAGTGGAAGTACGACTTTCCACTCGCGAAATACTACGCCGAAGCGACGATGAGCATCCATACAAAGCCATCGTCCAAACACTTGGACCTATTCTCAGCTCTTTTGTATGCCTCAAGGCAACGCATTTTCCGGCTCTTTCGTCCGTCTGCTTGGGTTTAAGCGTCATAAAGCCGATGAAAATTTCGGGAGTGCGTAAGTGGCTTGAAATCAAGGAATGGCATCGTGCTCTAGAAAGGCTAAGCGATGACTTCCTAAGAGCAACGGGCGCAAAACTCACGTTTGAGCCCGAGTCAGCGTGGTAAGATTTTTGTCCCAGGCCCCAGCATGAATCAGACTTGCAAAGTATTCTGCTGACTTGCAGTGAAGGTCCGAATGAGGGCTCAACCTCTAAAGCGAGTTTTAGTTCCGGGTCAGGTTGATATCATTATGTATGATAGAAGACGAGCGACGGCAATTCTTTGTGACCAGTTCAAGTCGTCATCAATTGATACGACGTCAATTCAGTATAACAATGTTGGCAGACAATCACACGTTCGGGTGCATGATTTCGACGTCTAAAGAGAAGTTTCGTTTGAAGCAACATCGGTTTGGATAGCAGCTGCATGATGCTGACGCCTCCCCCCGGGGCACGAATGCAAATATGCAGCAACGAATTCGGCTGGAGCCCCCCTCTTCGCCAGCCTGAGTGGTGAATATGTTGACTCGGGAAGGTTGAAAAAGGTGTTGGAGGAGGATGAGTACGGTGGAGCAGGAAGACGCACTATTCAAAAAGGGGATGCAGCCTTCTGATACTACGTCGCTCTGGTCTGCCATAGCCAGAAGGAAAATATATCGAGACGCCTTCTTTGCTGCTTGCAGCAAAGTTTGCACTATTCGCATGCTTGACCAATGGGTAGAGAGTCTTTCAGAGACAACTCAAAGCCACACTAGTCCTGCCCATTGTCATCTAATCATGTTACAGTACATACTTCAGGGAGCAGACCAACCTCCATCTTTCCCAGAGACTGCCATCGAAAGTCCCCAAAGCTCAGGTTTTAATTCCTTGCCCTCTCAGAATCATTTGCTATGTGGGCCATGCTCAGGTATCACTCCTGCTTTCTTCAGAACACCTAATGCCCAGATCAAATTGTACGATAGCAAGTCGGAATTAAGGGCTTCAGCCGCCAATGGATGCCCTCTTTGCGCCATCCTCCTTGGGCGTTTGGAATCATACTTTGGATGGTATGTCGAAGAAGAAAAGACTATCGAGTATGTGGATGATGCCGCTGGGGCAGTAAGTGTGATGTGGCGCCCTGAGCGTGGAATCAAGGTTGAGGAATCGGACTCTGCAGCCAACTCAGAGCAATTGACAAAGCCTCTTGCGGCTGATGAGTTGGGACTGTATGTGTTCAGTGGATCGGATCATTTCACAATGCCGTGGAAAGCACTCGTTGTGAGCGGTCTTCCGTATTGCGGTCAGTCAATTCTTAATTTACCTTTGACAACCTCGAGGATTGGTCGTTCTTGGGCCTCGTCTTTTCATTTTCCCAATATAAGATTATATACCTACTGAGATTAATGGCCAACAGGAGCCCAAAACGTTGTTGGCGGATCAGCTGGAGCGGAGGATACGGTGAAATTAGCAGCGAATTGGCTCAACTATTGCGTTGAAAACCATCCCAGATGCCCTGGTCCGCCTGGCGAAGCACTATCAGTGAAACTTGAACGGATAGGCCTAGACCTGGAATCAGACAAGTCTCCCTTTAATGCCGATTTTTTTCGCCTAGCAAAATCTAGTGAGCGTGCATTCGTACCTTCAAGACTTATCGACGTGAGTCCGCGTGAAGCGGACCAGTGCTTAAAGTTGTGCCTTTCCAGCGAAGTAAGTGATTCAGATACACGGTATATGACTCTAAGTCACTGTTGTGGCCAGAGTCCTGAAACAGTATTCAAAACGACATCACATAATATTCAAGAACGGCTACGAGAATTCGAATTCACCCAATTACCGCCCACATTCCGAGATGCAATAGTACTAACCACGAAGCTTGGTGTGCGTTACCTATGGATCGATTCGTTGTGTATCATTCAAGATTCTAAGGAAGACTGGAATCACGAAGCTTCGATGATGGGGGAGATTTACAGCAACTCATATTGTACATTAGCTGCGACATCATCTGTAGACAGTAACGGCGGGCTTCTTTGCTCTAGAGACCCAAAAACATCCTCATCATGTATTCTGGTGTATCCATCTGAGACAGGCACATCTGAGGGGATCATCATTCACCCGGCTTTACCTATCAGTACATTTGAAGAATCTGCCTTGAAGCAAGAGCCTTTGTTGAAAAGAGCCTGGACTCTGCAAGAACGCGATCTCTCACCTCGCACTCTACATTTTTTGAGCAATCAAATCTTGTGGGAGTGTCGAAATCAGAAGGCAATGGAATCTGATCCTCAAAAGGCCTTCTCAAAGTCGCTATTGGCTCCATTGAATGGCGCTTCTCACTTTGTTGACGCGGTGAATGGCGGGGCTTCTAATCACATGATCCACTGGTACGCGATGGTGAAGGATTATTCTGACCGGCGTCTGACCTTCAAGGAGGATAAACTGCCAGCAATAGCCGGTATGGCAAAGAAGATGCAAGAGCTCACTGGCGACGGCTATGTTGCTGGTCTCTGGAAAAGGGACATCCTCCGCGGCCTTTGTTGGCAGACTCAATCAAAGACTTATTATAATTCTCGGGAAGACGGCCACTATATCGCACCATCGTGGTCATGGGCTTCAGTTGACTGTGGGATCCAGTGGCCATATGAAGTTCTCGAGTATCAGCAAGTAAGTGAGCAAGAGAAGACAATGGTCCTAGACGTCGAGGTCGAGACAGCCACTCCAGATCCGACTGGCCGGATATCAAGTGGCAGGATCCAACTTGGAGGCTCTGCACGCGTAGTCCAAAAACACGACGATCCGAATGGATACATTGGTCATCCAGCCTACTACCGCGAGAGTATGCGAACCTACAGCATCATCGAGGATCCTGAATTCATGTGGAAGCCAATCGGCACGATGCTTATGGACCATAATTCCGCGATTGAAGATTACGAGCCTGTCATCTTATTGAAGATTCTACAAGAGAAGGCACGTGGCAACCAACAACAAGGAGACATCATTGCTCTAGTATTGATCATCAACCGAAAACCCGAGAAAAAGAATGAGGGTCAGCATGGGCAAAGTCCTACTGCCAAGGCAGAAGCAAAGGAGTCCCACGGCTTTCGAAAGCACGTGACAAATTCGTTGAAGACATTTGCAAGTACGGTCACCAAACGCAAGCCGCCTACAAATAAAACGGAAGACCTCATGGTCAAAAGAGTTGGGATAGCGCGAGTCACTGGCGAGAGCGGCAAATGGCTTTCAGGTCCCTTCATCAAAATGATCATTGAATGAGTCAAGCCATCCAAGCTCACGGACACGTGAATCAATGCCAGCACAACAAGATTTTGCCTTGCTATGGAGACACAATTTTTTTCATTGCTAGTCATTGCTAGATCAGGACACACTTCGAATTGCTAATTACCGCCACTCGATCTCGGCCTCGGCCAAAATTTGAGACCATTTCTGTGAGCAAGTATGATCGGAAACACCATCACTATGGCCCAAGGCACAGAAGAATCCATTTTGTCTAGGAATCGCAGGGACCGCTCAATTTGGTGGCTGTAAGATTGCTAAATTAGCAGTAATGCCTGGCGGCTGAGTCACAGCTATCAGCTTCCTTCACAGCAGCAGCAAATCGCAAAGAAGACTCACGAACAACTCCAACGTCGCACTACTCCTCCAATCCCCTTTCTGTTTCACCCAAGAATCTAGATGCCTCCCATAGAAATACGCCGCCTGCCCCGTCAAATTGCCCTGACCGAGATAGTTCGCGACCAAATAAATCGCCGAATTGACACCACCCTTCTTCTAGTCTCTCAGCTGGTCGACGACCATTGTGCTGAGCGTTTGCTGCGTGACGAAGCCTGCGAGTGCTTTGACGAGGTAGGCTTTGACAGCGGGCAGACTATCCAGTCTAACAGTGTCAGGGACGTTGTAATTGATTACGACGTCAGGCGTGAAGACTTGGTCCCGGAGCGTGAAGTCTTTGAAAAGGGAGAGTTTGTTGCTGAATTGAAGCTCGTCTATTGCCGAGGGGACGGGAGTGTAAGCGGAGGTGAGGGAGAGGGAGAGGGCGAGGGTCAATAGCAAGTGGAGGAAAAGCATCTTGTTCAGTGAGAAGCTGACAGCGTCGACGAGGTTCTCAAGTTGAAATGCGCATGGAATGTGAGTCATAGATAAGGGAGGTTCTCATCTCGCCTCCGGCCCCGCTATGTCGTTACAAGAGAGCCACAAATTCGTGTATGTAATCTAGATCTCGCTCCTTCTCCAGACTTGTGTGTGATAGCATGCAGATGGCTTGCATGAGTAGCGTCGTATATTTTCGCATCGTCAAGCTTGGCACACTTGGTGGATTCACTGCCAACCCTACCGAGCATGACTTTACCCTAAGTGTCCCTAGCTTCATGCGTCAAGGTGGCTATCTTGTCAACTAAGAGCACATGCTTTGAAGAAGTGTTTCTTGTGTTCCAGGCCGCAGGTCCAGAGCCCGGTGGAAAGACCTTAGTACTGATGATATTCTTGCTAATGTGCAGATTCCGTGTTAAGAACTGGGCTTGAAAACATTGACTGGCATCATGACTTCTGGAAAGCTGAGGCAGAAGAGTAGGAGAGGAGCAACCGAACTAATCGACTGAGGCGTACCGTAAACCGTACCCACGTTTAAGAAGGGCAGTCTTCCGACATCTTGAATGTTCGAATCAAGAATAGAATATAGATCCTGCCGTCAGAATCTCTGGTTGCGCGTGATATGGCGGGCTTCCCGTAGAGCCAGGCTTTTCATAATACGCTGACGTCTATGACTCCGCACAAACGCCCTGTGATTGAAGGAAGAACTTCTGAAGGTCAAATGCATACAAGAGTCTATGCTCAGAAGCCAAAAGGCGGTTTCACAGTCGAAAGATACTCGAGAGCAGCGACACAGCACATTCAACACGAAGACTTTAAACACGCCATACTAGCTCAGGCAAGAAAACTCAGTCAACCAACCTTGTCCACAGCTCTAGCGAAGATCTAAATAAGGCAATTGCTCCAGTCAAGGTGGCATATGTATCATTTTACCGTTCAGAGATTAATATGACTGATCGTAGCTCCTATATCGAGCAGGTAATGACCCTGAATTGCACACTCTCGTCACGTACATCATCAATTGCTGTGATCTTCTCGCATGTGTAACAACAATAGCATATTCATTAGACCACACTGTCTTAGCTTCATAGCAAAATCAAACAATACGAAGGCTATTGCCATGCGATTCAAGATACAAGGATGGGAGAATTCAAAGTCTCCAGATTTGATCATGCATACAAGGTTGGAGCTAAGCTACATCAAGCTAGCTCAATATCAGTATTTAATCCAATCCCCAAAGCACCACCTTCTTCAAGCCATCTCACTCCACTGGCAACCACAACAACAGCCATCAACAAACAATGCCACCCCGCCTCCCCCTCCCTCTCCTCCGCCTCACATCACCCTCCGCATCAGCTCCCTCTTCAATCCCCCCCTTCCTCCTTCCCTTTCTCCACAGACCCCATCTCCGTCCCCAACCCTCCAAAAGATCCTCCTCCATCCTCTCCTCCCTCCGCGACAACCCGGGTTCGTTCCGCGCCAGAAAACGCGTGGGCCGCGGCCCCTCCTCAGGAAAAGGCAAGACCAGCGGCCGGGGCCACAAGGGGCAAAAGCAGCATGGGAAAGTTCCCGTGGGGATGACGGGCGGGCAGACGCCGTTGCATGTTTTGCAGCCGCCGAAGGGGGTGGCTAATAAGAAGTGAGTCTCTTTAGTTATAACACATAGGGGTGTGGGTGTGGGTATGGAAGTTAGGGTGAGGGAAAAGAGTTGGGTGTTGGGTTCAGGCATGGGAGATGGCTAACGATATTACTACAACAGCTTCGCAGAAGATCTCACAACGCTGAACCTTTCGAAACTAGTTTCATGGATCGCGCAGCGACGTATCAATCCCGCATACCCCATCACCATCAAAGAGCTGAGGCAATCCCGGTGCGTGAGCAATGTGAAAGACGGGGTCAAACTCCTCGCTCGCGGGCTAGACCAATTGTCCACGCCGATCAATATCGTGGTGTCGAAAGCGAGTGCCTCGGCGATTAAAGCGATTGAAAGCGCGGGTGGGAGTGTTTTTACGAGGTATTATACCCCGTTTGCGATCAGGAAGATTTTGGAGGGGAAGATGGATCCGGTCAATAGCTTGATGAGTGCATTTCCGAGGAATGTTGCCGTGGCTGCGGGGAGGGTAGGGGGGGATGAGTTGGTGGACGAAGGACAGGAGGGGGATAAGGTGGGAGAGGAAGGGGTAGGGAGTGGGTTGAGGCAGTACTTGTATAGATTACCGGATCCGGCGAAGAGGAGGGATCTTGAGTATTACCGTGATCCGGCGCATAGGGGCTATTTGGCTCATATGGTCCCGGAGGGTCATGGTCCGAGTCTGTACTTTAGGACGCCTGGTGTAGGAGCGAACGTTAGGAAGAGGGTGGTACAAAACAAGCAGAAGAAGGTAGTGGGGAACACGATGTGGTAATTGCAAAGTAGTGCTGTAAATATGGTATAAATACGGAGTTGATCGATACACAAAATTGACACAACGATCCTGTGGAAGCTTGCTACACTAGCCCAAAAGACTATACACATATCGGTTTAAATCGTTGACGAAAGATTGAGCGCAATGATCGCAAGTATTAACATCCTCATTCAAGATGTCCGTGCTACTGTAGCTTCTCGACTACCCAATCGCGGATATGATTCTCTTCCTGTGACCGAGCCCTCAATCGCGTCTGTAGTACTCGCTTCCACCACCGCGCTGCTCATACTCTCGCTGTTAAGATCGATTAGCCACAGCTCTAGAACCCCCACTGGTTGTGAGTAGGGTTTTTCACCTTTTCCCTCAAAGCTTGCAAGCGCTTCTTCTTTGTCTGACTGTTGATCCATGTACCAATAATGAAAGCAATGAAGTTGAAGAAAGGCACCCAGGTGTGCTCGGGAAGGAACTTCTGCGCGAAGGCCAGAGCAATGGGTGATGTGATCCATGTGACCTTCATCACGGGCATGAAGCCAGCTCTCAGGGTCGCTCGAATTTGATGGAATGTGCGCGCCCCTGCGATCAAGGCCATGCATATGAGGTAGACAGAATTCTGGATAGGTGCGATCTGTGGTTTGGTTAGCATAACCAAGCGTAATGTGGATGGGGATAAGAGCCTACAATCAGATTGCTGACGACGATTTGCATAATCTTCGCCTTCAGGCTCGTCCGGCCTGAGAACATCTTTTGCAGTATCTTGATCAGGAAATGTCCCAATGGCGCGCTGACGAAAGCACCATAAACAGCCATCTTCGGAACCCTTGAGTTCACATAATGGCCATGCTTGCTTCGGTCTCTGGCGATGTATGAGGCAAGAGCCTCCTGTAAAGCAGCCAGAGAGCCAGATGTGAGCATCTTTGTGCGGAGAGGGTTCTTCTGGAGCTGGTCTAGATATGTCTGTAATGACTGAGATCAGTGCTTGGACAACTCTCTTGAGCAATTATATCCTTACGGCTAGATAGCCTTGAGTACTCTCTCCGCCTGTCAATCTTTCGCCAATCTCGTGCGCGACCTCATGTTTGTGACCACCCGGGATGGGAGCACCCTTCACAGTCTCCTTCTCAAACTTGACGGAAGACCCGCCGGGCATGGGACCATCCCTCACAGTCTCTTTCTCGAACTTGACGGAAGCCATGCGTGCCTATGTCTTGATAGTGAAGTGTATGTCGCGTTGTCTGGTGCAGGCTTAAGGTCGGAATGTCTTCTTGATCCTCCCAGTCGGTGTCTGGTGGTTTCGACAATGTTGAGTGTCCAAGTTGCTATTGCGCGGGCCGATTGACCGAGGTCCAAATGCCGCTTGGGGTGCGACAATAGAGGCGCAAAGCTCAGGTCAGACGCGTCTGTATGAAGGGCTCGCGAGAAGTATGCCGGTCATCGATAACTGCTGATGTTCAATTTGCTTTGCCTCACATTTGTTCAGTTAGGTCGATAAAGCTCCAATCGTGACAACGAGGGCGAAGACGAGGTGGAGTTGCTGTAATGAGGGCGGGTTTTTGCGCTAGACTCTTTGAGGCTTAGCTTCATTCGTTGCCATGGCATTCTTAGGTAAGCAGATTCGGGTCTACCCAGATATGGATAGCCCCGAGGGTTGTGGAAAAAACTCCTGTCCGATTCCCGCAGCGGCTTGGCGCAAAATATCGGACAGGAGTTTTTTCCACAACCCTCGCCCGTATGTTCCAGGTGGTAATGGGAACCCTACATCACTATGAATTCAGCCTGACAGAGTGGCTAGGTCAGTAATGTTATAGAATAGCATTGGCTTGAATGGGCTACATTGATGAAGCAACAAGACGTTGAATGAATCACAACTGTGCTTAATGTGCTCTGTTGTTGTGTGGTCGAGTGTTTGGTATTTACTCCCATTTTTATGACCCATTTTTGACTCTCTAAAGTTGATTGCTTCTTCGTCACAAATGCGGTACAAGCTGACTCCACTGCATTGTGTCGAAGGTAGCTCGCGGCAAAATTCTAAGACTGATTAAACTCTCCACCACCAAATACAGCCGCGAAAGCACATATGCGAGTCCACACAACGTCGCGAGTCCGCCTAAGCCGACCAAGCTAAACTTATCAGCGCGCAAGGCAGCGACGTTTTTCCAGTAGCCCTTGATGGCTGGGCTGCTGTGAGCAGATAAGTTGATAAGAATCCAAGTGAGGCCCGAAGTTGAAATACAGAGGCCACTGCAACGCCAAAGAAGGCGTTCCACCGGCGTAGGGAAGAAGTGGTTCCATGCGGCTAAGTGTACGCCACCGTAAGCCATGCTGGCAGACCAAACAACCATGCCCATGATAAAGCCCGACATGTTGCGCAGCAGATTCTCGCGGGCCCAGTTGCCAATGGAAGAGTCAACCAATTCTTCCGTCGTAGGCTTGAGATAAGTGGCAGTATGGCGAGTGAGGGATGCGCTGCTTCTGTCTGTTACTGAGGGGGATGTGGCGAGGACCCCGGAGACGAAGTGATGGTTTCAATTTCGCAGACTGTAACGCGGGAACGTATGGCTGGGTAAAGAGTCATAGCTTTGGCAGCTAAGGCCCATCGTTGTGCTTGGAGATCTTGCGAAGATTGAAGGCGGGATTCAATTGCTTGGGAAACATTGGACTCGGCATCAGGGTCTTTATCCGTTAAAAAAGAGGATGGACAGGGCGTGAATGTTCCGTATAGAGAGTTTGCTTGGAGAGACCGGCTGCTTGATTCGTCTGATACGTTATCAGCGCTCATTGTTGTGGCTCCTGGCATTGAGCTGTGGTCATTGATGGTAGGACGCGCCAAAGAAGGCGGATTAAAGGTCAGAATTGATATTTCAGGATCTTTCCAATACTTCTTCAAGATACCAGGTCGTGCACGTCGCCATCCACTGATTTGACTGCTCATGTACATGTATGCACCGATCGGGGCTGCCCACTCCCCTTTGATTTTTGTTGGCTCGTTGATCAGTTTTGGTTTGTTCCACCACAGCCAGTAAACGATGATTGCGCAGATAATATGGGCTAATGTATTAACTTCGAGCAGCGTGACCGGCAGCTTCGTAGATAACCTTCCCATAATTTGAGCGAACATCCACAATGCTTGAAGTAGGGAGAGCAGCTTTGACACATTGTCTGATTTATTCTTGTCCAATATTTCCCTTTCTGATATATTCGGTAGATAACCACACTTCATGAGGAGGACTACCCCTCGAGGGGTCAATGTCAGGCGCGTATGCTTTCGTGTGAAATGGTCTCTCTCCAAAATGTTGTCATTTTCAAGATCAAAAACAAAACCACCCATATTGGCGTAAAAAGAGTGAATAGATATCGTCGTATTTTCGACCTTCTTCTACGGAGTATCCGTCTGCTTTGCCCTTTCCGCAACTTATCACATCATCACCAATCACAGTCCTAAAGTGCAGAAGCTCGGCAACCAATTGGACTATCTCGGCATAGTCATCCTGATGTGGGGATCTACCATCCCAAGCGTGTATTATGGCTTTTATTGCCACCCGAAATTACAAAAGGCGTACTGGTCAAACGTGTCCGTTCTTGCTGTGTTATGCATCATCGCCACACTCCACCCGAAATTCAGGCATCCAACCATCCGCCCATATCGCGCTTTGATGTACGCTGCGCTTGGCCTCTCTGCCGTGGTTTTTATTGTCCACGGGATCTTGCTTTCTGGCTGGGACACCCTGAGACGACGAATGAGCGTCGATTGGATGGCTTTGATGGCTGGCTTCAATTTGGTAGGGGCAATCATATACGGGGCAAGGGTATGTTCTGAGTCTTGCTATCACTCACAAGGCCCCCGTCAACGTTATTTTGTTAATCTCGTGCGCAGATTCCAGAGAAATTGAAACCCGGAAAATTTGACATCTACGGCAGTAGTCATCAGGCATTGCATTTCGCAGTTGTATTTGCAGGGTTGGCTCATTTCTTTGGCTTGCTCAGAGCATTCGACTATCTGCATACCCACGGCTTAAGCTGCAACATTTGAATGTCGAATAGATTCTTCTAGTCCGATGTGTACCAATCTGATATTCAGAACGACTAGGGATCTTCTCCCAGTGGATTGAAATTGGTGCGACAACCATTCATAACGCTCATTTATCGTCGTACATGAGGGCCTCCTATAAATATAGTATGAGTGCTGCAGTATGCTCCGGTCTTAATCAAACTAAGCAAGACAGCACTAACTTGCAGTGTCTCCTTTACTACTTGCAGATAAGCGAGGGTACAGTTTTGATGTCTTACGGCGCCGAGAAGATGATCCCAAGTTTGGTATATCTGAGCTCATTCACATTGACACGCTATCTTTCATTACTTCACCTACTTGTACACGACCAAGAGGATCTCTCCTTACGGTTCTATGTCCTAGAAGACAGTATGATTCATTTCAACGCTTTGCAGAATAGTGAATAACGCGTATACAAGGCCAGTGTATTAGTCGCCCATCAAATCGGATTTCGCAAAGCGAGTTTTCATATGTCAATTGAATTTTCCATCAGGAGCTCAGGTTGTACTTTCACATTGCTCATCGCTCTGCAGCTATCGCCAGTTCACTACGAGGTTAGATCTCGTATCGCTGTCAAGTTCGACATTGGAAAATCCATGTCCAGACTGTCGATATTGCCTGGTGATATTGCAATGGACCTAATCATGTATTGATTCAAAGTCGACTCGAATTCGGACCCAGTCAGGTACATATACAGCATCGACATGCCCACATTGAGAGGATCTGTGCCCTGGTGTCAGCACTCACAGGTCGTCTTTTCAACAAGGGTAGACCTCACCCTGGACTATGACAAGTCCGCCTTGGTGCAAATATAAGCCACAATTCCTCCAAACTTTCAGTGCCCCTTCGAGAATGAAGTCCCAGGTTGTCACAGACGCGGCCAATGGTTTCCCTCTTTGTCCGCAAATGATAATAAGGCAATTCGACAACTTCCTATTTAAAACTTAGCCTTGGACTCCTCCTCTCCTGATCCAGTATACCATAACGCCATATCTTGGGCAGTTGTACCATTGCTGAGTCGTACTCATTCTTCGCATACTTGAACGGCGGATCCAAGAATTGTGGTTCTAGGAAGATCCGCTCGTCTCCATCAGGCTCTGGCATTTGGTCGATAGCACGCCCACAATCACTGTTTCTTAAAATACCAAACAATTGTTTATGGCATTTGTAGGCTAGGATAAAGTCATCGGTCTCGTTCGAACGAGCGGACTGCGCACCAATCATGGCGCTCCAGAGGCACAAACAGAACAGAAGCGCGAAAGCAGACATCAAGTATTGACGCTCTCATTTCACTCTTTTTCTCCTATTTCATGGTGGGTTTGCTGATGAATGTTGGTTCTTCGTGTTCTCCACGTTTACTAAAATCCCGCGTGCGCATCTCGATGCAAGACATCAACAACCAGCGCTAGGAGGATTTACTACAATGAGATCAATCCCGATAACGAAACATGCGAATCCCGCGTCTGTCTGTCCGCGCTTCTAGACCATATGCGAACATAAGTCAGACAGTTAATGCGTCTTGTGAGATCTGACACAAGGTGTGTGACGTATTGCCTCAAAGCCTTGTCCTCTTGCAATGGCTGGCAGCTCAGACTTAGCCTGCATTTGGAGCACCGACACCAGTCATGCCAACATGTTCCATGCTTCTCATCTTCATCTTCAGTCTTATATGCCATTGGGTGGTCGCTGAACTCAAGGCTACGTGCAATAGGGCCTCCTTCGGGACGCCTAAAGGGAGAGAATGTCACGCCCTTTTTGGACAAATCACAACGAGTCAGGACTTGAATACACGCTGGTTTGATAATGAGCAATTACGGGTTGAGGATAATGGAGATTGGCCGGGCTTGGATCACACAATCGCAGCCCCGACGGTTCAGCTACCGAAATTCTATGCATTAGGTATCTGCTCTTCCATGATTGTGAATGATTTCCTGTCAGATGCCTGCTTTGCTCAAAACGTTGTGGGTCGTGAGGGATGTGCCTGAAGCGATGACTCAACGAATACATAATGACAAAAATTGGAGCATAAATTCTCTGTTACATACTATCTACTTGATGGGCTTACGGAAGCTCATATCACCGCTCAGTAACGATAATAACATTGTGTTAGGCACCTGCAATTTCGCTCTATTCGGCTGGCGAGATCCCCAGGCTCAAGGCGGATATGGTGTAGAAAGTAGCAGCTGGCGGTCCATCATTGAAGCGGGAAACGCTCTAATGGATCAGTGCCTTGATAAAGGAGATAAGACCGGTGGTCAAATAAACATACTGTCGCGTAAGAGCCCAATTCGACACTGAAGGACACGAGCCTCAAGAGAATGACTTACTTGCAGTGGCTAATGTCGCTTTTCCATAGCTACCCAAAGAAACCCTACTCTCACGCTGTTCATGTGGCAATCTGTCGACGCGAAATTCGAAAAGAAGTTGAACGAGTACGAAAATGATCCCTTGAATGTTGCTCCGCAAATTGCAATGTTTGCAACTTCGCAGCAGTCGGGCAACGGGACTGGTATAAATCAAGCAGGAGGTAACAGCACATTTTCTGTGGAGTTGAATAATTCGACGACGAGCTCCCTTGGAGAGGACGCTACTGAATAATGTGCCTTGATCAATGATCATGCTGGCCTACGATAAGCCTTGGACTTTACCAAGACGAAGCGCGCGCCCTAGACACCCGAGTTCGCTGTCATCATAGCTGAAGACAGGGCCATGTGCATTTGCAGTCCATGCCCGTCTGCGATAAATCATGCTATGAAGGTACTGCAGGAACAAAAATTACTGCCGGAATACACATTTGGCCGAAGACATCTGGGAGAAAGGAAAAACATATCCGCGACATTTCGAAACTCTTGCGAAACATCGACACCATCCACGGAAGAAGGGCGCATAATGACGCGAGACAGGTAGGCTGTGTCCAACCTTCAGCAGATTAAGTGATTGTCATGAAAATACGAAAGAACGAATCAAGTCGAGCGTTTTGTTCAAGCTCTTGGTATTACCAAACGCTGCTGCAAGTGCTGCATTCTCCTTATAGACTCGATAGGTAGATTTGGCTGGTCATTGCTTCTCATGTCTTTCAAAGAAGATTCAACTTATGCGACGAGTTGCAGTGCCTGGGCACACCTTTGAGATGTATTATGCACTCCCTTCCATGCCCTTCTGCCTCTCATTCCCTCCGCTCCTGGTGCCTTGGAAGAAGGTCGCAAAATGGGCAATTTCAGGGGTTTTGTACCAAAGGATTCATTTGCAGGAGCCATTCGATGCTCCATCCTGGCTCTCGTCTTGAGCCAATCGATCTGCCTGGGCCAGAGCTTTATTGAAGACCCTATCATATACGGCGGAGAGGCCATTGCAAACGAAACCAGTCTCGTTAACGTGACAAGTAATGACTTAGAGTCCATATGGCCCGACTTCACTGAATGCAGCCCTATCTACGGCACAGACATCAGCTACGAAGGGTGTCAAAAAGCCTTAAAGAAGATCTACCCCGGCCTCGTTCCAAAATTAGTGGCAGTAGAAAAGTCCAAGGTGCCACTGTGGTTTGCCGATGATGATGATGGTCCGCCCAGATCTGGCTTTTCCACCCATATGAAGCAATGTAACTAACAATATCCCACCCAGGTAAACCAACATGCAACATAACCATCGACCTCGCCGGCTTCTCCGACGAAACCAAGAAGCGCTGGTGGAGCAACACGATACGCGACTTGGTGAAAAAGCCTCTCGAAAAGTGCGTAAAGACAGGAGGGTCGGGCGGCTTCGTGACTTACGGTCTCGCCGACTCTGGGAAGGGGATGTCGAAAGTGAAACTGTACCCAGCTGATCGGCCGACTTTCGTCTGTATGTACTTCCTTCGCTTCTCTTTTCTTCTCTTCTTCACTTTTCAGATTTCTTCTGTTTCTTACACCTTCCTGACCCGTACTTATACTCCTTGCGCCTGAAGACTCGCCCCTCTTCCTCACCATAACCATCTCCCTTCCGTCCCCTTCTTTCCCCAACCTCCGCCCCGGCGACACAGACCCCAAAGTCCCCACCTACCTCAACCGCGTGATCCTCAACAGCTGGAAATTCGACATGAACCTCCCCTCCACAAAAGACAAACAAGTCGTTCTCATGAACCAGCTCGATGCCAATGTCGAGGGTATGATGCCAGGCGGTAAGAAAACTTGGTGGGATAGTACGCACTTTGAGGCGTTTAGTCCCAGCGGCGTGGATTTCGTTTGTGAGGGCGGGTCAGCGGTGAAGGGGGAGGGGCAAGGGGTAGGTGGATTAAGGGCCAGAGATTGCGAGGAAGCTAGTTTTGGATTCCTTGGACGTGGAGATGTGGATGTGAAGCCTGGGGACGGGGTGCAGTATAAGTTCGGTAAGATCATGATCTTCCCTCGAGCCTTTTTTGGGGAGGGAGAAAGGCTGATACAGTGGCGTAGGCAATTGTGCGTTCAAGGTCGAATCGACTGCAAGTACGATCAAGGTGGCCTGGGGCATGTTGAGAGCTGGCGCGGATCTTCTGCTGAATAAGTGTCTGATGAGCGATGGCGCCCCTGGGACTGGTGGGCGGACCCAGTACACTGGGGTGGGACCGTCGCAAGGGGGAAATCCTTGGCCGGAGGGGTTGGTAATTAGTATGGTAAAGGTTGGGTTGGTTGGTACAGGGAACGAGACTGCGACAGGGAATCTGACGACGGTGAGTGCGGGGAATGCTACTGTTGTGGATGGAAGAAACTCGAGTGGGTATGTGGGGCCGGTGAGTGGGTTGGGTGAAGTCGCTACTTCGTGAAAGTCGAAGTGATTACTCGAGGCAGATTGAGATTATTTGACTCTCTCATCTTCGTGTGCGCTCGATGTGTTCTAGCGGGTCTTCCTCCAACTCTGGGAACTTTCCAGATGCACTATCACAGTGAAAGAATACTGGCGGTAAGTTCTTTCTCCAAAAAAAAAAGCACATCAAGCAGATTGATATTGGCCCATGTCTGGAAGCATCTTTGCGGCGATATTGGGGAAATCATGGCGTATGTTGGCATAGTCCTTTGCTGCTGCCTGATTTCCTAATCTCTGTTCACGTTCATCTATAGATCAAATCGTAGATCATCCATCACAATGAGCCAAGCGATATGTTCACCGTCCATAAGTCATTGCCAAGTCCTTCAGGCAAACAAGAACTTGCTCTACGCAAGGCCAGGTAGATCCTAAGAATTGCAAAGACCGTTGATTCAGATGATCACTTACAACCCAGAGTTCTTGGGCAGAATTTCTTCGATCTTGGGATGAGAGACCCGAACGACGAGCCTGATTGTCTTCACCTGGGTAGATTTAGTGTCCCTCGGAGGAATTATAGCATTGATGACAATCATTAAAACATGAGAGGCTGTCTCCCACGGTGTTGACGCGAAAAAGAGGTTCTCGTCAATTGTCTCCTCTGTAAACGCCCCATTTCTGCTGGCTCTCCTTAAACTTTGCTGACGCTCTTCGGACAAACTTAGGACTGAGAAAGCCCCATAAACTTAGCCTGCAGCTTACGGACACATGCCGATATTGATGAGACTTGTAGATGACTGGGGCAATGACGAAGAGCTCATATCTTAGGGAGACAAAGGCTTGCTTCCCAGTTTCTCTGGGGAGATTAATCAACTTGTCGAAAGTCTCAGGTGGTCTCAATCCCCCGGTCTCCGCATCTCCCTTGGTTGTGACAAGGCAGCCTCCCTAAAGACATGGGAGAAGATCATACGTAACTCGTCCATGTCCGTTGCATTAGTGCTGTAGATATGGACGAGGTGGCTTGGTTTTCGAAGACGAGCTATCTGGCGATATACCTGCGCATACTGATTGATAAGTTTGTCCTTGGTCTTCGATGAAGGGTCGCTTGACTCATCCTCTGCGAGCCTTTTGGCTAGGATGTCCGACTTGTTCAAGAAAACAAACAAAGGCAAGTTGTCAAAATACTGCCACTCCTCGTTCGAATCTCTAATTTTTATAATTGATTCGAATAGCCTTTCTGCATCATCAAGTTGAGGCTTTGAGGGAGAAGGAAATCTTAGCAAAACATCGTCGGAGCGTCTGCAAGCCGTGTAGAGGGGGAATCACTTACTAGTTCATTGTTCTCCATGAGGACTTTATCAAGACCACCGAGTGGTACCACGAAGATGAGACAGTCGATAGATGAGAAGGCATGCATCCATTTCTTGCGCTCAGCTGTATGACCGCTCACATCTCGGATGCGAAAGCGTATATTATCCCAACAGATGGCAACATCTGAGATTCCAGTAGTCCTGTTGTGGTCGTGCATAATATCTTGGTCGGTGGGAATGTATTCCTTTGAGAATATGCGGCGGATGTGTTGCAAATAGCTGAGGCTGCGTTACAGATGTGCCAATAATTGTCAGCAGTGAATGAGACTTACTATGAAAGGTTCTCATGCGCTGCATCATGCCAGCCCGTAGCGATTTTCTTGCTGACCACTGCGTCAGATATGAATGCCTCCATTGCGTGTAGATATCTTGGAAGACCAAGATCTTCCGGGTCTGTTGGTCGACTAAGCATTTATTCTAGATCAGCTATTCAAAGCTGCTCCCCGACTTACCCGATCTGAATACTGAATATGCCTCATGGATATCGAACTCGTACTCCTTACAGCAATCAGCTTCGTCTCCAGCGCCTCCATAGGACTCATACCTCCGTGTCCATATGAGAGTAGGCTGTACTGCTGTTTTGCATCCACCATATCAAGGCACAAAGTCCTTCAAATATGTTGGCACGAATGATAGAGACGTAATATTTTCGTTCGTACTTAGAGAAAGGTTGTTCGTTCAAGACCAGCATCTGATTGCGGATGGTCGATTTTCCAGCTGCTCCAGGACCTATCGCTGCAAATTTAGATCATAGATCGTTATAACCTCACGAACGCTTCCACTGACCTAGAAGTAAGATTGTGTATTCGGGATTCCGATGACTCGTTTGAAAATCGTTTTGTGAATTATGCAGCAGTGGAATTGTGTCGCGACGACTTGATTGCACTTGCCTAAAAGTCTGTTGATGAATCTCACGCAAATAAAGAGGCCGAAATATGTCCTTCATCCATGATCTTCCCGCATTTGTCTGAGGCAGAGAATTGGCATCAGTACTATAGTGTTGTGGATTCCAAAGTTCTTTCATAAAGATAGGGAGAGAAACAATAGATAGATCGGACACTTGGGATAAGCTAATACTAGATAGCATGGAGAGGCCTGCGTTGGATGCTATAGAGTGAGAGTCACTATTAGGCTTTCTGTTTGATCTGACATAGACGCGAGAAGCAAGGATTTGAGATAGTAGGCTCTGATCAAATAACGAAGACTGGTCTGGTTCTATTATGTTGGTGGACGTGGTTTCTCTATCTCCAGGCTCTCGTACGGTAAGGACTGATTGCTGATCACTGTTGTCACCATTGGCGACGAGAGTGGAGGCTGATGAAAGAGACGCTGTTTCTAAGGCTAGTTCGAGATTGGTAACACGCCGAGTGGTGTCGGTGCTATCATGCAGTATAGTATCAACAATAGCGTTCAAATTGTCGATATAACATTGGAGGTTGGTCACGGTTGTGCTTTGACTTGATTAGGCATACAAAGATGACATGGCGTAGACTCAGAATGCTGCCTACCTCGACAAGATCACCAACATCAGATTAAGAGCTTTGCTTGATTGACTTATGGATGATAGCAATGACAGTATTCTAGCCTCTTCTCGCGTCCAACGTGCTCGTCTATCTCTCGATATTGGTTGATCGAGCTTCAGAGCATCCAGTGTACGTTCGAGCTCTGAAAGTGCAACCACACATGAGGTGCTTACCACAATTACTGGGTCTAGTGAAATTGCATTCCGTCGAGAGGAGGCCGCAGCGCGTATATTTTGCAGAAATGGGGACAGTTGTTCTAGACAAAGCGTGAGTCCTTGGGTCTCCTTCAGAATTGCATGGACAATGGTGGGGGCGTTGTGATCCTTCCCTACAAACTTGTTGATTTGCGTTGTGATATGATCTGTTGCAGCTAGGGCGCCCATGATCGAGGAGAAAAGCGAAATCGTCTCCATTGCAAGTCTCTTGTGGCCTACAGCGGCAGCCTCTCACCGTGGTACAGACAGAATGCAAGCCTTCTTGAGAAGATGATTACTCGACAAGAAAAGTCGAGAGAAGCCAGAGATTACAAGAGATTGGCTCGCCTAGACCTTGATGCCTGACGCAACTTTTCAGCTCAGGCAGCTGCTGCGGGGCTTCGGCTCCTTGACTACCATTGTCACGTGATCTAATCGTGACTCTGAAGGGATCTAATCAATGACGCTGGGGAGCAACTTAGCTATTACCATGAGCGATGGACACAATGTACGAGCTACAATTTACGACTTCCAAGGCATCATATTGCCAAGACTACGGCGAACTGAAATCACAAATGTGCCGGTTTTCACGGGGATAATAACAGTCGTGAAGGATGAACGCATCGAAAACTTGTGGCTTCAAATCTCGAGTCTAGTAATGATTCCTGTGTTCCCTATGATGAAACTTTTAACTACAGAGTGGGTATTCGAGTACGAGACTTCCAAGGTGGTTCACAAACTTGACAAAGGATCTGAAGTAGAGGAATGTCATGGCGCCGCCTAGGAAATTCGTCGCTCATCACACTTTCCTGAACAATGGATTGACTCAAGGAAATTGAAATCCCCATGCTCCCGCTGCCATGTTACACTTGCTGACGTCCATTCTGAATACTGTTCAACCACACTAAGAGAAAAGAATTGGAGATTCGAAAAGCCTAAGAGAGTCTGTGATCTGCCGGCGACAAGTCAATTGAAACAAGCAAGCGATAGTGTTGCGTTGCCCTTCATACTGCACTGCAGCAAGGGCCATCGTCAATCAGAAGAATATTTAGATAAGCATCAATGGTGCTGATGTTGCCACTTTGCGATGGCTTGAAGTTGATAGCGTCCAGTATCCGTGCCAAGTAAAGGTTTATGGCTGGTAAGGCTGGTAGTTGCCTGAATGGCTGGGAGGTTGATAGCTTCCAGCCTGACCTTGGGGCTGATAACCGCCGCCACTCTGAGGTGGCCCATAGTTCGGTTGCATTTGGTCAGGACGGCCATAGCCCCCAGCACTCCCCGGCATTGGTCCATAAGGTTGCGGTGGTATATTTGGAAGGGCATGATTGGGATACCCACCATACCCGCGACCAGCTGGGCTGGGGCCGCCCATCGGAGATTGAGCAGGTGGATATCCAGACATAGGGCTGGCTGAGGCGGGACCACCTTGAGGTGTCATTGATTGGGGACCACCGTATTGTGGAAAGCCATAGCCAGGAGAAGAAGCGTAGCTCGGAGTCTGGGGCTGCTGCGGCGAGTATGCATCGAATTGTCCAGTAGGCGGCCGGTCTTTACCCCACTGCGACGTGTCAATAGTAATTCAAACCCGCGGAAAAATGGGGCAACATACACTGCATTTTAGTGGCCGGCCGTGAACTTGAGCGCCGTTGAGATGACAGATAGCCATTGCCGCGTTCTCGTGACTATCCATCTTGATGAAAGCGAATCCGCGATCCGATTGAAAGCGCGTCTCAACGACGTATCCGAAGCCTTGAAAGAGTGGCACAAGATCATTCTGAGCGGTGTAGGGAGTAAGGTTACCGACATAGCAGGTTGTCTGCCATTGAGGAGTTTGCTGAAGAACCATTTCGTAGCTTTGGGCTCCTTGAGAGGGAAATTGGTGATGTCCAAAAGGCGTGGTTGGTGTCATCCCCATCGATTGAATAGCTTGCTGCTGGGAGATCGAGGGCTGGCCCTTCTGATTTGCCCAATTGCAGCGAATGGCACGAGAACCGAGCCACTCGCCGTCCATAGTGCTCAAAGCTTTTTCAGCGTCAGAGCGATCACGGTACGCAACGAATCCATAGCCGCGTGAGCGACCGGTCTTCATATCCCACATGACCCGCGCCTCAGATATTGTGCCAAAAGCAGAAAAGGCTTGATGAAGTACTTCATCGTTTACTTCGTTACTTAGATCACCCACAAATATGTGAAAGTGGTTCGTAGTATCCTCCTTTGTATTGGTATTGGACTGGTAGGCCCAATTCACGCGGATTTCCTGCAGGTCGTCAGTAGTTGTTAGACCAGCAAATCTAGGGAGGCTAAATACCACATTGTGGACTCTGCGGCCATTCAATGTCTGCATAGCGCGTTCTGCTGCTGCTGGGTCGTCGTAATCAATGAAGCCGTAGTTATGTCCTTTTGTCTAAAGCCAAGATGAAAAAGATGTCAGCACGTGTTTAAAATTATTGAAATGAGCGATAGTTGCAGGACGATAAGCGAGATGAACCAAATCTTAAGCCTGACTCGCACGCGCACCCACGCGTCTATCGAGATCGAGCGCCGTCATCAAGTCGTGGTGGTGTTGCTAGAGGGGGGCTAGAGTGTTACGACGTACCGCTCCCACGTTTTTGTCAGGAATTATTTTCACATTTGCAACGTGCCCCGTAGTCTCAAAAATCTGGCGAAGTATATCCTCCGATACTCTTGGATCAAGGCCTCCAACATATAATGCACGTTTGTTTGGTTCAGGTGCTGCACGACGGACAACACCTCCAGCAGAGGACCCGGGCGTCATGAGCCCCGCAAAATCTCCCTCTGGTGATATGAGGGAATCTGGTAGACCACCATTGCTTTGAGGCGTCACAAGAGGTGGTAGAGGAGGAGGAGGCATATGCGACGGGTTGCTGTGGCCGTTTGCATTGGTAGGGTCATACTGGGGTTGTCCAGGAGCGCCAGCAAAGCTTGGCGGGGGCGGCAAGGACATCGTTGATGGTTCCATTTTGATCTCAGTCATGTTGAGTCTTTGTTTTGTTTGCTAAAGCGGTCAGGATAAGGAAGGGATAGAATCAAAGGTGTTGTCGTACAAGGCTCGCTTGCTTTCGGAGCAGGTTGACAACGACGTTCCGTAGAAAGGAAACACAAAGGATATGTGGCCACTGCAAGGCAATAGGACTGAGGATATTGAGGAAATAGCTCTTTGCTGAGAGCAGCCGAGCGCTGAGGAGCAGGTATGTGCGACAAAGATCTGATGAATTGACAGAGCGGACGACAGCGCTAAGCAACGAGCAAACCAATACAGGAGGACGAAGAACCCGACAAAGGAAAGACGTAAGGAAAATGAGATGCGAAAGACTTCAATTCCCAACGTCAAAGGTCCATGATATACCCCGAAGATAGAAGATGGGGTGAAAAGACCGCCAGAAAACCAGAAGCTCTAGAAGCCGGCGCGGATTAAGGGATCGGCCGGACCTAGCACCAGAGCTAGCCCAGAGTCCAGTGGGGGTCCTGTCCGGAATTATTTTTGTCAATTCTTTACTCTGCTCGGGCACATCAACTCGACTTGTGGAATACTACCACGGTCGCCTTGACGACAAGTATCTTCTGTCTGCCAAGATGGCGGAACCGCACTCTCTTAATCAATCGCTGAATGCAATGTTGAATATGGTGGTACGATGCCAATTGAACGAACCTCTTTGTCTTGCTGCTGACTCTTTTGAAGCTGATTCAGACTGGTAAAATCTTTCGAGATCCGGATATGAGAAACCCTTCCCACATCAACCTCGCTCGATCACGGCTCCTGGAGTTCGTGCCTGTTGCGAATCACAAGTTTCAGACGACTTTGGATGAGGTCGAGGTCGAGATTGTGAGGTCTACAGCTGAGATCATTCGCTTCTGCTAACAAATCGTCTCAGCTTCAAGCAAAGGCGGTACTGGAGCGAGATCTGTCTAAGATACGCAAGAGGCGCGCAGCGAGAGAACGAAAACCAAGTCAGCCAGGGATTGTTGGAGGAGGCGGGGAGCCACCGAGCGACGAGATAGCGACTGTACATGCTGAAGATGACAAAACAAAGGCACAAGAAGGACAAATCATGGAAGATCAAGATACAGTCATGGTGGATGCACTTACTACAGACATGCCGGCAAATGAAGGCGACCAAAAGCCTATAGACGATGCTACTACTTCGCAGCAGGTCGAAAGCGTGGGCAACATACCTCAAGACGCACAAGTGACTACCGGTGTAGCCATGCCTATGCCAGACGACACCAAACCCGCGGCTGCAGAGTCGCGAACCGCGCCTAACAACCAAGATCCATCATCAAACATTGAACAAGATCCATTCGATCAACTTGACGTGCCTATCGACCTAGGGAACACCGCCGACCTATTCGACCTAGACTCCATGTTCAACGACGCAGAGATAATCCCATCTGGGGGCGTTGAATCAGACCTAGACATCGACTTCTCCCTCGGCGGCAGCGCCGACCTCACGAATGCTCTAGGCGACAGTACTATGGGAGGTATCAATCTCAGCACCTCTGATAACAATGCGGGCACGAATGAAGACCTCAACAGTCTCCTGCCAGGCCTCGAAAATTTCGTCAATGCACCCGGCGAAAACAATACCGCCGTACCCAACACTTTGGGCAACAATAATACGAAAACGGCAGCCGCAGATCAGCAGCAAACAAGCACGGCAGCCGCTCCTGAAAATGATGGCGGACAGCCGGCGCCGGACGACTCATTCGTTGGGACGAATTTCGACGATTTGTTCAATCCTTCCGACTTTAATATGGGGAACGAAGGGAACGATAGTAACGAGTTCAATTTAGATCAAGACTTTGGGGAGATTGGGAATTTTGACGATGTTTGGTTAGATAATCCATGATAAGGCCGTGTACGATGAGCTTGTACATAGTCTCTACTTCAGTCTCGTTCTTCAATTGAGAATCTTTGAAATTTTGGGTGTTGTCTTACTTTCCGGTCGCGTTCTACTTATGTCTGCCTTGGTTGCCGTATCATCACAGCACGCTTTCGGCCTCTATTCCTAGTGCGTTGTTGAGAAGCTGAAGGCCGACCTCTTTGCAGGTGAAGTGTCTATCAAAGATCGTTGTCACAAATGCTTCACGCACATACACAATCACGATCTGGACTGATGGAGGTTCCTAGGCGGAGATCCATCTATCAGTATTTTGACAGACAAATCGTTTCGAAATGACCTTTTCACTCAATTGGTTCACATGTGGTCATATGGTCTGTCAACAAAGAGCAGTCGGGCTCCTTCAGATGCTTACTGCATGCTTTCATTGTCACGTACTCCGAAACGTCCTCGAACGCAGGGCCTCAGAGTGATCGTTCGTTAAGAGGTAGTGCACAGGCTAGTCGTCTGTATTCGACGAATCCGATATTAGGCGAAATGACATTCGTTGACCGTCCACCCCCTCATCGACCAATCCGTACGAAAGCTTTTGTCTGCCCGTTGCTCTGGCGAGCGGCTGTGCGCCAGTCGAATGACCCTTGCTAGAACATCGAGACTGCCATCCCGAGTAGTATTGACAATGGTTGAGAACGAAGTATTGTAGCTCACCCCATTATTCAGAAGGGCCCGTACACCAAGTAGAAGAGCCAGCAGGGTGAGGAACAAGCCAACACAGTAGGAGATCAAGAGGTTTCTAGCATCGTAGCTATAGACAAGATGATTTTGGGCAATTTTAGCAGGCCGTAGCATTTGTTCGTTCAGCACGGGCTCACCGAGCAGTCCAATCGAGAAATTGGAGGCCAGGTCTTCTATTGCGCGGTCGAGCGTCTTGTTGCGGCACGCACCCGTGTCGGTGGGTAGGATGTCTTTTGCGAGCCCCCATTCTTGGAGCCACCATGTATTCACCATTTCGTCACATGAGCCAAGAGTCGTGGAGATCATTTGACTGGTCGAAAGAAGCTGACCTGCGTCGGATGTGCTGACGTTGCCGAGTAGCATGTTCCAGAGACTGGCAAAGGCTACGGAGTAACCGACCCGAAGAGGCTCAGTGTCATTACTCTTGTCCATATATGTGTCAACGACTGGATTTAGGATTGTCTTGTTGTAGATTGTGATGTCCTGAGCCCCGTTGGAGATGTTTACTCCAATGTTGTAAGTCGCGTTCCATCCGATACAGACCAGACTTCTGTTGGACGTTTGAATCCATAGTTGAGGATACCTGAAATAGAGGGCGTCGGGAATGTAAGAAGCCGTATAGGGAGGCTCAGATATGATGTCGCACCATCCCTCCGGACAGTCGGAGGGTCTAGCTGAACAATTGCAGACTTTGTCGTACCACACTATGTCATCGTCAAAGCCAAGATCAGGGGGCACCACTACTTGGTTCGAGTAGCCAGTCGTCGAGACCATGTGATGCTCACGGACTCTCGGGTCGAAACCGCTGTACACGACCTGCAAACTTGGGCTTTCTACGTCCTCAACCTTGTCTTGACTTAGTAGCTCCAGGTAATTCTGGGAAAAGTTGACGTAGTTATTGAAGTATTTCTGCTGGGTGGCGTTGGCTTCGTCGCACTTGACTGCAGGTGCAGTAAAACTCACTTGATATGATATATTTACATTTGATGCAAGCGGTGTAGGAAGCCTTGGAATACTCATGTCGACCGAAGCAAGCTAAGCCACCCGGCCCATTTGGGCCGAGCCTTTGTAAGAGGTGTAAGACAAGCCGCCATCGCCTGTTAGAGAGTCGTTGTAAGGCTTCGTCAGGTTCAGGGCAGGCGTTTGTAAAGTCGTGTCACCCTCGTGAATATGATTAATGACAGATAAAGTACCTGGTGGAACGAGACTTGAGAACGGAAGGCACCTGAAATGCTACGCTCAGTAATGTATCGAAAAGCTGAAATGTGGACGATGGTGATTCTTGCCATACAACGATCGCGATCAGCAGTGCGAGGTAAGCATGCTGTAAGATTTCTGGGTTGAACAGGGCATAGAAGTTCGACATTGCACCGAAAAGATCATCGATCCCGTTGAGACTCATGGATTTCCTCTTGCAGATAGTCCATATGTACTGTGAGTATGCGACTGCGACAGCCGCACGAAAGCACGCGGCGACTAGAAAAGCAAATGCAGTGCCGATTCGAATACTCCATTGTTGCCTTGAGGTCGAGCCAGCCAATGAGCCATCTAGCGACTAGTAATAAAAATGATGACCCAGTGCGAATGCAATCCCGCACAAGACAAAGGCTGCCATTGACGCTGGCTGAACCCAATGAATGCTTCTACTACTATCGCCATTGACCTGCGAAGTAGCTTTTCCCTCATCGGATAAGGCTTCATCGTGCTCAGGCCTGATTTCCGAAGCTAGAGCTCTGGACCCTTCGTGGTCCAGCAAGCGTGTGTTCGAAGTCATCTGTCTGCTTTCACCATCCGAATCCTGAGGTTTGCCATCTGCTTCCCTTAACGCCGCCATCATTACGATAGCATGAGGCTATCAAGCGACCTTTTTGAGGGACTTTGTTCAAAAAATGGATTATTTGAGATTGCACCTGCAAGTTGAAATTCCGCCACCAGCTAGTCAGTCGCGGTTGTGATCCTTCGTGCTCCTTTGGGGAGATTGGCGCGTTACAGCCTCAGCTGCCAAGACGCCAAACAATAAACGGTCATATTGAATTGAGCGTGTCTAAGGAATCCAGAGAGAAATGGCTTGCAGGTATAAATGCATGAACGAGTGAAGGCATGTTGCGCTCCACTCGATATCAGACTCCTCACTGAGGGGTGAGATCGAGGTACTCAATCAGCTTTTGCAGTTGTCATATGATAGGGATGTACAAAGTGACATCCAACTCCTCGCAATGCAGCACGTTACCCTTTCGATAGTTGGGGTCAGTACAGCCTTTTACCCTAATTTGATCATCACATCCTTCACTCTGGTGCCTTGTGACACATTATCCTTCTCTTTGACAGGCAAGAACGTTATTAAATACATGCTGGAGACTACTTTACCAACACGATCATCGACTCGCTCGAGGCACCAGACTCTTCGGGTCATGCCACAACTGCTGTTATTTAGCGCGATAGGGAGAATCATCTTGTGAAATTTGATGTTGTTTCCTTTTGCACGTATCAAAATTGCTGGCTCTCCTGGGTCAATCTCAATAATCCAGCATTCCATGGGATCTGCAATTGCCATTGGAGAAGGTGAGTCGCTTGAGGGGAGTATATTTGGATATCGGAGGGTGGCATAACCGATTTCAGCGATGAATAGAAAGAGATATACGTATTTCAAGATGTGACCCCTGTCTTCTGAGGAGAGAAGTTGCCACTGAACTTCTTCCAAAAGGTTTGTTTCTTTCAAGAACCCCACCATTTCAGTCCCAAGAATCTCCGTGAATGATCGCTCATCCATGTCTGCCTGGATCTGAAGCGCTAAGGTTGGGACAGTGTCGATTTGCCTCACAATCCAATCCAATCCACATTCAAAAGAGCATGCAAGGATCTGGGCAAGAAAGTCGAAGCTCGTAGGCTGGCTAACCCTTTTTTCATCACACCACTGTCGAAAAGAGTAGCGCTTTGTTTGTAGACTAACGAACATCAAATGTAAAAACGCCTGGGCACGTTCAACAAGACCAGATTTTGGTTTACGAAGTTGCCGGGCAGTTAGCTCTAGGACACTGAGCCTGACCTCATCTGGTGAGACGGAGAGGACTCCGTCAGTTCTAGATACGCGACAAGTTTGGGCAAGCAAACTGAGCTCCACATTAAATCTGGATAATCCTGAATGTGTGACAGATGTCTGAATACCAGATGTGTTTTGACTGCTGCCTATCAACTTGAAGAGAGCTCTCGCGTCTCCACCTACAAGAGTGATCAAGTCTAAAATGAAACGACAATAACTCCGTGTCTTGATGTGTCCACGGTAGTAAAGTGATACACCAGAAAGACTCAAAGCAATAGATATTTTGTCGACGTCGATTGTACTATCAAGGCTCTCAAGCTCTGAGAAAGTGTTTAGCAAAGAGTCGGAACATACCATCTTTCTACTGCAAGAACTGATACTCTACTTAAAACAATCAGATTCATGATATATCCTTGGAGATCACTCTCGAAACTATTTGGAGTTTGCTTACTTCTTCGAATGGGGAATTGAAACCAGTTTCAAATTGACCCAGCACTTTGACTAAAGTCGCAATTACAACGATTGCTTCCCTCAACCACTGACTGCCCCGACGAAAGATACAGCGTTCACTTGGAATAAAAAATGTGCACTCCTCATGGCACTGATATTCATGGAAGCACCACACCCTGTTGAACCATCGAGCGGAGGCTATAATACCGACCGTCGATACGGTTCTCTGCATGGTCATTTGGCTGGCTTCGAGTGACTCGAATACGGCACCGAGTTTTCTAACGCGTGTTTCTATAAGGTCATCTAGCACTATCATCTCATCGAAGGAGAGTGAGACATCTTCAAGCGGGACGAGAACTTCTCGTGCGCTTTTATAGACCAAGTCCATGACACCAATGACGGCTCTCTTTTCAGCTTCATCGTTTTGATCAATGCAGATTTGATCGATCCAGATACCCTCATCTTCTTGCACTAAGGAGTTGATAATTTCCCATATTTCCGGCGAAATTGGTAGCCCTTTCTCTGGATGCTTTAAGTGACTGGCTAGTGTCCAGCTGCCATCACGCCAGCAATAACTCAGAGCAACAAACGACGGGCAGTCAAACCCTCCAGATTCGAGCTTCTGAATCGTGTCAGCACGGCAGAGAAGTCGCAGTGGTGCATCTTCAATGGCTTCATGCTTCAGACCAAATTCCTCAGCGGTCTTGTCGTAGTACCGTCTAAATCGTTGAGCCTTGTCAAGCGATTCGCTGCGACTGTGTACGTCTCCTTCAATGGCTTTTTGAAGCAGCTGTAGCTTTTGATTGTGAGTCATCTCATATACTTGCCAGGTTGATGAGGATGTCTCCGCACTCTCCTGGCTGTCAAAGTCCAAAGGCTGTAGTGCATTCACGGGCGATGGTGGATCCTTGGTACTTCGCCTGTCATTGCTGTCAAAGCCTAGAGGCTGCACTTCCATCGGTGGCGATGAGGACTTCTCAGTACTTCGACGTTCGTTGGAGCGGATATGTTGTATGAGCTTCCGTGGCCATTTGTAATGCATTTCCAAAGACTATCATTCACTTTGTGTGGAGGCGAAAATTATGTGTAACCCTCATCAATTGAAGAATTGGCGCTCTGATCAGCGCGCTCGACAGTTCGCGCGTCTATCAACGCAGACCAAATCGTGGACAAGCTGCCAGAATGAATGGAGCTCAAAATTATAGTGCAGTGCCCTGTCATCCCCAACATCGATGATGATTGACCGTAGGTTGTTCTTTGCGTATTCAGCTGCCAAGACATCAGACTTTGGACTACGCGTTCATGATGGAAGCTACGCGTGAAGTGAGAACACGGGACGGACTAGGTCGCCCGGAGCAGGCCGGCATCCGGATATATTTGTCACTCTTCTTAGGACATCTCCACATCTCCATTCAGCATGATGAATTGATTTGATAGTCCTCTTGCGACCACTAAGTCGTCTGAACTTCTTTCTCTGTCCAGGGAAATTTATAAGATCCGCGTCATCAAGCCCTTGCGGATGACGAAGAGGATGGCGACCACCTGTGGCGTACGTTGCATTGAGATCGCTTTCATGCACTCCACATTTTCGCTCCATCTCCACATGTAAGTCCAAAAAGAAGCGTAAGAACTCAATTTCAGACAAAGTTCGAGAAAGACTTTGAGACTTATCCATTTTTCGTCGTTCCTGCGTCTGTATGATCATTCCGTTTCACTCCGCAGATTCGTAAGCGCTATGCAGAGACTAAGTTATTTGCATATGTGAAAGTCAAGATGTCTATTTCTTCTGGTAAAACATCTGTCTCCGAGGAGACGCTCCTCCCATTACCGCCACGTGAGATAATTACTAGGCCTCGGAGAGCCTCCAAAGCTTGTCAGGCAGCTATCCGCATGATTCCTTACAAAGCTCTGACTATGCTGAGATCTGGCGGCTCGCTTCGGACGCTGAGCCACTGCTACTGTAGGATCAACATCGATGCTCATGTGAACAGAGGTCATTCATGGTCTACGGTCATTGCCGAACATATGACGGGCGTCATGCAAGTCCTCCTATTTGAACATGTATATATAGAGCCAATGCACACCCATATGCAGCATCATCAACGAAATTGAATCACCAGCAAGAACAGCAATAGCCTAAAGAGCCACTCAAGCATCATCCACACAGTCCACAAGATATTCCTAAACACAACAAGCACCAACCAACCCATCCCACTTTCACCAAAGCACTCGACACAATGCAACTCACCACCCTTGTCCTCGCCACCGCCTCCCTCACCTCAACCATCTCAGCCCTCGGCATCAACTGCCAAGGTTCCTCCTCCTGCAGTTTCGGCTCCGGCGACGTCTCCCGCAAACTCGTCGGCTACATCACCGCCTCCAAAGACGTAAACAGGTGGTACAACAACAAGCAGCAAATCGCCTGTGTGCGCGAACCCAACGGTGAATTCGAGGATGCTGCTATCTGTGCATTCCTACAGTACACGGGGGCGCTCCGTTGAAGAATATCCAAGGTCAGTGAAAATTTGTGTAACGTATTCTGAGTTGTTTTCGGTGGCGGGGGGCTGACGATTTGTGAAATAGGGCTGGCTCATCAGATTCCTGATCATGGCTGTAGTAAGTGCGGTAGTGTACCGTACTTCTACCCCTCCAGCAACGATGTCACGCAGGGGGAGCTGACCTTCAACTATGTGGAGTTCGGTTGCGGAAAAAGCGGGCTTTGTGATGTTGGTAAGAAGGCTAAGAGAGGGTTCGCAGGCAGGAGAGCCACTGAAGATGTTGTGGAAGCCGTCGAGACCGAGGTTGACGGGCAAGTGGAGATGGACGTAGAGGAGTGGGCGACCCTTTGAAAGGCACCTAAAGGGCTCTAGAGGCGAAAATGGAAATCTGAAGAGTGATGAAGTGCGATAGTCTGTGGGGGTAAGAATGTAACTGGCGGCTTTTTGTGAGATTTTGGCGTTTGGGAGGACTTCACTCATTCGGTATTTCAAAAATAGGGTGGGAACTCGACGAATGATAGCAGGTATTCGTCACGTTAGATCATCCAATGATAGCGAAATGAGGATTTATGCAAAGCTCGCTCGATTTCTTTTTGGAAAGGCTTCGCCACCACACTCAGCATTTAGCACATGTTGAATGAATTGTATCCCCTGTAAAAGTCCTCGAAGTCTGAATAAAATTCAATTCTTCCTAAATAGTAGCTCAATCTAACAATGCTCGAAACACACCTCCAACGCAGTGAAAAATATACACGCCTTACCTCCTTAGTATGATGATGGCAACGACAGTCGCACTTCATATTCTTCCGTGAGAGAGCAGTTCACTACTGGCGAAGACAAAGCTGTAGATCAATAAACAAAAAACCCGAAAACATGGCGCCTCAGGTAGTGGCGAAACGCCTTTCAAAGATTTGTTAGAGCGCGCATATTGAATGACAATCCAAAAGAAGGAATTTGCTTGTTGTTGCGCTCCTTGCCTGACATTATTGCTGGTATTCTTCTTCTAATAAGGCTGTGTAGCTGTCTTGAAATGGCCGTTGACTCTGAGTCCTGGATTTCGGCTGCATGAAAGACACTTCTTCAGCGAAGAGTTGTGAGATTGGCAGCCTGCAATCCTTGCAGGCCAAGTGGGTGTCGAGTACCAGTTGCGGATGAAGTATTTGTAACCTTTCGAGAAATCATGAAGCTCTAGAGGTGCTACTGCAGTCAACTTTGGCATACCGTGGGCATGTCACGCGCGAGGGCCAGGGGTAAAGTTCCCCTTTCAACTAGTTCAGAGAAAGGGTTCTCTGTAGAAATGACAATCATGATTATGACGATGAAGTGACCCAGGCATCACTGATCCAGAGCGCCGACCATATTCCTTTTCCCCTTCGTAGCCTTTAAACCAAAACCCGGATCCCTCGCTCAAGTAAACTTATCCAGATACTTCGCTTCAGCATGACCCGCCAATTCACCCTTATACCCTATCATGAAATCCATACTTGCATTCCCCAATAAGATAATTACATTGAATGTCGCTTTGCGATGCTTCTCGCCGTCTTTGCCCTTGAAGGACTTTTCTCGCCATAGCTTGTGATTTTCTGCGTGATAGTCTATTGAGCAGAGGGGTCGTACGGCTATATTGGTGAGACAGTCATTAGCCACTGTCTGGCTGCTTCTTTCGAGGTTTAGTGGGGGAAAGACGAGGAAGGGGCAGGCAGTGAAGGACGGGCGAGGGACAAAGGTGGTGGACCGAAGGTGTAAATTTCTCAACAAAGGTCAGATTTGTACCTACCTGGTGTTAGCCTTGAAGGAGGGCCAGGCTGCTCGCAATGCCAAAGATTGGTCGAGAACTTCATTTCCCCCGTATCCCTCCATCCTACCTCTATAACACGAGTATGTGACGTCGTCACGATTCTGCCTTCTTCGACTTCTTCGCCCTGATTTCACGATCAGTTTCCATCGTTTTCTTATCCCGCTTTGCCACCAAGTCACCAGGGTAGGGTATAAAATTTCAATGAGCCTTACCCGTCTTAGTAACCATTCCATCTGATCGGCCGCCATCAAGTCCCCTGTTTTGTGATCTCGAAACTGATCTTGAATGAGATGGGTGTTCGGGTTGTATGGCACACTAACTCTCATGCCATAGCTATAACGTGAGATTCTAGATGTCACTGTTGGCGCAGGCTTTGAGACAAATGAATGTGGGGGCGAAAGAGGGCCGTCCGCGGCTGTGTCAGTGTCGGGATGTTCGAGGCCCCAAAGTGTGGCTCCACGGCATACGGAGGACCATCTGATAGTGTTAGCTTTGCTGAACGCAGGGAGCTACTATCTAGTAAAAGGATAGTGCAGGGAACGAACGCTCCGTTGACTCGCATAACTTTAACGTTGCTGGGCTCATGGCAAGCTTTGAGGCGATTGTAGATGTAAGGACTCTCACCAAACCCGCCTACAAGGAGGATAGCCTATACAGAATTAGAAACAGAGCCTCAGAGACTTAATCGCATAGATACGTTACCTTCACAGTCAGTCCTCGGTCCCTGACGTCCGCTATCTGATCCGAAACTAGCTTCTGGATTTGTTGCGATACGACGTCGAAACACGCAGCCAGTGCAGCACTGCATTGTGTATAAGCCAGAATGAAGCGAAGGAACCAACTGATCAGCGTACGGTTTGATGACGATCGTGTCATCGACGATGCCACTCCCGGGATCATCTTTCACTCCTATGAGCTCAACAGAGAAGTCCGGATCATTCTTGCCGCTGAAACATCGCTTGATACCGAATTCAAAATCTTTCATCATCCTTTTCCGGTTGCTTTCCTTGATGTCTTGGTATTGCGTTGCTCCGACCAAGGTCTCGATATGTTTGATGAACGCAACATCTAGGAATGCCGATCCGCAAAGCCCACCTCGTCGAAGGTAGTCTAAGCTTTTGATAACACAATTCGGGACGATTGTCAAGCTTACCAGATCCTATAGCACATTCTTTTATTTGAAGCGGATTCAATGCATCGACCTTGTAGCTGATGAGATCCTGACGACCTCAAGTTAGACAGTGGACCCAGGTCGGAGTTTTGGACCTACCACTGTGCCACCTCCAGCGTCGCAAACAACGAATGCATCGCCAACCTACTACCGATGTCAGCCTCTAACTCATGGCAGAATCTATCCTTACCCAGCATTTACAGACCTTAAGTTGGTTCTCGTCGGCTTTCTCCTTTAGTGTCGCTAATGCAGCGGCCTCTGGTTCCGTGACTAATTTGATGCGACCGGGTATGCCGGCACTTTTGGCGGCTCGCAATGTTTTGTCTTTGGCTGCAGCACTCCATATTGCAGGCACGGTGAGAATCACACGAAGATCAAAGGTGTCTTCGGGATGAAACTTCTTAATGTCATCAATTGTATAATCCCAAATGAGCTTGAGATAATCCGATACGACATCTTGAGCCGTCTTTTCGACCTTACGTAGAAGTGTATTGACTGGCGCGACAGTCGTTGCATATTTGTGATTTTCCTCCAGTAGGATCTTGACCCAGCGGAAAGATTCGTCATTCAATCCAACAACATAGCCCCAATTCTTAGGTACTCCATTCTGGTAGCTTATGGATGATGGCACTTTTTCTTTTGATGCATTTTGTGCCTGGGGGTCAGGCCATGTGTTGATTAAACGAATCGTTTTAGAGGCGCCATTGGCGGCCCATGAGACCCCTGAGTGCCTAGAAGCTGTCAGCGAGCAACAAGTGTTTTCGCGTGCATTGACCTACGTTGTGCCAAAGTCTATTCCCACTATGATTTCAAAGCTATGGATGCCCATGCCGCTGAATTCTCTGTGAAGCTGTTGGTTGACCTGCGGAGCTATGGAGCTGTAGGAAAATTTATGCAGGATATGACATCTCTGCCTCTTAGAAGAGCTCGAGGCACTAGCAGGGACTCCCACCTTCATCCTACGCCTCCAGCTCGTTCTAGGCCTCTCATTTTAGAAGTCCCTGGGGTGGGGTGTCAAGACCAGCCATAGTTTTTGAATAAAGCAGCGACAATCTTCGATCAGGCTGAAGCTGGATCACACCATCATTGCAGGGGGCCAAGCAAGCCTAGCGGATCACACCAATAACAGCTCTTGGCAAGAGCCTCAAAACATCCCCTTCTGGCAAAGATCCCTACTAGGGCCTTCAGTTCGGGTTTGATCCATTTGCAGCCTGCTCAAGGCCTGCATTGCTTGGAACTAACTATGCTGCATCCAGCATCTGGCGTTAGCCAGACTCAGCGGTGATCGGCATGGGTATTACGAGGCCTGCATAAAGTGAGGAACAAAGGTTGGCTTTCTACCTAACCACCCTCTTTGCGGTTGTTCAAGTAACAATTGAACTCAAAAACTTCGATCTTGTCTTCTCGTGCAACATGGCGAATACAAGTTCATACGGGCAAGTCCCACTCAACATGGTACTGGTGATGGGTGTGACTGGGTCAGGGAAGAGCTACTTCGTGAATAAATTAGCGAATGGCGACGTAGTTCAAGTCGGAGACGACTTGCATTCCTGTACGTAAAACAAAGTCCCAATCGCAATTGGCGAACGAATTTGACGGCTTCTTCATAAGGCACGGCGCAATGTGCTGCAATCCCTTTCAATATCGGCAGGACCAAAATCTTATGCATCGACACTCCGGGCTTCGACGACTCTATCAGGACAGATTCCCAGATACTTGAAGAGATCTCCCGTGTCCTCACTGCGCAGCACGAAGCTGGTGTTCCATTGAAAGGAGTGATATATCTGCATCGAATAACGGATATCAGATATGCTGGATCATCGATAAAAACACTTGAAATTTTCAAAAAGATATGTGGAGACTTAGCACTACAGAATGTCATATTAGTCTCAACGCGATGGAACGAGATTGATGAAGAGACAGGAGCTTTTAGGGAGCAACAATTGCGGAGTGACTTCTGGGCCTATATGTTGGGCCACGATGCGAGAATGGCACGTTTTGATGGGAGCAGAGACTCTGCAATTGGTATTGTAAGCCAATTAGTGAGTAGGCAGAGTATTGTGCTTGAGCTCCAGCGAGAGCTTGTTGATGAGAGGAAAACGCTGCAGGAGACCGTTGCTGGTGCCTACGTGAATGATGATTTGTCAGAAAAACGTGCTCAGCTTGAGAAAGAAGTTTGGGATCTTGAGAAGCTTCAACAGAGAACTGCACAGAATGATGATCGGGCAATGAGAAGACAAATCGAGCTGGACAGAGCGCGAGAACAAAGGCGCCTTCAAGTCGCCCGTGAAGATGAAGAGCGTTTGCGGAAGCAAATAGCCCTCGAGGTGCATACAGAAATCGAGGGTAAAAAGAAGAAGAAAGGCAAAGGCTTGTGGGCAGTCCTCCCTTTTTTACCAGCAGTCATGGGCATCATAGAGATGTTTGTTGGCATTCCGCCAGGATCGACTGCGTTGTTGACCTCCTGGTTCTCGGAAAGTGGAATCGGAGAATCCGTGTCTGACTTCTTTGCAAACTTTTAGGCTCTTTGCATTACGCAGGAGCCTTGAATCCAGAACATTTGACAATAAGTCTTGACCAATGGCATTCATTGGTGCTAGAAAGGTTCTAGACATAGTCCAGGAATGTAATGAGAGCCCGAGTAGGGTTCTCAAGTAGATGAAAGACTGTAGTAAATGATTGTAGGCTCGGGATACTACTGTCCAGCGTTTTCACTGCGGCGTAGTTCTCGTGAAGTTCACTGACTGCCCTCGGAAGCAGCCACGATAGGCGATGATTGGCTGATGTTGCTGCGCCCAGTTATTATGAGGGCGGTGATGGTCATTTCTTTGGTTGTCGCTGCTTTAAGGACAAACCACATTTGACTCCTCCAGAATTCATCACATTCTGCTTATGCCCTCGGTCTACTTCAAAACCCTTTTGAGTGACCAGCATTCTATCAGTCTAAGCAATGTGGTCTTTTAACCCCCAAGGAAACAAGATTGAGAAGTCGAGGAATCCTCTGACAACTCACAGAGCCGAAGCTGAGCGTGTACAGCGACCGGATAATGAGAGTCAGACAAGCAAGAGATCTGCAGCAGATTCGCAGCAGCAAGATTGCCACTCGAGTCGGCATGATCCAAACCTTCCCTCAATGCCGTACTCGAGTACCAACCGCTCGTCTGCTGCGATGTCAACAAGCAAAAATGAGCGCGTCAAGTATCGCCAAGGAGATATTGCCAGCTACGGAAGCGAGATCGCTGATGGTCGTTGCGATGTCTGTGGCGGTCCAACCGCCTACACTTGTCCCGCCAGGGCTTCAAGAGAGCGAGATGGTCACATAGGCAGAAGTAATGACGGTGAATTTTATTCTGATGCGTTTCGAGACTAGAGTTGATCAATTTAGATCGCCCTAAGAACCAAAAGGAAGCCTCAGGCACGAAGAATGTAAATTGTGGTTGAAGTTCTCCATTTAGCCAGAGCTCGAAGGCTGATGAATTATAAGCTGATCCAAAAAGGGTGGAAAAATTTCCAGGACGGGCTAAAGAATGATTTCAAAGAACCCAACGAGGCTGTCATCCGATCAGAAGAGCAGTATCAACAAATGCAGGATGACATAGACAGTCTAGAGGATCGAGCAGAACGCCAAATAATCAAAATTTCCGCTTTGACGTCTAAGCTTCACAACGAACAAAAGAACAGTCACAAGCTCAAAGAATCCAACAACAAAGTGCTGCTGGCGATGGAGAACAAGAACTTGTTCGTAGGACGTCAAGACAGCGATGAAACCGTGATCTCCCAGTTCGGCTGGCTCATCGGCCAGATCAAGACCTGGTCGGTTCCGTTTGCAGGCGAAGAGCGGACTCTCCCGCCTTCCGGATATCCTCCCATTCATGCAGAGAGTATTCGAAGAATAGCTCCAAATGTCAAAGACATAGGACGTTTCCTGCAAAGCCCCAAGTGTGCTCGATTGTTTGTGCGAGGATGGGTCAGCCTAGTCATGACCGAAACCTTGTTCCGAACGTTGCCTATCGACTCGAAGTCACAAATACCAAAAGAGGATATTTGGATGGAAAGCAGTTTAGCTGATGCTGTCCACACGATTGAGATGAATTTACTCCACGCTGGTAAGCAAGGCGGCAGGATTCAAGGACCCAGAGACTGACTACCTGTTCTAGATCGGCAGTCCGTGACCCTCCGTGACCTTCATGACTGGAGGGCTTTAACTACAAGCCTGGTGTCCAAACAGATTTCTAAAAACAAAACTAGCAATGATGTGGAGAACAAAGTCAATGAATGCCTAAAGCGCATCATGGATGTTGTGGGACCACTAGCACCCGAGGGCAAAATCGCGCAACTAGAGCACGATTTGCATGGTCTCCTCTTACAAGCAGTGAAGCTGTCACAGACTCTGCGTTGCCAGAGAGCGTCCTGGTCAGTCCGGCATGTGGTGTCTCTCGAGGCAGCATCGTTGGATGGGCCAGTGGTATTGGACGATTCCATTATGGAAGATGTGCCCAACGACAGGGACCATGAGAGTGATATCAGCCGTGTTCCATATAGAATCGTCGAGGTTGTTGTAACTCCTGCACTTTTCAAAAAGGGAAACACCGATGGCGAGCAATATGACGTGGAGAGCTGCGTCGGGCAGGCTGAGGTGAGGTCAAAGGCACCTGCAGTTGTGACCAATTCAGGTGATCGGAAACGGAGGAATCATAAATGATTAGCTTCCAATTGAGGAGCGTTCTCTGACGCTCTAGAAGGTAGACCACAGAGTTTGCGTTGCTCGGAAGGGTCATGATGTCATCCAGCAGAATGACGGGTCGGGCTCGCTCCTCGTCAACAGTTCAAGTAACAAGGTCCTAGAATCAATACTATTGTGGCCTGAAGGACACCCAACTCCAATTTTCCTCCCTTTCATTGAATCTCGTAGCAAGCATGTTTATGTGATGTGCGGTATATATTGTGTCCAGCCGGTCGTCTTATAAGCATCCTTGGGTAAGTAAAACACAGTCCTAAAGCTCTCATATACAAGATATCCTCGGGCAGCAATGTACAGCATGCTGAAGAGAATGATGGCTAGAATAACCGCTTTACTGACTATGAACAGGAAGACATCTAGAGTGATTGATGATGAGAAGCCAGGTTCTCCCCACTCCGTATTTTCCAGCATAGCAGAGAAATCGAGCAGTGATGTGTGCTTTGGGGCTGATGCACTGTTGCGCGAGAATCTGGAACGGCAGAACCGATATAGAAACATCGTCCAGTTGACAGCATGCTGAATCAGCAACAAGACCAAGCATAGAGCGGCTGGACTTGTTATCGCAATTGCTGAGACACGCCACAGCTTACACTCTCGATGGCTTGGAAAGTGGGCATTCCATGCCACTGTGTGCAGACCACCATAGCCAGCTGCCACGAGTGAGAAGCCTAAGTACGCCCATGCAGTGGGCTTGTGGTCTGGGCCCAACAGATCATTGGTTTCTGGAATGGGTTTTATGGTCACGAGATCAAGGTCCGTATCTGGCTTCTTTAAATGGTATTTGTCCAAAGCTTCCCTTGCCAGCTGCCAGCGATGTACGTCCCGGGGTGTAAGATGGAAGATGGCCGGCCTTCTATCCGTAAATGTATACGACTTTGCAAACTCGTCAGTCCCAGAATAGTGAGTTTCCGATATGGTCCACCGAGTGCTATTTTCCTTCGCGCGAAACCCTGTTCCTGGAAGCGATATGGTTGGCGTGACGTTGATACTCAAGAATGGTGGTCCGTTCAATTCCGGTATAATGTCGCTGGTAAGATTAGATTGTCTTCGTTTGATAGCAGCATCCGTGTCAGATTCTCTGTCGTCAATGATGGCCTCAAATTCAGGATCCTGTGCGACAGAAACTGTCGTGTCCGAGTTTTTTTCCTTTGGGGGTTTCGGTTGGCTGCTTGTCCTGCTTGCCATCCACATGTATGCCAGGAGTTGTCGCAAGCGAGGCTCTTGAATGACGAGTGGTCTCTGGATATCCAAAGGCTTTCTCCACCACTTCATTCGTATCAGTCATTTGACGTGGAAACGGGGGCGGACATGATTGGCATACAAAAATATACACAGCCACCGTACACAAAGCATGTGCAAAAGTGTTGAGCTCCAATAAGCTAAGGGGCAAGTTTTGGGCCCATCGGGCAATGCATGACAAACAAAACCAGGAGGCTTGGAAAATAGCCAAGGTCTTCGTTAAAGAATTGCCTTTACTTTTGTCTTTCACATCCTCCTCCGAAATGTCTGGTAGACATTTTGGTTCGTGTCTGAGAACAAGTGAAATTCCCTTCGATGTCAATGTCACGCATTGAGACGATGGGATGAAAGAGCCGCCATGGTCTACGGCGATCCCTCCCATGATGGCCCAGAAGCTGTGCATTGTTGTCCATGGGTAGCGTCTAGAGAGCTTTTGATCCTCGGGGTCGTGCTATCAACCAGTAAACATTTGAAGCTGCTATCTACGAGTGGAGACGGAGACAAAATACCGTCACATTCTTTGGCGATTTGAATACCTCTTCAACTTCTTTTGAGATCTTTTTGGCGATTTGGCGTTGATTCCACGCAGTCAGAATCAGATACTCTGGGGCGATCAGACCAGCAGTAATCCATCCTAATCGCCGAAGAAAGCTCGGTGCGCCGGTGCCTGCTGGAAGATTAAGGTGAACAGAGCTCCAGACGCACAGAAAAAGAGTGATGACACAGATTGACAGCAAATTAAAGGTGCCGCGTGTATCGGGCTCAGGCTCCCAGGTGACAATATCATTGGAGCCGTGCGCCTCTGAGAAGTTCATCATCTTCGGTATTGCAGAAGTAGCCCTGGCATGAGCAAGCAGTATTCAAATGGCCGTGCCGCAAAAGTGGTGATATGCAGAGTTGCGCGTACATCTCAGATTTAAAGGTACATACTTGAAGTCTACGAACAGTGTTTGGTGCATGAAGCAGATCTCATACGAGTCACGACAGACATTGCAAAGAAATCCCGACGCGCAGCGCTAGGGAGATGGATCTTGCCCTGAAGTAGAAGGTGGCTTGTCAAGGCATTCGCCCAGGCTGACTGCTCTCTTCTAAGCCCCAAAATCGTTTGTCGATACCTACATTATTTGTGATGTCGCCGAAAACTTCTTGGGCATGGGACAGATAGTCTCGAACAGTCGTTACGCGAGCAAACATGTCGGTACCCAAGGGCAAGAACCTTTCAGCTTCGTGACCAGCGCCCGCGCCTTCTCCAACTACAACGTCGTAGACAGCCTTCATTGCCTTATCCTTGTCTCCAAGCCACGGCATCTTGCCACTCGTGATGGATTGCATCGTTTGTTCCGCGACAGATCCTTGATAGTCCTCTGGTAGCGGATTCTTCGGCATACCCGCGGCACTGCCCATGTTTGTGTTGAAGGCGCCGAGGCCGACGGTAAGTGTTCGAATGTTGAATGGCGCTATTTCTTTGGCAAGGACCTTTGTCAGGCCTGTTGTTCGTACTATCAGCACAGAGGATTGACAACAGTCTGGAAGAGGAAAGTTTACCATCGAGTCCAGCTTTGGCTCCTGCATACCCGCCCATGCTATCTCTACCTTCGAGGGCCGCACCAGTGCTCATATTCACAATGATACCAAAGCGCCGCTTCCTCATGTACGGTAGCACGGCCTGAATCAGTCGAATTGGGCCAAAGTACATTGACTCCATTTGCGCACGGATTTCTTCTTCCGCAAAGGTCTCGACAGGCGAGTGAATTGAGTACCCTGCATTGTTCACTAGCACATCGACCTCTTGACCTGAGCTTTCCAAGTTCTTGATGACCTGTGTGCTGTTGAGATCATCGACATCTAAGCGGACCCATTTTCCTCCTTTGCCTTCGACTTCGGCCACCAAATCTGGCGTGCGTGATGGATTACGTGAAGTTGCGATGACGTTGTGTCCTGCTGCCTGGACAATGCGTGTTAGAGAGAGACCGAAACCTGACGAGCAACCGGTAATCAGCCACGTGAATTGCTTCTTGGGCTTTGTGAATGTCACAGCCATAGTAATTGTGCTGTAGGGGCGGCCTTTTTCGAGATTGAGTTGTCCGTCAATAACAAGAAGTAGCTATTTCTGTCGAGATCGGATAGTATTGTGATGTGATTATATATAGGCGACTCGTTTGTCTGACCTGCGGTTATCCATGGAGATAGTCACGGAGCTCGGAAGGAGGGAGCTAAATCCGAGATTCTGGTTTGTAATTGGCTGATATGTGTATTTATTACTCACGCTCAGGGCGTCGTTGGGGGGACCCTTAGTGCTAACCTGGTGTTCGCAAAATGCTTCAAGTAAGATATAATTCCATTAAGGCCTGGAACCATCAAAATTCAAGATTGTAGATAGACCACAAATTGTCAATGTTCGTCAACACCCTTGAAGAGTATATATGGCTCAAGGTCTTTGACATTCAGAACGTTATACAGAACATATCTCTCAAATGCATTCTGGATATGCAGCTTTGCTTCACAGCGTTGCTGTGTAGCTTGGCCAATAGCAAATTGCGCTATTTATTCGAAGAACTGCTCAATCGTCAGCAAAAACTCAGGCACGGCCTTTTATCGCAGTATCTCTCCCACGCGATGTCATATTTCCTTAACGGCATGATACGTCGAGTGCTTGCTTTAGTGAGCAGTGGTCGAAGAGTGCGAGGGAAGTCTTGAATGCACATGAACCTAATCACAAGCGAAGTCAAGGTGAGACCACCATGCAATTGCTGACAGATCACGCCACTGTACATTATCATCGGCACTTGCAGGTTTGAACTCAGGACAAGAGGCTCCTCGAACGCCACTCGAACGCCCCCGGTCATATCAAATACTTGCTCTTGTCCTTGAGGACGTTCCACGCTTGCTTATTCCTCATCATTTCGTTACTCAGCAATGAATTGCCCATACTCCACCTCCGTCATGAGGCCTAAGGCCTCTTCCCCCTCTGCCCCTTCCTGAAACGGTACGTTCAGCTCTTTACCTCCCTTCGCCGGATCAACCTCAATTCTGGCAATCCAACCGCCCTCTCCTTCAGGGTCTTTGTTGATCAAAGCCGGGCTTTCCTGCAATGCCTCATTGACGCCAACGACAAGGCCGCTTACAGGCGTCATGATATCGCTGGCGCTTTTGACTGACTCGACGGCACCGATAGCGTCACCTCGCGTCGCTTGTAGGTTTACTTCGGGCAACTCGACGTAGACGACGTCGCCGAGATTTTTGGCTGCGTATACGGAGATACCGACAGTACCTGAACAAAGTCATGGGCATTAGAGAGCTAGCGCACGAGTAGACGCAAGCCAGCTTGCCTAAACTGTAGGGCAATGGCAAGGGGTCGACGAAAGGGTTGTAGAGAAACTATACCTGTCTTGCCGTCTGAGGACATTTCGATCCATTCATGATCCTTGGTATATTTCTTCTCCCATGCTAAAAGCCTTCATCAATTCGAAGCATCTGCAAAGATTGCATGGAGAAGCGTACAAACTCTAGAGGTCACGAAAGTTCGAGCGGGGGATGAGCGGGGTTGGCATCTCTGTTGTCGCCATAGCGCGGGCAATTGCGCTTTGCAGGAGGTCTGAAACTTCGGAGATCTTGGTATTGAGCGTATAACTGATCTAGAAACCATAGCACTAGCCATTGTGGTGTACAGGAGGAGCAATTGAATGAGAGAAGTTGTCGAGGCCGGCGTACAAGAACGTTATGCTAAGTAAATATTTTGCCGAAGTATACCCGATAGGGCTGACGAATGTGCAAAATTGCAGATTGAAAGCCAAAGTCATAACATAGCAACCTCATCTTGCGATGTCCCCTAACAAGCCTCATTCACAGCAATGAGATTAGACCGTCGACGCCATGTTGTACGAGATCATTGTCGTGGTGCGTCTTCAGGTCCTGACAAAAGAGATTCAGCAGCTGACATCTCCCAGGTCCGTCCAGGAACGTCATCATTTGCTAAACAGTATATCCCTCCCTCTTCTCTCCTATGTCCCTACCTTGACAGAAGAATCAGGATAGCACGCACCGCTGGCTCCCTCATCCTGTCACAAGGAGGTGTGGTCCGTGGCATCACAAATTGGGGCACCTATCTCCTCACGAAGCCAGTCTGGAAGAATCAATCAAGATATGACAGCGGCCACCATTTCATCATGCGGTTCGACGCAAGCGCAAGCACAGCGCGAATAGCACAAAAGACTATTGCAATCGATCCAAGGTCAATACGATGTGGGCTTGTGAAGCTTGGGTCGACTCTACGGGAGGTCTGCGACGTTGAGGGAACAGTCACTTGGAAGAGAAGTGATAGCGGGAGCTTATTAACAGATTTGGTGACAAGTATGCGAACTCGATCTTGATAATACCACGGGTGTCAGGAGATGGATTGTACATACATGGTTGAACGGTTTGAGAGAACGCAATATGCAGATTGGCCCAACTACGTGATCAAGATGCGGGCTATATTCTACGAGCAGATCGCAGTCTTTCCTGAATCTACTAAGTGGAATAGCTTTCTTCGTAGGGCTTCAAGCTAGAATATCAATGCTGTCGTAGAAATGGTCTCTTTTCTCGCACATTTCCCGCGATTCTACACGATGTAGGAGTACCAAATGTCGTCGAATGTTGAGCTCAATGAGAAAGACAATAGCGAACGGTCGTTATCTTACGTTGGTATAGTGACCCTCATCCTAGGATGAAAGCGTCGTTGATTATTGCTTCCTAGCAGATACTGAGACCAGATGACCATCCGCCAATAGAACATATTCTCTGGCCGGCAATAGCTATCCCGTTCAGACCCTACGAAGAGCCTCAGATCCAGTCAAAAGTTGGTTAGCGTAAGACGTTTGATGGGCTCGACGATGATGCAGCCTTAAAACTAGAGTCTTGGCCCAACGCCCGATTCCTATGAGGTATTTTCAGGTTGTGACAGGCTAAATTTCAAACCTCTGACCCAGCCTGTAATCGAGCGGAAGAGTCTCGAAGGCTGGCCTTGATATGTGAGACGAAGTTTCCATCTAATCCATTAGCAGCTAGGTCTTTGTCTCCTGCTGCCAACGTCCCTGTCATGACTCGAATGCTCACTCCGGGGCTATCTTTTAGATGGACTAGCTACATGTGGGGTTGGCGACCTTCAACTGGCCTTCCAAGTCCTGCATGGGCCGCATGTCGGTGCCATGCCCGCGAGTCCGTCAAAGCCAAAGTCCGCCAAAGCCAGGGTCCGCCAAAGCCGGACCGCCGCTAAACAAGTCAATTGCTCCGGAATCTGGTTTCGCATGGCCTGCGGGCTGTTATCCTATGCACACTGAAAATTAAGGCAAATGTTTTGCTGGCCAGGCGAACATTCAGATCAAGCTAGGGTCATGGAGGACTCGGCAAGCACTATACTTAGTCGACGCGATCAACGGTCGGTCACAGCAGGTTCATTCGGTCTGACCAAGCGTCCGTCGGACTTTTGCCGTTGACATGGGTTTCAGCTCGCCAATCCATCACTGCAAAACTGTCTATTACACAAGAACCTTCGATTAGGCCATTGGTCTCCTGCAGGTCATGGTCCTTAGCTCGGCGACCAGAGAACGTACTAGGTCCTAAGATTTGAGTCTAACCATGCGACCTGTCTGCGACCACCGCTGGAACACCCGCTAGTAGTGCGCGAGGTTGCTTGCTCTGGATGACCGTCGAAGCTCTCCACATTTTGGCAGTCCTGCGACTCGGTCTTTGCTCTGACTGAATAGACATCGTCACATTGACTAGACTCAGACTGTTTCACTGTCCTACGTCGAGCGCTTGACCCAAGCTGGGGGTACGCCATTGCGAAACACGCAATCATGATTCAAGGTCTCGAGTGGACAGGACGTCGGGTTTTGCTAAGCGATAATTACACAAACAGACCTCTCAAGTCTGCTACAGCTTGCCGCACTAGGTATGCAATGCGCCCACGCACATGCAGCTCGTGGTGCCAACTCACACTTCTCCGGTGCCAATTGGGGAAGATTGACATTGCTAGGCCTGCGAAGCGCGTAGGATGACGAATACAAGGTACTATCTCAGCACCATCGTGCTTCTTTGCGGTCATCAGGCTTATGTGTTGTCCTAATGATAGCACGGATTGTGCTGACTTTCCAGCGATCAGGTATCGATATGGTGGCGTCTCTGATTTCCCTGTGTTACGCTTCACCAAATGAAGTGAGGGGTCATGGAAGTCCTCCAGCTTTGGATAACCCGACGTGTGGCTACCCCACACATCAATAGACTCATCCTGAGGTTACAAAGTTTGTCATATCCACTTCTTCGATCCAGCTCTTTTCTTCGTTTCGCAGCCAGAGGCGAACAGCATTGCTTATGAGAATGGACAGCAAAACGTATACCCGACTGTACGGCTCTGACCATCAAGCACAAGAGATACCATGCGCGTCAGTGGCTTCATACTTCCATTTGTGTGGCACTTACTAAGCAGTCCCTAGATTGAAACCTTACATCGACCCAGAGTTGCGGACGGAACCCTTTCTGGGCTTCAAACAGTATGCTTGTTTGACAGCATTCTTACACTGGGCAGCAAAATCATCTCGAAAGTCAGCAACTGCTCCCTTGAACGATGACTTCATATGCCCTATGTATCTATGTCGTGAGTCATTTAGGAGCCAAGAGGCTATATGGCAGCATATCCCTCGTTGTCCAAGGTCAGTCGTTTTTGCCATCGCTCCTACTCTACTTCCCGTATCAAGTCCGATGGTCAAAATATGCAACGAAGTTTATATTCCGGTAAATGATTTTCAGAATCCCTGCGACGAGTCAGAGAAATAGATACGTGCCTGATGGTCATCACTAAATGAGCGCTGACTAACTTGGCTTTCAGATTGGATGCTGGAGTTTATTGGTGTCCTGAATGTTCGAGAGCTGAATTGTTTATGTTACAAGAACTTAGAAACGTCGATCCGCCGAATGATGCAAAGCGAGGAGGTTCAAGATTAGAGCAGGCTATGGACTTCTTTAAGTGCTTTGGCCGCGGGAGAATGACCTCGAAGCAGCGTGCCACAGAATGTGCTACTTCAATTCTCAGAGCTACCGGAGTAATCCTCACACTGGGCGTACCCTTATTCTTCATCCGTAGACGACGTCGTCAAAGGTCCAAATATTGTTCACCAGACCCATGGAACGGAAGCTTGTTAGTTGCAAGCGATGAGCTCGCTACCTCTCTCTCACACCTAGAGAATATTCCTGCCGATGCTATGCGTAATAGTTTATGCAATCTTGGAAAGGGCAGCCTCCTTACAGTGAACAAGAATGAGAAAACTAGCAATGCTGTGTGTACAAGTTCCTCTAGCATCCCGAAGTCCGAGCTCCATCAGAGCATACGATACGAACTTCCTTCCCCTGATTCTAGAGCCCTCAAGTCAGGTGCGACATCAGAGCTACCTGAAGAGCTTTGTATGCGATCAGAATTGAGCACTCCAGAACCGAGCAGCGTCCGTTCAGAGCGATCAGAACTAAGCACACCAGAATCAAGTGGCGTTCGCGCAGAGCTCATTGGAGAAGAAGTTGCGCTCGAGAAGTACAGCTCATCTCCTTGCCATCCAAGCTATTTTACGTCGTCCACGCTCCCTAGCTGCTCGGTTCAGGGCTTAGAGAGCCCTGTTGAGCGACCTCACTCTCACCTTTTAGACTCTTCCGAACATACATCAAGTCTCACTGTTGAAAGCGCAAGGTCATCCCAGCATCACCCTCAAATCGAAGAGTGCTCTATGGTGAGTCCTTTATCGCCTGAGAGTCCGATGCAGTGTACATTCGAGAACAGTTTAGCTACAATCTCGAACATACAGGCTTCATTGCCTCCCAAGCGTTACTCTGGTGGCAAGTATTTCAAGCTTGGAGATGACGGTAATGACGGTATGGAGCTGCTCAGAGGATTTTCCAGTGAATCACCAACAACTTCAATCCGGCTTCCTACAATGTTAGAAAAGGCATCATTTCCTACGAGTGCACCGATCACTCATGAAGCTCCAATGCCTTTCTACATGCCAACGAAAGCGAAAGAGGCGTGCCAAAGCCAGATAGCACTGATCGATACTACATTTATCGGCACGCTAGCTGAAGCAAATCCTGCTATGCAAGTAAAGGACTCTAACTTTGCTAATGACAGTGAACATCTATCAGTCGAAAGCCAAGTTTGCGAACTACGTGACATAGTAGCTGTCGTTAATGCCGAATGGTTACAGAGGATGGCGCAGCAACCAAAGTTAGTCTCGCATGCCTCTCGGGCGCACAGATCTACTCTATTGGAAAGGGGGTTGAATGCGCTGCTTGCTTGCTTTAAACAGAGCTTATACGGATCTTTTGATGATATATTTGCGTTGATTCACGTTGCTTGTGCCATTGCCTACATACTTCATCAAGATGATGACTGGTATGATTGGGATGGCTTCTTCGAATCCATGATGTTGTGGGAGCAAGCCATATTGAGACAATCTGACAAATTTTATTTTCTGGAAGCCATGAACTTCCTGGCCGGCCGGGACTATCAGTCAGAATATTCCAAGGAGCGTCTTTACGACGATGCATCTAATTCAAGGCTTACTCGGCGTCAGGGTATTGTTTTTGAGGGCTTCATCTCTGCGACCGGACCTACACTAGCATCGGCCCAGGGCTTACCCCAGGAGTCATACCCAAGCTCTGACCCAGCACAGGTGCTCACAATTCTACAGGGTGGGAAGATGATAACAGAATGTGTTTCATACGTTCAGGGTTGGTGCGCCTTATCTCCAACAGAGTTGACTCTCTGACCCGGTGACTAGGTCTACAATACTCCTGCATCGTTGAGCGGAACTCGAATCTCTTACCGGGAGATCTCTCCCGGTGGACTAGAGAAAAGACTTATCTCATCGATGATATGCTCAAAAAGCTGATCAAGCCTCTCGAGGTAAAACAAGGGTTCGAAGCGCTTCGCGACATTATCTCCAGTTGCCGTACTCATGTACATGATGGCCTGCTTCGCAATCCTTACGAAGTTGCCATTTTTTTGACATATGACAGCAGAGTCCAGCAATTTCGGCGCTACTCAAAAGCTCATCAGTACTACGAAAGGTTTCATGATACAGTCTTCGAGCTGTGTAGATGCGCAATGTTGCCAGATTCGACATGGTCATATCAATACTACGCTACAACAATAGAGAGACTCCTCGCTACTGATTTAGAGAACGAGAAAAGTCAATTTCGTACGTGCACTACTTCAAGAACGGCCTTATGCTCTAGCTCCAGCATTCTTGAAACAATTCGACCAACGAATCCAGTGGCACATACCTCAGTTGAGCTACAAAGTGCCACAACTACGCCATCTCCTGCTACCAGTTGCTCTTCAAACGTGAATTCTGTATTCACCCATTGTGATTCCGCGAGTACTTCAGGCACCTCGAGGACCGAAACCTCCCGCACTGATCATGAAACCAGGCTTCAGTCGATCTCAGATGAAGGTATCGACAAATGTCCCCATTGCCCTGCGACATACACAGGATCTTTCGCCGACCGAAGATCTAACTTGCGCCGTCATCTCCGAACATCCAGGATGCATGGGACAAGCCAAGGGCTGAAATGTCCAGAAGCAGGATGCGGTCAAGATTTCAGCCGGACGGATAACCTTACGATTCACCTGATGAGAGCGCACGGCATTTTCAAATCCTACAGAACTCAGATTTCGCGTAAGCGAAATCGAGACCTTGATGGCTAGAGATTGAGCATGTGATGATGGAACTTTCCTTGGTGAATCTTCAAGTCGCAGGGGTTACACAGGGGCTATCACCATGCATGAGACGAAGGACTCGGAACCTACAATTTGCCTTGATAAGTTGTGTGGCCGCATGACCTGCCACTTTTGTGTGTGTGAGTGGGTCTCATGCATGTTCGGTCTTTCCGATAGGTCGTCCGATGTGATCACCAAGCTGCCATCGTGCATTAAACTTGCGTTAAATACGCGAACCTGCATGCATTCCTTGTCATGTGACTTTGTGTAGATCTATCACATCCACGAATCAACCTTGCTCATCCCTTCGCTTCAGCAACTCAATTATCGCATAATTCTGGACTAACACCTCGGATCCAATGGCGCGGGGAAGACTTTGCATTGAGCACGAAAGTGCATGATCTAGTCGAGCTGCGATGTGCTATGGCAAATGAAAGACTGGGTATGACTACACAGATTCATGGTTGGATTTTAAACCTATGCCCCCAGCTCCGACAAACCTCGAGCACCCCGAAGAAGCTAATGAAACGTCTCCAGCTTTTAATAGCCATGACAAGAAGGCAACAAATCAAGATGACCTCGTACCGCGCAGACGATGTAAGGCAATTGAAGGACTTTGCTCAGCCTGTTGCTCCCTCGAACCACCTTGCGGCCGAGATTTGGCTCAGAAAAACCTTCACGTCAGAGGCCAGGGGCTGCATAAGCACCATGAATCGGCTGCATTGACAGCGGTCCGGCAGTAGCTCGGCCAGACCACCTCGACCAAGCCCAAGGTCTAGAGAAGGCTTAGTCCTGAATCAATAGTCCGTCATCATTTTCGCCCTTAGCGTCTGAAGGTGACGATCAAGCACATCGGTGGCTCTACCTACTTGCTGCTGATTCGTATAGATCAAGGGGCTTCAGGCCTGACCTCAGGAAGGCTGGCTGTCTGTGGGTTTGTCACTTTGGAGACCCCAGCGTCGCAGAATAAAGACGTCTCCCACTCACCCCTTTCCGAAGGACTCTGGGCATGGCGTAGCGGCCACATTCTGCAAGAAAAATGAGTCAAAGATATGTCACCCTCTCTCAGTGGAGGACTGTGGCCTCGCGAGACTCTCGCCGTGATCCATAAAACCCCTTGAGCTCCCTGCCTGTACTTGAACTTCACGAACAAATATCGTAGAAATCTGTCAGATCTCGAACACATCAAACATCCTTGAACATCTCTACGCCAACCGCCTCGGATCATAGCAGATCAAATCTTACTTAGCAGAATTGCATCCATAAACAGCAATATAAACCCTCGCTGACCTCCATACCACCATGCCGTGCGTAATCTCTTCTATCTCTACTAAAATTCATATACCAAACTACCTCCTTCGAGACCTAACATGATCAATATAGAGCCCAGAACAACAACAGAGATGGTGAGAGATCAAACACTCGCCCAGCATCAGAAACATATATTCCAGAGAAGAAACAAATCGAAGTCTGGAAAACGAAGAAAGAGCCCCATGAACAAGTAGCGGTGGGCGAGAAGACGAAAAGATCGACGAAGAAGACACGCAGGGTCGTAGAAGCGACTGTGGAAAGGATTGAGGGGTCTGCTTCTGGACAGAGAGGCTAGGGGTGCGTGGGAGATTAATTAAGTCGGTCTAGGGGTCGCATGTAGTCCGCACTCTGCGCGGTACTCATGTCTCCCATCTGGTAGATAGTTTGTGGATGATCAGCTTGTAAGCAGGAGACTGCGTGTGACTGAGGAGCTTAGTCATCTAATGGGAGGCCCTCGATGGGAGTTCAACAAAAGATGACATAAGCTGCATATAGCATCGGATTGTGCTGTGGGATCGAAAGTCTTTCGTAGGGTTGATGTAGTGAAGATTGCATGGTCAATATGATAAGATGACACCTTTCTATCGCTCGCACCAGCTTGTCATTGAGAATTTAAACCTGTCGCCTGAAAGCGTCCATATGCCCCCTTTTTATTGACCCCTGACCAAATGATCGGCCTTCCTTAAAAGTAATCTCATTCCCATCTCATACAGATCTCTGTAATTGTGATACCGCTAGCGCTAGCGACATCTTCCTTACCTCCCTCTTGATCCCATGTAGATCTAGCCACCTTCATCACCTCTTAGACGTTCTTTATCAAAAGTTGCTTCATATGCAAAGACAGGCTAGGCAGCCTGACCCCATTCTCGCCTCCTCCTCGTTTGATCAATAGAGGTGCGTCTTCTTCTCCCGAAAAGCTGATGGTCCAGTGTCCGCCGCCGTTCGTCTTGATGATACCAATTACCTTCTTCAGCAATGTCGCAAGCTTTTGTAGTAGCGATTTGTTGGCTTGCTCCCATTTCGTGATTTTCGGCGCCAGATCGGTTTGTTGGAGGTTGTAGAACAGAGCCTTGGAGCACGGGGCTGCTTTGTATCCACAGAGCATGAAATGATGTGTTTGGCTGAGCCAGAAGTCCGGCATGCGGTCTTGCAAATCGAATTCTGAATAGTCACTGCGTGTGCTGAGCTCCAGTGTTGCAGCTTGGGGAATTTTTTGTCCTTGCTTGAGGATAGAGACACGGTTGAGCCAGGCATTCTTGGCTGAAGGCTGTCGTCTATCCAGGGATGCTGCTTTTAATATCCCAACAAGATCGTCGAGAGCGTCGTCTGGAGGCGTTGGCTTCGGGTTCAAGTATGCGTCAGCAGCATAGCGAACGAGCAGTTTCAGAGAGCCAAAGTTGTAGCGTAGTATCCGATGGTGCGATGTGCTTTCAGCTGCATATGTTGGCATTTTGAGATAGTTGCCTTCAAAGCTGCGGCGATAATCTTTTTTATTTTGTATAAGAGGATCACGCGTCCGCTCAATCCTCCGAATGAGGACGGTGTTTCCGATCAACTCTAAGCCGAGCTCAAAGGCGGTAGTGTGTCCATGTTCGGGGTGAACATATTCACCATTCAGGAATCGAAGGATTTGTCTAAGGGGGCGTCGGTCTGTGATAATGTCTACAGCATGAAAGTCGAAGTCCGCACGTGTGGCAGATATAGCGGCGACAGTTGCTTCATGAGGTGATCCTGGATTACGATCTGTGTTCTCATCGACGTAACGGGGACCTTTGTCTCGAGTGATAGGGATCGGAGTCGATGGTGGTGACCACAGCGGAGGGATTCCCGGCACAAGGATCGTAGGTGTGTAGGCGTCCAGCCAGTTGTAGGATGTTACAACGCTGAAATTGGAAATACTAACATCTAGATCACCATCAGCAACAACATCATGTCTGGCGAGAGATATTTCGTCTGCCATTGCGTTGATGGAAAGTTGTTGGCCGTTGGTATTAATGGGAGGGGAACATATTGCCAAGAGGTAGCGTGTTGTCTCTCCCTTTTTGATGTTGTTTTGCCACTTGATGGACAAACGAGCAAAATTGTCTAGATCCAGACGCTCCAGAAGGTGAGCAAACAAACTTCCTTTGTCATACATTGAAGAAGTGTCTTGGTGACGAATATTTAAGGGGTCCTTGAGCGATCAAGTCCAGTGCCGCCAGAGCTATTTGTGTTCAAGATTGTCCAGACCCATGTCCTGGAAAGTTCTACTGACATGATCCGAAGGACCGCCTCTTGTTCTTGCAACAGCCTCTGTATCCTTTGCTAGACTTCTGTCTCTCTAGTATGCTCTCTCGCATGGACGTCGAGAACGAGCGATCTTCGTGGATGAGACCCAAGGGCTGTCGAGATCGAAAGACTCGACTACACGCCGAAAGAACAGACGCATGGTGAAAGCGAGAAAGCTGCGTTTTCTACAGCAAGTGAGCTTTCTCGAGAAATATCATCACAGCATCTTACCGTCTTTGTACAGAACCCGTCTTGATACTAGGATCACATTCTGCTGCGGTCCCAACTGCTCAATCGTAGATCCAACGTCCCCTATATCACTCCCATGAGACCCGGCAACGCCTACAACGCGGAAGAATTCCTTCCACAGTCAGACCACCTGGGTCTTCAAGCTCTGTCCGGCAGCTTGATAACTGATTACACGCCGGACAGCAGACAAATAACAGGTTATACTGCTCCTCTACTCCACCTCTTATAGCAGCGACAGATCTCGTGTGAGGTATACTGTGCGGCAGCGAGCTTGCGCCTGGGAAACAGCAAGATATGGAGCAAGAGGTTATTCGTGATCTCGAAATCGTCAAGGCATCAACAATATAGTTGCTTCCTCGGGACTACTTATGTCTTCAAGGCTCACTGCTGACTCAGAGGACATTAGGAACCAAGAACCAAGATCCTAGGGTTAGAACACAGAAGAACTAAATCACCGATCCCAATTGATACATGATATGCCATCAAATGCGCACATTCGTGGTGCGAAGAGATATGGACGCTAATCTTACTCTTCTTCATAAAAATTGACTTGCGCCGCAATGTGAGTCGGTTTGAATGAGAAACACATATGAGAAGGGCGCAAGAGCGTGATAACACAAGGAGATGCTCCACCAATCTATACGTCTCAAACTTCCACGCTATGCAACAAACGACCAACTCAAATTTCAAGATCGCTTACCTCCCCAACCTCACATTCCAAACCCTCCCCTTCTTCCCCACCCACCTCACAAATCAACAGCAAACCTCTCCCTCACCGTCTTCCCAAACCTCATAAACAGCAACGGCGCCGGACTCAGCATCAAACTCGCAAACGCAAAAACACTAATCCCCCAGCCATACCCCACCTTTTCAAAAAGCTGACTCGCACCAAGCGGCAGCACCCCTCCCACCACACTCCTAAACACCGCTCCGGCCGCAATAGCGCTAGCGGCATACTGGCTAAAACTATCAATATAGTAATTCTGGCACGTATTCAAAATACAGATTTGACCGAGACCAAAAAACCCCGTCGCGAGGATAGTGACGAGCCAATGCACGCGGAACTCTACCGTCCAGGCGTAGCAGAACAGACTTATTGGGATTATGACGCTGCCGATGTTGGCGAGCGGGAGACGATACTCTGGCATCGCTTTGCCCTCGTTCTTCTCCGTGAGCCGGTTGTAGACGACGTCGATGTAGGGGACGATGAACCAGACTGCGACGAGGAAGCCTAGGCCTGGGCCGAGGTACATGAGGCCGACGCCTTGGGTGGAAAAGCCGTAGGCGCGCGGGTTGGAGGGGGAAGGTGTTCCGTAGATTTGCTCGAAGTTCGTCCAGAGGGAGTAGGTGGTGCCGAAGAGGATGGCCTGGTAGGCGGACATGGTGAGGACGATGGGCTGGGTGAGGAGGATTTTGACGGGGCGTTTGATGCTGTGGCTGAGTCGGATCGGGAGGGGGCGGTCATCTTGGTTGGGGATGCGGTAGTTTTTGCTGCTGTCTGGGGAGGCGGAGATTAGGGAGGCCTTGCGGGCGGCGAGAATGACTGGGGCGTAAGATTCTTTGAGGAGGAAAAAACCTGCTAGGGTGTTGGTTGCGGAGACTATGGTTAGGATCCAGAAGAGCCAGCGCCAGCTTAGATGCTGGACTATTAGGCCGCCGAAGAGGGGGCCCAGTGTTGGGCCTAGTAATGGGCCGAGAAGGTACCAGCCGAATATGGAGGCGCGCTCTGAAGGATGGAACATGTCGCTTAGAGTGCCGCCGCCGTTCGCAATGCCGACTGAGCCGAAGAAGCCGGAGACGGTGCGCCAGCCGATCAGGAAGGAGACGTTGGGGGAGAGAGCGGTAGGGATCTGGGAGAGGGAGAATATGCTGAAGCAGGTCAGATAGAGAGTACGTCGGCCGAATGTTTCACTAAGCGGAGCGAGAATCAGAGGACCGATGCCGAGACAGACTACGAAGCCTGTTGTTGCACCAACAACGGTGTCTGTTTTCGTATGTAGGTCTTCGGCAATTTGTGCGATGCCGGGGGTGAACATTGAGGATGCTAGTGGTGAGAGGACTAGAAATTTAGAGGTTTAGCATGACTGCACTCTTTATAATACGCTGTACAATGTTGGCAAGAATAAGAATACAATATATCTGAATTCGGAGAATTAAGAGACAGAAGGATCTCTAATGAAGTGCAAACAAATAATCTCCGTCTTCTCCCTTTTTTGGGTTATTTCGAAAGCACTCCACTCATTTTACATCACCTCTGACTGAAGATGGTCTCATGAAGAGTGCACAATTGCTATGGCCAGCACGAGTACATCCAAGCCACATCGTACGTCGGACACTTCTTTCCATCGAGTCAACATATTGTTAAAGGAAAGAAAAAAAAAGATGTCCTAGCTTCCACATTTACAGCTCCAGTCAATCGCGCACCAATTCATCTCCATCTACAAAGACACAACGCTCCAAAATCAAACCCAAAAAACACAACAAACCACAAGAAAAAAAGCAAAGACTCACTAGCCATCAGCGCAATAACACCCACATTAGCCAACTTCCTCCTCCTCGTCCAATTCCTCGGATTTTCCTCATCTCCCTCCTCAAAATCCACGATCTCTACCTTCCCATTCCCATCCCCACCCCCAGCCCCAGCCCCAGCCCCAGCCCCAGCCCCAGCCCTGCCCCCTCGGTGATCACCAAGATTTTGATGTGGATGATCCTGATCCTCGTCCCGATGCGACGAGTGTTGCAGCAGCGGCGTGCGCTCATCGCCGTATTCGTTCGTCGACTGTTGATGCGCCATCACGACTATTGAGCCATTGACCGTTCTTTCTTTCCCAAAACGTAATGCAGGGGGGAGAAGTCGTACTGCTCTGTCCGGGTGAGAAGCGGAAGGGAAGGGAAGTTGATGAAGGGGGTGGAGGAAGGCCGCGATACGAGGTGGACGTAATGCCGTTGAGCTGAGTGGCGAATCGTCATCCCGCGCTAAGGGCTTTGGGCGGGCCGCTAGCGTCATCGATCTGAGATCTACCAAGATCTGGAACTAACTAGGGCGAGAGGAGATGGGGGAAATTGATTTCAGACTACATATATAGACTAATGTCAATGTAGTTCGTCATATAGGCTTTGAAGCCAGCGTTCTGTACACCTCCTCAGTCTATGTAAGGTACCTCAATCTCTCATATAAACCTTGTCGAAAGGTAGCTGGCAATGCAAAAAAACTATCCCACCCAAACCATAATAACAGATTCAACAGCCCACCAGATGCACAACCGTAAACCTCCTTCCCTCCCCACTACCTCATCACCACCTCTTCTTCCCCCCTCTTTTCCCTTGTCCCCACCCCTGACTGCCTCGCCCCACTGCACACTCCGTCCCTGCGACGTCGACCCCGCACCTCCTTGCTCCGCAAACCGTATCCGACTCGGCTCCGCGACCGGCTTATGCCCTGTGCGCTGCGGCTCCCTCTCGCCTCCATCATCTTCACTGTCGCTACTTTCGGCGCCCGCAAGCGCCGCGATTCGTCTTCGTCTCTCAGCGGCTGTTTCGCCCCCACCACCACTTCCTCCAGTAATGCTCTTGCCAGATGACGATCTTCCTCTGCCTTGCATGAAGGGAGGCACGCGCTCTGTGCCGTCGTCTTCGGAGTCCTCATCCCGGTCTTGCGAAGCTAGTCTGCGCCGTCTTTCGGCTGCTGTTTCCTCGATGTGAGCTGTGCGGCGTTTGATGGTCTGGCTGACGTCGTGGGTGGGGACTTCTTCTCCTATGGTAGAGGGTGCTGCGACACTTTCTTTGCTTGTATTGGCGTTGGGGTCAATCGCTGTGTCAATGCGGTGGATTATTGGCATTGGCTCCCCATCCTCGTCCATGGGCTGCTCAGGTACTGGGACTAATGGCTTGGACGGAGTGATAAGCGGAGTGCTTTGTTTCCTCGATCCAGAGCGTGGACGCATCGCGCTCTCACCACCGCGAGCTTCATGCGCTGCATCAGCCTGGACTTCGTCTTTGACCTCGCGAGGAGCGTCAGATTGTTCAACCACTTGTCGCCGAGTTTTGGGGTCTAGCTGTTGAAGCTGCTCAACAAATTCTTGTTTGCTCATGCGGCGCCCTCCTGTGCCAACCGTAAAGCGGATGCGATCCTCGTTAGGATCCTCGTCAGCTTTAGGCTTCTTCGCTTTGCTGACTTCGCCGGCTTGTGAAGCGTCAACACCGCCGTCTCCGGCTCGTGAGCGGCCCATTCCTGCCCATTCGCTCATTTTGCGAAGACCTTGGCGCATAGGAGCTGTGTCGAAGTGATGGGGCCCGTCTTGGACGCCGCCTCTAAGCCCAGCGCGATTGTTCTGTTTAGCTCGATCTCGGAGATCGATCTTCCTGATGACCTCTCCGTCTTCGTCTTCGACAATAAGTGTCTGGCCAAATTGGTACGCATGAGCCGCTTGCGCCTGCTTTCGTTCTGGCTGAGGTGGTTCCTGGGGCTTGGCAACTTCGCCCTCCTCTTTCTTCGCTTTCTTGAAGCCGTCCCACGCACCTAACTTCTTCGACAGCTTCTTCCACCCTACACTCTCTTCGATCTGCTCTTCTATATCACTGCCTTCATCTCTCTCGTGTGGATGAAATTTGCCTTTGGCAAACTGGCCGCTACGATCGTCCCGCACCTTCTTCTCATCTTCCGCGAGATACGCTTGTTTTTCTGCATCAGATTTGCTAGTGATCTTGTGCACGCCCACTACGTTGCCCTCTTCATCTTCGACTATCATCTCATTGTCTTCCTCATAGACCTCCAATTCAGGCTCTTGCACCTCGTGCGATTCTTGCCGAGCCATCTTGTCTTTTTGCTCTTGCTTCTCCTCCATCTCTAGCTGATCTGGCTCGCTCTTATCTTCACTACCTGAAGGACTGCTTTCTTTCTCGTTAAGTGTATCAGAGACGCTATCCTCAGGACCGAGCGTTTCCTGTCGTCGCTGTGGCGTGATTGCAGACTGGCTGATCGGTCCACCAGGCCCCATACCTGCGTCCCATTTGGACTTTCGTCTCTGGTTTCGAGGCTTTTCGAGGGGCGTATCTTCTTCCTTTTGACGTCGAAGAAAATTATTGGGAAGACCTATGGGGGGCAAGGTTCCAGGTGGATATTCAGGCGGATCCAGTTTCTCAGTAGATGAGGCCGCGCTGTAGTCATCTTTATTCTTGGATGCAGAGCTTTTTGCAGTAGAGGCCATACGTGGTAATCTGTTCATCCAGGTTGGACCTTCTTCGTTGGCTTGTGTATAGGACATTGTCAATGTAAATTGATTGATGCGCTTCCCAAGAGTAAAGACTGCGATAGAAGAGCCGTGTACTAAAATAGAAGTCATAACCAAAAACGTCGTTATCGGCCAGATGAGTTGTATGACAGCATAATTGTGAGCGTGAGGATCAGTAGGCAGTTCATTGATTGGAAGTGGATCTGTGCCGTCGGTGGAAAGCTCAGCCCTGGCCAGTAAACAAGCAAAAATGGCACCGACGCCGATTGGACCGAAATGTCCAGCAAAAAGCGCCTCTCGCCAGGTTTTGACATCTGGTATGATTGGTTTAAGTGCCAGCATTATGGGTATGCGGCGGAAAAAGATCACCAGGAGTGCGATACAAACGAGTCGCCACGGGGTTATTCCTAAGATGGCATTATTATACTGCGCCCAAGGAATAATCGACCCCAGGTAGACGAAATATGCCAAGTTGAGTAACAAATCGATGACGTTCGACACGTGCGATTCCTCGGTCTTTTGCGTAAACCATCCGTCATTACTGAATCCGACTCCAGCAGCAAAGCCCACGAGCAGATCATCTGTTCCTAGAGTAGCACCGGTACCAGCACAAAACAGGGCCAATACGAAGTAGAATACCAAGAAGCTCTCCCTATCGACTAGATTATGCCGGTCTGCCCACTTGATCGCATGCCTGCCCGCATACCCAATCAAGACCCCATACGTCGCACCCCAAATGCACTCGTAAAGCACGGTATTGCACAACCAGTGCTGAGCAACTTTTCCCGCGTCCGGACGATAATGAATCAAATAGTAGCTCAGATAAATGAAGGGGAAAGCCATACCATCATTACACCCTGACTCCGCCGATAGCACATCTCTCAAATGCTTCGGCACCCTCTTCGCGAACTTCCCTTTCCCAACCACCGAACTCGCAAGCACCGGGTCCGTCGCAGTCACACACGCCGCAATCATCAGACTCTCCAGCCACGTCAACGGCTCAATCAGCCACCAAATAAACAAACTCGTCGCCAGCCATCCATAGGTCATCACCGGCACGAGCAAGAACACGACCGACCGCCAATGCCTCTCCATATACGCTTTTGGCAATTCGACCCCAACGGCGAAACATTGTACGACGAGAACCACCCGCGAGCATTCGAGCGTGATCTGATCCACGTTGCCCCATGTGGAGGGGTCGAAGATGTTGGCGGCATGGGGCCCGAAGATGACGCCAACGAGGGTCGCCACGGTGGCTTCGCCAATGTACATTTTCTCTTTGACGAAGAGGGAGACCAACATGAAGAGGGACGTGAAGCCCCCAAGAATGAGGTAGGCATAGTGGGGCTTGTTGACTGAAAGCTGATCCCACATATTGGCGGGGAGGAACGGGTTGGTGGGGGCTGGGAGCGCTTGTGTGTATATCGGTTTTCTTTTTTTATGTTTTGATTGTAGTAGGCTTCAAGCTCCTGTGATACCTCAATTGAGGTGGCGGTCAAGCGCGATCGGCGTAGCGAGTGGAGGAAATGAATCCTTCACCGCTGCGCGCACAGATTTGATGGGAAGTCGCCGTGATGGATTGAAAAGTGCCCCCGAGGCAGATAATCAATTGGGGACTTCTAGTGCTGTATGAAAGGTTCAAAGGAATGTGTTGACGACGAGTCAACTGACCCAGCGTGTCACCGTGACCGTGTAGTGGGGGTTGTGGAGGATCCAGGAATTGCCCCGGGAGGAAGAGAGGGCGAATGAGCTTGTACTACGGAGATTGAGGGCTCTAAAGTCGACTGCATACCCGGTATATGCCCGTCCCAATGATAGGAGAATTATAAAGAGAGAAGAAACTTCAGGGAGTGGGGCACACTTTTCGATAAAAGATAAATTCACGAGCGATCCCGCCGAGGGAACCGTTTTCTTTCGCCAAGACGCTAAGATTAGGTGCGAGCTTATATGAGATCGCATCATTGGCCGCCCATTGCACGCCCAGCAGCTCTAGATCCCTAGCGACTATGATAGGTACGTAATGTTGCTTGGCTGTGGTAAGCCAAGGTGCCCAGACATTGAAATACCGGGTGTCGGCTTGATCTAGAAAGTGGAGAAGAAGGGGGTGCTGCGAGGGAGAAGCTTTGAGCTTGAGTGTGCAAAGATTGAATGCTTGATACTACAGTGTATCTGGTTTCCAGCATTATAATAGCAAGGTTTGAAGAGCTAATATAGCCAAGTGAGCATTCAAATGTGAATTAGACCCCAGCATAAATTATGTCATCACATATCAAAGTACACGCTCCAGTCAAAAGCGCGGCCCTGCCATCCCACCAATAATCATACACAACATACAGACCATATCGTCATGTCCAAAGACGGGGTATCCTAGCGCTTCAAAACGATACAGTTGAGGTATTTGCAGAACACCACCCAGTACAAAGACCCGCTCACGATCGCCACGCCAAAAAGATCTCAAAGCTTGAAGAACCCTTCCTTCTCCTCCAGTAACTCCTGCATCCCTCTCATCCACCGGCTTGAGAGGACCTCCCCAATTGTCCACCTGTTGTCGCTGCTCATGTCCAAGCAGCATTGTACGAACTCCACCGTCTCTTCTTCGTAGCCTGCCACTCCTTGTGCCTTCGCTAGCGCCTCACAGTCCCATTCACCCGCCAGGATCATCATCTGCACTCTCGGCTGAAACGTGTGCTGGAAGGGCAGATCACCGACCAGCATGGCGAAGACCGCTACACCAAATGCCCAAATATCGACGCACGGGCTGAGCAGACCCGCAGGGCTCATGATCAGCTCGGGTGAGGCATACTGAAGGCTTCCAGCGACCGAGACGGCTGCGTCTGATGGACTGCTTGGCTGCGAAGGGAGGGCATGGGTGCTCTGGCGCCGGTTGAAGGGGTCGGGGGAATTACTGCGCATGTCGTTGGCGACGAATTCTGCCAGGCCGAAGTCACAGAGGAGGAGATTGCCACCGTCACGCGCAGCATCAGGATCCGAAATGTCGATGAGGCAGTTCTCGAGCTTGATATCTCGATGGACGATCCTGACGTCTTCGTGGAGATATCTGACGGCTGAGGCTAGCTGGAATGCGTACCTTCGCGCCAGGTCTCGATCTAGGCCTTGCCTGTTGACGCGGATCTTGTCGTACAGTGAGCCCCCCGTGTTTAATTTGGTGAAGCAAAAGGTCGCGAAGTCGGTGTCAGTGACCTCGAGAAGAGGAAGGATGTTGCGGTGACCCATACAACGCCATATCTGCACCTCATGATCAAACTCTGCTTGGAGGCGGTCGTTCTCCGCTTCCTCTTTTCCTGGGAGTTGCTTCCGTACTATCTTTGCTGCCCGCACTATTTTTTCGTCACCTTCGATGGTGAATGCCTCTTTCACAACGCTGAAGCCGCCAAAGCCGATTTGCTTGCCGAGAACGTAGTCACGGACCTCTTGTCCTTCGCTGTCTGGTTCTGGTAACTCTTCTTCCCGCGCAAATCTTGAGAGAAATGTTGATGCTGGGGACATAGATGAGGAGGTCGATCGCCGTGTACTCTGTCTCCGCGCTTGTCGCATACTATTTGTTCTTTCCAAAAAGATCCCTCTGGCTTTCGAGCCAGAAATCTGCCGGTAGGGTTTGGGCCACGCGCTGGAATCTTCGTAAGATGTAGGCAAGGCGAAAGGCGGGAAGATTGATATTGGCGATTGAAGGATCTCCATGTTGTCTGGAGGCGTCTGTGCTTCTTCGAGTATTGGAGATGCGGTGAGATCTGAAGTCAAGGAAGCCGCCTGATCGAAGTCGGCGGTGGGTGGGAGTGGTAACGTGAGGTTGCTGTTGACCTTAAGCGGAGAAGACAACGATTCTTGTGCTTCAATATCGAATTGGGATGGTCGCCTTAAAGGTTCGCCGGTCTCAGAGTCGTAGTCAGTGATGTCGGCCTCGCTTTGGGTTCTGTACAGCGAGAAAGGTCGCGTGGGATATCTCTCCTGTTCTTTCAATGCAAGCTTATCGATAGGTTTCGCGGCTGATAGCGAGCTGCGTATTGGTTCTTCCAAGGCACGATGGTGGCCAGAATCCAGTACAACCTCTGGACTGAATGATATAGACGGTCTCCTGTTCCGCATATAGTCTTCCAACGACATTGCCCCATGCTCAGCATCATGTGTTCCGCTCTTCAAATGACTGTTGTCATATCGCTGCCCCACGTCTCGGTCTTTTGGCCGCGGCACATCAATAGGCGGAGTGCTTGCATAATCTCCTCCCATGGCTTGGGAGAGCCTGTGTAGATCCGCGCCGGAATATTTTTTCACAGGTCTGCATAAGCCACGTCCAAGGTTTGGTCCGATTTCCTCCGTGGTTGTTGCCTGCTCTGCCTCCGTGAGATACCCATTTGTCTCGTAGATGCTCGGTGCCTGGTCCTTTGCGGGGTGCGACGCAGCGAACTGACTGCGGCTGTCCACTCCACTTTGAATATCATGAGCCATACCAGGGGCCCAAGGTAGGGCCCGATTCTTCTCTATCAACACAATGTATGAATGTTCGTCCCAGGCGCTTGTGCGCTGGTCTATGGCCGTCAGCCAACGCGGCGAGGCTGAGTCGGGAGGTTTCGGAGGGTCACAAGATGTGGTAATGGAGAGTCGCGGGCGAGACACCTGATTATTCTGGTGGTCTCGTAGGAGCGTCAGAGGCGCGGATCGTCCGAGCGTTTCGGGCTGTAGAGGATAATATTGCGAATGGCGCGCCAAAGCCTAGCGTTTGGGCTGTGATACAGTTCGTGGGGAGTTGGTGGTATAGCAGCTGGACATCGAAGTCACAACAGGTGGGAAAGAGGCCAAAAGATTGTTTAATGAAAGATGGGAAGTGAAGGACAGAAGGTACAGGTCGAAGGTGGTCAAAAGGAGAGAGGCACAGGGTCGATGCTGGTCGGAAAATGTAGGAAGGCTTGAAAGGGCAAGTCTCTACCCCACGCCAAGGCCGATGCCGAGGCGACGTCACGCCGCAGCAGCTTTCATCCCGCAACCCCAACTTCTTACCTAAACATTCCCAAAGGCGGGGCCCCGGAATATATGACAGTCAGCCCTTTGTGTCATTCACGAAAGACACCTACTTGCTGATGGGCTTAGGTATGACGTGGACATTTAGTTAAGATCTCCTTCATTTAGAAGCGTCTCCATTAAATCCCTTCCAAAATGCTATATATATTCGACTCGGTGTCTTCCTAGCATAGATTCCGTAGCCTGATTGGTACAGCGCATTCCACACCTTCAAAATAATGACCATTGATAATGTTGTACATCTCGGACAAGGATTGCGCCCCATCCAGGCTCTCGTGGTCTGTCTTGCTGAATCAATGAGGCCTGTGTGTAGTTCCCGCGTTTGGGAACTCGCCTGTTATGTATTCGCGGTTACTTTCCAGTGGCAGTCTCCGTCCGCGGAACAGTATCCGATGGTCCTCAGTCCGAAGACATCAGCCTGGTATGGCTGTCGTTGACCAGGGACTACTCGAGACTTGTAGCCATTGGCCAACGAGACTAGACGTCTGTCGCTCTTCTCCTCTTAGCGGAGCCTGGCTCTCTGCAAGGCTCGACGCTTGAATGTGCCCTTTGGACATGCATATTCAGGTTGTCCGATCGGCTGAACGAAAGGCCACATTCTGGTTCGGGGCACCTATGCCCTTCCTTTCCGCTGTGTTTCAACGACGTTCGCATGTGTCTTCGTAAATTCGACCGGCGATTTGAAAAGCTTCCGGTGAATGTGGCCGAGCATTCAGGGCACTTGCTGATGCCATCATCTGAGATTGGAAGCACTGTGATCCTGGAGGACGTGGACGAGGCTTGTGACATCCTAGTTGATGTTGTGCCTGCACTATCACAGGTGCTGAAGATAGATGATATAGTGGTACTTCCACTGGTGGCCGTCAGAGGAGTGCCAGTCGAGCTTTGGTAGTTTCGATGTGATGCTGACGAGACATGACTGTTACCGGTCATGGGACTCTTTTGTTGCGTGAGCTCGAGAACGCTCGCATTCGGCCAACAATTCACGGCAGGCATATCAAGATTGTTTTGCTGGCGGGTTTCTATCTCCAAGGCGATGGCAAGTACGTTGTCCAGATGTGCCACGTAGTATGGAGATCGCCAATTGGAGTCTACCTGCTGCATTGCCCAATTGCAATACAGGCTGACAACAGCCTGGAATCTCTCGTAGAACTGAGATGTTTTTGAGTATAACTAAGATTGTCAGCTGATAAACGATTCAGCAAAGATTCTGTACTTACTTTGCCTGCGTATAAAAGCGCCACTTCGACTTCTCGTGGATCGCGTAGTAAGCCCATGTGTATCTGGAATTCCGCATCTAATATAATGTCGAAGAGCGCCTCGATGCCCTTCGCAGACTGAAGAGGTCGGATCAGATGGTCCACTAGATCCTGAACGTTGCTCTCTTTTTGCCGCGCATACCAAGCAAAATGACCTGGCAGGAGAGCACTATTGCGTTCCGAAATTCGTGTATATGCAAGGCCTATAACTTGTCAACAAATTACGGGAAACGAAACATCTTGCATCCGTACCGTCGAGGAAGGTTACACAGCTCATGGTGACTGCACCTTCTCGTAATGCCTGTAAAGCTTCCCGTGGATGGAGCCTCCTGTGCCCTTTTCCAAAAGCCCCAGAACTGACCGTCGCTTCTTGCGACGAGTTGTCGGTCTCTTCTAAAATACAATTCTTATCGTCGACTGCATTTTGGCCAGTCATGTAAGACGTTGAATGAATTGTAAGGCTATTCTGAAACTCGTCGCAGCAGGCCAGACACTCCAATGCTTGTTTGAGGTTACATTTTTCGCTTTCGCTCTGCAGAACGTGCTGCCACCGGAAAGCATCAACAAAGAATGCTTTCCAGTCGTACAGGTCATCGTTCTGATGTAAAGCATACGAGGCAGCACAGGCGACGAGTAGTAGTGCAAGAACGTCTGTAAAATTGTCCGGTAGAATGTCCCTGAACAGTGCCTGAAGCGAACAAACGCCTCTCTTGAATAACTCAGGTGCAGAAAATGTCATCAGGCGTGTACTAGAGTCAGAGGACTGGTTCATTCTCTCCATCCACTCATTACTCAGAGCGAAAACTAAGAGACAAAGCTCTTCGACCTGAGCCTCTGTGGACTCAAAGCTGCTGTCTTCTAGCATCGTGAAGCTCCTATGCCCTGTGGGCCGACTAAGATGATCAGGAATAGAATAAGGGATAGTAGGAAGTCCTGCCTCTGGAACCAATACTCCTTGGTCTCTAGTGGAAGAAGCGCGTACATCAGGGAGGTTCGTTGGGCTATGAGTTGCGCTGGTCTTTGCATCAGGACTGCTGAACGGCATTGAAGCTTTCGAAAATGAATCTGATGGCTTGGTGGTGCCCGAAGCAGGATGCTCGATTTGTATTTTAGTTGTACTTGAGGCCATTCCCGAGGCAACTGAGGTTGGAGAGTAAGGCGGTGACAGTGGCGAGACAAGCTTGAAGTCTACTAGCATATCCTCACACTTCTGTAATTGTGTCGTATTGATAGCAGGAAGTTCGACCATCGTGCCATTATTGGGATCGTCTAATTCACATATTGGGACTCCTTCAGAATTAGATAGCTCATCCGGAGCCAGGTTGCTTGGGCAGTCCGCAACACCGCTTAATGGTATATCTTCTGTGCTTGGATTAGAAAGCAATCTGCAATAGAAGGAAAGGATTTACCTTCATAGAATGTATAGAGCGTCTTTCGCAGATCATCTACGCCCGCAATATCAAGATCGCGCAAGAAGTGATTGTGTGTATTTTGGCCTGAGGATGTAGAAGGTACCACGGGGACAACCTCTGGATCTGTTGAGACCGCCACTTGCCGGCGTCTACTCTTTCGAGCCTCTAGGAATTGAGGTATTCCTAGCGAAGGCAAGTTATCAGAGTCCTCCAGTATAGAACCAGCACATGATTTTGCCCGGCGCCGGCCAGCAGAATCACTGCGACCAAGATGCTTGAAGAAAGTCACCGCACGCTTCAACCTCGAGTCTTTGGACTGTATCATGCTGGTTGGACGACTCCTCCTCTGAAACTCCGGCATAAATCGCTCAGGTCTTGCGCAGTCAGGACACCAGTAGAAACCATGATCTAGCGCGGGGCACACGGGCAAGTGGTTTAACATAGATTCAGGTTCATCATGTTTCTCCCTGCACCACAGTAAAGGACACTGGATTTCTTGTGCCAGATCAGAGTCCTCTGCTTTCTTCCGACATGACTTGGCAGCCCAGTGAAGGAATGCCACCAAGCAGGCGTCCTGTGGAAGACAAGCGTATGGCTTTTCCAGGAGCCTGGAATCAGCGTAAGCTACCAGTCTGGTGGTGATATCAGCTGAGCCTCTGAGGATATGTGCTGCTGCCTACTGACGCGCAAGGCAGTTCAAGACTCTCTTGGCCGAAATCACTTGTCATATTGATAGCATCGACAGTAAGATGTTGTAGCAAATGGTGTTCTCTCATAGACTACTTGAAATACAGAATATGCTTAAGCATTGGTGAGGTCAAAATTAAAATCCAGGACTCTCATTTCATTTCTAAAAACATGGCAGCTTGAAGGACTACAACCTCGTGGTCCTTCGTCTTTCGTCTAACACAAAGTTCTGAGGAGTCAAGGCAACATTCGGGTGATCTTGCTCTCAGACGAACCCTGTCGTCATGACGTGCGGCAGTGATTGGATAATGCATTCAAGCACTGCGGTCCCGGAATACTCATAGCGGCGGACTCTTATCCTCACAAGGCTGCGTAGGCATCATTCAACCCAATTGGAAGCCTTCGGGTACGGATCATCCCTTTGGGCTGAGGCTTTTTTTAAAGTCTTCCAAGAGAGACTGTGCGGGCCATAGTACAGTGTCCCGGGATTGTGACATCAGAGAGGCCCCAAAGGCCTAGTACGCAGGCAGTCTTGGGCTTTTTAGCACTACCCCAGCATCGAAGGACGATACGGCCGTCCTTCGTAAGTACGACTTAGCGTGCTGCCTTAGAGTTGACCAGGTTGGACTGGGCCCTAGGACTTCCCTCACCAGGCTAGCGACAAGGCTGCATTATTAGCGAAGTCAGCACCAGCTGAAGCCAAGGGATGGGGGTCCTTTTAGGAAGGACTCCCACCTTCCTGAAAGGGTAACGTCACCGTCTGGGTGACCTCGACTTGGCAATGCCAAAGCGTGCCTACAGCAGGCGTAGTGCGGCTATCGAGGAACTTTCTCCATGCAGGCTTGAGAAAAATGCTGTTCGCGACGACGAATTCGATTCTGACTAGCGCTAATCCGACATACAAACGAGGTTCTAACAAGCCAGGTGATGCCATATCTTTGAAGCCTGGTATCGGCATTACAGGATCAGTGTTGAAAGCCACTTGAAAGACATATGGATCGTCAACAAAACCCATGTTCTCCGCATTGTCACTAGTTGACTCCGTATGCTATTTTTGATGTGATCCTGCGTGTGGAGATCGAGGACCCGAGAAGCATGAAATCGAGTATGGGGTGGGAGGGTGGCAGCTTGGCGGGACAGAACGTGGGCACATCTGCTAGTCCCAGATTAGACTAGCATGCAATCCTGACCACCGCCGATTCGTTTCTTCCCTCAGGCACCAGGCGCTAATTCATCACGCGCTAATGAGATGTGCTGGAGTCCGACAACAGGGCGAATCAAAGAGCAGGATCCTCTTCAGCCGCCCAAGCAGCTATCACCATGTCCCTTACGCCGTAAGGCCCTCCGATCTGTTGCGCCACCGAGGGCAACTCACCTTGCTACTGCTGACGCCATGCCTCACCTCAGGAGCGACTGCTACTGCTGCTACTGCTATATCAACAGTCGATAGCATTTCAGGGACGAAGCAGAGTTGCGCATCCTGTACACCTCGTATTACTGTGATTGCGAACCGCGTGGCTTGAGCACACGAAACGTCCCGAGTCGCATGCATATGCCACCGGAAACATACCTAGGACGTTGAGGAACATATCTTACATCAGAAAATCTACGAGAGTGGGGAAACCGTTGGGTCGCGAACCATATGGCTTCAAATCCGCCGCAGCCAGCGAGCTCCCCTCGGCCACGTAATCACCCGTCAAACAATACTCCTCGTCTACAGACTACAAACATGGGCAATCAACCAAAAGCGCGATATTCGTATCAGGAAACACCTGTGGAGATGCAACGATCCGTCTTCCTGCCCTTCTCGAGTCCTACGAACTCCGTCATCGATGAATCCCCCATCTCCGCCGCAACCGCCAGTCGTAGCCCTCCAGGATACGATCAGCTCTCTCCTACGCCTCTGCCGACCGAAAAATCGCACACTCCAGCCCCTCCTCCGGAATCACATCCAGCCTACAATGCCCCTGTCGCAGAGCCTGCAGCGCCCACTCGGCAACCTCAGCAGCCTCCGCCCCTGCTTCAAGCACAGCAAGCTCCGCAAACTCAACATATAGCAATACCCCCTCCAGACCCTCCTGTATCTCCAGGTCCTCTACCTGTCAAACCTCGAGAAAACCCTCGAGAAAATACCATGAAACCCGCCGCAGCATCACCTCCACCGCCCAAATTTGGCATTGATCGCGCAGACACATACAACCCGCACTCCCTCCAGGGGCCCAACGTCAGCCCAGAAAACCATCGGCCGGGCCAAGTCTCACACCCAAACGCGAGTGTCGATCCGCATTGGAAACATGGCCTCTGTGAGCCAGATACAATATGTTGCTTGGGTCTCTTCTGCCCCTGTATGGTCTACGGACGAACAATGTACAGGTTGAGCAGGAAAGCGGAGAAGAAAGATGCGACGGATATGCTGGGGTACGAAAGCTGCAACGGGAGCTGCACGCTCTTTGCGGTGGCGTGTGGGATACAAGGCTTCCTCTCCGCCATACACCGCACGAGGATACGCAAGATGTACAATATCGAAGGATCGTTTGGGAGCGATTGCGTCAAGGGCTTGTGTCTATGCTGTTGCGTTGTCGCGCAGAATGAGAGGGAAGTCAAAGAACGGGAAACGCTGACGAGGCAGCATGCCGGGCCTGTGGCTGGCGCGTATGTCAGTCCCACTGGGGCTATGAGTTATGCTCCTCCGCCAAGATGACAACACCGGATCTAAGAGACTTTGTGAAAGTGCGCGAGAAGCTCTGCGAACGGCCATGTTGGGTTGCCCCACATGAGGCGGACATTTCACGTCGTTGATGGGATAGCATCGACGAAGGATAGATCTACGAGCATCTGGGATGAACAGGTTTTGTCCACGCGTGGCAAGGCGAAGAAGTCTCGTCCGTGCCTTCGTCGCCGGAGAAGAACGAGTATATGGCAGAATGGAGGCCAACGGTTACCCCCTCCATGCGAAAGCCTGTTCAGGATGCTACAGTCTGTCATGACTACTTGACCAAAGGAAACAAGCCGAAGACAAGCAGAGCGAGAGAATCTCTCACGTGTTGGTGCATGATTCAGTGCACAGTGTTGTGGAGGGTCATATAAGGTTTTGTAAGGCTTGTACAGACGTTGTTGGGTTAAGATGCCGCTGTCACTTGCCCGAACCTTTTCTTTGGATTCTTGGATTCTTGGATTCAGGTGTCGTACATACCTGTATATGTATCTGTATGTATACATTGTACATGGAAAGTTGGAATTATAAGCTTTGCGGCGTTGCAATCTACGCTACGGCATCTTTCGTCAATTTACCACCTCTTATCATTCATCATCGTCCTTCCTGCCCCTTATCAAATACCTCATCGTTTTCTAGCGGCCTTGTCGCCACTGAAAGATAAGCGTTTTCTGGTCTGCACTTATGAGATAGCAGAGCTCAAATAGTAATTGATTCTGATATACGTTATTGATGGATGGGCTGGCCTCGGCGAGAAATTAAACGACGACACGTCATCCCCTTCATTAGCAGAGCACAGCGGTATCGACCAATCAGAGACACCTAGCTGCCCCCTTTTCTCATCTCAATCCCATTTGTTCCCCATTTCGGAGAGGCCTCGTGCTTGGCATCGCCGACCCGCAAGAAGACACACCTTCGCACAAAACGATGAGGTCTACGTTCCTTGGGCAGAATCATGCTTGTACAATTCATTCGCAGATGCCCTTGTTGGAGGGCCATCCGACGACCATAGGTCTCGTGACGGCCTACAATTGGCATTAGTGTGCTAGCGTTTGCTCGGATCCATTATTACTATTACTCATCTCTCGGATTTGGGGCGTCGCAAAAATTGCACGCCTTTCTGTGTACGGTAACACTGTTCAGCCTTGTGTCATTTTGGTGAATGAAGGAGGGTGGTCTTGGGATTTGAATGGCTGGAAAGAAAGGCTTAGCATGGTCTTTCGAGCGGCCTCCTCCTCAACTGATGCCTGGTCCCTCCCTGTTCCTGTCCGATGCCCGTTTTGAACGCCAAATCAATATAGCCCATGATAAACAAGCTCTCGCAAAAGCTCAGCCTCATGAATGCATCATCATCCTTCTTGACTTAAGGTTCAAGAAAATGCTTCTCGACCCTCCTCCATTCACCAGAAAATGCATCTCCTCCCCACCCTTCCCTCTCTCCTTCTTACTTTAGCTTTCCACACCCACACCATCCTCGCACAGCAAATAACAGCCATCTCCCAAGCTCCAGGCTTCTCCTCCCTCGCGTCCTGCGCCCAGAACGTCGCCGTCGCTGTCATCGATGACTCCACCAGCCCCGAGTGCCCTGGCGGATCTCCACCGAAATGCTTCTGTGGAGCAGAAGCCGCCAGTCGAGAATACTCTGATCAGATCTCGACGAATGTTCTGAATAGCTGCTCCGCTTCCCCCAGGCCCGAAGCAACACAGGCAGCGAGCGTGTTCGCTGCTTACTGTAGTCTTGGGATTGTGTCGACGACGGGCTCGTCGCTGAGTACCGCGGTGTCGTCGAGTACTGGTCAGTCAATCTTCGCCTCGTTGGAGATGTCTTTGCCGTTGACTGATTAATGGGTAAAGGTAGTGGTAATGCGGCAGCTCCCTCGTCTTCGACGACGGCATCTACCAGCACTACGACATCCAGTTCTGTCCCTTCCTCACCTACCTCTTCCAGCCGATCGAGTGGCTGGGCTGGGCTTAGCACCGTGGCACAGATATTCACCATTCTTGGCCCGATTATTGCTATTGCGATATTTGGCTTAGGCCTGTGTCTAGAGGCACGAAGGAGGAAGAAGAAGAAACTTGCCAACACCAAAGCGTAGATAGGACAGGAAAGCCAACATTCATTGTCGCGTCATTCTTGTGTACTTCGAATCTATTATCTGGAAGTCATTGGACGCTTGCTGCACTGCTGCAGAGCCACATATTCCATAACGTTGGCGGTGAGGCGTTCGGTCTGCGTGGGTCGAAGAGCATGGTTTTAAGGAGGATTCTATTGTTGAGGTCAAGGGATTCAAAGTATTGGGGGTTATGGGGACCAATGATGATGTCGAACATTTCTTTGTGAGCATGGCGAGCGCCTGATCTTTTCCAGTCGTCATGTGATTTGAACCCACCATAAGGCTTTAGGTGGTTGGGTACCGACTGATGAGGCTCGATGTTCTTGCTGCATACGCCTTTTGGTAAGAAGCCCACGTGATTGGCTCATCAGCGTCACCAGATAAACAATCCCTAATACGGAAATTTCGATTCAACCATATCTGTGTCGGACTAGTAAATCAGGTCATGGGAAAATTACACGCACCTGCTATTTCTCTCATCGTGATCAGCATCTCCTGTCCCTTCCAGAAGACCCCTACATATCAGCTTAGCTCTTCAGCATCATTGCCTGTCACTGAGACCTCAAGAAAGTCAACAAGTTTGCCTCAGCTCTCTATGATTATGCTGATATTCTTCTCGGACATACTCTTGCTATCGATCTTCCTGCTTTTTGCTCCGCTCTCTCACCCACAAGCAGACTCCAACACCATGACCATCTCAGGCGCACTGGATTCTCGGAATCAGCGCTGCAATGGTCAATACTGCCTCATGGGCCTCGCCTTTACCCTGGGCTGTGAGTCTCCACACAAGAGTGCCTGCGTGTGCGCTACGTATCTCCGTGATGAGGCTACCAATTACCATGCCAACACTGACTCTGCACTCTGTCCGTAAACGCTGAAGCAAGTGGAGGACCGCTGTGTTGTCCGTCTATGATAAGTTTTGCGCGTTAGTGGGTTCCTCTTTGATAGTGATGCAAGACGCGCCCAGGTTGTCGGTGATTACAGCAACCGAGCCTCCGACGATTACTGCGACGGAAGCTTCGCCCGGATGCTTCTTACGTTGGCAGGCCTCGTGGGGGCCATGACACGCTTTCTGAGGACGCGAAGATCGGTCGTCGGACTGAGCGTTCCGATTGTATCATTGATGTTGGACGCGGCTGCTTACTTTTGACCGCGCTGTGCCTAACCAGCCGCTGTGAATGACCAATCTGGTTTGAATGATGTTCATGATCAAAGAATTAGTAATCATCAGCAAGAATTGTGTTTCACTCGGAATGGAAAGTTAAATATAAGCTTTAGCTCCTTTGACTGACGATGAGGACCTCTGGAAACGTTGTTTGACAGTATCGATGTATTCGGCGGTGGTGTAGTTAGCACGTTCATCCTATTGTGCTCGAAATGAGATGATGTCCGTATTATCTCAGACCTGAGCAAATTAGGTAGAGAAAAGTCAAAAGCAGACCCCTATGTGGAACATGGAAGAGCGCAAAAGGCAATGGGGCATTCTTGAATTTTATGTATCTGTGAAATATTTGCCACAGCTTGTTCACAATTGAGGAGAGAAGGGTAAGGCCCCGAACTCGTATATATCAATCCTCATTGGAACACCCCGCGAATGATTTTCATTGAGATATTTAAATTGAAATCCATGTCAAAGAAGCATTTCAACTCAAATCTCATTACCAAGCCATTGGGTATCGGTGAGGCCTGCTTTTGTTTGGCACAAGATTATTTCAGATCCTCGAGGTATCTACGAAGTTGCGTGAGCGAGTCAGCAAAGAATAAAAATTAGGGTTTTATTGCCGAAGATGAGCCTTACTCCTGCTCCTCCTCATCATAGTGGTCATGCTCGTCAACCTGATCGGAAGCGGATGTGACGGTCACAATCTCTAGTGCGAGAGGATGCGTTGAATCTAGCGATTGAGATGATCAGCACGATCTCCCTGCTCAAGCGGACGAAGAAGGAGAAGGAAAGAGTAGATTTACCAATGTTGCCTTCTGGCTTCTCATAGATTGGTTGACCATTGGCGGGGTATCTAACCACGAGCTCTATCAAGTGAATATTGAGTCAGTTCCACCTGATCGATTTTATTGCTACAAAGAGCAACGCGTCGACTCACCACTTCCCACTGAAACTAAATTCAACGTCTGCTTGCCAGCATTATCAGTCTGCTTCACGGCCACTAGATGAGCCTCATTTCTGGGTGTCGCTTTGCCAAATCGCAAAGGTATCAAAACTGGTGGGAAGACAACATGCACTGGGCCAAGAAAAGCTTCTTTGTCGTCTGTGGTGAGATGTCCGTCTGTGAGCTTGAATTCTGGTAGTTGAGTTTTGGGACGGGTTATTGCAGGCACATAAGTCCTGACGTTCTGGTCATATTTCAAAATTACAAAGAATTGGTCCTGGGTCTGGAGGGTGAAAGTGTCGTTCAAGGAAGAATAGACATCTGCAGTGACAATTGAACTTAGCAGGAAGCTAAGTCCCACAGTAAGTAGCATTCTTGGAGAGTGCATAGTCGTCAATGTAGGTAGGACTGAGTCTGAAATTTGGATCCAGGGAGTCAAGGAAGTATGGCAGTACGGTAGGAAGAAATCAAGGAGTGAATGTCGCGAGCAGCAACTTTATACCCATTTTGGACCTGGGGACCTGTAACCACGTGATGGTCTAGATTGTTGTCCACGTTAGATACAACATAAAGGTTACGTGGTAGGAAACAAAATGCGGCAAGCTCCTATGGACTGGCTTTCACTCCGATCCGAGCATTTCCGTACGGATCCCTCGCATATGATCGACACACGGACTCAGGGGGTCCTCCGGCGTGTGTCATGAAAAGCATGATCTGCGGTGTCTCGCCGTTGAGGGCACATTGAGTTCGTTTCCTCCCACAAAGAGGGGTTGCTGACATCAATCTCCAAAAGGTTCATAGGCAATAGTCTGTTTTGCATTGAGAAGAGCGTAAAATCTGGTTGAGCCGTCGGTTCAAATAGGATCGAATGAGGGGCTTGAGGCAACAGGTGGCTGAGTGAGTTGCTGCGTTTGCAATCCTAGGGTGAAGTATGGTCGAGGAACAATCAAGCTTGGCACGAATGATTGGCTTGCCTTAAGCCGTTGGAATTGCTCGCTTAAAAGTCGTTCCTGCAATATGCACCTTCTGACTAGCTTGACTTTCGGTGACCCCCGATGAGAATCAGAAGCTCGCATGGCCGGGAGTACTGCATTGGTCACTTCTAATGCTAGCAGATTCAGGCATGATGGTAATAATCAGCCAATTGGACGGATTAGATATCCAGGAAGAAGCCTACATGATGGCTTCGGCACGATACATGCCAGTCTCCGGTCAACATTTTGTGGGAACTTGCTGCCATGCTCCAAAGCCAAGCGATGGTGCATTAGCGGAGGAAGATTTCCCCACATGTGCCCAATCCCGAGGAAAGCCGGTGATTAGTGCTGCATTTGACAGCTGTCAGTCCTCACAGTAGAATCATGGCTGATGATGGCTGCATTAGCTCACAATGAGACGATAGGAACTCTCCACATCTATCTACCGGGTGTCGAAGAAGCGATCTGAGCACCTGCAGCGACTGAGCTCGGTCTGGAAGCCCTTCAGACCTAGAACTCTCAGCATACTTTTGACTTTCTCCACATACTGCGCACACAGCTTCGATAGACTACCGAAACCCTGGCGCATATTAGTAATCATATGAAATCAGATGGCCCAAAAGCTGTAGAATGACTTCCTCGACGGTAAAGGGGTTATTGAGCACTGACAGGCGGGTCCTAGAAGTTGACGTGAGACGTGACAGCGAGAGAGAAAAGGCATGGAGCAGCATGGCGGGTGAGGAGAGTATTGCGTAAAAAAATCGCCATGTGCCATGGAATCTGATATACTGCAACGTTCCAAGCTAGGCAAACATTCGAGAAAGCAACCGAAGTCGTCTCTAACGGCTCGATAATGTAGCTTTCATTGAATTCCACTTATATTGCTGCTCCAGGATTTTGCTCTGGTCCTAGTGTATAGTATAATTATTGATGAGCTTTAACATTTTAGTTGAGGCGACTTCGACGCAAGTCGTTTTTGGAGAGGGCGATCTATTCAAGTAGTAAACTACTTACCCACAGAGGGACCTCCTTCTATTTCGGTAGGAGCATTTACCATTTACATACCAGTCGAGCAAATGCCCGTCTTGTAATCTTTTGACCCCTTGGTAAAGGACCATGAGTCACCAGATAATGGTACTTTACAAAACGCTGATGGCGGTGTGTATCTGGCGACACAAAACTGACCAGAGAGGGACCTTTGATGCTACCGTTGCACTCCTGCCACAAACTCCCAAAAGCATCATTGTATAATGTAGCATAGACAACGTCTCGGTATCAAGAGGGGGGACAAATGGCAAACGCTATACGCGACCTGTCGAAGCAAACTCGAAGAGCGTTCAGACCTTATTTTTCGAGTCGTCGTCACACTGGAGATTGGAATATCGATAAATCGAGGGGTCGTCGTGTAAATGACACGTGTGGTTGGCGCTAGGCCACTAGCGGGAAGATGTAAGTATTTACAACACTATCAATTTTACCCCCCTTCTTGTTTCTCTTAGCAGGACATTACATGAGGACTCAGGAGAGTCTTCGTGCTGCCGGTTCAAGCGAACTATAGCTTCGTCAGGCCACTGCGACCTGCAGCCCTCTACATAGCGAGGTTTAACGATCTGTTTCCTCTTTTTGACAACTCCTTGAAATACTTATCCCCTTTTCGTACTCTTTATGGCGATGCCTTCCATCCTCGCCGCGAACACGAAGCTTCGAAGCAAACGTGGGTCACTCAGATACACGAGCGTTGACGATGAACCAGATGCTGAGTGGCATAATCTCGAGATGTTCTTGACGGATACTACTATCGAATACCACGCTATCACGATCAGTCAAAAGTCAAGTGACAAGAAAGCCACATGCAGAGTCATCTTTGAGCCCGTTTCTTACGGTCAACTGACGGTAAAGCGTGACAACGAAAGAGCAATAGTCATGACTTTCAAAGTGTATCTCACTCCAATAGTCGAGCTTCTTGGCGAGAAGTCTTTCGAAATCAACACCTTGCCTCTCGCTCTCGTCATTGTCACAGGTGCAAATCACCAGCAACAGGATATTCTTTTCTGGAATAAAGGGTGCAAATCGCGGCGACGACTTGATGATTCGTCTATCAATCTGTAAAATGACAAGGGGCCTATCTACACAGCCACCGCTCTCGCCTCATCAAAGCCCTCTCAATCCACCGTAAAGCCTCTCCCTGTCGAGACAATCCCCTCTCATCCCACAAGCGCACCTTCAATTACCGCCCTTGTGGAGTCACAGGTGTCTTTTTCCTCCCCCACATCGCACTTAGCCAAAGATCCGTCAGTTGATCAGCAGCAAGAAGTGATCAATCGGAGGATTACGATGGTTGTAGCACGGCGGAGACAGGTTACAAAGGATTGTGTAACTGAGCAGAGACGTATTCACAAAAGCGTAGATGAGGTTGCAAAGCTGCAGCTTGAAAGAAGTGTGTGCTGCGGCTGTAAGTGACGCTGTGTAGACACTTCCTCTGGCGATGTTAGAACTGCAGGAACGTCTCTAGAGATGATGAGCATTAATGTCATATTTCACAGCCTAGTACGATTGCCTTTAAGTGTAGATTATGTCCGCCTGTTTCAAGACTTTCTCTTTGCCCTTAGCAAATCTACGAAGTAATCTGAATAAGAAGGCCAGATGCGCCACACAGACCAATTCACTATAGTTACTACCTCCATTCGTCATTATTCAAAGCTAGATAAAAGGTGTCAAATTGACCAGAAAACCGGTACACGTGCATATGTTGGTGACATGTAGGCCAATATGAAGATTTGAAGCCGCCGCTTGCACGGCTTATGATCATATGGGAAACCTGAGTACGAAATGCTAGGTGTTGGATACCAACGAAAGAGTGGAAATGCTACACATCGGGTTTGTGCATAAAAAGGGATGCTTCCTCAGCCAGTATTCACATAACCATCTGCGCAGCTGTGCTAGTACAACAAAGAGGCAATGCCGATCCGCTAGTGTCAACTTGTGTCAACGTTGATATGTTAGGTCTATATCTAAGTATTCGGGACTTTGTGACGAATAACAGATATGTCTTTGGTGATCGAAGCCGCATTAGAGGGAAGTAAGAGGCCTTAAAAGGGTCCAGGACAAGTGAGTCTATATTAGCAGCCTGGCAGATAGCAAAGTCGTTACTGAGTTGGTTCATTCGTCGCAATGTATCGTAAGGTTCAGACCACCTTGAGATACTGTCAGACTGGAGGTTAGTCCTTTAGTTCCACGATCTCGTTTGCGGTGTGTCCTTCCTCAAATTCGTATTCACATTTCAATCGGTTGACAGAATGTGAAGGTTGATTGTATAGAACTACAGTCATTGTCAAATCGACCTTGGTCTGGGCATCAAGTGGGGCAATATGCGTGTCGACAGCTCATTCGCCGGATAGGCGAGCGTCTTGGACAAATCTTCTCAAGAACTTTGACGTTGCTCTCCTCTATCTTCTCAATCATCAGATGTAGACTATACGATCTGCAAGCCTTCATTGTCTCAAAGCCTGACAAAATGATGGCGAATGTCAATATGCCTGACGAAGATCCGGCTGATATTGGGGTCCCTATCCCGCATCCCTCGCAATTAGATGTATCCGGACACCAATCTACGACGTCTGAGCCGAAAGATTCAAATATCCTCATGTCAAATACACATGATCATAATCGTGATAATGTGAATGTGGGTGATGCGAGCCTAGTCGAGCCTAGCGACAAGACCGAAGCCAATTCCCCCAATCCAAATACCCTGACGTCAAGTCCAGCAAGTGCTGAACCGACAGACTTAGATCAATCTGATCCAGATCATGATGCCCCTAAAGTCATTCGCGATGCAAATCAGTCGATGGTAGCTTTACTTGCAGGCATTAGTGCGAGCCTGGAGGATATCAGAGCCATTTCGACGAAGTTCATGAGTATAGTGGATAGCGAGGAATTAAAGGATGCTCGCCGGCAGAACACTCGCCACACTGCTGCTGTGGAGGATCGCAGTGCTTCTAGGAGTATACGGTCAGCAACTAGTCACACTACATCATCCACAAACTCTTCTGATCAGAGTGAAGATGCTGTGCGAAATGGACGAGAGAGACGACAAGGCAGAAGAACCACGAGATCAAGCAGTCGAGGTGAAATTGTAATTGTTGAGGAAACGCCTGTCTTGAGGTCACAAAGATCTAGAGCGCCCAGACAGTCACTTGCTCGACCCCCATCGATAGTAATCGAAAGACGATCACAGGCCCGAAGGGTCACGAACAAGTTTCAAAATCTCACAACCTTAAAATATACAGACTCTCAAGTTGCGATAGTGGAAGTTATTGACGAATTTGAGGACGATGCTGTAAAGGTTACTTTGAAAGGGTATACCCACTTCAAGGTAGAGCCAGGATATTTTCCACACCAGGATCTTTATCGGCAGTTTTTTGGCCGTGCTTAGGACAGTGAGACAGCGAATGACGTTGATAAAGAGAAATTGCTAGATACGTGCTCTGAGTGGTTGAAAGAAAAACGTCTAATCTTCTCGCGTGATGAGCGGTGCAGCTTCGGGTTTGATACAGTTGCTCTTCTTACGCCTCGTGACCTCCAGTACACTCAGCTTCGGATCGAAGAAATAGAGGAGTTTGCTCGTAATTTACGAAAGACAGGAGGTTTCTTTTTCTTCCGGGAAGCTTCCTTTGGGCGAGGCAATAAGATATATAACGGCACGCATGTCTTCAGATGCGAGGATGGTTTGAGAGAGGCACTCCCTAGGCTTTCAGCAAAGCACAAGAATTTTTGCGAGGACTTCCCGGTGGTAAGACCACCATGGCGAGAAGATGATGAGGTCCAGTCACTGAATAACATGGTGAATAAGAGGGAGGAGGCGACAAGATTACAGGAAATTTCCACAAAGCTGGTATACAACCATAGTCATTTGGATCCCTCCGTTCTGTACCACTTCAAGGGATCACCTATTTCTTTCGAGAGAGAGAAAGAATCTGGAACTGTTGTCACGGAAGACCACCTTGGAAACAGGAGCTATGGCTCAGAGATTTGGCAAAGGTTTGAAGATCCCCATGTCACAGGGCCCTGGCGGAGACTTTGGTAGGTGAAAAGCCGTGATGATAAATTTAGAAGCCTGCTGAATTGTATAGCGTACTTACCGGTGTCTCGAATATTTCAAACCTTGAAAGAGATAATATATACGATAAGATACCTCTATTTCGAAAAGATCATAAAATAGATAGGGGTAAGGTATTATACGGCAAAGATGAGATTTCAAGTAGTGAGACCGATGATTGCACGAGTAGCGAGGCAAGCGATGACGGTATCGATATGACATACAATGACCCAGAAGATGAAGGGAGTGAAGACGGAGATGTTGTATTCTTGGAAGAAAGTATAGTACAACATCTCAACTGTGAGCAACTATCAATGCGAAAATACGACCGTAAACGCATCGTCAAGTTCCAATTCTCCTGGTACGAGCTCATTCCCCATGATATTTCTGAAGAATTTCGTTATCTTCAAAGATATTCTGGCAGGCTATATAGAGACAATAAGAAGCGATCGATACAATTGCAATCCTTCATGGTAAGCACTCCAGGTCTAGGAGCACAGCCCCTAATTGATAGAATAGGCAATTGCTTTCTGGCAACAGATTCATGAAGACATGTCCAGAGATTGCCAATATTGGACTCTCATCATCCTCGCGCCTGCCTTCTTCTATCACAGTGAAGGGACTAGTAATTCAGATAAACATACGAGACATTTGATAGCTCCTCTGAAAGACGTGCTGCCAACCATATCTTCCATGCTACAGATGATCATTTCGCGGATCTTGATGCATTGGGCGAAGGTAAGCGGATACATCGAAAAGCTCATTGCTGGCCAAGACACATTTCTGGACGAAGAGCGGCATGATAGCCTTCTTTTCGACGATGATAACTTCACACGATCACGCCAGTATTTCTGGGTCATCAACAGCATTGAGGGATTCGTTTTAATCATTGATGAAACGATCAACCACTATGAAAATGTCAGGAAATGGGTCTGTCCGAAAAACAGGGCGGAGTGGAGAAAGCACGAAATAGGTCTTGATAAACTCAAGTTAATGAAGCAGAGATTTGAAAATCAGAGAAATAAAGCTACCATGCTTCGAGACGGAGTGAGTGCCAGAATTTGACTCTGCCTGCATTTCAAATACTGAAACCTCGCAACCAGCTTTTCAGTGCCAGTTCTGTGTTTGAGAGTCGTCTATCTACCAAACTCGCGCAAAATGTGAGATTGCTTACCTATGTGAGCATCTTCTACCTCCCACTCGCTTTCTGTGCGGTAAGTCTCGAAGTATTCGGCCTTGTAGAGACTTCGCTGACATGTCGCAGGCCCTTTGGGCCATTCCAAACATCACACAGCCCTCAACCCGAACCCCGTTCATTATCGCAGCCGTATTGGTTGGCTTTTTCACATATTTTGTCGTCTTCAATCTCGACGGACTAATCTCATTGGGTTGGACCGCGTATTCTGGGTTCCGTGGCAACCGCATAGAACAGATGTCGACAGATGAGGGGTGGCAGAAACGCGCTCAAAGCTACAGGAGCTTTCAGCCTGACAAAGGTAAAACTAAAGATTCGGAATGGTATATCTTGCTCTATGCCCTTCTCCATCCGTTTAGAAGGTCTCGGGGTCTTGAGGACAGTGCACAAGATGACGAGGAATATTCGTCTTCCGAGGATACATCCATATCTACCCGAGCCTCCAGAACAAGTGATGCGGAGAAAGCGCCAACAAAGCCTTGGAAACTATGGCCGCAAAAATTGCTAAAGAAGATGCAGAGGGATGAAGAGGGATAATGACGAGAACGTAGCAGGTTTGGCGTAAAACACAACATTACAAGTCCAACTTGATGAGAAGGGCAAGTCACCTCTTTTAGAAGGTCTTGACCTGGTTTGAGCGAACGAAATGACAAATCTGGACTGATTAGGCGTACTCCATGTTGAAATCAGATCTTTGACTGATTCGGGACGTTTTATCTGCTGAGAATGGAGGCGCCTAATGCTTGAAGCCATTCCTTTGGTTGACGCTACATCTACGTCTTTGGGAGGCTCTGATGGCATTTGCGCGTGAACAAGGTCGTTCTTATGGCTGCAACTTCCGTCTCAGGATAGCAAAGACCAGATAGCCCTGGGATTGCAGAGGTATGGTTTCACCCATGTCATTTTGCCAGCTTGAAAGTATCAGTCCATGATCCCATTTAAAAGAAAGGAGAGCAGCTTCATATATCCACAGTCTCCATCATTTGTGAAGCCTAGTCAGATCAATTCCGCCATCTGTGCGCCAAAAGGGGACTAGCTTAGGACTAGTACTAGCGGCCGATCTATAGATCTAGATTGCCGAACTCAATCCTTCATCCTTACTGCTATCATATGCGAAGCTTGCATGATCTTTCCGTGTTGTATATACCGCGTGAGCAAAGACTAGTCACGTATCGCATTAGTGTGCAGAGAATAGTGTAACCTGAGAGTAGCTATGTGCCGAGCAAAGCATTTGAATGATTAGTCCCAACCTCACTCCACAAGGCTTTGAAGCTCTACTAAGGTCAAGCTCGTTCGATATCTTCGACAAAGACGAGAGATAGCTTCACTGGCCTGTTCTCATTCGAAGTTCAGTCAATCAAATACTTTAGTAAGTCTACCCAGACCAACATCCACGCTTTTGATGGGGAAGCAGGTCTGGTGTGCTGCTTACCTCACGTACCCTGACCTTGCGTAGTACTCTTCAAAAAGGTACTCCTAGAATGTAACAATACCATAGTCAATCTTATCTTACACAACATACTTCCGATTTCTCAGTGAAAAACATATGTCGCACTTTTGACTTGGTCTGCCTAAATCCAAAGTTGTATTGAACCCCTTTCAATGTGATTTCGCCCTGACGAATGATATTTCTTGGCTTTTTGATCATCAGACTGTACATTCGAAAGCTTCAGCTCCCCCAACTTCGGGACTTGCGCGTACTATTAGGTAAATTTGTCGAGTATGTTTAAAAACAGCTTGCTGGCGACTCTGTCACCGAAGATCACCGTGAGATTTACTCAAAGAGTTTTCAAACCGAACAATTACCCCTACTCGCTAAGGGCTCGCTGCTACGTTACGACACCGCCAAAGATGACGGTAATCCAAGCTGAATCTTTGAACAAGCAAAAGCTTTCTGACGCCCTCAACGAGATTCCAGCCGTGCTTGATGAACATACCGAGTCATCAATTGGTCGTGATGATACCGTCAAAAGCAACAGTGTCACGCCTTTCTTTCGAATACAGCGAGCAAAACTTTTGCACGTTTTGAAGGGCGTAGTCGTGGCCACGAAGACATCTGAAGATAACGTGCGGCCCGTTGAACTTTGGATCTCTTCTTATGGCATTCCTGGTCTGGAAACACTTTCTGAAGGCGTCAGACCCGGTGCCCTATCATTTCACGGGTGGCTAGATGGAATGAAAACCGCAATAATCGACAGTGAAGATCAACGTCAGCTGATGTTGCTGACTCTCGGTGTCACATTCTTGCGAGAGAAGAGCCGGAATACTCTCAGCCCCCCAATGACTTCTTCGGATCTCGCAATCGTCTGGCGCCTGATTCATGCCTCGCTCACTTCTTTGCTGGTAAGGCAACCTTTCAGCAACGCCTATCGTAGTGCACAGGGACTACTGGCCGTGCCACTCTGTAGCTTAATGAATGATGGGAATATTGAAGAGCTCTTTCGACTGCACGTATGGTTACCCGATGGGCAACGCGGAAATCCTGATCTCGCAATCCACTCCCATCAGCCTTCTGCTCAAAGCTGGGTCTTGGCCGGACAAGCAACCGATGTTTCTTATCACGTTGAGTCCACTCAAGATTCTGAGAGTGCTACTCATGCGGAGTATACGCTCGCTTGGAGCGACGGCAAGAACCCTGAAAAAATCTACCGTACCACTCAAACCTACTCTGTCGCGAAAGAGACCTCGCGATTGATGATTGCCAAGCCATCAAATACTGTAATACACGCCCGGGATGTGACCTATAGTATTCCTGCAGCGGCGTACCACGTAAGCGAAGTTGAACCTGATGCTCTACATGCCACGCTCTTTTATTTCGATTCTAGTCGCGGTTTCAAAAAAGATGCTGGCGTCTTGGGGCCAATCGGCGCCGAAAGCTTCACTCAGCTTCGAGATCCTGGAGGTTCAACGCCAGGGCTACTGGCAAATAAGGTTGATATATTACGGTCGTGGGAGGATCACATGAGCGAAGGGCATAGACATGCTCGACGTGCCGAGCTAGAGCAGGCTTTGCGATCTCTAAACAGCGCTCTCAACTTGATAGATATCACTCCGGGATTTCCGAACGCTACTCGGTACAGGCACCTTGTCTACGGAGAGCTTGCACATATCAACAGAGGTTTTGGCAGGTACGAGCAAGCCAAGGATATCCTAGAGAGGGCACTCTCTGAAATGGGACCGAGTGTACAGCGTGTCGAATTCAGTGGCGAGCTAGGTGTCGTGTATCGGCACATGGACCGCTTGGCAGACGCAAAGCGTGCATTTCAGACACAGTACAATGTTGCGAAGCAGCTCCACCACGAACAAGCAATGTGCCGGGCGATCGGCAATCTGGGTATGGTCAATTATCAGCTTTCCCAACAAACCCACGATGCCATGGTGCTTCAATTGGCCACAGATCAATTAAATGAGCGTGTTCGCATTGCACGCCAAATAAAAGACAAGCTCGCACTAGCAGCAATGGACCCGACTACGTTGGCCCAACAAAGAACATATGCCAGGACTCGGGAGGTCATAGGGCTTTCACGCTTATCACTGTGCTATGCTGCTCAAGGCAACAGGCACGACGCAATCAATGCAGCCCGTGACTCTCTCAATGTAGCTCAAAGGTTGGACGATTCGACAGTGATAGCTATGTCACGCTTCTTCTTCGGGCGAGCTTTATTGCAAGACGGACGTGAGACAGAGGCCATAGAACAATTCAATTTCCCTGGAGGCTGCACACCAGCTGTAGCGTTATGTAGAGAGCCATCGGAGGAGCATCGCCAGTATCTATTGGAACTAGTCAGAGCTGGTGTAGACTTGGAGGTCGCTGATGCTACGGGCAATACCTGTTTAGACTACGCCGTGTTCAACAACGATGCAGCGACTGTACAGATCGTCATTGATAATCTTCGCCGAACTCTTGGCAGGGCCAAAGAAGATCAGATCGCACAGCGAATGATGAATTCAAGGCTCCGCAAAGGCTATCGAGAGCTTTTCCAGGAAAAACTTCGTCCCACCCTCCTCAGCAATGCCAAGGCAACTGATACCTTAGCAAAACTGAGACGTGTATATGCCGACGCCCTGAGTGCAAGTGGTTATCAGGAAGACTTATTCGACACACTTCGAGTCTTATCCTACTCAGCTCTCTGCGCTTTTGGCAGACTGCCCAGGTCAAGCGACGCTTTAGCTCACCCGATTCGGCCCAGACTGAGCGACGCCTCCACGGGGTCTGACTTCGTGATCTTTTTATCATACACAAGAATAAATCCTGGGCCTTTGACACCAGATGATGAAAACAACACACTGTATCACCGAATGCTCAATGCAATAGAGCAGTTTCTAGATACGCATCCCAATGTTGACAAGAGAAGTTTGAGCATCTGGATTGTATGTCTTCTCAACATATGTTGGTTGTATATCACTGACTTTTTCGTGAAGGATCACGCTTGTGTCGACCAAGACGATCCCATGCGCGGCGTATCAGCCTTGCCCATGATCATCGCACAATGCGATGCCGTCATCAGCTTAACAAATGATCGATACTACACTCGCGCATGGTGCTGTCTCGAAGCTATGATGGTACAAAATTTGAGGAAATCCTACGGACTGCATCTTTGGTATGAACATACGCAAGAGAAAGACGGTGAGCTTTCAAGCTTGCGAGAAGGTCCACTAGATCTACAGCTCTCTTCTATTAACGCGAAAGATTTGAGCTTTGAGTCAGACCGACCGAAGCTTTTGTTTCTGGAGAGGCAGATGGGACTGTTATGTTAAGCATGTCAAAAAAAACTCGAGACTGGACTTCTGCAAAGAGCGAATGCTTTTCTTCAAACAATTTCCGCATTTCCTCTATCGGTCAGCGGCATTGGCACATCAAAAGCCAATACTCAAACGATAAAGCACATCTTGACAAAACCAAATTAGAGGAAATTTTAGCCGCTCAGTCCGGAAGCTTAATGCTCATCCTTCAACACACCACCAATGCAGTACACCTATACCTGCGGTGTATCTTTCGTATGTGCCCACGCATTCGGTGCAACGGGTCCATGCTCCCTCTTCCCATCTGCCACAGCTTTCTCGTGTTCCTCAACTAGGTTGTGGATGGCCAAGCTGTCAAGGAAACTCTTCATCTGGAAGATCTTGCCCTCTTTGTTGAAGCGGACCAGGTCGACGGTTTCATAGACAAGATGACGGCCTGGATGGAAATACTCAGCGGCGAGTCACGGGCAGAGAAATTTGGGCGGCTTAGAGTGGTTGAGCGCAGAGGGAAGGGGCAGTGGAAAGGGAGCTCGCACCTTCTTTGGACTCGCATTCATAGTGGACCTCTACTGCCGCCCACTGGAGAACATCTTTGTCAGTATACCGGTGCAACATGAGCTGAAGCACAGCCGTCGGACTTAAAGCCTGCTATTCGACTCAAGAGCAAGGGATGTACTAGCGAGGACGACACTTGAGCGGGCTGTATTTGCAAAGCATTTCACCTACCGGACTCTCACCCCCTCCGATGACCCTGTTCACCTCAAGTCGCAGAGTCTCTTGCTTCACGGCGGCATTGATTCGAACGTATATCTTGTTATGGAATTCCTCCAGGGACTTGAACTTGCCGCTGATGTTGAAGTCGTTCCCTGTGACGGTGATGTCGATGTGATCGGCGAGGTAACTATGGAACTCCTCAGTATTGATACGGTGGAAGAATATCTCTTCGATCTCGTGGGCGGTTGGATAGGGTGCCATTCTGGATAGTGGAGCAGTCGGATGCAGAGCGAGGGACAGAAGATTTGGGTACTGAATGGGACGGTGGAAGTGGTAGAGCGACGCTATATAACATAGCTACCCATGACGCAGCTACTTCAGCCACGTAGCTCACCCCGCTTCTGGAACCCGTTTGTGAAATAGCCTTCTTCGTTGATATGCAACTAATGAGATCCGACTAATGCTAGTAGCTTTCACCGAGGATCTCCGACGTTCTAGCGCCAGTCACTGGACCTCTGACAAGTCTGGGCGGCGTCAGAGGTCAAGCTAGACGATGCAAAGTCATCGCTACACCTGTCATATGCAATGCGGAGAGCCGTGGCGTAAAGCTTGCATAAAGCTTGGGGGAACGTGTCAACGAATGAGAGTCACCTTCCCTCCCAGATGCCGGACTCGTGGGCGCCTCCTACGTGACCTCAGATATGTGGGCCTATCATTAGATGTATTTCACTGAAACCAGCTCCGTTCCCCACGTGAATATGCAAATCACTTTGGCATTTGTCATCGACAAGCATTCTAGTCGCTGGTGAGATTTTCGCATCTCTCCTCAATGGAGCATTGAAACCACTAGGTGTGTCTAAACCTTAGAAAGCCTGCTAAGTCGCCTATACTGAACATCGACCCTCAAAGATATGTGGAACTAAGGCCTTCATATTCTTCTTCTATCTGAGACGTTCACATATAAATTTAAGATCTAGGTGCTTCCTAGGTCTATACGTGAAATCTCCAGGGGACCTATTGACACCGAGAATCAATTGAAAGTATGTATGTCATCTGGTGTCGTTCTCATTGACGGCATGGGTTGCTTTGCCAATGAGAACATCTGTCTTACTTTCTGCAAAAGCGACTCTTGACTTTAAGGGTTTTTTGTGAGCAGAACTGTCAAAGAGTATGCATCAACGTCGGTCTCCATGATTCGCATGGATGTATGAGCCCTTGCACGCACCACTCTTGATTTCCGTTACTGTGGCAGTGCTTATTCACTTGTCCTGTGGGGGCCATGGACTTGAGTAACGTTTTAGCCTCGCATTCCGCGCTTCCAGCAAGCAGGGTGGTAACAACAATACGCGAGTCTCTCTCTATCAAGTGGTCAAGATCTCATCTATTCAGAGTGGTTTAATTCCTGCCCGGAAGGAACCGCGAGAAGGCTGGGCTTGAGGTAGCCGCCCAGCTATCACACCATGATCAAGACCCCTCTTCCCCTTTCGGGAATAGCCATATCAAGAGCTGCATTAGCCTCGTTAATTGGAAGGATTTACCCGTCTCAACCTATCATAGATGTGGAGGCTCACATTTAGTATGTTTCGAATATGATAACGATCTACCCTGTTTGGGGGCCACATGTGGGGATATCTTTACGACATGTGAGTGACCGTTGTATTCTGGGATTCGCAAGACACAAATTTTAGTCTTGTTTTGTACATCACAATGGCCGATAATACATTCTTTTCGGGAGCCTCCAATATTCAGACGGGGATATTCAACTCAGGTCCAGCGCAATCATTTAATCAGCCATCAATCCCCAAGCCAGAGTCCATAGTGCCGCCTCTTACAACATCAGTAAATCTTGGGGCGCTCTCTACTCCTCTGTCATCTCTAAGCGATTGCGAGAACAATCTGTACTACATTGACAAAGCCTACGCGAATCGCGGTTGCAAATTTGATGCCTGCTGCCCCTCCGGTGTGAGCTACACTGTCGATTTTGCCTGGCTCTCCAGCTTTTACAGTCCGGGAGTATGTCCTTTAAAGTACAAAACCTGTTCGCCATATATAGGGCTGTCTGTATCATCTGACGAGACCATTGCATTCTGTTGTCCAACGTAAGCTGTATATCCTGAACAGTCAAGGCCAATTTCTAAATGAGTTACGGTTGATCTAATATAAGATATGCAGTGATCTCAACTGCCCTCCAACTACGACCGAGGAAAGGGATACAGCCCCTTTCGCATGCTACGCGACGCTTGATGCGACCGATATTGTCACTTATATAGAAAGCGATGTCGCAATGCAAGATCCTGCTTCGGACGGTTCTGTCCAAACTAAAATTGCGCTGCCAATTCAAATCCGGTATAAATCGGCGGAATTGACAGGTTCGGGGAGCGGAGCGTCGATTATACTGCCAACAGCAACTTTCATATCACATCTTCCGCCACCGACTACATCACCCGTTCCACAAACAACTTCCAAAGGCGGTTTCGACAAGGCAGCCAAAATTGGCCTTGCTGTGGGATTAGCTGTTGGAGTACCCTCTTTAGCATTGGTCCTTTTTCTCCTATGGCGCTTTAGGAAAAGAGTCAAGAAACCGCAATCTGTCGACGCTGAGCCAGAGCAAGTCATACAGACGCAAGTGCCCAACAGCAGGAAATCACGTGTGAACGATACGCAGCCAGAAGTGGACCAGACAGAGAAAGTCAACGAGAAGACGCACGTGAATGATACGCAGCCACAGGTAGACCAAGAAGTGAAGACAGAGAAAAAAACCTGGAGGCACCGACTTGTATGCCTTTAGTATTGTCGATAATTCCATGAAGCATTGTTGAATGCGGGGTCAACTCCCTCACAGAGACCGAATTGAATATGAGTGAGTAGAGACGCTTGTGTATGGCTGTGTTAACATTGCGCACAGTCTATAGAGTCAGAGAGGTCAGTAAATAATTTGCCATCATGTTTGTAAGATTTGCTAAAGAATAAGTCCATCCTCAAACAAAAAACAGTTTTTTTCAAGTGTGCGCGCTAGCGCATTCTTAGCTCCGCTAAACCCGAGCGCCATGCACATCGCTGGTGGAATTTCCTTCCAGCACCCTGATACGATTTGATATCCATTGACTGGTGTACGAGATAGATTCTCAATGTGAAGCAATCAGCGATTCTATCATCGTGAAGCGAGTGAAGTATCGGGCTACGCTGATCGCAACAAAATATGGCTGCCTGGCGCATGTCTCAGCCCTCAGGCCATCGCATCTAGCGACAATCCCCAACGCACAGCCTTCACTCAAACATCCTCCACATCCCCATCTTCATCTACTAGTGGTCCTGTTCCAGCTTCCAGCACTTCAAGTGCCAGACTTGAAATGATGCAGCCGTCATTCAATCCCATCTGCCTGATAATCTCATTCTGCTTGGCGGCGCTAGCCTCACCTGCGCTCCGACATCCAAACAACAACAACAACAAAACTCCCCAAATCCCCTTTTCACTTCCCGTAGCCCCCACCTGGGAAACCCACGGCTCCTCCCTCAGCCTCTCACTAACCGCCTACACCGCGCCCCTATCCACCTACTCCGACGTCATCGACTTCCTCGTCGCCCTCGACGACGAGGTCTACCGACGTCGTTCCGCCCCCCAACAAGCCCCCGACGATGAGCTAGACGGCCACTTCCAATTCGCCACGCCGGAAGGCATCGAGCTGGAATTGAGCGAGGTTTCTGGCGCTCCGGTACCGCTGGATCTTGGCATGGTGGAGCAGCTGATGTGGTTGCTTTTTGAGTGGGCGTTTGAGGAGGAGAGGAGTAACATTTTGCCGTCTGTGGGGGAGATGAAGGTGAGGTGGGTGAAGTTTGAGGAGCCCGTTGCTGTGGGGAGTGTGGGGATGTCCGGGAATCTTACGGGGGCTGTTTAGGGGGTGAGGTGTTTGCTTTGGTGGGGACTTTACGGGGGGTAAGTCTGTGTTCAAGTTGCTGTTCCGACTGATGAATGCCGACTGATGAATGCAATGGATCAGACGGCAATGTTGGGATTGAAGACACCTCATTTGGACGTTGTGGGGGTAGGTGAGTCAGTCGAGGTGGAAAATCTACGTGTCTTGCAATGCTAGGCCTATTCTTTAATCCCAGACATGTGGTGCAGAGTGCTTTTATGCCGTCATTTTTTTCTTCAAGCGAGGATCTGTCTTTATCACACTTGGAAATAGCTTTCAGGATCATGACAACGTGCGTTTTACTTTTGTCCACCCTAGAACCCACTGTTCTACAAGGTGTTTTGTCCACAGAGATATCAGGGCCGCCTTTCCCGCATGACAACACTTCTTCGCTACTACTACACCTCTCAATAAGCCTACTCCTACCCGGGAACCCCATTCAATTATATCGCATCCGCCACGAACGCACTGTCTGCCAACTAAGTTGTTGAGATCGGCCTATGCACCTCAAATCAGCCTCCCTATATTCCACAAAGAAGCGACACGCCAGTCTGTTTAGGCAGGACCGCTTACCCATCCAAAACATGCACAACCCCATTCCTCACAAAAACATCCGGCACAACAACCCTCGCCCCGCCAACCCTCAATTCCGGGAACTCCCCCACACCGCTCAACACCACGCTCTCCCCCCCAAGCGTCTTCACACCCCTCCCATCAAAGCTATCCCCATAATACACGCCCCCAACCACCGCATACTCCCCCAGCAGATCCAGAACCGAGCGCGACAAACACTGCGGCTTGTTTAAAAACCCCTTGACCGCGGCAGCGAAGGCCTCGTTAGTGAGAGCAAAGATCGTGACGTCTTTCGTTTCTTCAAGAGCGTCGAGGAGGCCGAACGCAGAGGCGTTGAGAATGGAATAGTTCGGTGCGACGGGGAGGGCGGTGTCGGAGAAGGTGGCGGCGATGGAGAAGGTGACGTTGATGGGGTTGGAGATTTTGTGGACGAGGCCGCCTTGGAACGCGAGATTCTGTGCCCCGGGCAGGTCAGTTGAAGATCTTTGGGGAAAGGAATGCGATATAGGAGGTCAGATCAGATAGGACTGGAAGGGAATTGCGCTGCTTACGGCGCCGGTGTCAAGAACGTTTGCGCTCACGCCTCCGCCAGCGAGGAAATTGCTTTTGTCATTGAGCTTCACGAGACGAGCAACGGCGGCGCCGAGGGAGAGGTTGGCGTAGGTGGAGTTGGTGAGTTTGGATTCGTAGTATACGGGCTTGGGGGTGAAGTCGTCGGTGGAGTGAACGCCTTCTACGACGATCTGCTGTAGCACGGCGCGGACGAATGCTTTGTCTGTGAACGGAGGGACATCGAGGTCTCTGGCAGGGAAGGTGTCGTCTGGGGCAGCGAAGATTGTGACGTCTTTGACGGTTTTGTACAGGGATATGAGCTCGCTGTCGCGGTTGATGAGGGTTCTGATGATTGTGAGATCGCTTTGATCTTCGATTAAGGCAAGTGCGTTGGGGTATGATGCTGGAGCGGCGTAGGTGAAGGGAAGAAGAAAGCAGGAAAGCAGAACCGAAAGCTTTAATGTCATTTTGACAGATAGTTTGTAGTATCCTAGGGATTATAGAGAGGAAGAGAACGAATTAGGTTGAAGACCTCAGAAATGAGTACTAGCTCTCAAAACTTGTCAAAGTGGAAGGACGGCAAGATATATGAATGTTTGCTTTCACCCTAGCAACTAAGCCTGATTGCACCTGTATGACAAACAAAACGTATGTGAGGACAAGTCGGCCTGTCAAGGGCGTAAAGTTTCCCATTCACTTACAAAAGCCCATCTGAAAGCCTTTCCAACGAATAGTTCATTCGTGAACATCGCTTTCGGCTTCTTTCGTACGAAGCTTTGGATATTTACTTGTCATAGTCCGAGCAATGCCGATGCAAAGGTCTAAACATGCATGCTGGAACCATAAAGATTGCAGCACTGTGATCTCATCAAGTAAGTTCTGTCTCTATCCAAGAGACTCTATTCAAGATCGATTCCGACATCGGCTTGGCCAAGTGGAAACCCAATGTATTCTTGCAATGCTGATTCAGCAAGCACGATGGGCAGGGACTGAAAGAGCTAGATCCTGCGAAGCTTTAAATATGGTTTCATGTCCACTTCAAGTCTGTACTAGGAATGGTAGAGATTCAAGTCCGGAGAAAGTTAAGGGGTAGTCGTGGGCTGAAAGATCTTCCTGATGCACGACTTGCATGCTTGTCATCAAAGCGCGCCAATTGTAGCTGAGTACCCCGCAACAACCCCAATTGGTACTTACAGAGCAACTTTAGCATCGCGAGGAGATACTCAACCTCAAATCCACAAGGCCTTTGTTGTAGATTGGCTCTTCAGTAGCGAACACCGGCCAGATCTTCAGCTTTGTGCTTCCTACTTCCACGAACGCTCATGATACAATAACCTTGAACCGAGATTGCACGACGGCTATTGAAAAGAGCAGAGTAATCTCAGCTTCCGGGCTGAAATAGAGTCTTCAGCACGTGTTACACAATTGCACAAGCTCAATATCACAAGTATATGAGTGCTTAGACTATTCTCAAGAATCAGTCTCAGGTTCAGCGTCGCCATCCCTCTTTTTTGTGACCTTGAGGCCTCGTGCCCTCTAGGTACACGGTCCGTCCCCAACAGTCTTGAAATGGTTCTTTAAGTCCTCCATCGCCTGCTCCTCTGTTGTATCCCATTCTGGCTTGTCCTTCCCCATATTTTTAGCCATGCTGTACTTACATTGTTTATTCAAGTCCTGCGCAATGTCCAACATAGCCTTTTTCCCTCCTTCATCTCCCTCAAGAAATTTGGACTTGTCCAGGTTGTAAGCAAATTTACATGTACCTGGTTTTCCGCTGAACATCGCATTCACATGAGGTCCCTTCACCGGATCATAGTCCCAACGCACTGCCCAATAGAGGCGTGTCCCAGATTGGAAAGTCTGTTTGTTTTCCGCGGTGCCTATAGTAAGTTTCTTCGCCAGGGTGTAATGACCCTCAAGACCTGTGACGAAAGAGTTGGGTTTGTCCTTGGGGAACTTATTCGTAATGATACCCTCGGCCGAGTCCATTGCCGAGCTGATGAAGCTCTTGCCTTGCTTATCGGCACCAAAGTTGCTGAGAGCGTCTTTGAGGGGGTTAATGGTGGATAAGACTTCCTCTGCCCGTTTCACGAGACGGTCGCCTAGAAAGTTGGAAAAGAGGGATCGTTTGACCTTCTTTCCACCTGGGCAAGCTTTGGGGGAGATTCGACCTCGTCACCATCACCGCTTTCATCTGCTTTATCACCTTCATCTCCGCCGTCACCTTTATCTCCACTGTCACCATTTCTTCCTGTGTCGCCTTCATCTCCTCCTCCAGAGCCACCTCCGTTTCCGTTTGACCCTCCTCCGCCTTCACAATCTTGGCAACCAAAATTACCACCTCCTCCACCCCCAACATTTCCCCCTCCATTTCCAGTGGGTGGTGGCCCGCTCTGTGTGCAGAATGGCCAGATGCAGTTTGGTGCCGTCCCTGGCGGGCCCCAAAATAGACCACCTGGGCCTACAACAATCGGTCCCACGAACGTCTGAACTGCGTTATCTGCACCTTGTGACTTTGTTACGGTTGCGGTAATAGTTTTCGTGTCTTTCTGGTCCTTCAAGGAAGTGAAAGTAGCACGTGTGTACGTCAGCACTCCGCCTTGGTAGGGAAATGTGGTTACAGTCGGAGCATTGGCGTCAGCGTTAAAAGCATCAGAAGCGGTGGATACGGCAGCTCCAGCTGTGACCTGTGCGGGTAGGTCGCTTGTGCTTGCCTTGCCGCTAGGTCCATCATCTCCGACCGCACTTTGAGTTTGGAGGGTAGGCTTCGCTGTCGGACAAGACTCAGCGGTGGGTTTAGTCGTGTAAGAGCCGCAACCCAGTGATGTTTTGTCTTGGTAGACCGAGGGAACGAGAGGAGCGGCTATCCCACCGCAGTTGCAGTAGTCGAACGGGCAAGCTTGACCATCGCCTGCAATCACATAGGCGCAACCTGGCTCACCCCAACAGCCCGGGATATTCGCTACGCTTGTAGTAGGACATTCTGAAGCAAATGATGGAGAAAGAAGGGAACACAGGAGAAAGAGCTTAGAAATGAGTCTGTGGGACATTGTGATCTAATATGTTCAAAAAATCGAGCAGATCAAAGTTCTTGCGGGTTAGACATCAGGATAGTAACGACATCTCATGAAAGTTCTCGCGTGAGTAATGCGAGAAGAAAGATATTCGTCAGCTCTCTTGACCTTATATGCAAACAATCTATGGTGCACAACATCATGGAGGTGCAAACCTTCTTGGCAAGCAAAGGCACGAAATGAAAGGGGTTGGCACGTAATGCTTCAGCCTCATCACAACAGGAGCTCATAAAGCAGCAAGTGAGCCGGTAACACAAACGCCAGCCCAACATGATATCCTCTGGATTTCCTACAGGAATCTTACATTATTTTTTCCGAACGCTGGAGTCGAGGTGGCATCGGTGCCGCTGAAGATGAAATATGAGATGCAGGACCTTTGATCTACACAGGATGCATGCGGAGTGTACAGATCGAAAGAATTGACAAATTGTCGGATGTAAGAGTGTGGCAGATGCTTGGCAGATGCTTGGCAGATGCTTGGCAGCGGTCTTGAGCTAAATTTAGGGTTCCGGAAATGCCATACTTAGTCCCCGGGGCTAGTGCTTCATTGATCTAAGGTATACTCACACCAGATATCAGACCTTCTACGGCATGCCAGGACGCAAAAGTAAGTATCCCGGCAGTTATAGAAGATCTATTGACAAAGGCTGAGCTATGTGCTTCAACGGCGTGCATCCCAGATACGATAATTCGAAGGCAAGTGACGTGCACATTATCGGCCCAGCGTGCATTGCATCTGCAGCTGAACGAGGCGCACATCACTGCCTACCTCAAACTCGTATTCTCAGTATATCATGAAACATCAACAAGATTCTCGTCTGTGTGTTGGGGAACGAATTCTCACAACATATGCACGCACCTGACCCTGAATGCGCGAAGCCTCCATGAAATTTGCAAGATCCAACATGACAGGACGACATTATGTATGCTGAATGAATACTCTTTCAAGTGCCAGATGGATCACCGACTTTTCAGGCATCTCTACAGTAAAAGTGGATCCCCGCCTTGTCTCAAAAGCAAGACGAGTTTTGAGATTGGAACCAGCCTCTCGCTGCTTTGACAAAGTATTCCTCCCCAATCGTGCACTAATTTACGATGGTCAGGGCCCTATATTATAATAGACGAACCATGAGCTTCGTTGCACTTTCAGCGTCGTCAAGATCCCCATTACTCTTTCACCCGACCCAACGTTCCCACTCTCACAAAATCAAAAGCCCCTCACAAAACCCCAATGTCTCGCCTTCTCGTACTTATCGCAGCGATCCTCCCCCTTTTCCTATTCCTTTTCCCAACAATGGCTTCTCAAGACTTCGCAGCTCCGCGCCTTCCTCGAGGCGGCGCCCTCTTCAACTTGGAATCGCGCGCTCTATCGTCCCGCGCAGACGACGATCTCGGCAACGACTGTGGAGGTGATGCGGACTGCACAACCACAGAGTGGGGCTGCCAGTGCGGCTTTACCGACGGCTCTTGGATAACGGACGAGCCTTCTCAAGACGCTTGTAAGAAGGCAGGGGGTAAGAAAGTCATTTTGCTTTCGCTTTCCTCTTCTTGTCTATGCTGCCGTTTATATTTTGTTCCGTTTCTTATAGCCACCGAAGAATCACTCGCTTCTGTGATAAGATAAGACCCCGCAGCTTTCTTCCCTTCTGTCTCAAACACGTGTACCACCTACTAACAGAGTGACTGACGTTGTAATTTAGAGGATTGCATTCATGATTTAAATGGCTGTTGCAGCGGTACCTGCGCAGAGGACAAAGGAAGTGGTAGCTTGAAATGTCTGTGATTATGAAATGAAAGAGCGCCGAGCCGCAATGTCGCGGGTTATGATCATGTCGTCCAATTCCATTCAACGAGCATTGAAGGAGAGAGAGAACAATTATATGCTTAAGGCTTCAAGTCGAGCGAATGTTCAGCTTGATATACGCATGTATCGAGGGAATTTTGTAGTTGTACACGCGCTCCATGTCCTATATCCAATCCCAAAGCTCGTAGTTAGTGCCCTGTTCATAACCAACAGCCGTTCATTGCTCTTGCTACAGAGCTGTAGAGACCTCAGTCATAACCACCGCTTCCACGACAGGTTCCAAATACCCATCCCCCAGCGCCCCCCTCCCCTCATCCCTAACATAAAACAACAAACCCACCTCCTCTCGCTCTTGCTCAAACCACTCCTTTAACCCTTGAGTGAGAACACAAACATCACCCCACGTCATCTCATTCAAAATCGGTCCACCCGCAATGCCAAAGACTGCTTTCTTCCCTTGCTCAGCCTCGGCGTCTGGTGTGGTCCATGTAAAGACGCCTTCGAGGGTGGTCGATTGTGGGTGTTTAGAGGCTTCATGATTCGCGCCGCTAAGGAGGCTTGCGATTAGGGATCTCGATAGATGTTTTCTCTCATCGAGGATTATGTCTAGTGTTAGGGTTGAGCCGGGGATAGTGTAGATGATGTTTTTGCGCTCGGGCGCTGTGGTGGTGGACATGCTTGTTGAGGAGTTGGGCTTCAGAAGATTGAGGCACGCGGGAATGGTGAATAGTGCGGTCAAGGCGAGCAAGTTAAGGTGAAGAGGGTGCATTGGAGGTGACAGAAAGGGTTTTGTTTTTGTAGATCTGCGCCGCACACACGAAACATTTGTAGTGAATGCAGGTGAGACAAGGCGCTTAAATGTGGCGAATTTGGACGAAACACTCTGAAAAGAGAACATATATCAATTAAGTTGACACAATTTGCTTACTAAATCCCTGAAGTCTATACGATATATGTCGCTGTATTCAGAAAGATCGCTCCTCTGAGCGAACACATCTCCTGGTACTTAATAACGTAGACCGTTACTGAGAGGATGCTAACGTTTGTCTACATAGTATAAATGGCTGCGATAGGCAGCTTAAATAAGAAGTCTTCGTTCGCGTCGACGCTATATCTTTGTTCGTTGTTTTAATGTGGTTCTACTCTATAATTGAGCATAATATATAAAATACTTTAGTCCTCGTATTTACTTCTATTCGTTCTTGCATATAGAGTAGTATAATATATTGACCGCGGAATAGTCTACTTTGGCCGGGTCTCACCTCTTGTCGCTATTTGAGAGCCAATCATGAGCCTGCAGGCTACCGTTACTTCCCAAGGGAGGACACATAGTTCATAAGTCGTTGTATTTGCAGCTTTACAAACCCTACGGCTGCATCGCAACCCGAGCGGAAAAAGAAGGCAGAAGCAGGAAGAGCGCGAAGAGAGACATTAAGTCTCATACGTTCGGTCTTAGTTCTTTCTTGTGAGTATCAAAGCACTTGTTGTGGACAATGGTAACGTGTCTCCTATCACTCGCTATCTAGCGAATGTCGCGGAAATGAACAATTACGGCATATCCCTTGAGACAAGTTGCGCTGATATCAGATGCATTAGAAAGAGGAGAAACTAATATCTCATTCCTCCGATAGCGAATGTGTCCCTGCGTTCATCATAAACTTCCAAAACCCATCATTGCCCTTCCTCGAGCCGTTTCCTCACTTCCACCAATCTTCCCTTCGGCTCTCTACCCCGCGTTCAGCCCCAGCTTTCGATCAAGACCTCAGTTAGGGTTGCAATAATAGCTGCTGATCTTATCATTGAAATTGATGGTAGTCAGATCGGGATAACCTGGCGAGTAGGTCCCGAAATGACCCTCGGAGTCCTGACAGTTATTGGCGCTAAAATAGCATTTCTCATTATTCCAATACCATATACGAAACGGTGTGGCTCACCTGAAGAAAAAGCAATAAGGTCCTTGATCCGGCCCGACTGATGATACCTGGTCGTTCAGATCACCTCCCAAGGGTACTATTCCATAGTCAGCTTCCCACGTCCTCGTTTCCTGCGCATTAGGAATAATGAAGCAGTGGCCTTGCTTACCGCACTTATACAAAGGCGCAACAATATGAACGCAATATCCCTGGAAGTTACGATCGTTGCACAAGTATACTCCAGCATTCGCACGTTTCTGCAATTGATCCTTTGCTGGCTCTTCCTGAGCTAACGCGCGTGGAACTAGGTCCTTGGGGAGACCATCGGGAAAGACTTCAACTTGCGTTCCCTCGGGGTATTCGATACCGTCAATGACGGGGGCTGCGGAAGCAGAGACGATCAGAGCGGCGATTGCTGTGGAGAGAGCGAACTTCATGGTGAGAGCTGAATGTGTATTGATTGAGTCAATTGGAAGGATTGGGTTTATTGGACTTTGAGTAATTGGTGAATTGTGGGTTGAGATGATGGATCATAGCTGGATTTCACTCTCTCTTTATACCCTTTCTCCAAGGCTTAGATCGGGTACTCAAATTTAATGGATATCATTTCGATTACGACCTTGTGCCGTGAAGAGAAAGATGTCGTTGCTTCCAGTCGTAGCAACCGATGCCATCCGCTTTTCTCTCTGCTTTGATGAGCTTGTGGAGTTGGTACGAGCAGAGATTTGATTTGATCTCGCAAAAGGGGTGTCCCCATCTGCGGAGCATGATGTTGACAATGTCAGGCAACTCTTGATAAGCGTCGTAGGAGATGTCATCCATCATGCTTCGAGCAGAGCTCCTGATTTGATACCGTAGATTGAGGTGTCTCCATCCAAGAAGCACGATGTTTACAAAGACATGAATCTACTTACCAAGTCTGGTAAAAGGTGACGAGCAAGCTCGGACTTCGCCAAGACAGTTGACCAAGCAAGTCTGTGCACGTGAGGCAGAGGTAAGAATCTGGGGAATAGGTAATATGCCGTTTTCATTCCGCATCTGGCATGCGGGGGCTGCCACCACGTGGTGGTTGAGCATTTGCCTCGTTCTCGAGCCTGATTGGTGACGAAGTACGCTTGAATATTAATCAGCTTCCTTGTTGTGGTGTGGTCGGCCCAACCGAGGCAGCCCGCACGATTTCATTGTACTCACGCCGTAAGCCTCATAAGCCTCCCGCATGAGCCAAAATGCACACTTGTTGCCTAGAATGGATAGAGCTGCCGAGTAAGAATGAATACACGTTGCAGTTTGCGGGGTTGCAGTCTAGACTGTACTGTCAGGTGATGAGACCTCTCCAGTCTTTTTATGTCGGGCAAGAAAGAGTCAATGGGAATTGCTCGTTTCCTGGTACTGAGTCTTCCATCTTACTCATTTCTCATCTTACAGTGACTTGATGGCTGACAACCTTGGTCTGAGTGGCATACGATATGTCATGCTTTTGCTGCGATGGTATGTGGCCTCGGCAGATGTTGTACGAGCACTCTGAAGCATCTTATGTAGCTCTGTTCTTGTCTGCATTATCAAGGAATATTCGCATGATTAATAAGTCCGTTTTAGGCTCCATTCAAGGCTCTCTTGCGTGGTTCATCATGCATTCGTTGGGTGTAATCTCCATCACTCTTCTAATGCCGGAATCGAAAGAAAATGGATGGCACAGAGAGTTTGTACCGTGGGTCCGATGAGAAAGTCGGTAGTAAAACAATTGTCCGATCGGAAGGGATCATGAATATTTTCGAGGAAGAAAGGGCGTCTTTAGATCCCCGGTAATGTGCTAATCACGCGGAGCAGAATGGGAAGTTCTTACCTACATGTGCCATGTTGTGAGAGTACGAAAGCCAGACCCTGATGAAGTTGAATTGAACAGAGACTACAAAGAGCATCTCAATTGCAGGTATAATCCAGTGTAGGTACTTCTAAAAACTTAGAATGACATTTTGGAGAGGAGCTATTAATCACGTATACGATCTCAATCGCTGGGTTTGAAAGCAACCCAGTAACCATTTGTGTCCAATCGAATGTCCAATTTTGGTTAGGTACAAATCATTAGAGATCATAATTTCGGACGGTTAAGCATGGATCAAGCCATATCAGGACTTAGCACGGAGCCAGATATTGCAGAATGCCCTATAAGGAATCCAGTGGTCAAGGTGTTGTCGAGAAAAGCCGACAGTAGAGTAGCTTTAGCCTCAGGGAATACCTCTACTTGCACTCGGACTACCTTTCAATAGCGCTTTGTTAGGGCGACAAGACTTGCCGAGTCTACGAAAGCTAAATCAGAGTAAACCACTTGGACACACCTTGTAAAAGATGGCCAGGCCAGTGTAGCCTGCGGTCCATTCCATTCGGCTCAGTCTCGAGTCCGGTTTGTGTAGTAAGCTAGATAGCTCGCAGGGGATGCGACCCTTAACTGGACCAACTATTGGTCAAGCCAACTAATTGGTACACTTAGCTAGCAGTCCACCACCGTTGGCCTCCATGGGCCTGACCCAGATGCGAGACTGTCAGTCTCGTGTGAGTGGGTAGACATAGGTCAATGTTGAAGGCACAAAAAGTACAATGGATGCGAGAAGTCTGTACCAGCAGTATGAATAAATCATGCTGATAATCACGATTGACACTGTTCACACAAAGAAAGAAAGTGATTGTTGCCCTCTCACTTATCCTCGCAGACCTGCCCCTCTCTAACAAAAACGTAGTATCAGTACTAGCAGACTTTATCCGAAGTGAATTTCATACTTCAAAGAGGGAGCCTCTTAGCAAATTATGGAAAAGAACTACGGATTTAGGAGTCACATGAGGGTAATCTCTGAGATCTTAGCGGCCGCCGCTAGCTAATTATCAGATCTTACCCCTGAGTGACTCTCCACGCCGCGTTACCATCGACCAAAGTGAATATGCGTGGAATCACTCCGAACCACCCTTCATTCATTCAACTATCACTGCACATGTGGCTTCTTTAATGGTAAACCCTCAGCTTATACAGCTGTCTGACAGGCATGACAGGCAAGACAGGCAATGAATCAAATGCCGGACGGCAGCAACCGCACGCATGATATCATTGAACCTTCCATACTCGAGTCGTGTTGTCATCACCCCCAATTGAGTGTCGCGCCTCCCTTACCGCTTCAAGATGCAATGCTCACTAGACGTGTGCCCTTCTCCTACCCCATTACTTCCCTTCATCCTGCCCAACACACCTAATCCTCTGACCTCACGTGCATGGCCGCACGTCTCCTCATCCCACTCTCCCGACGCTCCATCTCGAGCAGTGTTCCAATTCCAAAACATCCATCTCTCCTCACTCGCGTGACACCCCGCCAATTCACAACATCCCTCAAAATGTCCACCAACAACGCCGCAGGCTCCGCGCCCCAAACCCGATCCCAAGACCCCAAGAACCACGACGCCCACCACGATTCGACCGACGGAGAACTGAACGCATGGAAACACCGCGCCCCCTACCGCGTGCACAACAACGACCCGGACTTCAAGCCCCTCTACACCGGATCCTGCCACTGCGGCAAAATCGAGTTCCAGCTCTCTCGGGAGAAGCCGCTGGACGCAAAGATCTGCCACTGCCACACATGCCAAAAGTTACACGGCGCGCCATTCCAATGGTGCGCGATCTTCCACAAGGAGGACTTCAATTTCACAAAGGGGCATCATGACTTGGGCTGGTATGAGAGCAGCGAGAAGACGTGCGAGCATAAATTGCCGTGTAAAGTCAGCTGCGCGTATTGTCGGACGCCCATTATGGATGAGGGGCGGAATATGATACTGTTGTTTCCGACGCTGATTGATTGGAAGAGCGAGGAGGAGAGGGCGAGGTTTGCGCCGACGTGAGTGTTGCTTGTTTTCTTTTGTTGGTTGGTAAGGGGTTGGGGATAGAGGTGCTAATTGGGTTGGGTTGTGTAGGTGCCATATGTTCTATCCGCGTCGTGTGGTCGACGTGCCGGATGGGAAGCCGAAGTGGTCGGGGATTAGTGGGAGTAGCGAGTTGGTTGAGGATACGTCGGAGGAGGATAGGCATAAGCATAAGAAGGCGAAGCAGGAGCAGGAGCAGAAGGAGAATAAGGAGCATAAGAACTAAGGGAAGGGTCATCCAAGGTTTCAAGCCCAAAGCAACAGCCTTTCATCAAAGGGTGTGCCAAAGAATTGCGCCAGGCTTAGGACATCGAAGATCATGCACTCCGACCATGCCCAAAGAGGTGAGAATGGCTGTTTGAGACGGCTCACTGTATATATCAGACGACAAGGAGGAAGCAAAAGTGGCTGAGTAAAGCATATTGCATGGAAGAAGGGCATAGCTTAGCATATAATCTCAGCATAGCATTGTATTTTCATAGCACTGCAAAATCAAGCTTGTTTACAAGATTTCTTCGTACACTCATCAGTCCCATCAAGTCCCTTCCTGCCCAGGCAACACCCCTTCACCACCCTTATTGTTATACTTTTCGCCTGTCCCTCTCTTCACTGCTGGTCTTTCCGCGATGCGATCAATCCACTTCAGCAAGTGCGGAAACTGTTTCTCCATAACCTCCTTCGTCGTGACTCCTGAATAGTCCCAGCCCTTCACCCACGGCCATGTCCCAATATCGGCAACACTATACTTTCCCTTCCCCTGACCCGCGAGGTACTCCTTTGGCTCGCCAGTATACTTCCCACTCAACTGGATCTCCAGCACGCCATATACCCTCAAGGTCTCATTCTTAAATCTGTTAATCGCATAAGGTATCTTCTCTGGAGCATACTTGTTGAAGTGGTTGACCTGGCCCATGTAGGGCGCCCCGCTGCCGTGCCAGAAAAAGAGCCATTGCAGGCATTGGGAGCGTTCGAGCTCATCCTTGAAGCCGAAGACGTCTTTGCTGTCGTATTCTTTGAGGAGGTAGAGGAGCTCGGCGGAAGTTTCCATAACGGGGAAGGGGGGCGATTTAGTATGATCGACAAGAATAGGGATGCGCCCATTCGCGTCGAGACGGAGGAACCAGTCTTCTTTTTGGATGTTGGTCATGATGTGGCTAGGAGGGCGTCAGTGAAGGGTTCAGTAGTGGTGGAGTCGAAGCTTGGGTTATTAAAAGAGAGATGAAGGGGTTCTAGGGGTAGACGTACATAATGCTTTGAGTCCATTCGGTGCCGTAGACGTCTTTCAGCTCCTCGAGCATGATTTGCACCTTTTGGCCATTGGGCGTGGACTGGGTGATAAGATGAAGACCCTAATCCCGCTCGTTAGGTCTGATTATCAGTGAGAGCTCTTCTTTGATACCCACCTTTGCGTTCTTCACCGGGTCAGGTGTTGCGTCTTCGAAAAGGCCAGACATTCTACGTGATTGGGGAAGGAAACACTTTGCAATTGCTGTAGGAGGCCTGAATTGGAACGTCAATTGACTCAGTCGAGAGAGAGACCTGTACATGTACCGAATTAAAAGAGCGGGGTCGCGAAGTGCGTAATTGCTTTCAAACACGGCGATGACAAATGGACATTCGACATGGAATGATGTCATTCTATTTACTTTATTCGTCATCCAACGGACTCCGGCCCGATCCTTACGCCGAGAGGTTCGCACGCGAGTTCCCGCATGACAAAGCACCTTAAACCCATATGATAGTAGTAAGAGTCCTTGAACACGCAGCAAGAGCCCATAATGCATGATCATGCGTATTGGATTCAGTCCACTGAGACCTTTAGCTGATACTCTCATTGCAATCTGATCTTCGAGATCTCCCTCTTAGCAACACACCCGTTTCCATAAAACGACCCACAAACATGTGAAATTAATATCCTCATGGTATTATCTTAGGTACCCCAGTTCAATTCATTTTGCCCAAAAGTGTTGAGTCGCAAAGACACCATGAACGCGTACAAGTATTCGTGATCCGAGCTCGGCCACGTCAGTAGCAGAGGTTGATCATACCATCCCAACCACAAAAGCCTCATCATATTATATCCCACTGGATGTCCATAAGCATGTCAGCCATGAGTATCATACATTTCACCAGCCAAGCCCGCAAGCTTAGCAATCCCTGCCATAATCTTGCTGAGTGAATTCACGATTCAGCTCTTCCACCCATTGCCTGTCTCCACGCTCCCGCCAACCTCCCTCTCCTGAAATCTAGCCCATCCCTCCCTCGTCTGCGTCAGAGGCAGACCATGCTCAGGATCCAGATCCGCTGGCATCACCTTCGACCTGACCGAGATCTTGTGTCCTGTAATACTGCGTCCGAACGACGGGCCAGAAGTAGTTTTGGATGTGTCGGGTTTTTGGCGACGGATGAAGAGAGCGCGGACGGTAGGAAGACAGGCGGCGATACAGGTGAGACTGACTTCAAGGACGGCCCAGATACCAGCCTCGACGTTCCCGTCTGTGGGTAAGCGGAGAGCATGGTGAGTGAGATGGTAAATTGTAGAAAGAAGGGGATTGATGAATGAGGGAGGGAGCGCGAAAGGTGGAAAGTGGGAATAGAGATAGTGAGAGAAAGCTTACGGGTGAAGTCTTTCGAGACGACCTTGGGGATGGTAGTTGCGCGGATGATGCTGACGACGCATATTCTGAGCCTAGGCGTGAGTACTTGCGCTCGCAGAAGGACTTATAGACGTACAAAGCTCCAACGTTAAATATAAACGCAAGGCCGATCTTCTGCGATATTGTGATATGCAGGTTCCAGACGATAGGAATGGGATAAATCCAGACCACGACATCGCTGAGAATGTTGAGGGCAGAATGGACGCCATAAAGTACCACTGGATTGATGCACGACCCGTCCAATGGATCCGATAATCTGGACCAGAAGAAATGAATAGGTCTGCACTGGACAATGAAAATCATCTCGAAGATGCACGTGAAGGCGACAATGAAAGCAATCATGCCCCAAATGAAGATACGGCGTTCTTTCGTGACGGCAAATACTCGTTGATAGAACAGGAGCATGGCGACTTTGCAGCATCCTAAATCGGCGACGTAGAAGAGCTCGAAAGCGTAGAGATCCTGCAGCTCGAACATAAGAGAATGCTCGGACGAGACAGGGGGTTTGCAGAAGTGCCTTACCCGTAAATATTCGGTGAGGTTTCGAAGAGAGACTTCTTGTGGGGGTAGGCCCATGCCATTATGCCACACTGACAACAACACCAGCGGTCAATCGGGGCTATCAGAACCGAACGCCTCTGATAATACACACTGAACGTGTTACATGCATAGATCCCCCATATCATAAGCTATTCGAAGATGTATCAGTCACACATGTTGATTATGAACCTGCTACTACGAAGGGCTTACCAATGTCACAAATATCATCACATCGTCTGCTCCAATCCCCTGCTTGTGCAGGTGCCGAGTGACAAGTCGTATGAAGACGAAAATTGAGGCCAACACCGAGAATATGGTACATATCACGATAGTTCGAAGACCAGGAGAGCTATCTACGTTGCCATGATAGGGTGGAGAAGAGACGGCTGAGGACATGTCTACTCCTGATTTTGCGCGAGATCAACTGTACGTGTAGACAAACGCTGTACTGGTCAGTAAATTGCTCTTCTTGATAAGGAAAAACATGACCCAAGAACCATCAATGCCTGGGCTCTTTGTTGGTGTTGCAATCGGCTAGTCGAAACATCTTCAACTCCTCCATCAATCGTACGCTTACAGAGTACATCCCCGCTAGAACGAATCTAATTATGACGAAATAGATGGTGAGACAGGGGTTCATGACGAACTTAGTCTCATGATCAATGTCTAAACCATACGTAAGTAAGCCCTAATACAACGATTTCCTAAGGCATTTTCAGTGTACACCGAAAGTAGCAAGGTCACCGTCTTTCTTGTTAGAGCGAGGCTTTACTGTTTGAAAGCTAAGGCTCACGATACGACTGTATAGGATTGCGTGCCACACGCAGGTACTATACATCTGTCCTCTGTCTTTGATTATTGGGGGTAATCTGTGGTTTGGTCCCATAGCTTCTCCAGGCTAGTCAAGGCGAGAAGCGAACCCGGGCAATGGTATCCTCTGCTTTTCCATCGGTCTGTCACGGAAAGAAGGTTCAGAATCAGGGTACGCTCGAGAAGCTTGACGTGTTCGCCAAGTGAGAAGTAGAGTATTTCAACGGGCCAGACTGGGATATACTCCCTAGCTCTTGCTGCAAGGGGTTGACAAGACGCAGCCATGTGCCATGTTTCAATTGAGGCTTGATCTCTTGATGTCTCTGATCCCTATAAGCTTTTGAAATCAATTGGAGCAGATCTTCCAGCTTTTCTCCAGAAACGGGTCTCCATATTCGATTAATCAAGGGACAAATGATCTCAAAAGTGTCATCGTTCGCCCTCGACTGGCAGTGCCCCGGCTATCAAAGTCAGAGCCTGCTTGTTGAAGGCCGAAAGATTGCGCTGGGTCAGCGGTGTCGGACCAGCAGCTGTCACTGGGATCATAGCATTAGGTTCAGGAAAAGCTAGATTGAATGGAGCAAACCTACCATCGTCAATGCCAACGGTCGCCATGTCCGACCTCATATCTGTGGATGCTTCTCCAAGTTTGACTGTCTTCGCCTTGTGCTTCATATGTTTGTGGCACTTCACTCCTTTTGTGCATATGTGCGTCTTTGGTACTAAATTTCTTGCAGGCGAGTCTAAAAATTGTTTCGCGATCTCGGCTCCTTCCAACAGTTTATTTTGTGTTGTCCCTTGCCTCTCTGTGTTAGGTTTCCATTGATAGTCTTCCCAAAAAGCTTTACACAAGGCAGCGAGAGCGGTCTCTTGGTGCAAGATAGCTCCGAATTCTTCTACTGAGCAGCAGTCCCAATCACCAAGTTTTGATTTGAAGATTTGTATTTGCTCGTGCGACCATTCAATCTTCGAATCGGGAGTCGGCAGGTGAAATTCTTCTTCGATTAGGGCAGGAGCGGATGAGGTGGGGGAATCCTGATCATCGACTGTTGATGCAGACCATGACGATTGTTCTGGCAAGGGATACGATGCATCCTTGGCTTCAGGAGCCTGTATACAGGGCTCGTCGGTAAATGTTGGGACGGAAATCTCAGAATCTTGAGTACTCTTCGATACCATGTCAAAGTATCCCACGTCCTCCATGTAGACCTTTTCGAGACTTCGATTCATTCGTCCCACAGCTGATGAGGGAGGTATCTTTGCCGCGTCGGGTAGCCTCATCGCACGGTCAGCAGACTTTTTATCCTTATAAGCGTCGACGCTGATCTCTAAGCCCTTTGCAATAGCTATGCCCTGTATTCGTGACAGCCTAGGAGACGATATGATTGACTCAAAGCTACGTAGCGATTCGCGAAGCAGAGCATTGTACCCTACAATACTCAACCTATGACAGATCCCATTGCCTTGCTGACCTGTAGATGATGTTTCTACTTGCGATCGCGAGGACTCTAATGCCTGGTCCTGAGCGTATTCTTCTCGATCTCTAGCATCAAATTGCCGTTCAAGCCGTTTGACTGCATGGTGAATTTCCTGTAGTCGCACATGCATGTTAAATGTGGTCTGGTCGATGTTATTCGCAAGATTGTTTGTGGTTGATGTATAGATACTGTCAGTCTATTAGTATTATCAAGAAAAGCCATCTCACCAGCTCTTGTATCAATCTCACTTACACACTAAGGGCTGTGCAACTCATATGTAGCATCGCCTTGTAGGATTCGAGAGTCTGTTGGAGGGCCTTAACGTCATTCCGGCTGAAAACGCTGTAGGTGAAAGCTTGCCAAAGACCAATGCTCGCCTTTCCGTCAGTCTTCATGAAAGGCATGAGGGTTCTCTGAATATCTTTGAAGACCTCCAAACAATTGCGTATCAATGATCCCAGGTTATCCAGCATGTCCACAATGATACTGTCGTGTTGTTCTCGATTCCTTGCAATGAGTGACTGCAAAGTTGCAAGCAAAGTATAGAGGCTTTGAAGTTCGATGGCGAGCCTTCGAATTTGCGGAGGCGCTTGTCGGGCACCGTTGACCATATTGAAAGTTTGCTTGCTCACCTTGATAGCCATTCCAACAGCCGCGAGGACTGTCACAGCGCTTGTAAACGGATCCATCTCTCAGATTATAGTTGGCTGATACCATGAGACAAATGACAGAATCATAGCAAAACAGCTCGATCGACGAGCTCACTCTTATTGGCCTAGAAAGTAGGCTCCCCTTCAAGAACTGTGCGGCTTCAATCACTAACGCAGCGCAGCAAGATTTTAATGAGCATCCGATTCGCCATAATGTCTGCAAGAAGATCGATGAGAATATGATGTCAATAGCAGGCAGATGGACAAGATATCAATTTTAGACGAGGCTGAAAGACACTGCAGGTGGGAAAGGCTGTGTAACGGAAATCTCCCTGCCACAGCTTCATCAAGCAACGAGTGAGTGAGATGCAGGATAGGTATTCAGTAACACGATGCTATGTATAGCCTCAGACCTCTTGACAGCAACATAAGTGTCGAGAACAGCCTTCATCGGAGAGTGCAATTCAAAGGTGAAGGTCAGTTCAATAAAGCCGTAAAGCTAAGCCTGTCACGTAGCCTAAACGTCAAGACGGCCATTATGGAATAATGGTCACTACAACAGTCAGATGGCCAGACTCCAAGAATTTTCTAATTTTCCTGAGTCGTCTTACTTTCCATCAAGGGTACAGACATCACCTAGCCTACACTTTGCTCTCTTGCGCAGCGCGACATGCAGCACAATAAACCGCTCAAAACGAGCAACACCGCCCAGGTATCAATCCATAAATAATCCAATATAAACATATCACATAGCCCATCACATCACTTCTTCCAAACCTTCTCCCCTCCCCTCTCGAAGTACTACTTCATCTTTCCACTCTTCCTCGCCAGAAAATCGCCCAACAACCCATCAAGCTGCCTCTCAATCTGCGCCAATTTTTGGTTCTCTTCCTTGTACAACCCTTGAACAACAGGATGATCTCTCTTCGGTATCACGCCTGTCTTGTCGTGCACGATGATTAGTAGATCTCGGATCTCGCTATCGTCGTCCATATAGGCGCGAAGAGAAGCATCTGACCACGTTGGCGTGCTGCGGCGTGTCTCTTCCGTCGTAGTGGTCGTGTTAGTTGTAATGATGGAGGGCTGGGAGGCCGGCGAACTATCGAGATCTTGGGTTGTTATTTGTCGCTTGGTGGGTGTGGTAGTAATTTCGGAAGGTTGCGGTTGGTGACTTGATGATATCGGTGCTTCGATTAGTTCTGGTGAAGACGAGGGTGAGCTAGGAGATGGCAGGTCGTCGTCTTGAGATGAGTTGTCGGTTATGAGAGGAGGAGGTTGGTGCGGTGTGCTGCGCTCCTGAGCGCTCGGTGGTGGGACTTCGACCGGTGATTCGGAAAGACGTTCTATTGGCTCTGGTTTTGACGCTGGTGGGTGCGTCTCGTGCTGGGCGGCCTGTGCGACGTTGAGGTGGTGGTCTGAGGGTTGAGAGACTAGTTCTCGCTCGGGCTCGGGCTCTTGTTGAATTTCGTGAGGTGCAGGGCGCTCCATTTGCTGCTCGGCTGAGGATGCCGAGGATGAATCGAAATCGTCCATGTGCATACGCTCTTTTGATCTTTTGGTCTTCACGGGCTTTGGCTCTGACGGTGATGGCCTTAAAGCATTGACGACAGGGCTGAACATGTTGCTACTCTTCTCCCTGGGAGATTCCGTCAGCTTGAGGGGCTCTGCTACGGGGCCTCCTTCACTCAAATCCTCGACCCGCTCATCTCGTAGAGAGTTGGGTGACTTGGATTGTAATGGCGAAGGAATGTGATCAAACAATGGCTGCGATTCAGGCAAAACAAGTCGCATCGATCCATCAGGTCCACCGTTCGTGGGTCTCCGATCCGGATCTGGCGCGAGATTTGAAGGACCTGATGAGACTGATCTCTGAGAATTGTTCTGGTTTTGCGTAGTGTATGAGCTTTTTGGCGATAGTTTCGCTGGTGGCTGTTTCTGAAGCTTGCTAGTTTGGCGATGGGGAGAGGAGAGCTTGCTATCCATCGATTCCAACGATTCCTTGGGGGTAGGGGATTTCCTTGACATCTCGCTAGAGGTCTTCTCGATGTCATCTGTGTCTTTGTCTTGGCCCTTCTTCTTGTCTTTTCGTCTGAACATGCCACCGAGCATGCCTTTCTTCTCCTTTTTCCTCTTCTCGGTCCCAGCTTTGCCAGTAGGCTCATCTTTTTCCAACGAATCGAGGCTCCCCCGTATCTTCATCTGCGAGTTTTGTCAGCATTCGCAAAGAAGAGCTGAGTACACTTACTTCTTGAACTTCGGGTGTTTGTTGAGGTCCCGCACTCGAATCTTCGCGAAGTAGACTCGGCGTCAAACTAATTTTGCGCGTCTCCAGGCTTTCATCTTTGAAAAACGAATCGGTGTTTCGGACCGTTCCTTTGCGTGATTTGCTCGCCATGCCGTCGTCTGCTTGATCAGTTTTTCGTTCCATATGGGTTGCGGTACAACTTACCCGCTCTGTCAGAACTCTCGTCACTGTTTCGCACTTGATCGACACCACTACCAGGATCGACGCCATTGCGAGCTTCAACTTCGGGTCTGCTCGGTTCAGAGCGTCTTCCATTAGTATTGCCATCTCTAGCAACTGTTGCTGCGGGTGCCGCATTGATTTCTCGTTCTTTCGTTTGATCCTTTTGTACCTCCTCGACTTCGCCGGGATCTTGACCAGTTTGTTCAGCAGTCTCATCGTCTTCCTCTTCGGAAGAGTATTCGATTGCCTCAGGTTCTAGATACGAGTTTGCTTGGGTAAATTCAACCTTTTTCCCGTTGCGCCGTCGAATTGCCTTTCTCAAGGGATTTAGAGGAGGTTGCCGTTTATCGTCGTCTTGATCACCGAGCATCGTCTGGGAAAGCTAATTAAAAAGATCTACATTAGTTGTGCGTGTAGAGACTATTGACAAGGCTTACATCTAAATTTCTGTGTTTGTTCAGTCGAGCTAATCTTTCCAATGGCGTTTCGATGTGTTCTGCAGGGAGATAGCCTATTTATGTAAGCTGGAGATGTCAGAGTCGTGAAAGACAGCATACCAATACTGTTGTCCTTGATGACTCGTACTAGCCACCAATAGCTGTTGCTGTCGTCTAGCAAGACCATATTATCTCCCTTCGTAGCATTGGCCTGGCCTTCGACAGTAGCGACGAACGTATGCAGAGCGTAAACAAATTCGAAATCGATGTCCTCTATTTCTCGTAAGCACTCTCCACCCCATCCCGAATCAATGAAGCGTGAATTAAGATCAATGAAAATGTCTTTGGTATCATCATCAGGTGGCCGGGTAGTAGTATCCGAGTACCATGAGGCAACGGATACTGATGAGGAGCTTGTAGGGGAGCCTCGTCTATTGTGTAGATTTTGCTTCCGCAGCAGATCGTTAGAGCCATCATCCAATAGAGGGTCCATTTCTGGCAGCAGCATATGGTGAAAGTCCTCCAGATCTAGATTATCGTCCACGTCTTCATCTAGATCAATAAGATAGTGGTTGATGTAGCTACTCCGAGTCCTCGAATTGGATTCGTTGAATGAGTTGCGCCGGTCAGTTTCGATTTCGATTTCGTCCACGAGAGAGTTCGAGAGCCGATCCGGAACATACTCACCCTCCTGATGATGAACCTTGGACGGAGAAAACTGCCGATACTGGCGAAAAGACGCAAAAGGAAAATGCTCAGGGGTTTCCTCATAAGGGGAGGAGGAATATTCCATTGGGGGACCAGGCGGGTGGGCTGCCTTCTTTACAGGGTGGTACACAAGACTTGTGCGAGTGGGCCAGGGGAGCTTGGGAGCGGGAAACCCACCATCATCGCCTATCGAAGGAGAGCTGGATATCTTATCGTTCATATCATCGTCCAGTCCATCATCCCCTTCTTCTTCAACCTCATCCTGGGCTGCGTGTTGCGCCGAGTTCCGTAGCAAGTTCTCACTAGGATCTTGATATCCATTTGCCTCTGATTCGTCATGAAGCAATTGCAATTCTTTCCCAGACAAATCTGTGGAAGCTCGGGGGCTTCGACCGTGCTGTTCATTGATCTCGAGCTCGACATGCTTGAGAGCTTCTGCTTGGTGAGGGGCTGGAGGGCCGTCGCCTAGATGACTTGGCCGAGCTGGTTGGCGAGTGTGATCTTTGGCGGAAGGTGCATCCTGATCTTGCAGGTCGATTGTATCTGAATATGGCAGACCGATAGATTAGTCTCGATGTAGCCATTGGCTGGTTTCCTTCAGGTGTGCTGCTATCTCTACGCACCTGCACGTATAATGTGGGGTCGTGTCATGATGAGGGACGTTTATGCGATTCAGGCTCGAGGATTGCCGCGCCGCGTGGTCTGTGAGGCAGACGAATGCTTCAACAGATGCTGCGCAATTCGAGCAGAAGCTCAGAAGCACTCAGACCGTCATAAGCCCGGTCTTTCGTCTCTCATTCACTTCTAAGAAGAAGCCAGTCTGGCTCTGTGGGCGTCGATCAAGGCGGAGGGGGGCTGGCAGGGGGTGGACTGTCGTCGCAGTTCAGGCTGCGTAGTCAAGGTCGCAACCCAGCAAAAGGCCTGTCGTCGTGGGTTGAACTCCCTGGATTGTCGCTGATACCTTCCAATGCTTGCGCAGCTCCCACGAGAAGCGGAGAGAGTTGGTCGTGGTGCAAATGGAATCAGGGACTTAGGTTGCCCGGTTTCAAAAGAGGCTTGGCAATCTTTTTGGAGATCCTGCGATCTTGCCCTGAACTATGCTATTTATGGACTATCGCGTGACTTTAAGGTGCTTTGCACATGGCCAACCTTGTTCTCCACTTCAAGCTGTCAACACCGCTCATCTCACGAGTAAATCTTTCATCTGCTCAGACGAGCATAATGCTCTTGATTCTTGGGTATCTTAGTAAGTGCAATGCCATAAGGAACGCCGACCCCAAGAATGCCCTGCAAATACACGCCAAGAACCACGTCAGTGAGCGATTTCATCGATCGATGTCACCCCATCGTACTTATCCAGCTCGCTTCCATCCCCAGAATATCCAATGCGATCCCGGTTGTCATCAATAATGCGGCCGTACTCCAAGAGGAGGCGGAACATGTATATCTGTATAAGATCAGCCACACCACATTCAAGGCTCCGGAACGAAGTATACATACCTCGATGTCCTCTCTTCTCAATACTGTTTTCGCCCATAGTCTGCCTTGGTCCGCGATTTTCTTCCCTTCAGTATCATGTCGTGCAACATAGACCTTATCATTCTCTCCCACATCGGCGGGTGTCCTCTTTTCCGGTGGGGTACCTACGCCTAAGAAGTAGGTAAGCAAAGTCCAGACGTCGTCATATCGATTATCCATGGGAACAAAATGGTGCCAAGCGAAGAGTCTCGAATCATGCCATTCGCGAAAGATTGTCGACTTGATGCCCAGAGCTTTGCTCTCCAGGAAAGAATGCCATCTACCGGAAAATGAATGCCCATCAACGTCCACTAATAGCTTGTTCTTGAATTGTTCGCCCAGATCCATCATACCCTTGAGGGAGAATATGTCCGCGTAGAACGGGCAGCCGTCAGGAACGCAGCCCCATGTCTCCGTGAACCCTACGTCAGTGTGCCCGGCCGCGAATGTCGATGGATGAAAGTCGCGGTAGTTCTCGTACTCGCCCCTTTTTTCGGGCTGTTCGGTCAAAATTCGAACTTCCTTCCCGGCCAGCAGGGTGCTGTTGACCGACATGACCAACCTTTGACGGTGCATCTCTCTCCAATTCTCGGGATTCTGTACACCGCCCGAGCTGACACCTCGCCATATCATGCTGTCTCTCTTATCTTCCCAATCTATGTCATGCTTTCCGTCATAATCATATCGCTTGTCATGCAGCCAATACATGTTTGCGGGAAAGAGGATGTCGCTGTTGACATTGACCTTGCACTCACCAAAGATAGGCACAAGTCGTTTAGTCGGAATCATGGTCGAGCTGGAGAACAAGAGGCCATGCTTGTCTTTTAATGTCGGACCCACGGTACACAAGTCTGAGCTGCGATTGAAATTGGATACCATGCCACCCAAGCGTGTCTTGTATCGTTCGTCAGCGTCTTCGATACTGGCATCAGGCTTTCTTGCAGGAGACTCTGGCGGGCATGCAGTGCTGGCTACCTCCATATACTGCTTTCCGTGCCACGGGAACCACTCGGGATTTTCAGCACTCTGAGAAGTCTCCTCCGAAGTCAAATTGGCGAGCCCATCCAGGTTTTTCGAGAACTCGTAGACGGACTCGGGTGGCGTGCGTCGACTTTGTAGCTCTTTCTCTAGTAGAGCCTGCATATCCTCCCAAGGTACCACAACTCGAGGCTGGTCCAATCTGTTCATGGCAATGTCCATATCTGGTAGGTATTTGGCAATCTTTTCAACTAGGGTTACAAGAGCTTCAGATCTCCAGCCGCCGTTCGTCTCCTTTGCTATCTTATGATTTCGAATGTGGATTCCGGAAACTCCCTGGTCTTTATCCCTCCACATATTGCCGGCCAAATCGCGAATGACCGCAGGTTCGATGGCCCAGAACGGTCGCAGATCATCCATGACTTGCTCAAAGTCATCGATATTGTGCGCTTTCCTCTTCCGCGCGAACAAATACCACTCCTTGAAACCTGGCGGAGGGTGTCGACCATAACGCGTTCTGTATTTTCGTACAGTCTCCTTGAAAGACTTTGACCTGTTTTCTTCATAGAACCGAAATTCTTTGTCTGCATTCTGCATCAAAGTGACGATAGGGTGATTGTCCACAGGTTCGAGAGGGTCGTCGATAGCTTCCCCTGAGTGCCATGGCTTCTTTTTCCGCCCCGGTATCCTGATGTCACCCAGTGCGTATTTCCAGTCCTTCAACTCTCCCAGATGCCCTCGAAGGTCGTCGATTGTCAGACCCCAAAATATTGCGATGTTTGAGGTGATTGCGGCTAGGAGGAGGAAAAGACAAAGTATGAGGAACAACCGTCGGGAGGGTCGAAGGCGTGGCATTCTGTCATATAGGGGCGGCGCAGCGCAGTCGACCTTGCTCAAACGAAGGATTCATTGAGCAAGTATGGATTAATTCAATAGACGGTGAATACATCGTTGCATCGTCTTGTTCTCTTGGTAGCCTGCTGGGTTCATTCATATCCACACAATAATCTGGGGAAGGATGTTTGGTCACTAGTCCTAAATGGGTTAGTATCATGAGTAAGTCGAGATGAAACCCTAAAATGTATTCTGAAAGTCTGACGGGTTATTGGTCCCATTCAGTTGAGGAGTATCCAAGATATATTTACAGGTATCTAAAGTATATGTGAATATCAACAAACTTCAACCATCTCAATCAGAGTATCAGCTAGTCCAACCAAAGCCTCAGTAAAGTAGTTACGGACAATCTTCACCTCCTCGGCTGGCATCATTTTCTTTCATATAGCACAATCCTAATGCTTCCTACATCTCAATTGCTGCTCATTAATCGTGTTGATAACTAGACTCCAGACATTGTACATTTCTGGAATCTGTCTTCTTCGGATATTTGACGCCCCTGTAATTTTCACCAACCGAAACTCCACGCTATGTAAGCACAATTTTTTCAAAGCAATTCAACTCGTTGAGAACAGACAGCTCAACGGACAACATGTTTTTGCCGAGAGTCGCTTTTCGATCATGGTTCAAGTCCCGGTTGCGGTCGATATGGACCTAACTGCACAAGCCACCGGGAGCATCATTTGCTGAGATAGCACCATTATATCTCAAAATCCCCATGAGTCTGTAAATTGGAACTTGGGGGAGGCGACAAAAAGCCAATAGCTCCGTCCAATTTCTCCAGCATCAAAATTTATTACCCACGGGTATCGCAACAAACGCAATCGTGATGGGCACCGCAATCGCTAAAGCCCAAAGCTCGGCTGATCTGACCATCGTCGTCTGCATTTGTCGTAGGCCCTCATCTTGCACCTTGACTCGATGCTGAAAAAGCTTTTTGTACCAAGGTCTCCTCTGCCACGCAGCAACCCATTGCTCCCCAGAGTAATTATTTGCAGGTCCAAAAACCTCCATCTTAACAGGCCATGAAGGCCGAGTTGACTCGTAACTAATGTTCCCCGGGCCGCCGTAGTCGCCTTTCAATCCCATTTCCTCTTCATCGAAAAGGTAAAAGTCTTTTGTCTTGATCTCCCAGGCATGATACTGCCGTGTGTGCATCTGATGTAAAATTATGCAGAGCCCTTGTGTTCCACAAATCACATTCGTGATGCCGAACCACCAGAAGGGTAGAGCGAATATCCGAAAAAAGCGCGATGCAGATGAGCAGGCGAGGATGATCGCTATGAGAGATCCGATGACGATCAGAGAAGCCGAAAAAATCCGCAGAAACCACTTCCACTGGCGAGTGCCATTGGTCAGCGACCATCGAATGAAATTTGGATGGCTGTGGTTGCGGAGAGTGCTGTCGAGCATGCGCTTGATAGGTGAGAGAGCGGAAGGATGAGTCGTATATTCAAGAGCGCGGAGGACTGTCGCGCGGTCGTTGTGGGAGAGGTTTAATTGTCTGGGAGAGCCTGGGGCAATATAATGATTCACGATTCTGGTGATCTCGTTCCGTAGTGGCTGTGCCTCAGCTGGGTGCCAAACAAATTGTTCGTCCCTCCGTAGCCCAGTAGATTTGACAGGTGATATCGAAAACTTGATGTCACCCAAGGTCTGGGTGTATTCATCCGTGAACTCGGATTGCTGGTAATCAGCACCACCCCATGTATCACAGTCGGAGATATCCTCGCTCATGACATCGATATCATGTGTTGCTATCATTCTGAGTCCATTCTGCTCTCTTATTGGAGGCGCGCGTCCCGTCCATCGAGGTGATAATGCGCGCTCATACTTTGGGATGGAGCGGAAGCGCTGGAAGTAGTCCACCATCCATAGATAGAATTGTAGGTTCTCGGCATCGTGGGAGACGTAGGTGAGGTAGTCGAGATAATCTTGCAGGGAACAAGGCGGCATACATTTGTTGCATATGATGTTCTCAAATGAAAGTTGATGGGGAATGGTGACTCGGTTAGCATCATGCGATTTCGGGCCCTTGACCACGCTGAGGTGCCCTTCTTGCTTCGAGGCCTTTGGAGGGCGTCTGAAGGAAAAGAAGGATTTGATTGACGACATGCTGTTTGACCAATGCGCCGCCCTCGTCCTTAAAGAGCACTGTATTAAGGGCTGGGCATTTCTCTTTCGATTTCGACAATCAGAGATATGATCATGATTTGCCCCCTCTACCAACGGAAACGAGGACGATATTGCTCAGGTGCGTAGGTATGTTGGAGTGACGATCATTTGAGAGGCAGGAAGATGAATTATTACTGCTGTTAGCCTAGGAAGCCTCCTAGCACCTGGAAATTTGGGCAAACACGGCACAGTGGATGGATTTTCAAGCTTGCGGTAGCTGCCGGGCCAATTTGATCGGTCGGGGGTCTACAAGTAATGGTGAAGGAAATGAGATCTGCCGCTCCTCCTTCCTCCTAAGTCCTAACTACAAAAGATTGCCGGCTATGCTTAGGAGGTGTAAGTAGGTGCAACGTAACGAAGCACCAAGAAAGTGATGATGGTCATGATGAGCGGGGCTAGGCTTACTAGAGGCGGACGGCTTGCCACGCGACGGTCCTCTTGCTTCTGTACCTGCAGGGTTCCCACATCGAAATTGTCCCCTGTTGGCTCGCTTTAAACCGGTGTTTACTCGAATTGGGAGCCAGTCCAAGCCAGTCCAAGCCAGTCCAAGCGGATTCCTCTGCCGTGCTGCACGCCTACAAATGCAAGGCCCGGATGCCCCACCCTCCCCGTCGTTGGCTTGTTCAGACTTCCCGGGAATGGAGTGTATCGCCGTGCTACTCGGAAACCGTATCTCTTTAGATTAATGTCAGTGTGTATCACGGCTCACGTGCGGAGCGGCTCCTGAATTGCTTGACCACGCGGGAAGCAGGGCCAGCAGGATTCGCAGCTACGAACAGCAAAATGTTGCTACAGACTTTACTCTGGCAAGCCCCCAAAGGATCCAGTCATTTGAGATTGAAGCCATTGAATGTGCCCGGAGCCTGACCTTGACTTTGGGTAATGGAGCCCATGCTTCCAGGCTTTACAGTGGTAGCAATCTCGCGTATACTGTTTCAAGAGAGCTTGCCTGTTCATCATTCAATATTAAATGAAGTGACGGCAAGCTGCACACAAAGTCTGCCAGGGGAGAATTGTAGCCGCCCACCAGCATCCGTGGCTTGAAGCGAACGTGACGGAGAGGAAAGCCCACGCGTGGATTCGATCAATCAGGAAGTCCAATAAGTATCTCTTTGCTATGACTTTGTTCTCCTTGTACCAGTGACGGACCCCTTGGTTCGAGTATATTTACAGATGGGTAGATGTGCAAAATGCGGCTTCCAAACTCCGAGAAGCGTACATCAAATGAGCAAGCTTTTACCTTGTTTCCTCGCTTTCGTTCCGCACACAAGGTCAACTCTATAAAATGTGTAAGCCTCGATTACCATGCAAAGAGGAGATTGTATACTGTACCATCGGTCTTGAAGGGTCGACAGTGCCCTTCAGTTTCGCTGTCTCTGGCGTTCCGTCCGCTTTCGAGGATTTGTCCGGGTCAGTCCCGACGTTCGTTGAATGTTTGGTGTCAGTATTCGAAAGGCCTTCCTGCTTGCCAGACTGTGTATTTTCCCCACCAGCTGGTTTCGACGCCGCTTCCTGAACTAACGTCAGTGAACGATTCTATGGTCAGGTAACAATACCAACCATATCCTCGTTGTCTGGATGTTGCTCGTCTTTTGTCGCTTCGCCCTGCTTATTACCGTAGGCGCTTTCTATCCTTTTCTTGGCCCCGCCTTTGGCATCCGGAATGTGCTTTCTCGTGTCGTCTTGCTCCTTGCCTCCACTTGCATTGGTCGCACCCTTGAATTGGACCCCTTCTACATTAGCGCCGCCTTCCTTCTCATGAGCTTCGTCCTTCGCACTTTCGTCATCGGAAGAATCAGGGGTGTCTTGTTCGCCATCACTTTGATCTTCACTGCTGGAGTCGGACGGCTCGCCGCTTTCGTTGGTCTGTCCTCCATTATCCTGCCCTTGCTCCTGCTCCTGCTCTTGCTCCTGCTCTTTCGGCTCTGGCTGAGGGTCATCGGCTTTGTCAGCGTCGCTTTCACCATGTTCTTCGCTTTCGGAATGTGACTCGTGCCCGTGCCCACCGCCATGGCTTTTCTTCTTCAATTGAGGTTGCAGGAGATACCAAGTCGCAGGTACCGTGATAGCAATCGATGTTATAGCCCTGTAAGCGTTAGAGAATGCGATCTTCATGATCAAAAGCAAGATGCGGGCCAATTCCAGAACGCCCTTATACCACTCGAGGAGTGATGAGGGAACCCATACCATGGAAGGTCACTTCCCGACTTGTGTGTTGCATGTGGGCCTTCTCCCCCTTCACTAGCATATGTTCTTCTCTGTATCCGTAGCCCGCGAGGTTTACTTGCATGCAATCTGGTAGCCCGGAGTGATTTTTTGTATATGTGGCTGGTCCATCGTGCAGACTGCCTTGCTAATACCATTGCGAGAAGGTTAGGATATATGGAGCTTCCCAGAGATTGCAACAATCGGTATGCTTGAAGTCCAACTCTCAAGAGATCGACCGGTTGCTCAATTAACTTATGGATCCTTCTGGTAGCTCGCCATGAATGCAAAGCTTTAAGCCGCTACTTACCCTAGAGCTAGTCTAGACTGAGGTGACTCGGCTTTAGCATCGCGGACTTTGGGATTGACTCGAATTCACGAACATGGATTCACCATCAAGAGATGTACTTCGACACCCAGATACGACACAGAACATGTTTGGTCAGAGCGACAGTGTAGTGTTTTCGCTCTATTATGTTTCACATGCAACAAATCTACCCTTGTTTTCGATGCTGCCTGTCAAGCAGCAGTGCTTTATGTGACATTTTTTCAACCTGTGGTTTTTTTAGGCCCCCAATTTTTTTTCCTCACGGACTCTCGTATACTCGACATGGCTCCTTCCATCTCAAACCCAACGCCTGCCCAGTGCTTGAGCTTGTTACCAAAGCTGAATGATGCAGACGCAGACATTCGATATATGTCACTCAACGACCTTTACAGCCTATTGACTGCGGGTGCCTCGACCTTTTTGACCAGTGAGTATCATACTAGTGCCAAGATCATTGACGGGATCATACAAGCACTTGATGACCAGAATGGCGAGGTTCAAAATCAAGCTATCAAATGGTATGTGCGAAAGCAAGTAGGGATGGTCACGAGACTGATCTCCTCATAGTGTAGGGGCTTTGGTCTTGAAACTACCGGCCGATATTCTTGCTCCTTTCATACATCGAGTGTCCAATATCAAGACGACTCATTCTGTCGACACCTCTATTCCAACCACTGCGCTGCGGACATTTATAACCTCGTTCCCATCCCCTCTACCAGGACTGCCGCCGCCGGATAAAACGAGCGAAGCCTATTTGGCTATTAGCACAGTCATGATCCCTCGGCTCCTAGGCTATCTGGTGTTTCCTCCTCCGCAGGTAGGCCTTCCTGCGCCACCCCCAGGTATGCTCGAGATCGGCTCCCCGAAAGGTGTCAATAGCGACGCCGTTGACGTGCTTGTCGAAATCATTCGTTGTTTTGGTCCTATGTTGAGAGATGCGGAAAAGCAAGCGTTACAGAAGACGCTGATGACCATACTTTATGATGGACGCACAGGATCTGTGGTTAAGAAAAAGGCCGTTGTGGCCATCTCCATTCTCTGTGTTTACATGCAGTCTACCCTTCTGAAGTCCCTAGTATCGCAAGTAATCGAAGCCTTCAAAGGCCCTGGCCTGACGATTGCTAAGAGGCGCCTGCTCCTCACTACAATTGGTTCAATCTCGAGATCGGTGCCTCAAAGACTTGGACCGCATGCAAAAAGCTTAATGCCCTTCGTTCTGACTCCGCTAAGTGAGCAGGAGTTTCAAGATGCAGATATAGATCTAGAGGATGGCGAGCCAAATGTTGAAGTTGAAGAGTTACGGGAGGCAGCTCTAGTTGCTCTTGAAGGTTTCCTTACGTGCTGCAGTAATGACATACGTGATTTTACAAACGAATCTATCGATGCCGCAGTGAGGTACGTAAGCTATGATCCTAACGCTGCATCTGATGAAGACGACGAGATGGATGGGGCACATGATGATGAGAACGAAGATGCATATGACGGTGGTGAGGAAGACTTTGAGCAAGACGTTGCATTCAGCGATGATGAAGATGCAAGCTGGAAGATTCGTCGTTGTGCTGCAAAAGCTCTTTTCGCTATTATCTCCACCCGCAGCAATGGAGATCTCCTAGAGAGTGGTACATTGTACGATAAGATAGCTCCAGTTCTTGTGAAACGTTTCAAGGAGCGGGAGGAGAATGTCAGACTTGAAGTAATTGTCACACTGGCGCTTCTTATTAAGAAGACAGGTGAGAGCTCTGCTGTAGGGACTCTGCCTGTGATTGACAAAAGCATGGCTACCACTGATAGCCGTCGGTCAAGAAAGAGACGGCGTGTCGACAGCACTACTGAGCCTCCTGATGCAGCTGGAGCATTTGCAGTGTCGCTAGGTCTCAATTCTCCAGCTGCATCTCCGTCCCCCGTCTCTGGTCCCCGCGCTGAGCTCGCTCGCCTCAATGCTGCAATAGTAAAGGGCGTCTCACAATTACTAAAGCAATCGTCGATTCCTACAAGACAAACGGCTATTTCGCTACTACGAGAATCAGTCCTGGTTCAAAACGGTGGGCTTTCGGACCATCTCAGCAAGATCATAGACCCTCTCCTGGATATAATCAGGACTGCATCCAACGCCCCTACAGGCTCCTCTTCTACCGCAGTTGGGGGGTAGCTGCAGCGAGTGGTGGCATAATGCGTATCGAGGCGCTCCAACTTCTCGGCGCCATATGTGATTCGCATTCTTCCAATATATTGGCCTCATATCTTGACAGAATCGTCTCTGCAGCAGTCAGCGCAGTCAAAGACAGCAATTACAAAGTATCTGGCGCTGCGTTGCAAACTTTGGAGGGTGTTGTAAAAGCCATGACTCCTCCACGTACAGCAGGTACCGAGAAACAGCGGATTGACTACCTCAGCAAAGTCTATGAGGTGGTCTCGGTGAAGGCTACGTCTCTCGATGTAGATCTTGAAGCGAGGCGCAAGGCGATACATGCTCTTAGTGTTGTATTAGCCCGTACTTCTGGCACAAACAACACGAAGCTCTTAGCTGCCGACAAACGATCAAATGCGCTTGACATTCTACATGATCGCCTTAACAACGAAACGACACGTCTCTCCGCGGTGAAAGCTATTGAAATTGTGGCCGTATCAGCCACAGACAAGAATGACTTGCCGCCTTCTTGGATTGAGTCTGTCTCGCTTGAGTTGGGAGCTCAACTGCGAAAGGCTGACCGCGATTTGCGCGGTGCAAGTCTTGCTGCTCTACGAAGCCTCACCCATAACCCAAGGGCATTGAGCAAGTTAGACGAGTCAACGGTGCAGAGCCTAGCCACTCTGTTGCTACCCTTGGTAAGCGCCGGCGACTTCAATCTGCTCGCCGTGGCGCTGTCAATTTTGAGCCGATTGGTTAAGTCCAGCCATCAGACGGTCACCAATGCGAGTCTCAATAAAGCTCTCTGCGATGTGATCATCTCGAACCCAGGAGGAAGAGCTTTCGAAGCGCTGCTAACAATAGTTCAGGACATTGGTGAGCAAGGCGTAGGTCAGCCACTCATGCATCAATTGCTCCAAGAAATTGGAGTATCGGGAGATCCAACGATCGTTGGAAAAGTTATCGGAACTCTTTTCGTCTCGGGCAGCGATACTGTTGGTGTAACTCTAAAACAATTCGAAAGCGAGCTACGAAACTCTAAGGACTATGCTCGACAATGCCTAGCCCTTTCCATTCTCGGAGAAGTTGGCTCTCGAATGGGGCCGTCTTTTCCTCTGCAATCAGATATATTCACTGATCGGTTCAGCTCAAAGTCAGATACGGTAAGGCGAACCGCTGCTATAGCCCTTGGCCGTGCTGGTAGCGGTAATATAAAGGCATGTCTTCCGACTATTCTTTCCTATACCAACAAGACAGGCCAATTGCAATACCTATCGCTGTATTCCATCAAAGAGGTCCTTCAAAACGCCGGCAGCTCGAGATCCGATGTTTCTCCTTATACAAAAAAGATCTGGGATAATCTCCATGCCGCATCTCAGCTCGAGGACAACAAGACCCTAGGTGCCGAATGCATTGGTCGCATCACGGCTATTCAGCCTGGAACTTTTCTTCCCCTGCTTCAGGTATATGACAACTTCAGAATCAGAGAACAGTACTAACGTCAGCATAGGGCTATCTGAAGGAGAAAATCCCCACAGTGCGAAGTATGGCCATACAAGCTGTCCGTTTTACTTTTGCGGACAATGATGAGACTTTTGATGAAGCCCTGAAGCCCATTCTTGTTGATATGCTCTCCATCATGCTCAATGATCCTAATACGGAAAACCGGCGTCTAGCTTTAGGAACGTTCAACTCAGCTTTTCAACACAAATCTGACATGATATCTCCACATCTAAGCATACTCCTACCTTTGGTAATGAAAGACTCGCATATTGATCCTGATCTCATCCGGGAAGTGCAAATGGGTCCGTTCAGACATAAGGTAGATGAAGGGCTTGAATTACGCAAGGTAAGGTAGTGTCCTTTATCTTACGGAAGAAGTCCACTGACGAGCTCTATAGAGCGCATACGAGACACTATTCTCGCTCATGGAGACCGCGTATCCACGCATCAATCATGCAGATCTTTTTGACCGCGTCACTGCCGGTCTAGAAGACGAGCACGAAATAAAGATGCTCTGCAACTTGATGTTGACAAAATTGATCGACTTGGATTCTGACGAGACGGCCCGACGACTTGATCCCATCGCCGAGAAACTCCGGGTGATAATGAGCTTCAAACCCAAGGAGAACTCCGTAAAGCAAGAAGTTGAAAAAGCAGCTGAAGCGAGCAAGGCTGCCCTGAAAGTCACCGTGAGACTGCATAATTCGTTTCCAACAGCGTCCAGTGGCAGCAGTGGTGTTCAGTCACAGAACTGGAAGGGTTACTGGGAATGGCTTAGTAAAGAGCACAAGGCTTTGCTGATGAATATGGAGAACGAAGTCAAGACTCAGGCGGCGTGAGCGACGTGGTGGATAAATTGGAGCACCTTGGTATTCTTGACGAGATTTGCGAAGCGCTCGCAGATGCCTTCAGGCTTAACATTAGAGAGGGAAAAATATGAAAAGTTGAAATTCGAAGCTTGTCCGCGTGCTGAAGTCTTGTTTCTTTGCTTGCTTGCTATTCATCTCTGCTACATTGCCGACTAGGCCAAGATCATCATTGACACCATCTCAAGGGTTGCTCTGCTATACTGGCGTGTACGACGAGGGAGCTTGTCTGTGAGGTAAAAATAAACATGTGCCTCGTGTTTGATTGATGTGGAAAGTTTTCTGAAAGAAGAATATCGATCTGAACCTATTGTCTAGGACTTGTTAGCCAGCATGTCAATCGTTAGCTCCATGTTGTGCAGGGTTTACCAGCTTACGGTCATGGCCCACTCCTCTGACCGGCGGTCCTCATAGAAACTCATGATATTCAGTCCACTCCTTCTCATGACGTATGGATAGAGTACTGTTTAACGGCTATTGTTCTTCAGGAAATACAGATCCGTCTAGAGTGTGATCAGTAAGAAACGTCCGACTTACCCACGGAGGGGTTGAAGAGCTGCCAAAGAATTACATCAAAGACAATAGCCTTCGAAGTCACCTTCGTTGAACACTCACAGTAAGTTTGAATAACACATTCCGATGGTTTAGACGATGCAGGATATCACATGATGTTTCTTGTGGATGCGCAGGGCCGCCAGGGCCTTGAGGTCCCAAGAACCAAGCATGACAGATCTTTCCTGATGAGTGTTTTACTTCCGAATATGCGATCGCGGAGGAAGATTGGATTTCATCTCTGGAGCTCTGGTCCCCCATTCTGGTATTGCAATACTTTGGCTTGGTTTGTACCAGTTCGCTATAACAAAAGTTAGTCAAGAATTGCTGTGGGTGAAAAGGCTATGTTTTACCAGGCCCGGCAAGTGAAGCACATGATTTCACGAACAGAATAAAAGGATAGTTCCAGTACAACAGAGAGAGGGAACATGGCCTCAAAGGCGAAAGGGCCAATCTTTTGTCAATTTTTCCCGCGAAAACGATTGAATACCTACATGAAGCAAGGAGTGTAGCCCTGTACAGCCACGTTATGTGAGTGGGGAAGGTCACGGAGCTGAATACCCAATTGAGATTAATCCGAAGACGTAGACATGGTTTCTTAAAATTGCTACATCTCAGTTTTTGACCGTCTCAGCTTTTGTGTATCTGCTAAACATCGTCCTAACGCAAGCCTACCAATATCGATACTTTCGATACCTCAACGATTCCCATTCACCTAATTTTAATATTGAGCTTCATTCATTTCAGAAATTTCTGGTTGGCACGAAATACTAGAGCTCGATCAGCGAAAGAGACGCAAAATCTCGAAGATTTCCCCGAAAAGTGTCGAAGGAGAATAAAATTAGCACTCACAAATTTTGGGCTTGCGAATTCTGGAAGTTTCTCACACGGTACTCCTATTGGCATGACAGAGCCCGGTGTCTTGTATATGGCATAGCGCTTTACTTCGTATTTTCCCTGTTCTGCTGTGATTCTCACATACTCAGCGACGGGTAGGATTGGGAACGCCCTCTTGGAGCTTTGGCCGTTTGGTCCAGCAGACGCGTTATTCGACATTTCCTGCTCAATGTCTTGCGTAAAACCACAATCACTCATCATACCTTAACATGGAGCGTAACGTACCCGGTGAAGACCAATCTATATCATTTCGGAGAAGTCATTGTTGGACCAAGGAATGACAGGGGGCTAAAAACCTCAAATCGAGTATTCATTTCTGACACGATGCAAGGAGATGGAACCTTATGGGACCAAAATGCAGCCCTGTGGATGGAACGTGGCATTGGGCGCCGTAAGGCTTATCGTGCAAACATTGAAAAGTTGCCAGAAAATACCTTCGGTGTCAGCGTAGAGCCGCAGACAAGAACTTTATCATTCGTTACTTCACGATATCTAATCATTGGTGCATTTATTCCACAGGTGTTGATCCATTCGAGTCCTCAAGTCTTCTTGTCTCCCAATAAGATAGTGAATGCCGTTGCCTTGACTTCTTGCTCATGCTTCGATCTTGAATCAGGAAATACAACGTAATACTGAAGTATCGTCAGTCATAAGGGTTTTGAGTCCTGTTGATTGTGGAAAAGCCGCCAAATTAAACAATCGCCAGGACAAAGGAAGCACCTTTCGCACGGCACTCACGGTGAGCTTCGTTATCATATCACTTGGACCTAGCCTTCGAAGATCCTCACATGGTACCTTTACTTCGGCATTTCTACCGTCAGGTGTCTTTAAAAAGGCAACACACTCCGCTTCCTTGTCTGCTTCTTTCTTTTTCATATAGAGGTTCGCTTCGTGCTTGTGGGCATCTTTCGACATGGCTTGCTTCTTTGTCCTGTGTCAAATATCAGTGACTTAGTAATATGGAAGGAGTCTAGTAAGCTACGAGACGGAGTAGTTTAGAAGTATAAAACCAATGATGAAATAGGTAGAACACGCAACGGAAGATAACAAGAGGCAAAGAAAGAAGCTTCGTTGCCCAAGGACGATCTCTTATCAATGTCCCCGAAGCGAGCATTTTTTGGCGAAATGCAAGGAGAGGTAGCCCTATGCAGACAATATGCAGCCCCGTCGGAATCGACAGACGCGTACATTGCGCCCGCTATTCGATCATGGCGACTTTCAGATGCCTATTGGTTACTACTATCAACGATGTCTACCGTCTAGTGCCTTGGAGCTCCCACTTTTCGACTTCAACATCGAGCCCAGCTGACACAAGTCACTTTTGATTGTTTGAATTAGCCTAACATCAGCGAAACTTGCGAGTTGTCCATAGATTCGGTATGGCTAAAGAAAGATGTTGGAAATGGTACGTTTGCAAGCCGCGAAGGAGTACTCACAAGCGTTTTGCCCTCGGTATCGTCTTAACGCAGTCCATGAAGCTGCTCACATGATATCTGTACTGAGACAGGATCGCCAGGCGTCGACAATACGGCAAGACAGGTGTGTAATACTCCGGACTTGTACGTTTTCACAACATGAGTCGCGGAAAGAGCAAGGGTTTTCTTATTGAGATCTTCATTAACCAGCAGATCCGTCTTGCTTAGTATCCTGCATTGACCTACAATTATTCACTGGGAGGTTGTGAGAGGGATGATACATACGTTTTGAAGTAACCTATCCATGCAATTTCATGAACAGGTTACAAGTGAAAAGAGAAGCAAGGGAAAAGCTTGATTCATGTAATCTATGGCTTTTAAGACGCAAGGAGATGGAGCCCTACGCATCTCATCTGCAGCCTTACGGAGACAAGTTGTGGGGCATGTGAGAACGTGATTCGCACGGTCCTGATCTTTTATCTGTCATCCCCTTGAAAACGACTTGAAGCTGTTCAAGGAGCATCAACACGTGTCATGCACAAGAGTGACCTTCTAATGACCTTGTGAGAGGGTAGCGATGTCAACTTTTACGGACTTTGAAATGGGCGATGTAATGGGCGATGTCAACCAGCGCCCAATACATGCGTCCTATGAAGTGGGGACATTATGAAAAAGCCATGGTGGGACTAGCGACGCAACTCTTATGCAGCCCTATTTGCTGGCAGGATCAATGCAGTACCGACCAGCAGCAATGTCTCACTTGGCTCGCATACCTAGCTACTAGTCTAGTCAGCTTGTCAATCTTGATTCGCGTTATTCGATCATCGCCTTGAAGGCTTGAAGGGCAATACCTACCATTCCAGCAGCATCGACATAGTCCCAAGACCAGTAATCTCATGTTCTTATCAAGGTGCTGAAAGAAAAGGTCTGGCGCACGCTGGAAAGGAAAATCTCTGGAATCGTCTGCAACAAGGTGTTGAGGAAGTCTCTTATCAGAGGCCGAAGGTGCATTGTCTTCCAGGATTGCTGGCATATAAATACTAAGTTGGCGGCAGAAGTCGCATCATTTGAGATCGTTAGATGTTTATCGCCCTGCTCCGGTAGAGGTGATTCTATCGTCCCAATGACTGAAAAGGCGAGCACAACCATACAGAAGAACAACATTTAAATAAAGAAGATTTACCACCGCATGGAGTGGAGACCCTCCAGGACGCTCATACTTTCTTGGGATTTTCAACAAATATGGCACCTCACGTATTATTAGGATCCAATTGATATCATTGCGCTTACATGCGTCGGTAGGCGCCTGAGCTCTGAAACGGTTTTTGGGCGACTCGCGGTGTCAAGGTCGTCTGTGTCTTGTGTCTTTCGAACCAATAGCATGGCCGTTTGATCACTTCAACCCGCGATGATAAGATGCAAATAACCCAGCAATATCCATAGCATACTTGCTATGCATTTCACGCCTGAATCGACTAGCGCGCTGACTCTACATCTCGGAATGTGGACAGCTTCAGAGACTGTCATGATTTCATTCGTCTGATCAGGCTCTTCGCTCTTCCCAGCGATTCACGTTTGCCGATACAGCTGTAATGGCCACGGCTTTCAAAGCTCCTGCTATTTTGTGAAACCAAAGGGAACCACAATGGATTTGATGTTTATAGCCCTCTGGGTCAGTGTGCTCTTAAGTCCTCTCGCTCACACAGCGCCTCAAGATGTTGGTCTAGAACCCAATTCGACGAACGGTAATGCTACGCTGGACTTGTCCGTCCAAGGGGTGATCGGAGGCCCTGATTATACCGCTACATGGGGTTTCGTTCCAGCAGTGCCCATCCCCGGACTCACTTTCTGCATGGTGGTGATACTAGCACTGTGTGATCTCGCCCTGGCCGACTACAACGAGTATGTTCCATTGCCTATGGAATTCAGATACCCTGCATACAACGGCATGAGCATAACTGTTTTAGATAGACGGGGTATTACCACAATCACAAGGAAATATGTGGTGATAGCCCTTTTCTACCTCTTGAAGGGCGCTGCCGAAAAGAACGCCTGCGGGCAAGGAACGTTCGAATTATACTTTAGGCACCGACTCGTGGCACTGATCCACGTGGATAAGCACGAGAGCCTACCACCAACTGCTTCACCAGACAGCTCGGACCCAATTGCGGAGCAACTCAATTCAAGCAGCCCAGCCAGCATCGTTGATATCGAGCACTACAATTACTCCTCCGTGCCCCATTCGCCTAAAGGTGACATCGACTTGGCCCAAGAGCCATCCAATACACCTTTCCGCCTCTACTACAACTTTTACGGCTCCAGCTTCCCAGTAGATAAATACTTCATTACGCTCGCATTTGGGCTTGCCCGCCTTGCCGAACGAGAAGTTGATGTCGTCTTGACTCAGGTGGATGAAAGCTTGGGGAGCACCCCCAACCATTTGCTGCTTACCTCTTGGCAGCACCCACCCCGGACGCAGCCTCCCTTTTTCCTGAACGGGCTGGCTGTTCGCGGTTTGTGCAAACTTGCCAAGGTTGCCGTGAAGGATCGGAAGTTCCAGGAGGTGGAAGCAGTGATCGAGATGGGGCCTCAGACGCCGGTTGGAATTATTAATATGACGAGGATCGAGAGTGCTCAGAGTGGGCAAAAGGGCGCCGGAAATGATATTGGTGAGCAGGTGGAGGTGCTATGATAGTCCGAAAAGAGTTTCCCAAAACCTCCCAATGCCTCCTGTAGCGCCGACGCTTGATGCAAACGGAAAGGGATTAGAAAGGCGGCGATATCTGCGTCATTCTTGCCAATTGACAGGTTTGGTCTGGCCCTAATCCGCAGTTCATTTTGGTGATCGCTTCCCTGTAACTCACAATTTGCACTGTTGCGGACTCTGACTACGCTTTCTTCGAACAAGTGTTCGAGGGTTGTCGAACCGAGTCATCTCTAGGCCAGCAAGGGGGACTCGAACGCCGGGCACCTATTGGGAAGGAGAAAATGTAGGGCTGAAATTCTCCGTATCTCCAATTGGCTTTCTCGAGCGACAGACCAAAAAAATCTTCCATTCTCCTTTCGAAAGCGCCTGATCATGGCGTCTAAGTCCGCCTTGAGGCCTCTCCAAAGCCCACTCTCTCTTCGATTCAAGCCAATCAGTTCTTTTGCCCCTTCGCGCCGCCTATTCTCGACAACCCTCAGATCCTTTCGCCTTGCTCCTGCACGTGATGCTCACAGACCCAACTTCTCTAGTCTTACCGCGAGACATGCCTTTAGACGCTCATACGCAGATCTAGCGTCTCCTAAGCCGAAGAGGAGAATCAGAGGCTTTTTCAGGTGGACGTGGAGGTTGACATACCTCTCAGCTATCGGCGGAGTCGCTTATCTTACATTTCATATCTATCAATTGAGAACTCCATCAGAGCAATATGCGCCAGATCCATCAAAGAAAACCTTGGTCATACTCGGTAGCTATAATTCCCGCGTTGTCAATTGAAGCTTACTGATCCCGATAGGTACTGGCTGGGGCTCTGTGTCGCTCTTGAAGAAGCTTGATACTAGCCAATATAACGTCGTTGTCATTTCGCCTCGGAACTACTTCCTCTTCACCCCTCTGCTACCATCATGTACGACCGGATTGATAGAACATCGATCCATTATGGAACCTATCCGCAACATACTCCGGCACAAGGAGGCGATGGTCAAATATTACGAAGCCGAAGCCACAAAGGTTGATTATGAGAAGAAGGTGGTGTACATCAATGACGACTCTGAAGTCAAAGGAGACGTATCTGCCACCGAAGTACCATTCGACATGCTTGTAGTCGGAGTCGGAGCCGAGAATGCAACTTTCGGCATTCCAGGAGTTCGCGAGCACTCCTGTTTCCTAAAAGAAGTCAATGATGCCCAGGCCATCCGCAAGCGAGTCATGGATTGCGTTGAAACAGCCAATTTCAAAGACCAAAGCCCAGAAGAAGTCAAAAGGCTATTGCACATGGTCGTCGTGGGCGGTGGACCGACCGGTGTTGAGTTCGCCGGCGAGCTCCAAGATTTCTTTGAAGAAGATCTCAAGAAGTGGATTCCAGAAATCGTTGACAACTTTCACGTCACCCTCGTCGAAGCATTACCCAACGTCCTGCCAATGTTCTCGAAGCAATTGATCGACTACACCGAGTCCACATTCAAAGAAGAAAAGATCACAATTCGAACCAAGACAATGGTCAAGAACGTTACAGACAAGTACATCGAAGCTGAACACACCAAAGCAGATGGAACAAAAGAAAGAGAGATTCTCCCGTATGGTTTGCTCGTCTGGGCCACAGGTAACGCCCTCAGGCCTGTCGTCAAGGACCTGATGTCTCAGCTACCCGCACAAAAGGATTCCCGCCGCGGCCTCGCTGTCAATGAATATCTTGTCGTCAAAGGCACAGAAAACGTCTGGGCCGTAGGGGACTGTGCCATTGCCAATTACGCCCCTACCGCCCAAGTCGCCAGCCAAGAAGGCGCCTTCTTAGCACGCATGTTCAACTCACTAGCAAAGACCGACACAATCAACCGCGAGCTCGCCCACTTATCCGAAGAACAGTCTTCAAAGTCAGGGGACGAGCGCAACGCAGTTTTTGAGCAGATCAAAGCACTGCAGAAGCAGCTACGTCGCGTCAAGCAGATTGGTCCCTTCGAGTATTCGCACCAGGGCTCACTCGCTTATATTGGACACGAGAAAGCGGTGGCCGACATCAGTTGGTTGAGCGGGAATCTTGCCAGCGGCGGGACCATGACTTACCTTTTCTGGAAGAGTGCGTACCTGAACATGTGCTTCAGTACCAGGAACAGGGTCTTAGTGTGTGTCGATTGGTTGAAGGCGAAACTGTTTGGACGGGACGTGAGTCGGGAATAGATCAGTTACTCTCTACAGGTGCTGGCATAGATCAGGCGGAGGATGGCGTTTCTACATTCCGACAGGGTTTGAAGTCTGATAGCGATACACAAATGCTGCTCGACCGTGTGATTCCATACAATTTTTAATGTCATTGTCAAAGTAAACATAACCGGGCTGGAGCTGGCTGTTCTATTTCCTTTTCCATCTGTAAGCATCTTGAGCCATGCTTCATCATCATGCGTATGCTCTTGCAAGGTACTCGGACAGTGATCATCAAGTCATCAATCATGACCACTCCTCACGCATTGTCCTGCCCTCTGATCATCCCCCTATTCAGTTCAATCTCCTTCAATATGTCCCCCGCACCTTTATCAATTAACTCCTTCGCAGTCGCCAACCCGCACGCATTCGCGTCTTCATCACTCCCCACAAGCCGCCTCCCCTTCGCTTCCACAAACTTCTCCCCATCCGTACTCACCACCATCGCCTTCAACGTCAACCACCCTCCACCGTTCCCCTTGCCCTCTTCTCCTCTCTCCTCATCATCCCACACACATTCCACCCCCACAGGAACGGAGCAGCCCCCCTCCAATACCCTCAACAACCCCCGTTCCGCCTCCCCCTCCCACGCAACCCTCTTCCCCTCCCTCCCCAACCCCGTCTCCAACGCCCTGAGAATCCCCTCAACCCACTCATCCCCCTCTCTCCACTCCACCCCCAACGCCCCCTGCCCAACTGCATGTCCCACACCCTGTTCCCAGCCCAACCACCCATCAATCTTCTCGTCTAGCCCGAGGCGCTGAACACCCGCGCCCGCGAGGATCAGCGCATCGTACTCCCCCTCCTCTAATTTCCTGATTCTCGTGGGCACATTGCCTCTTACGTCTTTGATGACCAGACCAGGAAAGTTCCGCCGTATCATCGCTGCGCGCCTGACACTACTCGTGCCCACCACCGCTCCCTGCTTCAATCTCCCCAGCCCGCTTCTTTTGCCCCCCCCCCTTTACCCCATCGCCCCCTTCCCCCTGCCCCCTCAACTTCGGAGCCACCAAAACACAATCCCTCTTCTCCTCCCGTTTCCCCACGGCTCTAACCCGACATCCATGCGGCAATTTCGTCGGCACGTCCTTCAAGCTATGGATAATGCAGTCGAGTTTGCCATCCAGGAGTTCTGTCTCCAGAGATTCTGTCCAGAGGCTTTTGCCTGAGGAGGCGAGGGTGTGCAAGGGGGTGGATTTGTTGGTGTCGCCGGGGTTGGTGGAGAGGGCGTGGGTTGTGGTTGGGATGGAGGCGAGGGGGGTAGGTGAGAGGTTGGGTGAGGGGGTGGGGGAGGAAGAGAGGAGGGAGGTGAAGAGCTTGACTTGGGCGAGGGCGAGGGCGGAGGAGCGGGTGCCTATGCGGAGGGTGCGTTGGGGTTGTGCGGTAATTGGATGAGAGGGATGCGATTCGGTGGTCATGTTTAGAGGGTGTTTATTTGGTCTAGATCTAGTGGGAGTATCGTGTTGGGACTCTCGTATATCATTGAGTCATGATCAATTGAAGAAATGTGAACCTTCAATTATGAGAAGAATTAGCATGGATAGCTAATTGTGGAAAGTCGATGCGGACACTTAATTCACGCCTTGCGATGACGCAATGAGTAGGCGAGGCTGTTTGCCCCTGAAGCTACCCCTTTCCATGCAATTGATACACAATAGTCCGCTACTGTACATAAGATGAATGGCAATCAGTTTGCTCATGATATAATATGTGTCTGATGTGCTTGCCATGAACCCGTCGGCACCATTGCAAGCCAGGCCGAGAAGCAGCCCCTTAGCAATTACGACCCGCATGATATTAAACACAACGTCCGCTCCGCCAACTAAATCAGAACAGGCAAATGTCATCAGCATCCCGCTATACTCAACATGGTCGACATCACTCCTTGCTTCTTCTTCCCCTTCTTCTCCTTCTTCATCACCATCACGCGTTCTTAACAGGAGGGTCTTTGAGCGCATTTGTGTTCAGCTCCGGGCCCGGCTCTTTCATTTCGCGTTCCTGCGCTGCCTCCTGCTCGACCTCCTCTTTGAGCTCGTCGTTGATGCCTTGTACATCGCCAATACTTTTCCGCGCTTCCTTGACCAAGTTTTCCGCCTCACTGATTCCCCCTTTCGTTTCCGATTGGTCACCATCAACCCCAATTGGAGGTTCTTTTTGGTCTAAATTCTGTTGCAGCGCCTTGCCGTCGAAGCGAACAATCATACACGAAAGATTATCAGTGCTGAAGCGTTGAAGCGCGTGATCAACCAGCATTTTCGACGCTGTCTGAGGATCTTGTGTATATCGTATCAGATCAACTGCTTCTTGGTCCGTACAGACGTCCCATAACTGAATCTGAAAGTCAGTAACGCCTCATGAGGTTGGAGGAAGTCAAACGTACACCATCGCATGCTAAAATGAGAAACTCGTCAATGTCCGCTTGTATCACAGTCTCCGTAGTGTAAGGATGGCCAGTAACCAACTCCTTCATATACGCGTCGCCCAGGGCCCGCGTCACCGCTAGAACGCCGTTTACACGATTATTCAGGATTAGGCCACCAGCATTTGATATCCTCTTTCCCTCATTCTCGTCACTGCCCTTGTGGTCGTATGAAAGGCGAAGTGCTTTTCCGTTACGGCAGAGTACGATACGAGCGTCACCGACATTGGCGGTGTACAGAACTCGCTGCCGAGTAGCCGAATTCTGAAGCTTTGGCATAGGCGAGGTGGAAGCAAACCCTGGTACAGCAGCTCTAGATGAGGGTGTTGAAGGCTGCTCTTCCGACTTGGAGTCTTTATCCGACTGGGATTCTGATGCTGCCTTGACTGCTGCAGCTGCAGCAGGGGCTATGGCAGTTGAGCCTGTTGCTGACTGTGAGTTCGGTATTCGGTCTTCCCAGCGCAGTACTGCGCAGATCGCGGTACACCCGCTATTCTTCAAGGGAAGCTTATCAAGCTGTTGATCCACGTTTGTGAACGTCTGGTCCAGCAATTCCGGGATGGGCGTATTCGGATTTTTGCGTATTGCATCTTCTAACAAAACATGTAACTTCTTTCCACACCAGTCGGCAGCAAAAGTGCCAGCATGACCATCGAAGATCGCAAAATAACCATTATCTGTTTCAACAACTGATTGGTCGCTGGATATCTTGTTGAGGCTTGTCTTCGAGTCGTGATTTTCTTTTGATGCTTCACTGTTCTTCGCGCTTGAAGCCGAATCCGTATCTGAGGCTATCTTTGGCGCCGGTGTACTCAGAAAATTGTACAAGTAAGCATGAGTGTCTTCCATATTCCGGCGGCATTTTCTATTCTTGTCCTCAGTGACGCCAATCTTGAACGTCGACCTTGGTCCAGGTTTAGACTCGCCAGCGGAATTGTTCAATGAGCCTTGAGGAACACTCAAAGCAGGGTCTGTCTTTCCAAGCTTCGAAATTGCCGAGGGCTGTGAAGGGCTCATGGGGCCACTTTCAGAATTAGAATTCGATGAGCCAGATAAATGAAGGGAATTTTTGGCATTCGCGAAAAGCGTTCCCGCTTTACCAAACCCACTACTCCTCCTCTTCTTTTCCCCAGCAGGATCTTGCGAATTTCGCGGTGTGCTTAAGCTTTGAGTGCGACCAGGGGATGTGGGTGAGTCTTCATCTACAGCGTCTAGATCTAGACCATTTGGTATACTTCCGGGGCCTGCAGCCTTGTTCTGAGCTGGATGCGAAGCAATTGGAGTGTCTGGGCTTTCTTTGGTTGGGCTTTGGGAATTGCCCCCAAACATCTTGTTCAAGAGGTTGCCCCCTTGGGCGGAGAAGCTCCTCCGCTTATTGCCTGCCAGAATGATGGATATAAGGACTTCGGTCCTGGTTTGGACGTTCTTGAAAAGCGTTCTGTGAGATCGGTAAGGTGTTCTCGAGGTTCTGGGAAGGAGGGGATGTTACTGATGATGGTTTTAGGATGAAGGGTAGAGAAAAGGGAAAAGGCGGTTATCGATCGAAGCTTGAAGAAGAGCAAAGGTCTTCAGAGTTCCAAGGAGGCACCTTTTAGGCTTTTGTGGTTGTTAGCTGTGATAGATTGATTGTCGATTGGGCATGGGGAGGGGTAAAACGATTGTTGGACTTCTAACAAATAACATGGTACACTGGCTTACATGGGCTGTAGAACTCTGAACCTGATAGCTCGCCGACCGTCGTTCGGTAAAGCCCTCTTAAAAGATTGCTGTCTCCGTTCCAGGCAAGCGGGTATCAGGGTCGCTTTCGGTCGCGAGTATCACAGTGAGGAGTCGTTGCAGGTATAAGCGTGGGGTTGAATGGGAAGGGAACTCTAGACGAAAAGCTTGGCATAAAACCAGGGACTGGCACAAGGCACGAGCCAGGGCGATGAAGATAATTGCGAAAGAGGTCCCAGACCCAAAAATATTATGCTGTTGAAGAGGATAGAGACATTGATGGACTTGAGCTTTAGCTTTTGTTTGCCTTGGTTGTTAACGTCTCATTTTAGGTTTGCGGTATGATGAAGAGGCGCAACGTTCTATGTTGATGCTATGTACGCTTAATGATCCACCGTGCATCAAGCGCTCACCTGGCGCTTCCCATGCAAGGCCAAAGTCATGAGCAAATTTCTATGTATTCGTTCGTAAAGCATAAGTCATTGCCCATCCACGACTCCGTACTGTACAGTCCTCATGTCTCATTAGGTCTGGCCCAGAGGAAGCCACGTCCGGCGTTCGTCCATACTCCGATTGATTTGGCCACCAGGAGTCAGGGGTAATTCGATCCTAGCTCCTGGTGACATGGTCCCACGGTTGTCTTCGCCTTCACCAACCTCATTAGCAAGCCGCGAAAAATAGTCCGCAAGGCCGTTGCCGTCGCCAACAAGAGTGTCGTAACCTGGTGGCGGACTCATGAGTGGAGGTGGAGGTTCCTCACTGTCGAACGGTGGAGGGTTGAAAGAAGGGTTGCGGAGAAGATGTATGGGGCGGCTCTGACCCGCATTCGGATCGTGGACATGTGCAGCTTGAGGCCTAGTAATTGCGGATGAAGAGGCCGATGGCGCATTGACGCTGCTCGAGGAAGCATTGCTGCCGTCTAAGCGTAGACTTTTGAGTGTAGGTAATAGACTTGTAGGAGAATTGCGCCTTCTCGGTGCGCCAGGGCAGCCACAAGCCGAGTGGTCTGTCAGCAGAGTTGCCGATTCTGGGGACGTATAGGCCGGTAAAGCAATGTTTGCTTGGGTAGCTCGACATGACAAGATGTGAAAAGGAGAGTCGATTGAGATCTCGAAATGTCTACGCTTGGCAGGGTCGACTGCGTCCGGTCTTGACAATCTCATCACAATCTATAAGGCAGAGTTAGTGACGGGTAGCAGCTTACGACAACCGAAGCACCAACCTTGATCCAATGGTGTACCTGGATGCCTCCATAAGTTGTGTCAAAATGTAGCCTTTGGGATCGATCTTTTTCTCGCATTTGATGGCAGCTCGGCAATTGAACGTTGAACTCCATTTCTGTAGGGCCAACTTCTCCACCTGCGTCCAGGTTGCCCAGGAGGTTCGACATGTCTCTTGGAACATCCTCGTTGCCCCTTGCAGCCTCCATACGCGAATCATAAGCAACGCCGCCACCAGCAGTGATGCGTAGCTCGCTTCCTGCATAAGTGCTCACACTTTTCGAATCAGCTCTTTTCTCAAAAAGTTGCAATTTCCGGGTAGGCTCAAGCCGATGCACACGCTTGTTGCTCGTGAAATATTGTATGTTTTCCGTGACATAGACCTTGATTCGGTGACACTGCACTTTTGCGAGGGGTGTAAGTTTGAATGCGATGGGGACATGGGCTCCAAGAGGGAACGATTTGCCAGATATGACGATGTCGTAATGTAGTTGATCCTCCCAATTTCGTGATATAGCTATCGGCTCAACCTGTTCTAGAGAGCCTTCTGAAGGGGCTCGAATCAGGAAGACCTCTCTAGCCCCTACCAAGTTGGCCCTAAAGGCTCCAGCTCTTTCGACCGTTGCTTCTAACTCGTATTTAACGTTACCTAACTCGACGTCAATCGTTTCCGGAAGCCTCGAATCAATGGGTAGCTCAAAGTTGTAGATGTAGACACCCGGTGTGAATGTTCGATAGCCTTTTTGCGCCACTGATGGTCCACTATTTGCCCCATCGGTTTTTTTCGAACTTCGAGCATTGTTTTCCTGGAAAGATAATCTCTTCTGCTCTTTGGCATTTATTGCACTCATTGCTGGTCGACGCTTGTCTTCCAAACAAGCATCCGAAGTACCAATTTCTGTCGTTGTGGCCATAGGCCCTTTCAAGGATTGGACCACGTCAGCACCCGACCCATATTCAGCTGTCTGAAACTGTGCGTTGAAGAAAGGCCATGTATGGTTTATGATACTATCGCGATCTTTGAAATCAGTCTTCTTCGGAGGAATACCTGTGCAATATGTCGTCAGTTGGTGATTCTTGCTGGTTATTCAATACACACCTTCGGGCCATTCTGTTTCTGCCCGGCCTCTGAATGACAGCGAAACGGTCTTTATCTTCGCCGTCTTTGACACTCGTAATTGAAAGCTACCCCTCAACATGGAGGTCGTTTGATTCGCAAGCTCTGAGGGATCGAAACCCTGAAGGAAGAGTACCGGCTCAGCAAGAGAAATAGATAGGCTCACGCCATTCCCTGCGGCGATTGGTTTCTCGTCGCTAGACATGAAGGTTTGTATTTCTCCGCTACTATTGCTTCCCATTGACGTCTGAGATACTGTGCGCATGGTATTCGCCAACGCTGGTCTGTGAGCCATGCCGCTCATAGGACCACCGACGATCGATGATTGCCTTGACCGGCCAGTCGTTCTGCCCGCCATGAGGAGAAATCCAAGCCCTGCTTCGAACTTTGACTTTTTGGACCAACAGCAGATGAATGTAGCAGAAGCGATGCTTGTAGTCGCCGTCCAATGACTATTCCCGCATTTAAAGCGTCAAATCCTCTCATCCACAAGTATGTCCGCCTGTTCAGGCTATGCTGTGTCGAATGGCGTAAGCACTCTTGGCAATTTTTGCCTTGGCCAACTGGCCTGCTAATGTACCGAGAAAGAGGACAGGCGAATTGTGAAACGACTCGAGATTTTGTAAGCCTGAATGACCCAAGTTGTCAGCCTCTTCATTTACAAATAGTTGGGGGTAAAGTTCTCTCGAATGCGAACCACGCGGAAAGGATAGGTTAACCCCCGCGAACTGAAAGACTGAAGGCTTCGTTCCCTCGTAACATGTGCGAACATGCCGTGGATGATAATCAAACAAGGAAGAAGTGCAGGGGCTCATACGTTACGACTCTCGGAGACTTCTCTTCTCACCAGTTAGGGCTTATTACGGGTGTACAGTCACTGGGAAATAACGTGTACAAGTATTGAGGGTAATCTGGCGGCGTTTTGAGGCAAGTCGAACGGTTGCCCTCCGAGATGCACCCAATAATTCCAGTGTGACCGAGTGTGTAGAGTAGTGCTGCCCCTTCGCGACCTTGTAGGCTGAGAGATGTGATGAGAAAGTCACGAGGACCAAAAAGCGTGATTTAGACAGGGCATACTCTGTACGCAATTGGTTATGGTGAATTGCAGGTGATGATGTGTAACCCGCTCAAGCCCGCCATTGCCGGGGTGCACTAGCCTCTTAATATACAGGATTTCACCCAACCGGGCACCATCCAAAGCATGACTGAAACGGGCGAGGTCACGATTTCCCCAGATCCACAGGCGTGCCCAGCTCAGCGCAAAGCCAGCCACATGGATCTGATTTCGGCAAGCCGCACCTAAATGCGACGGCCACGACTGATCATCAGACCCTTTCGCCATTTCGACCCCATCCGCGCACTGCTCAGTGCTCAGCCACCGGAGACAACGTCAACCATGATTACATACCTCCCAAGCATGCATCGTCATCTGCTGATCAACCTCTTGATGACTTGCCCACCATTTTGTCATACTCAGCAGCCAATCCTCATTCCCTCCAGAGAGCCAAGGGACTCACGGTCCCCGGAGTACCCGACCATCCATTCACAAGGCTGCTTGGACGGGCAAGACGGCTAATGACCAGTGTTTCTCTGCGCCTAAAAGCGGAAGAACGGTTGAAGAGGATGCTGCCGGAGCCAAGCTGTCATTGGAACTATTGCTGTGCCTGCATCGACCCTTGCCTCGATTGAGTTTCCCAGCACCTCCGATATAGGACTGTGGAGGGTTTGCCTACGTCTTAAGAATTCTTGCTCCTTGTCTGTTGGCCATTAGCATGACCTTTGACGGGTATCCCACATGCAGGTTCTTGTCACTTGTCCGATTTCGGCGTGCTTCACTGGCGTCTTTGGGGGATCAAACAACGTTCTTGACCTGTAGCTCGTCCGAATCCCATCGTCTATGATGCCTTGCGCAAGATGTATTGCCGGAGCCTTTGCACCTGGTTTGCTCTCACACATGCTCTGCGAATGAGACATCAAACTGCCTGTTGTGGGTGTTGCGCGATTTGCCACTCGTGGCCGATCCCACACTGCTTATCCCGACAACTAGTCGCGAGACTCTGCAAATCGCCGTCTAGCTATACATATGTAGATTCTATATCCTAATAGTCAGCTAATTGATCTGTTTCATCGAAATAATCCAGCAATTCTCCCGTGCGTGCGTCACGTGCGCGGATAAGCTAGCGCGTTTTCGCGCGATGATGTCCTTTGCAACGACTCGTCAACATCAACGCCTTAAGCTCTCAGAGCTACAAAAACTACGGCAAGGCCTGATTCAATGATCGAAGGGTGCTCCCGATTGAATATGCGTCACCTCCCACGGCTTTAACGAAGTTGAGCAAGTGGCGACCAAGAATCCATGCTTGCGCAATGGACGACAAATCGCATCTTCCTTTGTTGAGGGCCGTCGTCTGCTGCACTTCAGTTCCGCCAGAGCAGAGAGTACGTCGTCCGTATTCTTTTAATTTAAGAGAGCTGCTAAGGGCTTTTTTCATGGTAGACACATCTCGCAACATGTGTGGAGCAAATGGGTGCTATTCACAAGTACGACTTGACTTCAGACGTGACGCACCTGGTGGTAGGAGACATAGACACACCAAAATACAAATTTGTGGCAAAAGAGCGCCCAGATGTCAAATGTTTGTTGCCGAGCTGGATAGAGGCTGTGCGGGAATCATGGATTGCTGGTGGTGAGACAGATGTCCAAACTTTGGAGGAACAGCACAAATTGCCTACCTTCTACGGCTTGAAAATATGTGTCACTGGCTTTGCAGATCGTGAGCGTGTATATATCGGTATTTAGGCCCGTTGCTAACAAACTGCGTAGCGGACGAGCGCAAGGACCTCGAAGATCGAGTCACCGCCCATGGTGGCGAATATATGCCTAACCTGACTAAAGAGGAGACCCATTTAGTAGCGAAGGAGCCATCCGGTGCCAAGTATGAATTTGCAGAGAGATATGGCATAAAGATCATTGCAACTCAATGGTTGGATGAAAGCATAGAAAGGGGTATGGTCTTGGATCCTAGCCTATATCACCCACTTATACCGCCTGAGAAGCGTGGCCTCGGTGCTTGGATTCGCAAATCGACTTCCACTACAGTGCTGGGAAAGCACACAAGAGAAGAGACACAACCAGAGCGATCGAGGAAGCTGAGTAGGACCGCGAGTGCTAGGCTGGAAAATGCAAATAGTGGGCTCTGGGGAGATATCGTCATCCAAGAAGTGAAGATCGAGCCTACCGAAACCAGCGCTTGGGATGAGGACGCGCCACTTGTCGATCAAGATCAGGAAAAGAAACCTTTAATCCCATATTACGATCAAAAGCCAGGGGGCCCATCGCAAATTTCTGCTTACACAGAATGTACGACCAGATCTGTACGAAGAAGTGATATCTTCAACAGCAAAATATTCATTTTGTACGGCTTTGATGAAAAAAAGACCTCTGTTCTGGAAACACACTTGATATCTCGTGGAGCAAAAATTGGAGACATCAAGACTCTTGCTTGGGATTTGAGAGAGTATGAGCTCTCTGATTCATTTGTAATTGTGCCACACACGATGCCAACTCCTGAGATACCAAACATCAGCAAGGGCTCGTCACCTCTGCCGGTTGTAACGGAGCTGTGGGTTGAGCGGTGCTTACATATGAAGCAATATCAGCACCCTTCCATGCAGATTATGAGTCGGCCACTTGCAAACTTTCACATAGCTGGAGCCGAACGTCTCAGGATCTGTTCTACAGGTTTCCAAGGCGTCGATCTGTTGCACATGTCCAAGGCAGTAAAGCTTATGGGTGCCAATTATGAAGAATTTTTCGATCCCAAAGCGTCAGCCTTGCTTTGTGGTGCTCTGCATGCTGGCGCGGACAAGCTACGCCATGCACGTCTGTGGAGCAAGCCAGCTGTAAAGGTAGAATGGCTCTGGGATTGCCTTTCCAGCAGCACAATCATGCCATTTGAGTCCTATCTAATACAACCTATCCTGCTACCTGCAGAGATTGAGGTGGAAAGCCAGCCGGTGCAGGTCTCTGAGCAGCCGAACAAGAATAAAGTTGCCCCAAGCCATTCAAACCTTCGAAGCTCTTCTATTGCTCCGTCAAGCAAGCTTCTCTCAACGGACGAAGACCAACGGAATCGTCGGAAAGGTGCTTCATCCTTCAAGAAACAGCATGCTACCGCTGTTGATCCATTTCCAGATGATGGGGGACCGCAAGTCCTCGAGGATTCAGAGCAAAAGCCTTCAAATGCCATCGACGACCACTTTCCCAATACTAATTCATCTTCCACCCACATGAAGTCATTAGACTCCCTTCCCCTACAAGAAATCACCCCAAATTCATCGCCACCAAAGCCACCACCAGTACCACCAGAAGACGACAACCCGCCCAAAATCTCGTCGCAGCGCGCAATTCAACCAACAGCATCCCCTTCACCCTCCAAGCCCCTCTCATACCATGAAGACTCCAATCTGGGCCCAGCAATCTCCTCTCTGCTAGCCCACCAACGCTCCCACTCCGCCGCACACAAATCCGCCCCAAACAGCCCTCATCCCCGCCGGCGACGCCAACTCCTCGGTCGCGCTCCCTCAAATCTCTCGTCCGGCGGCACCATCCCCAACGCCGTCAAACCCCTCGACTTTTCCCGGGCCAGCAGCGTCGACACCCTGAACACCGACGGACTCGGCACGCCCTTGAGTGCCAACGGTTCCTTCCCTCCTTCCCGGGCCGACAAAGCAGGAACGGGGGTGGGGGTGTCGGGCGTCATTTACGACACTGATCATCACGAAGAAGAGGAACGGAAGAAGCAGGAGGAGCAGTTGCAGATGACGCAGGTGGGGTATCAGGACCCAGATGCCTTGGTGTGGAGGGACAGGGTTACGAGGAAGATGAGGGGTGAGAAGGTGGTGTATGGGAAGACGCCGAGGAAGGGGAGTGTGTTGAGGAATGTGGATGGGGAAGGTGCTTGGGGTGGAGGCGGTATGATGGGAGCGAGGGGAAAGGGGAGGGCAATGGAGAAGGATGAAAGTGGAGGGTTGGGAATTGCGAAGAGGACGAGGGGAGCAGTTGGTGCGATGTACGTAGGCTGATGGAATGAGTCTGTCTTGGTCAATTGGATGGAGGTAGGGGTTGTTGATGCTTGGATGGGAGAGGCGGACTTGGATGACTCCTTGCTTATAGTTTGGGCTTGGGAAGCTTGATGAGAGATGGAAACGCACGAGTGTGAATTTTTAAGAATTGTACACTATCTCTTGCATATGGCAGCGTTCTCAAGACGTCCACAAAGTTCCATTGAGTAAGAGGTCAACGATGTTCTGCCCTTGCATATTCACTCTTCAATTCTTGTTTTCTTCTCTATCTTCAATCTTAACAAGAACGGAATGATTACTTTCAGAGTGCTTTCCTTTCCAGATTCTGCGGCTGAGGGTGTGGAAGAGTCGACACACAGGGTCGTGTAAAATGATATATTGGCTCCACGGCGTCCGGGTTGGCAAAATTCGGACATTCAGGTAAACCCAGACTCGAGGTCATTCGGTTACTACTACGATAATGGGAAGTAGGTGCAAGAATCTACCCCTCTCCTTGTTCTCGGCAGAATGGGAGCTAAACATCACATTATTTTTGTCTCTTCGGGGTTGATGTGGAGTATGCATACGTCCAGATTTCGAGGAAGTAGACAACGGGGCTCGATCAATCTAGACATTGCGTAAGATTCTAGCTTTTACTTGACACAACCAATTGTGTACAATCTCCTAATTCAGCTATGTTCAGACCTGTAGAAGCCAAAACACTCCGCCAGTGTTTTCAGCGTTGTCTTGCAGGGATCAGTGCAAAGCTCGCCGCAATTGGCCTCAGGATCGAGATTCACCACCACCGGCAGCCGTGGTTTGAAAGATCGATCTCGCGATCGAAAGCGGTGAGCATTTGGAAAGATAACAGTTAGTCATAGGGTGGCCAAATGCTTTGACTCACCTTGAATCGTGTCCCCGTGACAGGCATCTTGGGTTTCAATTTGCCGTGTACCCTTTCGGAAGCAATGACCTTGCTATCGACAGGGAAAGTGAAGCGCGTACCCTGGGCATGAAGCCTCGAGAGCAGGCTTGTGGCCGTCGGGGCGATAGTCAAAGCGATCATCTACGGTCTCAGCATGTTAGAGCGTAGCTTTGCGCATGCATGATATTTCTAGAAAATCGTGTCATGAAATCATGATTTTGTGGGGGTGCGCTGTCATTTCAAAGGGGGTCTTTGGCCGCGCTGAACTTGGACGGGGCAAGAGATCCTTGATTGCACGTCGGTCACGACAGGCGGTTAAAGCGGAGACGCCAAAACAACTGAAGGATTGTGAAAGATAACCGAGATCTCAGAGGGATTTCGAACGACTGCCATTGCTAGAAGTAGACTACCAGCAAACTGTACATCGGTAACGGCAACTCCACATATTCTATTGCCGACCGATCAGATATAATTACCACCAGCGTGCCGACCAGTCCAATACGCGAAAATTCCGAAAACAGGAGTAGGTCTGAGCCCTTGCCGGTTTGAGATGAAGCCAATGCAAGGGAAAAAGTGTCAAGGCGGAGGAAAAGTGCCCGTTTCGCCAACGCTGTGTTTAATGTTGCAGTAGTCAGATTCATGCATAATTTCATCAGCCACTGATCTGGGGTGCAGGATCTAAGCGTCCTGATCACCGCCGCTGTGGGTCCTCGCTTTGGCTGCCGGACTGCTCTTGACTACTGCTGCTGATGCCGAACGGCGGGTTGCATCAACAGGACCACTGCGGATCCCCTCGTCTCCTCCCCTCCGTGCGTTCCTGGTCTGATGGTGATATACTACTACTTGACGTTTGACGAGACTGTGGAGGTGGGCTGGGCTGATCGAGCCAAGTGGGTCTAGCCCCGGCATGTGTGGCAGCGTCCAGGAATCACAATGTATCTTTCGTGAGGTCCCCGAGGACATCTGGTCGCAGGATCCCCATCCAAAGTGACTGATACATAGTGTGCGGCCGGCTCGCGGCAATTGTGGTGGACATAATAGTTCTTCTCGTAGTTGCACATTGTGAGGTGACGTCTGTCGCACGGCGATCGGTACCTGATTCGGGGCTTGGTCGATTAAGCACTTGAATTGTCTGCCACTGGTTAGCGTGCACTTTGCTCTATCTAAGGTTGTCGCCGTTACCTCTATGTTGGGGGCCAAATGAGTTCAGAGGATCGTTGCGGGTTAAGCTGAGGAGAGAGCTGTTTCTTCGAAGAGATGAAACAAAATGCAAGGCGCAGAGAGAGCACTCTTATAGATGTTGGTGCGCAATGGTCGTGACACGGGACTCAGGTATCAGCAGACCTTGAGAAATGTTATTGTTCCGCGAACGGAATTGTAAATTAAAAGGAGATATCTTGGAGGACAGCATGGCGGATTGGACGAACCGGCAGTGTAGCCGCGCACGAGCAACCAATCCGGCAAAGTCTCTGACACCGAAGACAATTGGGTATTGGCGTGGAGTTTAACAACCAGTTATTTGCGATCATTACATGAGCGACAGGTCGAATGGGCGGTGTGGGCGGTGAGGGAAGGGTCAAAGCGGACATAGAATGCTGAAGCTTGGGCCCTGTGAGAGAAAAACATATTCCTCCACTCGGACCCAAATCAGGCAGAAAAGCTCAAGCGGTGGCGAATGAATTGGGAGAAGCTGCTGAATTGGAGCGCAAGAGTAAGCGATGGATCATTAGGAAGGGGTTCCTGTCGCCGATGAGGCTGTTATGATGCAATATCTAGCTCTGCCATGGACAGGTAACAATTTTAGAGGTGGGGGTCCATCGTCAGGGCTGGCCATGTGCCACGTTTGAGAATCGCTCTAAGGACTGTAATATCCGCTGTTGGGTAAATTATATCGAGATTTCGGCAGTGAGACCGACATGATTTGACACAATTTGAGACAGGCCTGGAGTTGCCATATTGGTATACCCTGTTGAATCTTCTTTGAAGCAGACGGCGGAGAACCTACACAAGAACGTACGCGTGTATACTTTCTCGCAGTGGCGGCGGGCTATCTATAATGCTGTCGATCCGCGGCTCAGGCCGAGTAGGGACAGATTGGAGAGCTGCATGGTGGGCATTTAAGATGAGCGTGCAGCTGTCATACTTGCAGGATGAGATGGTGGCGGTAAGCTCAAGCTCCCCGCAGGCCAGATAGGGGGCCCCAACTTTGCGGGGCACTCCTTCCTGAATACAGAGCAGCTTCCAGGCCCATTTTTATTCGAACGGCGGGCCGTCACTTCGGCACCGCATGCTTCTCAGGGGCTCAGGGATCCAAGAAAACTTTCAAGTGGACGCGGTCTCTGTCGCATAATCGCGTATAGAACCGCTTAGCCCGAAGTCACATGCTAGGTCACTCCGAGAACCAGGGTTGAGCCACGGGAGTGAGTGGGATGAAAGCGTTGGTGTAAACAAGGGCATTATGCATCTCATGGACTCCTATCGCCGAGTTCGATCTTTGCAAATGGTGAAAGAGAAAGAAGAAGTAGAAGAATTGTCGTTGAAAGAAAGGGTCAAAGCCAAGCGGCGCTTAGCGTAGTGCCCGCTTGGCTACCGCAATACGGATTAAAACGAGTGTTTTCTTTCCAAACAACAAGCAAACAAGCCCAACGATCACGAGTTCCAGCTACTTCTACGTCTGCTCCCTCAGACAAGTCTGTCGATCGCCATCATACCATTCGCTACCGCACACTTCCCTCTGTGCATGTAGGATTTACTTGCTGCACCCTCGTTCCAATTCACGCCCCAGTCGCCTCCTTCGTCCCAGGCGGACATTCAAGAGATGGGAATAGGAGACTTTCAGACAATATGCAGCAAAAACCTCTTGCCAGTATGTTCCTTGATTGGACCTCCATCTCCAATCACCGGAGGCCCAACAGGCATACAGCCATCGTGCTATGCCCGGAGCGTTGAATTTGCAAACACTGTGATATTCGAGGCCGCGACGGATTTTGCACATATCCTGGCCTTGGGCATGGCAGTCATAATGGTACTTCATGTCAGGTCGAAGTTTACAGCCGTTGGTATGTGCAATCAACCCCACATTGCGCTTGTCGGCGAGCATGTCTTCTGACTTAGCCTGTGCTACTAAATTTAGGTCGGAAAGAGATCGCGACGTTCTTCTATCTCTACATGGCTCTCACCATGACGTCTTTGATTCTCGACTCGGGTGTTTCACCTCCCGGCTCTGCCTCCTTCCCATACTTGGTCGCGATCCAGAATGGGTTCACCTCAGCCTTGTGTACTTGCCTGTTTATCAACGGCTTTGTCGGCTTCCAGCTGTATGAGGATGGCACAAGACAATCAGTATGGCTCATCAGGGGCTGCTCCGTTGTGATGTTTATAGTCTCCGGAGCTGTGTCGATCTTCACGTTCAAGGGCAAGGCTGGCCTAGGACCACAAAAGACCGTTGGGTTATTCGTCGTACTGTACTTGCTCAACGGCATTGCACTACTCGTATACGTTGTGAGCCAGGTTATTCTCGTTGCGAACACCTTGCAAGACCGTTGGCCGCTAGGTGACATTGCTTTCGGAGTTTTCTTTTTTGTGGTTGGCCAAGTGATACTTTACGTCTTCAGCGATACCATTTGCGCCGGCGTGCAGCATTATCTGGATGGGTTGTTCTTCGCTACAATGTGCAATCTATTGGCTGTCATGATGGTGTACAAGGTACTTCTTCTCTCTGTGGTGTCTTAGCTTTGACTTACCTTTTGCAGTATTGGGATTCGATCACCAAGGAAGATCTTGAATTCAGCGTAGGTACGAAGCAAGGCAACTGGGAGGTCAAAGAGCTGTTGACGGAAGACGACCGGCGAGGGACTGTCTATCACGATAATAATTCCGAGTATGCAACTAGCCTGTACCACCAGGCGACCCCGCGCAATTCACATTATGGGGGATATCATTGACGTTCACATCCTGTGGATGGCATGTTTCTGTTGATTCTAATGAGCGTTGCAATGCATTGAAAGCGTGGGTTTTGGGCTAAGCGTCATGAGCATTGGGAAGAGCGAATTAGTTGCACAGACTTTAGATAGTTTGTCGAAGTAGTACGATAACGGTGGCGGTCAACACTACAAAGTATGACACTTCAGCACATCATCTGATAAGGCAGCTATACTTTACGCCTTGCATCTTGCATTCACTCAATCTTTTGTAGACCAGTATACTCGATCCAATCGCTGGTACTGATATGCCCCTATCGTGAGTATACAGTTAGATTCTCGGCTAGAAAGCGCCGTGAGTAGCCGTTGTGACCTTTGCACAACCCCCTCGCCCAGATGGCAGATCACCATGACCATTCTGGGCATGCGACGCTCTTAAACCATGTTTCGGAGCAGTCTGCATCAGTGCACAATAACTTCAAAAGATCCTACCAGGCATGCGTAAGTCTTTGGTCTTTGGAGCGCTTCGTTCTGCCCCCAAGCCAGTTGACTAGTCAAGCTGATCTATCCAAGTTACCGTGTCGAAAGAGAAAGGTACGCTGCGACCTTGGTCCTGTCGATAACCCCCACGATCCACCCTGTGCGAGATGTCGGAGGGAAACCAAGGAATGCACTTTTTCCTCTACCCGAAGGAAGCGCAAGGGCGAAGGGGAGGAAGACTACGGTGAAGATGACGAAGATATTGCGGCGGAAAATTTGTCGAGGAGGAAGAGCATGAGAAGGCAGACATCCGCCCTCGAAGATGCTTATCCTATGACACATCAGTCCCGTCATTCACTTACGTCAAATTCCATTTCATCCCCGTCAACGTTGGACCCATACGGTCAGACTCAGAATGGTCCCTACCGAATGCAAGCCTATGATCAGTCCCATCGGAGCCCTGAGTTCGAGACTTCCCAGGAACAAGAAGTTGTCAATCCGGCTGCCGGTACACTTCTCCAGGAACCCATAAATCAATCATCAGATGCTTTCAGTCTCTTAATCCAGGCTTCGAATCGAATCCAGCCGTACCAGGATAGTGACGCTCATGCAAAGATCAAGTCTGAACAGCATAACACCCAGCAGATTGACTCCGAAAGACAACTTCCATATGGTCCGGCGACAATTGAAGCAGATTCGCAATATGGTGTACGGAATGATTTGAGTAACCTTGACCCTGCCATTACGGGTCATGGCAATGAAGCATCTACATCTACCCGCAAAGCACTTTCGATCTGGTCAAGGCTTCGCTTCGTTCGAGCTGGCTGGTTCACAGCTAAGGAAGCTATGGCATACGTTAACTAGTATACCTTTCGCTTGCCCTTAAATAGTAATCCTCGCTGATGTCTATTCTAGTTATTATCATTTCTTGGCCCCCCTGACACCAGTAACCCACCCAGATCTTAGCAACGTTGATGCTCATCCGGAATTACTGAGCGAAGAACCCATGCTCACGGTCACTATCTTGACTATAGCTTCACGCTATATGAAAGTGCAGGGGCCAGGTAGCCAGACCCGCTCGCTTATGATTCATGAGAGGCTCTGGCATTACCTTCAAGACATGACGACCCGCATGTTCTGGGCTCAGGAGCAATTTGGTGGAGGCTTCTGTGGTGCTGGCGCAAGTGGCGAGAGCTCGAGTAGCGCCGAGAGGGGTAAATTGCGGACTCTCGGATCCATTGAAAGGTACGTCTTTACATCTCTTCTTGTGCTAAAGGCTTCTGAATAATAGCTTCTAATAGTCTTCTACTCTTGAGCGACTTTCATCCTCGTTCAATGCACTTTCCACCTAATGACGACGACGAAGATGTTCTCGCGCCAGATGAGGCGAAGCTGAAAGGTTTGTGGTCCGTGGAGAACGATACAGAAGCACGCGGTAGCGAATCGACTTTTGCTGGATGGACCGAGCCAGCTGTACGCTCAGACCGAATGAGTTGGAGCTTGATCGGCTTTGCTCACGCATTGGCCTACGAACTAGGGCTATTCGGCACATACGTTGACGGCGACATTTCAGTCAAAGGTCAGGTCAAGCGTCAAGGAGGCTCACATTTAGATCACAAACGAGCTGATAGGATAGAGCGTTTGCTCTTCATTTACGTGACTCAGGCATGCGGGCGATTCGGGTTCCCCAGTATCTACCCTGACCACTTGACAAACCAGAACGTAGGGAAAGTCAGAAATGAGTTTCTGACGGGTAAATTTATTTCCATTCTCTCCTCTGTGCTTCACTAAACCGTTTCGGCAGAAGTATCGCACATACACCAGAACACAGAGGACCTGATCCAGGAACACTTCGTCGAGGTCATGTCATTGAACAAATATTGCAACGACCTCCTTTTTCCCTCAAAACAGCATACTGCCCATCTCATTCACACAGGAGAATACCACAAGCATTTGAATGAACTCAAACCAATTTTCGACCAGTGGCACATTCGACTGAATCAGTCCAAAGGTAGCGTCTTTTCGAGCGAGGTACTCATACAATGCTGAGTGTCACTAGTGCCAAAGTACGCTAAAATTCTGCTCTCTATCGAAGTGCAGTATTTCCGTTAGTTGTCCTCGAATCAATTACTTGTACAGGACTAATCTATCCAGGCACTTTTGCAAATGGTTTGGCTCTCCAAGCCAAGATTGAGCAATATGTAGCTGGGAAAGCCACCGGCGACAGTCATATCGCTGGTCCACAGTCACCAGAGTCATCGACCTCGTCAGACTTCTCCAACTTCAGCACTCAGAATGAACGTTATATTCGAGAAGTTATCGAGGCTTCTCGGCAAGTACTCTTACACGTGGTCGACGATCTCCTTCCAAACGACAACCTCAAGCACGTCCCCGTGCGCGCTTATTTCAGGATCGTGTCGGCAGCCATGTTCCTTCTCAAGGTAGTTCCATCCATTCTGGCTAGCGCATGTAAGCTGACGAATCTAGACATTCGCCGCTGGAGCAAGACGGGCTGAGATAGACGCATCTCTCGGTCTGCTCGACAGGACCGTTAGGGCTCTTCGTACCAGTGTCGTAGATGACGTGCATCTCTGTCTTCGCATCGCTGACCTCCTCGAAAAGCTGACTACAAACATTCGTCGGCAGTTCATCCGCTGGAGACCAGAGCATGCAAGCAATCAACCATCTGTAAATACCAACCAAGCAGTGTTTTTGACGCATCACAAAGCGGGCCCCTCAGAACGACAACAGCCCATCCGTTTCGTCCGCCAAACCCCTCAACAAACTCACGTCAACAACTCACCAGGGCCTGCCTACCTAGGCGCTCCGGACCCAAATTTGACCGTCATCCCGCCTCCGCGCGGCATTTACAATCAGAATCCAATGTCTTATCTCTCCAGCCCCGCCGCTACCTATGCGAGCTCTCAGCAATCGCCTTACACCATGCAACAGCCTAGTCAACCTCACCAATCCCATCACCGACAACAATCTCAGCAATCCCCTACGTTCCCCAACCCCATGAGCGCCAATGCAAGCCCTGAAGTCCCGAACTTCAACTTCGCCCCAGACGACGACTGGTTGAACCTCAACCTCCAGCCCCTGATTGATAACAATGGCGGAGATGTGAGTATGGGGCAGAACGACAACTGGTACGGCAACCCCTTCGGACCCGAAACGCACAATAACCTTGAAGTCCTGGATAAACTCATGAATAATGGGTGGCCTGACCAGCAGGAACAGGGTGGTAGCGGATGGTCTGATCAGCAAGGGCAAGATGGCCCAGGGACGGTCTGAACATGGCGGGAAATAGGGGCAGCGCCTCGGTAGAAGACTGGCTTACAAGACGCGCTTTATGGTTTGTATCCCTATAACTGCCCCTAAAGCTTTAGGTAATGGGACTCATCGGCGCCATGGGTGGGCAGATGGGATTCTGAAGCCTTCTCTCCTTTTGTGAATCTGTGTGATAAGATGTGCGATAAGTGAGTGGGAAGAATGCTTGAAATATCTGCCTTGCTTTACTCTTTTCAACAGGGATTGAGCCGGAACTTTACGACGGGAGACGACAGCACAGGCGCCAGGAGTCGTGGCTTTGATACCCAAAGGATTGCGGAGATGGTGTCGGACTTTCTTTATGGGAGAATTGTATTGCTGGGTTGATAGAGGATCATGTATATACATGCCTAAGACGCTTGCATAAGACACTTGCATGAGGATAATTGAGCATTGACGGTTATATCCTACGGAAATTGGTGCAATGCACGCGTTTATTCCATTCTCCATACCTCAGCATACCTCAAGAGTACTGTATCGTTCGTTTAAGGCCTCCGATAGCTTTTGGCGTGTCTGTGTACCGTCTTGCGATCAGCCACCTGAATTGATTTAATTAGGCTCAGATACGCTTTGAGATGGCGCTTGCCACCTTACAGCTTGATATCTTCGGGAAACGCCAAAATGAAGTAGGCAGAGATCTCAGGAGTAGCTTATTGCCTTTCGAAGAACAGATACTTTCACGAATAATCCGAAATGCTGAACTTAGTTATGATGATTGTGTGGAGTCTCCGTGAGTCTTCCACGACGAAGGCTCCTTGCTACGCTTTGACGCGTCTTCTCTGCAGCACTCAAGCAGCCCTATGCATATTTACAATGACACTCCCCGAGTACACTCGCACTAGCAGCGTCCTTCAAGCCTCTAGCGACCCAGCAATCCCTGGTCCACCACTGTCCAGATCCACATCCTCCACCTTCGCCCGTCCCGTTTCCGTTGTCCGTATCAGATTCGCAAAATACTTCCTCGCTCCTCTCGACTCTTCCTCGACCTTCCGCTTATCCTCTCTCTTTTCGCCCAGCTCTTTGTAATTCTGCTGCAGGCCGTTCAAAAGATGCTGTTCAGGGACTCTCAGAACCTTGCGTACTTCCTTGGCGATGCGATCAGCGTTCTTGTGGGTGTAGTCGACTTCGGCAAGGGCGGAGGTGATGCGGCGGGAGAGGCGGCGAGGGAGGGTGTTGGGGATCGAGCGTAGAAGGTAGGCAGAGGTGAGGAGGACTGGGAAGTGTTAGCTATGGTGTAATTTCAGGAGGGAAACACGGGTGTAGAGGTGCTTACCGCAGAAGACGACGCCGGGAATGATCATCCGCCTTGTGTTTTGAGGACCGATCACGCGAACAGCACCTAGGGCTCCGTCGACCCAGCCAAAGCCACCAAGCATGCGTGTTCCGAAGGCGCCTGCGACTGTCAAGGCCATTGAGGTTCCGGCAAGTTTATCATTCTGATCCCACAGCCCGCTAAGATGTCCTTGAATATCAAAGAAGTCTGCAAACTCAACATCGAAATCGACCTCGCGGGATAATGCGTCCTTCTTGCCGGAAAACATCTTCTTTGGGTTCAGAGTCAGCTCTGCGTACTGGTCCCCAAGGTGCAGTAAGCCCAACGACTTAATCGTATTGCAACCGTTGAATGTTTTGGTTCTCGCCTTCTCTTCGCAAAGAGACACTGCAGACGATATTTGCTCAAGCATGGCCGCCTTAAGTTCTTCTGCGTATTGAGATGCCCCTGTCAGTCCAGGGTACACAACGCTAGCATCACCCTGTGCGCTTTGAGCGATGGCATTATTCACTACAGTGCGGGTATCTCTGTAGATCTCAGCACAAGAGTCTTCAATAGTCCTCTCTAGCTCATCACTGATGTCAGACCGAGCTTGTTTAGATTTTTCGAAAGCTGGCTCGATCTCTTCGAGCTCGTTGACGACACGCTCAAGCTCTGAATGAGCGACATCCCTGTTGACAACAGCGAGCGAGTGAACATCGGCAAGAATGTTTGCTAAGTAGGTCTTCGCAGGAGCAAGCTTTGATCGAGCTCGTTTCTCCAGGACAAAGCGACGCAGAGAACTTTCAAGTTCCTCAAAGTCTCTTATCTTCTCTTTATCCTTTCCTTTCCCTTTCTTGGGTGGTGACCCTGGTTCTCCGTGTTTGCCTAAGGATTCTTCGTCGTCATCATCATCAGGACTTGAAAAGTCATTTGAGGGACCAGAGCTACTTCCGCTGCCGCCGCTGCCTCCACCTCCCCCGCCATCAGGAGGACCGCTCGCAGGAGCTACTGGAATGGCATTGCTGGAGACAAAATGGACCAACTCTGACGATTCCTTGAATGTTCGAGGGCTAAGACCATGTACTTGTTCCAATATCATGCGCTCGCATCTTGCTTTGTCCCGGATATTGTCGAATCCATTCACCACTATGAAAATATATGCCTTCTCTCGCGCAGCGTTCCAAAGGAATTCTTTTGCAGAGAGTGTGAAATGATTGGCAGCGGAGACCACGAAGACAACCACATCCACCTCCTCTTCTCTTGCATAAACAGCGGTCGTTTTTACTGAATCCGAGTTCAAACCAGGCGCATCAGTCAGAGAGATATCCACAACGCCATTGTTGAGAAGAGATTCGTCAATTGTGCGCTGATCTTTCACATACACTTTGCATGAAACGTAGTGCTCTAGATCTGTGACAACTTTTTCTAACTCAAGAAGCTGGTATACATCGTAGCTGCTCTCGTCGTTGCGGTCATATTTAGCATCTCTATGAACGGCATGGGCCTCTTCGATGTTACCGTTCTCTTTTGCATCCAGGACTTCGCAAAAAATACTAGTGCATGGCTGTTGGTCTTCAGGTAAGACCTTTCTTCGCAGTAGGGCATTGCAGAAAGTCGATTTTCCGGCGTTGAGATCTCCTGTGATGAGTACTTTGCTAGAGATGTCTTCGATCCGATCTCTCAAGAGCAAGAGGTGCCGTATACTCTGACTGATCTTGCCATCTAGCAACTGAGCTACAGATTCCTTCTTGATTGAGTGCGCGATCTCAGCTTGGGTAAGACCTTGAACGTTCATATTGAGCTTCAGGACGGAAAATTCGCGGGCCGACTCTGGGGTGATCAACCTTTCAGGCTCTTTTTCCTCTTTTTGCTTCGCGCTTGAGCTTGACTCCGGCGATGAGTTCTCGAGCGTAGTAGCTGCCCTCTTCGGTGCGTTCGGTCGCAGAGGGATATTATCAATGGAATGCGGAGCGTTTCGACTTGTAGATGAGGAGTTGGTATGTTGCAAGCCAGGCCGTGGCTCTGGTCTTGCGCTCTGCGGCTCATGGACAGAGGGATACTGAGCAGGCCATCCTGCATTGAATCTTTGAAGGTCTTTCAGTGTCTCAATCGTTTGAGTAATTTGTCTGCCTAGCGTCGCCCGGTTTTGATTGTAATATAGTTGATGTACATGGCTAGCTAGAGCTCTCTTTTCCGTCGTTGGATCATTGTTCCCTGGCGTGTCTGCCGGGGTATATCGGTCCTCTGTAATTCCCGGATGCCAGGCTCTGCCACCATCGTTACTGTAGCCATCTGCTATACTACCACCATAGCCCGAGTCTTGTTCTAATGAGGATATCAAGGCCGCCGCGCTTGCAGATGTAGAGCCGTTTCCGACGGTCATGTAATTTGGTTTGAGAGGAATGTCTGAAGGTATTTCGCCGTAGTCATCTCTGGAAGAGCCTCCAGGATCTCCATCGTCAGAGTACTGCTCACTCATGTCTAACAGACCTTCATAGCACAAGAGATGTGACGTATGGGGTAGAAGGAGCGTGGTGTGACAGATGAAGCGTTGTTGTTGCTCAACTCCGTGGAATTTCGCCGCTCGGCCTTGGCATCTGCCAAAATCGTCATTCCCGCAATGCTTCATAGAGCTCAACCAAAGTTCCAGGCATCTACATATTATTTACGCTGAAAGTCCGTGCTTTCAGATCGCTTGCACATTACTATTCCTATTCTTCCATACCTACCACAGGTGTCTAGTTTCCACCATGAACGTAAAGTTACCTCGAATGAATCCACTTACAAAGGCTTATGATATATACTCAGATCGTAGAATGGGCCTTCGGCAAGCGCATGACACCAGCAGAGCGTTTAAGAAAGCATCAGCGTGCACTAGAAAAGACGCAGAGAGAGCTCGATCGGGAAAGAGTGAAATTGGAAAACCAAGAGAAGAAATTAGTTGCAGATATCAGGAAGAGCGCTAAGAATGGAAATATGGGAGCGTGCAAGATACAGGCGAAAGATCTAGTGAGAACGCGAAGGTGCGTCACCTTGTGGATACTTGTTGGAGTCGCGAACTATACTGCGGGTGGGCCTGGTTGACAATATGGTATCGCAGATACATCCAAAAGTTCTACTCGATGCGAACACAACTTCAAGCTATCTCCTTACGGATACAAACGGTACGATCAAACGAGCAAATGGCCCAGTCGATGAAGGGTGCCACATCTCTCCTAGGCTCAATGAATCGGTCTATGAATCTGCCGGCACTACAGCGAATAGCGATGGAGTTTGAGAAAGAAAATGATATTATGGATCAGCGGCAGGAGATGATGGACGATGCTATAGATGATGCGACGGGCTTAGAGGACGAAGAAGAAGGTGAAGAGGTGGTCAAGGAGGTGTTGGATGAGATTGGGGTGGATTTGGGACAGGCGGTATCTGCTCTCCCTCAGGATACTGAATATACCCCCGCAGGCAGAATGGCTGATTTGTGCTGTGATAGATGGGCGAGACGCCTTCAGGCTTGCAGAAGAACACCGTGGCAGATGGTCGGGTCGCGGAGGCCATTGGAGGGACCACTGAAGGCGGTGGAGGTCCAGACGATGAATTGCAAGCTCGGCTGGATAGTCTACGGCGCTAAATCAGCCCACAGACAACGACCTTTTGCGTTTCAGAAAAATTTCATTTTGAAATTACGAATCTTGCCGTCAGCCTGCCTGTTACCTTGTTGTTGACAGTGAGAAACAACGAGCGGTAAGTATCATATCCATAGCTGAAATGAAGTCTCTGACGATAACAGCCATGCCCTAACCATTCGAAGTGCTAGCCTGTGTGAAGGCTGTGGCCTACGAATGTCAAGCCTTGCCCTTCGTTTTCAAAGGTCTCCAACCTCGACAGCGTTGATAAAGCAGCTCAGCATTTCCTCTGCGCTGGTAGAGCAGAGTATGGCTCGATCTCACCCGCGGAATTGGAGATCTGCAATACGGGCAAGCAAATCATGCTTGCCTATGGCAGGCAACCAAGGACTATCATGCTCTCTCCGCATCCCATGTGTCACTCCTATTCTTTCAACAATTCTTTTTGGTCCAGAGGGAGCAATTGTATGCACGGAAGGCCCAATAATGCGGTGATGTTAGACGGCGAGATAAACACACATGGGACAAAGCATGCAGGAGAAATTCAAGTGAACAAACATCAAATGGACTGGGTTGCTTTCCAACAGCAGGTTGTGACGGGCGAAACATCGGTCGCGAATCTGCGCCTACTCTGGGAAGGGACGAGCTATCGTTGATACGAGAGTTGACAGATGGCAGTACCCAGTCTCGTAAAGTCAACGGAGATACTCTGTGAATGCTATCGATGCTGCAGCCCGGTTGCATCCAACGATGCTGACCATGATGCCGCATCTTACGACGTACATTGTTGCGCTCCTGTAGATGTTGAGTGTATTCGTAGACAGAAATCGTATGGCCGCTGTGGAGTCGGAGCCCGATAGGGGAAAGACGCGAGCTCGTGGTGTGCCTAAGCGTTTTGATAAAAATCGAGGGCTTACCTTGGCTCCTGTTCTAGTGCTGAAGGTTGAATCAGCCGGTGACTAGGTGAAGACATTCATTAGCAGGCTGTGGTTTGAGTAGGCCCGTTCCAGGTATCCAGATGTCCAAGACGAAGGAAATGCACGCCCAATGGCCGCAGAAAGATAGGCGGGGGATCACCAGACGATACTGGCGGTGCATTTGTAGCTTCGTTACAGCGTCCAATTGACGGTATCAACGATTGTTGGTCTCCTTTGTCTTTCTCGATGGTCAGATCTCTGCAAGCTTCTGAATCTCCAAACATTCATCGCTGCAGTCAGCACGGCTCACAGTGGTCCAACAGGTCGACTAGGTTCGAAATACTCGGCATGGACGTGAAGGAAAAGGGATGCATCTCGGCGATCATCCGATCATCGAAGGGTCGTTGCATACAAAGTATGGTACATATCCGCGAGACACGCGCAGTGTGGCTGTCGGGAGGGGAATAAATTTGACGGAGCCAGAGCGAGATGTTGTTTTGAGAGCGGTGGAGGGGAAAACCGCGCATCTAACCAAAATAGACGTCCGAGAGGCAGCTCTGTTGTAGCAACACTGCGACTTACGTTCCCGTACATAATGTCTCAGATGCTGGTGAGGTGTGATGAGTTTCACGCCTGAAACCATCCAGTGCATGCATGACTCCCGCTGTCTGCCATGTTGACTCTAGGGCATTTGCGGCATTTTTCCCTTTTTAACGGGCCTATATGCACATCCCTTTTGAGCCATCAGATATTGCGTATGCGCGGGCAGCGAGCAAGGAAGTAAACCACGGATACTTGTGAACGCCACTTGATGGACCAGGTGACACGCGGCTATGCAAGGCTTCCAAGCTTGCGGGTTCGTGAGTGATAAAAGCCGTACAGATCTTACCACCGAGTACGGTGAGCTTTCCCACATGGAGCGGTGGTCTATCGGCCAGCTGCAGCGGAGTACTCGGATTCCTTTCATGGCGCAACTGGGCGCATTTCGGGATTCATGATGTAATCATAATCGTCGTAACACATCATAAGTTGCAGTCAGCACGAACGAGGACTCGTATGAAGCGAGACTTCCGTCATGCGAATTTAGGGTCCAATGGAGGTACCGGGACGAGTCTTCACCGGAGGGAGCAGTTACTCAGTTCACGATCCACGTAGGCCTGAATTGCAACGATATACGTTGAAGCTACCATTTGTTTGCGTAAGGTGTGACTGTGAGTCGCTATAGCGTTAAAGTCACGGTGACCTTTGAAAGCCAATCCTGTATCAGGGAAGATCTTCAATCTTGGGTCGAATGATTGCCTAACATCGTAGGAGACAACACTACGGACTTACCGTCAGCTTCCTCGGACTGTTCTCTCTTGCGGGTGTGAACAGGTCGTAAGTGGGGGGAGATTTGTGGTGGTAGTGAGGGGCAAAGCCAAAATGCATGGCAAAGCGAAGCCACAGTTCTCAATCAGCCGACATGCTCCATTGTTCTATTTTCTATTTTTATTGGATATCTGAAGAGACTAGCGATCCTTCCCTTCTTAAACTTGTCAGTGACTTCAACCGTGGATCAGAAGCAAGGTCTAGATGCTGGGCACGGTAGCACGGCAAAATTGGAGTTGGTACTCCCATGAGGTACACACCCGACAATTGGCGAGATGTTGAATGGTTATCGTGATTTCGGTGACCGCGTTCCCATTGTGTCCCCTTGTGTAATGCTTTAATCTTCTTAACTTGCATCAAACTACTGAATTGAAACTGTATACCATGCTTGTCATACCAGATAGTTGGGTGAGATTTGTGCGTGTCGCTAGAACGCGGTATTCATCTCACCGAAGTACAGGATGATTATTCGTTAGCTTAAGCCTTGAGTATCTGTAGTGATGCAGGGACATTTCAGCTATCAACGCAGCCAGCGCCATGGCTGCACCTCAGTAGTATTTGGGACATCTAGACGGAGACATCAACTCCTATCGTTGATAAACAGCTACACTCTTACTGCTGATCGGTTTCGCAACAGAATGGAGGAGGAGCACAGCCAATCCTACCGTCGCATGCTTGCATGAAGCCGGTCTCGCTCGGGATGCGCGAGTAGGGAAGTTGCTATTCGAAATTAAGGTGTAGGAAGGCTCACGACAGCAGGTATCGATGTACAGTGCACAAGCCTTTACCCCGTTTACTCGGCAGCAGAGATCCAGCAGTGCAGAAATATTCAGAGTGGTCAGACGTAAGCGTGAGACACGACAGGGTGGCACTGGCACAATTGGCCCTAGACAGCAAGCAGCCGAAAGCAGAACGCGTTGGAAATCGTGCATGCGGCATATGAGTGGTAAGGCGTCGAGAAGGAGTAGCAGTGAGGAAGAGTCCCAATTAAGGAGGTGTATTTTAATTAGACGGCAAAGTTGGGGAAGATGCGCGAGACGCGAGTCGTCGTGCGTTGATTAGGCAGAAAAGGGAGCACGCCGAAAGGTCAAAGGCTTACAAGTGGACGGAAAGGAGCAAGGATTTTCAATTTCATTTGGGTCCTTGCGAACGCGGGCCAAAAAACCCCTCGCACGACTCACAGCGTAACACGCATCTAACCACACTATGACCAGTGCTACTGCTGCTACTGCTTGCTGGCGCTCTCTTTCACTTGTACACTCGGTGTCTGTCCTGTTAGCCGATGCGCATCTTATTGGGGCCAAGGCTGCCGTTATGTGGTTAATTGGAAGCTGAGTCCGACGGCATTATTGCTGCCTAGTACTGCCATACAAGTCATGATGATCATCATCCCGCTGCACCAGTCGCAGCTGGGCTCGAGATCTGCTGGGCGGATCTGGCTTCTGCCAACCGACTGCTCCAAGCAGTAGTAGTGCTGAGGCCCATGCATCATCGCCTTGCAGATGGTGCGTGAAGGAGGCTGCTGGTCGTCTAACCACTACTACTATCATTACCACGGTCTATGCTCGTGGCCCACATAATAGACCGCCTACTGTACCACTAGCTTGGGATCGATCGTGTGACTGCCGCCCCATGGTCGTGCGTGTGGTGATATGGGCATCAGAGCTGAAGCTCTCGAAGCCGCCCATGACCATCACCAGCATCATTCAGGCGCCACGGCAAAGAGTGTGCTAATTTGGCCTAAAACTGCCTCTTGGTCTAGGATCCATTCGCAGATTCAAACCTCGCGTCTTATTTTGCGGTGCTTTGTACATCCCGGTGGCCAATCTGACACCACGATCCCTGGCGAAAGTGCCTTCGCGTCTCGCCCGCCGGCTTTACCACCTCCACCAACCCCACCTAACCTCCTCTTTCTGCTGGCACTTTGCACCTCATGTGGCCGGCTACGACATGATACGGAGCGTAGAAAGGGGGCAAATACAGCCAATTAGACCCAGCGGATCCTGTGCCTCCTTTCACTTCCCCCCCCCCTCATTCACTCCGTAGTGCTGTATGAGATCACATTCATATTCATCGAGTGTGTTGGGCGGTATGTTGGCGGCGGCAAGTCAACAGGATCAAAAAGCACACCCACGGAGCCACGGAGTAGCACAGCGCCCTTGCCCTATGCAGCTCTAGCTCGGCATAGTCACCATTCACCGTTCTGGAAAGTCTATTCCCACGATGACTGATTAGCTTTCCACTTGGCGGTCCCTCTCTCGCCTTTCTCGTACCAGAGACCCAGAGGCGTGACAACATCTTTCCCGCCCAAACTCTTTTGATCTTCCACGCCGGTGACTCCGTCTGTTCACATCATAATTCTTCTCATTCGCGGCTGCTCTCTCAGACCTTGTGGGACCTTGAACCTTGGATGTGCCCCATTCCTTAATACCCTTAGCCCGCTTAGCTTCACTTCCTCGGTGCCACACTCAACCGTTCCCAGCAAGCGAGCAACGCACTAAGACGCTAAGAGGCTGAGCCGGTAAGCCCGTGATCGAGAGCAGCAGATTTGCAGCTGTACTATTGCTGTACTCCGTGGTCGCAACAAGGCTCCTTGCTTCCTCCTCCTTGTTCTTACATCCTACCGCCTACAAGCCTGGAAAGCCAAAAGTGATCCAAGATGAGAACAGCAAGCCCCAACACAAATTCCCCGAACCGGGTTGCCTGCTCCTCTTGTTCCAATCAATCCTCTTCCCATCTTGCGCGGCACCAGTCTTCTCCAATCTGCGTTCAGCCGGCGAGAGGAGTCGTCTTGCCCCTATCATTGGACCTGATACATAGCTCGGACTCCCTTGCCTTTGTGTACGAAATCAATCCACACAAACGCGTACGACGCACTAAACCTCAGACCCTAGCCCATCGCGGAAACCTCGGTGGCTCTTTCTCACATCATGGCCACCTGAACTAGCTTTCACTTTCAATCATACTCTCACACACAGCGGAAAAAGCAGAATGAGCCCACTCCTGCTGATTACACATTCGCCGCATCGCATCGCGAGTAATGATGCATCTGTACTCACTTGGTGCTCACACTTTCCCTTCCTCACTAGTGTTCTCGCCCCAAACCCTCCGTTCCCCCCACCGGTGTTAGTTTGGTGGTGATTGTGCAACGAAAATGGACGACCTCTGATCATCCCCCTTCTTCGCTTGTCACTCGAAATGCTAATTTATAAGTCTGCCTATCCTCTACTAAGTGCTAACTGCTGCTCCCGAGCCAACTAGCCTCATTAGCCTTCCTTGGAAACATCCACTACATACTTTATCCATGCCTGCATCTTAAACAAATCTCATCCCCTTTGTGTGATCCCTGAGGCCTCGTTACCTGGTTACCGGCACCTGACGTTTCGTCTCCTGAAAGAAACCGTCTCCATGCTCCGGCCCTTTCTAGGATATGCATTTTGATTAATCTTCTCTAGCTGGGCTTGTCCTTTCCTTACCATATCCGGGCCACATCTTTGGACCTTGACACTTCATTAAGTTCATTCATCACTAGCCTGCATTCCGAGAGCATCAAAACCATTCCAGCTCCTTTCGCCAATGACTCTCATACACCCTCCGTGACACCTGCCTTCCCTGCATCTTCCTCCATCTGCACAACCCGCTTTTGACCCCTCTTCTGACCAATTGCCACCGTGGCTCGCCTTCGTGACACCGCCCTCTGATGGTGATGGGTGGACGAGAATAGAAGCAGCCCCAACTCAATGACTTCCGCAACACGAGTGGACGTCTTCACACCAGCTCTCGGTCATCTTCCGTCGTCGTTCAGGTGTTCTTCACTGCGGTCTCACACACCAGTCGAATCTCCCAATGACTGCAACACAGCACCCACCCTCGATGCCTTCAGCTCTCATCTCGAATCATGATACCTCACTCTACCCGTCCTTGCCGAAGTTACGGGACTTTGGATGTGGATTTGAAAGTCACAGACGCTCAGTGCACGACGAAGAGAATACAGAGTCCAACCCCCAATTAAGAGGAGGAGGAAGTGCACACGGCCAAGTACGAAGTGACAAGATGCTACCTATGTATGCTGCGAACTCATCCAACGGCAACTCAATATATCTCAATGGCGGAGGCGGGCTCCGGCGTGGAGCACCCATGATACCTTCGAACGCTCCCTCATATCCCACACCACAAGATTCAAATCGAGGTCACAGCCGACAGAACAGTAGATCGGAGAATAATGCAAAATATCACCAATCAACAAGACAGTGTAGTCCGACGACGACAACTGAGTTGACCGCCTCGCAGCAACAAGACGATCCTCATCGTCCCTCAGGTAGCTCAAACGCAATAGCAGCCCATCTGCAGATCCCTTCATCGATCAATAACAGCAAAGGGAGTTTGCCAGAGTTCGCTGCTCAGGTGTGTTTTTGCACCTCTTCCAAGTAAAATTTGAGTTATCACTGACTCTTCGTAGGTCACTTGTCTCTTCTGGTTTGAAGCTTCGACAACCCTGCTTGCCGTGGAGGATTCAAGGACACCTTCACCAAGATCCGTCATGCCGCTCGTTCATGAGGCCATGCCTACAACAGGCTTTCGGAAATGGGTGACTACAATACTGTCCATGACTCAGGTATCTCAAAATGTCATTTTGCTGGCCTTGATGTTCATCTATCGACTGAAGAAGCACAATCCGAGTGTTAAAGGGAAAGTCGGAAGTGAGTTCAGGCTGCTGACTGTAGCTTTGATGCTCGGGAATAAGTTTTTGGATGACAACACCTACACAAACAAGACTTGGGCTGATGTTTCTGGAATATCTGTCCAAGAAATACACGTGATGGAGGTAGAGTTCCTCAGCAATATGAGATACTCGCTCTATGCCTCCAAAGCAGAATGGGACGACTGGCATGTCAAATTGGGCAAATTTGCAGACTACTACGACAAGGCGACCGATGTGGACGCAATCGAAACCATTCTCCCTACCCCGAGACCAGCTGGTTCTGCAACCCTTCCTTCACCAGTTTCCCAACAAGCTTCGCCACCGTATATGTCTCAAATATCCCCTACCAACCAGGGTTTCCCCCATCCACTTTCCATGCCACCCTACATGCCTCCCATGGCAACAGCATCGGCAGCGAGCACGCCTGGTAGCGAGTTTGGGCTGAGAAAGCGAAGTCTGGAGGATACCAATCTGGAGCCCCCAGCAAAGAGAATGTATGGGTCCATTCCATCGCTGCCGTCGAGCACGACTCTGACTCCGACTACATCGGTGTCATCCGTGCCCTCATCAGCTACGCTCGCACCATTGTCCAGGGATATGAATTCGCCATGGAGATTACCACCCCCACAACCTAGCGGAAGGGTCTTGGATAGTCATACCCCACCTCCCCAGAGTCTGTCGCAACTTCCGGCTGGGCGAGCGATGGCATCCGTGTTTCCAAACCAGAACAAAGCACTTCAGAGGGCACAGCTACCTTCCCTGCATCCAACATATCTACCAAACCCCCAAACCGGTGTGACGGCTGCAGATCATCAGCAATTGGCTAGAATGGCCACGTGTGGTCATTCTAGCGCAACTCCCTCCCCCACGAGCTATTATTTTCCCCACCACCAGACTCCGACGGGGTTGTCACCCTCTGGATATCCTTCCCAGCGGACATCTCCATATAAGCCAGTCCGGGGTGTGAACACCCTATTGGTGCCGCCGCCGTCAAGCTCCGTTCAGCAAGCTCCCGCACAACTTTCTTACGATCAAATGCATTACCAGCCCCTTGGTGGACCAAGAAATGAACGAAGAACAGGAGTGCTACCGTTCCATTCGTTCTACACCTGGTCCGACAATGCACATCAGATGCAACCACAACTTCCGCGCCCCAACTTCTTCCCATGATTTCACGATCTGTATCAACATCCCTGCATGGCTCGACTGGCTCTTTGAATATCGTTTTGTACAGCGTTGGCGTACGGGGAGACTCAGGCACACCTCGGCATCAGCATACCGAGCCTCATAGAGAATACCCCAATCAGATGGGGGCTTGTGGCGTTCTTTCGAACAGGCGGAAAAAGACCTGTGTATGGTATTGCATTTTGCAGCTTGCCTTTTCAAGCTTTGTACATACCTTGACACGTATTGCTCTTCTTGATATCAAGATAGAGCGTGCACGAATCCAAAGACTAATACGCTTCTGGCATGACCACGGCTGATCTCATTTTGCATTGTAGACTGGACTGTATTTTATGGCCACGAAAACCCTGTATGGCGGGAGATATAGGGCAATGCCCAGGGTAGAAGGCGGACCTACGAGGCGTGCTCCAGGGCATGCGTCCTTATAACTGCCCCTAAAGCTCAGGCGCTGGACTCTGGCGCGGCCATGTTCAGACTAGTTCTAACCAACCTGTATGCAGACTTCTCGGAGTGATTCCGCATATCTCAAAGCTAACAAGTCCTATAGATAGTAATTTTGCCCGCCGCTTGCAGGCTTCAACAGGAAGAATGCAGACCAGCGTGCAGGATGCACAGAACGCTCCTACTCTGCTTCATTCACGGCTTCAAGGTCAGCAGGACATTGATGTCCGGACACCGTGAATAGTATGATACTGACATCATCCAGGGCGGAGACGACACCTTCGGCCATTTCCCAGACGACCTGCGGGCCCTCATTAGCCACGCATTGCCTAATATCACGGTGAAAACGATTACCTATCCAAAATACGAAACTCGGGGAGATCTCAAAGAATGCGTCGGACGCTTTCGAGAATGGCTCGAGAACAAAGTAATCGACCTCGAAGTCGCTACCTCCACGCCCTCCCCCACAATCGACCCCTCAATCCACACCATCCTCCTCGGGCACAGCATGGGTGGGATCGTCGCGGCAGAAACCCTCCTCTCAATCGCCTCGGACGTGCCCATTCCCCCCTCCCCAAATCCATCCCTCCCCACAAATCCCCTCGGTGACGCCTACCCGTCCACCGCCGCCCACACAGCCCCCGCCACGGGTTCCTCCCACTCATATTTCACAACCCTCCTCTTCCCCTTTATCACTGCCCTCCTCAGCTTCGACACCCCCTACCTCGGCATCAACCCCGCCCTGATCGCCCACGGCGCAGAAGCGCAGTACAGATCCGCAAGCTCAGCTTACTCGTCCCTCAGCGACATCGGCTCCATATTCGGCTACGGCTCCAAGTCCACCCCGAGCTCCCCCACTGCCGGGATGGGCGCGCAGAAAGCGATACAGGCGCCCCCCTTTCCGCCTGCTGGCTCGGGCACAGGTATTGGGATGCGCAAGGGGGTGGGAGGGATGAGCTCGTCCATGTCAGCTGCGAACGAGGACGCGGCAGCGACACCCGCGTGGCAGCGGTGGGGGAAATACGCCATGTTTGCCGGCGCGGCCGGGGCGGTTGCGGCGGGCGGTGCTGCGGCATATTTGAAGCGGGATACGGTGAGGGAAGGCTGGGGGTGGATGGGGAGTCATCTGGAGTTCGTGGGGTGTCTTGCGCGCGCGGAGGAGTTGAAGGGAAGGTTGGAGAGGACGGGGAAGATGAGTCAGGAGCGTGGGGTGGGGTTCAGGGATGTGGTTAGTGTTTTAGGAAGGGGTGGGCAGCAGAGGAGAGAAAATAGTGCAGGGCTGATGGGGGCGGGGCAGCAACAGCAGGTTCTGGAAGGGGAGAAGGAGAGGACGTTTTGTTTGCTGCCGAAACAGGGGAGCGAGAATGGTAAGTGGTTCGAGAAAACGAGGAATGATATTGCGAAAGATGAGACGGAGGCCCATATGAGTATGTTTGAGCGCAGGAAGAATAATGGGTATCATGCCCTTGTCGAACGGGCGAAGGAGCTGGTGGTTGAGTGGGTTGAAGGTGGAGAGTGGTATAAGAGTAGTGAACCAAGTGCGGTTGATGAAGATGGTGATCTTGGTGGTCGTGGAGTTGGGGGAAATACTGCAGAGGATGGGCTCGCCGTGGGCAGAACGTCGACAGGGAGTCGGTCATTGATGGAGATTGATTTGAACGATGAGGATGGTGGGAGTGGTGGAGGGAAGACTAAAGGGGCGGCGGAGAATGAGTGGGCTACGGGTGAGGTACCAGTGTTTGTGACGAATGAACGATTGTAGGCACAAAAGAGCAGTACATCTCTACCTCTACCTACAGAATAGGAGTCACGAAGATGTATGGAGAGACATTATCGCTGAATATCGAAGTATACAACCTCAGTCAAAGGAGAATTAAATTGCCGCTGACTATTCTGCGTTGTCGACTCTGGTAAGTGTGACAGTGTTAAGCTCAGCGTTGCTCAGCCTGAAAGCAGCGAGGGAGGGAATTCAGAGACTACATGTCTCCTGATCCCACTAGCATCGACGCATGAGACTGACTTTTGGAAGAGAGAAGTCTCAGCAAGAATGGTTTTACGGGATGACTGTGAGCTACGGCGCTCGTGCGTGGGTCATCGAAGGAGGCTACCCAAAGGTGAGGAAGATGATGAGTATACAACAGAGCAGTAACAAGAGCAGTGAATATATTTCTCTTAGTCAACAATTCTCGAAGCATTACAGTCGAAGCCTTTGCTCGAGAATATCTACCTGTAGAGGAAGATAACGGATGTAAAGTACAAACTGCGCTGGTTGATAGATCCCGGTTCGCTGTCTAGATACATGTATCAGGTTCAGAGATAGTGGATGGCATGCACATACATATTCGTGCTGGCCAGAGTACCATGAAAGAATTCTTGAGTTGATGAATTGGTATGACCACCACCCCTTTCCCCCATCTTTGCGGAAAGCCTACTCGTTATGTCCCCGAGAGGATCTCCAGAATCAGGTAAGTCGTTTCGTTATTGGATCTCCATGGTAAATCCTTTGTAGAGCAGGCTCACCCCGTATCCATCTTGCCACTCTCTTCCCTTCGCGTCCGGACAAATGCTACGAACTCGTCGATTACGCCTGGCCAACTGCCCTCTTCGCTCCACCAACTCATCGTTTCGTCTTCCATTGACTTCAAGACAAACAATCCTGTTTGATCCCACATATCTTTGCTTACGGCCTTCTTCCATTTCGCTTCTAAGTACTCAAGCCACCAATCAAGCCACGGCGTTGAGGTTGTAGACCAAACAATAGACGGCGGCGAGAGAAGAAGACGCCAATATTCCGTGGCGGTTTCAAGAGGAAGTACTTTAGCCCCTGCGGGCCGGCCAAGCTGAAATGTTGCTTTGTATGTTTTTCTGAATAAGTCGACGTTGGAGGGAAGACCGCGGCGCAGTGAGGGAATTTGAGATTGTTGTTTGGACATAGAATCGGCCCTGAAAAGTCAGTCTCATGTATTGTATGGAGCCAATTGAACGTACCGCATCCGCGTCCATCCTTCGACGAAACCCTGCCGTGTGAGTTCGCCCATCGTTGGTGCTCCGAGCTCAGCCAACACCGTAAGGAGTACTGGCTCATCCAATTGGACGCCAAGATCTTGTAGGTATTTCATGGAGCCTTCGACGCCTATTTGGTCTGGCTCATCTGCTGTGTCTGATTGCCCGTCCGTCAGCAGGATAAAAGCTCAGCAAATGATGAGACTGTACCTCTATATTTATCAAAGACCTTATTTAGGCTTGACGTCGAGGTCGACGGTGTATGATTCGAAGCGCCGTTCTGGTTATTTTGAAACCATCTAGAATCAAAAAATCATCAGTATGCTGTACACTATTTCCCCCTCACATTCATTAGAGTACTGTGCTGCTCCACAAAGTCAAGAGATAGACACAAGCAGCGCTTTCTGAGGATTCCGAGTAGCCAGAACTTGTAGATGGAGCGGCCCATATCATGCTAATCTTCAGAAGGTTCCAGTGAGGCGTGTTCAAACTCAGTACCATCATTCTGCTTCGCTCCTAAACAAGCTGCTAGAGCAACCGAAGTCCCTCGTATGGTGCACAAATATGTTGGCGTTTTTCCCGGCTAGAAGATTTCGCTGTCCTCACTTGCTCCAACAACATGTAGACGCTGGCATTGACGAGTAAGGGGATTGTCCTCTTCATCAGCTTCCCCCATAGCCTCGTCATAGTCCACATCGTCAGGACAGACTTCGTAGATGGCACGGTAGCTTGCCCAGATGTTGTATGCTGCTTGTTGGGGCGTCGTAGCAGTACCCCATTGAAAAGCTTCTTCCCATGAAAGATGGCATCTCGGGAGAGCAAAATTCAATTCCCTCCAAAAATCCCCCTTGCACAAGCGGGCGGTGCAGTATCTCCAAATGAGGCTGGTCAATCTTGCTAGTGTGAGTCTCTCGTCTGAGTAGAGGATGATGTCGAGTTTGGGTCCAGCGAGGCGGTGCCCATCACACATTCCGAATCTGATAAGCCAAAGACACCCGACTACAATTCGAGGGTAGCATGAGCGACTGTTCACAGCCTCGAGGTCTGGAGGATGGAAGAATCCTTGCTGACGGGGCAGTGACTGTCTGTTGACCAAGCCTACTGCTCTCCAGACCGCTAGATTGAGCTTGCAATAAGCTAGCTCGATCTCCAACTCGGTCAATGGTGTACAATTCAATGTTGATATCTCCTCCTTCAACCGCAAAGGCAACAGAATTGTATTCCTGTTGCTTTGGAGATCTATTTCCACTAGACAGGAGGCGTCGTATGAGCCAGCTGTCCCTGAGTTTTGATGTGGTGGTCTGAATGATCCTCCCAACACTCTTCTGCGCCAGCAACTTGTGTCTTTCTTCGTAAACCTCCGCAGAAATTCAACTCTAGCATAGCAATCCGGGTCCAGTGCTGATCTCCCCGGGGTGATCCATCCTTCAGGTCGCAAAGGTGTAATCGCAGGCTCTGGAGAGGGAGGGCTGCCATGCTCCTCGAGGTCAGAATTCTGGGTAGACGTTTGATGGTGCTGGACTTCTCCGTGGAGGTAACCCAGTGGCGTCTTCATGAAAATTCTGAGGCAATCCATTGCCCGCTCCTCCTTAAGCTTTTTCACCTTCTCAGATATATTTCGGGCGATTGTTCTTGCCCTCTTTTTGCCAAATGTCATCTGTCCGGGCCCTTGGATGGCAGGTCAGATTGAGAAGGCGAGCTTGAAGTGCCTGGGACTCTGCTGCCCACTCCTCTTCGCCCTCCGTAACAGCGGGTACGTTATGCAGTGAATCTTTTCCAAAGGTCCAAGGTTCTGAGAAATGTGTGGGTCTCGGTTCCGATTCGTTTTTGGCTTTCAGCCCGCCGACGCCTTGTGTCATGATTCCTGCCCATATCGCTCTTTGACTTGACTGTGTGGGATAACAAGAGAAATATACATACGCATCGACAGCTAGTTCGACATTCCATCCATGGCTTTTCAATTGCTATCGAGGCCCAAGCAAATCAGCTTTTGCACATGGCGCAACTTGCCTTTCCATACGCCATACTCAATCGACGAGCTGTACTTGTGGAAGTCTGACTCATGAGGCTGTCGGGAAATGCTGCGACTTACCTTCGCAGCAACACTATCCTTGACCTGAGTCAAGCCTACGAATGAGGCTATCGCACTTTTCTGGGAAGAGTTGTATGAGGTGGGCATCTTGACATGTTTCATGAACGATGGAGATTGAACAAGGTCAGGCTTATAGGGTCGTGCGTATGTATTGTATAGACTTGAGGTGTGGACGGAAGGTATTACAAGGTATAGAGGTGTCACAAAGTATTCACATGCATCCTCAGGCTGCAACACTTCACGCTAAGGTGTGACAACTTCCTAGCGCAAAGACTGATTATCTCTTATCGTCTCTGCACGCCAATCTAATCTAGATTAGTAATCTCTCCAGCCTTCCACAAGTTCGTCACATATGTATCTCCATTTTCATTGTGTCCACTGCATAGTGCCCCGGAGCCTCGAGGGATGCGTGAGTCTGAAGATAATCAGCTACTACTGTTGAGTATTGATCTAGCTACATTAGTCGTTTTAAACTTAGAATTCCCACTGACGAAGACGAACCATACATATATAACCAACTCTATATGCTAAGCTTCCTCTGCCGTGCTTGCTACTACAGGCTCCAATTGCAATTGCCCGTCTCCTACTAGTCCACTCCTAGGCCCCAAGAACTCTGCGATCATCTTCTCCCTAGGTCCCACCTCCAATGCCCCGCTCTTTCCCTGGTCTTTCACACATCCATCGAGAAGTTCTTCAACCTCCTGCTCAATATCCTCAAGGCTGAATTTATCGTCTTCTTGTGGTAATATGTACGGGTTGTTCCGGATCACGAACTCGCAGCCACCGTTGAACCATGCGTTAGGCGTGTGGAAGGTACCACCCGGACCCGGAGCCATGGGTTGAGTCTTGCCGAATGTGAGTGTATCTGAATACCACGCGACTTTCTTCACTCCGTCCCAAAGGCTTTTGCAGGCCGCGTAAGAGGGGTTGTTGGATGAAGCCCAGCATATGAGCTCTTGGTTGGGGGAGCTGGTGTTGGTGACGGAAATGGTAGGGTTTTCGGGGTACTTTAGGGTGACATTGCGAGTGTTTGCGGGTATGGCTGTGCTGGAAACCACTGTTGCTAAAACGAGAGCGGCAAATAGAGAAGCTAGCAGGCTGGAAGTTGCTCCTTGCTGCATTGTGAAGCAATGATAACGCCGCTTCGAAGGGCCAAAAGCTATTCAGTCCGAGGTGATCGATTCTGGGGTATACTTACTTTTATCTGAACTTTGGAAAAGACGTGGGGTGCTATCAAAGTTATATTCGTCGTTCGCCCGTTATTTTAGCCCGAAAACGGGGCGCAGATGCGCGAGTAAATGGTATGTCTTGTGCGCGGCTATTGGAACAAGACAGCCATGTTTGACAAAAGTAGAACATCCAACAGAGACCATTGCAAGGGTCTTTTGAGATAAGAATTTTGGCGGGAAAGAGGGCGCAAATTTAGACGTTACCAGTATATACAACAAGTGTCTCCAGCAGCCTTTGCAACAATGATACTGTGCTGAGAATTTAGTCTCCCGAGGGCATGTGGTCAACCTCATCGTTCAGTCGCCGCCAGTTGTCCGCCTGTAGCTCGGCATACTTTACTCGTTCCTGACTCCAGTCCTGATGCATGCGGCTGACGTGGTATTGCGATTGCTGAAAATATGCTAGCTCATCCCGAATGCATTCTCGAATGAAAACACCACGGGCATGTTGATCGATGATTGATTGCTTGTCCTAAAACTTGTATCAGCACCGCAGACTGAGGAAGGGATCGGTCACTGTACGTTGCTAACGGCTAGCTCAAGCTTCTCTTGCTCGCCAGGTTTACCACCGGCGCCAGCCATCAACGCCCGAAGTTTGTTTTCATTCTGCTCGATACGACGCTCAAGTTGAGGGATGTTGTCCCTAGCATATCTGTCTCGGCGATCAAACATCTCTCGAACACTTACAAGGCTGTCTCGTTGCTTCTTGAAGTCTTCGAGCACGCCAGCATCCCAAGCTCGCGCCTCGTCTTCCAAGAGACTCTGGCTAGTGGCCATGTGTTTCGCAGTCGAGCCGATGCCTTCATTCAATAGTGGCACATCATTAGTGTCTATGGCATAAGTATTTCGGGAAGCTTCAGTAAGGCTGGTGAGTGCCTGAGAGAACCGCAGATAATCTGCAGCTATGCCTTGGTTCCTCTTCGTCAATCTCTCAAGTAAATTGCAGAGGCCTATATAGTTATCGGCCGATAATCGTACGCCATCGCGGACGGTGTCAAAAGTGTCGCCGAGATTCTTCGGCAGAGAGTCCTCCAGCTCTGGCGGTAAAGCCTTGCTATTGAACTCTTCCTGAACGGATATTGTGGCCTGTTTCCGCCAAACAGCGAGCTCCTGGTGCTAATAATAAGTGAGATGCAGCATTTCTAGACCAATTTACTCACAGTAGGGACTGTCAAGAACATTACTACAAGTTGTTCTTGACCAAGTACAGGATGTCGGACAAGGGCATTGAGAAAGCGTACAAGCCCGCGTCTTCGTTTTTCGATGAAAAGTGCGTCAGAGGACAGGTGCCTCCCATTCACTGAGATCTGTCAGGCCAATTGCTATTGCAATTAAATCGGATGGATCTCACCTGCAACCCTTTTCGGGGGAAGCAAGGGCAGTTGTCGAAAAGGGTATCTCTTGTGTAGGCAGTCAAGAAGCCAAACGAAGTCACTGTACCTCCGTATTACTGCATTCCCTCTGCGACTGCTTTTCACTTCATAGTTATGATGCTGAAATAAGAACATGCCTTCCTTCTCCGGAAGAAGGTTGACGGTGACGAATTCTTCTCCACCTCTATTAGTGATTCTGCCTCCACCAAGCGCTCGGCCAGCACCTCCACCGCCTGAATTGCTCTGGTCTCCCTCCGAGCCAAAGCTGCCACCACCTAAACCTGGCCGATCATCACCAGACGTTCCATACGAGCCCCATCCGCCTCCAGATTCCGCGCCTGACCCTAATCCACCATTGGCATTTGGAAGCGGTTCGCTCGGTGTAGGTGCGTCTACATGAGTTGTAAAAGCGCTTGTTGTCCGCGCCGTGTCCGCCAGTCCTGCTCTAATGGGCTTTGCAGCTGTGATTGCACCAGAAGCCGGCGTCTCTTCGTTGTAGACTGCGCTAGTCTGGGTCTTGCTAACGGCTGGGCTCGCCCAGGGATCTGCTTCAATATTTTCTATGGAATCTTTTCTCATTTGACGTGACCGCCCGGGACTACTCCCTGACGTCGTCTGACGCTCCTCGGGGCTAGCCCTAGACTTTTGCGAAGGTGTTCGATCCAAGGTCTCTGAAACTTTTGCTGTCCTTAACTGGTTGATGTAGGGCAATGAAGGGTTCGGTAGATCTAGCATTAACATTAGCCATGTCACTTGCAAAGATCATTCTATCTTGCGCAGCTCACTCTTTCGTCGCTCATCTACGGAATCCAAGGAGATCTCTTCGCGTTCCTGTGAAAGGCCAATGAGGGCTAAGAGGACATTAAATTCATTGCGCGCGATACCGCCATCTCGGGCCCCGCCAATGAGCTTCAAGATTGTGTCCTGCTGCGATTGAGGCACTCTGCTCGCGTCTAGCATTTTTTTTGCACCATCAAGGCTTATTTTGCCAGCTTGTCCATCTTCTGAAGCATTCAGAGCGTCATAAGCATCAACGTATGTTTCCGGCACCTGAGATGCTGGTAACAAAGTCTTCACCAAGTCCCCTCTCGAAGCTCTTTTGGGAGTCGGCATACCCCAGGGGAGTCATCGGTACCTGTATCATCACTGAATAAACCTGCAGAGGCCTTGGTATTCGGCTCATCCTCATCAAAGAGAGAGCTTCTTTTATTAGAGTTGACGTCTGTGGGTTGGGCGCTTGTCTCGTCGGGAGAACTGCCGAAGAGAGACATGTTGACCTTCGAAGAGTCTACAATAGTTATTCACACATAGGTGACAATGAGTTGATCTGTCTTCGCGGATTCACTGGAGAATCGAAGGTTAAGCAGAGACGGTCCCGTGGCACATGGCATCATGTATGCGTAATGATAAGACTGACTGCCAAGAGGGTTGCGAAATAGGGGCTGCTCCTCTTCTCCGGGTGGCGGACCTGGGGATGTCTCTAAGGGAGCGGACGCCCAGAGGGCGCTAGGAATACCTTGTAAGGTACTCTATAGAAATACACCCCTGGCTCGATCGCCTCGAACTTTTCTTAAGTAAGCCTGTTATAGACAGAGGCAGTAGCTGGATTTGACTCTACGTATAATTACGTATGTCTTAGAAGCCTGTTTTAGCAAGAATCAAGCTAATTACCGCCTATGCAAGCTACAGACCAATCTATTACGGCCAGATCAGCCCATCCATATTGCAACCATCTTACCTTCCGCCGTCAGCTTAACGTCTTCCAAAGCCAATTCCGCAACTCTGCCGCGATCCTACTGTCCATCCCGTAATCAGAGACGCCTTTATCGGGATCGATCTCTTCACTGGCCATAAAGAGTAGCTTTGAGAGCCGTTCAATGATCATTTTGGTAGCCAGTAGCCCTAAGTGCGCCGAAGTAGCATCCTCCAAGGTGTCTGGCTTTTCGGCGATAACGTGCCATTCGTGCTACCTTGGAGCGCAAGATCCTCAACTGTTTGAATGAGGACACCGTACCTGGCGTCTGATGGCCAGGAATAGTCCGATGCCAGGCCCAACTCATGCATCTTGACAAGCTTTCCGGCTTCAAAGCCCGTCACAAGGAGAAATTCTGCCAGCAGATCGTGGCTAAGCTCCTCATCGGTGTCTTGATTGGTGTCTTGTGGTTGTGGTAGAAAAGCGGTCTCTATGAGCTTGAGAAACTCCGCCTCGCTTCTTCCGTAAAAGCCATTTCTGCTCATAATTTCTTACACTTTGGGCTGGGACACGGCCGTACCTACTTCAAGAATGAGACCAAATGCGTAGGCAATCGAGGGGAGTCCCTGAGATAAGCGCCATCAGGCAGAGCAGTTTTTACAAGGTAGTAGCTACGCTTTAGGCTACTTATATAGCGCTCCCTACCAAGGTCACTATTTGGTCGTCATAACGAAGAAGTCCAGTGGGATTCCGAGTGTTGCTTCATGAAGATTGATACTACCTTGAACTTTAGGAGCCAGGACTCGATGAAATTGTTCAAAGGATGTGTTATTGAAGGTTGTATCCTGTAGAAGCCAGTGTCAGTATGCTGCAGAATATGAGAATAGAAATGACTTGCCTCGAGAACCATTGCTGCATTCGCAACCCCAAAATTCTGGCTTGGTGCTGATATAATAAGCCTCTGTACGTCTTCCTTTTGAGAAGCATCGCCTTTGCAAACGTGTGTCGTGACTCCAGTGTCGTGGCTCCAGACTTATGAAGATCATATATCACTGCTAGAGCCTCTAGGTTACAGCAGTCAGATCTAGAACGGAAGAAGAGGTGGCGGGCCCCATGATCAGCCATCTACGTACATAGGCTCCTTCCTAGACCACCGAGACATCCAATTAGTACGTATGCTGCCTCAGGATCAAATGTGGCACGTGACTTCGATAGCGTTACCTGCGGATTTATCAGTTGGGCAATGTCATTCCTTTTTTCTACGATAACTTACGTCTGGTACGGAATCAGAGTACTCAGAGGCTCGTACTTTCTCACGGTCGTGATGCAAATGAACACTCTCCAATGCTCCACATAGGTCGGACTGAAAGCTTTTTGATGGTTAATGGACGCCCTGAACACCGCGAGATTGGTAAAAAGTCCTGCACCCGTTTCAACCCATTGTGTGCCTTGTCCTGAAAAGACGAAGCCGATTAGCAGTATTTTTGGGCTTGGGCGATTTCCAAATGTCATTGTCTCTGGGTAAAGTGCCTTTCCAGGATTTGCTGCATCAACGATAGCGAGGCTTCGGTGAACGAATTCGTTACGTCGTGATGACACGATATAAGCCAAGTCTAAGAGTGCTGTCTCTCCAATAGTAGACCTCGTTGCTGTACTATTAGCGCTCAGAGAATACAAGTCATGGCCACTGAAAGGGAGAAGGACCAATTCCCGAGTCTGCAAGATTAGCTTGCTGTTGCTATCTCGGTCCACGGGAGCGTCGATTTCAAGCGAATGTGCCATTTCTGATCCATGATCAAATGAGACAGTACCACTTGCTGGACCTTGCGATTCACTTTGATGGAGGATTTGATGCCTCACGAGAGATTGCTTTTGAAAGACGTCGTGCAAGTTGTATGGCACGCACGAAGAAGGCGCTTTCATCGTGGTCACAACTTCCGAGCTGACCTTTCGAAGTGAAGAACTGCGTTTTAACTGCCTTGTTCCGCCGTCTTTAGAAGTAAATTGAGCCAAGTGCGCGGATATTATAGAGTCGGCATCGAAGATCCGGCGCAAGAATGAGGTTACTCCCGGCAGCAATTACAGCATCACAGTCACCATTCCTCAGCGCATTCACGACAATTCCTACGGCATACATCGAGGACGAGCATGCAGTGTCTAGTCTCAAGCTTTGAAAAGAAGGGATGTTAGAGTCGCTTATAGAATGCTAACAAAAAATTGTATAGTACCATACCCAAGACCTCGAAGATTGAACACGAAATTCACTCTATTACTTAAGATAGACGCAGAAGCACCGGTCGTTGCATAGGGAAGGATTCTATCCAGGTCCCGCGATTGCATAGCAGCACGGTCAAGATTATAGTTGCCCATAAATACACCAGTACGTGATCCTGGAAAGTTCTCCCAGGGCACGCCAGCGCTTTCGAAGGTTTCATAAACGACTTCAAGAAGCTTTCGTTGTGTCGGATCTATAGTTAGAACCTCCTGCGGGGAAATTCCAAAGACCGCATGGTCGAAGTTTCTTGGATCTTGCTGGAGGAAGTAACCACCACGAGTAGTGAAACTACCCAGTCTTTGAGGGTTCGGGTGACAGAATCCGTCGAGATTACCCTTGTCCAGTGTGAAGTCTTGGTAGCCGTTGCCTTTCCTGCTGAGAAGGTGCCACAACTACGATGGATTTGAGACTCCACCTGGCCAACGACAGCCTTGAGTATCAGTATGTTAGCGAGGGTCCGGAAGAAAGAGCGTGTGACTGACCCATGCCGACTATCGCAATAGCCTCAGGGAGACTCGGCATTGGATGTTCTTCGTCAGAGGTGGTATTGACATCTTGCTCCACCGTTGAAAGCGGCATGGCACTTCGAGAACTGAACATCAACGTTGTCCTTGGCGTTATAATTCGAGAATGAGACATGAATACAAAATCTTGTATTGTACTTCAAATTGGAATGAAAACGAAGTCGAATATAACCCAACAGGCGGTATTGAAATCAGTCAAATGGTTGCTAATCCAGTGCATTGATACTTCCATCACGGCCGTTTACCTCCTCAAGGATCCTTAAGGAGCACTTTCCCGTTTGGATCGTGACACGTGCAATCTTGGACAAAGGAGAGCATCAAGCGACGCTTAGGCTGACTTAGTAAAACCAGCGCCAGCTACGCTAATCAAGTTGGTCTGAGGATATGTCTTCAGGGTGTGTGCTACCCATGACACTGCATCATTCCTGCGTCCGATCCAACAGAGAAGCTCTATAGAATCATCGCAGGACCAGGCCAAACGGTCCCAGCCCCCCCATTGTTTGAGGGCGACATTTTACAAACCCAAAGTTTTACCTTTCAAAACATTTAGTACTTGATGGTAACAGTCGCTACAATCTAGCACTTCAAATTCAAGAGCCTGGTTGTTCAGAGTGCTGACGATACTCTTGGGGAGCGTGTTCAATTGGAGGGGTAGATCGGCTTGCTTGATCCAAGGAACCACTGTTCTCCGCGGAGAAGCGTCCATTCTCGCTCACAGGCGAAGTCGGGTTTGACAAACGCAAGGCATTACGAACGACCGCGGGCGGACGATCTTCATCTGCTTGTGATTCGTTGTCTTCCGCGTCATCATGGTCATAAACCTCGGCATGATGTTCTTCTGTTCCACTACCACTACTTGGTGGTCGTCTCCGCGGCGGTGCAGGCACATAAATCACTCCAGTCGGCACATGAACAGGCTGCTGAGGTTTTCGCAAGTGAAGCCTTTCAAGAATGTTGGATGGCATAGCTCGTTCCGGCGCGGGCGTATTTACTTGATGTCCAGCCAAGGCAGCAGCAACTTCGGCAGGAGGTGACTGACGTTGTCGCCTGAACGGCATAGGAATCCTTGAAAGCATGACCGGCCGTCTGAAAGATCTATTCTCTTTTGTCATTGTGGCCTGCTCTTCGTCTCGACTGCGAAGGTTTGGTCTGCCTTGATCCTGGCTGCTATCCGAAGGCTGTTCAGGGATAGGCGGAGTCGATTCCGTTGCTGGATGATACACTACTGTATATACAGTACTTGCTGCACTCGCAGAATCGTTGCGACTAAACGGTGAGGGAGTTGATGGAGGCGCAAGTGGCTGAGAAAGAGTCGGTGTGCCTCTGCGTTGTTGTGCTGCGGTACTATGCACGCCTGGCTGGTTAGGGGAGCTGCTGCTAATGCTACTGCTGGCAGTGCCTTTTGCCTGTGCAGTCTCAGCTGTCTGAGATCTTCCAATTCTCTTCACGACTCGGTGTAGACGGATCCAATTCTTCTCGATACCTGTCCCAACTCCTCCTCCGAGCCCCAATCTCTCTGGAGACGGCCTTGGCCAGCTTCGTTTCGAATTAGCATTTGTCTCGTAAATTTCATCTCCATCAAAAACCTCGCGACCAAGAATGCCAGCCTTTTTTTCTTCCCTCTCAAGTGCTTCGATCCTCTCTACCCATTCCCATACCACCACGCTGGCAGCACACGCGCCAACCCACCGAACATAACTACCCCAGCCAGACACATCGGGTTTCGAGAGGTCCAAAATGAAGAATATAACAGGTATGAGGATTGACAATATTGACAGGAGTGCCATCAACGGCATGCTGTGCATCTGTGGATGGAAAAAAGCCAGCCGTCGCTTTCGTAATGCATAAACAATTACAAACGCAGCATAACAAATATTCAAAGCTAATGCGAAAAGATAATTCAGCGCTGGTATAGAACTCGCAAAAGCCTTGGGCTGGTGCGGATGCCCCTCGTGCACAAAATTGTTCAAAATCGTGAAGATGATTTCCAAAGTAATCAGAACGAATGCTGTCCACTGGATGACGACCTTTTCTCTGTGCCTTTGAAATAATCGTATGAGGGTCTGAGCTTGTGCCAGCCAGAGGAAAGTCTCCGAGACAAGCCTCACAATGCGGATCTCCAATCCTTCGATGACTTTTTCTGATAACTCAACTGCATCTTCGTAACCTGCATTGTATTGTCTCTCAGCCCACTTAAAGGTATCGGCTGTGACAATCGTCATTGAGATGGCGAGTGTGAGAGCTGCTATCTTTTGGAGCCACGGGCGACTTCCTATTCCAATGACGGTATTGCTTCCATATGATCCACCGATCGTGCCTTTGCGTCCTAAAAGGCTGATTCCACCACCCACACCACCCACGTAGAATGTTCTTGGCGTAATGAAAAGTATGATTACAAGCATATAGCTGACTATGGTGGCGGCAGAAATGGCATAGATTTGAGGGTTCGTGGACGTGTAAAACGGATCACGCTCGTCGTATACCGCGACTTCGCTGTAGTTTTGGATAGGGTCGAGAGGGGGGAGACAACTCCATTTGTGCATTGAGGTTGAAAGACCGCCTGATTTTCAAGTGTGACAAAGTGGTCGTTACCCAGGTTCAGCACACCACCCGAAGGAAGTAGGTAGGGCGAGCAAGTATGAGGGAGCGTCCTTGAAGTCCGTGAAGGATGGGCAAATAATTCACGGCGTGCTATAGTAGTCGTTGTTACTGGTAGAGGCTCCATAGCTCACTAAGTCATCGTCTTTCCCAATGCTCAAGTAAGATCTCGACCGCAGATTCTCGAGGTCCACCCCACCTTCCATTGCGCCGCCGTCATCTACGCTTGACCACTGGAGAGCAAGTCGTCAGCGTACGGGTTTGTAGAGGCTTTTCGAGGCTCATCATACGCTGAAGAGTAGTTAATGTGATCGCTTCTAACATGTTGAAAGCTCGGACAACTGTGAGAATGCAGGGCAGGGACTGAGAGACATCTCGTGAATAGGAACATAGCCCTTACGCTAGTCCTAAATCCTCGCCCCTTCCCTTCATCTGCGTCGCGTTGCAGAACAGGTGCGAGGCTGACTGAAATAAACAGCCAGCTTCGGTTGGCTCAAAAGATATCGTTGTTCATGACAATACACGATCATGACTATATACAATGTACATTCACCAGCTTTTACGGTTGTTCGTCATAATCAGGTGCGGTCCGTAGATCGACCACTGGCAATTCTGCCATATGAACCTTGAGACTCCCATAGGGTCTCAATATTACATCTACAATGCCACCTTCACATTTGCGCTTCGTTTGGCCCCTCGGCAATTCTGGCAGAGCCGCAGGCAGACCCATCTTCATTGTCCATGCAACTTGACAACCCTTGCCAGTAACATGTGATGGTGGCGCGTGATAATCGTATATAGGATTGGGGAGCTCCTTTTCCTCATTTGTGTAGTGGAAACTGAGTGTATCCGGATCGATACCGATGTTCCATGCCTTTGTATTCGATACCTCAATTGTTTGTACTTCCTTGGGCAGAATTGGTTCTTGATCAAATACGGAATATGTTAGATTCTCATTTTCAGCCAGCGAAGTCGCCACGACCTCAGTATCTTGGCCAATATCGAGCGCGTAGAGGAGCGCACCGTGATAGACTGTGACTGAGCCATTGCCTCTTGGTATGATGCGCAAGTCAGCCCTCAGGTTGTAGACGAGCTCGTGGGCGCCAGCGTCAAGACTTATTGTTGTCATTCCAGTATGCGAGTCAGGAAAAAGCGGGGCCGGAGCAGAGGCATCGACCGAGATATCAGAGTCAGGTTGTGCCCACGAGGGAACCCGTAAGTGAAGATCGAACGACTTCGACACATCTACCGCGTACCTGAGAGAGTGGCCAAAGGGATAGTTGGTACTGCAAGAAATGTTGACAGCTGAGCCTGACTTTGTTGTTGCGCTCACAGCAGCAGGGCTAAGTATGGCGTGACCTAGCCCATTTTCACCGACACGGACGAATGAAGTCGAGAGAAATTTTGGGAGTCCTTGTGGTAAGTTGACTGTACAGCATGGGTAATTTGTATCCGTACCGAAAACCAATGATTCTGGGCCTGTGTTCCAGAAAATTCTTCTTCCTAATATACGAGTCGCCATCGGTTCGTTTGCAGCATTGAGGTAGGCACGGGCCCAGTGGTCAGGGGTCACGGCGACAGCTAATGAATTAAAAGCAGCCAACTCGCACCGGTCCGCAAATTCGCGATCTCCCATAACTTGGTAAAGGTAAGATAGCGAGTACATGGTCTCCACAGTAGTGCACAATTCCGAGCCACGATTCGGACCTAGGCCGGACTGCCTTTCATCGCCGATAATACTTCCAGCAACATCGCCGTGGTAGGTGAAGGTCCAATTGACACCTCTCCGATTAGCCTCTAATAGGCTTTCGTTTCTTGTGAAGCGATATAGTGCAGCGCCAGCAGAAAGCCCTTGGCCCACATTGACTGCATGCGTGTGCCTGAATCGAAAGGTGTCTCCATTGATTGGAGGCTTGATGGTGTCAAGATCTCGAAATAAGTAACTCGATTTTGTCCAGTAGCCTGGCCAATCGAAGCCACGTTTGTGCAAGTAATGCATCGTCTCGAAGAGCACTTGAGTACTGTTTGTTTGGTTGGAAGGGTGATTCTCGTGAAGCCATTGCAGGGTAGCGATCATATCTGGGTATCTCACAAGCCCCCACTGGTCCCAGAAGCCTCCACCATGTTTCAACATTGAATGCATGAGGTGCACAAATTTGTACATAGCAGGTACAACAGTAGCTGATAGATCTGGCTTGGCCTCAACGAGCTGTCTCAATCCTAAACAGAACGGAAAGCGAGACCATAAATCTCGATGACCACTTCGCTCTGGCCCCAGCCAGCCATCAGGCCATTGAACTTCGAGGATCTGCCGGGTTGCATTGAGCACCTGCTCATGTAATCTCGGATCATCCATCGCGTAAGCTAAGGGGACAAGTCCGTTATACCAATACGGAAGCCCCTCGTTGAGAGGCGAGTACTCGCTATGGCCACCGATCCACGGGGAGTTCTTGACGATGGGGTAGAAGTCCCATTGATGTCCAACTAGGCCATGTGACATCAACGTCAATTGATCTTTCAGCCAACCTTCAGGCTTTATCGATCCCAGAGGGAGTGGGTCAAAGGTAAATGGGGCTAGGTACCAATCACGAGGTGGGATAGTCGAGTTGATTGGGAACTGCTCGTCAAGCCGCTCTTCGACCGGCCTCGACCGAGAGAAAGGGTCGAAGATGTAGAAAGCGAGGGCAACTAGACATGAGCAGATAAGATGAGACACGACAGCCCGACTGTTGATCCATCCGCCAGTCTTGACACCTCGGGCTCGAGACTGACCTTTCCGAAGCGGTAATTGTGCATTATCATTTTCATATGGGGTGGGCTGTGACTCCATTCGATCATTTTGACTGAGGAAGGGTTTCTCATCGTCCGGCTCATCTTCACTCGCGTCCTGAGACTGGCTCTTTCGTCGCCGCATCTTGTATATCATTTTGAACAGAATGACCCTATGAAATCGGCATGCTCGAGTCGCAGACGGAAAGCCGGTCGATATGAGATCAATAGTTGCGCATCATGCACTGGCAACAGACTCTAGGAGGGCATGTATATGAACAAAGGATCGCGACCTTGGCGATCTAGCACTGAAGCTATGAGCGACTATCCACACCACCTGATACATTTCTCTAGCTCGCTTGGTACGGCACATGGAGTTGATGATCACACGACCAGGAGCGGGATCATTCCGCCTGGCACCCAGATCCGCTCCCGGGATGCTAGAACTAGGGGTTTCCTACCTAACCCTTCTTCATCCACATCCCAACGGTCCCTTGCCAGCTTCAACATACTCATATCAGAGACAAACACCTGTATAATACATCACCACGAGTTCTCTCAATGGAACGTTTGAAGGTCGGTAGTTGAAAAACGCTGCGGGAGCCCTGGCATGACCGAGGAACTCCGTAGTAGCGATTTCAAACCGATGTTGCTAGCTCCAATTGATTCTGCGCTGTATATTGTTTTCTTCCTATATCTTCATGATACAACTTCACTGGTTCCACCTAGCTCCGACTATCGGAGCGTGAAAAGATAATACTCGACAGCCAGCATGTCTTCGTCTCCAAATGCTTCGAGTCTTATGCATGCTAATCGCGGTTGAACGTCAAACCCCGATCTCGTTGGCGGGAGCTGAACACCAATTCGGGGTATAGGCAGATCTTAGCCGCTATTCCGGGGAAGATGATGTCGTTTGTGGCGAAGAGCGTCTCCATGAAGGACGTTCACCCACTCCAAACGCGGGGCCAACAGCCCTCGCGACCTTTTTGGCGATTGGTACAATGCTGCTTATATGCAGTCGCTTCGTCGTCCCTGCATACTTGCGCCTAGATTGCGCTGATTTTATAATACTCTTCATGTGTGTGCGTTGAGTCACTGTCAGTATGGCTCCTGACTTTGCAGCATGCGGACAAGATTTCCTCGCTCATGCTAGCGATCGATACTCGCAATATGTCTACAATGGTAGCGTTCACGGCATATTGCAAAATGATCGTCCCACCTTCATTACCGTTGAGGGTTGCAAGAAGCTATGTGGTACCGGTACAGCCTACTATGAATGGTTTGAAATTTGTTTAGAGCGCGCAAGCAAAACGATAGCTGAATGTTGAGTAGGAAAGACGCTGCGAACACAATCACGACGTGGGTGCTTCCGATCATAGGCCTTATTGTTCAAGCACCCTGGGAAAGCAACCAGGCATGGGAGACAACGCTGGCTTTCTTCCGCTACTTGGGATCCCCAATCTCCGTTTTATCCTACATTCTCTGGAATATCAAAGTGCAAGGCAAAGCGGCATTGATGGTCGATATGTCCACTAAGTATCACGAGTACCCCGCCGAGGGCTCGGAGTTCTCCCACATGAGAGACTCGATGTACATTCTCTGCGTCATGAATCAGTGTGCGTTTCGTGTCTGACTCTATGTTTCTTGATGGTCATGAGGAACGCGCTGAATATTTGACCACAGACTCGATCAAGCCCTCCTTACCAGCTATCGAGTCGGAACGACTCCTTCGCATCGCGCTATTCAGTAACAAGCTTCAGCTCAACAGTTCAATGGATGATCGTGACAACATTGTTGCGCGACGGACAGAGCTAGCCCGGGTTCTGCGCGAAGGCCGAAAGAAAGGGGTAATACCAGTCTTTGTCTCCTTCCTTTGGTTTGTATTTGCGCTTGCCCTCTCAGTTGAGCTCGCCTACGACAGCATTGGTGGCAATCAGACTGCTCACAACCTTGCCCTCGGGCTTCTAGTAGGCTGGCTACCCGTCTTGGTTGTTGCGAGTACTGTCGACCGTAATTCAGTATCTGCCGACTCCATCCGTGAACGGCTCAATGATCTGGTGGAAGAAGTACGACGATCACTGCTTGGGACAAGCAGACTAGAGGACCACAAACAAGCGACCAATGATGATGATTGCGACTCTGCAACAATGGGGCCCTTACACGACACGGAAATCTTTGATGGCAACTTCTTCATGGCCTTCGGTGGCCAGGGTCGCACCCCTTTTCACTATGGCGTGGCTCATCCTATCTTGAGCGGCATCGAAACCAAATTCATGGCTCAATATGGTCGTGACTGGCTACGTCATGGCTATGCTGCGAGACGTGCTATGGTCATAGGCACAATCAATATGAATGGCCTGAAAATGTTCGATTCGCGTATGGCGTGGCAAGTGATCAGCGCGGCGATGATATTCTGCGGGTCAACATTTGGTTCTTTCATCATATCTTGTACGTTTCCAGAGAGAAAAAAGAAGTATCGAGTTACCCAGCCTCACACTGACCGCAACTAAGGGTTCACACCAACAGTGGGCCTAGGATGTCGCACCGGCGGCTACTTGGTTCACATCATCCTCGCCCTCTCGCTCCTTCTTATCGAGTTTTCTGCGTGGGCATTCACCTACGACAAGACTCATACGCATGATGATATCTGCCGCCGCGTGAGCACTAGACTGGAACATCGCTTCACTGACCCCGAAAAGGGACTTTCCCAGGATTCTCGCTTACAGAAGATGATCACACGTCTTCGTGGCCACGCCTTCCGCGACGTAGTCAAAACCCTCATTATCCGTCCCCTCGAGGCAATCAACGCTGGCTGGCTCATCTACATAATCGCTGCTCAGACCTTCGGCTCGTGTTAGTTCCCCTCACCCCTGTTCCTACCACCTACTTTGCTCAAAGTCCACACTAACTAGCAACTAGATCAAACATGCGAATGCTTCGCCTCAACCTGGTCCCAACAGACAGGTGGCGGCTACATCGATTTCGCAGCCTACGACTATTATGCTGCACGTGGGGTCTACGTGTACTGGTCCGCCGGCGTTGGCCTCTCTTGCTCCGTCATGGCATGCGGGCTCCTATACATCGCACACGAGTACTGCACCCAAAGCAACCTTAGCACCGAACATTACGGAAGGGCGATGAAGGGGTTGGAGTGGACGAGAGCGTACAAGAAGTACTCGCGGTTTGTGAGGTTGGTGCCTGATATGGTGAGCTTCTTCTTTCCAATCCCCTGTCGCATCCGACAATGGGGTTCTTTTCCCGGTACATCGTCTATCGTATGATTCCTCCCGAGACTCTTCTTAGCCAATGCGACCTTCCCCAGCTACTACAATGCTCCTTCGAACTTTTACATAAAAGCTAAGCCCTCAATTCTCCCAGATTCTTACATCGGCCAAATACCTCACCTTCCGCATCACGGGAGGCACTACGAGGAATACAAGACGTAGTCTGGTGTGGACAGTAGATCCGAAGCCAAGGGCTGGCATTCATGTTTTCGGACTGGATGATGGGGTGGAGAGCTAGCAGTGCAAGCTATCGCTAACACAAGACGCAGAAAACGAGATGCTTCGGGCGTGTGAGGGGAAGAGAAGTGTATTCACTGATACAGAGGTACATTTTTCAAGCAGGCGGGATACGTCAGCAGCTTGAGACTCTGCACGTCAGAAAAAAATAATTACGTCTGAAGAATATCTATAAGTGACTCTAAAACCAAAAACATCCCCCTATATCTCCTTCTTCCCCTCTTCCACCACATCAACACTTCTTTCCACCCCTTCCTTTGCCTTCCCATTAGCCTTCATCCCCGAAGTCTCACTATTCTGCTTCTCTTCCTCAATTTCTTTTGGCCTCCCGTTCGCTGTCACCCTTTCCCGCGCCTTTGTCTCCTCTATCCTCCTTTGTTCCGATCTCCTCTCCTCTTCTTCAGCCTCATCAGCCTCATCATCCTCATCATCCTCATCATCACTTCTCACATCCCTTACATCCTCCTCCTTCCGGAGCAACATGTTCAGAGCAATCCTCACAATGAAATACATCCAAAAGATGTTCATGCTTTGTAAACTGGCGAGTAGGGCGAATGTAATGTATTGTGCTATCGAGCTTTTGTACTGTTGAGTCTCCCAATTGAGATCGAAGGGACCGACGGTTTTGAAGGTGGTGAGAACAGAGTAGAGAATCCGAAGGTTGATGTAATGGCGGAGGTAGGTCCAGACGAACATGAAGAAGGCGAAGTATGGGATTATGATGGGGGATGAGATATAATTGAAGACTTTGGATGTCTGAGGTGCTTGTCAGCAAAGCCCTGGAAAGATGCATCGCCGCTGAAGAATCAAAAGATCGGAATGGCAACCTACCGCAAGGAAGAAATCGCTAACATCATGCGTGATATAGACCGCCAAGCCCATATACGTGAAATGAAAGCGATAGCTCAACCAGATTAGTACCAAAGTAACAATATGATGTCCCACCAGCTCCTTGAAGTCCTTCCTTGGCTTCTCCAGCTGCAGACAAAGCACAATCGCCTGCTGGGCCCAGTAACTCGCCTGTAGCAAATAGTATGCCTTGAACAGCGCATCATGGCTTTTGTGCGGGTACGTCTCATACATGCCCTCTGTATTAAAATACCAGACTGGTGTCCTCGACATCACGTACAGACCGAAGGGACCGAAGACCGCGAAATAGACGGCAGTATAAGCTTGCTCCATGAAGCGGTTTTGTTTGGCACGTAACCGGATGCCATAGTACACTGCGATCGGACGGAGAATGCGCTGCATGAGAAATTCGCGGGTAAAGGACAGGACAATGATGTAGAAGGCGACAAAGGCAAAGTCATTGCGTCCTTTGCCGTAGTAGGTGGGTGCATCGCTGAAGCGGGAGTGGGCGGGTATCAGTGGTGAGTCCGGGGGAAGAGGGTAGGAGAGGAAGATAGCAGAGTAAAGAGGATTCGAAGACGTTGGTTTGACGAGAAAAGCGGCGAGTATGAGAAGGATGAGGACGAGAGGGTTGACCCATGTATGCCGAAAAGAGAAATCTTTCCATCGTCGAAATGCGGAGCGGACTTTCCGTCTCTTTGAGCGGCGGGGAGCTCTTGTCTGGGATGGTCTCTGGAAAGCAATAAGCACGGATCTTGAAGCAAGACTTGCAATGACATACGGGGGATAGTGGAGGGGAGGGAAGAAAGCTGGGCGTAGGCTCAAGGGTAGATAAAGCGTTCGCCCCGGTATCTCCTCTTAATTCACCCCCGAGGTTGTTCGAGGTGCGCCTTGATCGAGTACCGTGAGATTGGGTGGTCGCCATGGTCGGGAGATGGTGGAAGGTGAGCGACGAACGGTGAGCCGCATCTATAAATGCAAAAACAAAGTGGTTGTGGCTGGGCTTGGAAGCCAGTCTTACCCTCTTCAGCTGAATTGTAAATATAACTTAATTTGGGGTATCGCCGCTTATCTCCGTTGCTCTGATAGTGTTTTGTCTCCAACGGAGCCGGATAGGAACATGATGCCACAGTCTAGAAGCTTGCAAAAGGGGTTTAAGTATATACGGTAGAACTAAAGACAATAATACAGTGTTAATGGATCCGGGAGTCTTCAAGTGCTCGTCTCAATTCCTTCGCGTCAGAGTTCTCGCCTTCTACGGCCTTCTTCTCTAGGTGTCTCGAACCAATGCTTGAATCCCGACTCGACCCCTTCAGGCTGCCATTCAGGCCTTTGATCTGTCCTCGTTTTCGCCCTGGTATCTCACCTTTACCTTCGGTGATGACGGTCAAAATGTACTTAAGGTTTCCCAAAGTGTAGCGTAGGTCGATGAGTCGTGCACCTTGTCTGCTCATGATGAGTTCAATGTTGGAGTTCAAAAGGAAGACACCATAGTCGAAACGGTATGCTACTGCTCCCTTCTGGTAAAGCGGAAACGTTCGGGCAGCTTCTGATGGTAGACTTGTTGAGATTGGGTCATAGATGGTAGATGTGCTGCCGTTTGGGCTGATGGGATAAGGTACAGGTGTGGAGAGATAGTGCGAAAGGAGGTGCGTGGTATGAGCAGCGTGACCCAGGGCCGTCGCAGATTCAATCGGGTCTTGATGAGGTTGAGATCCGGCGACCGGGAGAACAGAATTGCGGATGCTGAAGGATAGCGAGCCGTCAGAGACAGGGGCGATTGGGTATATTGATGATAGATCTTCTCCTATCCGTCGAATCTGACCTGAAAGATCGGACTTAATACCTTGGCGTGCTTTTTCGCGAGAAGAAAGCTCGACCCGGCCTTTTGCGAGATTACCTTGCGATTTCTGCTGAGTGTCTTGACCAGACAATATTGCAGCGCGTCGTGATGACAGACTCGCTTGAAGCTTTGATCGATGGTTTTCGACGGATTGGACTTGCTTGCGACAAGCTCCTAGAGAGCGTGTCGTCGAAGCTAATGACTCCTGGGCTTGTGATGCTGCGTTAACAGCGTCCCTTTTCTCTTCTTGTTGGTGCAAGATGTTGTCGATTTGAGTCATCAAGCGGTCCCGTGTGGATATGGCGTCTTGAATACAATTATCTATGTTTGAGAGTCGCATCAAAGCGTCGAAAGATGATGTTGACTGAACTTGCTGTGACGCTTTTCGAGATGCCTTTGGAGATCCACCTTGCTCATCATTTGGCAAATCTGTGAAGCTAGTGTAAATGCCGTCTGACAGGTGGAATAGAACGGCATTGCGAGGAAGGGGAAGACTGAAGCTCTCCAGCTGCTCAGCGGTCAGCACTCGATGCCACAGACTGCAAGATTCTCTGGTACCGTCTTGCCAATGAAGTACAAAGAGCGCAAATTCACGTTCAAGTCAATCAGCAGGACATCTGAATCGGTGGCATTCGTCTTCGCCCAGAATCTGATCGTAATTTCCTCTCGTCGGGTGACGAACGCGCCATACGTATTCATGTCGAAGAATCTGAAGCTTGGATTCAAAGTTTCTCGTATGACCTCGCTGATGTAGATGGGGTCTACGGTAGTTCCAAGATGCAGCGAGTACCAAACATCTGCCATTTTCCCCCTCGTAGCTTGTTCTAGCTTCTCCTGCCGAAGTCTAGAGGATGCATTGGTCCAATTCAAAGTGTCTGCCCTCTTCAGTCTACTCACAGAGAGTCGCTCCTCAGCAGCGCCTCTCTTGTCCGCAACCGTCCGTTCTGGAACATCTTTGGCCTTTTGCTTCAGGTCCACTGACGAGTGTGAATGTTCGAGCTTTGCCTTCTCTTTCTGCGCCAATGCCTTTTCAGGAGTCTTGAGAGTGCTTGGTAATGACTCATCATCAATTGTCCTTCCTCGAGGGTGGGATGCGGTTTTTCTGAGTTCAAGATTTCGCAGAGAAAGGCCCTGAAGATGTCTCAATTTGCGATTCTATGACCTATTAGAGGAAGTCTTGAGAGTCTGAAGTTGCAAGGCTATCTTTCAAGTGGAGGTCATGTTGCTGAGAAGACATACGGATGGTAGCAGCGACGATCGCTCTCGAATCTGACCCTGCCCATCACGACCCGCAGTAGCTTTGGCATGTTGGCCTCCTGCCATGCCGGATTACGCATCTATAATTGGTAAACGCCCTAGCTTGGATATAATGCATCATATCACATAAGACCTGCTCGCAAGGTCAAAATGGCGCAAATAAAGGTGACGTTTGAGGTCGTCGCTGCCTCCCTCGAAGGGAAAAGCCGGCCAGGGTTCCGCGCTTGCTTTCCAAAATCTTAATTCGCTGTCTGATACTACCAGCTTTTACACTCGTTCAAACGCAAACGCGCTATGAAGCTAACAATAAGACGATCAGTCGCGAGGGAGCTCTCTTCTCTTTGAGCAATCCGAGTCTCAATGGCCAAGACAGCAACGTCCCAACTCCTCCGTCCTCTCCGCCCCCTCCGCAGCAAAGCAATCACTCCTACATTCCGCCACGACCCCGGAATTCTTCCTCAAGGGACTTATTTGGTCCGTAAACCCACCGGTCGTGGGCCTCCGCTTCCCCGCGATCGCACCCATGAAGCCACCACTCCCATCGACTATGGCCAACAAATCTACATGTACTCCCACATCCACACAAATCAAGTCGTCTACTCCCTCACTCGCCAACTAAACAACACAAAGGCCATGGACCAAATACCATTTCTCGGCAAAAAGTCGAAACCTGCAAGTCTACGAAAAGATGTGTGGTTGCCATATTGTTTTGCCTCTTTCCCGTCAGCGCCGGCAGGGCTGGAAGCTTATAGAAAGTTACTGGAGTACAAGCGGTTGCATGAGACGGAGTATGATGTGGAAGACATACGGTATCAGAAAGGGAAACTAAGGGGACAATTGATGGGGAGGAAGGCCAGGGCAAAGGTGCTGATGGATCAAAAAGCAAACTCGGTAGCAGATTTAGCGGAGGTATTGCTACAACAGGGTGATGGGCCTGTGGAAAGAAGGGTAGAGGCTGCGAATAGGAGGATCGAGAGTGTAAAGAAGTTGAAGAAGCTCAAGGGCGAGGGCAATGTGAAAGCGAAACCCATGGATATAGGGAAGGAGCTGCAGGGGACCGAGGGAATCGTTGTGAGGTGGGCGGATCTGAGAGACGCCGAATTTGCGGAGGTGTGGCCGGCGCCAGTGACTCATGAGGGATTGCAAAGGGGTAGGTATACCGCAGCTTTCCCAACACCGAGTTCGGAGACGAAAGGATTGACCGCCTGATGGTGTCTTTCGACATTCAAGTGGAGCATTGTCTTGTAGGTAGACAGGGCGAGATTTAGGAATCCTTAGCGTATATATGCATTATTCATAGGCTCATCATAGCGTTTGGGGTATCACATCTATATACGAGCAAATGCATGAAGAGCGCTAGATATTGATCTTCTCGAAGCTGTATTTACCGACTGTTCGACTTTTCAGTCTCCCAAGATCTCGTTTACTCCTCTTGATGATCTCTCCTCCCGCGCCGATTTTCGTGAGCGGTATTTTAGGTCTCAATCTGAGACCAAGTGGTAGTTCATTACTGAGAAGACCTTGAAAAACCGGATTCGAGGGTCTTATAGCTCCCTTTTTCATACCCGAGTCTAAAGCATACTTTTGTTGGAATTGACCTCGAGGAAGTAGTGTGTCTTTTCCGCAGAGGAGTACCTCGCCTAGTGCGTGCTGTAGATAGGTTGCTTCTTCGATACCTTCCAGTGCAGCAGAAATCTCGGCTTTCATATGAGAGATTGTGTCAGCTGCATGTGCAAGCTCGTCACTTGATGCAGAGCCTATCATCCAACCTGCGGGTCCAAGAGCATCAAGAATGACATTGATTAGATGGGATACATGGGTCATGTGATCATCTATAGCACTTTGTTCTTTGCTATTGTCATACCGGTCGTAGAAGGAAAGCCAGCCGTCACTGGCCAACTCCAGCCTCAACATATCCGCAAGAGAGCGAAGCTGCTGCCTTCCGAGCACTTGTCTGAGCGCCGCTGCTGAAGAATGCGGTGGCAGTGAATAAATCTTTTGAAGAACAAGGTACAGGATGTCCTTGGCTTTCTCGACTCTATCGTATGCTGAGCTCCGATCAAAGGCTTTGGCGTCGTCTAAAATTTGAACCTCCCGTCCTGTGTCATGACTTGCTTCTGTGTTACCGTACGTCAAGAGCTTGGTGTCTTCGAGCGTTCCGTTATTTTGTATGACTGGAATTAGAAGCGCTAAAGTCGTGGCTAACTCTAAAGGGCTCAGAGGAAGTGACTCCGAGATCGCAGTCTGAAGAATGGATAACGACGTATCCCATTCTGCAAATGCCCTGAGTAGAGTCCCATGCGCAAGGCTTGATTCAATAGGCAACGTGCCGGTCGACTTCAGCGAAGATTCGACGCGATCCTGGTTTACGAGATCCCTAGACATCATTGATTGACAAAGCTTTTGGGGCCACATGACTATCCGAAGCACCAACCCTGCCTCCTCCTCCTTCACATTGTGCTGGCGTGCGTCATGGTCGATGTTGAATATTTTGCTCAAAAGATAGTCTACCTTGTGCGACGGAATCGACGGATGAGGTCTACTTGAGAACTCTGGGAAAAGGGAATCTTCAAAGGCCAGAAACTTATGCTCACGGAACAATTGGTTCAAAGACTTTTTGTGTTGTTCCCAGACCGAGTCACTCGTTGGAAATGATACGATGTTTCCAAGCTGTTCAAATTCCGACTTTCGAGAAACTTCCTTCTTCCCTGGACTTAGAATTGCAGATCCACGACCTAAAGAGCCAATGAGCAGACCGTTTCTAGCTCTTTTGCGCGGCACAAATGATGAGTTTTGGATGGATGTAGGTATAGCAAGAAGCTTACGCTCGTGAAAGGCGATGACTAGAGCGGTTTGCGGAGAGTACGAAAGTAGTCTTATAGAACCTTGTTGCAGTGAAGGCTCACCGGCTTGCGATCGATCAGGATCGGTTGGGCTTAGGCCCACTTCAACTAAAATTCTTCTAGCTTGCAAGGCGCCAAAAGGCAGGTCCACAAGGTCAATTTTACCAGTAGCAGCAACAGCTAGCAAACTTGGCGACAGACGAAGGCTCGATTCAATGCCAGATTGCGTCGATGGGACGACTTGGAGAAAGCGAGGCGCAAAGCTCACGAAGTCGTAAATGCGGATACCGCTTCCAGAGGTTTGATATAAGGAAGCACTTGACTTGTGCAGAGCAAACCAAGATGAGTCGTCGACAAGTTGCATTGGGAGAGGTATAGCTTGTGAGATCATTTCATTCAAGTTCAGTCGAAGCCGAGAGGCAGCAGGAGCAGAGTCACTATCTTCAAAAAGCTCGAAAAGACTGGCATATGAGCGATTTTCGTATGAGCTATGGGGAGTTGACGCTGAGGTCACGGCGAAAAGGAAATTATTGTCCAATGCACCATCTTTAGACGTCGATGTCGCTAAAATATCCTCTCTGTTCTTCAAAATGGCTTTTATAGCTTGCTTCCTGCTCAAAGCAATGACATATTTGAGCTTGAGGCTTTTGGCGCCGTCCAATCTTGGTTCCAGTCTCTGGCTCGATTGGCTCGACGCTCCGTCTAATTTCGCCGTGAAACACGAGATTGACGCATCTTCATGAACTGCAAATACTGCATGGTTTTGTTTCGAGTCACTTGCAACAGAAAATCGTTGAATGACATCCAGGTAAAGTACCGGACTGCGATTCTCAATATCCGTAGAGAAGGTAGAGATAGCCGTGAGGCTACTCGTTTGCGTGCAGTGTTCCAAAAAGCCTAATATCCGTGGTTTGGGTAGCTTGACGCAGCAGTAAGTGTACCTTCGGGCTGGGAGGTCCTGTGATGATTTGTATCGAAAAGAGCAAGGGGAGCATGTGATTTTTGCCTGTGGAGAAACGACGTAGGATGTCACAAGACGCGACAAACGTACCTAGTACTGTTAACTAGGTGCCTTCCTGACTGCGCTATGATTGTTTACATCGTAGATATTGATACCTTGGCGATCAATGGCTAGAGCTACCTCTGACCGCTTCTTTCTTTCCAGTGTTGAGAAAGAGTACACATCAGTGGCGAACACATTGCCGTGGACTCCGGTCAAGTCCGAAGGAACGTCTGCAATCAGATATGGCTCTCCAAGCATGCTTGATACCTGAATTGGCAGCCTATTCAACGGGCCATGAGATGGGATAAAACGCCTTCTCGAGGAAAGCTGGAAAACCCTACGAAGTGGGCAGGCTCCGGATAGGGAAGGTCTGCCGAGAGAAGAGAATGCCAAGACCTTCATTGGACTGAGACGGATGACGCGACGGGAGGTCAAGACGACGCGAACTTAGGAGCGTGATACTTCGAATACTGATTCAATTACAGTCAATATACCAACCCGCGATTTCCTGATGTCACCCCTCGTACCGGTCCAGCACAATTCCTTCTGATCATTGTCGAATGTACATTGCTGAAAGCATGTCGCGCGATCAATCATCAATGTTCAGAGTCTTAGAATGGTAACACCCCGTCGCAAGGAAGAGCATGCAGCAACGACCGTATAAGAAGAGAGATATACTCTGTACCAAAGCTTGTAATGGCTGCTGCATCCGTGATGTCATTCACACATGGATCTAAGGTACATCCTTTCTTTTTGCCAAAGACAAGTAAGCATTGCCTCAGATGATGGGTCCCTTCTTCCAACGCTTAACTATTCAGCAACCCCGGAGATTGAAGTAGACCCCAACTTTGCTCGGCGTAAGCGTCAAAAATCGACCTCCACCGAGCGTGATCTTCCAGACTCTTTGCAAGAAGAACCAGAGTCCACGGCATGGATTGATCAACTGAACGCCGCTGCCGCAGAAGCTTCTGTTAATCATATGACTGCTGCTCCAGGTCACGTATCACCATCTCGACAACTCGTGCCATGCACCAAGGAAACTGAGGCGGCAGCAACAAAATCAGCTCCTATCACGATTGGCGTTCTGATTGAACCAACGTCTCCCAGCCGAGCCGAGCCTTCTGGTGATCGTCTCGCATCGCCACGAACGGGAAGTGAACCACCTGAGCTCTCATCGCCCAAGAGAATGCTTCGAGTTCGACCAGATGGGAAGCTAGGCACGCCCAAGAAGGAGACTCAAATAGAGGCGACGAAAGTCAGAAGGCCGCGACGAACGAAGGAACAGCTACAGGTGCAGAAGACTGGCTTGGTTGTGATCAAGTATGGAAAGCGGAAGAAGATAAGGACTGCTCTTGGCAAGAGGATTGATGCCATCTTGTTGGCCACACCGTCGCAATACGAAAAGATTAACCCAACCAAAAAGGGCGATCCAGAGGAGCCCCCAAACCCACTCATCCCTTTTTTGTTGGTGGAGTTGCTCGAACATCGGACAAGAAAAAGAGCTCAGAGACCCTGCCAGCCAAAAGTGCTGATTGGATTTCGAATGCGAACTCGGGGCAACTTCCTAGCACGAAGAAGCAAAGAGTGAATAGTAGACCTCCTGGCGTTGAAGGAAATAATGATTCTAGCCATGCAGTCAAGTTTCCCGCCTTTGGGTCTGACCATGCACGCATCACACGTTTTCCAGGAACCCAAGAAGCCATGTGGCCCCCTAGCGATATGGTACATGTTGGACGAGAGTCAAGGGGCAGCAAATCCCACATGATCTCCAACAGGAGACCGCAAAAGCAACGCAAATTAAAGCAGATTCCTGTACATGTCCCGTGGGACGAGGATATATTGAAGCCTGTCCTCGGCCTTAGTCCTAGCAGTGGGTCACCTGAAAATGCAGTCGCGGAGTTTCCTACAGCCAGCGATAGAAAATATCGGCGCCCCCGGAGGCATGTGGTGCCTGGGCATGGTTTGCAACGTTTAGTCAACTCCAGGTTAATACATAGTCAACCTAATTGCCCCAGCAACCCTGGTCTATTTCACAATCAACTTTCTGACCTGCAATACTCGCACTTAAAAGCCCCACCGGTTTTGAAGCAGCTTTACGATGGCATTACATCTCATAGTACCGCTTTCGACAGGTTCGAGTGCGAGTGCCAGCATTGGACAAGCAAGTACTCACCGAAAGCTGCTGAGCATGTTCTACAGCAAGGTCAGGAGCCTACGATGATCCGTGATTGGCTCAGATCTCTCACGGTGACGTCTGTAAACGTTCAAGCTCAGTCCACGACTGGTCATAAACGTCAAAAGCCGAGCAGGAGGAAACGAAGGCGAGGTGAAGAATTGGACGATTTCGTCGTGTCAAGCGACGAAGAATCAGAGGGATTGTCAAGCATCGGCGACCTGCAAGGCGGTCTATTTCAACCCAATGATGGATCTCTGCGAACCGTCGTTCGGGCTCAAGTGCCGGTGGAGCCAGGCGCAAGGCTTCCCCATGCTGCTGTAATCAGCGGACCTCACGGATGTGGAAAATCTGCTGCTGTCTACGCAATAGCACAGGAACTAGGCTTTGAAGTGTTCGAAATCAACGCTGGTAGTCGGCGTAGTGGTAAAGACATTGTTGATAAAGTCGGTGACATGACAAGGAATCATCTCGTGAGAAATGATCCGGAAGTTTCTATCGATAATGACCAGGATCAGTCAAAAGAAATAGAGCAGATGGACGAGAAGCTTCAGCAAGACCTTGAATCGGGCCGCCAGAGCACCATGAAGTCGTTCTTCAAAAAAGGGGTATCGGCAAAAAGGTCTTCTCCAAAAAGAAGCAACCACCAGTGGAGCAGTCTACCGCAAAAGCGTCGGTCAAGGAACCTCGTAGCCAAAAGCAATCCCTGATCTTGATTGAGGAGGTAGACATTCTCTTCGAAGAAGATAAGTTGTTCTGGCCTACTGTGCTAGACCTGATCGTTGGGACTCGACGGCCTATCATATTGACCTGCACTGACGAGAGTCGTCTCCCTTTGGGCGAGATGATACTCCAGGGCATCTTTCGTTTTACAAGTCCTCCAGAACAATTTGCAGTTGACTATATGCTTCTTGTTGCTGCTGCTGAAGGTCACATTTTGAAACGAGATGCCGTTCATTCACTATACAGCGCAAAAGCGTATGACTTACGGGCCTCTTTGAGTGAACTACAATTCTTTTGTCAAATGGCTGTCGGGGATCGGAAAGGCGGCTTGGAATGGCTGTTGATTGATCGACCTGAGGTGAATGATAAAACTGAGGAGTCAGCATTATGCCGTGTGGTCAGCGAGGACACCTATGACAAAGGCATGGGATGGCTTAGTGGGGATGTTCCAGCTGTTGAGGGCCCAAGTAGTCTCGAGCACAGTGTAGACACCTTGTTGACGGTGTGCCACAACTGGAATCTCGACATCAACAACATGGAACATTTCAGCTCAAAGAAAAATGTTAGCCTGGCTCAGACTGAACAGCAAGCCAACTTAGAACGAATATGTCGACATTCTCTTTCCCTAGATACTTTTAGCCAGGCAGATCTATTACCGACTGCTGAGCTGAGATCGTCACTTTCAGAGCCATTGGATCCTACACAACCCAAATTGAACGAGAAGCAACTCGGCCACTTCACCGAGGGTCCAACTGTATTGCAGGCGGACCCCTTAGAGGACCAGACCGGCCTTACAACCACATTGGGACTCACACTACGCGCTATGGCTGCACCATTCAGTCACTCTGAACATAACTCGGCTTCACCCTCCCTTGACCAAAACCTTATCGACTCGATCTGCCACGCAGCACCCAAAAATTCCTGCATCCAGGAGCCCAGAGCCATTTTCACAGAAGCGTTCCATCCACTCGTCAACCCTCCAACCTCCACCCTCAACCTGCCCAAAGGCCCCTCTATCAGCTCCTTCGTCGCTCCCATCTCCGTCGTCGCGACAGACATCGCGCCCTACGTCCGCTCAATCGCAGCATACGATCTCCGCCTCGAAGCTCAGCGGGAACAACTCAGCGCCGCCCTGTCCCGGCCTGGACGCGACGCAGGTAAGTCCAGGAAGACAAGGGCAAGCCGGGCAGCGCTTGAGGGGGAAGTAAGGCTAGTGTTAGGCGGGAACGGTGGTTTCCGAAGGGAATGGATTATGAGATGACGTTGAGGACGGGAGGAGAGGACTGGGGGAGTGTGCTGCTGGAGATGGTCAATGAGGGTGTGAATGAGGATGACGATGAAAGGATGGGTAGTTGTGACGGTGGAGATGTTGAGACAAGAGATGAGACGCCGGAGAGCGATATGACTGACGAGCTCCAAGCTTAGACATGCAGGTAGAGGTTATCGTTGGTGCTCAAGGTCGAGTTGACTGGGCTCAGGATGCAGAACGTCGAAAGTCCAGCGCTGTACTGGCTACTTTGCTGAGGATGTTTCACTAGGCTTTGATCGTTCTTCCAAACAATACAGACGACACGGCGTGTAGCTTTGCGCAAATGAAGAACCTAAACTAGCTCGTTACCTCAACGGAGCATATCTTAGCAGGCGGTCTTAGGAGAGGAACCGCGGAGTGCTTGATCGGGAAGACAAGAATTGTATAGCATATTGTATTATCGTGCTATATATAAGAACAAAAAGTGCACTTGCTTAACCCTATTCTGCTTCCTACTGGCGATAGATTATGCCTGCAGCAGCTACAAGGGCGCTTTCTCTGTGTGCACGACGGCGAACATGCCTTACTCAATAGCTGTACTCCTATCATCTGCCTGGAAAACGTACACTACATTCCGTTATAACCCTAGATATCGCTGCCAGCCATCTTCCAAACCTCAATATCTCGTACATCCTCCCAATTCCGCCTCGCCACCCGTCTCCTCCATTTACCGACGCCAGTCTTTCTCTCACAGCGCTCCCCGCGCTGCCAATGTTCTCCTTCGCCACTCGCTTCACTTTCCCCTCTTCCTTGTTCCGCGCACTCTTCTCGACCCGTCTCCCGCTGGTGGTCATCATCAACCTCATAGCAACCCCCCAGTTCGAACAGCAGATCTGCCGCCCCAAGATCAATCCACTGCAGATTCTGCCACTCGTTCCCCGCAGTGTCCGCTCCAATCATCTTCTCATGCAACCCTTTTGCATCAGCCTCCCTCATCTTTTCTACGAAACCACCACCCTCCCCCTCATCATCGTCGTCGGCAAGGAGCCTCAAAACCCTCAATTTCTGCAAAAACGGAATCAGAAGACGCATGTGTTTTAAGACGTCCATGTGGGCACCGACGGCTAGCTGTTCTAGCTTTGGACACGCACGAATGATCATGGTGAATTCGTCTGCATTAAGGCGGAATTGCGGGGGAAGGAGGAGGTGGCGAAGGGTGCGGCCGTGGGTGTGCACGATAGTGTCCAGATACTGTGATTTGAGCGCCTGGATTGAGGAGGTGGAGACATGATCATTGTTATCGGGAGGGGTAGATGTGCTGCTCGATGGCGGCGTTGGGCCGGATCCAGATGTGCTTGCAACTTTCCGGGATCGAGGTTCGGCAAGGTAGAGATACTGCAGTGGCGGGACACGAGCAAAAAAATTGCATGTTGCTTGATTGATGCCGTTCATGCGGATCATTTTCAATTTTGGCATTGACGCGCCGGGCAGTTCTGGCTGCCCTGAGTAGAAGACCGTGTTGCCGTTGTCGCGGCCACTCTCGGAGTTGAGGTAGGTGGCTTCTTCAATGGCGGACATGTCTAAGATAGTTCCACAGGATCCGCAATTGAAGGTGAAAAGATTGTGTAAGGCTATCGACTTCAATGGCATGGTGTAGCCAGCCGCTTCAACTTTGCCGAAGTAGGATGCCAAATGTACGCTGGGTTCACTAGCCTCTAGCATCCTGGGCGAGAAATGTAGTGTAAGATGGCAAAGTTTTTTGGAGCCAAGAAGGAGGAAGGATATATCATCTGCGTGACAGAGGGGATCAATGTTTGTGATCCTGAGTATTTGGAGATTTGGGATGGGTGGTATGACCGCAATAGGTCTTGGGTGCCGCTTCGTTGGAAATCTAACGGTAACGCTCTTCAATGTGTGCTTCTGCGGGAGTAATTGCCAAATTTGAGGCAACATCTTCACATTCAGATCCCAGCTATGTCCATTAATAACTAGGGTTGGAAGGCATGATTATGCAGCAACGTACATGAACTCTTCCAGGACAGGCATTTTCTCGATAGCGCATCTTACGAGGCTGCTCAATAGCATGCTCTCGTCTGGTATCCTGCGCGCTTTTGCATGATCCTCTGGCTCATGCTCCACAAATTCTCCACAGAGCTCAAATCTCTTGATATACGCGCCGACATTTCTTGACACTAGCACATTGAGGCCCGTAGAAAAGGGACATACGATTCCGCCTTCCGGCCGGCCACTCGATGTATCATAGCGGACATGATCGTAGGAGCGAAGGCGGACCTTGCGGTAAAGTTGGGGAAGAAGTATGTAGTGAAAGAGACGGCAGGTGCGACAGGCCCGAGAAAGGTCAGATGGATGTTGAAGCTGCTGTCGTAAATACAAGTCCTCTGCCTTCTCAAGTGAAGCATGTCATACATATGACAAGACGAAGGCGATCAGATTCAATGGTAATGGGAAGGGTGGTGCATTGTTGCGGAATGGGTTGGTGGACACGGCGCGGTCGAACATGTTGCTCGCCACGATACCTGGGTCGCCCATGATTCGAAATGAAGCCTAGGTTCCAACGACATAGAGCCCACGAAGAATCTTAGTAAGTAAAGATACCCTATTTAAACAAAGAAATAATAAGCAATTTCGCAACAGCAGAAGCTATGACAAAATATAAAATGTTCCACACTCGATGCCCGGCGCTCGGCGTTAGCCCACATAAGTATATCAACTTTATTTACAAACATACCATTGAGATTTTCCAAGCTCTGTTTGAGGGTATACAAGACATGATGCTACCTTCAGGCTATTCTCAGTCAAGAGATTTGACGTCAAGTCTTCCGGTGGAACCTAACCATTAAGAGCACGTCAATACTTCCCGAATAAGCTTGTGGAAGTCTATAGCTGTGAAACGCCATAGGTGCTGGACACACCTATCCAACCATCCAGAGAACTTCTTGATCCACTAGTAACTGCAAACCCATGTGTTAGGGGTGCTACAATCAATGCCGAAGCTCGATATTCATCAGGCTGCTATATGCTTCCTAAAACATGAGCTCACTGAATCCGACCGCGACGAATGGCAAGTCGCAAGTCGCAAGTCGCAAGCAAAAAGCTGGGCACACACACCATGTGTGGTTGTGCGATTGAAAGTGAACCAGGTCTACTGCTAAAGTTTGGAGCCCGAAGTCCAGGTATCAAGATGTTTAACGCCGTCAACGCGCGATAGAAACCAAGGTCTGCTCAAGGGAGGGGGAGTAATGATGGCTTTGTCCATCCTTCTAGTTATGGATCAACCTCTCCAGAGCTTTACGAAAGCCGATCAACTCTGCCTACAGCTTCGTGCGTCGACCTCCGCCGCCCCTCCGTCTCCCGTCGGTAGAAGGTCAAGGCTGTGCTCTGATCCAGAAAGTCTTGTTGATGTGCCTGTTCAACCAGAGTCAGCCTTAGGATGTCAGTCGACCTTCGAAGCTTCAACGTCCCAGAGTATTGCGACGCCTCCGATCGATGCTCAGTACTGTTGACGCTTGCGCTCCTCACCCAACACCTCCCATGCTGCCTGCTAGCTTTACCCGGATCTGTCAACAACGCTACCACGGATCGTGGCGCAAGTGGGTGGTGTGCTCTTCAGCCTGCCCTTGCACGGCGCGGTCTAGGTGTCTCGCTCAGATGTTGGATTGACGTCTCTTTCTGGCGAGACATCAATAGGCCTGAAACATTTACCCCTGAACCAAGGCCCAAAAAGCCGATCTTGTCGCTATGTCACTTTTGCGCCCTAATGAGCGTTCTTTCCGGACACATTGAAGCTTGGAGTAGGTTGACGGCTCATACCCTTACTCTTTCTGATGTCTTATCTATGAGGAAACTAGCATTCCTTCTTGTCACAGCGATGCTGTTGAAAAGGGCTGGGGTTGCAGCTCTACCTCTTTGAACGATGTATCTGTATACAGGAAAGCCAAGTGTGTAAGGGGTTTAGACTCCACAGAACGACTCGGACTCATGACCATAAGACGAAAGGGTCGAAAGATGGTTTTATGATGTACTATTCGAATATCACTTCCAATGCAACCATCAATCCATTACGTGGCCCGACAATAGACCTAGCACCAAGCCTACTAACCAACGAGACAGCCACAAAAACTGCGAAGGCGATAAGCGAGGCCAATATCAATCTACCGGCATCGTGTAAAGTCACGCAGCCCACTGCAACAAGCGCTTTGAATTCCACACTCTTTCCATACTATATTCCATACAACACACTACAGACTTGCGATATCTACGGACCTACCTGCCAGACAGGGAATATCACAGTCAAAGTTAGCATACATGGCTGTGTATCTGCCACCACAACGTTACCGTGCTCATCATATCTATCTTCTCAAGCCCAGTATCTCCATTCTTTCATACCAAACGTGCCTTCCAACGGGACTCTCCCCTGGGACTGGCAAAAGGGATATGGACGAAGCCCACAGTGTCGTTCGTATGAAAGGGCCCTGACGGAGAGCGTTCCGTTTACCCTGTCCGGCTGTCCAGCTGATAAAATCCTTGCGGACTGGGATCGAACAACAGCAGCTCCTATCCCACCGATGTATCCACCGGCACCCGACGATGACAGGCATACTTCGAGGTTTGAATGCTGTGGTAAATGCAACATACATGCCCCAATTCTAAAGGTATACTATTTCCCGGACCCAAATGCAGAGTCCTACTGCCGGAATAAGGGTCTCCGAGTCGGCTTTGCAGGGGATCCAGCGCAGTCAAATACTGTGCCAGATGTCTTAGTTTCTCCAGCTAATGGCACCGTTGCGGTAGGTATTGTCACTGCGCCGCCCATCACAACTGCAGTCATAGGCAGCGTTACCATGATCTCGCCATCTATCTATATCTCCTTTGGAGGGGAGCTTGCAGTAGGGGATCGCTGCGGTAGGGTCGGGCGTAACTATAGCAGCACACTTCTCGCCTTTGCACCTGAAGATGTCTCCACCTGGAGACTCCCCTCACTCACGGCTTCTAAGTCAGGTGGCAAGAATGTAGTACCAGGCCTGACTTCGCAAGCACCGCTTACCATCGCAGACCTCGAATGCCCATCTCTGGGGGTATCGCCGCGGAGCATTACCAGGTCTATAAGTAGCAATCAACGTAACTGGGAGTTCGTTTATGGCTCACCATACCACGCCCTTGTTGCGCAACTATCTCAGATATTGACGTTTGATCCAACGTGGAGCAGTATCTGTACAGCCGTGGATAGCATAGGGCCAGCAGAGCATGTGGGGCTCTTGGATCCAGCCAGAGTATTAAACGCCGCGGCGGTGCTGGCTGCACCGACACCAGCAACTGGATCGGGCAAGCCAGACCCGGTGGTAGCGCCTGTTCAGAAAGCTGAAGATGACAGGCCGCAATCTACGCAGCGGACTGGTGATCCAGGTGCGCAAAAGGTCGGAAGTAATCCGTTGAGTGGTGATGATTCCTCTGAGAAGGGGCTCGGTGACTCAAAGGGACGAAATGAGCAGCAAAAAGCCGGAGACTCGCCTTCGACGAACATGGGATCCGAAAGAGCACGATTGAAAGATGCTCAATTGAAAGAAAATGCAGATCCTGGACCAGCATGTGGATCTTCCTGTAATAATGAGCCCACGGAATCAAAAACATCGCCTCAACCTCAGGCTGCTACTCAAGTTGAATCGGGAGCCAATAGTGAAATAGACAACGGAGATGCCAATTCACGTGCTCGTTTCTCGAATTCATTCTTCAGGTTATCCAAAGTAAAGGATGGATCATTTGGGGCAGGAAATAGTGGGCAAAGTTCATCAGAGACAGGATCGTGGCCAGCTGCTCAAGATGTTCTAAACGGAAGTTTAGGCTCAGGCACGACTAACAATCCTTCTAGACAAGGGAGTGAGGAGGCAGAATTCTCTTCGTCCTTCGATACTAAATACCCATTCCTATCTGGCGCATTGAAGTCACTGCAGAACCAGCATACAGATGAGGCCAACGATAACAACTCAGATGAGGTAGGCAAAGCGGGTGATGACAGCTCCAAAAGCAATTATGAAAGTACTGGTGCGAGCGTCAATCACGACACCGACAACAAAGCCTATCCAATCGAGGCCAATGGTGCTCAGGGTTCTGTTTTGGCCGGCTCACATTTGGGCTCGTCTATCACTGATAGTAACCTGCATTCGACAAACGCTAGTAATGAAGGCGACGGCGATGAGATCCCAAATGCCACATTAGACAGAACATCAAATGCAGTTCCGTTCGAGCGAAGTGCAACAGCTACGAATATACCACCATCTTCTCTCTCCGACACCGAGCTCGGCTTCGGCCCCCTCATCAATTCCGCTCACACCAGTTCATTCCCTACCGACTCTTTCTCCCCCTATGTATCCGATTTCGAATCCCCTTCCTACCCTGCTGCCGACTCTACGCCTAGCGTGAAAAGGGGAGCCGATGACGGACCAGCAAAAAATGCCGACTTTGCAGAAACAGTACCAAGAGCAGGGACAAACGAATGGAAAGGAGTCGGACAGGAGACAGTGAGTGGGAAACTGACGGACTCACCTCGCCCTGTGGAAACGCGGACGGGTGGGGTCAATACGTCTTCTGGGGGTCAGAGCGGTGCAAATCAGCCAGATAGCACAGACGGGGGAGGCAGCGGGACGGCTTTCCAGAGCGGAGTTGGGAGGTGTGGAGGGTTAGGTTGGAGGCAGTGGTGGATAATTCGAGGTGGGGCAATGTGGTTGCTATTGAACTTTGTCATCATTTTATAACAGGAGTGCTAGAGGCTATCCAAATAGAACATGATAAACTTATTAGATTGAAAACAATTTAAAAAGCTGTCTATACATGATCTTGTGAGTGAGTATTTTTCTAAGTAGGGATATATCATAGTAAGTCTGATTAAGTATTGCAACTCATTCGATCGTTTCACAGTATCTATTGAAGCATAATAAACAGACAGTTGAAATGCTTTCAATCTAATGCTGGAATGATCTGGATTGTGTGATCCAGCCGTGTTCGGCCTCGTCAAGCTCTAGGATTGATTTCCCAATACAATCTTTTCCCAGAAAACTGTATTTTTTCTCCTGAGAGTGGCACGTACCAAGGCTCGCTCCGAATATCTTAAACAAACAGAGGATTCAGTCACGCTGAGAACGTCATTTGCGGATTATTCTCGCCTCAATGCGTTGTTCTTAACGAAGACACACCATATCGTTCTCATCTTCTCCAATTTTCAGATCCAATGAATTCGTCAAAATCAAAAATGCATCAAACACTAGACTGACATTTCCAAATTCAAGACTTGTTCAGAGAAGCCTTATTTAGATTCTTAACAAGATCTTCGAGTCAATGACGTTAGGAAAAGGGGCATCCTGCCAACCAGAGGGTTGCTAGTAGTATTTGGTGACCGTTTGTGGGACAAGGTTCACTTTGATGGCTTTATTTCGGTGAGAAGATTGATGTGAATTGACCACCGCAAAAATTGTAGGCAAGTTCAGGCGGATGGAAAAACATAAATTTGAAGACTGCTAGTTTTTGTTTTCGGGAACCAGTCCATGAGAAGGAGAGCTTCGACATTTCTAATTTTCAGTCTTTGCAAGGTCATGAAATCTCAACAAACCTGAAGGGATAGAGCCAATTTTGATGCTTCTTTGTGCATCGGCAACGAAGGAATTTAGGAAAGGGCATCGTGCCATGCGTGTATGTAATACGAGAAAAATGCTGCTTCGCAGGTACGATCAGGGTGAACAAATAGCCAGTGCTAGATTTCTTGGAAGAATTTTGAGAAGTACAGCTATTCTTCATCTTACCGTTGTTATGATCGGCATGGTTAGCAGGGTCACATTCGGACTCACATGTTCAGTGACCGTCTCAAGCAACAACCGTTGCCCACCCTTCAAGCATGCAAGCAAGCAAGCAAGCATTCAGATAAGCAATCAAGCAGCCCAGGTCCGCCTATCCCACCTTTGTCGCTGTCGTCTCGATCTTTGTATCACTCCCGCTCCTACTTCCACCAGAGAGTTCTCGCTCAATCGCGGCCGCCTTCTCGCTATCCAATTCTCCCCTCTCCAACAGCCTCGCTTTCCCATATGCCTTCCTCGTCTTCCAGGCCGGCGTCCCAATCCCCTTTATGCCATTCGGATCAGTAAACATGTCCTCAACTTCCTCCAGCGTCTTCCCGGCCGTCTCAGGAAACGCAAAGAACACATGCACCAACATGGCAGCATTGAATACTCCGAAAATGAGGTAGACCTTCCATTGAATATTCACAAACGCAGGAGGCACGAAGTAAGTCAGTGCAAAATTGAAGATCCAGTTCGAAGACGTGGTGAGCGCGACAGCCTTGCCACGCACGCGCAATGGGTATAACTCAGGTGGGTAGATCCAGGACACGGGACCCCACGAGGGCGCGTAGCATGCCACAAAGAGGTACGTGCATGCGATCACAGCTTTAGAGGGGGGACCGCTAAGTCGCCAGGATGCTTCGGGGACGTTGTCGACGCCCTTAGGCCCCGCGTAGGTGCCATATGAGGCCATTAGACCGGCGTTGGCGAACATCATGGTCATCATCCCGAGAGAGCCGAGCATGAGCGTGTTGCGGCGGCCCCAGCGGTCAATGTAGAGGAGCGCTGGCACGGTGAGGAAGACGTTGATTACGTATTGAATTGATGAGGAGACGAGAAGGTTAGACCCCTTGAGACCGGCCATGGCGAAGACGTAGACGATGTAAAGCACTAAGTAGTGTTAGCAGGAGGCAGAAAATGGGATTGTTTCATAAGATTGGGTCGTTGAACGTACTCATCACGTTCATGCCAGTAAGCTGAGACCAGATCTGCGTAAAGACGCCAATATGTGTCCGCCAGATCATGTTGGGCTTGAAGAGCTCGAGGAAAGTCACATCGCCATTTTGACGTTCAAATTGGCACATATCCTTGATCTCCTGCAACTCACGAGCTACAAAGGGGCTGTTCGGGTCGCGCTTGCCGTGAACGAGAGTCAAGACGTGATGACAGTCTTCCCATCTGTCCTGACGTGCCAGCCAACGGGGGATTCCGGTAAGACCAGCATGCCGAGGAAGAGACAAATGGCCGGGATCATCTGAAGACCCCATGGTAGACGGAATCCAGCGGTTCCATTAATATAGGATGAACCGTATGAGATGTAGAACATAATTAGGATTCCTGTAGGCCAATCAATGAGTGGTCACGACCAATGCTAGAGGAATGCTGACCCCACGTAATCGCCCATTGCTGACAGCCGACAAGCCTGCCTCGCTTTGAGGGAGGTGCAAGTTCAGCGATGTAGACAGGCACTTGGGCAGAGGCGATTCCAACGCAAAGACCGTTGATGAAACGTCCGACGACGAGCATGCCGATGTTCTGAGAAGCACACACGAGGATGGAGCCAATGATCCTGAGCAGGTTTGGTTAGTTGCCAAGTTGATCCCTGGCTGCGACATGAAATGTTCGAGCTCACCAGATGATACAAGAGATCTGAATTGACGTTTTGCGGCCGAAGCGATCGGAGAGAAAGCCGGAGAGCAAAGCGCCAACCCAAGAGCCTCCAGGCATTGCGGCAGAGATACCACCTTGAACGGAGGGCGTTGGGCCAGAGCATTCATCATGGCTGGTCCAAGGATCTCCTTGATTGAAATAGCACTTGTATTGCCAGGTACCGAGGATGGCACTTTGAGAGGAGATGTCGAAACCAAAGAGGCCGCCGCCAATGACCGCGACGGCGGCGATGATGTAGATGTTGCCTACCTCATACATTGTCGCGACACGTCAGTGGGATTGATGGGCACTCAGCAAGGAAGTAAATAATAAGAGGGGTCACGGCAGCCAAGCAGACAGCTTTGAAGGTGGGCGCCGACAGGGCGAGCCTTATATGCTTAGCCTACAGGAAAGTTACCCCTCCCCGAGTGCGACACGGAAAAGAAAGCGGTCGGAGGGGTATGTCAGGTATGGGCTACCGTTTTCTCGATGCAGCTTCAATCTGCGATGATTGGCGGGGCTGTGGCAACTGGCTTGCAGCGACGAGAAAGAAATGCCGGGAAGGGGAGCAGAGAAAGGCGGGACGGGGACGGTGTGGGTGACGCAGTGAAGGGGCCACAAGGGAGAGTCGTGGTGGGGCAAGTCCGCAGGTCATGCAGCAGTGCAAGACGATGCGCGGAGCTATCTTATTATTCGTTCATTCAATATTGTCGATTGACTCTGAAGAACTCCCTGAATTTAGGAGCTAGGAAGCGAAAATCTGGGGCCGCTGTTGGCGTCGCCCGAAATCGACAGGAAACAAGAACAAGACAAAGAAAATCGATATCAGTCATGTGCAGCACCTTTGCCTTCTCGGTGCGTGACCGTAGACCCAGAGTATCGAAGCAGTAGTGCTGACAGCTGCAATCAATCAGGTAAGAGCGTCTCATGGACCAAATAACAATAATAAAGGCAAGAGTTGTGAAAGGTACGGTATGATAGGCTAGCGGACCAGTTGCTTCTAAGGGCTTAGGGCCGACTTTAGGGGCAACCTTGACTCATGTTTGCAAGCTGCACCCTTCGTGCTGATGTCGTGGCCGTCGCAGTCGGTTGACTCGGCAAGAGAGAGCTTCATCAGATATACGCACCATGCGCTGACTTCGTATTCTTTATCCAACCTGTGCATGACAATTGCTTGTCGGCCTTTGTAAGGCGATGGGTCCACTTGTCAGAGTAAAGACTGCAGTCGGAGAGCAGTAAACGTACCAGTGCATGCTTTTCCTTCTGAAGGAATATCTAGCAATGCCCAGGCTGAGGACCACCACGCTGCGTGAGATGTCCTGTCCATCCAAGTCCCAACAGTGTATCAGATCAACTCCCAGGCAGCTAACCCTCCAAATCCCATCCCCTTCCGGCCTTTCGCCTGCCGATATTCTTCCACGCTCAGACCACGTCCCGTCTGACCGTTGACAGTATCCACTGTGTATACGCTGACGGTCTGGCCCACACAGCCCAGTCGTCTTGCTTCTACATCACACCACCAGACATGACCGTTCGTCTCGAAGGGAACAAAGTCCTTTTCCCGGCCGTCTACTCCTCCAATCGCAAGGATGAAGACGAATGCTTTCCCCTTGCCGTTGCGGACCGGGTCCCAGTGCTGACAGATCTTTGCAAATTGGAACCTCACCGTGGGACCTGGGTGCGCGGACGGCGAAATGGACACTCGTAGATTCCGAGGAAGAAAGCTGGCCTCGCTTATACCCTCAGACTCGGCGACCCCGGAGTATACTCGTAATGGCTCAGCGCCACCTAGAGGCCCAAGAAAATATTCTTGCCACGTTGGTGGCATCCTTCCATCCGCTTCGACGAAGAAGTGCCCTCGATTTTCTGGGTAATGGCGAAGACCAAACTCATGATTCGGCATGGTGAACATGCGCGGCGAAAAGTGCTTGTTGTAAGGCTGTCCTTTGCCACTGACATTTCCTGCCCCCCAACACGCGTCTATCAGCTTCCAGTATCCACCATCGATCTTCACGGCATTCCAAGCATGGCCGGAAGGGTCTTCAGGAGGTATAGGAGATCCCTGCGGAATGGAGGCAAAGCCAAAGCCTTTCCCATGCCCTCCGACAACGATGCTTTGCAGCCCAATCTTACTAGCTATAGCAGTGAAGAGACCTGCATAGCCCTCACAGACTGCAAGACCGGATTGAAGCGTTGAAGCAGGAGTTGAGGGTTGGACAGTACCATTGAAGAACGAGACCGTGTCGTAGGAGATGTTGTGGTGGAGCCAAGTGAAGATTGCTCGCGCTTTGTCCGTGGGCGAAGGGAAAGGACTTGTCAGTTGGTGGGCTAGCCAATCTAAGGAAGGGACCTGCACGCGTGGGAATTTGGCTGCATGAGTATCTACAGCCGAAAAGTCTCGGCATAACAAACAGGGCGAATTTGCAGCGGAAAGCGACTGTGGCACAACCCCGGCCGAATGTGTCTTAGGTTTTGAGGCAGTGATCTTGGACAGGTCTGGTCGAGAATCCGTAGGAATTGGCGGTGGTGTGCTATCGGGCAACGTGTGGGATGAATCCGTCTCATGTTGGTCTAACCCATCTGTCCGACTCGGACGTCGTTCCTTACTCAGACCATATGAAAGGGCCGACCTCGACGGTTTCGGGGGCGCCTTGTCTGCAGGTGGTGGTAGCTTTCTTGCTGGGGACGTCTGCACTTCTGGCCTCGAAGGTCTTCGGGGCGGCAGAGCTGGTGTTGTATCAGGTGGTACTACATCTTCTGTAGCCATGGTAGGGTAAGCCTTGGTGCTCTGCATTGAAGATGGTTTCGTCCCCGTCGGTTTGAGCCCGTATGCCGGCCTTGATCTTTCGCGTTCGGGAGAGTTCGCGTCACTTTGGTCCTTATTGCGCTTGGGTGGGAGGACTGGTAGTATTGCTTCGTTTAGAGGAGGTGCTTTGATTCTGCCACTGTCTGTGGAGGTCCGTGATGCCAATGTTAGGGCAGTGCCATTTGATGCCCCTGATACCGAAGAAAGCGAGGAAATGGTGGATGAGATGGACTCATTAGATGCCCTTCTGTTCCATTGATTTGACGGTTTTCGGGGCGGTAGTGCGGGTGTAGGTAAAGCGGATGGTGTTCTAGGCGGTAGACGGGGTGGGGCGGTAGGTTTATCGGTCTTTGGCCCATCCTGACCAGTCCTTCTGACATTTGAGGGAGGAGGGAGCACTCCATCTCGTTTCGGTCCGTTTGGCTCGTTGCCGATACCAATAGCTGCAGATCGACCACTTATGGGTACGCTTGTAGTTTGACTCCTCTGCTCCAAAGCGGACCTCACTGGTATGCTATGCTCGACGGGCTTCGCGGTGACCGGCGCTCGACCTAAGTGTGTTGTTGTACCGGCAATTTGAAAGGCATTTATGCGGTCCCGGATTGACAACGTTTGCGCCTCTTCAGCCATGGGTTACCGGGGGTATCTACAATGATTGCAACGATTGCGGGCCAATGTATGGTAGGTCTGAATCATGAGGGCAATATTGGTAAATAGGCCAGCTTTGGAAACGTGGTTGCAACAAGCGTATGAATACGGCTGTGCACGTGGGGCCCGCATCAGCCCTCGTCGTAAGACGCGACATCGCTCGTAGAGCCAACAACGCTCCAATCACAGGCAAAGGGTGCACAACTTCCGTGCGTCAAGATGTCTGTATTGGTCGTGATGTGGCTCAAGAGTGACGACTAATGCGAGCGTCGAGCCTTTTAAGGCTACTGAACAATGGGGAAATGATCTAGACCGTGGCCTTCCCCAACTACTGCTTCGTGATCTCAGGTACATTCGAACGGACTACGAGAGCGTAGTAATCATCATTCGTCCGGCGCGTGAATGTATAGTCCTAATTGAAAATAATACAGTATGATGCATCTTAGGCAATGTCAGTGTTCCACCACAGGACAGCGACTAACGAGGACAAATTAACAGTCTCTAAGGGAAAAAAAGTAAATAGCTTAAAATGACGGACCTATCTTTATGGTTCTGTGGTCTAGTGTTCGTCTTTCCGCTCTCTCCATATCTCGTTTCCCTTGCTAATCATTTCCTAGGGTATGATTCTCGCTTAGGGACAACCTAAGTATATTTGCGAGAGGCCCCGTGTTCGAGTCACGGCAGAAGTAAGTAATATTTTCGGAGTAAAAGTTCGAGTGACATGTTTCGTGTCTCCGGCTCTCTATTTATAAAAACATTGCTGACTCTGATTTGATGAAGCCCATTAGTCTCTTCAGACTTTCTTTTTCTAGTTTTAGATGTCTATAGAGTAGTCTATGATTTATACAATATTTCCCGTTCGCGGGTCCGGTCGGAACGGGTTGGGAATGTGCGTGGGTCTTGGCATCTTCTCATCTATCGTATACAGAAGCGTTGTATAGTAAGCACATCAGGTTGACATGTATGGGATATGTGTAATGCCTTGTCCAAGATCAATATACATTTTTGTTGAGTAGCAGCTACCTTTCTAGCTACGCAAAATCATCAACCGATTATCCACATAGCACACATTATCCTATAGCCCTATAATAAGATCAATCATGAACTATGCAAAAGCTTTTCCTACGATTCCCTGATCACATGCACATGCCGCCCTCATAAATCATTACGTCTTCCTTCACACACAAATGACATGAATTTTGTACAATGGGGCAGCCTCTGCTACTGGCTTGCTGTTAAATCTCAAAATTTTTGTACACGAAGTGAAATTGTCACCTTAGGTTGGTGACTGAATACATATGCTCTTCGGAGACTCTTGTATATAGCTTCAGGTCGGAATAGCGAACGTGAACATTCGAATATTTGAATTCAGGTAGCGTGAGACATATGTCGGAGGTATTGGTGGTGTTGTCCTATTCATTCGTAATCATGCAAGTACATTCAAAGACATTTCTGTTTTCGTCTTGATGTGAGTGGCCTGGGTTCTCAAGGCAAGACTCATCTCATGGCAGACTGTGACTGATGTAAGCATAGATCATTTGACGTGGTTTTGGCGAGAAGAGACAAACCTGGCCACACAGCTTCCCTCTCGAACATGCGGGCGTGCATGGATAGTATCTTGCTGCCATAGCCGCAATTTTCTAATTCAATTATGCTGTCGTTCGTCATGTTTGGGTTCGCGATCATGCTGATACCGCTGCTTAATTTAGCGTTTGCGTTATCGATGATTTCTTTGACTTTTTCTAGGAGCTTGCAATCATCATCCTCGAGAAACATGCAGGCCGGTGCTTGGCTGAGATCAATGACATCCCTACCAAGAATTCCTATATACCGACCGACTCTCTGCTGGACAGTAGATATCCATTCTGCAAGGATTTGAGCGCAGTCAAATGCACAGAGCGCAGAATGCAGCGGGAGCTCTCTGGAGTTGTAATCGGCAAATGTAACGTTCAGGCGGTCAGACATCATCAGCGAATTTGCGGCGCAGTATGCGGCCTTCCGGAGATGCCGCTCACGTCGAGAGCATTTTGCAGAACACTGGCTGAGGGTGGTCTCCGGCATCGCAGACGGAGCCCCGCTTTGCATTTTTATGTAAGTCAACTCATTCGACATAGCCGAGCTAGTCTTTTCACTGTTTCGTGGACTAGAAGCGGGCGAATGTTCGCCATGCTCAACTATCTCCGGACCATTGGCCAGCTCCTCAGCCATTGCATCCCAATTGCGCTGGAAGAACAGATCCTTGGTCCTACCGAGATTGACGAAAAGTCGAACATAAGCCAGGTCTAGCAATGGAATGCAATCAGCCGACATCGACGTTGCACCGAAGGGATTAGGCCTCTCTAGACTGTGGTCACTGTTACTCGACCATGCAGCTTGCCAAGCTCGCAAAGCTGGTTCCATGTGCGCGTGCAGCTTCTCTGTATCTCGTGGCGTCCAGGGCCGTCCGGCATGATGTTGCCTCGTTTCCCAAATATAATTGTGCAATGCATTGATGAGGATGAGACATCCAAACGTGCTTGGCCTGAGCTCTTCTTCTGGCAGGCTCTCTGGTTGTATGTTCATATCGAATGAATGAGACATGCGACGTTGTTTCTGTTGCTTGCGCTGGCTGGCACTGAGAAGGAAGCGGAGAGCGCCTGCAAATGATGTTTCCTTTTGGGATGCCACCGCAGACCCACCGAAAGACCGCCAGGTCTCTGCAGAGTCCGCGGACCATAAACGCTCGTCGCATGGTAAGTCGAGTAGAATCTCAGAGTTCATCAATGCTGGCGCACTGTTGTAGGCCGAGACTAGTAAGCTTGAGAAAGTAAATATCGCATAAAGGGTCCGCTTTCTCTCCTCGATGACCTTCCACAGATGCCACTCTTTCTCCAACTCCAATGCCGGATGTGATATGTAGCCGCTCCATGCGGCAGGGTCATCATTATTCAATTGCAAGTCCGTTTGCTTCAGCTGAAATTCCGGAGACCTTGTTATATCCGCTTCTGTAGGCCTCACGAGATCTGCACCACGAGCTAGACTTATCAATGAAGCGCACTGAGTATTCGCAATACTTGCGGATTTCTTATCGCCGCTATTATGACCGTATATTACGTTCAATAGCATCGCTTGAACAAGCCACAAGGGAGTATTTTGTGAGTTCATTTCAACACCATTGCTGCCAATGCAGCTGGCGTTTTGGGAGTCTGCCCTTGAGCGCTCTTGTAGATAGAGCTGAATCATGTGCTTCGACATTTCAGAAAGATCTTTGGATGGTGCAAAGTCATATTCGTATAATGCTCCGATGCTCGCCATTGCCAGGACTAGAGAGCCTGCGCCGCCGAGAACGTTGCTTTGCTCAAATGCTTGATGTCCGCTTGACGACAGGTCGCTCGTGAAAGCAGGTGCATCGAAGGCTAATGTAGCAACATGAAGAAAAGGTAGGTGGGGATGGAAATATCGTATGTAAGCCGCCACATACCTTTGGAGGTCTTGAGTACTTGGGAATGTTTTGCCTGCAAGGAAATCGGATGCCGTGGAATGGTTTGGGGGGAAAGTTGTTCTCATAAAGCCATGACCTTGGACGAGTGGCTCGGACAGGCTGTTGATGAGAGCTTGCCGAGTGGCGTCGGAGATGGAGTCCGTGGACATGGAGGTGACAGAGCTGTGACAATTGCTGCTACTGATGGAAGCTGCGGAGTTACTGGGTGTTTCAGGCTTGACTGGATTGTCAGACATGAGAAATGGATTGACGTCGAACATTTGACTTGGGGTTTCAGGAGGAAACGGCGGGGACGTAGAGAAGTATGGGTCCGTGTTTGCTGCCTGAACACTTGTGGTTTTGGGTGAAGGCGCCCCAACCATTGGTAAATCCATGAAAGGCTGTTGGGAAGCGCCAGAAGAAAATCCATTTCGTAGTGGTGCTTGGGCCAAAGATGGTTGGTGCCATTCCGAAGGCGTAGAAACATTACCTTGCCCTTCAAATATCACATCGTTCAACGTTTCCGGACTCCCTGAGTCAACTACTGATGGCGAAGAATTATCGATTGCATTTTCATCCTGGAAGGACATTTGATGGTCAAAGTTGTGCAACCAGTTACCACCATTTTCGACATCCAAGGAGCTATGGCCATGCAACCCCCCGGAAAGGCTGGATGCAGCGGAGATAAGGGGCTATCATATCCCACATTCAGTGGAGAGCTAGAAAAATGGAGATGAGCGGGATTAATTGTAGAGCCATGGCCAAACAGCAAGCTTTCACGAGACATGTCGTTGGCGAAGTGCCCACGTGGAGGGGCCGTGTGGAGGCCAGGATTTATGCCTACAAAGTGGGTTTTCGTCTCTAGCTTTGGCAGGACGTGCATATTCCCGTGTTGGCCTGAAGATGAAGACATTCCCCGATAGTGGTAATTTCCAACCCCAGGAAGACCGTTTATATGTGCGTGGCTAAACCCAAGATTTGTGTTTGGTTGGTGATGTGGGGAATTGACTGCTGCAATCATTCCGAGAGTGGAGGTATCCACATGGCTTATGGTATTGGCTCTCGGACGCATTGAATTATTGGTGATTCCGGACGGATTGCTTGCCATTGAGTTCTTGCGCACCCTTGTGGAGCCACTGACTGTAGTGCTACTAGTGCTCTCCCGCCGCCGAGATCTGGAGGATGGTGGCGCGGTCATATGCAACTTTTGCTGATGTCTCAACAACAGATCCCGACGGGCAAAGCATCGCGTGCATTCGTTGCACGCGAACGGTTTCTCCTTAGTATGGGACCTCTCATGTCTTTTCAGGTGCTCCAAGCGGGCAAATGCTCTTGTACATGTGGTACAGATATGTGGCCGTGGTTTGTCGGTCTTGGGGGGAGGAATATTGGGATTGACATCTTGAGCTTGCCCGATAGGCCTTGCATGTAATCGACCTTGAGTGTTTGCGTCAGTAATTCTACTGTAAACTTCATTTCAGGTTCAAAGATCCTTGTTCACCTTGGTGTGATAGGTCTCCTGTCCCATTCTGGAGTGGCTCAGTTGCCGTCCTAGGGGATGTGCCTTCATCCCCTTTTGAGTATGCCATGATTCTTGGATCGAAAATCCTGTGATTTGAGAGTGAGGCCCGTATTTGAGCGCATATGCCGGCTTGCCACACTTTGTGTAGAGAGGCTTAATGGGAAAGTATGTAAACGGTCGAGATTTTCGAATATATACAGCGGATCGCCAATTGCCTTCGGGGATCGTCTAGCTCTTGAAGCCAGTGTGACACATTTCCTCAAAGAGCAGAACAAGGAAGCGACAGGGAGCCAAAATGATTCTAAGCTAGCCAGCTATCTCCACGGATTGAATTGTCCTTGGTGGAAGCCAATATCCTAAATTGTACAAGAAGTTGAAAGTATTTACAAACGTCATGTGGGGGCAGGTCCGGCCCGCAAGGTATCCTGTCTCTATGGCCAAGTCTCTGTATGTTGTTGCAAAGAGATCGTACGAGGCGTCTCTCAAGCGGGGGTAGGAAGAAAGGGCAGCTTGAGGCGGTAGGGGGCAAGCGTCGTCAATAAGGTTGCTTGGAGGGTACAGTCCGTAATGATAAGACCGATCGCCTTTGCGACTTTCCGTCTGCTAGGGAGTTTCACAATGGCGTAGATAATCCGTAGAGTCTCGTAGTAAACAGTCTCGAGCAAGCAGTGGTCGAAACGAGAGCTTCGCGTTGGAAAGCGTGTATAGCCGGCGAGCTGGTCAGGCGGTCACGCACTGCCTTCAGCTGTAAGCATATTGAACAACTGCTATCGACTGACTCCTGCTTACACAATGTGTATATGGGATGGAAGAGACCACTGAGGGTCTCGACAACGGGAATTGTACGTCACTTGCAGCGGGTCTTTTACCGCTGCTCAATGATTGGAGAAAGGAGACAGACAACCCGGGACTGCAAATGGAAAGGACCGACCATTCGTCATGCGCTTCTGGCAGTGACTGAAAAGCTACACACATCAATTATCGGGGTGTGGGAATTCGATGTTTTAGAGGTAAAATACTCAAGAACGAGCCACGTACCTCCTGATAGTTACAACAAGAGGGCCTAATAAGACAAAGCTTCAGGCAATAATTCATCGTGATGGCAAGAAGCGCCGAACAGAAAGCCGCTGCAAGCATAGGCTCTTCGCCGGTAAAGTTCATTGGATTGCAGGGCGAAGTGGACAAGGGCACCTGGAGTCGAAACGCTTGCACGGATGCAGCAGCACTTCTCTTCATCTCTCCTAGAAGGTTTGAGCATGGGTCTCCAACCTTCGCCGACGATCCTGGTGGATACTGGATAGCGGCATAGCTTGGCTGCACAGCATGGGCGACTCTTAAGTCTCTTAGGGTAGCCGACTAGCTCAAGACTTTGGTCGACATCGAACTTCGAAGGCGGCTAGGTAAAAGCAGCGGCAGACGCTTTGCTTCCTCAGACCAGGCCAGACGACCACGGGACTTGCTTCGGTGCGCAAAAACAAGCTGCCCACTACTACTCCTAGTTCATCTACACTCGACGAGTCGACGGGGGGCAAAAGATCAGGATCATCTCCAGACGCTTCTGATCGGCAATTCTGCTTGAACCTTACTGGATTCGCCACTACAGAGCCTATCACATGACTTCGGGCTCGAGAAGTCTGGCCTGCACCAATTCATCAGGCTCATGGACCAGGACTGCCAGCTACGACGGTGTGGTCAGGCTCCAAGTAACGACCGTGATGTACCAGCTCTCGAGAGAATCCCCTGCGGCTTACCTCTTCGGGGGCAAACACCTTGCTGCTTGATGCACCTGTCGCTTGCGGCCTGCCTAACTTAATGTGTCTCAAATCTGGGGTCTAGCGCCGGTCGAGTTGACAATTATGTGTCTCGCAGCCGGCAATAGTAGACGTTATCCGAAGTGGATGGTCTGGTGTCGGCTCGCCTACCTACCGTGATGAATAGCCCAATGCTTACGTCCCTATGTACAGGAAATCCTCAATGGAGTTACGAAGCTGGAGCGTATCTCGCTCCTGGAACATGATGCCTTCCTCGGCCCTCCCGCCACAGCGCCCCATGGTATCCAATAAAGAGCCCAATAATGTCACACCGGCCCGATGGTCACGATCCTACCTCAGCTTGGATCCAAGCATCCTCAGCTTACAGGTGTCGCCGTCCTTGCACATGACTCTATGACCGTGACTCGGACCAGGGCCTTGCCAGCTTAATTCCCGTTCGGAAATTCTCCTAGCTCAAGAAGCCTCCCGCCAGACTAAATCTAGGTTGCGCGATGGCGCTGAATCCGTTGGTTTGATAGGAATTGCAAGGAATAATGGCCCACCTAGGCCAAGGCACGTACTTCACGAACTGCACATAAGTGCACCTGATGGGACGAAGCCAACGCGGTTACTAGCGGGAGATGGAAGCAAATCGACTGATATACCTCTCTGCCTATCTGGTCGAGACAGCCCTATTGGTCGTAGAAAAGTCCGTGCAATAGTAGCAATCGTATCAATCTCCCGATGACAGAATTATTGACCTTGTAACTTCGAGAGCGGCCACGACAATAAAACGACATGCATGCTCTGCTGCAATAATACGCCCAGTAAACGGGCCTCCACACCTGTCTTACTGAATCTCGGAAAAGCATCCCGGATCAGCGACGACCTGCATGGCGCCGTTCACAGATCTTCAAGGGACCGTTGCAGGTGTCCAGCCACCTGATCGACCCCTTAAGTTCTGGGTTTATTTGCGCTCCAAGGCATTCGGCCTCCTGCTCCAGCACAACCCCACGATATCTGAGTTGCGCTGTTCTTCTCTGCAACAATATGCAGCCACCGCAGCCATTACATGCAACGCACAGTCAAGCGATGCAGTGAGCCCACCACCCAAGACCGAGACCCTGCCCCACCTGCCCGCACAAGGTACGTAGCGGCTTACCTCGGAGCGGCGAAACCGCAGTATCCGAATCAGCCTTGAATACTCGCCTTGCCTTGCTCCCACTTGACGAGGCGTAGCAAAGTGGCAAATCAAAGCAGGCAAAATCATCGAGGCAACAGTCACCGACAGCGCCTTAGTCTAGGCCAATAGTCCTCACGCCACCGTTTGGAATGCAGAGCAGTAGATCCTGCGACTAGGACACATCCTCAGGCAGACAGAAGCAGGACCATCGGATAGTGTCTACGACTTTTTCGTGCCCTCCTGTGAGGAATAACCCTGAACCACTCAGATTTGTGCACGCTGAAAATCTTTCAATGTTCATCGTCATCGTCATGATGTGCCTGCATTGGTACTCAGCAGATTATTCCCGCGCTTATTGCAACCTGTCGCCAGCATGAGTCTGCATGTGGGAACAGGACGTTCATTGGATCGTGCCAGTACTCGAACGCGCATGCTATAATGCATTCGACTTCCAGATCAAACCACACAAATGGCTGGAAGCGGCTTTAACAGCAGCCACGCGGTCTGTAGAAGGACCGTTGCTTTTCTAGTCTTCTAAACAACCCGACATGAACATAAGCCAGCATGATCTTGCTTTCCTTCAATGTGCCTTTCTCGTACCTTGCGAAGAGACCCTGCCTTTCATAGACTGATTGACTTGAACACGCTGCAGCCAACAAATTAGTACAAATGTTCCCATTCCCCTTTCCAGTCAGCTACATACCTTAGCTGTCCCCCATTAGCCCCAGCCCCTGTCCCCACGACCAACCCCGGAATCTGCGGATGCCAATGCCCCTCCTTCACGTTCTCCAAGTAATGCAAGAACAACAACTGCGGCGGCACTCCCTCCGCAGCCGCGCTCCCCCTAGCTTCCTCATCATCTAATTCCACCCCGAGATCCCAAAGCGTCATCGTATTATCCCCCGCAGTCACACACACCACAGAATCGTCCGTAGGATGCCACTCAATGCTCGTAATCTGCTCCTTATGGAAATCGTACTTCGCGACAGGGGTGGAGGAGATACTACTCCCGCTTCTGCCCCCCGAGGAGGATTTCCAAGATCGAAGGTCCCAGACGGCCCATACCCCATCATCGGCGCCTGAGGCGAGGAGATAGTCCCGCTTTTTATTCCAGCTTAAGACGTTGACGTCTGTATCACTGACTTTCACTGTAAGTGCAGGTTTGCGGGATTTCGAACGGATATCCCAGACGCGAATTGTGCCGTCGCTGCTAGCGGACGCAAAAACGTTGGTCTCGCTTGGGCTCCATTGAATGTCCTCTACGCTGCTCTCGTGGCCTGTGAATGGCCGGGTGTCAGACGTCCATTTCATAGGGGAGCTGGCGTCCGTGGCGGAGTGGAGGAAGATCTTGCCATCGTTGTCGCCGCTGAGCAGTTTGCCGGCTGGGTGATTGGGAGACCAAGCAAGCGCGTAGCCTTCTGTTCGATGTGTTTTTGAAGTAGCAATAGGACGGGAATGTTGCGGGGTGATTGTCATGCCAGGTCGGTCGAAGGACTGGAGGTGGGGCGTGATGTCGTGAATGAGGAGTTCGGCGGACTCAGTCATTGTGGCTGTAAGCGTGGTGGGAGGTGTGGAGGAGTTGGTTTGGAGAAATTGATGGGCACAGATACGATTTGTGGTAGAGTTCATGGGGATCGATTTGGTTTCGAGGATGGGCTCCGTTGTCTCTTCATCTGATTCATCGTCGTCCGAATCCGAATCATCTTTCTTTTCTGTTCGACTTAACCCACTAAGTTTCATGACCATCAGCTCATTGTCTCTTGATCGATACGATTCTGCTTGCGTTCCTGCTACAGCATAGATCGTGGCAGGATACGTCTTCCTATTGTCGCCCAACGAGTCCGGTAGTAGGTCGAAGGAGAGGCATGGCCAGGTGGTGCTCAAGCCGTGCAAGAGGTCGTAAGCAGAGCTATCAGGTGCTAGGGACTCTCCGTTCTGTAGCTGATCCCGCCCTGGTATAAAAGGTCGCTTGTCGATATCCATCGCATTGCCTTCGAACCATTAGCACGATGGGCCGCCAGTCGTCTGATTGTGAATCGCACCATGCTTAGGGCGCAATCCACATACCCTTCTCTTCTATTTCTCGTTCTTGATCAGGGCGACCGTCTACGCCAGCTTCCATGATCTCATCTTCGCTCTCATATTCATCCTCGAATTCATCTTCGAAATTCTCAATAACATTCCCTTCCTGCAACTGTTGAGGTCGTTCGCCACTTTTGAGAGAGACCCCTCCATCTACCTCATCCTCTGCAAGTCTCTTGGTCATACTTCACAGGTTTGATGGAAGGATTGATCTCAATGTGTGCGTTGCGAAAGGAAAACAAAGTCATTGTGCGGCTCAAAACTCTTCTTCCACTTCAGCCCTGCACGCTAAACCTCAAATTGTTTACCGACGTCTCTCGAACTTCAAAACAACCTTGATTGGACGCCATTATAGCTTTAGACGCTTCATCGAAGATTTTAAATCGGCGATTGCCACGTTACATATCCACCTTGGTGCTTTTGACGATCTTCAAATCCGAAAGGACGCCTCAATCGCGTGAAGTTGTGCCTAGAGCCGTCTGAACTGCCCCTCCAAAGTCTACGCCCATTCTACTCTCAACAGCTGCCTCGAGGACCAGAAATCCGGGAATTCTCGCACTGATTACACTATTTCATGTTAGTCAGCGATCGAAGCGGCTAGATCTCCTACTCAAAGAGCACGCTACACAATATCAGGTTCAATCTTTAGCTTGAATACGACCATGGACCCTCATTACCATCAAGGCGGAATGGACAATCAGGGCAGAGCCAACGAGGATGAGGCAATGGGAGGGGTAGAAGAAACTAGTACACCACCAATTGGTGGCTACAACAACTTTCAAGACTCACCACGAAGGCCTTCAGCCCCCTCCGAAAACTATCCGCCAAATGGCTCTTTCTCTCCTGGCATGGACTCCGATCCAAATTCGCGGTATCCATCAAACAGTTCTCAATACCAGCAACCACCGCAATACTCGAATTCAAGACCGGGCTCTGGGCTGTCAGGAGGATACGGGCATTCAGCATACCAGGATCAGAATCAGAATCAAAGAGCATCGCATCAGGATCAGAGGACGCAGAATAACGTTGTGATTAAAGTGGGCATGGTTGGAGACGCGCAAATTGGCAAGACAAGTTTGATGGTGAAATACGTGGAAGGAAGCTGGGATGAGGATTACATACAAACACTGGGTATGCAGTTTCCGCTTGACATGTACTTTCTGTATCTTTCTGACCGAACTTTGTTCTACAGGCGTCAATTTCATGGAAAAGACAATATCGATCCGCAACACTGAGATAACATTCTCTATATGGGATCTTGGTGGTCAAAGGGAATTTGTCAACATGCTACCTTTAGTCTGTAACGACGCAGTCGCCATACTCTTCATGTTCGATCTCACACGGAAAAGTACGCTCAATTCGATCAAGGAATGGTACAGGCAAGGAAGAGGTTTTAACAAGACCGCTATTCCATTCTTGATTGGTACGAAATACGATCACTTCATAAATTTTTCGAAGGAGGAGCAAGAAGAGATATCGACTCAGGTAAGCCCATCACTAAGTTCTTGATATTTCATAAGTTTTCAATGGAGCTTGCAGCAACTGCTTACCCTTCATCAGGCACGTCGTTTTGCCAAGGCTATGCGTGCCAGCCTCATCTTCAGTAGCACAAGCCACAGTATCAATGTCCAAAAGGTGGGTCCTACCTCCAACTATTGGCACAAACCACTGACAACCGCCTTGAAAGATCTTCAAAATCGTCCTCTCCAAAGCATTTGATCTCAAGTGCACCATTCCAGAAATTGAAAATACAGGCGAGCCACTGCTTTTATATCAAGCTGTTGCGTGAAGCTCCTGTGACTATGAGCCCATATACAATGTTGTCGACAAACATGTCTTCCGTACCGTGATTTTCTCAAGCAAGCGCTGGGCGTTGGCGGTGTCAGAAATCATGTCCATCAAAATTGTTTCGCAAAATCTCGATGATTGTGAATGTGTGTATGCTATGAAGCAAATGAGAATCATGATCATCGGATGAAATAGATAAGACCTCAATCTGAAAGCTCCTCTTGACGACATTTGAATTCAAGAAGCACCATCGACTTACCTATAATTCATACAGTCGTCCTTGTATACTTGAATTCAATCACGAAGGCAGTCCATCATTGCAACGAGTCGCCCTAAATCGGAGCTTAGAAAACTTGCCCATTCGCAAAGCAGATCTATAGAGAAGGGAGACCCTCCCGACATATCGGACATTGGAGTCTATACCGCGTCCAGCCTTCCAGACAAGCAGAATGGAAAATGTGCCGACAAGGCGTGACCATATATGCTCTTCTTGCGAAGATCGTAGTCGCCCCAGTAGAAGACGCCTTCGATCCCTCGCGGTCTTCAGCAGGTATGACAGGAACATCAAGGGTCTCCGTGCAAATAGCACAGTCGAAAGTCCGTTGATCGCCGCTTTTCGTCCTACTCTGTCCTGTTCCTTGATTGTTGATGTTGGGAAAAGGGGTAGCCATCGGTGATGTAGGGCTCGCTATGGCTTCCGAAAACCCAACAGGCATATTCCCACCAGTCTCACTATCCCCCTCACGCAAGATTGGGTGGTAGTCGTAAGCTGTTGGTGCCCATCCATCTGGCACAAAGAACCTAGGGCCTACAACTTCTTGGGTCCCAAGAATGAAAATTTGCAACCATATCCAAGCCAGCAGCACCAGAAATTCATGCGAATCAGGTTGGACGTGAAGAATATTGTCTTCCTGAGTATAGAAGTAAGCGAAAGGCGCGAGGCGAAGAAGTGACTGTCCAATAACGAAATGCCAGGAAAGTGCTTTGCGGCAGTTTCGCATGACATTTCGATAGATTTGCGGGACCCAGACAGAGAGGTAAGCCAAAACCAAGAGGTTGCAGTAGAGACTTCTGAGCAGCTTTGGCCAGGAAGTAGCATGCAAAGAGAGAAGCAGTAAGATGACAAGAAGGCAATAGAATCTTGTATACAATGCGCCCATCTCCCGGCGGGCAGATCCAGTAGCAGTTGTGGTGGTTGTAGCCACCAATGCAGCATCTTCAGCTTCTGCAGCGTCCAGATCCTGGTCTGGGGTGATTATGATAGGCGTTGACGGCCTATCAGGCGGGCGACGAGCCGTGACCGGTAGAGGAAGTGTATCTGAGTTGGACGCGAATGTGGACGGATTTGAAGCCGGATCAAGGGATTGGGCTAGTGGAATTACAGCATTTCGTTGTTCACGGAGTCGCTGCCTCTCTCGTTCTCGCTCTTGCCGTTCGGGCATTTGAGCCTTCCAGATGTCCATCAGGAACCTCATGCCGAAAAAGCTGACACCAAGGAAGGCCAAAAAGGCCGTGACAATCAAGGGCAGAAAAAGCCCCTCAACAAAGAGACTTGCAAAGACAAAGCTCCCAAAAGCAAACCCATCTCCAAGAACCAACACAAAAGCGGTATTTAAGCTGATTCTACTGCTCATTGAAGGAGTAGAGGTTTCATTCATTTGTTTTTTGAGCACCAGCACCTGCGAAAATACAATGACGGCGAGTAGCTGTATGACCATCCTGGCTTGCTGGGTGTAGCTTTCAAGTTTCTTACCGACTAGGTGCATTCCCTCCGCTGGATATTTGGCATGGCTTTTTGACTCAAGAATAAATCCGCAATCTGGGGAGAATATAAGAGCAGACATGTGTATGAGAGGAGCCGAGGGTAGATTCGCCCCTGTCGGATTCCTCAATTCAGCTTCGATTGCTTGTAACGAAGTACCCCTAGCATCCGAAGGATGTTGCTGTAAATATACTAGACATTCACAATGTGGCGTAAGAGATGGCACATCCGTAGAAGCATCTGGCGCAGAGCTCCATGGATTGAATACACTAGCAGATGCTTCCTGTGTATCTATGGTCTTGTTGAGGCCCGCTATCAGCATTTGACGGGCAGGCTCAAATGCTCCTGCCGAAAGTGCAAAGTGTGGTAAGGCAAAGACACCAGCGAATTTCTCGCTGGTCGTAGACAGGACTATAGAGCCTTTTTGGACGAGATGAAAGCCATACATCGTGGTAATCCAGCCATTACTGCCAGAAGTCTCATCCTGGATCTCAACTTCTGCCTTGATCTTCTGAACAATGTTTGGATCTACACCTGCCGAGTGTTCACTGCTCTGCTCGCTCAGTTTGACATTGAGGTCGCCGCTCGGGCCCGTGATATTACGGCTTAATTTCTGCGTATTGTATGCAGCGTTAGGCACTAAAGCCGTCAAATTGATAGCTCGAGTGTAATGTATCTCCTCCACTTCCGAGCGAATCCATTCACCGCGTAAGAATCCGGTGATGTTTCTGTACAGAGTATCAGAGATTTCTTGTCGGCTTGAATGCGCCTCTGCCGTAAGAGCGATTTCTGTCTCGCTCTGGTTCAACCAGCTCATGGAGAGATCCGGAATAACTGCCTGTCGTTGCTCTTTCGCTCTACTTTGAACCTTGGGCAGCAGATCCCAAGCGAAACCATCATGCTTTCTCAGCCCAGTCAAGTTCAGCCACCCATCATGGGATGGGTCGAATGATGCGTAATTAGAATTATTCAAGACTTGTAGATCGAATCTTTCCTTTGCAATTTGATCGTCGAAGTCTCGCCGTCTTGTTTGGGAAGCTCCGAAAGGATCAGGAGACAGAAAATAGAACAGGACAATGATGAGCACAAATAGGGCACGTGGCTCATCATAAGCCATCCCTCACGGTGGGCGTAATGGTCTGAGGAGGACCTCACTGCTCGAGGCTGGGATGATCCACGCGGTATCAGTCATGCTGCTGCGAAGGAACTTGGCTTCGCTGCGGAGCTTTCATGTGGATCCAATAAATGTAGTGGGAGGCTTTTCAATGCAGGACATTGCGGACGGGGTGAGCGGACAGAATCAAAAAATTTGGCGGAGCGGAAGTTCTCCGTGGCATCGAAGTCGTCCGAGATTTCGTAACCTTTAGTGAAATGATCGCGCCATCAAATCTCGAGCAAGATCCTGTCTAAATGATAATTTACTTATTGCGATGCAATCCCCTCCGTATACAATGCTAGCGCGAATAGCTACACGAGCAGCCAGAGCAGGCATAGTCAGGCGTCCATTATCATGCAGGGGCTTTGCCTCAGTTGTTGATCAATCTTCAAAGGTATCTATTAGAAGGCTTTGCGGATAGATGGGATCAACAGATCAGGACTGATGTCTTGTCAGGACCCTACCGAGTATGATCAAATTAGCACACTACCGAATGGCCTCCGTGTAGCCACCGAGGCCTTGCCTGGACCATTTTCCGCAGTGGGAGTATACGTAGACGCAGGTTCCCGATATGAGACTGAAGAGCTGAGCGGCGTCAGTCACATTGTTGATCGGCTGGCGTTCAAGGTATGTGATGCTGGGAACACTATCTGCACCCAAACTGACAAGCTGCAAGTCAACAAACTCGAGATCCTCAGACGAAATGCTGGAATCAATGGAAAACCTTGGAGGTAACATCCAATGTGCATCTTCGAGAGAATCCATGATGTATCAGTCTGCAACTTTCAATACCTCTATTCCTGCTGTGGTAGACCTTCTAGCCGAGACGGTCCGTAATCCAAAGATATCAGAAGAGGAGGTGTCTCAGCAACTGGAGACTGCCGAATATGAAATCAATGAGATCTGGTCAAAGCCGGAGCTTATCCTCCCCGAATTGATCAATGTGGCAGCTTATCGAGGCAATACGCTGGGCAATCCTCTGCTTTGCCCTCAGGAGCGGATACCGTTCATCAACAAGATGGTTGTTGAGAAGTATCGGAAAGCCTTCTATAAACCAGACCGCATCGTGCTAGCATTTGCTGGAGTGAAGCACGAAAAGGCCTTGCAACTGGCTGAGGAATATTTTGGTGACATGCCCCAACGAGAACCCGTGCTCTCGCAAGTTGGTTCAGAGACATCTTTTACGCCGGCTGCCTTCGCAAGCCAACCAGCTCAATCACCGCCCTCCCCTCCACAATTCCCCACTACGTACTCAACTCCATCACCCCCTGGTCAAGTCCCTCCTCAGCAGGTTTCAAGACTTGCCTCGCACATCCCGTTTTTCAAGAATCTCTCAACGTCAGCAGCACCACAAGCCTCGATATCTCCTGTCCAACCTTCATCAACAGACCAAAGCTCTCCACTTAGTTCACCATCACATTACACTGGTGGCTTTTTATCTCTACCAAAACTCCCTCCTCCTGTGAACCCTGCACTACCCGACCTCACCTACATTCATCTAGGCTTCGAAGCCCTTCCAATCTCATCAGACGACATCTACGCACTCGCAACCTTACAAACCCTCCTCGGTGGTGGTGGCTCTTTTAGCGCCGGCGGCCCTGGCAAGGGCATGTACTCCCGCCTCTACACAAACGTACTCAACCAGCACGGTTGGGTCGAATCGTGCATCTGCTTTAACAATTCTTACACCGACTCTGGCCTCTTTGGCATCAGTGCAAGCTGCGATCCCACACGAACGAAGCACATGATTGACGTGATGTGCCGTGAACTACATAATCTGACCCTAGATACTGGCTTCTCTGCTTTGCAAACTGCAGAGGTCAATCGAGCCAAGAACCAGCTCAGAAGCGCTCTCTTGATGAATCTCGAAAGCCGAATGGTTGAGCTTGAAGATCTTGGTCGGCAGGTCCAGGTGCACGGGAAGAAAGTCGGGGTCAAGGAGATGTGCGCTAAGATCGATGCTCTGACAGTGAAAGATCTTAGGAGGGTGGCGAGGATGGTTTTCGGAGGACTAGTCAACAATCCTGGTAGTGGTAGCGGGGCTCCCACCATTGTATTGCAGGAAGGTCATGCGGCGCCAGAAAAGCTGGTGAATTGGGAAATGATACAGGAAAAGATCGCAAAGTGGAACCTAGGAAGAAGGTAATATAGAATTGTCACGTTGGAAGTCATAACATACCCTGCTCGGATTCTACCTTTCAAGGCTTTCCTTCCTTTCTTACTCGCCTTGGGTTGAAAACACTCCTTTGTCATCTACGCGATTTCGCACCTTCCTCTTTAGTCAAGCATATCTTGCAGTAAGGCTGAGGACAGCGTTTCAACCGTCAAAGGGGCCTCACTCTTGCTCTGTTCAAGTATGGTTCAACCTTTGCACAGTCAAGGCTATTGGGAATGTGATGGTTCGACTACTCCTTGCTAATATTGATATCTCTTTTTTGAATGTGCAATGTGGTGTAAGCCCGCGTATCGACCACTGAGAGGTGACGATATCGTTTTTTTCAGCGGATTCACTTCCTAGCTGCATTATTAAAAATAGTCATTTAAATCCACCACATACACGCTTTATCGCACACACCTCTGCTTCTAGAAGCCCGAAAGCTACCGCTAGAATGACAGGCTATGCAGCCAACCAATCCAGATGCTGCGAGCTTCTGAGCTTCGAGCCTCCTTTCGCCAATGCGATCTATGCCAACGAGGTCCATCTTCTCTCCAGTGAAGCAAAATTCGCTTGTCTCGAAAATAGGTCTAGTCCCACTGACACCGACGTTACGGGCATCGAACTCAAGGACCGCCTGACATCTATCTCAGAGTCCATCGCTGAATGCTATGCTGTCCGATCCGAGGCGCTTGAGCATGCTCCCCTGAGGTTGATCAGCACATCAAACGATCAGAGGCAGCAGGAAGAGCAATCGTTCATTGCGTTGACTTATCGTTGGTCCAGTCCTGTAATGTTAGAGAAATCTGGACAGTACTCCCTGCCAATCACTCCCGAGATGTATGCAGCCGTTAAGGTAGAAGTCCAACGCGATGAGTTTGGAGATAAGCCGGTGGAGGGGCTCTGGATCGATCAGATCTGCATCGACCAGCGAGTTGAGGCCGAAAAGCAGGCTCTCATTGGCGTTATGGATCTTCTATACTCAAGCGCTAGGTTGGTTGTAGTTGTGCTCGACGGGGTGTATTTGGACGAGGCGGAAATTCAAAGTCTGCTGTCATATGGCGCGATCTGTGACGGGGACGGAAGCAGTATCAATACACCTTGTTCACGTCAATCGCCTGCTTACGCGTCCACAAACATGCATTTGTATACTGCTGTTGAGAAAATTGTTCGCAGTCCGCTCTTTTCAAGAGCTTGGTGCATCCAAGAGCTCGAGCTGAGCAAACGAAACATCTTCCTTGTAGGTGCTACTAAGAAAGAAAGAGGAGCTAGTTGCATCTTGAGGTTCAATGGCACATACTACAAGCATTTGCTTGTCCTGTATATAGAAGTCCCTCGATCGAGGGAGCCTTACAGGGTCCGAAGTGACTTTTTCAGAGCAGAGGCGACTGGCAACATTATCGAACATATGCATAGGCTTTTGGGGCAACGGGACCTTCGCGACTACCTTAACAGCCACCCAACGATTACAAAATTCAACTTCCCTCCAGCCTTCATCATCCAACCCGTGGGGGATATATTCTATTACAGCGAGGCAAGTGGTGATGGTTTGATCCAGGATCCTGTCGTGCGGCGCTTGGACGCTCTGAAAGACAAGCTTTCAATCGTGCTTAACATAGTAAAGAACGGTTTGGTACTCCTTCGGTCCAAGCTGCGAGAAGATACGTCAATAGACGACCCTGACGCGTGTTTTGAGGATACTTGCTTAGCTCACATTATGATAGTCGCTTTAGCATCAGGAGACCCAATTGCGCTTTGCACATCTGGTCCACGTCTGAGGCTTTCCGGAAGGAACAAACCATCTTCCTGGCTTTGCCGGCCGGACTCAAGAGATCACGGAAGTTTCGCACCAGAGCCGAGTCGAATAGACCCGAATCTGAAGTTCTCTGTTGATATAGGGCCTAATTGTGAATTCATCGATCTTGACTTAGCCTTCCCCTGCCAACCGGAGGACCGCCATAGAGCATCTGTGAATGACTTTCTGACTAGTGCTAGTCAGTTTCTGAGTCAATGTCTACATCAAGACATTGCGAGAGACGAGCTCTCTATCCTTCGAATTACTGACTTTGATAGCGATACTGCGTACGGGCTGACTAAGGAGCTCTTTAGCAATACTCTTGCTTGTATCTTGGAATGTGGCAGCTACTGGCTGTCAAAACTAGATGCTAGGATGTGCGGAGGCACGAATTCTGAGGCTATACTTCGCGCCCTAAATATGATTTCTGATCGAGTAGACGGTAGGTTTTGGTTTAAGGCACAATTGCTTGAGAACCCCGATGTTCAAGAGGCAGCCAAGAAAGTGTGGGGATTCGTGGCGTTTCTGATAACGCGTGGGCTTCCTGTCGCGGCTTCAGCTACAAGTGATACCTCTCTGGCCGAGTGGAGACCAATCTGGTTCTCTTTGCCGTCCGAAGATCGCGTATTGACATTTGCACCTACTGAAGACGTAGAACTGGCCATTCCGAAGGCGCTTTTGCCACACGCATATCGTGAATTGCGCCGGTGCTGGGTTGTACAGAGGAAAGATGACTCAACTTGTTTGAGCTTGCAACTTTTGGGGAAGAGCCGACTTACTGGGAGCGTAAATTTCCTTGAGAACGTAACATCTCTTTGGCCTGAAGAACGAGCGCGAGTCTTTCAATACTAAATGTGTGTACTTGCTTGGGGAAGGTGCCTGAGGCGGTATACAAGTGATGGCTGAGGCAAAAATGAGACACCTTGTAGATTGATGACATCAGGTCACCCTTGCCCTGAGTCTACGGATGTTGATGAGCAAGCTTGAACTAGATAGGGTATTCCCAGTATTCTTTTGCATCACTGTGTACGCAGAAGGGCTTTAGAGGAATAAGGACTGCGAGAGAAGGCATGGATATTCGTGATTGAGAGTATAAATTGTTCTTAGAAACCAGGTAGCGAAGCATTGACGCTTAGGCTACTGAACATATCTACCTGTTTGAGGAGCACAGCAAGTTTTCGTTGATAGTGTAACACGATAGATGCTGATCCACGTTACGCACCAGGCCATTAAGCATAGAACTCTTCGGAAATTCGAGTAGAACTCACCTCGATGACAATCGAGCGAAAGGATGTAGAAGCCTATAGGAATAGGGGAATTTGTTTCTTTCACTTAGTGCGAATATCATACCGGTCTAGTCTCAAAATAGCATTCTTCTGTAAAATTGTCTGAATCTTCTTAGACTTCCAAGCCTTTTATATATATCCTTCCTTGAGCGAAAATGGTCACTCTAGAGGAAGTCGATGATGAGGAGCTCAGACAAGAGCAGCCAGGCCCGATCGAAGACTCAGAAGATGATTATGTCGACACAGGTAGCTTCCCTCCCCATCTACCTCTCATCAATTGCAATTCTCAATTATACCTACAGATTCCTCAATCTCCGATGGCGAAGACGATGTCACCCCTTCAGAATCTATCTCAGACCGGTACATCCTCTATTTGCCTCACCGTTCCCTCAAGAATCTCTGAGACTGACCTGCACACTCAGCATCTCCGCCCTCAAAGACATGGTCTCCCCCTCCACGCGGCGCAAAGTTACCAGTACATGGGACCGCAGTTTCTCCGTCGCAAAGATCAGCGCATCATATACCGGGAAATTTGCGTGGGCATTGACGACAAGCGCACTGCTGGTTATGGTGCCCTTCGCGCTGGCGTTTCTCGAGGAGCAGCAGATCAATGAACAGGAGAAGGAGATGAAGGCACAGGAGGCGGCGAGGGAGGGAGTTACGCCCGGGCTGCAGGCTGGGGAGAAGACGGCGCCAGGGTTTTAATGGTTAAAAGATACCCTGAAGCGAGAAGGGGAGCGGAGACCTTGAAATATTGGATGGGGTATGACGAGGAGGGAGGACAAGAAGGTAGAAGTGGCTGTACATTATAAGGAACTCGACTCTGTGTCTTTTTGCAATGGAACAGAAGTTGGGGATGGTAGGTTATTATTATGATGCATATGTTGTGGAGTTGCACACTTTTGATTCATCAGGCTATGAATACCAATTGCTCACTATATCGCTGAGGGACGGGCATCTGAACCAGGATTGTCCAATTGTGCACGTTCATTTCATACTCACCGTAATTTCATAGCCCTCAATACGTTCCTTGAGATCGACCAGAAGGCTGGAGAGTGTCTCATTGCAGATCATCACCATCCAAATTAGTCGACAAATTGCAACATCTAATCGTGTCAATAATTCGTGAATCTTTCTGGCTAGAGTCATGTCAGAAACGGGCAGTGGATTGACATGTGACAATATTAACGCACCTTATCAGACCTCACAAAATCCAAGTTTTGCTTGAATTGTCGATAGAGATCCTTCATCTCGCCTTCTTCTACCATGCCGTCAACGATCTTGTTAGCCAATTTTTCTTTCTTCTTACGGTTCCAACTCTCTCGCGCAATAAGCTTTTCGGTGCTAGTATAGCCTTCACTGGAGAGCCATTGCAGGATGGTTTGGTTCAAAGCATGTCGCCAGTGGTACAGTGCGTGTGCAGTTGCAGCATTTGCTTTACAAAACCTGCCCAAGAAAAAGAACTTCTTGCGGTTCATCCTCGTCAGAACCGTCTCTCTCTTGAGTCTCATCCTCCGAGTCGTCATTCGAAACTTTCTCCAGGCTCTCCTTATCGTATTTGTGGCCTCTCAAAGTCACTTGGTACTTGGGCGGGTGACCAGAACGATTGCAAGCGTCGCAGTCGTGTTCGAGCATAGCCGGGATTTCTACCACAAAGATCTCTGGCCGGCTCGTAAGGGCATCTGCGAATTCTTGACCCCAAGCAGCTGACTTGTAAGTTGAGCCTGCGTGACCTTTGACCTCATCATCCAGTTTTCTGTGAGACATCTCGTAAATTTCGTCATGACGCTCAAAGGCTGGATCCAACTTGTTGTGTATCATCCATTCAACTTCGTACTTGAAGTACTCAATTGGCTTGAGATTTGCAAAACGAGTCAGATGCAATGGTACTCCACCCTTTGCTAGATTGACTCCAAGAGTCTCATCCTCACCCTCATCCTGTATGAAGTCTGCCTCGTACTCATCCAAGTCTTCGTTGTCGTAGTCAGGTTCGGTATCTCCAAGTAGAAAACTGTCATCCTTTGCCGAGTCATCCTCATTAATCTCTACAATGCCAGACCTGCGACGTTTCAGTTCTTCCAATTTGTTCAGTCGTTTATCTCGCGCTGAAGCTTGAGTTTTCCCACGTGTCCGAGTTCGGCGCGTTTCAGTGTCTTTCAGATCTGCAAGATCCGCCTCGAGTTCCAGTTCGTCAAAATTTTCGGTACGAGACTTAGCAAGCCGCTGTTTCCTCTTTGTATTGCTACTTGGTGATTTAATACTATCTGAAATGCTTGACTCTTGGCTTTCAACCTGAGTAGCTTGGGAGTGCTTGAGATCTTTCCTGGAGGTAGACTGCTCGCCTCTCTTTTGCTTCTCTGCTGTACCATTAACATGTTCAGATTGCTCGGATCCCGAGAAATCCCAACTAAGGTCCGGCTTATTAGGTGATGGCCTTGTATCGGGCTGTTTGGCGGTTGATCTTAAAGTCCTTTTTGGGGAGTCATTTACTAGATCATCCTCTTCAGAGCTACTAATAGAACTACCAATCGCGATTGGTTTTTGAATCTTGAAACGCGGCCTCTTGGACGAACCGAAACTACTACGGGGCTGCCCATGTGGTATCGCTGCTGTTCCACTTGAGCCCCCAAGGATAAAACTTCTAGCGCCGCGTGGCTTCACCGGACTTGCTCTATCACTCAATGGTGTTGAGGGCGTCCTAGAGACACATTTCTTGGTACGCCGTGAAGATGGTGTGATGGGCTCCGATGCATCACTTTCACTGCTTAGTAGGATAGTAGTTGGGCGCCTTTTCCCTGCACTTTTTGGTATAACGTCCTCGTCGTCACTTGGAATGATCGCTTGAACACCTTTATTGGCTTCTGATCTAGACCCGCGCTGAAGGAGCCCGTCTTCGATCTCGTTTCCGTCATCTAATTGTCTCTCATCGGCGACAACCTGAGACGAGGGCGCAGGAGTTGGTAGCTGAGTGGTTCTTTTTGCTGTAGAGTTGACCACTACTTTGAGCTGACTGTTTGAAGGTGATGATGTCAGAGGAGCAGCGCTCGAGGCAGGTGGAGAGTCAAGTCTTGTCTTTCTCTTCTTAGCTGGGCTAGAATTCGGATCGATCCTCACGAAGGCTTCTGATTTCTGCGCTGAGGATGCCGCGGGCTCGAAATTAAGTCTCGTCTGCCTTGGACGATTTGACCTTCGAGGCATCATTTTGAGGAGCTCGCAAAAGCTGCATATGTTGGTACATGCGTGACGGAGAAGCACTGAGGATGGGGACGCGAAGTGAGATGTATTTAGAATTCGCGTCATGCCAAGGCGGTCACACTACCTTAGAGGACAGCCCTAAATTGAGCTCGTGGTCACGTTACCCCGCCAAGCTCCGGGGCACTGAGGAGGTCAATCATAGCGGCCTTCCGGGGACGTCCAGGTTCCATATTCATTCTTACAGCACACGCACTTGCCCTGGAAACATGAGCTTGTTTGTAAAACAAACAATGTATTGTTGGTACCAAGAATTCACGACACGATGGGAGCAGACACCGAAATCCTGATGAACTCTGTTCTCTACGCCAGTACTTTCTCCACCTCGTCGATCAAGCCCTGCAGCTCACTGAATGCTCCTCTTGATTCTTTCACCATATCTCTAGCACCGACTTCCTTACAAAGACTGTCCAACTCACCTTCCCTAGGTGCCATATGTTTCAAAAGGCCAATGGCTAGCAACAAGCCTCGCAGGCTTTCTTTGCTTTCTCTCTCTCTTTCTTGAGCTTCAAGCAGACTAGCCATGAGTTCGAATTGCCCGTCTTCCGCGAGTAACTCGTTCTGATCATTCAGCCGCCGATCATGATTTACTGCTGCAAGATTGAATGCTAATGACGCGGCAGCCACGCGGACAGGCTGGTGTGATTTGTCGAGTAGAGCAGATGTGACCAAACGTAGAACCGGTTCCGAGTATCTTGCATCATTGAGAATTTTCGTCGTGAAAAATGGTGAGCTGAAAAGATTGCAGGTTAGGTGCACTGTAACGATCAAAAGCTGATATGGGCATTTGCTGTCAAGCTGATTGGTCTTTTGGAGGATCTTGAGGATGGTGTCATCAGAGTGCCGAGAGTAGTAACCGCTTACGCGAGGATCGATGATAGCAATCCGGAGTAGGTCAACTAAGGGAAAGAGTTTCTCAACAGGCAAGCGCTCCAGCAAGCTCACCAAATCGCTACTAAATGTGGCGAGATCGGGGAGAGTAGCTTCGGCGGCGCCGGCACTCTCTCGAATCGATATGAAGCTCTTCAGAGATTGAATCGTGGGAGTGTGACCGCATGATTCCAGCTTTATAATGAGCCTCTCCAGCGGCGGTACTTTGGTATATGTCACTAGTTGCTTATGGGGTCCTGACAGAGTTGGAACTCTTAGCAGAGTATGCGGATGAGCAGGATTGGCCATTTGGATCAATAAAGTGATATTGCCCCTAAGCTGGGCTTCATTGGCCCCAGCCCACTCATTCTCTTTTTCTCCTTTGAGAAATGTCCAGAAAGTAGGCGTCGCACGAATTTGATAGCGTTGCCCTATCTCATATGCATCATTGAGGTCAACCTTGATGAGCACTGCCTTGCCTTCTGCACTAGCAGCTAGCTCGTCGTATGCTGGATATACTACTTTGCATGGTGGACAAGTCGCGGAGGTGAAGAAAATCACAGCACATTTATCATTGGCTGAGTTGAGTAACTCGTCTAGTTTTTTAATCGTTGTAGGCTTGTAGACAATACCTGGTACGTTTCGCCGGTCAGTCTTTGTGTTAGAGTCTTTGGAAGCCATTCTGCCAGTTCCACCCGGTGGACCGCTAGTTTGCGGAGTCGGTGCCTGTGTGATCCCTCGCATGGCCTGATCGAGCTGCGGTCTTAGCATAGCACCAAAAGGCGTATCTAAGACCCTTTGCGCAAGAGAAGTTATATGTTGTGGTATCCCTCTACCAACAAGAAACATAGATAAGTCATTGGTGAAGTTGTTGCAATTGTGCAAGAAGAGGTCGTACGACTATAAGCGGTGGTCAATATAACGATCTTGTATACCCTCCCACCTATGCGTGACACCTACCTCTGTCGTATAGATTGACTTTAGTGAGTCAAGATACTCTACAATTACCTCGATAGGCAACTCTGTCTGTCCCATAGACACGTTCTCTATTGGCTGTCCATGATGAGTCGAGCCCGGAGCGGAAGTCTGAATACCGGCTCCAAAATAGTACTCTATTCCTCCAAAGACAAGAGATGTGTGGTAGACGGCATTGATTTGGGTTCCAAGGACAGCTGCAGAAAACTGTAGAGCCATTTAGTGCCAGTCAAGTCGAATCAATAAGAAGCCATACTTGTCGAGCGAGACCCTAGGATGAAAGTCAAATCCCAGCACCTAACAGATTATGCAATATTGGATGTCACCTTAGAGAGGTCGTAAACGTACAATTGCACGTCCATAGTGAGAGTCGAAGTAGCAGTCAGACCATCACGACACACTGTAGCCCCTCGCTTCTTTTATGGAATGAAAGATGAAATACGACAAACACGAAACGAAGGCTTGGGAGATGCTCTAGCTATAAGATGTGCCAAACTGTCAGCCTGTCGATAATTTCGCCACTGAACGCGTAGCTAGAGTTGCCTACGCCTTTGTCGCTCACCCCCTGGCTTCAAAGGGACGTAGGAGTGCACAGCGACGATTCACATAATGGAAACTTGTAAGTATTTCAAGCATACCATGATGTTGGATCGGCTAGGAAGAGAGATGCGTAGTCGTTCAGTGATGAGCGTCTCAAGGTGAGGAGCGAACTGAAGTGATCGATTTATTACCCTCACTCTCCACACTAATGTAATATTCCATCTCCAAAAAAGCCACAAATGAAGATGATTCACAGCATAGACTACAGGAAGAAACAACGCAGGTGCAAAATTAGTGCCTTAGGATTACGGATTATTCTCTGCCTACGCCTGTAACGGCCCCGACTCATGAATACTCTTTTCTATGTCTTTACTCGCCACATATTAGGCTTTTCAAACTAGGCTGAGCCATATTACAGTCATCATATATCTCTCTATTGCAATTGTGCCCTGATGCCCCATATCCAGTATCTCTGGTGCCTGTGTAAAACAACGACAAAGAAGCACTAGTATTCTCATGAGACTTGAGCAACTTTGCAAGTCCATCCCGAGTCTTGATTCAAAAGTGGAAGACTAGAAGCTTCGTCAGCAGTCTTCCACACGGTCAGGAAGGGTGAAAGAGCTCATACCTCGCACCCAGACACCAGCCCAACTCATTGCCTGCAATCTTCTTTGCAATCTTCACTTCACGCTGCAGATTCATATCGTATCCAGTATGAAGAAGCGCGACCATGAAGCTTAGATCTAAGCAGCCTTCTGGCCTGTCTCTTAGCTCGTCCATTGCTCCCTCAATGCCTTCGAAAGCCTTCCACGCGCCACTCTTCTCACCGCCGCACACTTTTGCTGCCAGATCCCTAAGCTCGCTAATTGTGAAGCTTTCTGGCATTCCTAGGGGTTGTGTACGATCGTAGAAGTAGCTAAAGACATAGACATCTTCTCTAGCGAATGTCTTCGACAGAGACGGTTGATGCACGCCATTGAATGAGCATGGAGCCAGGGAGCACGAAGCATCTTTCTGGAGAAGCTTTTCCGCCAGGCCTCGGCACTGAGCTGGCGACGCTTCGCGCGGACCGACCATGGTAGTCTGGTATGTTTCTTTGGTATCAAGAGTGACATTGATCTGTCTAGACATTCCAGGGATTACACAAGGATTTTCAATTGGAGACTCAACCCAAGAGTCGTCGTCTTTGTGAGTATCTTTGAGCGTCTGCACAACAAACTTATGAATACTTTCGCGTGCAGCCATAAGACCGTACCCAAGATGAGAGTGCTGGTACAGCTCGTGAGTCTGGGCACCGCTTTTGAAAACGTATTTGTGATCGCCCTCTTGTAACGTATCGGGCATCCCACCCCCGGCTATGGGAAACGTCGGTTCAAATACAATCTGAGTGCTTCCTCCACCAAGGTCGAAGACAGCAGCTGTAGGAGACTTGTCTGGACCCCCAATCTTGCCAAGTAGGTAATTTGTCGTGATCCAAGCATAGACACCTTCATCTTTCCCGTCCATTACTTCGACGCCACCATTCGCTGCAGAAACAACGGGGAAGGGGTATTTTGTTTCAAGACGAGACCTTACAGTGTTGAGTATCGTAGCACTTTTCTCTTCTCCTAATTTTCGCAGTCCAGCAGTCGCCTTCACGGCTATGGGAGTGCAGGACTTCACTTCATCCGCCACATGTTCCATCGCTACATTCACAAGTATGTCGAGGCTTTTGGCGGCTTCTTCAGGGTCGAGCGCATATGAGGAGAGTCCCGAACCGCCTTCTTTCTTCTCTGTCATCTTGAACTTCTCTCCTTCTAATTCTGGAGTCGCTCCACAATTATTAAAGCGGTAGACATGTATCCTGGAACCCGTGCTACCCGCATCTATCATTAAAGCATATTGTATTAGAGGCTTCCCTTTTACGGCGGACTTCGAGCACTTCGTCGTCCTCAGCGAATTGAAGGCAACTTCTTCAGTCGATGCGTTTGACGAAGGTGTTTTATCGGCAAGTTTCGGACCTGCGAAAGGCGCTGATGAGTCTCATGCCCGTTCAACAGGGTGGACGAAGGAATCCGTACCTTTGACTAGATCCCGAACGCCAGCGCTATCATTAGATGTAACTATATAGTAAAAGAAGAAAATGACTGCTAATACTACGCCAACTCTTAAAATCTTGGATCTTTGACCGAATGCCATGGATGTAACATTTGACGTGCTCCGTGATCGACCGTCACCCCAAATCTCTCGCCTCAAGGCTTCGTCTTTATCTTCTTGCGAGTGCCCGTTGGGCTTGGGCAGTGAGACCGAGCGGCGACGCTGTGAACCAAAACTGATGTAAGACCATATGTTGGGGCGACGACGGGACTCAGTCGCCGTGGACATGGGAAATGAGAGAAAATTAGATTAGTTGGAAATGTTTCGTCGACTCATCGAATGTACTGCAACAAATGAATGGGCAAGCTTGCTGGAATAAGGAGTTTGAAGCAAATTTTGGGCTCTCCTATTCCACTCGATAAGATAGGGATGGAAATTAAGGTTATCGTGAGCTTGGACGCATATCGTTAGCTCCGTGGACCTAAGAATGTCACGAATTTCTAATACACAAATGACGTAGTAGCAGTAATGAAGCACTTCGATGATGTGAATGACTGCTACAAGCCAATTCTAAGCAAGTAAAGCCGATATTACAATCTATCATATAGGGCAATAGCCTCTTGTACTGATTGTTCGCCGTTTGCGAGGTAGTATTGGTTCTCATAATACTTAACAAAGTATCAAATTCGGAAACGAAAATGTCGGCATTCAATGTTGGAGAGCTTTTCAAAGTCCAGGGTCTCGTAGCTCTGATCACGGGTGGAGGATCTGGGATAGGACTTATGATGACCAAGGCATTGGCATTGAATGGAGCCCATAAAGTGTACATCGTGGGTCGACGAAAGGAAGCCCTTGAAGCAGCAGCAAAGGAGTCTCCTCATGGTAACATCATTCCTATTGCTGGAGATGTCTCGTCGAAGCAGGATCTCCAAGCAGTCGCGGATCAAGTCAAGTCCGAAGTGGGCTATTTGAACCTGTTGATTGCCAATAGCGGCATTGGCGGTCCACAAACAAAATTACTCAAGGACATCAAGTCCATTGATGAGCTTCAATCTGAAATCTGGAACCTTGATTCTCAGAGCTTTACTAACACATTCAATGTCAACGTCACCGCTGCCTTTTTCACAATTGCTGCTTTCCTCAACCTTCTTGATGCAGGCAACAAGAAAGGAAATGTAGAGCAGAAAAGTCAGATAATCACGACCAGCAGTATAGGAGGCTTTAACCGACAACCTCCCGGTGGGTTTGCCTATGGTCTTAGCAAGGCCGCTGCGACGCATTTGGCCAAACAACTCGCTTCTGTCTTGATTCCATACGACATTCGATCAAACGTCCTCACTCCTGGCTGTAAGTTGTTGCCAACCCAGAATCGACATCTCCTCTTTGCTGACGAGAAACAGTATATCCATCTGACTTGGCGGCTGGATTGATCGGTGAAGGACCAATTCCGCGAGAGAAGGTCCCGCTTCAAAGAGTTGGTACGGATGAGGACATGGCTGGCGCCATTTTGTATCTGACAAGTCGAGCCGGAGCATATTGCAACGGCAATGTTGTCGTCACTGATGGTGGGCGGTTGGCACAAGTCCCGAGCGTGTATTAGGAGCAGAATTCTCGTAAATGACCATGGAAGTGACCAGAGCTTTCCTTGTGCCGGGTATTAGCCCAACACAATGTAGTTGAACTCTGAAGGATTCCAATTGTTCGTCGCTCTCAGATCCATTGGACAAGCACTCATGATCACAATTGAGTCCATGAGCATTTTCAGGCAAACGTACTGGCCAGCCTCACTTACAGGCGCCCCAAAAGTCAGTTGCCCGTCACTCTCAATTTTGACATTCATGAACAAATTCAAAGGAGCAGGCGGCGTTCTGTCCATTATCTGGCTGCTGACAGACCCGTACTGCTGCAAGGCAATTTTGTAATTGTCAGTGCAGCTTGGATGTGGCCCTTCAGCACCCAGCAACTTGTATCTTCCTGCATCACATGGTGAGATCAGGGTATCGTGGACACCAGCACTGGTATCCTCCGTAAGAATCATCATCGGCCTGGACAGATTACTGTACATGGTGTCGTTTACGCGTGGGGTGACTCTGCATAAAGCGCCATGCGTATGAGCCATGGAAAGGCTCTCTTCTGGGTTTGCATCATTGAGCGTCCAGAAATCCACTACCTGCGTTCCTTTGGTATTGATGATCTTGATTGTATGGCCCTGTGCAACGCGTACTGCTGCACCGCTTCTCGCCGATACTTGTCGAAGTGGGATTGCAGGCATGTTTTGAATGTTGACCTAATTAAAGACAAAGCAGACTTAAACGTGTAGAGATTCTTGAATGTCAAATGCTTATGTTTAACTCACTGCCGCACCTTTTTACTGGTTGCAATTTTCACTTGCTTGGGTTTCGCCTGCCGCCTTGAGCCCCTCATCTTCCTATCCCCGCCGCCTTGAGCCGTCATTTATCCTGCTAATGACCGACTCAGGGTTGTCATATGAGCCGATGAGACGAAACAACTGCCCTGACGGCTAGAACGAAGGCAACAATTCGATTACCTCCCAGTGAAGCAGTCGTCATCCAATGACGTGGAACCAGAGCTCGTCTTACTCAGAGCTAAGCTTAGTTCAGACATCCTTCTATAATTCGAATTGATGATGAAGCGCCCCTCAATACACAATGTCCAACCCTTACCAATCCGATAACGACGCCCTCCACTTCCTCTCCACGCAAGGCTGGCTTCCACTTATCCTCGGCGACCACCCGAGCTTCGTGGAAGCTTACACCAACCTCCTTGCAGCCTCCGCAACTTTCTTCGCTCTCGATGAATCCTCTCCCCAGAAAACAACTTATCGGGCAGTAACCGGCGCCCTAGCAAGCGAGGAAGGCTATTCCAAGATCCCGGCCGAGAAATTAATCCTCACCATCAAAACCTCCTCACACTGTCCCTCCCCACTCCTGTCTCGCGTTCAAGAAGCATGGAGCCTAACAGGAGCTTTCATGTCCCAGCTTTGCACCGAGATCGCAGAGTCTCTCCAACTCAGCCCTAATGTCTTCGCTCCCCTCATCGACCCATGCATAACCCTGCCCGCTGGCGAGCGAACGCCGACTTTGCTAAGGATGTTCCGCTACGATCGCCCGTCAGGTCCCGACTGGAAAGTCAATGCTGAGAAGCACAGGGATCTCGGTTTGTTGTCGCTGGTCGTGGGGCACTCGCCCGGGCTTCACGTGCTGAACTCCAGCACGGGCTTGTGGGTGCCCATAGAAGAGGATGATGTGCTCCCGCCTGACGCACGGATACGGTCGGGAGGTCTCACTGCAACGCTGCTTGTGGGTGAGACGCTGGCGTTTCTGAGTAGAGGGAAGTTCAAGGCGGGTGTGCATGGGGTGGTTTGTGCGCCGCTGCCATCTGAGGGCGGGGAGATGGGCGGTGGTGCGATCAAGGTTGAAAGCGAACAATATCGGTACAGCATTGTTTTCACACTTAGGCCGGCTATTGCGCCTTTGTGGACGAAAGACTTTGAGAGCGAGATTACGGGATGGTTTCCAGAGGGAATGAGGAGCGAAGGTACAAGCTCAGATGAGCTGTTCACGAGCATAAGGGAAGCGCATTATAATGTGAACGTGGCGCCAGAGGTGAGGGAGAAGCAGAGACTTGCGCAGGTGAGGCAGCAGCAGAAGGGGATGGGAAAACGTGCTCAAGGACAAGGGTGATGTTGGGGCTAGTGGTCTCGTTCAAACATTGAAACAATTTTCGGCCGTCAGAACGCTGTGCGAAATTGCATGCTCTATAATTCTGGATATTCTATGGGACGAGATATCCGCAACAGTAGCTGAGGCGTCGAAGCGAAGCATGCTTTCCTCGGGTCATACAGACGATCCCGTGCAATAATTCTGCCAGTATCTTTCGCGCCTCCCACCACCATGGGCGGTTAGAAAGCCCTATCGGTGCTCTGCTCGGGTTGTTCATCATCCGGCGAAGTGATTTCCCCTCGCATCTTCTTCTTGTTGTACGCATCGAGGGACTGCTTAGCAAGCTCTTCATCGAAGTCATCGTGCTCTCTATGTTTCTTGTAATAGCAGAACCTCTCATTCTTCAGCAGCTCGCGGATGTTGTCTGGTGCTTGGGATTCTATTACTTCTCTTATCCCTCGGATGGTCTTCTCCTCCGACCCCTTCCTCGTCCAAATCATGATCATGCTCGCCTTCCACCTCTTCGTGAACGAGATGCCGCACAGGTCATCTCTCGGCTGGATCACGTCTGCAAAATCCTCTCCCACGGCAGCGAGCAGTACTTGCTGGAAAAATTGCAGTGCGTATGGTAATCCCTCTTCCTTTGCGGGCGACACCTCATCTGGCACCTTGAAGTACCAGGCCCCGCCATCTTGGTTGCGAGCATCCTCCCAAGTGGGAGAAACAGTGTGTTTAAAGAAATGGACCGCATCTTTCATGTGAAGATTGTTGAAAGGAAAGTTATTGTAGTACTGCATGAACGTCATCCAGTTGTCAATGGGGGTCTCGTTGTACTGGGTGAGACGCTTCGAGTAATCGGAGGCGGTAGAATGCCTGTCGTGATAGAAGTCCCAGAGGTAGCGGGTAGGGTATTGGTGCTGTAGACGGTTTTGAATGGCCTTGAAGAGGACTTCCTTACGGCCTTCCTTTGACTTTGAAGATTCGATGGACTCCGGAATCGTGGTGGAAGAGCCATTCAAGGCGAAGGAGGGGTTGACTTCCATAGCTGGAGTTGAATGTCAATGTCAAAGCCAGCCAATATGTTGACAAGAGTTTTGAATCGAGCAGATAGATGAGCAGTATTGGAACAACGAAGAGATCAAAGGAGGCATGTTGCCATTACTTATACACTCCGAATGGCAAGGCTATCCTTGAACGACCTGACGGGACTCCTGTCTCGTCTGGGATCTTGGGAGCAGATCTTGACTTTCCGACATGGCGAAGTGGCTGTGCTTGTCGTGCAGATACTGATTGCACGCGAGTGACCAATAGCCAGCGTGAATTGTCCGCCTTTGTGACCGTGCCTGAAACACGAGAAGCATGCACGTCCGAGAACAGCCAGAAGCTAACAATGCGGCCAATCCTGAGGAGAAGAGAGAAGGCTGCTAATTGAAGGAGATAAGCATGCAACGCCCTTATTGCCGACGCGTTCCAGGGCGCGTCGCCCCGAGATCCCCGCTAATTTCTGAATTCTGAATGACAGTTGGAAAACTCCAACTTGATGCGGAGTAATTGACCAGCGCATTGACATTGAGAACAAGGTGAGAATGGGCGATCAAGAAGCGGACTTGAACAAGCTCTTCGTGCGAGCACCAGCGACCTCCCTGGCCCCCGAGGTTCTGGGTGAATTGCAATCAATCCTCCGCCTGCATGCCCTCGACCCCCAAGAGCTATCCTACAAATGGGAGGAATATACGATGAAAATGGGTCCGGACTCCACAGTCTTGCATCTTGAGACTGTGCGGCTCTTCAAAAAGATTTGCATGAGGCGCTGGAGAGAGAGTCAAGGGCGAAATCAGGACGGAGTCTGAACAGGAAAGCTTTCGCGACTCCAAGAGGTGGGGTGGTTGGAGATGATGTGTTCGGGAAGTTGGAGGGTATGACGCCAAACACGCCTTCGCAAAATCGATCAATATCAGGTTCAGTTAAGAGAAAAGCCGCGAATGAGACACCCTCCGTCCCAAAGTTCAGCAAAACGGGAGGGAAGAGGTCGCCGACTGAGGGACGAGCAAACGGAACCCGCCTTCCTCCCAGTGCGCCCTTCGCAGAGCGACAAAATGCTGGCCAGATAACGGAAACCTTGAATGTTCAGCTTCCCGCCTTTGAGCCTCCAGTAGCACCGCCCGCGGAGCCTCGCGTCAAACTGACAGCCAACACCGACCTGAGGAAGTTCTACTATAAGCCTTTGGCCATGCACCTCTCTGAAGCGTCAGAAGTTCTGGATGATCGAATTGATGAGTTCCAATCGCTCGTACAGACTGCTCATGGCCTCGAGGATGCATCATTTGGCAGTGCCGCTTCTCAGTCCACTAATGAGATCATTGCAGTGGGTAGAATTACTTGTGATACTCCAGAGGGGAAGCTCAACGCTGCTTCAATCATGCTAGAGTCATCAAGAAGGAGTGGCGCTGGCTTGCGAGTGCTCTTGCACGTAGACTCAATCTCTCATGAATTCTTCCCCGGGCAAATAGTGGCATTGAGAGGAATTAATGCTTCTGGATCGTATTTCTCAGTCAACGAGGTTTTGGAATTGCCCCTACCACCCCAGGCAGCCACTGCTGTGTCCACATTCGAAGTGAATAATGAGCGCTTAGGAGTGGTCCATGGTAACGAAGACACAGCTGGTCAAGCGCTCAGTATCATGGTAGCCTCCGGACCCTATACTGCTGACGATAACCTTGCTTTTGAGCCTCTCACTGCTTTGTGCGAAAGAGCCGCAGAGACATACGCTGACGTGTTGATTATAATTGGACCCATTCTCGATATCGAGCATCCCTTACTAGCTTCTGGAGATTTCGATATCCCGGCCGACCCAAGCCTCGAGCCTGATCAAATCACTTTTGAAGATATTTTCAGAGTTTTGGTTGGGAATCAGCTGAAACGACTGGCTCAGCAAGTCCCTAGCATGACCATTGTAATGGTGCCTTCAGTGCGAGACGCCGTCAACAAGCATGTCTCATGGCCCCAGGAACCGTTCACCAAGCAGCCTTTAGGACTACCTAAACAGGTTAGGATGGTCACAAACCCCGTCGTAATATCATTGAATGAAATTGTTGTTGGTATCTCAGCTTCGGACGTCCTGTCTGATCTTCGCAACGAGGAAGTGATTGTTGGAAAACCTAAGGACTCATCCCTCTTGTCAAGGCTGCCAAAACATCTCATACGGCAAAGACATTTTTATCCAATTTTTCCGCCTTCCGATAGGTCAATGCTACCCAAGGCGGAGACACAGGAGAGCCTCGCTACCGGAATGCCGTTAGACACAAGTTACCTCAAGCTTGGGGAATGGTTAAGCGTGATGCCCGATCTCTTGATTACTCCAAGCTCGCTCCCTCCTTTTGGAAAGGTAAGCAATCGGTCCTTTTGTTGAACAATCTGATGTTGATGATGACCTAGGTGGTAGAGGGTGTGGTTGTGATAAATCCAGGGACTGTATCCAAGCGAAGAGGCCCTGGGACCTACACGCAACTAACGGTTCACCCAAGGAAGCTCACACGCGAAGAGCTCGATAGTTCTGACGTAGTAGGTCATCGTTTATTCGTCAGAACAAGAGTAGATGTTGTCAGAATATGAAAGCTTCTCGAATAATCCGCTCTTGACTGAATCGGATCTGCCGCTACAACAGCCCACATTCCGCTTCGTCCTACAAAGCCTACCTGGCAAAGATTTCCTAAAAAGTGGAACAGCGTTACCTAGGCAACTTCGAACCCATTCCAACACCCATCTTTTCGGCCTTGGGTTTCTGACCTCCCTTCGGTCCACCGTCTACAAGCGCTTCGAGGCCGAGGTCCTTCCATGTTGCCTCCTTTTTGGCTTGCGTTGCACGAGTAATACCGAACGCGGCGTGCTGATCTGGAACTACATCGTCTTCATCCTCTGGATTAAGTGGTTGATGTTGGGGTGGAACATAGATTGGCTCTTGGGGCAGGTGAGGAGGCCGATTGAATTCCTGAAACGAAGAATGATGCGTCAGATTTACCGAGTTTCGATGATCAACATTGCCTGAAAATTCAAGATGCTAGTGCATTCCCTGACTGGGTCTGCGAGGTGAAAGAAGCGGTAGCTTACTTCGAAAAGGTCGGCATGGTGGGGCTTGAGGAAATGAACGTAGTTGTACGATGAATCCCTAGCCTAGATTAATGTCAATCGATCCGTTGTAAGGGTGAAGCGAAGTCTCGGTCTCCTACCATATTGTAAATGCTGTGATAAGATGTGACCGTTTACGAGGAGTAGGTTAGAGGAAAAGCACGTGGTAAATAGGATCTGTGTTTAGTACCCCAGCTTTCGCTACGGCCGGCGATGACATCAGAAGCGCAAGAAATCATATAGACTTCCTGCGGCTCCGCGGTCGAAGGTCTCCACAGAACATACAAATGGTGAGCGCACTTGATTCTAAGACTTACGTTCCCAAGCTGAACCAGGTGTAGCCTCCCAAACGTCGCGGTGGTGGTGCGACTCAAACTCTCAAAGAGAAAACACCTCGCCAGTCCGCACTCGCAAAAGAAAACGGCATAACAGCCGCCACCGAAGCCGAAATCAAAGAATCCTTCTCCATCTTCAGCACCTCCAAAGGCTCTCTCCCCTCGTCCTCATTTCGCCGTGCCCTTGCCGCTCTCAACATCCCTCCCAAATCTGCTGCCGAGTACGAGGAGCTATTATCGGCTGCCGACCCAGAAGACGAGGGCACAATCACGTACGCGAATTTCGTGGCCATCGCCGCGTTGAAGTTGAATGCACGGGGAGACGATGATGAGAGGGCAGAAGTGAGCGAGGCCTTCGATTTGTTTTTGAAAATGGGCGGAGGTGGGGAAGGCAGAGGGAAAGGGCGAGAGGGCGACGAAAGAATAACAATGGGCATGTTGAAGAACATTGCAGGATTGTTGAAGGAGGACGTTAGTGATGATCTGCTACGGAACATGATGATGGAGGCCAATGGGGGCGGTGGGGTGGGGGAGGGGGTTGATATTGGCGAATTTGAGGGAGTTATGAGACGAGGTAGGTGCGCTTTCTCCTAGCAGAGTCATCTTCAGCTAACCGGGAGTCCGAAAAAGCGGGCGTGTTCCGATGAGCACCCAAACGGCGGCTTGCACTGCCTTGACACCAGTTGACACACGGCAAAGCAGATGACAGGGTGCCTGAATAGTCGCTATGAGCCACAAATTTCCAGAGTACACTCAATGCTATCAAGGTCACTTGCGCAGCTCCGTTTACGACTCTTCGGATCAAAATCATGACAGCCATGTCGGATTCATGGCACATTGACGAAGACAGCGTGCTTTAGCCTACCTGGTTTCACTCGTCCAGCGAAATGACGCCCGAGATCAACACAAGAGCACTTGGAGCTCAAGCGGGCAATACTCTGGACGTTTGCCAATACTGTTGAACGGCTGGTAAGAAACATTCGCTGATATCGAACAGCAACGGACGTAACTTACACTAGCGTTCACGGTCAGATAGCCTTTATGCAACGGCCCGCTGCATTAGCCTACCTACTGCCATTGGCGTGCGATCGTAAGATTGGTATAAAGCTGTATTCTCTCTGTGCCTCTCATTGCAAGAGCGTTGAAGCGGATTGCCCGGTAGCTCGACGCCCTCGAGCTCAGGTCAATATTCTGACGCAACGAGCTCTATCCACGCTCAAACGTCATGAGTCTCCAAGATCCGTCACTTCCCCCATCCTCTAGCACTGTGATGGAGGAAAAAAAGACTGCAGACACTGGCAGTACTGCAGTGGACGACAACGTCGGCTACCCGATATCCCACGTCAAATCACACGAGCCGACGTCCAGCGATACTGTAGACGGCTCGAAAGACCCAGCGAAAACACCCTTTATTGGACCTACTCCCAAGTCAAAGCCAGCTCCAACTCCTTCCCTTACACCCGATCAGTACGTCAAGTATGAGTCGCTTCTCTCAATGGCAACTTCATGGACAGAAGTGGCGAAGACTTCTGCTTCTCGACCTTCGAAATCTCCTATCAAAGATTCAGAGCGAATGTGGCTTACGAGGGAGTGTCTCCTTCGCTATCTACGCGCTTCGAAATGGGTGATCAACACTGCTGCTAAGCGCTTGCAAGCTACCCTGACATGGAGGAGAGAATGGGGTTTGGAGGAGCACACAGCAGACTATATCTCGGAAGAGAATGAGACGGGCAAACAGGTCATTACAGGATTCGACAATGAAGGTCGTCCATGTCTATACCTGAACCCTCATCGACAGAACACTAAGGATGAGAAGAAGCAAATGCATCATCTTGTCTTCATGCTCGAACGCTGTATCGACCTGATGCCATCTGGTCAAGAATCTCTTGCCCTTTTTGTGAATTACAGCGAGTGTAGGCAAGGTCAGAACGGCAGTTTTTCGCAAGCCAAACAGACAGTTTCGATTCTTCAGAATCACTATCCCGAAAGATTAGGTATCGCTTTGGTCCAGGAATTGCCGTTCTACATTCAAGTGTTCTTTAAGGCACTCAAGTGGTTCATTGATCCAGTGACGTATGCCAAACTACATTTCAACGAAGATTGGACAAAGTATATTCCACCGGAGCAGTTGATACGGGGGTATGGCGGTGTGGTGAACTTTGAGTACGAGCATCAGACATACTGGCCCAGCTTTATCAATCTAGCTAATTCCAGGAGGGAGCGGATGGTGAAGGTGTGGGAAGAGAGAGGCAAGAAGGTAGGAGAGTCAGAGATTCACCTTCGAAGTGGAGAGATCGAGAAAAGCGATCAGGATACGAGCCTAGAGGCTTCAGACGAAAAGAAAGTGGGAAAGGGCATGGGTGAAGCTGACGTTGCTGCTACGTAGCGTCTTTGCTTAGCCAGTTTGAACAAGGCATATCTTCAACTGATGTCAACCATCGTTTCGATGCAGTGATTGTAGGATTTTAGAGCTTCAACTGACATAGAATAGACCAAATAATATGAACAGCATGTCAGGAGCAACTCAAAGCCTTCTTCACAGGTGTGCAGCGGGCACGGATCATGACTCGAAACGAGTAATTTGAAGCGCTTGAGCAAGACATAATAAGGAATTTGCACTGGTCGTCTTCCCCAAGTGCCCACTTCAGCTTGATTGGTTTATAGAGCTTACAGGGTTGTCCCGAGAAAGATCCAATCACTGGTGATGCCATAACGACGTATCCTCTACGAAAGTAGAGAGTCAGATGCTGAAAAACTTGTTGGTTTACGTTAGCCCTCATGAGAAATGGAAAGACAATCTTTTGAAGCATTTCTGATCCTCACTCGCGATACAGGTATCACTTGTACTAATCAACGTCTTTGCAATTGAATTGGGAGAAGATTCTTCGAAAGCACTACCAGGTATCTAATAGTCTTTTATAGCAAGAAGTAAATATATGGCACAATTATGTTGTGAGAGTAATTTTCAGGGGTGATCATGAGCAATGGTCATTACACAGGCTGCTGAGACCTTTCCTTGCTCCTAGTTGGACCTGCGACAAATCATCAGGACCGCCAGAGACAAAAAAGAAGACTTGCTAAGGTCAAGATACCAGTCGTAGAGAAAGAAGGGTCACAAAGAAGATCTCCTCGAGGTAGTACAGACAGATGCAGACATTCAGTATCTGAGGAAAGACTGCATGGACATCTGTTCAACATTGGCCAGTCTTTCACACATTTGCAAGATAAGAAAAACACTATCAAGTCGTTACCAGACTAAGTGACAGTTGTAAAAATGGACTCATAAGGGCGCAAGCAAGACTAGCGTCGTCTAGACGCTCAAAGATCAATCGCATTTTGCTTTATTTTTCTGGAGAGCCGAGAAAGAGCTTCCTCCGCAAGAATATGCTTGCACTTGTGGATGCTGTGACATCTATGTCGTGAGCACTTCTTGATCGGTCAACAGCCTTATTGCTTCGCGTCTTGTGACTCATAGTATTTTCCATTTGAAGCAACATTTGCGGCAGCGAGAGGCATACGCAATTCGCTCTAGTTTTTTTGGGAATCACAGAGGAGGGTCGCAAGAATTGAGCCATGACCTCGTACACTGATCACGCCATTTCGTCCATTGCTTCCACCGGCCACAAATACAGACCGGTGTCCTTGTCTTGTGCAACTCATCCAAGGGGCGGTGAACTCGGAGACTTTTCTGCTTGGGTAAGGACTCTATCACGATGAACAAGGATTTAGACGACCAGTAGGCCAGTCAAAGCTGCATAGGATGCGGACATGATAGTCTCGGTGCCTCTACTAGCAGAAGCAAGCACACACATGCACGGGGATTTTGGTGCTATGCTTCTTACCGGATAAGTCTGATCGGCTTAATGCGCAGCTTTCACTTGGCGTGCTCTCGGCAAATCCCTCGGATTGCGCCAATAACATTTCCTCGTTCCTGCGCAGACAATTGCGTGAGTGCGATCAGTTTTTCATGATCTGGTTTTGTTTCTAGCCCTCATTATTGGAGCGGACAGATTCTGTGCCACACAGTCCTTAGCCGCAGGCCACAAAAGGCAATTAGCTGTGCAGTTACCGCCATCTGCTCAACCACGCCAGCCTCTCCCTCACTTCTTTTCTCCTACAGCCGCCGCCGCAGCGTCTGTGACTTTCTGCTTTGCATCCTGAATTGCAGAACTAGACAATTCTCCCACATCTTTACCTTCTGTTCCTACAGTGCAACGTCAGCTGGCGCACTTCCTAAACTCCGATGCCGGCCCTCATTGAGTCATTGCTACTCCTGCGCGCTCAAAGTCACATGAGAGCGATGATGGCGCCATGGCTTCCCAAAACCAAAAGCGAATTACGTACCCTCAGCATTACCCTGGTCATAAGGCTGTTCGGCAGTGCCTTGTCCTTTCTCTCCTGAAATTGGTTCCTCGCCTGATTGCAATTTGCTGTCGACCTTAGTAGCAGATTTGAGTGCATCCATGTTCGATTTCAAGTTTTTCAGCAACACTTGCTGGCCTGGAGAGCAAAGCGCTCCAGAAAGCCCGCTTCTCACGGAAGAGATGGGCAGTAATATCTTATTATTGAGCGGCCTGACTTCAGGAAGCGGAGATGATCACAACAATCTAGGTGACAGCTCGGCTTCGGCTATGATTGGGTTCTTGCGAAATGTTGACCCACGGCTCCTGACTGTTGCTGTCTCCGCTGGCGACGACAAAATCTTGCGAGATTCCTTAGGTCTCGAGTTCTTTAGCTGCCGTGAGTAACCAGGTAGATCAACTTATGGAAATGTCCAACGAAATATCAGCCTGACTGCAGGTTGTTGCGCTGTTCATGCAAAGTAGAAGGATGTGCAGCTCGATTCTTTCTTCGCCTTGATAGCCAATCTGGGTCGAATTGACGTGGGTGACGTTGTTTCGTGACCGCTGCGACCACAGGGCTAGCGGGAGCGCTAAATTAGCTCCTTGGCTCGCAAGAGGACCCAAATGCGTATAGCTCCCACCTCGCTCACAATCTCCCAACATAAGGCATAAGGGCAGTTAAGGAGCACTAAGGAGTAAGGACCCGTCAACTGAACGCCTACGCTCGCGAGGTTGGTGAGTCTGAGGTTAGCCACCCTAAGCCAGGCCGAGTGCTTGACCCAGACTCCATATACGCGCGTAAGCGTGGTCCTTGCAACCTTGTCCTGGCAGGATGGCCAGGTTCCTTCTCGGCCAACGATGCGATTGGTGTCGTTCCATTCTTCTAAGCCAGATCTTATACAGCTACCGAAGACCGCATATATGAGAGCAGTGAACCACCATGAAAATGCCAGACGGACTCCATTGACACCCTCATTATCCTCACCCACAACGCCTAAAGCTAGATCCTTTTGCGATCTTTGGCTCTTCTCGGACGAGCTCATGTCATCTGAATTGAAAGACTACATCGATTACATCAACCAAGAGCTACAGGAGACCTCGTCTCAGCTCTCAGCGAGCGACAATGAGAGTGCTGGTGGTCGGTGCAGCAGGTCTATTGATCCTACAAGTCTGTGCGAAGACAGGTTTGACCATTCATATAGGCAGAGTAGGGTCAGCAGCTCTAGCAGCATGCCTTGCCCAGCGCCACGTCGTTACAGCCTTCGTTCGCAGCCCCGCAAAGCTTCCACTTGAACTACGACATCATCCTCGCCTACGTATCATCAAAGGAGATGCCACCTCTCACTCTTCTCTGATCGAGGCCATACATGACCAGGACGCCATTGTTCAGGCCGCTATATTCAGCCTTACACCTCCATTCGCGAGGACGGACGGAGAGCGTGTCATCCGCTGTCTGGTGAGAGCCATTCAAGAGGTCCAGGCTACGAGACGATACAGCTACCCGCCAATCCGGTTGTGGGTCATAAGTGGACATGTCTTATTTGATCTGCCCAGTGGGAAGTCAAGGATTGAGAGCGACGTTATACCCATACATCCTCAGCACTATCGAAACTACGCCTTCCTTCAACAAGACGCAAGCGATGTAGACTGGAGTATGTTATGCCCAGGGAAGTTGGACCGTGGAGATGTCCGAGTCTTGCTTTACATGTGCCGGTAGCTGGTCTTATCTGCACATGTCCTATTCTCGTCCACTGGACGACGTTTTATCCAGCAACCAATTCAGCTGCCCTCTAGTTGTCTGACGATAAAGAGCAGTCGCAAGGCTTTAGGGTGATAGTCTGATATGCCATAGCGCTGCAAAACATCACTCTGCCGAGTAAGGTTGGCAGAGAGATCTACGGAGGAGATGAACAACCCGCTCTCGGAGAGATTTGAGCATAAAGGTTGAGGCATGTGAGCTGAAACCTCGAAATCTTAGCCTCTGAATGCGACGTGGATATCTTCCCATCCAGAGCAGCCTCTGGATGTTGGAATGCCTAGTGATGTGCGGAATTAATCATAGACAGACTTTCATCTCGAAGCCGTAATTTTCATGCTCTCCCTCTCCCTGTACCCTGTACTCGGCGGACCGACAGATCAGGCAGTCACATTTAGGACACACGATTGGCTTTTCTTGACAGTCTCATCATACGCCCGGCGCCATTTGTGCCTTAGTCCTAGCGCTGCAACCGCTCAGCCTTGATCTGCACGCTACAGAATTCCCCACAACCCCTGGTCTCGTCCCTGGTCTCGCAAGTGTGATTTCTTGCGAGAGCCTATGAGGTATAAGCTTAGCCTTGATGACTATAGAGTCGCGAGAGATTACGATGAGTCATTATATCTAATAGACTGGATCCGAGATGAACCGATACCCTGCGAAAAAGGCTCAGAAGCCGGCGGCGGTTCATCATTCAATCGCAAGCAATCCCCTGAGTGGCAATTCATGCCCCTATGCCTCGTATGACGCCCTCAATCAAGCGAATGAAATTACCTTCAGCTGAAGGTGCTATTCCTAGGCTGTGACCTTGATGTGCCTTTGTGCCTCTCCATCAACAATTAGGACTGGACTACGTTCTGTGCTATTGTATGCGATCCAGCCGTTCTACTTTTGTCCTATCAGGTTAAAATGGGTTTCTCAGCTAATCCTTTGGCACTCAGTACTACCAACGTCGTTGAACATTCTGAATATGGCAGTAGGTGCGCTTTTGGTAGATCTAGAAGGTGCTATTGACGACAATCTTCACCAAGCCTCGAACACGAAAAGCTCTCCTTACTGCAGACTACATTTGCACAGTTCTATTCCGTACCATCGAAGCATTATCAGTCCTCGAGCCTTTTTAATTGCTACCTGCCTGCTTGTAGCGCTCACTAGCGCCTTCCTCATTGAGGTTCTAGATGAGCTTCTCGGTCTTTGACCGAATTAATCAGTCTTTTCAGGACGTCACAGCGTACCTATCCACAGCGATAATTTGCGCTTGAGCACCCACTTACGCCCAGAAGCTATTAAAGTGACAATCTGACCATTTTCCCCTCACCATTACGCATTTGGACGGTGCCAACTCAGTCTGCATACGTGTTACAATGCCAATTTCTCATCATAATGTTCTAACATCATCTACGTGCTTTCTGAAGTGCAGTACTGTCGTATCCATTTTGTATCAAAGCCTCTTATAGTCTCTTAAAATGAAGCAAGCTTTACCAACATCTTACCCTACAAAACACAGCTCCCTTGGCAAAGAACTCATTCCGTTTACTCTATGCCCTTGTTTTTTGTGAGGAAACCCAAATCAGCGGTATGTCACCTTCAGACTCCCCTTGAAAGGACTGCCTCCTCCCAAAGAGGCTACAAATCGCTTGAACAGACAGTAAAGACGAATATTGACTCCTTATTGCGGCTGTGGTACTCATGATTCTATTCCCACTCTTATTGAAAATTTGAGGAAATATTCGTACTTCGAAACAAATTTATCTCTGCTCGAGCCATGACACGTACTTCTCCTTACCCGAGACAGAGCGTTGAGGCAAAACCATATCGTCACGTTGGGCGCCGCCCTCTCGTTACCTACCCCACAAATACCCTCATTGATGCCTGCAAGTTTTTCCTTCTACAGCATGGAGGGGAAACGCAAACCAACTTCTTTGGTCCCTCATGAGTGCGGATGCTGCGCCGCTGACCAAGGGGCCCTCGCAAGGCTAGCTATCTTGAGCTATCGTTTTGGTGAGGGAACTCGGAAGGATGTAGAGTAGATACGCGTGATACTAGAAGACACAGCTAGCAAGCAGACCGAGCGTTGGGTCATACCATTTTGTGAGAAGCGACTGGATCCGGGGGCTTCTGAGGAGAGGGACGCAAAAAGGACATCCGCAATTGGAGAGAAAGGTCGAAAGATCGCTGGCAATACTGCTACCAATGTCGAAGATTCGCAAAATATAGACAGTCAAAAAGGGATGATTATAAAGCAGAAGCTAATTGACTTTGCATTCATAATCATTTTTGCGTCTATCATAATCATGCAGACTTATTTCCCTCCACTGCAGCGCTATTCGCAGCAGTCCCATCTCCCTCTTCTGGCTGTTTTGCCTCAGGGTTCAACGGGTTGTCTTTGTCATATCCTACCTGCTTCACAATCCCCAGCCCTTTTGTCCTCCCCTCGCGGAATAGTATTCGTTCACCTACTACCAAGAACTCTGGTCTTTGAACAAACCTGAATGCAACAGTCGCCCTGTCACCAGTTCTGATATATGCACGATCAATATCGATGATAGCACAAGTCTGGCTGATAGGTCCAACATGCAGCATGGCCTGATACTTTGTCTTGATAGTCGTGGCGTGGCTTAAGATGAGTACCTCGGCGACGAATTCACGGTACACCCTAGGCGGCAGCTCTGTTTTAGGCAGTACGACCATGCCCTTGCGAACTTCCTTGCGACGTACTTTTTTTAAAGCGAAGGAAGCAGACTGCCCGGCTTGGCAGACGGGGACTGGGATACGTTTACGCTCGATCGATCGGATGGAAGTGGTTGTGAATTGGCCTACTGAATCAGGGCCGATTAGTACTGAATCACCAGTGTGAATGACGCCGCTCTTCACGACACCAGATACGACAGTGCCCACGAAGGGTACAGAGAACGTGTCATTGACGTGAAATTCGAAAGGGGCTTCGGCGTCGTAATGGCCGTGGTGCGGTAAGATGTTAAGGAATGTGCGGACGAGGTCTAGAGATTGTCCCGTAACGTTCGAGACTTGGAAGATGGGGCAGATTCGCTGCGAAATGAATTGTGTCGCTGTCTCAATCGTCTGGCGCCGATCTTTGATGAAGATGGGTATTTTACGGGCGCCAGGCGATTTGAGGATGCGGGTAATTTGAGTTATTGTCTCCTGCAGAATCTGTGGTGGGCAGATGTCTATCTTGGTGATGATCACCATAACGGGCACGTTCAGGGCAAGTGCGATGCCCAAGTGCTCTCTGCCAGTATGATCAATCGGAGAAGACCGAATTAAAATGGAATAGGGGGCCTACTTGCTCATACCAATCAAACCGTTGTTCGCAGCCACCATCAGTAGACAGTAGTTCGGACTGCTGCTCAACAATCCAAAGACAGTCGTGCGAAGGTATCGCTCATGGCCCGCTAAGTCTGTGAAGCTGATTACCTTTGCCTGTGGCTGTGAGTCCAGAACGTCAAAGGTGGAAAGGTGCTCACAGATTGCTTGCCAATTTCCTCCCAAGAAAGCTTCCTTCCTGGTACCTTTGAAGTAACGATTTCACCTTGAGTATCAAAGCCCATGATCTCCATTCCAACAGAACTGGTTCGCCCACTCTCGACTTCGTGTTTATGTCGAAATAGATTGACACGCATTTTACCTCGACCGTCATCGAGGCTCCCTTTGACTAATACACCAAGTAGTGTACTTTTCCCAGCATCGACTTGAAGCAAAGTTAGCTTGGAGGCACCGACGGTGATATACTTTCTAGATTGGCATACCATTCCCCGCCACAGCTATTCTCGTCTCAATCACATCTTCCGGAGTTTCTGGCTCATGCCGTATCAGAAGCTTTCCTGTACAGCTTTTATCTTTTTCATCGTTCATATGTACATCTAACGGCCCTCCGATATTCCGAGTCATCAGCATTTGGCAATCAGCCTTGAGCGTCTTCGCTGCCCGCCGTATTCTGTCCAACGCGATGTCCCATTGCTCTTTCTTGAAAGACATCGTTTCTCCATTGTCTTCCTGTCCAAGGTCGAAGAGAGTCTCTCCGTTGCCCTCGAGCATTCGACCTTGCAAAACATCGCTGAGTTTTTTAAGGCTTTCGCCACCCGCATCCCCTGCATCGAGGAGTAACTCTTTTAGCCGGACATGGTTCGAAGCTTCAGAGAGATTTAAAGAATCGAGAATGTCGAGCTCGGCATGGTCCTCGTACTGGGTAACCTGGCTTGCCGCTTTGCTCTTGCCGTTTATTGGAAGGCTCGCTCGTTGCTGCTTCTCTACATACTCCGCGAACTCACTTAATGCCTAGTCTTGGAAGTGAGCATTTGGATTGTCCGAGGGTATGTTTGCTTTACATTCTCGCCTTTTCTGCGCTCGTGAATTGTCTGGGTTTGCCGCCGCGCAGTCATGGTCGTTTCCGTCGCCAAGGGACGCAATTGGTATGTCTACGCTCAACGCAATGTCTTCGAACCATTGAAGAATGTCTATGATAGGGGAAACAAGCTAAGCTAAAGTGAATAGAAGGGTAGGAGCTCAGATATTCTCTGCATTGCTTCACTTATTCATGCTCCTATGACTACTAAGTACTATACTTATCGATAGATGACGCATGTTTCGAGTCATGAGCGCGCTAGTGCCATATGTGCACGTATTATGCCCTTCGTAGCCAGTCAAACGATCTTTCAATCCAGGTTTTGACTCATGTCTCTCTACTGTCTAGGACTCCGCCACATGGCTCAACATATGCGGTAACCTGGCGTCTGTCCACGTTGCGTAGCCACACGTATCATCATCGATATCTTAATGATATATCGAAGCAAAGATGAGCCTATGGTTCCCTATGGTTCGAATTCGACTAGCTACTCGATTGAGGTGCGATGAGCACCACAGAGTCGCCTAAAAGTCGTCAGAACCGACATACCCCGTTTAGGAATCTTAGAAAGAATCAGGTAGGGTAGCAAAGTCTTCATAGACTCACCTCTTACGAACAGCATCTCGGATTGCTTTTTGATTGTCTGAAATAGATGTTAAGACGGAGTTCCAAGAATAATCTGCGAGTGCTGTAAACCTTGACTTCTTCCTGCTCATCGTCATCATCAGCAACGTATATCGTTTCTTCAACGTCACCAAGGACTAAATTGCAGTGACTGTCGTATGCCTGAACCTCGTGAGCAGATTCAAGTTCAATGATCATGGTGATTAGGTGAAAAACATACGTGTAGACGTCCCTTCAATTCCCGGTCTCCTCGTAATTTGACGAACACGAATTCGTCAAGAGACAGGCGCACTAGATCCAGTGGTTCAGCAACTGCCGCGGCGCCTCCATTGGCGACATCGGCCATTCTACACCAGCTCTCGAAAGGAATAAGGGTGATTGTGCGTGATGTTAGAATGAAAATCGCAGAATGACCGCGTTTTGGCGGAGTCTGGCGCGGCAATTTTACCCGCGGTTTGACAGCATCTTGACTCACAACACTCTCCATTTTACCATCTCAAGCTTTCTCGGTAGAGCCTGCGAGGTATTGCACACTTTACGAACATTGCTCATGGCGCTGGTTGCATCCGGAGGAGATGCAGGCGGTGCGAACGTTAAGGATACTACAGAGAAAGACAATCCGGAAGCCAGTGAAAAGAAAGCGAAGCGTTTATCAACTGGAGCGAAAGGCGCACGGAAAGAAAAGCCTGTAGGAACGGGGGCGCAGCAAGATGCTCAAAAGGCTGCAGGTGCTACAAAGGATGCAGAAGTGTCTTGGAAAGAACGGAAAGCACAGGCGAAAGCAGAGAAGTTAGAAAAGCGTGCAAAGGAAAAACAAGGCCGCCAGGGTCAGTCTGTGACTGATCTACGGCCAAAATCCGGGTCACAGGCGTCTATTCAGAACAATCGCAGAAATGTTGATTCCGCTGCTCACCCAGAGAAATCAAATCATCGCCGGAGAAGCTCAGCTGGAGCCCATGCTCAAAAAGCGCTTTCGCTAAGGCCAGCGGCTTCTGATGCCGTCTCAAAAGCCCAAGGTGATAAGAAAGAGGACAAGAGAGTTGCATTTCTGGAGCATCTTTATGGCCACCCAAGACGTCATACCATTGCAGGAGCCGCAAAGGACATACACCCTTCGGTTCTAGCTCTTGGCTTGCAGATCAGTCATTACGAGATATGCGGCAGCAATGCCCGGTGTGTCGCTACCTTGCTGGTCCTGAAAGACGTTATTATGGCGTACACTACGCCTATTGGTACCTCCTTGCCCCGGCATCTCACGACTCATCTCGCCTCTCAAATTGACTACTTAGTGTCCTGCAGACCGTTATCAGTCTCTCAAGGCAACGCTATCCGCTGGCTAAAAGTCATTATATCCGCCGTAGATGTCAGTGCTCCAGAAGAAGAAGCGAAAAGCAAACTCTGCGCAGCCATCGATAACTTCGTCCGTGAAAGAATCATAGTCGCTGACGAAGTCATTGCTGCTACCGCATCTGAACGAATACAATCCGGTGATGTAATCATGACTTACGGCAAAAGTAGCATAGTCGAGAAGACGCTTGTTGAAGCTCACTTTCAGGGCAAAAAGTTGAAAGTAATCGTAGTTGATTCCCGCCCTTTGTTGGAGGGCAGGAACCTCTCTAGATGTCTTATTGGGCTAGGAATTGAGGTGCAATACTCCTTGTTGACAGGACTCAGTCATGTCGTCTCGGATGTCACTAAAATCTTTCTTGGTGCTCACGCCATGATGCCTAACGGTCGATTGTATTCACGAGCAGGGACTGCTATGGTGGCCATGGCTGGAAAAGACGCTGGCAAACCAGTCATAGTGTGTTGCGAAACCGTCAAGCTGACGGAGAGAGTCGCCCTCGATAGTCTCGTATACAATGAGATTGCGCCTGAAGATGAGTTGGTGATGCGCCAAGCCGCAGACGATGAAGCCCCTTCATTAGAGAACTGGAGGGATGTGCCAAATTTGCAGCTTTTGAACCTTATGTACGATCTCACTCCGGCAGAGTTCATCGACATGGTGATCACAGAATATGGGAGCACCCCCCTAGCTCGATGATGGCCATTCAAAGATTAAACCAAGGAAGCTGAAGCCAGACGACTAAATTAAGCCGAAATCTCTAGTCTTTCCGAGCGCTCAAAATGTCTCGAAAACAGGCACACTGGGACACGTTACATAGAGTCCTTCCCTAAGCGGAAGGTGTGCTCTTACGGGCACTGACGAAGGGAGGACCTCTGGGCATCGACCTATCCAGCAGCTCCTCGGCGTATCATTCTTCGTCTGAAAGACTTTGAACTGCCATCAAGGCCGCCCTGTGCTTGACAGCAATGCGCCAGCTGTGCTCAAAATGATGCATATTGAAACATGCAGCTCTTCAAAGTCGATCTCCATGCTGAAACGGAATCGACACGCTTCTGATCTCTTGCGAATCATACTGCATGAGATTGCCTACCAATAGTTACTGTAGACGCAGTTGCATTGTGCAGCTGATGCGCGAGCGACTTAGCAGCAGATGAATATCAAATGTTATATCAGTTATAGCGACACTTAAGCCTCACATCTATACGACAGTCCTGTTTCTACTCCTTTCTACCGAATAGCGCTATTCCATGCATTCCCGTTTGGGCCAATTGCAATGCAATACTCTACAAGCACTCCCAACAATGCAACCACAAACCTAGCCATCGCTCAGCTCAACAACTCCTTAATGTCCTCAATCCTCTGCGTCTTCTTTTCTTCCTCACTCATCATACCTAGGCTACTCGCTCTGCGTGACACATCGTCAGCAAATCCACAACAGAAACATAATGGCAGACAGGGCAAGACTCACATAAACTTCTTCCTCTCCTGTACCTTCAACATCCTCTGCTCAATACTGCCCCCCACAATAAACCTCGTCACCTTCACCTCCTCCTCTTGCCCCATTCTATGCACCCGATCAATCGCCTGCGCCTCGACCGCAAAACTCCACCACGGATCCATCATATACACCCTCTTTGCCGCGGTCAAGTTCAGCCCCACGCCTCCTGCCCTCAAAGACAGCAGTAAGACCATGCCGTTGCCACCCTTCATCGGCATGGCCTCCGAGAAGTTGACCAACACCTGGGCACGGGCCTTTTGAGTCATCGCGCCATCGAACCTTAGCCAAGGGATCTTTGCTGTGGAGAGGGCTGGTGCAATCAGGTCGAGGAAGGAGGTGAACTGGGAGAAGACAACAGTTTTGGTGCCAGGAGACTCGATGCGGAGGCTTTTGAGATGGGAGACTAGGGCGGCGATCTTAGCAGAGGAGTTGTTGCCGATGCGGCGGAGTGAAATGTGATTTTCTCCTTGCGGCCGGTCGAAGCTGGGCTCGTCGTCTTCATGGTATACGACTTCGAAGATGTCACGTTGATTGATAGGCTCACGGCAATTGAAGCAAAGTGGGAGGGTATCTTTGTCTTTCTGGTGCTCGATGTAGTCCAGGAGACACTTTTTGCAGGCACTATGCCAGCAGCCTGTTACGGCTGGCTCGATCATGGGTTCTTCAGAGCAGATAGGACATTCTTTGTCTTCTTGAGATTTGATATCTTGGAGAACGTTAGCTCCATACTTGTTGGCAATGTCTTGCTCGCTGCCGCCAGATTCACTGGTAAATCTTTCAATAAGCTCTTGTAGATCCATGTCATCGGCCAGACCATTTGCAACATCTGCTGCAGCGGCAGCTTCGTCCTCTTCGGCTACGATCGCCTTGTTGCGCGTCAGCACTGGGTGGCAGCATGACTGTCTGAGACGCAGGATCTGAGCGAAGATAGTTGTATATGATTTTAGCAAGGTACCTGCTTCCATGGTAGCGTTGAATGCTCGCTTAGCACGCGTATAAATATAATCGTAGACTTCTCTCTCCTGTTTAGAAAGCTCAATTTCCTGGATGTCAATGATTCGAGGCGGCAATGGTACAAGAGCTTCCCCGTCCGGGGTTCGCATGTCTTTTGTCCGTCGCATTACTAGCGGCTCAAGTACCGTTTGGACAACATCAAGGGCACGTATGAACTCTTTGGATTCAAATGGTACGGTAATGAACGTCTTCCAGAACGAGAAATTGGCCCACGGCTCAACACGGAGAAAATGAACAAGGCTGAAAAGGTCCTCCAAACGATTCACAATAGGTGTGCCCGTAAGCACCCAACGATGCTGGGCCTTCAACTCGTAGCAAGCTTTAGCAGTCTTCGATTGCCTATTTTTTATCAAATGGGCTTCGTCAAGTATTATGCGGAAGAGGTCCAGAGAGAAAAGCCCACCGTGAGAGCCGCGATCGCCCCCTCTAGACGCAACTTGGTTGAATTCCGATAGAATGATACCATAGCTTGTGATGATCAAATTTGGGGCAGATGCGGCGTTAGCTTCGCAGCATAGGTTTTGCAAATTAGCGACTTTATCTGATCCATAGTACACCAGTGTCTTCAAGCTCCCAGTCACGGAGGCTTTTGCGGCCTCGCTTTCCCACTGGGCCAGTAAGGACATAGGGGCAACCACCAATGTGGTGCACGGCGCAAGGACTGTAGAGGACGATACCTTTGGAAGCCTTGGCAAATCGTCAATTGAAGATAGGCCTGCATCGGATGCCTGAATTGCTCTATCAGAACGATTGGTATGCATCAGGCTCAACATCTCAATCGTCTTTCCAAGGCCCATTTCGTCGGCCAGAATGCCACCAAGGCAGTGCTGTTCCTGAATGGGAAATTCGAGAGACATTTCACCTGAATATGGATTGACATAGAAATGATCTTGGTTCGATACAATTGGTAATTCATATCCCTCCATATCCTTCGAGGGCCAGGTATAATCTTCCCACAGAGGATGCATGGAAACCTCCTTCTCTGATCTCTCGTCTCGCTCCTTACTTATCATCCAGTGTAACGCTTGCTTTTGATACTTTCTGAGATCCATTACAAAAGTTTCTGCTGGTTCTTTGACAGGAGTATCAAAATCAAATGATTGAGCTTTCTTGTACAGACTGTCGAGCTGGTCCTGCTCCAATTCTTTACCTTCTTCTTGTTCCTCATCTGGCGGCGTCGAAGTACCATCTTGAGTTCCTGAAATCTTTTTACTGTCTTTGTCTTTGTCGTTTTGTTCAGCAATCTCAGCAGCTTGAAGGATCCCCTCCCTCTTGTGTTTTGCCGTGGTATCGTTGGCGGTTGTTGGGTGTAGATTAATTTCGTTAAATAGTTTGACCAGTGCAACTTGCCTCAATCGGAGACTTTGCTCTTCGGATGTCTCGTTCTCTTCAAAAATTCCAGTGGTACGATTCGCGTCCTGAGGTTTAATAAAGGCGCTTGATTCAAAAGCTGACTTCAGCAGCGAACATCGCAACTGCAGTTCCAAAGTATCATTGACCCGAATTTGGTCAGGCGCAAAGAAGCAAGTACCATCGAAACGACATATTTTCTGGTCCATCAACGTAGATACCCAATATGCTGTTTCTCTAGGCAACCTCCCTACTTCATCGCCTCTAGCATTGGTAAATCGCACTACGATGTCAGCCCTCTGTCTGGCAGCGCTGACCTTCGATAGTTGTATAGCCTTACCACCGCGGCCAATCTTGACCGCTGTCTTGATCTTTGATCGCTCAATATTTACGCTTTCCCCAAGCTTCACAAGTCCAGTCCCACTTCGTGTAGCCCAAGCTCCAACGCCGAACGCACCCACATATCTATACTCTGGCATTGCTTGTAGAGTCTCCTGTTTTCTCAATGTTCTTGATCTTTCAATGTCCCTAGCCACAGGCTTTGGAACACTGCTCTTCGGGCAGCGCTTGAAAGCGTCTGGAATCGTGCTCGAAGCATGTCGCTGTGGCGATATAGCGGCGGATGCCCAAGAACCATCTAGATACATGTTGATAGCGCGCTCCATGTTGTCGCCAGACACTTCGCGTAATCTCTGGAGCGTGCTTGCCTCGATTGGCGTACCAACAAAAGTCTCGAATGTTTCCTTGTCAAAGCCAGATGGGCCTTCGTACCGAATGTCGACACCATTTTCAGGCGCGCTAATACTCGCACGATTGGATTTCAGCTGTTGTTCTTCCGTATGAGACCTTGAAAGGCTCGCGTCTGATGACCTGACTGAACCGTTGGTTGGTGGCGGTAGATCATCAATGAAATCGGACTTCTCAGCTGTAGGGGAGTCGTCTACAAAAAATCGTCGCTTTTTTTTCGGCGGTTCTTGCGGTCCTTGGACTTCAACCGAGTTCATCTTCTGCAAACGATGGTGAATGCGTTTATTGACGAGTGCAGTGTTACGAATCTTCACTCAATTTACGCAGTCCACGATGCACGTGATCGCGCGCTTCACTAAAATTTTAGCGTGGCTACGCAAGAAGCAGCCTTCCGTTACTTCATGTGCACATATGGCTGGCAATATGGTCTAATGTTCTCTCGAGACTGACTTGCATTATTCTACACGTTGCTATCCAGTCTTCCATTTATACTGTCTTATTTAGCAGATCCTTCAATCCAAAGTTGAACGACCCAAACGACATCACTGACATCAGAAAGCCTCCCAAGACGCAAGTCACAATCCTATGTACTGGCGTGTCACTATGTGTATACGATCAAAAGTCCTCATCGAAGTTCAAGTTGCTGCCATTCGTTGTCTTCGGCGCCTCTGTATTCTCCTCTTTCTTGTTCGTGCTAGCCATCACACCAGCTTTTTGATAATCGCCGACTCGCTTCTCAAAGAAATTCGTCTTGCCAGCAAGTGAGATTGACTCCATGAAGTCGAATGGATTAGAGACCTTGTAGTATTTCTGATTGCCAAGCGCAACGAGCAGTCGATCCGCTACAAACTCGATGTATTGCTTCATAAGTGTTGCGTTCATGCCAAGCAGGCCGCATGGCAAAGCTTCGGTCAAGAATTCTTGCTCAATCTCGACAGCTTCCACAATCACATCCTGTACCTGTTTTGGGCTAGGTCTATTTCTAAGATGGGAAAAAAGTAGACAGGCAAAATCGGTATGCATGCCTTCGTCGCGTGAGATGAGCTCATTTGAGAATGTGAGGCCGGGCATGAGACCGCGCTTCTTGAGCCAGAAGACCGCGGCAAATGAGCCGGAGAAGAAGATGCCCTCCACAGCAGCGAAAGCAATCAATCGTTGAGCGAAGGTGGATTTCTTATCTGATATCCACCTCAAGGCCCAGTCAGCCTTCTTGCGGATGCATGGAACTGATGTAACGTGTCAGTTCGAGCGCGTGCAACATGTTCAGTCATTGTCAAACTTACTTGTATCAATGGCATCAAAAAGATGCGTTCGCTGCTTCTGCTCCTTGATGTATGTATCAATAAGTAAAGAGTATGTTTCCGAGTGGATGTTCTCCATCATGATCTGGAAACCGTAGAAGCATCGCGCTTCCGGTATCTGTACCTCGCCGCTGAATCGCTCCACTAAGTTCTCGTTCACAATGCCGTCTGAGGCGGCAAAAAAGGCAAGGACATGCGAAACAAAGTACCGCTCATCATCATTGAGTCTGTTGTTCCAATCATGGAGATCTTTAGACAAGTCGATCTCTTCTGCTGTCCAGAAGGATGCCTCGGCTTTCTTGTACATTTGCCATATCTATCACAAGACAGTAAGTCAGCGTGGATGCGTACGAAATGTAAGACGCGAGGCGCGGTCATGTCGTGGTCTAACCTCATGGTACTTGATGGGGAAAAGGACGAAACGATGAGGATTCTCTTGCAGAAGTGGCTCATCGGCTTCATGTGGCTTGATCGTGGGTGCGACGTTCGGCTTCAAGTCCTCTTTCAGAACCTCGATGGCGGGCTTCTTGAGGTCGACATCTTGAGTAATGGGAGCTTGCGCGTTTAACGGTAGATTCTCCTTGTCGACTTGCTGGAAATCGAGCTTCTTCGCAGGCGAGTCACCCATGTTCAGGGTATCTAGGCTGGCCGCGGCCTTGCGATGTCTTGTCAGTATTGGTCAAGACATACAGTGGGGTGGCAACAGCCTTATACCTGCTTTGAAGGCGTTATTTGTGTTGCCATGATAGTTTGACGGTAGTAATTCAAGAAGAAGCGATGAAGAATGGTATGAGGTGGCACTTTCGATTCTTGTTTGTGAGTGCGGAGTCAGAGAGAAAACGCGTGCTTTGTTTTCCACTAAAAGGCGCGAAGGCGCTAATGCACCTAATGATGCAAGAGCGGGAAGAAACGGTAGGCACTAGAGTTTGAGCGCTATGCACTGCGTGTTCCACCGTAGCTCGATGTTCGCGCCGAAATCGGGCAGCCGTTTTTTGTAAGGTTGAAGTGTTACACTTGATCAATCACAGGTCGATAGGATGTAGACTGAGGCCAATGCAAGGATATTGGAGAGCTTGAAAACAGTACTCTCCACTGTAGAATAGGTCGTTTGATACTCCTAAAGTAAATTTGGAATGCAAAGATTCTACTCCGTACAAGATTCACCCATATCGCTATGCGGCTCAAGAATAATAATTGGTCTACAACTTTTCCGCTGCTTTCGCTGGCAACACTCGGTTCTCCAACCGCCTCACCAGCTTATTAGTCTGCTCAGCTAAGCTCAAAGTGAGTATGGTATGAGGTAGAATGCGCGCCAGATGCGCAAAGAAGCCTTTGTAGATTGCTAGGACTCCTTCGGTCCTGATCGTCTTGAATAAGCAGTCGAACAAGCCACTGTAAAGATTTCCGGTTTGATTGTACATTCTCGACATTACTGTATCTACAACAGAATATCAGTGTATACATTCTAGTAGAAGGACTGCTCAGCTCACCTGGCGGATGCATAACGCAGCAGACCACAAAACCGCTACAAGCACTGCTCGCAAGGTGCAGTCCAGGCCCTTCCTTGATGCCCAGATGCTTCACGAGCCTCCTTTTTGCGAAGAAATATGTTGGCAGTTGCACGCTGCTGCCGAAACCTGTCCGGATCATTGCAGGACCAACGCCTCGATAGAGTCCGACAATGCCCTCGCTGTACCAAATCTTTTTCATACCATCAATTGCATTTTTGTACCCGTGTTGAGTTCCGACGGGTAGGAACGGTGAATATGACTGCAAGCGTGTTTTGATCAGGAAGAACGGCGAGCCAGCTGCTGCGCCGAGGATACCTGATGTAGCGCCAGCAAAGATATTGACACCCAGAGATTGCATGTTGGGATCTTTGAAGATGATCGAGGTGACGCGAGTACGTAGCGGCTCATAGAATCCGAGACGACAGCCATTGAGAATCATTTGATAGATATACTATCTTCTCACTGAGCAACGAACCTTTATGAAGACGTGAATACGTACTGCGCAGCCGATACCTCGAAAAAGCCCTTGCGGTCCCTCATTTTTGAATATCACACTCACGCCATGGAGAACGCCTCGGTAAAGTCTTGGCGCATCTTTCTTAGACTGCAATTCCCCCTGTAATTGAAGCCTTCACCAGATGATACATTAGCCTGAGGCATATGGCGCCAAAGATCCATGCTCACCGAATCTTGACTGTTTCGAAAGGATGTGTGACTGTGACGGCACCGCAAGCTGCTATTCCTCCTGCAATGAATGCTCTGAGGACCTGATAATCAATCCTTGACCTCAAAAAAGCGTTGCATGGCTTACCCAGGAGTAGTAGCCATGATTGCGCACGAGCTTACGTCTGGGAGTAGGCCTGTCAGCAATCCTACCGGAATGCCCCCATGGTGTCGCGCATGGTCGCCCTTGTGAAGATGTGAGCTCAAGTGAAGATGGTCGCAGACCTTAGGCGACGAGTGTGGACCTTGAAGTCACAGGGAGCTTGTAGGCGTAAGCTTGAGATGAGATGGCTTGAGATTGTAAAGAGAGCCGAGTTAGGTCTCCCCAAAAGATGAGAAGATGACTAAGCTTCCCGATAGAGCTTAGCGACGGGAGTGCCAGATGTCAATTTGGTACGGTCGACCGTTAGTACATCAAGGCTTGTGCTGGACTACAATTCACTTTGATATGTTATCCACCAGTTTAAATGTTCAACCCGAGCATTTAATTTGCAGAGCTAGGCTGCCCATCGATCAAACTGACTACATGGGCATCGTTAGCTACTTGTGCGTCAAGTTTCAAGACTAAAGGCCGCAAGCTGGTGGTGAGACGTCTGAACATGCCGGTCCTACCGGACTCAGACCGCCAGGTCACTTTTTAGTGATCACTAATGATTGCTCATTTTCCACATGGGCTGATGAAGCAAGGCTTGCGATGCCGCTGTGCAATGAGACCAGGCATTCAGTTCCTATGATTGTAGCACAGTGATGATAATAATGATGCATCGTGCAGGCGGTCAGAATGGGACGCGCGTTCACAACTTTTGGTTCTCCCAAAATTCCACTGATCATGTCGATCTGAATGAATGTGGATCCGCATTTGTACAGATATAAAGTCTGGCGTTTGTGCCCGCCCAAATAGTTGATATTGACGATCGTTCGAGTTCAAGATATTTCGTAATACCGGGTCTAGAAAGGTCTGATAGCACTACTGTCCATTATGCACTCGAGATTCGTTGCTTGTACCCTGTTTCACCTGTTTTATTGTATCCTTGCGACTCCTATCGCCCATCAAAGGCGCCAAGAGCAAAACGTTTACCCTCAAGGAGCCTCGGATGCTGTCGTTTTAGACTTACCAACTGCCGTCGCAACGCCATCTCCGAAAGCATCGGGTAGTCTCTATGGGACTGAAGCCTTGCTTGGTGATGATGGGAATCCGGTCCAAGGCTCAGCAATAGTGCAAAACTTTCAGCTTGTGCCAGATCAGCTTGAGGATCCAACCCAGGGTCTCGAGCTAGAATTCAACTCTGTCGATAAACCTCAGCCCATTCGTGGTTCGAATGGCCGGAGCGGAGCCACAGATCCTGGACCTGGTATACCCATCCCATGAGTTGTCTTGCCTCGTTTAACAAGCTGTAGATACAAGCCGCTATGACCGCCTGAACAGCGATGTATTTGCCTCCCCAGGCACGGACACCGGTGGCGTCGCCAATGCGCAGTGGCCATTGGGCCTGTCTCACAATCGTCTCGGATTGAGCGGTGCAGGATGGGCTCGGCAACAAAATGCAGATGTGCTTCCAGCTGCAAGCGAAATGGCTGGTGTAGATATGCGTCTTTCCCCAAATGCTTATCGTGAGCTACATTGGCACCAAGCCGGAGAATGGGCGTATATGTTCAATGGGAGTGCGCGTGTCGCCCTCGTCAACGAGGCAGGGCAGTCGTATATCGATGACATCAACGCAGGCGACGTCTGGTACTTCCCGCCAGGAGTACCGCACTCCATTCAGGCGTTGGAGAATGGTTGCGAGTTCTTGCTCATTTTTGACAATGTAGGACAATCATCCTGCCGTATTCACCAAAAGCAAAACTGATTTAAGCAGGGGTTCTTTTCCGAGGAAGACACCTCTTTAGTGACTGAGATGTTTCTACGCAATCCTAGATCAGTCATGGCGAAGAATTTGCAAGCAGATATCTCTCTGCTGGACAACATTCCAAAGGACCAGCTGTAAGAGGTCCAAATGTCACGCATCTAAACTTCATCTCTAATGAGGTCCCTCGCATAGTTATATTTTTCCTGGTGAAGCAGCTCCTTTGAACATTTCAGAACAGAACATTACTGGTCCTGCGGGTCCTGTCAATCAGCCGGACACTCAGTATACCTATCATTTCTCCCAACAAGAGCCTCTGATTATTCCTGGCGCTGGATTGGTGAAAATATTTGACCCGACCACCTTCCCAGCTGCAGCCGATATCAGTGCGGCCCTCGTTACGATTCGCCCAGGTGCCATGCGTGAACTACATTGGCACCCACAAAGCGATGAGTGGAACTTCTTTTTGACGGGTACCGCACGCATCACAGTCTACCAGGCACCATCGAGCTCAAAGACATTCGATTACGGTCCTGGGGATGTGGGATACATTCCTATGACTTTTAGCCATTACATTGAGAATACCGGTAGTGAAGACGTTGTCTTGCTGGAGGTCCTCAAAGCGCCCCATTTTACCGATATTTCGGTTGCGCAGTGGCTTGGACTTACACCAAAGCAAGTCGTGAAGGACACCTTGAACTTGCCTGAGCAGGTACTCGAAAACCTACCGAAGTATAAGCCTTACCTCATCAGCGGACCTACGAACTTGACCGACACGAACTACACCAAGGCATTCTAAGTAGAAGTCGAAGTTCGAGCGATTGATGTTAGAAGAAGAAGAACAATAAAGCGATGATGATGATGAAAAGGTTCAGCTACAGGCTTCAGCAATAGAAATGTCGACCAACATGCATATTTAGGACTGAATCTGATAAAGCAGTTGGCGGGATCATTCATCTCAATATCGTACAAGAACTTCTACCTTATGTGACATGTAGGAGGGATAGCGAAGTCAACTATAAATTAGAGAGTTCTATTGTATCATCATGCTGCATTTCCTACACAATAAATGTAGGTTTCAACCAATAGTGGGCAGCAAGTTGACTAAGCAGCCCCTTTCATGATATCTCCGCTATATCCGGAGACGGGCTTCTTCAAAGAGAGCAAAGAGAAGTAGGCTGCGGTACGATACATAATACGGGCCACACGACGATGGCAGGCCCAATTGCTGTACCGCCTCCGCCACCGGGAGCTCCCCAACAGAGCTCAACCACCCAGAGAACCTCGGATGTTATTGGCTTGTTTCGATCTAGCAAGGTAGTGTCTTCGATTTTTCATGCTGCTGTGTTTCTTGACTGATTCTCTATAGTGCTTTAAAATGGACGCGTCAGATACGTTAGTGACATCGCTTGACTTCGATGACTCAGGTGAATTCGTTCTGGCCGCCTGTGACGATGATTCTCTACAAATCTACAACGCTAAAGAAGGAAAACACGTAAAGAAAGTACAGTCACAGAAGTTTGGTGCCCACCTTGCCCGCTTTACTCACCACCCTTCATCCATTATATATGCGAGCACTAAGGTCAACGACGAGATTCGCTATCTATCTACACATGACAACCAATTTCTTCGTTACTTTCGAGGTCATACCGCTCCAGTAACCTGTCTCGCTGTTTGTCCCGGTTCGGATACCTTCCTTTCTTGCTCACTCGACGACACTGTGCGTCTATGGGACTTCAAGTCTCCATCTCCTCAAGGCCGTCTCAACCTGTTAAAGCCCCACCTAGCCGCCTACGACCCTTCCGCATCCGTGGTTGCTATAGCCTCCAATGTCACACATACAGTCCTCCTCTATGACCTTAGAAACTACGACAAACCTCCCTTTGCGACATTCGACGTACGCAGTTATCTGCCACAGCAGACTGTCAACTCTGGGAAGCTTGATTGGACGAGATTGGAGTTCTCAAATGACGGCAAATCGCTTTTACTGGGCACCAACAGCTCAGCTGGTCATCTACTCCTCGATGCTTTTGAGGGTACTCTTCGTGCTCATTGCGTCAGGTCTCAAGCACCTACACATCTCCGAGCCACACCAGAGATGCGGAGTGAGCACCGAGGTCAAGGGGACGTATGCTTTAGCTCCGACGGACGCTATGTGATTGGCGGCTCTGGTGGCAATCATGATGCCATCGTGTGGGATACCCATGGCCAGGTGGAGATCGAGACGAAGCAGTTGAAGCCACTGTGTGGACTGCCCTGCAAATCGAAAGCTGCGCTTGTGGAGTGGAATCCGAGGTACAATATGTGCGTTACCGCGGACCGAGAGGTCATATTCTGGGTTCCTGACGAACATGTCGGGTTGAAACCTCCATGAGCCTGTAGATTCTATCAAGATATGAAATGATTCGTGAGATGAGCATGTTCATCTGTAAGCCTCAAAGAGACGCTTCGGGGTCCTGGAGTTGGCCGAATCAACCCCACCGGGGCATTTCAACGTCAAATTCGAACAGACGACGTTTGCTGATGGGAGGCAACCGGTGCAGGAACAAACGCGCGGAGCCCTAGGGATCACAAGTACGACGATGGGCTGAATGGGGGACTTCCGTTCTGATGCAAATGCATAGGTAACACGTACATGCAAGCAAGCGGCTCACCGTTGCATCCCATGCCAAATCCTCGAGTAATGACTGACCTGAATTGGGAGAAGGTGTGGAATGGTCCGGCTGGCACCTCGGTGTCTCCAACAGCTTGCGGATCTCATGATCCTGAAACATACGTCCTCTGGATAGAATTGTAGAGGGAAGTAAAATAGTCTAGCAAAGATACCTTTGATTATGCAGCGATGTAAGCAGATGCTTTTGATACGTGTTTGAGATGTCTCGTTTTCAGATTCCTACTCAAGCGTTGCATTAATGTACCTAGCCAATCCTACCCTCCTGGCCATCTTCGCCCACTAAATCCACTGCTGTCCAAGCTAAGACCTTTCTCAAGTCCGATTGCCTGACTTCTTTCTTCCGTGCCTGCGAGCCAAATCATATACTGTCCACCGACGTGAGGAGGCACCCGCTTTGCCTGCCTCCAAGCCAGGACGTCAACGCCGCGCTATTGTAATGTGCCGCTTTTCGGGTACGTGTAAATTGCAGAATCGTATCTAAAGCCGTTGGGTATCACGAAACATGTATTGAATGTGCTTGTCGTAAAGCTAGAGTCAAGTTAGCTTGACATTAGCTGCCCAGAGAGGAGAGGAGAAGAAGATAATGAGGGGTTCGTCTAATCTTCGCAAGCGTACAATTATAAGCCTCTATCTGGCCCTTTCGAGTGTCACAAGCACATTGCAGGGTACTACCGTTCTTGAAGTCGAATATGATGCCTTCAGATCAGTCAGCATTACTGGACCTAAGATATTGTTTCAAAGAAGAGTTGACTTACTGTTTGGTAGCTCTTGCCTATCCTGATCTGGTATGTACGGAGGGCGAAACTCTGCAAGTGAGAAGCTCTTCATGATGATTTTCGGGTTCCTTTCCAATGTCGAAGGATGCAATGACAAAACTCCCTGCTCATTGAGAACCATGTGCCGCCGTTTCCACAGAAGCGTATCTGGAAATTGTACATTTATGTCCCCCAGATCGACCGTAGAAGACGAAGGCTGGTCAATGGATTCTCGATGCTCAATGATTGCAGCTTCCTTTGGACTGGAGTTCAGTGCGGACGCCAGGCTGCGTTTAGATACCGAAGAGATGTTTGACATTCGCTTTAGTAGTCGCTTGCCCTTGGAGTCTCTCTTCTCCTCTCTGAAGCCGTCGACTGGGGCGCCGAGCGACTTGTCGCTAGCTGATCTGGGGAGATCTACATCACTACCGTTGCGACTAGACCCAGAACGCCAGCTGGCAAAGGATTCTCGTCGTGAAACTTTTGGTGACATGTCCTTCCTTTGCTCGCTATTGGAGGAGGACCCCGAGCGTGCGGATGCTTGTCGTGCGTATTGCGGTCGAGGTGGCTGAAGTGGATGGAAAGATGGTGGGCTCATGGGTGAGTGCTCAACGAGGAGAGGACTTCGATGTAGATCCAAGTGCCGAGAGTCAAGTGAATTTGGGTAGTTGTCTGCGAGTCTGTCGGTGACATCCCGGACAATTGTCGCTGTTACTGATATTGAATCTGAACGCCCTTTGACTGAAGCACCCATCGTACTGAACGATGCGAGTTGGGGTGAAGTTGATGGTGATTGAGGCGTCGTGCTTGGACGGCTTGAATTGGCACTAAAAGCAGTGATATCAGGGGTTTGTGGAGAACTCTGAAGCGATGACTTTCGGTCACTAAGACTAATGAACGTAGTCTGTGGTGTCGTAAGCAAAGTCGGGCTGGTTGGTCGTGATGACATTTGTTCCAGAGCTTTTATGCGAGCTGATATGCTCGTGGAGACACCATACTTCTTTGGAGGAACGGCACCTTTTGAATGAGTCGATAGCAGCGGAGGATTTGAGGCTGAAAATGAACGCGGGGACGCCAATGTTGGCAAAGGGGGTGGGGAAGGGCTTCGGCCTGGTTGAACTTGAATCTGCATTGGGCTAGAGATGCTGCGGAAGGCCTTGGGCTTCTCTAACGCCTTTGTCTCGCTACTATGCCTAGCGAAGACTGGTTTGATGGGAGACTTGGAGACCGAGATTGGCTTCGCCTCTTGCACAGACGCAGTCTTGAGCTCCTCCATGAAAGAATCGTCAGATAGAAAGTGCTCGTCGGACTGATCTGGAGTTGAGGTACGCTTGAGTGGGCTAGCTCCGCGTCGCTTTGCCTGTGTTATCGAAGTAGATTCGCTAGTGTTTGAGAGTTTGTCCGCCTCTGCCGCAGAATCATTGGTGAAAATTTTGGTTGATGACGCATTTGTCTCCTCTGACTGCTTTTCTATGCCGAATTTAGTCGCCTTCGATGCCGAAACTTGGTGTAGACTCTGCGTGGGACCAGGAACTGGTTGATTAGACTCCTCAGCCTTCCCGAAATCAATGAAGCCTCTGTCTACACCGGTAGCAAAGAGTTCTTGAGATGGTTGGTTGCTTTCAGCTTTATCTGCTCTCGAAACGTCGATCTCTTCGGGCTCACCGAGACCTAGCTCGGTATCTGCTTCATTGAACCAAGATGCATTAAGTGCATTACTCACCAGAGTTTCATGCTCGTTTTGAGCGTCAGAGCTAGGAAATGACCGACTGGGTTGACTGTCTGAATCGCTTCGTTTTGCAATAGCTTGGCCCTCTGGAACGAGGTCATGAGACTCTGAGGTGCTGCGTACTCCTGGGTCCTTCGCCATGACTGGTGATGAGGCGCCTATCTGGTTTTGACCTCCGGGCGAGAGCTTTGCACCGGCTTCTCCCACGGCACGTCTTGAACTTGAGGTTGAGGTCGCCAGCGCCAAATTTTCGGAGTTAGAATGATCACTATCAGAGTCATTGATCTCTTTCGAGCTGTAGTCTTGCCTCAACGACGGTTCCGTGTCATCAACTTCCTTGACTTTGGCCAGCGAAATCGGCGCATGTTTTCTAGTGATCCCAACGCTGTGATCGGAATCTTGTTGGTATTCAACTGGGATTGGCTCGTGGTTATCTTGCACGGGCGACATAACCGACTCTGGACCTTGAAACCCAGTAGATTGCTGTCGAGAAGCTGGTAAGATATCACAGACCTTTTCTGGGGCCATGGACATATCATTAGGTGTCTGCCCTGCACTGCCTCTTTCTGACTTCTCATCTACTATCGTCTCCTCACTAGTGTGTGACTTTTTCGGCGATGGAGTGTCTTCTTCTATTATTGACGAGGCTTGAGTTGAATGTCCTTCTGATAGCTCAGGGCCTGAAACAGGTGAATCTTGTTGGTCACGCAGGGACCCCTCTACGGTTTGCGAACGTTGGGTCACGGTCTCCTGATCATCTTCGATAACAAATGACGATTGTAAACTTGGATCGATTTGCTCGTTCTTTAAGGTCTCTGCTGGCAGGTTTATTCTCTGTTCTTCCGCTAGCTTTGCCTCCTTTGAAGCCGGCGCTGGGTGTCCTTGATGACTTGATGCATCTCTTCGCGCAGCCAATTGTTTGTTGCGTAATTCGAGCGCTTTCATCAGCCTTTTCTTCTCCGGCGTCATGGCGGCTGCCATTTCTGATGGCTTTTTCTGTATTGAAACTCCGTTAAGGTTCGATCCCAAAGACCTTGGTGCCACAGATGGTAGGGTGGGGAGCGGTATTCGGGGCGAAGGCGTAGTTGCAAAAGGGGTATTCTGTTGCTGTAAATTCGGCCGCAGAGGTGCAGCATTACGGAGGGGCATTCGAAGGCCCACTGGTAGCGCTGCGACAGGTCTGAATGAGCCGCTGGCACCAGCGGTAGAAGGCCGACTGACTGATTCCACAGATGGTCGGGGGCCGAATCTGATCTTTCCTTTGTATTCGTAAGCGTTGGCGAGATCCCTTGTACTTGGTCGTGCTGATTGCGATGACATTCTGCCATCAACACTGGATATGCTGGGCCGTGGATCGAAATTGTAAACAGATTGAGGCTTTGATTGATCGCGTGAGAAATGATTTGGGGCGTTAGGCAGTGCCTTGTTGGGATCGCTTGGAGCCCGAGAGCGCTTTGTTTCTGATGATGGTGAAGAATCCTGTTTTCGCATGGCTTTAATAATTTCAGTCGCTTTTTCGTGACGCGTTTGTGCATCATCATCAGCGGTCCGTGACGATCCAATGTTTCCACTTTGGTCCGCCACCGATTTCGGTTTCTGGGTGGCTTCTGACCTAGTGTCCCCATCATCTTCCGTGATACCAGACAGATGCGACTCCGTGATGGACCTGATTGACGCAGCAGTGTGTAAGGCAATCTCCGAAGAGAGTGCTGTATCTTCCAATTCTCCCGCCGAGGCGAAAGCGTAAACAGCATCGTGAGGGGTGAACTTGTCTTCTACTGCTTGGAAATGTACAGATACTCGTGCTAATCACCATCTTGGTTAACTTCCACATTTCCCGCAACAGTCGAGTGGTAATACCTTGGAGAAGCCTTGACGTTCCTTCCGGTACATATTTGAGTAGTACCTTCCTCCTGCGGTAGAGGATAAATCCATATAGCGGAGAGTCTTCCTCGTAGCGCTTGACAGCCCCTTGCGCCTCTTTCACCCCCCCAGGACCTTTCTCGTAAAGCTGTACCTCATCACGGGAGCTGTACCTGAGAAAGAACCTATCCGAATTGATGATCAGCACTCATTGGTAAGTAGACCGAGGGAGAGACGTACCAGCATCCACCCTCGTTCAACGCCGCGAGATAGGTCTGATTGATGTCCGGCGAGTCGAGGCCATTCAGGGACATATTGAGTCTGCATCCACGACTCCTACAATTCTGGCCTCCCGCCGCAGTCTCCTGCAGAATCAGGTGGGATAGCTAATGTCAAACGGATAGGCCCAGATAGGCGAGATCTACCGCATCGCAAGTTTGAAAATATGGCGCAATGAGGGAAACATGTTTCTGGGTCTGGCATTGAGAGGGAAGCAATACAATGCCTTCCGTATCCCCTCGTCAAACATCATCAAAGCTTCGAATCAGGCCAAAATAGATAGGAGGTCGCCAAAGGATCGCCAAAAACTCTTCGGGAAAAAGCCCCTGTCTGTATGAACCGCGACCCGCATGCAATGCCCCTCACTTTTGCCAACCACGCCTCCAACGTGCCCCCCTTTCTGTACAGTCCGCAAAGGGATCAAAGTGAACGAAGTGATCTACGTTGTTCGAAAGGCAATGGCGGTCAAATACAAACTCCCACCTATCGACGATATTCTCACCCTTTCGTCACCGGAGCAAGCGGCCATTTTGGACTCACTCTTCGAGCCATCTCCCCTTCTACATGAACTTTGTTTGCCATCACTTGGACGGTACAAGTTTTCCAATTATGATGAGTTGATAGCGTTTGTGGGGCGCCTCCTTAATGATCTCTTTGAGTCTGGAAAGACTACGCAGCTTGACGAGGTGCTCGTTAGCCATCCTCGTCTAGGTGCGACGAGTGTGCAAAGTTCGCAAAGCCAGGGAGAACAGAGCCAGCTGCAATCCTCTGACAGTAGAGAGAGTGAGAAGCTGACACAGATGAACGCAATCTATGAACATAACTTTCCTGGCCTTCGCTACGTCACGTTTGTGGATGGTCGACAACGCGGTGCTCTATTGGAAGACATGCAACGACGCGTTGACCGTTTTGACATCAATGCCGAAAGATCTGATGCGCTCAGAGCAATATGTGACATTGCATCGGATCGTGCTCGTAAGTTGAGCAACTGACTTAATGAAGTTTGATGAATTGCCCGCAATGACTCCCCAGTACGGGGTCTATACCAACGCCAGTGACTCCTTGCTTGATCACACGCCTCTTCTGATGAACGACACGAAGGCCTTAGGAGCGACCGAGACTTCTTTACTTGTGTCTTCCGATTCCAAGACCAGGCTCATGGCTTTCTCACCCTTCTCGCATGTCAACGTTTGCCCGAAGCCATCAAACGCATAGTCTTCCTCGGCCAATTCGACGTCGTCATAAAGGTCGTCACGTAGTAGATTAAAGTCAGAATAAACATCGTCGGCTCCTTCGTCCTCATCTCCAGAGCCATCGGTCGAAGCTGCATAGGCATCGAAAGCGACATAGTCCTCGCCCGCGTCATCGATGATAGATTCGCAGTCTGGTGGTTTCTTGCTGCGAGGTGATGGACTTCTCGATGGTCTGCTGAACCCTGGTGTGCAAGACCTTCAAACATCAGCCACTCGTCGTCTGCGGTCTATCAACATTGTGATCGACTTACTCTATCCATGCTGCCCGTTGCGTAAGTCGACGATGGTCTACCCCTCGCATTCCACTGGTCCTTCGCTTCGTCGCAATCGAATTGAAGATCGCAGCTCGTCTAAGCAGGTCCCTACCACCTATCCGTGCTCGTGCCCAGAGCCCAGTCCGACAGGTTCTTCGAGCTGGGACAAACGTTGGGGGTGTCGCAAACAGATCGCTTAAATGAGACGTTATAAGTTCCAGCCGAAGTCTCCGCTTCTTTCTGGGAAAGCTGTCACCTCCATCATGGTTCGAGCTTCCGCAGTCTCTTCGCCTTTTCACCCCACGGGCAAAGCTCTGAGCACGTAACCTTGGAGAGCTCGAGTCAAATTGGAGTTTTACATCAATCCATTCGCTTTGTTTGACACCCTTCCCGACAAAGGTGTTGGTGAGGTTTGCAGGCTCCTCTAGAGGACAGGCTCGTCGTTTGCAGATCGTCACGACTTCACTTTCCTTCTGTTGCATCGCACATGGTCATGATAGTTGAATGTAATATCTACGTTTGACAAAGAAGAGAAAGAAAGCATGGGTCAGGATGTAGAGGAAAACGAAGTGAAGGTAAGCAGTTGGCTTGACAAATAGTATAACGCGGCCAGAAGCAGGCCATGTATGAATTTACAGTCTAGACCAATCGAGGGGATGGCAATGTTCCCCGTCCAAGCCCGTTCCCCGGATTCCCAGCACAGTGGGAGCTGCGGAGAATTTAGGTTATTTACCTTTACGCCGCCACTAGAGCATTGGGGAGAAGGGAGTAAGGCAATGCTCACTGGTGCATCTGGGTAGCTTGCGTCTCATTAGACGATTAGTTGGTCAAGCGACCCTCCCTGATGCATCTCGATTATTGATGCCTTCGCAGACGGCAAGCCCAACACCAGGTTGTAAGCGATCGAATTATCACCTGAAGGCTGGATTAAAGACGAGTTGAAATGTTGGTATTCGACGTAAGGGACCGTGACGGACCTCGCCTCAATCAGCGGGAGGCAGAAGGTGACACAGAATGTGTAATAATGCAACTGAGCGGAGAAGCCAATTCATGGGAAAATACTTCCACCGATCTAGTCAGGATTGTAATCAACCTGTCAAGTCTCCTCTTTTTGACAGGCAAAGCGAAACGAGAGAAGGCTTTGGGTCTGAGCGCGTCGATCATTGCATCAGCAATAACATATGAGGTGCGTAAGGCCGGCCGGGCTGTAGCGCTAGGAGAGAATCAACCTTTGAACGCGAAGACCAGGAGCGATAGTGCATCGTCTCAAGTCGAACCGCTCTAAGGCGTAGATCATCTCGTCGGTAATAGAGCTCATTCGTCCGCCTTTGAAAGCAGTCCTATGGAGGCTCTTGACCTCAACGCATCGAATATTTATAGAATAGCCAGCCCTTGAATGATTCTTCCCGTAGAGGAGATCGAGAGATGGGATGCGAAACCGATAGTGCAGCGTTTTGAATCATCAAGACCGATTTCCGGAAAAGGGGTGAATCAACGTGTCCGCCATCGTCGAGGCTGATCTCATTATTATTGGGCATCGCCCTAATTGCAAGTGGAAAGGGCCAGGTCACTTCGAAGTTGGAATTGCGGTTCTGAAGGTCAGCGCTCCGTTCATAAATGTGATGGTTCGTTCGTCTTATACCTTAATAAAACTTTATGCAGGGTCTCGAAAGGCTTGCACAAACGGCTACCCCGCTCCACCTGCAGGCTGCAGCTCTGTCCCGCGTGCCCAAAGCTGACATGCCAAGCCCTATCTGAGATGTCAGCCGGAACAACGGGGGAACAATGACGCCGACCGGCAAGCTTCGGGTTGCGTCCGCCAAACTTGCATGCTCATGCAGCTTGAATTGGCCCATCTGATTCCCAACCGCCATTATGAGTGGATCGCAGATACCGATTACGCCAAACATGGCCCAAAATAAATGACAGTCCTGCGCCTTGGGCCCCGTGAGTAGCCCGCCCTACGTGGCCGCTGCCCGAGTCTGGATGGCTGATGTGATACCTGCGATCCGGGTCACTCAAAATAATCATAGCGATGGCGCTCCGCAAGCTGATCTTCCTAAACGGACGTCGCTCTCAACTAATGGAGGTGGAATACTAGGGCGTCCGAAGTCCCCAGAACTGGGTGAAACCGGGGGTAAGCACTCCTTGCACAGCCTGATATGAAGCTAGGACACGCCGTTTCGCCCTCTTCTGACCGTCAGGCAGTGCGACCTGTTTCTACGGGGAACCCGTATGCGAGCAAGCTGCTTCCTACCTTTGCGAGCACACAAGGGAGTACGAAGAATTCGGTCAGTGAAGGTGGGAGAAGAGACAGCCAGATAGATCCAATCTCGCAGGTAGGGTTCCTACTTTTCTTTCGCACAATACTTTCCTAGAACGGATCGCCTAGCCAGACTTTACCGGCTTACCACGAAACCCAAACTCGCAAACAGACTATTTTGCAGAGAACGAGCACACCTGTCTCACAACCATCAAGAATGCTATCGCCCCGCATTTCCGAAGAAGCAAAAAGCAGTTCCACAGAGACTGTCCCTGCGGTAGCATCCAGTCGTACGTCTGTAGAGCCCGATAGTGGCACCGCAAAAGACAAGAGGTATGCTTATTAAGATTATAGCGCTCAGCCGCAGTTCTGACATCAGTTGAGCCCAAGAATTTAGCGCCAGGCTGACAATTCTTCTAATCATTAGGAACAGGTCTTTCTTTAGTCGATTGGTCGCCCCCAAGAAGAAAGATGTTGACTCTTCCGAAAATAATGAGAAGGAGTCGGAAGCAGGCGACAAAAGGGCGGAAGGAATGGATGCAGCGGTCTTCTCTCAGCCGATAGGATATGTCCCCCAATTCCCGTCCCCTCCGAAATACGTCAAAGTCCGCTCGCATGGCAAGAAGGAGCGGAATTTCAATCGAGTCTTTCTTGCGCAAGAATTAAGAGGGAGAACTGGGGTGGAAATTGCACAAAGTGGGGGCAGGTCTGTCAAGAGTGCGGCACCTGGTTTGGACGCAAGAAAAGATGGCGACGCTATTTGGGCTATGGAATTCTCAAAAGATGGGAAATACCTTGCTGCCGGTGGCAAAGACTACGTTGTGAGGGTCTGGGCCGTGCTTTCGAGTAGGGAAGAGCGACAGCTACATGAGAGCGAAGAGAACAATGCCACCAATGATAGCCAACGGGTCCATCTCAACGCCCCCGTCTTTCAAAAACGAACTGTACAAGAATATTCTGGGCATACCGCAAGCATTCTCGATCTCAGCTGGAGCAAAAATTCTTTTCTACTTTCGTCTTCCATGGATAAGACCGTCCGCTTGTGGCACGTTAGTCGGCAAGAGTGTCTGTGTTGCTTTAGACATCAAGATTTTGTTACCAGTATACAATTCCATCCGCGGGATGACAGATTCTTTCTTGCTGGGTCCCTTGACTCCAAATTGCGACTGTGGAGTATTCCCGATAAAAATGTTGCCTACTGGAACACGTTGCCCAATCTCATCACCGCTGTGGCCTTCTCCCCAGACGGTAAAACGGCTATTGCTGGCTGCTTGAATGGACAGTGTTTATTCTATGAAACGGAGGGGCTCAAGTACTCTACGCAAATGGCAGTTAGATCGGCTCACGGGAAAAATGCAAAAGGCAGCAAAATTACAGGCATTCAGGCCATTACTTATCCACCGGACGACCTCAATGGAGAGGTCAAGCTTTTGATTACAAGTAATGACTCTCGAGTCCGTGTCTACAATTTGAGAGACAAAAGCCTCGAGCTCAAGCTCAAAGGCAACGAAAATTCTTGTAGTCAGATCCATGCAACGTTTAGTGACGATGCAAAGTATATTATCTGTGGAAGTGAGGACCGGAGAGCATACATTTGGCCTACGAGCCCTGCAGAAAGCGAGAAAGATAAACGAGCAGTAGAGATGTTCGAGGCTCACCAGGCCATCGTCACGGCTGCTATCATGGCCCCTATCTGTACCCGACAGGTCTTAAGTGCATCGGGTGATCCTCTTTACGACCTTTGCAACCCACCACCTGTGACTCTCATCAGCCGATCACAGTCGCATGTCTCCTTGAGTCCGCCATCAGAAGAAGCTCCACAACCCAGTCTTACTATGCCCCCAACGCCGGCGACTGCTGACTTCACTAAAGCTATCAAGCCCGAGGAATCGCCTTCGTATCTCTCAAGAACTTCCCATCCCAATGGCAACATTATCGTCACCGCAGATTTTCGGGGCGTCATTAAAGTTTTCCGTCAAGATTGCGCGTACAAAAACAGAATGCGCAATAATGATTCGGCATTGTCTAGGAAAATGTTGGGTAGGACGAATTCTGTAGCAACAAAGGGCAGCACTCGCTCCGGCTCGCGCAATTCTCTCCAATTAAATCATCCGTCAGACCGGATACTGTCATGGAGACAGTCCATCAACAATACGACAAGCAGCTTTGATAGCTTTCGACACAATAGCACCGCCAGCGCCCAAACCCGGTCAATATCGCCTCGAAAGTCCGTCGGTCAAGTATCTCTTCACTCTACTTCACGCCATCCGAGCCAGACGACTCCAGCTTTGCCCAATGGCTCACCCCAGGCCAGTCCACTACAGCCGTCTCCGCCAGAACTCAAGGGCTTTCCTGCGTCCGGACAGAAAAGGAAGCCCTATGCAGCTATCCCAAATAAGGATGGAGCAATGGATCCACTCATGCTTCAAGGAGACCAAAGCTACATGTTCTGGAATCAACAGACGTACAAAGACCAAGCCGCAAACGCTTCTCACCTTGACCCATCAAAATATGACTACTCTAGCACGGCTGGTAGTAGCACTGGCAGCGTAGCCAGCCCTGGGCATGATGCAAGCCACCTTGGAGCACCCGTTGGCCGCGAGATTACAAATGCATCCAGGTTGAGCAGTGAAGAGAATTCGGAAGCTGAAGGGAGTAGCGGCGAGGGTGCAGAAGTTGCGTGTACCAGATGTGGGGGGACTGACTTCAAGGCACGCATTGAAGGGGCACGGAAACAGATTCTGGTCTGTAACAAATGTGGTAATTATATTTGACGTCGATACAAATGGGCATTGGAGTTTTTATAAAGAAAGGGTTTGAGTTGGACAGGGTTCCCTGAGCGTATTGGTTACGGCTTCTCCATGATGGAAGACCTAGTAGGCCCACAGCTTCTATCTTTAGTATCGAATACACCTGCTACCTCCTCCATGTATCGGATGGATCGGAAGCTATCAGCATCGCAACCTAAGACTGCCCTGCCTCAGCCCGGATGCGTTTTGTACAGGCCGATGTAACTTCGACCCCTTGCTGTCCCTGCCTGTGGAGGTCACGTAAGCGCCAAGTCCCAATGAATGAAGGGAACGATTGGCAGGATAAAGAGTCATTTGCAGTCACTTCACCACCACCACATCGTCCTCGCGCCTGCCCGCTTGGTCTGGAGACTATCATTAATATTGTCCAAGGCAATTCAATCATCAAACTGACGTGCTGGGTTCCGGAGCCTACTCTTCGTGTTACGGTCAGACCGATGGCACGCGCCAATGAGTCACTGTCGCGCGAAGCTACCTTTCCCGGCCGCATCCTCACCTCAGGGCAGGTAAGAAGGTCTAGGCAGCATCTTTAGAACTATATATGGATTGCTTCCTTCGCCCATCATTTTACTCCCGTATCAGTCCCCTCAACGTTCGTCTGTTGCATCGCATTGTCTGTGTCCAATTAAGTTTCAAGTACCTGCGCCCTTTCATTGCTTCATGGCTATCTGAGCTCTCTCTTTCACCATGTCGGGGAATATCAGCGCTTCGTCTCTGGTCCTTTCCTTGCTCAAACCTACGCTACTTCTAGCAATTTGCTTCATCTCTTACAAATCTTTCCGTTTCTTCAATCGGCGCCGTCATTACAAGAAGCTCGCCAAAGCATGGGGTTGTGCTCCTCCCAAGGCGATGAAGGTGAAGGACCCTGTCTTTGGCCTGGATCTTCTACGGAAAGTCTTGAAGGATCTTGCGTGAGTATCAACTTGACGCTTGGGACTTGACTTGACTAAAGAAGCACAGCAATCATTGCCTTTTAGAGGAGAACCAAAAAGCCTTCAAGAAATTACAAGCAAACACGATTTCCATTATGTCGCAGTATAGAGTCATAACTACAACAGAGCCAGAGAATGTGAAATGCATCCTAGCTACCGTGAGTCTGAGCTCAAAGCCCCTGCGAACAAGACATCAATGGTTACGAACCAAAAGGTGGATGAAATATTGGCCTCAAGACTGTAACTTTTCCCCAGGTGGAGCTAACTCCAAATCTATGTAGAAATTCAAGGATTTCAAAATCGATGATAACAGGAAGAAAGCGCTGATTCCCATAATCGGAGAAGGGATTTTTACGTCGGACGGACAAGCTTGGGAGCACTCGCGGGGTTTGCTCAAGCCCCAATTCGCCCGAGCCCAGTTTGACGATGCGGAACTCTTCGATAAGCATGCTGATAATCTCATCAAAGCGATACCGAGAAATGGGGAAGAAGTAGATTTGCAGCCATTGCTCGGCTCTGCAGGCCTAGATATTGTGACAGAATTCCTTTTTGGCCATAGCACAGGATCCCTAGATCCAGAACGACTCAAAAACGGTAGCACTACTAAAAGTGGCGCAGAGAAGTTCTACGAAGCCTTCGCTTATCTTGTGCAAGGTATCAACGGGCAAAATTCGCGCTTCGGTGTCCTTGGTCTGTTCTTGCCCGACTGGACTACGAAAAAGCACGTCAAAATCATGCACAATTTTGTTGACGAAATCATCGAGACGGCAGTGGCAGAGCAGAAGAAGTCAAGTGCATCGCTCGACTCAAAGCCCCAGCGGTACACATTGCTCTCAGAACTCGTGAAGTCGACGGATTATTCTCAAGAAGTGTCGCGAGAAAGGCTCAGATCTGAGCTGTTGAATATCCTACTAGCCGGTCGAGATACGACAGATTCACTCATAAGCAACATCTCTTTTGTGCTCTCGCAGCGCCCCGACATACTAGCGAAATTGCAACAAGAAATATCGGACTCTGACATCCCCCTTACACCCAGCTTCTCCCAAATTAAATCGCTGCAATATCTGCGAGCTGTCATAAACGAATCGGAGCGTTTGTACCCGAACGTACCGGAGAACAATCGTCAGGCTGCCACGGATACAATCCTACCACTCGGAGGAGGTCCCGATGAAAAGGCTCCGGTCTTTGTGGCAAAAGGCACGCTCGTGGCTTGGAGTGTCTACACCATGCAGCGACGAAAAGACTTATACGGCGATGATGCTGACGAATTTAAGCCGGAGAGGTGGCTGGATATTAAAGGTGGCGAAGAGGGAGAAGGAGGAGGAGGAGAAAAGAAAGGGCTTCGAGTCTCATGGGAGTATCTCCCCTTCCATGGGGGACCAAGAGTCTGTCTTGGCCAGCAGTTCGCTCTGATGGAGGTAAGCTACCTGACCGTCAAAATCGTGCGGGAGTTTAAGACTATTGAGGCTGTGGAGAAGAGACCTTGGAGAGAGAAGATAGGAATTGTTGCTACCATTGATGGTGGGGTCAAAGTGAAGGTCAAACCATGGACGTGAGGCGTAGGAGCGGCTCTTAGAACAAATCAGCGCCACTTATCGTCAGTATTCACCTGTACAAGTATTCCACTCCATTATGTAAAAATAAAAATGATATCCACTCCTGGTCAGGAAATCTCGAGCTAAAAGCAAAGCTGACATTGCTTCGGTCATTTTGTACATTTAGATTCCTCGCTAGATCGAGGGGGTTTTTAGCCAAAATAAGGGGCTATGGAATCTCCTGGGACCCAAACAACGCATCATATATATCCGTAATATTCTTACAGACGTCCACTCTATCCTCCCAATCATGAAAGTTCTTCTCCAGCTCACATCCTGTCCACCGTACCGCATCCCAAGCCTCTTTCTCGACATCCCTCCCGAAGAACGTCGCCTCCAGTTCCTCCTTCGTCCCAAACATTCTTCCATTGATCTCCTCCCGCCACTTCTCTGCCACTCTGCCGGCATTTAATTTATAAGTCTGCGCATGTATGAACGCATGTCTCATCATATCCTTGCCCTCAAACTCCCCCGGGGATCGTGTTGCGTAGAGGCGCTAGCATGCTTACCTCCAATCGTAGGCGCGTTGTGTTGCATCTTTGCTACTCCGGGGCCCTTGGGATGAAACCCTAGTTGTAAAATTGGGGTTTTCACGTCGTAGAAGGGCGCATTCAGCGCCATGGCGGCGGCAAGATATGTTTCTTTGTCGCCTTGGCCTACGGCACCTTGGGATAGGAGTGGATAGTAATGCGAGGGCCCGTAGACATTGTAGTAGGCTATCAGGAGAAGGGTGAGCGCGTGTTTGGATTTCGAGAGGAGGACTTGGCCGGAGTCGGTGGATGCGCGGTCGCCGGCTGATGAAATTGTGGGGATTGAGGCAATGGAGAAGAAGAGGGGAGAGGCGGTGTTGGCCCAGTAGTCGGGCCAGATTATGAGGCCCGTTGTGTTGAAGGGAGCGGCGGTCATAAGGTCCTCCGGGGGCTGTACGGCGAGGTTGTCAGCATCGAGGAGGAGAACAGAGTCAAAGGTGGAGAAGAGGAGGGCGAAGGGTTTGAGTTGGTATTTGGAGACTGTGAAGTTCGAGTGCGTAGAGTTTAGGATGGAGCTGAAGAGGATGCAACGGGCGTTGAGAGAGGGAAGTACGATTGAGCAGATCGAGGGCTCGTAGACTTCAGGGAATTCTATGAAAACTTCGACAGGGAGAGTAGAGCCTGAATTCCTCAAGATTTTGAGAGATACGACGAGTTCGGGTACCCATTCCCCTGACGCTGTGACCGCAATGCCTTTTGAGCCCTGCTGATACGGCAGCTTCGGGGCCAATTCCCGCGCTATTTCGACGTACTGGGTATGTGAGGCACGCAAGAGCTGGACATGCTCATCTGATAAATCTATGAGATCCTGTCGATGGTTGAACATTGCCCGGTTGCGGCCATCGTATGGATTGATCATCGCCTCAACATGCTTGTTGGGCAGAGGAACTGGAGGGGCCGCATCTTTCAAAGCAACAGAGAAGTTGCCCCAAAAAGTTATGAGCTCAATCTCAAAGCCAGTGGGAGACTCTGAAGTCTTTGATCTCGGATGGAACCAATTGAGGAGGAGGAGAGCAAGAAGAGCGGCTAGGAAAAGCACAGCAATTCTTCTGCGAATGACCATGGCAATGTGTATAGGAAAGATGCAATGGGTGCAACATACTGCCCAAAAAGTACGATTGTGCCCTTTTTGTACACCATGGCCTCTATGTGTTAAGGTTGGTGTTACAGTGGAATACTGTCTCACCAGTGAGGAGGTGGCTCTTGAGGATGGTGTTGTGGAGCTAGTACATATCAGGTTAGACCGAATGAGATATAAATAAATGCCCTTCAATGATTCCTTCGATCCATTAAAACACGAATCGCACTATTGTGTAGTCGACTTTCGAATCCAGACGTGTATGTTCCGAGCAGCTCGCAGAAAGAGGCCCCTACGACGACTACTCTAGGAAGCAAAGGATCAGAAGGTCAACCATCGCGTGAAATAATTGACTCTTGTGGATTGATACGTAAGGTGGGTCGGCGGTAGTCCGATGGGAACAGTCAACAGCTGCCTTTGCTTGCAAGAAAAACCAGACTCGAGGAAAGCGTCGAGCTATAACTAAGGGGTTCACATACGTCCCCTTTTGCCGCGCATAGCGTCTGTACGGTGGAATATCGAAGCGTTTCACGAATGAAAGCTGGATCTCCCAACACGTTCTGTACAGCTCGCGTATCCACTCAAGGAATACTGTGGTACCAAGCGTCTGGCAGTGGTCTGAGAGCTCGGTACCTCGCTAATAATGGGGAAACGCCCACCACCACCTCGCGGGAAGGTCCTGATGAGTGTTGGCAATATTCTAGAGGGAACAGAAGGACTGCAATGGCTTGAAGGGGGAGGTGAGAGAGATATAAACTCTTGCGAGGCCATACGGCAGGCCAATTCAGCCGTCAATGGAGCGCTTCTTGTCTGCGAGACTACTACCGTGGCGACTTGCGAGGAATCACAGAGCGTAATAAGGTAATTCTAATAAGCCAGACTGCTCCGCCACAACAGAGTCTAGAGGCTAGAACTAGTTCTTTGTTTCGTTCCGACCGTGTCAAGCAAGCACTGCGGGCGTCAAAATTCCCGCGAACGATACCTTACGCCAGATTTGGCGGCCTTTCATTATTGAGTCTTGCTCTAGAAAGGCGAAGTCACCTCGACGTACAGTAGAGAGGCCCACAGTCCTGCCCCTGAGCATAAAGTTCCCTTCCCTCCATGGAGCAGCACTAATCATATGCAAGCCGATCTTGCGAAGGACACCCTCCTGTCATCACTTCGCAAGATGCTATATGCGAGCGTCTCCAATGCTTGCCACCGTAGTCGTACGTACGGGCTGTGGCACACTGCTTTCCGGCCTATCAATAATCAAACACTCCTGACGATTCGAACTGTTCAGCTCAACGTCTCCTCTCCGCACCAGCCGCACGGTATTGATACGTAAGGTAATTAATTCTAGCAGCGGCTCCCACACTGCGGACCGCCAAACCTCAAAACACCAACCCTTTCTAGATTCTTGTCCGCAATTATATGACTTTCCGCTTACGAAGGTTTTTCTTCACCAATCTATGCTAGACAACGCGAACCAAAACCTATCAGGCCTGCTCAAATCTGTTCCGACCTGAAGTTTGTGCGTGCTGGTAGGACGTGAGCTAGCTGGAGCTACGTAAAAGCGTGAAACGAGCGTGTTTGCGCTCTTCACTAAGGTCGGCACAGTTCTGATTGTTTCCATCTTCAAATCTTGCGACCTCGCTCTCAATATGGCAGACACCACAACCTTTCTCGCAAGATCATCTCAAATTGAATCTCTGAAGCGACATTGTCAACTACAAGCTTTACCGACGCAGGATATAAATATCCCCTGCTTTCCACCTGTTCCATGCTTTCTCCATCAGCCTCCATCCTTCCAAACAATCATTCCCAATACCCAATACTTCAAGTCGAACCCAAATAGAAACAGCACTCCTCCAAGTCCTCTACAGCCACAACAATGAAGGCCTCATACATCCTTTCTCTCCTGACCGTCCTGGCCACCTCAGGCATCACCCTAGCCAGTCCTGCCCCACTTGCAGCAGAAGCACTAGAACCCAGGACGACCTGCGACGATGGTACCGGCCACGTCCAAGGCACGGGCTGCAAGCAGTTCCCGAATGGAAAATTGACATGCAGTTGTGATGATCTGGACGTTGTGAGTTGCCTTTTTCTCCGACTCGATCCCTCCGGGCTCTCTCTACAAGAGCTTCTTCATCAATCGATCTTAGTGGCTTGGCTAATCATCGCAAATCACAGCTTATTTGCAAGGCTGGCGTCTGGGAGATCAAAACGCGGTGTCCAGTTACCGGTGGTGTCCGGCCCGTGCAAGAAAGATGCCTGAATTCGGCATCTACGTCACCCCACTGCGGAATTTAGAGTCTGTCCAGTTATTCCACAGGCTAGGTGTGGAAAGTCCGCTGAGTTCCGGCTGGGAAAGCAGGGAAGGAATGAAAAAAATGTGCTTGAGTAGGAAAAGACTTGTTGAGGTGGGAAGTTCCGTTGAAGCATCTGTACTGTAAGAAGAGAAACGCTCCTTTGACCGATCGAGTACATAGACATTTTTAGCTTTGATGCCTAACATTTTTCGGCTGTTCTACTTGGCAACGTTCAATTGATATTCTGACTTCCAACTTCTGCTCATGTCTGAAAATATGTGTCGTCCTACAATCAAGGCAGTATCGTCTACCTCGGGCCAGGGAATGATGAGCTCGGCCCTCCAGCGTGCATGCTCCTCGTTATACGCATAAACGGCAACTGTCAGAATTTGAGCACCGTTTCTCTCTTTGCAGGACCGATGCTAGCAGCTCTCGGATGTGTGCGTCGAGTGCACTCATCTCTCTGGGAGTCTGTGACCCATCAGTCACGCAATCGAGCATTATCCAGTCTGCTTTAGATCATTGCAAGAATCGGCATGGCCCCTTTGAGAACTGGTGCACCAAGACCGTTGGCGGCCTGGTACTAATTCACAGCCTGTGTAGCCGCCGCTCTGGCCATTGTCGGTCGAGAGTGACACGAATCATTAGCACTATTCACCTAGCTGAGATACAAGCGGTCATCTGCACTCAAGGTTGAGCCCCGATCGACACGCCGCACACTTTCCGTACGCCTGGGAGCCTCTCGTTTTGCTCGCAAAGCCGTGACCAGTCGGTCAACCAATTGTGTGATCATCATTCCCAAAGAGTCATTATTCGGGTTCACCTCTGTAATTACCATCGAGAGGACCTTAGGGCTTTCAATGAAGACGGTAACAGCATCCATCGCGGTGTCAAAATCCAGTCCTGCATAATGAGGGTAATTAGCCAAGGGAAAGAGACCTGAGTCTATGACATCGACATCAAAGTGGAGAAGGATAACGTCGACTCTTTCTTCAAGCCATGATACTGCTTGCCTTGCACACTCGATGGGGTCTTTCTCGACCGTCGGACGGCTGAAGCATTTGAACCCGTTTTCGAGAAGGTAGACCCAATGTTCTGTTGCTGGTTGAAGGGGATCAAACCCGAAAAGTACGATGTTCTCGGGGTTGACAAGCGGGGACCCTTTTGGGTTGTTGAACTGCTCCATACTCTCCAATCCGCCTCGTCGCCTTGTCAGATGGGTCATGACCATGGAATCTAGGATACCGCTAGAGCCTTCGGTTGAGGTCTGCGAAGGTAGTGTTAGGTCGACGTCTCCGTCTACGTAGATTAATCCGACTTTCTTGTGTGGATACCAATGACTGAAGCCAGAAAAAATTGCAGGCGTGATGCTACAATCCCCCCTAAGAAGATGTGAAATAGTTCTTCGGATGCAACCTCACAGCTTGTTGCCAATTTTGCTTTGATTTCTTGCATGACCTTGAGCGCGTTCGAAAGATTACGGACCCCTTCAATTTTGGGCGAAGGCTTCCAGGAAATTGCCTCTTCGGTCTCGGTATCGGAAAAGATACCATACGCCGTTTGGGAGCCGTAACTGCCTCCCCATAGGTCCGCGTCATTTAATTTGTGCTCGAGTCCTCCACGTTCCAGGAAAGCAGCTGGAGCCTTACATTGTCCAGCGAAATGGGTACCCGCTTCGGTGGGCATAAGAGTAACGGCAACCTTCAAGCGGTCCTCGAAGTAGGGGTCGTCTGAATTTGATTCAGAGGACATGATCACGCATAGAAGATTCTCTATCTACCGGTCATCGCGTCGTCAAATACGAGACCATTTGCTACCCCAAGCACATGCATATGGGTGAACGAAAGACAGCGACTCGGCTCGAGTGATCGAATGTACTTTCAGGCTGCCATAAGCGATGATGACGGATCAATTCCATTGCTTAAAGCTTTAGGGGTAATTACTCGTATAGGGATACGACCCTTCTACTGCCCCTAAGGTATTTCCCGCCATATGGGCTTGGCAGTGGCAATATCACACCCGCCGCTTAAGTCACCAATACCTGGGTTTGACTCTTTCCTTGGGAAAACAAAATGTCCTGCGCGTCTTGATCGTCCTCAAAGTATCTGCGGCATTTGTCTTCCAGTATCAGGCCTAAGACAATCCAAACGTGGCAAGTGTTCATCCCTAATCATCGCTGTCACTTTCCTTGAAAGAGCTGGCCTCGACTCGAGGGTTCCGGCTTATTTCTTCTGCTTAATTGGAAGCTTGTCCAGAAATTAAGTGAGTATTGAGCTCCGAGGAAGGCTCTTTTGATTGGTCGTTCGAGGCGACGTCGGTTGAAAAACACATGGCCGGTAGAGGAGCCGCTTTAGGCGTAATGGGCGAGGACGTTGGTTCGGGAAGATTGTCAGAATCGTTTTCAGACTCCCGTAAGAGGTCTGCGTAAGGATCATCAAGTGTATCGTTTCCCGCACAGACGCCCTCCTGGTGGTCCACTCCAAGTAGGCTTTCCTCACTGGAGCATGAATGTAAAGCCGGGCCGTGCAATTTGGCTGAGACTACTCCACCATCCTCTTCAGAAGAGGAGCTTGCGGCGAAAGGATTCACCTCAAGCTCTGTGTCTGTGGTACTGTTTTCTTCGTGCTTTGCTCGTGCAGGATTAACGGAAGTGATCTTGGCGGGGCGTCCGCTTGCGATGAGAATTGATTCTAAATCGCCATTATCGTCGCTGGAAGTAGAGGAGTTGAAGTCTTCAATGCTGACATCAGTGGGGCGCGTTGACGCTTTCTCCACGTTATCGTCAGGTAAGCGGACAAACCTCTTTTCCCGGCCCACAGACGCGGTGGCTTTATTTCGATGGAATCCTCGCGGAACCTTCATCACAGAGTAATTTGAAGGCAGTGCGCCTTGATCTAGAACATCAGACGACAAAGGTTCATTCTCAATGTGAGCAGTGATTAAGACTTTGATAGTCATGTTACCGCCCTCTACGAGATCACTCAGCCTTTGTAGGAGCTGGAGAGCATCCGATCGATCTTCGTCAGAGTCCCTTTCTAGCAAGTCGGCGTTGTCGATCATGAGCCAAACGCAGCCAATTCTCGCAACCTCCAGGATATCCATGAACAAGGCCCACAATTCCTCGATATCTGCTCCTGCTTGTTCAAATCGCTGTAGAACAAACCGGGAGTCTTTATCCTTGAATCTCTTCATGCTCCGATATAAGATTTGGAAAATCATTGATTGAATAGTGAGCGCAGCCGTTGAGGCCGGCTTGTCGGCGTTAGCTTTCTGGCAGAAATGTCTCAGTACTACAGACTGGTCTAACTTCTCCGTGTGATCAATCAGTTCAAGCACCAAAGCCGTCTTCCAGTCGGTAAATCTTGTTTCCAGGTAGCTGTCAATCCATAGAAGGGACGAATCGCGTTCGCTAAGCCAGGTCTGCATCTTGAGGTTCCTCAAAATGGTCACACACTGTTGGTATTCGAATGGTCGAAGACGGCGATTCCTGGCTCGAAGAAAGCTCTCGGTTTTCTAATGGACCTGTTAGCAATTTAGGCCAAGACGCAGGCAGAGCGAGAATCGAAGGAAGGCTGGGACACTCGCTTGCCAAGTGTTTACAAGACAACAGTATAGTACAGCCGATTTCTATAGCCAAAATAAAACCCTGTCGAAATGCGGAGGTCATAAGTGATTTCAAGGGGAAACCGGAATAGAGACGCAGAAGCAGACAAAGGTGGGTATCGTGAAGAGATACAATCCAACTTACGTCAAAATAACGCAGCAGAGGAAAGCAGGCATCCCGAAATTTTATGATTTCTTCTGTCGAAGAGGCGCGAACGGCAAAGTATTCTTGCTTGTCCTTCGAGCCAGAACTACCGCGGCCTTTGCTGGTCATGCTAGCCGATTTCCCTGACGTTGGTACAGGTTCGATTCCAGAGCTTTGTTGCGCAATCAATTCGTCAAAGCGTTGTAGCCACTTCGTATGAAATGTGCCAAGCAGCCCAGAGATCTCCTGCTTCATCTCGTCTCTCAGCTCCTCCCTAATTTGTTCCCTCATTTGGTTGCTCTTTGACTGGTTCGCTTGGTCTGTACTCCGTTCTTGTTGTAACACGGTTCGATTTTCTTGTACGCAATCCCATATGGACTCAAGAAGGTGCTTGCTTCTGAGACTTGTATGGTAATGACTTGCGTGTGCGAGTTCCTGAATTCGGCGGAATTGATGATCCATCAGTGAAACCAATTTGTCAAATTTGGTTTCCCACGGAAAAGTAAATGCTTCTAAGACCTTTGTGATTCTACATTTAGAATAGCATCGAAGTGCTTTCCCTAAGAATTGGGAGAAACTTGCGTAAAGGAGACCAACGGCCTCCACCATCTTATCCGTGGGTGTATAGCAGAGAAGCTGGTTAACCAGTCCAATTCTCTCTCCAATGGCCAACAGGTACGCTTCAACGTTGTCCTTCAATTTTGAATGGCTGATTTGGGCAACAAGCAGAATTTTCAGGGCTCCCCATGCCGCACTTGCATATCTAGGGCAGTCATCAGAAAAGACGCTGCGAAAACAGGACGGGACATACTCTGGGGATTGATTCATCACCACATCCAGCAGTTTGGTGTACTCTAAGGCTACTGCCGAGAAGTTGCCGTGCCATCTAGTGCCTTGCCTTTCAATCCCTCGCTTTTGCTGCTTTTCCGAAGCCTTTTTGGCCATCTGTTGGAATAGCTCAGTCACGCTGGCTTGCGCCAGGACGACGTCCATCCACTTGTGCTCAGTTGCCTTTGCTTCGTATGCCTCCAAGTTTTTCCGCAGGGTCTTCAGTGAATGCTGCACGGCTACTTGTGCGGCAATTGCAGTGCCCCATGCTTCTTTACACTGGAGGTCGGCATTGCTTTTCGTTCTTGTAACCTTCGGCATTAGGGGTATATCAACATCGTCTGAACTTAAATCAGACGATTCGATCTTATGATCTTTCAAATGCGACGCTTGAGATGAATGAAATCTGCCCTCGTCTGATTTTCGCCTGACTTTCGAGCCCAGGCTGCTGAAGGTGAATCTGGTCCGGAGGGGCTTCGGGGGCACGCTGACATTGACATTGGGCCCAACATCATCTTCGTCACTTGACATGCTGTCCGTCATCTACGCCAGTTTGATGACCCAATTGAGCTCGTCCCGACCATGCTGCTAGCATATGGTTTTGAACATTGTCTGCAGATATCAATAGAAGTGAAAGAGGTGTGAGTGCTTCCAGGCCTTACGCACGGAAAAGTCGACAGCGGAGGTGACCAGGAAGCCGAGGACGTCCCAATCGCGATGAAACAACAATGGCCAGCCTTGTGGTGTAAGATTAGCTGCATCATGGCCAAGACTTTGCGGTGATCTGCAAGTTCCAGGCACGGTCTGCTCGAGTAGACTTGCTTAGATGAACTTGCCCCCACCCCAATGCTACTCCATGGTACTGCAGAAGGGGCCAAAGTCCAGGAATGAGGCTCCGGGCTTGATGTCGACCAATCACGACTTGCTGCCCGCCACCACACGGCTGAGACTGCATGCATCATTAGACGGATGTGCTAAGAATTGTAGCGCAAGGCTGCGATTGCTCACACCGCTGATACCACCACTCGACCTCCCTATAACGGTCTTACTGTCAGTCGCGTAAATCTAGAACAGCGTGCCTTCAGGGCCAAGAATGTCAGCACCAAAACCCTGTCCATGTACTGTTTCCCTCGAATTTTGGAGACTTTGTTTGAATCTTACCCTCATCTTGCACTTAGAATCATGATGGCTTCCAGCAATTTCGACGACATCCCGATATCACGTCGATCGCACAGGGGATCCAAAGGCCAAATCTACACTGGTCCTGCTGAAGATGAATCTCAGGATGGCAACAATTCTTTGTTTGTCCCTGAAAGCGAGGCTCGCAACCAAAGCGTAGGAGCCGTCTCCCCATACGTGAAGGATCTGGAAAGTGCTATCACAGCTTTGGGAGGCCAACAAGTGCTTCAAAGAATCCGGCTATCCCATTCGCGGCGATCTCGAAGCAATATCGATCTGGACGAAAGTCCTCGCTCCGAACGATTACCAGCCAATGACGAATCGCGCCTTCGAGCCGATACTTTTATGCCCAAAGAAGAGCCTAATAGTGGCTGGAAACTGGAGATTAAACGCTGGAAACGTGTTAATAATCGTTATGGGTCGTCGGATCTGTACGACGAGAGCGAGAAGATCGAGGATATCCGTAAAAGGGAGCAGGAAATCAGGAGCGGCGGCTATCCCATACTGATATATGACGAATTCGATACAGATGGCAACAAAATGCATATCTTGCTTGAGGTTGAGTCTTCTGCTCTCCTAGACCTTCTGCGACGAGTAATTACATTTCACCCTGGGGACGAATTTGATGTGCTACGTGGAAAGGATCAGAACGACGGCGAGGGCGTGGCCTTCTCAGATCCATTCATGATCTTTTGGGACCATACATCACAACTGAAAGCAAGCCTTCAAGGAGACTTTCCTGAAGACGCTAAGCAGCACGTAGGATTATTATTGGGGTTTTTGAAGAAAGAGTATCCCGTAACCAGCGCTAAGCTAGCCGAAATCCAGGAAGGTAGATGCAAAAAGATCTCCTATGAGAAACTTTGGTTACTGTATAGCCCAAACACGGCGGTGTATGCACGCAAAGGTTCCGATATTCGCCAGATGGTAGTATATGCTCGTGTACGAAACCCGAATAAGACGCTCAAATTGACCTGTTGGGAGACGAAATGTGAAAAGTTAGTGAACCTTCCTTGTGGGGGAAATGCTCCGAAGAATCCGCTGACTTCGTCACTTGCTCAGGGGGTGTTCAAAAGGGGCTTCTCGGAGCTTGACATAGAGCCGTACGCTGGCGAGAAGAGCATCAGTAATCTTGAACTTGTCCCTGTGCAATATATGGACAAGAAAGATGAGCTACACATGAAGCTTGTCGAGCGGGGAAAGCGATATTTCGAAATGAATAAGGCACCTTTGCTACAAAGCTACTTTGGAGACAAGTTTCCGCGGATCTACAAGGACGTTAGTGAGACTGGTAAACTTTGAAATGCTGAGCACCTACTGAGGCAAGCGTAGGAGCCCATTCGGGTCGTAGTCGACGAAGCTACGGTGAGCAAGCCGGCCTTAGTCTCGTCTCGTCAAGTACTTGCTTATTCATGGTCAGTACTGGCGTGAGAATCCACCCTTGGTGGAAACGAACGAAAGCCCATCTCAAGACTACGGCTTTCCCCCTGGAGAACAAGATCTTGTAGATCATAGCGGGTGAGTGGAAGCCATGTAACGCCTGATTAGAAGTGCATTGATTGAGGAAAAAATTTAGTTCCCCATCTGAGAATACTCTGCTGCGTTGCTTCCCCAAAGTAGGCGTATATTCGTTACGCAGTAAGAAATGGGGTAAGCAACAACGTATTTTGAAAGAAATCGAAACTGACATGATACAGCCTTAGTGAAAGTGGACGATTTGCAACCAGTCCAATTTAGAGAGAGAGCTTTCAAACGATTGGTGATACGAGATGACCATAAAAACCTAATCAAGGCAATGGTTCAAGCATACAAGGAAGAATCCCCTGGCTTCGCTGACGTGGTCGCTGGCAAGGGCAGGGGCCTCTTCATACTACTACACGGCCCCCCTGGCGTTGGTAAGACTTTGACCGCTGAGTGTGTAGCGGAAAAGCAACAATTACCGTTATACACTATAAGCTGCGGAGATCTGGGTACCGAGCCAGAGGTCCTGGAGGAACGATTAAAAAAAATCTTCGAGTATTGCTGTAAATGGAAGGCGGTCCTGCTGCTAGATGAAGCCGATATATTTCTGCAAGAGAGAGATATCCAAGATGTCAAGAGGAACGCTCTAGTGTCAATATTTCTGCGTGAACTTGACTACTTCGAAGGAATTCTCTTTCTTACGACGAATCGTCCAGGGGACATTGACGAAGCCTTCGTGTCTCGGATTCATGTCACATTGGGCTTGAGTTCGCTCAATAAAGCGGAGCAACGTAAGGTATGGACGATATTCTTCAAGGACCTTGAGCTTGAAGAGTCTGGAAAAGTAGCCCTACTCAGATATGTCGACGAAAAGTTTACCAAGGACAACCTCAATGGGCGGCAGATAAGGAATACTGTTCGCACTGCGTTGGCGCTTGCAAATGCGGCTCACCATCATCTTAAGGCAGAACATCTGGAGTCAGTGGTGCAAATCGGAAGGGAGTACTCAGGCTATCTGGCAAATTTGAATCACATGAACGCCGAAGAGTACGCTGTTGCGCTTGGTCGGAGAGCTCCCGAGCGTCGGGATGCTGCCCGTTGAAATCAAATCCTCTTCCTTCCCAGCATACGCGTGTCCTTCTCCAGATGTCGAAAAGGTAGCGAATACATAACAGTCGCGACTGAGAGTTAATCTGAACCGGTAGTATTCTTTTACTTGACTAAGAATTCGACGTGCCTTAGCGGGTGACTTCTGTACAACCGATAGAAGGAATGTACCACAGTGTTCTTACCTTACTGTCTACAGAGAAGCACATAGTTGCCGGTGTTGCATCCGAAGATACATTAATGTCTATTAGTCTCTTGGTCTAATATCATCTGTTATCTGTCCAGCGCACTTCCTTGATCTCGATCCATTATCAAAGATGCCCGAGAGGAACCTCTCTCTGCGAGTTGCTCGAAATAAAAACGTCTGAATTCGAAAGTCGACTGCACAATAGTGCGATTCGTGTCTTAAGAGCCGTAGACCGTATTGACAGCAGATTTCGGATTAAGGTTTATCCGACGGAGAATTCCCAATCGCTGGAGTGACCGGTCGATGATGCAAAGCTTGTCATTGGCATGCTGTTAACGGCGCAAGCAGATGCCTGGTGACTGCGTCGTATCAGTGAAGTATGAAAACACGTTTGAGCCTTGACTGATATGACAATACTGCGACGTACCTGGGCCGCATTCACGCCACGATGTGCCGTAGATATTAGTCGGACGGAAATTGCCCAGTCCGCACGCGCTCACAACAGTGCTCCTTTTGGTACCTTAGCATCGCCAGAGGTTCGTGTGGCCAGAGACTATTGTGCTGACCTGTTACGGTAAGTCAAATGTTGCGAATTACTGCAATAATCTCTCTCTTATGCGTTTTCAAGCAAATATGATGTCCCAGCTCATACACTGCTTGCTTTCGTACCACCACCTTCTCAGTCGGCCTACCTTGCCATCCGTGCGTTCAACGTCGAATTGGCTCGTATCCCAGACACTGTCTCGACTCCAACCGTTGGCGCTATGCGCTATCAATTCTGGCGTGACAACGTAAACAAAGCCTTTGCTGGAACACCACCAAAGCAGCCAGTCTCAATACTCCTCGCATATGTGCTTGACGATCTCCAAGCTCGAACTGACGGTACCGCCAAAATGAGCAAAAATTGGTTCCTGCGCGTCATTTCAACGCGCGAGCAGTACAGCGATGGAAGGCCATATCCCTCGATGGAGGCGTTAGAAAAGTATGCCGAAAATACCTACTCGACGCTCCTGTATTTGACATTGCAGTCGTTCCCAATGGCAAGTGTGACTGCTGATCACGTGGCTTCGCATATTGGTAAAGCAAGTGGCATTGTCGCTATCTTGCGGGGGTTACCTCTCCTGGCATTTCCATTACCTCCTAATCATCATAATGCCTCAAGTCCGTTGGGTGGTAGTCTTGAGAGAGGAAAGCAGGGTGCGGTTGTGCTGCCCCTCGACGTGATGGCCCGTACGGGAGTAAGAGAGGAAGATGTTCTCAGGCAAGGTGCTCAAGCCCACGGATTGAAAGACGCAATTTTCGAGGTCGCCACAAGAGCGAGCGATCATCTCATAACAGCAAGAGAAATGATCAAAGAGATTCGCAAAGGCCAGGATATCAGTCATGCTTTTGAACACGAGGACGACGCAGACCACCACTATGCTAGTCCGAACGAAAGCAGCAGCAAGGGAAGCAGGCAGCAAGAAGAGTTAGGGCGAGCCTTTGGCGTTTTCATGCCTGCTATATCGAATCAGATGTGGCTAAATAAGCTTCAAAAGCTGGACTTCGATGTCTTTGCCCCCGCGCTGAGAATACGATCTTGGGCACTCCCATTTAAAGCATACCTTGCCAACCGAAGGAAAAGTTTTTAATTCATGGTGAGAACATATGGCCTGCTGAAATATTTGTCCAACACCAACGCCATCAGTTCTCCGCACGCCGAGAGCGACCATCATGAGCTTAGTTCCGATTGTTGAGTCAGCTCCTGACCCATGCTCGCAACTCGTGCCTTGTTGTTGCGTCTCGGACTTGCTGTTCATCGAACTGCTTGTTGGGCTCTACAAGCGATCAGTCAGCCACAGAGACATCTGGGAGTGGTTGACTATGCATACCCTTCTTGGTCGCAAGATCTCGATCGTTCTGTGAGGACTTTGATACGGAATTTGACGATGACGATAATGATGAGGCCGAAGTCGAAGAAAGAGCCGAAGGTTTTCGGCGGTTGGATATTGTGAGCGGCATCCCGGTTAAGTTGGTTGGTGTACTGGAAGTCTTTTGGTTTGTTTGGGATATTCTAGGGGAGGTTTCTACGCAAAGAGGGTAAAGTGCGTTGTGAGAACTGCCGGATAAATAGCAGTCTCCTCGAGAAACTTGCTGCCTTATATATACATTCTTGTTCATTCATTATAGTAGCTCAAGGCAACTGCTTTCTTACATGATCAACCCAGCCACGATTCAGTCCGAGCTCACGCCTGCAGGCTTCGGAATGTTTGACCGCAATATGATGAAGCAAGGGCTTACTTTGCTAAGAATCAGAGTGCCTATAGCCTTAGGCTATCCGCAAAACTCGATAAAATCGTAAAAGTCTGACTCACGGATCAATCAATAAGCATACGTCTGAACTTGAATTAGCCAAGGCTGATTTTGGTAGCAGCTCCGATTCCGATAAGTCGTCTGAACAAAAGATCGGATAAATTACGACGACTTCGGAATGGCCTTTTCAGGCTAGCGTGGTCTTCCCTATGACCACTCGAGTGTCGGCATAGAGACATCATCTATTCGAATCGTCCGATTTTCTAACGAGTGACCTGCACTCTTGAAGGAGCCAACGTCGAGCAATTCAAATTCGATCGAATTTCGATCCCGTCTAGCTGCACAGTTTCTCAGAAACATGGAGATTCAGCCGACTTCATCTGAAGGCACTGGACTTGCTGAAGATCTACTTGAAAGATGTCAGAAACTGCTCGATGAGCTACAATCTTTTCATGCATATCTCGATGCTGCAAAATCAAGGACTTCTGCACGCCTATCGGAGCGTAATGTAGACATCAGGCAGTTTCAAAGCCTTGTTATGACCGAAAGAAATTCACTGCAAAAGGTGAGACTAATCGTTTTCATGAATTCTAAGAATGTGCGTCAGCATTATTGGTCGATTTCAGCGTAGTAAAACCCTAGTAGCCAAGCAGAGGCGTCAGCTTTGCATGCTGTACTTCTTTCAGAGGCTATTCTAATTCTAATTCTAGTTCCCATTGTTGCTGCTTGCGAGAGGGACACCCCCCATTGTTATTCCCATTCCTTGTCTTTGCTGATCCGACTAAGCTGTCGGCAGCAGATCCTACTGCCGACAAGACAATCCATACGTTGAAGTCCAGCAATTTGCCCTTCTACTCCGCAGTTTGGGAATCAGCGAAGAGAAGCAAAGCCCTTGTCAACTTCCATCGGCGCTTCTACTGGGATGAAAGGCCGAAGAGACGCTCGCAGCAGGTTGCCAACAGTCGTGGTGCTCTCGTCGATATAGTAACGGAGGATGGAGATGAATGGATCAAGATATCTACGATGTCCGAGCAGCGCTTATTGTTTGAGCTTGCCAAGGCGAGATGGGAAGTAGAAGATTCTTCAGACGAACATGAGGATGGAGACAGGCCTTCGCTTGAGAACGACAGAGGACTGGAAACGGACGAGTTCGAAAAGATGGAGCTATGCCGAACGGCGAGCGATCTGGTTCGGGCGTCTCACGCAAATCGTATTCACTATGAGCATCCGCGAGTCCGAATGGTATTACCTAAAATACCAAACCCACCATCAACAGATCTCATCCCTCTCTTCGAGCGTATTCAATCGACCGGTACCATCATAGAACTGGGTGATCTTCCACCAAACACGGCCAACTCGCAAAATCTTGAGACCAATGTCTTTCCACGACTGCTTCCATCACCTTATCCGCCCCTTACCAGCACCATCAATGTTGACTGTACGATTCTTCTAGCTTTGGTCTCTGAACTTTCATACTCAGCGCAGAATCCCGTTAGACCAGATTACAATGCTGCTATCAGGCGACAGATAGAAGTTGAAGCAAATGAACGTCTACTTGTGACGCACCTGTGGCCAGGATTGGCAAATCGAGACCTTGTCTGTACTGTAGAAGCTGCCAAACGGATGAGAGAAATCGTTGATACCATAGGCATTCCTAATGAACGAATCAGGACCGAGCTGATCATGGAGGACGGGCGTTTGGGTCCTGCTGAGGCCGATCCGTCGAATCGCCAGCCGTGTGACCTAAGGAAAAGCCTCCAACAATTTAGTGATCATCAAGTCCCTGAGTCGCTTCGGATTCCGATACGCGTTGAGCCGGCACCGACGGCTTCAGATATCTCAAAAGCTATCCATACAGGCAGGCTACCAGCAATAGCCGAACGGGTGTTGAATGAATTGACAGACATCAATCGCAGTGTATTCTTCTACGGTTGGTTCCACGGCTACACAACCGTGAGTTCGAACCGTACGGTGGCTAAAGCCATTGAGAATACCATTGAAAAGAATGGGAAATGTGACAAAGGGCCTGAAATATGGCTACGGGAACCTGCGAGGAGCTTGTTGGGCAAAGAGAAGGAGAGGAGAAAATGACTGGACGAGATGGACGTCTCCGACAGGTGCTGATGACTATCTTCTTTGGAATTACGAGACGGAAAAGAATAGAGTCTGTAGATCTGCCCTTGAGGAGCCTGTATATAAAGAAGAATACCGACGTAGACTTTTCATCAGGCACAAATCAGATTAGATAAAGATTTTTACGCACCCGTGCTTTCCATGAGACAACATACATTAAATCATCCACTGGAATGCTACACGATGCCCTACCTTCCCACCGCTCAGTCTTTTCTTGAGCAAGCAACACTCCTGATCTCAGCCCGTCCCACCACCGTAAGTAGCCTTATTCCTCACCTGAGCCTTCCCATTGCCCCACCAAGACTTCCCACCGACTGACTTTCTCGCCTCAAGGCCCGAATAACAACCAAATACAATGTACCGCACCCTGACCCACCGCCTCACCCCTACAAACCTTCGCTCAAACGAAAACCCGACACATCCTCCACCACCTCCCCAGATTACATCGCCCTTAGAGAAAACACTGGAGAAAACCCAAAGAAGCGCAAACGGACATATGCAGAAACTAAGCAGCAGCCAAATTTGATGCTTAAATGCTATGATCCAGCGGGCGGAACATGTTTGAAATATCAGACTGACAAGGCGGCGGAAGTCGGGAGATTGGTGGCTGCGCTGGGGAAATGTGGGAGAATCATGGCGGGGCTACCTGCACCGGAGGAAGAAGGAGGGGAAAGGGAAGCCGTGGAAGCTGAGGCGCTGGAGAAAGCGAATGCTGCGCCATTAAAGGAGCCAGGTGGGGGAGTAAAGGGGAAGGATGGGCCAAAGGATGGGAAGCAACAGCAGAACCAGGGGCAGGGGCAATCCGGGGCTGGGAAGAAGAAAAAGAAAGGGAAGAGGTGACGGAAACGAATATAGTACGACGATGCTTGAGTGGCTCCTTTTCGTGCATCCTTATATGAGGTTCTGATTTGCACCTTGACATATGAAAGATACCCTGTGACGCCTTGCCGGGTTCTAAAAAGCGCTATGGAGAATATGCGCACATGAAGAAAGATGGGTCAACTCCCATAATGGCTACAAATATCTAGTTTTTTGCTGTCAATCGTGTCCTCTCCTCTGAATTCCTCGGTGATTCATCTTCGGAAAATTTGTCTACGTCCTCACCCACGGCGAAGATCGTCTCGCCGTCCAGAGATTGCCGTAGGGTTGGGTTGTGCTCGTTCATAGGCTTTGGTGGTATTGGTGAGAGTGCGCCGTTCGGTTCATGAGTTGGAGATCGTGCGTCTTCTTCGTCGTCGAGTGAGCCTCCGAACGAAGCGATCTCAAAGCCTTCATCGTCTTGCGCAAGCTATACATACATTAGCGTCACGTTACCTTGGGACTGGGGGGATCTTCGCACCTCATCGCTCATTGCAAACCTTCTGTTGTTTACAGTGGGCCGCCAAAGATAGGCTATAAATGCGATGTCGAACAGGTAGACCAGGTTCAACCAACCATCTAGAATGAACCATCTTGTCTTCCAATGACCCGGAACGAAGTCAGGATCCCTTCTCCCTGCAAAGTTGAAGGAATTTAAGAAGAAGAATCCAAATATGACAATGATGCTTCCAAGTATGCACCACCAGAGCTTCTTGTACATGAGGGCCTTTACGTTCTGTTTCCGCTCCAACAGGTCTTTCATTGTGAAGCTCAGTGAATTGAGGGTCCAGACATAAAAGGCTGTCAAAGTGCCTGCCAATGGCAAGATCACAAGAAGAACCAGAGGGCCAGCGTTATCAGGAGTGATTGTCAAGCTTGCGATGGCGTAGATGACCCCGAAGACGAAGTGAGTGAGCGCCAGTGCTCGTACATACCACATTGTCTTGCCCAGGCTAGGTTTAACGACTCCGTAGCCCATACACACTATGAGGAGGAGGAAGAAGGAAAAGGAATTCCGTCCTGCATTCAGAATAGCGACGATGATCATCAAAACTTTGTCGAAAGCGTTGCTACCATGCACGTTCGTATAGTCTTGCGAAATTAGCAGAGAGTAGCGAGAGATGAGGTCTCCTTTACCGTAATAACCCCAAGTCATAAATTGCTCCACAATCAAGAAAATAATGATTGCTGTGATGTAGTTTTGCACCGGCACTGAAGAACATCAGCACGTGTTACCATTCTGTTTGACAAGGCCATACATATGTCGTGGCGATTTTGCACATAAAGGAAAGCCCAAAAACTGCCGAGTGTTAGTTATTATCTCCTGCAAATGATCCAGAGTTGTCCATACATAGCTAGTACCGCGTACACGATTGTCAAGCCTCCGTAGAAAGGAAGTTTAGCAATCTGAGATGCTTGAAGCTCCCCGTATGCATTTCGGAACTCTACCACAGCTTTGTACTCGGAGATTGAGAACCCATAAGTTCCGACACAGTAATAACCGGTTCGTTGAATAGGATATTTCACCTCCTCTGGATCTTTAAGATGTATTGACTTTGTAATGACAGGATTCCTGGACGTGTTTGCTATGTCTGGGTCGAGAATGAATTCGCCTATTTGTTCTTGCTTGCACAGGTTGGCCTCGACTTTATCATCGGTACAGACCCATGTTCTCTGTTTCTGTTCAGCAAGTTGCGCCTCCATATACGAGTTGGTGCAATCATACCGATTCTGCCTCATCAGACTCCCATACCCCGACCAAGTCCTCGTCTTTCCACTCATATATGACGAGGCTGACGACCGGATCTTCGTCACCTTCAGGAGTGGCTTTCGTGAATTTGGTGAGAATGAAAGGGTCTGTATCGCCGCCCCAGGCTTTTCTGCTGTACACGCCATTGCATTGCTGCCTGTCTGAATCTTTCTGTGTCTGTTTCGTATTAGTCAGAGCTTCAACGTCATCTCCACAAGTCGTACAATTTTGACTTCATTTGCAGCAACGAAAACCGCAAATAGCCCGGCTAGCAAACAGGCTCCTTGCGGCAGCCTCATGCTTAGACTCGCGAACAGTAGGCAAGGTAGATTCAAGGAGAGTCAGGGAGCGCAACTGACTACCCATCAAAGCAGCTCTGACACGATGCAGATATCATACACGGCAGTCTACGCATTGGCTCCAGCCTCGTGGCTTCCATTGAAGATGACACCGCTGGCTTGGCACGTAGAAATGGTCGGGCCGTCAACACCGCACAAACACCGACCAATAGCTTAAGCCCGGATGCCAGAAAACAATATACCTCATCAACTGTTTTCTCCAGACTAACAACATGCTAGACACTTTGCATAATGTAAGACAGAATCAGTCACTCCCCTGTGCAAGATGCCAAAACGACGGGGCTTTTACTGTGCGGACCGAGCGCCTTTGCAAAGACTGCTTCATCAAGTACGTGACCACCAAAGTAATCAAGAGGCTCGAAGCAAACAAGGTCCGTGGTGGGTACGGTGAGAAAGCCAGCAAGATTCTCATTCCCATATCCTTCGGCATTTCATCCATATCCTTGTTACATGTTCTAGACGTACACCTACAAAAACGGCAAGGCAAGGGTCGACATGCTGGCCTCTCTGTTCATCTGCTATTCATAGACCACAGTTCTGTTCTTGATCAAGATTTTTCTAGAAACATATCGAGTCTGAAGAATAGATTTGATTCCTTCCCTTTGCAAACTTTACTTCTGGAAGAATGTTTTGATTATGATATCTCTCTTGACACGCTCCTGAATGCTGGCAGCCAAGACTCCCGGATTCCTCGAGGTAACCTGGAGCGCTTGAACCATTTGCTTTCTGCAGTTAAGGGTCAGTCTTCGAAGACTGATGTCTTGGGGATCCTTTGCCAAAGACTCATCGCTGCTTTCGCAAATGCGAATGGATTTGATGTGGTACTTTACGGCGACACTACGTCTCGGCTTGCCGAGCGAACACTTGCCGAGACTGCGAAAGGACGAGGCAGTCTTGTGTCCTTGCAGACAATGGATACGAGGGGCCAAGGCAAGTCAAATCACGTCTATGCGATGCGAGATCTATTGAGAAAGGAGCTCGGTCTTTATGCGGAGGTGGTTGACCCGCCCCTGAGCCCACTCATACTGCAAACTGAGACTACGCCTCCGATGACATCTGCCAAACATAACTCGATTGATGGCTTGATGCGCCAATATGTCGAATCGGTCGAGCTGCAGTACCCCAGTGTGGTCGCCAATGTGGTTAGAACCACGGGGAAGTTGAAGATCCCACAGATTGATGAAGGCACAAGAAATTGCAACATGTGCGACGGGCCTCTCTGGACTCGACCATCTGGCCAACAAGAAAAACCAGAGTCACCCTCAGAAGATCGAAATGGGCTGCTTCGTGCAAGGGAAATTTCATTGCTCTGCCGCGGCTGCGAGCGAACGCTTCAGCCGACTTGAGGTAAGGCACGGGGTCCAAAAATCGAACTCCCGGATGGGTTCCTCTGCTCGATTCGATTACAACCCTTGTCACTGGGCTGAAGGCTTCAAGTAAGAAAAGGTAGTCGAGGGATGCTAGCAGGCCCACAAAGAAAGATTTGAGGTATCAAAGGGACTCCGAAGAAAAACATAATGTCATTTGGGTATCTAATGGTTGCAATAGCTTTCCGCATACTAAGATTATTCAAGTACTTCCAGGTCCGCCTGGAATTAGACCGCCCCATCGCCATACTGAACTCCTAATAGGCCAGTTCATCATAAATCGCGGGCTGTGATGAACTTCTTATTCTGGCTGCCTCCCGTGCGACGGGTTTGAAGTATTGGGAGCTGCTGCGCAACCGGATGTCCGGCACGGCCGATCTCCTTTCGACTCGAGTGCTGCTTGGGACCGGTAAAGAAGTCATTGGAGTCAGGTACTTTAGGCAGTTCGGGCAGAAGTTTTCGCCTCGTGCTACCATGCGGGCTGTCATGACGGGTCGCGTCAGTATGAGTCTTCGACGGACTCTGCCGGAGCATGTCATCATGTTCGCGTTCATCAGAGGGTCGTTGTGACTCCAATGCAAGCTTCTCCTTGTCTTCCAGAGCCTTTTTAACGCGGCGGATGAGCTTTTGCTCGATCAAATTTACGTTTCGAGTATTGCAACGGAACTGTCCATCAAGAAGGGCGCCGACTTCAGGGACGATACCAAGAAGGAACGAGACTCCAATGTTTGACAACATCTGCATACGAGCCTTCTTGCCCAGGCCATTCGTGATCTTGTTGGCAGAGTAGATGAAGCTGAGAGCGATGAGTGCGTCGGTCGCGTCGCCGACTACTGGAACGAGACCGATCAAGAAAGCGACTCGAAATTTGCCTGCCAGAAGAGACGCATTGGGTCGGCCGTCGTAATACATAGCTTTCTTCTTTATGCTGGACAGAATCTTGGCGTCGCTCTCGGGGATACCCAAGCTCATGAAATAAGCCTTGTCTTTTCGATGTTCTGAAGTGGAGACGACCGGCTTCCCCTTGCGATCCAGCTTCGGGGCACCATGACGATCTGTCTTGACCACTTCGTTGTGGTAGAAGAAAGGATCCTGATCGGGCGAAGACTTTAGTACTTGGGTAAGACCGTACTGAGCCAGTGGCTTGCTTACGTCTTTGGAAGTGAAAAACATTATGATTATGTCGGTGACGAGATGGTGGGAGTGTGGTTCGAAGTGATGAGTCTGACAAAAGATGGCTGGCGTCCAGCGCAAGTAATTTGAAGATGACGATCGGAAGGAAGTCGAGACAAGACGGGGAGGCCGGTAGAATATATACGACAAAGGGGTACGGACTGTGCGACAAAGCGCAGGGTCAGATAGCAACAATGATAATGGAGGGAGAGGTGAGGTGATGTCACAGAGCAGACATCTCACAATCAGCTCCAGGTTATTATTGACTGGTGAAGAGCGAAGATGAGGGAAAGGAGGCGGACAATAAATAGGTAAATAGGTCTCAAGAATGTTTGAAATCTAGAATGTTCAGCAATACGTCAAGCCCGCCATTCGTCCCCCCAGATCTGCAGGGTTTCCGGGAGCCGCCGTCGCCTTAACGCTGGTGCTTGTTTTCGCTGCTGTGCCCTCCATTGGCTTTCCTCTCTCCTCCCCATTCTTGACTCCGACCCATCTCCATCTTCATCTTCATGCACTGGTCCTCAACTCTATGGTCGTTGCCTTTTCCCCTCTTCAAAATGCTTTCGAATGGCTATCCATTCGTCGTGCAAAGGAGATTGGGGAGCTCGAGTAGCACGCAAAGGAATGGACGGACCATTCCGATTAGCGTCTGTGGCGTCGTGGCGCAGTCCATGCACAGCCACGACTAAGTCGCTTTCGTCGTCGACACGCCGTTCTGGCCTTCCTGCGTCCCATCAATACGGAGGAGCTAGACACCTAATTCACTCGCCTCGAAGCTTCGATGATCTCGGACCATTATTCTTCTTGACACCCTCTGCGTTGTATGTGTCTAACGAGTGGCTCCTCTGACCAATCTCTGCTTGAACCAGTCGATCTCTCTTGCGCCATCTCCGCCGTTACTCTTAACTCATCACTCTCTTTGACCTGCAGTGCCCGCAGCGGGTCGGAGATGTGGCAGCTTGAAGACTACGATGGAAGAGAACAAGATGCAGCTAGTAGACTGTAAGATTCCCCACTGATGGTTTGCCTTGTGCGATCCGACAGTTGGCGCTTGAAGCCTTTCCCTTCCAATCCATCACTCAACAACCCTCCACTTAACTGACCGTGATGTGCAGGGCTGGATGATCTCTGCGTACGCTTTGTCATCAATTTACCCGTGGAGGAGCTTGAATCACCAGAACGAATATGTTTCCAAATAGAAGAAGCTCAATGGCATTACGAGGACTTCATCCGGCCTCTGGACCCCGACCTCCCTTCTTTGAACCTCCGAGCCTTCACCAAGAAAATGTTTGCTCATTGCCCGCTTCTTTGTGATTGGACCGAAGATCAACAAGATGAAGCCTTCAAAGCCTTCTTAGAATACAAACAAACCGTCCCCGTCCGAGGTGCTATCATGCTGAATGACACGATGGATGACGTTCTCATGGTGAAGGGATGGAAAAAAGGTGCCAGTTGGAGCTTCCCGAGAGGGAAATTGAACCAGAATGAGCTGGACCTTACTTGTGCCATACGTGAGGTGCAAGAGGAGACAGGTTACAACCTCAAGATGGCAGGCCTCATAGGCGAAGAAGAGGACATGAAGTCGATTGAAGTAGAAATCAGAGGCCAGGATCTTAAAATGTACGTCTTTCGCGGAGTTCCTATGGACACTCACTTCGAACCCCAAACGCGAAAGGAGATTAGTAAAATCGAATGGCATAAGCTTTCTGGCCTGCCGACGCTGAAAAAGCAGAAACAACAGCAAGCACAACAGCCGTCTCAAAAGAGTCAGGGAGAAGACTTGGCCAAAAATGCGAATAAATACTACATGGTGGCTCCATTCCTTGGCTCTCTCAAGAGATGGATCACGCAGCAGAAAAAGCAAGACAAAGTCGTGCAGGCTAGTCAGGCGAAGACCGTCAAGCATACGCATGATACTAGCGTAGAGAGTCCTTTTCATGAGCAGGAGGATATGGGTGAACGGACCGATGTAGAGCAAGCAGGGCAACAGCATCTAACCCGCCTTTTGGATACGCTTCGTCAGTCAAGTCAGGCAAAGGCCAGCGATCTACCTGAGGTCACACATGAAGCAACACAGTCGGGAGTTGATCAGACGCTTGCAATGCCCAAGTCAGCGGACTTATTGGCGTTGCTTCGCAAGGAAGTTGATCCAGTACCGGAGCAGGAGCCACATACACCTTTCGATCGAATGATCACAGAGCCTGAGTATCCACGGTCTCCTTCTCGCCACGCTCCTTTGTCTCAGACGTCAGATCTTACACCTCCTGTATTCCCCATGTACCCTCCGCAGCCCATACTATCCAGCCATGATCCTATATTACAAGCCTCGGACCCGTTGCAACCTCAACCACAACCTCACCAACTGCAGCCAATTCCTCCGCCACAACGCCCTGCCCAACTCGCTCCACGCCCGGTGAGACCACCTATCGTCACAACCGAGAGACCGGCACTGGCACCCTACCAGCGTACGCACGACAATGAAGGCCGAGGTGCCGCTCCACCCTTCGGATCTCGGCAATCATTTCCACCTCAAGCCAGCAAATTACCTACGCCACAGCTCAACAAGCATACATCGTCGCTCCTCAACCTGTTCAAAGGTAGCGCACCTGCTAGTTCATCTCAGGCCAACATCGACTTTCAAAAACAAGCCGAAGCTGAAGATTCGAAGGAACGACGCAATCCTGCTCCTCTCAGCACGTTTGTGCCCCCACAAATATCTCGTCAATCATCCAACAAAGCCCCTCGGAAAGCTAGCCAACCTTCTGCACATCAGGATAAGCTTCTTAACATGTTTCGACGACCAAGCACTCCCAAGACTGCCTCGAAAGGTCTGGAGCCTCCTCCGGCTGTAGTTGAGCTTTCGGCATCTCCAAAGCCACCTCGACTGGACAGAATGCCAAAGCCTGCGCAAATACCGCAGGAAGCAAACCCTCCGAGCAAGGACGCGCAGCTTGGGCAAGTCATTATACAGAAGCCGCCCACTCAAGATGAACCGCCCGTGTCTGCAACTATCAAGGGGCCTCTTAATACTCCAGAATTTGAAATGATCAGATCGTCGCACTTAGGGAAAGATAATGAACTTGTTGCAGGATTGACCAAGCCAGTAAAGGTCTCACCAATCCAAATTCTTTCAAGGCCCGGGAGCTCTCATCGCCGTGGGAATAATTCGCCTTCTAGGATGTCTCTTAGGCACAAGCCGAACCCACCAAAGGAGGCCCGTTCTGGGAATACGCCAGAAACCCCTATAAAACATGACCTTCTCCCTCCTCGAAACATGGGCCCAAGAACTACAACTCTGGCAAAGAATTCGCAGCCTTCAACGCCTAATCTCAAGGCCCGTGACGATCCACAAAAGCCCTTCCAACCGCAAATCCTTCGGCGTCCTGACACCTCTCATAGCATCAATGAGCCTTCGCCGATCCAACCCCTCCCTTCACCCCAACACCAAATCCCTAAGCCTCAACATACTGCTCAATCACACGAACACAAGAAGAGCCTCCTTTCTCTATTCACTAGACCTCAACCAGCAGTCTCGCCGCCTAGTGCCGCCCCAACTGATATCTCAAGCATCGTCAGTCCTATCGATGATGCCACGACGCCCACGGCACCCAAAGCTACACGACAGGCCAGGGATGTCTCTACGTCCCAGTCCTCCGTTGTATCGACCATTAAATCTCCGCCTTCGGTAATCATGCAGCGAGAAAAGTCTAAGCAGGGCAAGAAATTCTATGCCCCTGATCGCATGCCTGCTTCCCCAATTCAAAGCAGCACTTTGGATGGCAAAATCGCTAATGGCATAGTTTCTGAAAGAGAAAGTAGAAAGGCTAGTCCCAGCAAGGTTCAGAGTGCTAGTACGACGCCGGTGCAGAAGGACTTTTTGCTAGGGTATCTGAATGATGTAGTCAAGGGGGGCGATGAAGGTTGGGATTTGTGACCATCATCAATGCATTTCAGATATCAGGCAATCTAACGTCATGCCTTTCCAGGTGTTGATGCCTGCGTTTCTATCCAAATGTTCTACAGAGGTAGCTGATAGAAGAAAGCAGGAGTTAACCTGTATGATAATCAACAGGCGAGGTCAATTCTGGACATGTGTTAGATACCCTGGAGATGTTATAGAGACCTTTGAAGTCCGGCACGTTCATGAATCCATTCACGCTTCATGTCTTTCATTATACCTATCAACTATATGCACGCTGTTGAAGTTGCCAGCATGCTCACAGCAGCCCGTACCAAGTATAACTCGCATGCGCCATGAACACTGCCTGCACTTATCTCCCGATTCTCCAGTTCCTACTTCCTGCCAGACTAACCCGCGATACTCCCTTCTTAATAATAATAAATATGTAAACCAGTTGTGCCAACAATAGACAGACAATGAATTAAGCTCTTCTTCGGCCCCGCAGGCACCTTTTTGAAATTTCTATCCTCTTATCAAGACATCCCCGAGCGCCTCGCCTGCCTCTTTCTCCCCACCTTCTTGAAGTCCCGTTGCAGATGCCCCATGTCATCCTCTGTGATTGTAGAAATACGGCTCCTCAAATTCCGCTCTTCACCATGGATCCTAGTCCAGGAGCTCAGGTTGTCACCGGAAGAAGATCCGTCTGTGCTGCTCATTGCCTGTGCTGGTAGCACATGGAGGGGGATATCGCTCAAATTCAATGCTGGGGGAGACTGGTCCTCGGGCTTCAGTTCAGAGTTTGCAGCACGGGTTTTCCCTGACGATTGACGCCTAGGACATGATGAGGCAGCGACTGTGGACTGCTTTTGATCCTTGACCTCAGGGTTGCCCGATTCTTGAGGGATGTCAAGTGATTTGGGAGTAGATTTTGGCGATATTGGCGGTGAGTAGTTTAATTTCATGTTAGAAATGGCAGCTATGTGAGATTTTCTCATGGACCGTGTTATGGAACCTGTCGAATCGGTGGCACAAATGGCCTTAGGCCATTCAAACTTGTTCAATTGCGACTGCAACCGGCGTCTCTTTGCGAGCGTAAAGCCTTCATCTTCTGCAATCGCACCAGAGCGCGTATGGCAAGAGGGCGGAGGGCTGGCACATTGTGCCTTTTTCGCTTGAGGTGTGAGGGCGCCAGCGCCACCTTCGCGAATGTTTTTGACACCACGAGCCGGCTTCTTCTTGGAGTTCCAGCGGGGAGGCCGAAATGATCCTATAGGAGGGTATTGGAAAGGCAAATGCTTTCTCGCCTTATGAGCATACATGGGCAGTGTGAGTAATTCGTTTTCCTTCGACTGCTTAGGCGGCATCTGACTTGCGCCTTGTAGGGGCTTGTCTCCCGAGTCATAATCATTTAGGTCTGAGATGGTTCTGTCTGGAGATGGAGACTCCGACTTTGATGTTATAGAGGTCTTCGATCGCGGAGAAAAAGTGAAACCAACGTCTGGCAAAGGAGCAGCGGACTTCTCAAGATTTCGGGGGAATCCTGCTGAAGGTGGTTCCAAAACGGAGCCATCCTTTGACGAAGCATCCATTAAACACCCCCGCCTACTTTCTTTCACAGTTGATGTTGGTTGAGCCGGGCAGAGCGTTCTACTCCTGCAATCTGGCAATAACCTAGATAAATTGGGCCCGAATAGGCCTTAGTAGATGCTACTTTAGCTGGAATACAGTCGTCGTCTTTGTGGTAATCTCTGAGTTCCAGGAGTCAATAAAACCCTGTCGAGATCCTGGTTAAGGAAGGTGCGTTCCACATGTCTGGTAGCTCCTTTTGGTGAAACACTATTCCGCAAGGAAATAATCATATTTGTAGAGGAAAGGATTCAGAATTGGCCGAGTGGAACCCTCTTCGGTCCTAGGTATAGACGCAGGAGATAGCTTACTAGGCTTTCCAACTTCAAGCTCAGGACTAAGAAATCTATCAGAGCTAGCGCTGATTTTATGCCTTCATGATCCAGGAGATATTTACCTTGTGCAAAGCTATTAGAGAGAAGACTGGGGTAGCGATTTGCTATTGATGAAGTGGCTGTCTCATAAATTGTGAGAAGTCTTCAAAGAACGTGAGAAGTTGACCTCCAAGCAAAAGTTGAGCTTGCGTGGAAGGAGTACTTGGCTCGCCACCCCAACAGCCCCGCCGAGAAGCTTCAGATCACCAACTGTGCTTACTTGAGAGCACATTTTTTGCTACCTCGGTCAGCAAACCTCTGTCGCTCGGTCTGTCGGAGTGTACAGCCTTGGAGGATGTGAGTAACGTACTTCGCATTGAATGAGGAGCTTACGTCGTCTGGCTTGGAGCTCGCGTGATGAAATCCCGCTTCCTTGGTTTCCTCATTTGACAAAGGCCACCCTCCTGTATTTGGAATATCTCCATGTCGCCCATTCTTTGATTGGTGATTGATGGTTTGTGTTGGTACGGACTGAGGCTTAGCAGATAAGTCTAGAGCATTGTGATACGCATTCGGATCATTGGCCTCATCATTCTTACGAGCATCCTCGTACATTGCTATCACAGCTTTGATCTCATGGCTTAGGTCCAATTGACAGTCAAACTGGGCAAACTCTCTTTCTGGTTGTTCGATATATTCTCTGACTTTTCGAAGAGTGTTCTGGTACTGTCGCAGCCTGTTGGGAAGCCCCTGCCCCTTCGTGAACGATAGCAAGCCCGCAATGACGGTGTTGGCTGCCCCGATGGCAGTGATTGCTATGTGAGAGCCGTTCGCGGCACCAAGCGCCGTTAGAATCGCAGCGAAGATGATCTGCAGGAGCAAGCATGTATTGATAAGCCAGGCGAAAGAATAATACTGGATTTTTGCGTGCTTCTCGGCTAGGACGACGCGCTTGTAGACGCCCAGATTAGGTGTGATACGCTTCCACGATTTAGGGCCCGATGAGAAGACGTCTGTGATACCCACGCCTTCACGAAACATGGCTAGCCTATCTATACTAGCTGTGTGTTCAATGTCCATTTCGACGGAAGTCCAGCACGAGACAAGAATAGGACTGAGTTTATATTGATATTGAGAGAGAGAGAGAGAGAGAGAGAGAAAAAGGAAGACAAGAGCTACGTAAATCGATTGTAGGTGGATTTGGACAGCTTGAGTGCATCCCATGAACATTTGTTAGATATTGCGCTAATGGACAGGCAAGAGCGTCTGTCACATCGAGCAACAAGCTTGGAAGGAGCTGTCACTTGGATGCAGCTCACACTTTAGACCTGCCTTCTAAAGAGGTAGGAATATTTACCAAAGTCTTCCTTTGAACATATTTTTTCACCTACCACTTCCACTTACAATAGGCCCCTGGCTCTCTACAATCCCGTATCATTCTTTTTTGATGCACTGACAACATCTTACAAGTCTTGACACGGTTCGTGATTTATTTGAGAAGATATTCTTGGCGAGGTTTCCAGCGATAAGACCTCCATGAACATTGGTGGATGAGGAAAGAAAGACTTACAAAAATGAGCGAGGGTAGTTGTTAGTAGAATACATGTAACTTACGAACGGAACTCCCGCAAAAACAACCAATGACGTATTTTGTAATTCTATCTTATATCGCTCATTCCGTGATCCGTTTTGCTAGTTTGCATGTCTTTGACTGGCACACGTCCATATGTGTGCTTCACGTGTCGAAAGACAGCGTTATATTTCCTCCGAAGAAGTCCAACTCGCAGACTCACAACGACCTCTGTTCCATCATTGCCCCCGCCGAAGGCCTTCGCTCCGCTCTCATCCCGCCGCCTAATTCTGCTGAATGGCCAAGATGCCTCAAAATATTTACAGGGGCTGATATCGGCGAACGTGACATTCGCTAGGCAAGAGGCCCAGCAAGGCTTCTATACAGCCTTTCTGAATGCACAAGGGCGAGTTCTGCACGATGTCTTCGTACGTCCCATCTCAAGTTTAGCTTCATGGAGAGGTGGTCCGTCGAGTGTGAACGATGGAGGATACCTGGTCGAGGTCGATGCAAAAGAGGTGGATACACTCTATAAGCACCTGAAAAGGTACAAATTGAGAGCGAAGATCGGACTACGGATAATCGACGAGGACGACTTGAAGCCTTGGGCTGTCTGGGGACACGTCCTACGAGAGTCAAATGATTTGACATTGCTCGATCGCCGATTGCCGAATCTCTTTATGGGCTACCGCACATACCAGCCAGACAACTCACGACCCAATATTGAGGCAGACCAAGTCCCCTTTGAATCCTACGAGCTGCGACGCATGCTCAATGGTGTCCCTGAAGGTCAGACCGAGATACCCAAAGGGACTGCCCTTCCACAAGAGAGTAACATCGACTACATGGGGGGCATAGATTTCCGAAAAGGTTGCTATGTGGGTCAAGAATTGACGATTCGCACACATCATACCGGGGTTGTGAGGAAGCGCATACTCCCTGTTCAATTGTACAGTGTTTCTGATGGAGCTCCGGGTGACTTGTTATATAAGCACGAAACTAGTGTAGATTTGCCCCCGAGCGGAACGAACATCAGCCGAGCTGACAAGAAAGGGAGGAACGCAGGGAAGTTCTTGGGTGGGATCGGGAATATTGGATTGGCGCTTTGCAGGCTGGAGATCATGACGGATACGACGTTGACGGGAGAGGGTAGTCAGTGGGATGCGAAAGATGATTTCAAAATTACACGGGACAGCGGAGATGGTGATGTGGGGAGGGAAATCAGAGTCAAGGCTTTTGTGCCTCGGTGGCACGAGGAGAGAGCAGAAGCACAAAGAGTGCAGAGACCGAATGGCTGAGTCGAACAAGACGTATGTAAGATAATGACATTGACCAGCTATCCAGGGTATCATGTGTAAAACAACCGAACTCCATCACTAAAATACTGAGCTCTTTTTGTTCCAAGTCATGCATTTCCGTTTCCATTTCCATTTCCATTAACCTTTGGCGCAGCATCAGCTCGCTCATCCTCTCGTTCGATCTCAGCAGCCAGTCGCTTCTGCTCCAACTTCCTCAGTCGTATAATGGTCATCTCTTCTAGGCTAGGGCTGTTAGACCCAAGTCCCTTTCCGAAAGGAGAGTTTTTTGGGGTACCAGTTGATGTGGCGGAGAAAGATGCAAAAGAGGGCTTCTTGTTCAGCGGATTACCGTTCTCGTGAGGGAGCTTGACGGATGTAGTGGGACTGTCGAAACGTTTTGAATCTTTCGATGGGGTAGTAGTAGTCGGTCGCTGTGGTGTCGAAGGGGCGTGGGAAGAAACACCGTTCCAAGTACTTCCACTAATAATGTCTGGCTCTTTATTCGCAGCCCATTGCACCGAACGGTATAATTGCCACTCTTCTCCATACTGCGCGGGAAAGTCTTCCACTGCGGCATGGGCGTCGACAACTGACCTATATTGTATCATGCAGGTGAGTGCCATTTCCTTCTTCTTCGCGCCAGTCAGTCGCAGCATCTTCGGATTCAATAAATCGGCGCTCTCGATGGGACCAAATTCTGAGAAAAGCTTCTTGACCGACTCCGCCGTCATATCCCCTCCCTTTCCCTCGATAGGCCATCGGACCTTGATTGTGCGATCGATTTCGGACACGTCTGATTGTCCCAATGTAGGAGTAGACGTTTTGAGATTCTGTAAGATCAGCTCTGCAGCAGCGTGCTTCTGCTCTTCCTCCTCTCTCATCTCTCGCCTCAATGTATCCTCCCTCTCCTGCCGTCTCCTCTTCCCATCTTCCGCCAATCTCCTAATCTCCCTTTCCAACTTCTTTTCCTCATCATCCTCCTCATCTCTGGGCCTCTTGACACCCCTCTCCCTAGCCTCCAAATCATCTTTCATTTGCCGTCTCCGGCCCTCAAACAACTCATTCTGCCGCTGCCTCTGCAATTTGGCATTTCTTGCGTTGTTGTATGTATCCTTCCATGAAGGATCAGATAACAGCTCGTAGGCTATGTTCGCAAGATGGAACTTTTCTTTAGCGGCTTCGTTGTCGCCAACTTTGTCAGGATGGTATTTGAGCGCTGTTTTTCGCCACGCTCGGTCGAGTTCTTTTTGGCTGGACTCGTAGGAGACTCCGAGGAGGTCGTAGAAATCTAAGTCCGATTTGACATAGGACGAGAGGTCTGCTGACGACATCTTGGAGAGTTGAATGCTCCTTGGTTCATGCGACGCGCAAAGTCGGTGGATTGGTAAAGTGATGGAGCGATTGCCTGGCAAAACTCGCCCCAGATCGATGTCACGTGATCAGTCTTTTCACGCAGGGGTTTGAGGAAAGTTTTTGCGATAAGAATAATCTGAGATCACAGAACAAAGATTCATGTGTCGGGGGAGTTTTGCAAAGGTGGCGGTATAACTTGTGCTTGAAAGGATTACAGAGAGAAACAAGGTAAAGGCGAGGAGCCAATAGGTACAGAGTCGGCACCTATTCACAGGTGTTCAAATCTACTATTTCAAAGAACATAATTAGTATTGCCTGGCTACGATATATGACTTGATGCCTTGCAGGCTTAATTGTGATGCTCCTCTCTAAACCACGGAACCTCCATGACCATATTTCCACGCCTCCCCCACATGTGGACACCAATATCCTCGTCCTCCTCTTCATCCGTTTCATTGCCCCGATATTCCTTGATTTTTGCTCTCAAAGGCCATTCCCCCAGGTCAGCCCGATCTTGAATGTTCTGAGGGTGAGACTCATCATGGATGACCTGGGCTTTTGACAAAGCGTGCGAAGGCACCACAAGCTCTTGGACAGATCCTGGCGTTGACTCGTCCGGAAAAGATTCTATTCGGCCCCTTGGAGTTTTGGTGCTGGCGGCAGATCTGGAGGATGATTCTTTCTCGCTGGAAATGGCAGGATGATGATAGCGTCGCTCTGCAAAACTGTCTTTCTGTATTCCTCGCGCAGCAACAGCCATGAGCTGGTTGAGCACCATGAATTCTAGCTTAAACTTTAAGATATAGCTACACGTCTGGATTGGATGACTGATGCCTGTTTGATTGAGAAATACCAAGATTACCGTCAAGATGTCGAATGAGACGACTGCACCATTGACATAGATGAGATCCGTCATGACTCGCCGCTGCTTCACGCTAGACTTTAACTTGAGGAGTATGATCAGTGATGAAATGTAGATAGCAGATATCAGACACTCGACGAGAGTGTAGCCAATTTGGTTGTATCTGTCAACGATAGCCTCTCTTGGCGAATAGAGTGATGACAGATGGGAGTCATGTGAGTTATACCTTCATCAAGTCGGAGTCAGCAATGCTTTTATAGACTGCGAGAAGGAGTCACGGGACATATGTCTCGAGTTATGACTTCGCAAACATGACTCACGCCTGCCAGTCCACCACCCAGGACGGTACGATCATCAGAATAGCAACGGCTATGATGGTGATGAGTACGCCTCGCTGGAGCCTTTGGTCCCGATTAACGAGATGTAGCCTAGAATAGAGTACCAAAGACTGAGCGGGAGCGTATATGGTCCAGCCTCCGACGATGAACAGAGTGTACAGCGGCCACAGATGTTCAGTGTTAGGGACGAAATGCTTCAAGACAACCCCAACAGAGTCGAGGAGGCATCCCCAGATTCCTAGTAACATAGACCAGAAGTAAAGACCCCGTTTCTTTCTGAAAACCCGGTAGATGCTAAATTGGACGTCGAGGAAAAGGTAGAACGATAAGGTGACGAAGCTGATTGCCGCCAAATCTTCACCTGGCCTGGAGGTATGTCAGATTATGTTGATGAAGTGGGTCGTCTACGTACTTCCACTCCGCCGGAGCCGATTCGTTGATGGCATATATCGAAGAGGAGACCATTGTGCAAAGTCACAGCACACGTGAGAAGACCAGCACTACTAAAGGAGGCGCGATGGGGGGGAAGAGAGAGGGGAGAAGAAGATGAAAGACAAGAGCCCGATCGTTGCAGTCCTCGGTGAAGCACGCTCCACAGCCTTGCATGCCATATCGTTTTGCATAAACGAAGATCTCATCGTATGTTTCAAGCAAGCCCAGGCTATGAAAGGCTTGATTTTGCGAACACTCTGACTAGCCGTTCAGCTTCTTTTTTGAAAGGACAAAGCTACCCATGACGCAATTCTAAGTAATGCAAGCAAACAACAGCCAGGACCTGATGCAAGGAGAAGGCACAGAGGGGATGAGAAATCCAAGGTGACGCTGGATGTTGCGGCATCACGTCTGGTCTTTTCGAGGAAAAGTGCTACCGCATGCGCGAAGATTACCAATTGGTTGACAGCGCCATCGTTGGCGTCGAAATAAAGGGCGTACATGCAGGAAGCCACGTGGATCTGCACCGTGCCGTCTTGAGTGTTACAACAAGGCTGCGCCTGGATCCTATTGACAGAATGCGCTTCAAGATCGTGTTATGGGTGGGAAAAAATCATCGGAGTAACAATAACCATGCATGCTTTTGACCCAGTTGCAAGGATACGGTATATATAATGTAACAAATTACTAGCGCATGTAGTATACTTGACGCCAAGAATGCGTCCCTTCACCTGTTCTAGAGAAACAATATCGCAGGGGGAAAACTAGAAAATCATCAAGACGACAAAAGTCAAGATTACTTGGACTAGTTTCCATTCCTCAACAGTCCCGCTATGAAATGATTTGTATTTGGATTTCCTCGCTTTCCACAAGCTGCTGAGGTCACGTATTGATATGCAACAAGCCTGGTGGTTATGGTTGCTGTAACTATTTGCCCCCTTAAAGGGCGTTTTGAGCGACTTTACCTGAGATAGATGATGGCACAGAACAGAAGAGGTACGATATTGACAACGTTTCGTTGGTCCAGTTGCGCCTGGATTGTATGGCCCACCCAGGTCTTATAGGCATCTCGATTTCATATGCCCGGTGCGTTCTGGCCACGATTGGCATCCACATGCGAACCACTCGAAGTTCATTTGATACGGTCCAGCCCTTGGCGTGACATTTTTGACCCCTTGTGCTTCGAAGTGCAGGTTGCGGAAAGTCGTTTTGCCCCCTTGTAAAGGCCTACATCACTGGTTTTGGCACCTCAGACCTCAAAGCAAAGTCGTATAACCTATTCATAGTGTATTGCTGGCCCTCATTGTTTACTAGCATATGAACTGTTGTTCCGATGCGCCGGGATAGAATGACACCTTTATCATCGCCCTGTGATGATGAGGTTAATATGTCATACTGGCAGCCTCTTGTCTTCTATGGAAGCTTCTCAAGCAGGACAAATTAATACTAAATCGCTGGTTTTCTCCCGTTGCTCTCCGCGTCTAATTCACAGATCTTCTACGCTTCATCACTTAGTCGCTGGGGGCCGACCTTTGCTGATGACGGGATGGGTTTGGTGGCCCTACATTGATTAGGCACGACATTTCGCTTGTCGCTGTTTACAGGCAGCATTGTTGAGGACTGTAAGTTGGTTTTGCTGCCTCATAGCCTCATTTGAAACACAACACAACATGGCACCTGACGAAACCCCACTTGGGGTAACAAATTTGCCACCACCCGACGCGACTGGAGCTTTAGAGCCAATTTGTACGGCGACAAAAAGGAAGGGTCATCGTGCAGGAAAGAAAGGAGAGAAAAGGCTGGTAGGTCGATGGCAGAGGACGCGGGTCGGCTTCAAACCAGGAACAACTGATTTCGCGTGCCTTGATCTGAGAGTAGCGGCTAACGTGCTGCCTCTAGCATGTGCTCAGCTATACGAGATCAGGCTCTCAGAGGGTAGAGGCAGAGGCTTATTTGCTCTCAGGGATATCAAGTCTGGCACGAGAGTCATTAGTGAGGAGTCGATCATGGACATGGAGCCTGGCGAGAATAACTTCAAGTGTCCTTGGCGGTTTCTCAAACTTGATCCGGAGAAGCAAGCGACTTTTCTATCCCTGCAGTACAACGAAGACAAAGAGCAAGATGGATTGATTCGAGAGGCATTTCTGGCGCAGGAGGAAGCTGGTGCCGCTGGAAAGATCCTACCAATCGAAACCCAGATCCGCATCGCTCGTATCTACGGACAGTACGGCTTCAAGCGAAAGGATGGTGGAACGCGCTTCTGTATCAACACGAAGCTCATTAATCATGCCTGCATCCCGAACACTGACCACGCCTGGAACCCAGATATTCAGCGGATGACAGTCCACGCAGTCAGAGATATTCGGAAAGGCGAAGAGCTCTTTCATTCATATGTGCAGCCTTGGTATCCCCGAGAACAACGGCTTGCACGGTTGGAAAAACAATTCGATTTTTATTGTACATGTTCCGCGTGTGACATATCGACAGACTTTGGGCTGAGTAGCGCTATCAGAAGGGAGAGACTGCACGAGCTTGTGAATGATCTAACCATACACGGCAAAAGAGTTGAAGAGTATAAGAACTTAGCTTTTCATAGCCAGCTTGGTTTCGATCAGTATCCTGACGATGCTCTACCGAAGATGCTCGAGGTGGTCCAGCTAGTTGAAAAGGAGGGAATCTTTGATATGGAGCTGATGAGTGCGTAAGTGAACCAAAAGTCTCTTTGTGGCACGACAGCAATTGATTCTTCTTAGTTGCCGAAACCTTGCAGTTGTCTATCAACGTGCTGGTGACTATACGAATGCCCACCACTGGCTGCAGAAGGCAGTGGTGATCACGAAAAGATGTCTGGGGGACGACCATGTCAAATTCAAGAGCATGCAATGTTGGTGTGACGAGGCACTGGCGATGTCGGAAGGGCGAAAATGGGAGAACAAGTCATGTTGCAAGATATGTTCGGAACCTCAATGAATATTGAGACTCCGCATGATCAAACAGTGAGTCATGAGAATGGCGGTACGCAGCTGGAGAAATGCCGCGATGTGCTGCTCGATTCTGCTTCATCGGCGCTGCCTACCTACGCAAAATAGCCAAGGATGTGAGCAAGTCTGCGCCTCATGCCAATCGTTCTCTCTGTCTACTTAACAATCAACTAGAGATGAAACTTCGAGGATGATAATGTACCTTTAGCTCCTTAATGCATCTATCTCGAACCTTTGTTTTCCACCAAATGTGATGTAACTCTCCTGCTTCAAGAGCTCTCCAAGAATTTCCGCAAACCGCTAGAAGCAACTGAATAAGATTGAGAGTAATCCTTTTTGACCTCCAGATCGATTATTGCACGGGCTGTATCGCCATTGGAAGCCTAGTCTGGGGTTCAAATGGATGTCCTACGACTTTACACGAGCGGAAGCTTTGCTCGCTGGGCCAACGATTGCTAACCTTGTCGGACCATTATCGCCATCCAAAGCACTCGTCGACTGATGGAGCGCCTTGGCCAGTAGCCTCGCTTGCAACCCTAAAGTGCATGATCTTCAGGAGTCTCTGCTCTGAAGGCTGATCTTTCCCGCCATGTTCAGTCACACAACATCTTCCCTCTTGTTCAAATTATTCCACAGCCATGCCATCTCCCCTAGTGGCAATACCCTTGCAATAACTTTCCCTTTGATCAATGCCAACGACACCGGCCCATAAAGCCTCGAATCCCTACTGTGTGGCATATTATCCCCTTGAACCCAGCAATGCCCTTCCGGCACCTGAATCATCCTCGGCTCATTTGTCCTCACAAGCAAGATATCATCTATAGTCTTATCTCGCACAGCTACCGTACCCCCATCCGCATTGTTACTCTGTACAACGAAATCCCCAGGCATGCCGATCACCCTCTTCACAAGACAGACTCCAGGTTCCAATGGGTGAGAGAGGTCAACAAGGTCCCCAACTTGAACGTCATGCCCTCGTCGGTGGCGTTTCAGTATGGCGACGGAATCGCCCTTGACGGAAAGGGTGGGGATCATGGACGGGCCCCTACACTCGGATATTTCGACGACATTGCTGAATAAAAAATGCCAGAGAAGTGACGCCTGGCAAACGACAATGACGCTGCGGGGAAGGTAACCGGCTAGCCTAGTCGGGGGTCGCTGTTGCGGCTCATGGTGGGCCTGGCGGAGACGTGGGCGAGGAAAAGTCAAGGAGAGTGCATTGCTTCTGAGTGAAGATGTGAACCGGCGCAGACGGAGGAAGTTTGTTATCATCGAAAGCACATGTTGCCTGCAATTGAGAGACGACGATAGTAATGACTGTAAAATACGTGTAGAAATGAAGCTATACATTCGAAAGGCTCGGGGGCTAGTTCTAACCTAATCAGGGTTAACATGCGCACGTGGCAGCGTGGACGACCCGCGTCACGGCGTGCAAGAACCCCCCATCTTGACCCTACCTCGTTCACTGTTGACTGAACGAGCAGGTCAGAAGCTGTCCATAGCTAGTCACACCGACATGGCATCCGAAGCTACGCCACGCGTGAATGCCAAGTACCTTGAGACCTTTACAAATCAAACAGTCCGCATTCTCGGCAAAGTGACGTCGCTCAGAGGGGAGCTCGCTACAATCGATGCACAGGGGAGCGTCAACGTCACACTGAATAGGGTCAGCCTCCCATCAACTTTCAATGAATCGGAGGCTTCAGATGACCCTTCATGACTGCGAAATCATCGAAATCTGTGACTGACCTGGACAGGATGCGCACTTGCAAATGGGAAATGCCGCTGAGATTGTGGGAAAGGTACAGCAGGATTTGAGTGTGCGCGCTTTCCAGGCTGTAGACTTCGGAAGCAATATTGGTGAGCTCTGTCCTGAAAGAATGGAAGACGCTCAATGTGCTAATCAACATGCTTCATGTTCAGACTTCAATGCTGTTGAAGCCGTCGTGGATGCGACACATCGGTACAAGGAGATATTTTATGAGAGCGGTGATTGAGTCTTCCGGATGTCCCAATGTGAAGGAATGAAGGAACGACGATAGCAGTGGTCTGAGGAAGGAAGGCGGAGCAGAGTCTCTGCTATGTATACTTATTGAATAAGTCTAGTCTTCGCTATAATGCTTCATAACCACATGTCTTATTTAGCATATGCAATTTTTACATGCTGATCTTCACATCATCACGTCAAAATTCTCGCCCCTTCGTATGAGTCATAATACGCATTTGCTACACTTGGCAAATCACTTCAGTCGTTCACTTCAATACGTCATTTCAAATTGACACAGGCAGCCTTCGTCAAGCAGCGGACTCATTTTGCAATGTTGGTGGCCCCATTTGAGTAATTGCACTTGTTGACTTTGCAGTACTATGCACTTGGTGCTTGTCGCTTCCGTCCGGACTGGCAATGGTATTTGGCAGAGTGCAGTCACCCCAGAGACTATCGTTACCCTCACCAGAGAAATCACCAAAGTTCCATGGAGGAGGGCTGCTCGGCATTGGTACGTCGGTACTGATGAGATCTTGTGAGTCAAAGTGGCCGAAGTCGAAATCCGCTAGATGTGCATTGTTAGGTGTATTACGTAGAGAAGGAAGGGGAGGGAAGCTGAAGTTGCCTCCTGGGCTGCCCGCATTAGCATCCGAGAGTAATTGACTAAGATGCGCTGTGAAGGGTGTCAGCTCAGGGAACACTCCCGACGTCTTTGTGGGAGTCCGCTTAGGCGTGGATGGAGGGAGAAGGCGTTCTCGATCCAATGACTTGCCGCCTGATGAAGAAGGTTTACTAGGGGATTTTGAAGGCGTACGATTGAGGAAGGGGTATTTCGATCTGGAGCCGGTTGGAGTAGAGAGATGCGCGGGTGGTCCATAGCCGTCTTCATTGAAGAAACGATCAATATCATCCTCAGTACTAGGTGGGTAATTCTCCTTGTTTGCCGAACGTGAAATGGGTTCATTGAGTTCTTCAAGAGAATCCTTCTTGGAGGTATTTTCAACAGCACTAGTGGGGGATCTCTGCTTCGATTTGGCCTTCTCGGATTGGTGAGGCGAAGGGAAAAGAATACGCCGAGTCGGCTGTGGTGTAAGATTTTCCACCTCAATAGGTTCTTGCTCAGTGCCATTGAATTTGTGGGGCGAAGACCTGATTGCCTTCTTGAGAGCCGCAGTGGCTGATGCCTCATCCATCGTGCCACATGGGTTCGACGGTGTAGTCTTATCGTGCGAGTCGACACCCCATTTCATTGCTGGGAGCTTAGGTTCGTTCTCTAAAGCATCAACCTGCTTGGGCGCAGAAGTTGGGGATGAAGGATCGGAGAAGGTGCCTGAAGCAGCCTTTGTGCTTTGCCCCGAAGACGCAGGTCGTGGTCCAGTGCTTCGACGTCGGCCTTTTTCTTTGTCATCAGGGCCTTTCTGAGACTTATCCCACATCTCCTTAGGCCTCATACATTTCTTAGTAGTGAGAAACATGCCACAAGCTAATCCATTCATTAGTAATGGTCTAGGAACGTAGGTGTATCCTTACGATTGCAAAGCAGCATTTCAGTAAACCCCTCATCTTCTTCTGCGAGCGACTTCTTGATGATCCTAAACAGGCAGATTTCGCCCTTTTTGTCTGTTTGCAATGTCTGCCATGCCAAAACGCCGCTTTCTTGATTTGAGAGACGAACATGCTCTGGTGTACCACTATGTATCTTCGACCAGGCCTTTCTCCATGCTGGAGTTTCGATTGCACCGCAATTATCGCAAAATGGAGGGATTTCACCTGCCGCAACGGACGTGGCCAATTTACTTTGTATGGTCGCCTTTTTCCTTACACCAGACTGACCGCCCGTGTCACTTTGCCGTCTACCTCTCCCGCGCGGCGTAGTTCTGTCCATTCTGTTATCGGCTGGCTGGGACTGGCCGGTATCAGATGCTGGATGAGCCGCATGTTTGCCTGCCCATGTTTGCGAGCGATGCAAAGTACAAGGTCGAATTGGATCGCTTGCAGGAATAGGCGGAGGCAACTCGCTAGACGAGACAGTTCTGTTCAATAAACGACTTTCAGGATTGCTATGTGAGCTTAGTGTTTCTTCGCTCCCTTGTAAGCTTTGTTCGAATTGAATCTGCGGTAGCTCTGACATCGTGCCGTCACCTTGAACAAAGTCATAATTGTCTACCGGTAAGTCCAAACGTTTACTGTATTGAGCCGCAACAGCGAAATCTTCCTCGTCTAAAGAGCGCAACTCCTGATCGTCGAACAGATTATCTAGTGAGCCTGTGAAAATACCTGAGTCATCGAAGGCACGAGGGAATTCGGGCAATTGTGGACTAGAATGAGTGGTCAGGTCCTCCGGGAAGACAGGTGGAGAAGATGCAATGTCAGCCGGCGAGCTTTCGGCTTGACTTTTCTCGGGCGATAATTCTGGCGCCTTGTCGGAAATGACAGCAGGACTCAATGCTTCATTCGAAGGGGTTGCAATTAATTGAGATAATTGGCCGAGGTTGCTCCTTGATACTGGCATCCGCGGTTTTTTGATAATTTGAGACGGGTCTGCTACCGGAGTTGGAGCTCTAGGCTGGTTGTCTAGCGACAAGTGCGGATGCGAATCAGGTCGAACTGCCGTTGGTTGATGTATCCTCACAGACGCAGCGGTGCTTGCTGCGACCCTTAGAGAGTCTGGTTGTTTTCCAAGTTCGGGTTTGCCATCCCATTCAGCTTGAACAACTCTTGCCCTCTTCTTGTTGGGTCCCTCATCTGGTCGATCATCTCCGGTGCAGTAACCAGGGTCAGTAGATTCTGGAGGCGGCTCCTTCTTGCCGCGTCGAGTCTTGGGACCTTTGTAATTTGGGCCTGGTTTTCTCCCTCTCCTTTTTGGTGCTACTGTGGTTGAGGTGACACTGGAGGCTGGACTTGGAAGTCGTGGTAATTGCTGGCCAGCCTCTGCATTCGCAAAACTATTTGAACGGGACAAAAGTCTTCTCGCTTGAGCTGATTGCTCATAATCTCCACTGAGCAAACGTTGAACATTCTCAATTCCAAAGGTATTTTGTTGAGCCGTCGATGGCGACTGACTCCTGCTCTGCATAGTCTGCTGTAGAAAGTTTGGATTGTGGTTCAAGAATGAGGTCCACGCTTGAGGATCAAAGCCTGGTGGCATTGCCTGACTAATGTCCCTGTATTTTTTCATACTTTCAAGATATTCGCTTTGCTTAGACGTTGGTACAGGCACGAGGCGTAGTTTCACTTCCAAAGTCTCCTGGCTTCCACCCGTGAAGATGCTAAGGGCGTTCTGGCTGACTCGCCCTGTCACCATTGTTCGGGATTGTTGCGCTGGAGCTCCCGGAGTCGGTGAAGCTGAGGCTAGAATCCACGATAACATCCCTTGTCCGACCAATGGCGTCTCATACTCGGAATAATCATACGCATATACAGTGTAGTCTTGACCCAAGCCTGTGACTATCTCCGGGCTCGCTGTCGCTATGGCTTGCAGACATGTCTTCAGCTCAATAATACCAACTTGTGTGTCAGCGCTAAGAAATACAGTGCGTATGTCCAATGTATGAGGCCATCGTGCTAAGCAGTTTGTCTTATCTTCGTCGAAGGTGTAGAGTACTTTCACTAAGCTCGAGCTTAGTATGACGTAGTCCAAGGGGGGCTTTGTTTGCGCAACTTACATCTCATTTGCCGGACTGAAGTATCTGGTGAATGTTGAGGTTGAGGTGTTCTTCTGGGAGCCAGAGTCGGCGAGGACGCGATGGCTCTGTTGGGGCGGCCATACTCCGACATATTAAGGTAGATAAAGTTCAATTTTCCATGAGAGTCAGCTCCAAAGCTAATTCGGATCGCGGGAGTAGCAGGTCAAGCTTCCATCCACTCAGCTCCTCATTTACAGTATGATGGACGACTAAGAGGACTCAACGACGCGCTTGCGGGCAACCATTGTGACTTATCAAAAGGCGTCGGCAGGTATTAGATGAACGTAGAGCTGGCCAGACGGTTGAGGAAGACAACGCGATGCTAAGTCGAAGCTTGGTCGTAGCCAATGTGTGATGTTCAAGGCTTTACAATCAATGCCTCACCAGCTTCTCGCGGTGTATCTACCTTAGATCCGAACGCGCCAAGACCCCGCTAAGAAACACGGCACAGTTCCGCCTTTTGAGCTTGGCATTAAAGCTTTGCTTTGTTTCATTGTCCAGGTCAGCGTCAAAAGCAAAGGCGAATTCGCTCCTCTTTATACAAATGGCGGATTCTTCTAAGATACAGTATGTTGCTAATCATATGACCCCTGACGTCATTGTACACAATCTAAGTGCTTTTTAGGGAGCTTCTAAACAAACCAAGAGCAGACTTGACGTGGGTTTCCTTGCAATGCTCAACACGACACAGCGCAATTCTGGCCGTCGCTGCTGAAGCATCATATCACTGACTGTGACTGTGCAACAGAGAATATGAAGTCTCCGTCCTTGAAGAACACGAATTCACCGCTGGCCCTCTATCTATCCTTCAGACCGCTGTCCGCTCCCACACGCAAGTCTTGATATCATGTCGGAACAATCGCAAGCTGCTTGCAAGGGTAAAAGCGTTTGATAGGCATTGCAATATGGTTCTGGAGAATGTCAAGGAAATGTGGACCGAAACACCACGAACTTCTGCTGGCAAAAAGGGAGGCCGGTGAACAAGGACAGGTTCATAAGCAAAATGTGCGTCGTGATCCTTCTGCCATCCAACCAGCGTTATGTGAGTCAGAGCGCTGACGAAAGTTCTCTAGGTTTTTGCGCGGAGACTCGGTAATACTTGTCTTGCTTAGTTGAGTACATACTTAGGCAGAAATTGCACTAACCGTCACATTATCTCTGTCCACAAGGCACGCCAATTCTTCCAATGCCGAACCTTGGCGTATCACCAAAACTTCGAGTGACGGAAATCTGAATTAGAGCTCTCTGGTGCAAGAGGTAGCGCTACGCCGTTACTTCTTTGTTCCTAGATCCATCGAAATACATTTCAACCTGTTTGCCAGGGGTGCCTTTCATCGCAACTTTTTCTTGCACGCCGGCTACGTCCAACGCTGCCGCACGTATCTTTGCCACCAAAGAGTTTGCGAGATCGCTGTTGTCAGTCCTCTTGCTTTGCCAACCTTTCTTCCTTGGGGCCCCGATAACCACCTCGACTTTGCATCCTTTCTTCAGGAACTCAGTCATCTGCCGTAGTCGATGATCCAAATCGTTGCGATCAATTGTCCAGTTGACATGCAACTGCTTTGTTTCTAATTTCGATGCCTTCATAGCCTTCTTCCTCGCAGTCTCCTTTTCACGCTCCTCTTGCTTATCGATGTATCGGCAAATAGGATACATGTTTACGTCGCCCGCTGGCTGAACCTGGCGCAAGGTTTCCAGGAAGTTGTTATCTTGATCCTTTTTGCGGAACTCCAGGGCTTCTTGAAGAAGGACAGGTTCTCCAAGTTTGCCATCCTGGACAACGCGTACCATATAGGCCCTAATCAATTCATCTTGAGGTAATCTGCCTTCATTGCTATGCTCCTCTTTTGGGCCAAAGTGTTCAATTTCCTGATTGCGTCTCGGCGCAACTCTTGAATCGTTTGCAAATGCGTTACGCTCTTGAGGCTGTTGTTGGGGTTTGACTGACTGATAGAAGTTGGAGCGGTGCGGAGCTGTTGAAATGGGTCTGATGCCTAGATAGGCTAAAGGCGCGACTTCAAAGCTAGCATTGAATGGACGTTGAAGGCCTTTGCTAAGTTTGAAAAAGGGCTGTGAGTATCTCATATCATGCTTCTCAACAAGTGCAAGCCTGAGGTCGGCGGAGACTAATATCTTGCCCGCGACAAGTGCACTAGACCGTTTTAGGTGACCATTCCAAAATTGCCATTGAGAACTCATCCATTCGTCACTCGTAGTGCGCAGTTGCGGTTTTGTCTCAGCTTCTGCAAGTATGCCAACTCTATCGCGAACTATAAGTCCTTTGCTACGTACAAGTCGATCAGTCTTAAGACAGACAGGGTCCAGCAATCCTGTCCACCAAATTTTTGCAAAGGACATTCGATGTGCACGCGGACTTGCCACAGCGTTTGAGCGCACTAAGCCTCATGTCAATATTGGTTTGTTCATCAATAAATATTCGTGAGCTCCCGGGAGCAATGGCTAATTTACCTTGAGGCACAATTGGTCACGTTGACCACGGCAAGACCACGCTGACTGCCGCCATAACGAAGAGACAAGCCGAGAAGGGCTACGCCCAATTTCTTGAGTATGGCGCCATCGACAAAGCTCCAGAGGAACGCAAGCGTGGAATCACAATAGCTTCGGCACATATCGAGTACGCTACGGATGCACGGCATTACTCCCACGTGGACTGTCCTGGTCACGCAGATTATGTCAAGAATATGATTACGGGTACTTCTAATATGGATGGTGCTGTCATTGTTGTGGCCGCCTCAGATGGACAGATGCATGTGGCAAAGGAACACCAAGGAGAGAAAAACTTTTGCTAACATTTGGCAGGCCTCAAACCAGAGAGCATCTCCTCTTGGCCAGGCAGGTTGGCGTGAAAAAGCTCGTTGTTTTTGTAAACAAAGTGGATGCAGTAGAGGACAAGGAGATGTTGGAGCTTGTGGAAATGGAGATGCGAGAACTTCTCAACACATACGGTTTCGAGGGAGATGACACACCTATTGTCCTTGGTTCTGCTCTTTGCGCATTGCAGGGCAAGTCACCGGAGATTGGTGCTGAGAAAATTGACGAGCTCTTAAAATCGGTAGACGAATGGATACCCACACCAGAGCGAGATACGGAGAAACCCTTCCTAATGGCAGTGGAGGACGTTTTCTCCATCCCTGGAAGAGGCGTAAGCTACCTTCGTCTACTTGATGGTCTACATCCTACTGACTTGATAAAACAGACAGTAGCTAGCGGCCGAGTGGAACGTGGTCTCTTGAAGCGAGATGCTGAGGTGGAGTTGGTGGGAAAGGGCGGCAATCCAATAAAGACCAAAGTCACAGATATAGAAACTTTCCACAAATCGTGTGAAGAGTCGAGAGCTGGCGACAATTCGGGACTTCTCCTGCGAAGTGTGAAGAGAGAGGATGTCAAGCGAGGTATGGTAGTGGCAAAACCCGGCTCAGCGAAGCCACATAAGCGATTCTTGACATCTATGTACGTCTTGACCAAGGAGGAAGGTGGTCGACATACGGGCTTCCATGAGAACTACAAGCCACAAATTTTCTTACGAACAGCTGGTGAGATCTGTGGTTTTAAATGATCCTATGGTACACGCTGCTAACCAAACATCTCAGACGAAGCGTGTGCATTCTTGTGGCCCGCAGACAAGGAAGATAAGGAACAAATGGTGATGCCTGGTGACAACGTTGAGATGGAATGCGAAATATTTCAGCCAATCGCTCTTGAGGAGGGGCAACGCTTCAACGTTCGAGAAGGCAATCGGTGAGCTTGCAATCCTGTGGCATTTTTTCATTCACCATTTCTAACAGGTGACAGTACCGTTGCGACTGGTCTCATTACTAGAATCATGAAGTAGCATCGACGGACTTCACGCGAACGGTGAGTGGGAATCTCATGAACAAGCAGAAGAAGCTAGGTAGTAGGTTGGTGGAAGGATGTACAAAGATCGTCTTAGATGTATTACCGCAAATTCTCCGCTCCTGCTAGGCACCGGACTGGGCTTGAGGTCATAGCATGAGGCGTTGTGTCACCGGAATTAGATAACTGTGTAACAATAAGGTCCAAATTAAGACCTACTGTGCAAACAGGAACAAGTTCTCCGCAATGAATGAAATACCTTTATCGTCCAGCGAAGGCGGAAAGCTCCTGCGCATTTTCGCATGTCCGCTGACTCATGCCCTGACAAAATTGTCAGTCTCATTTCGAGATTTATATACATATAACTTTTGATCAAGGTATGTCTGTGCTTGTTTAAAATGCCAGTCATCGGTCTGGAAAAGCTCATAGCTCTTCAACAAAAGGCGGATGATATTAGAAACGTAAGTCAATCCGTAACCATGAAATTATTCATCACCTTATACGACCGGGGCTTCTAGGTCTGTATCCTTGCACACGTCGTAAGTCGAGCGGACGAAGCACCACTTATGCACAGAAATAACAGAGGTAGGATCATGGGAAAACCTCCCTTACAGACGCTCTTATTGCCACAAATGGCATCATATCTCCTAAGATGGCGGGTAAGATACGATACCTTGATTCTCGCCCTGACGAGCAGCTGCGAGGCATCACAATGGAGTCGTCCGCTATCTCTTTGTATTTTTCGATGCTACGTCGCTCCGCTCCTGACACACCCCCTGTCGAGAAGGAGTATCTGATCAATCTGATTGATTCGCCTGGGCATGTCGACTTCAGCAGTGAGGTTTCCACAGCTTCGAGGCTCTGCGACGGCGCTCTAGTGCTTGTTGATGCGGTAGAAGGTGTCTGTAGTCAGACCGTCACTGTTCTCCGTCAGACGTGGACCGAAAAGTTAAGACCAGTACTCGTGATCAACAAAGTAGATCGCCTGATCACGGAGCTCCGATTGAGTGCGGCAGAGTCATACTCCCACCTCTCGAAATTAATAGAGCAAGTCAATGCTGTCATAGGTACGTTTTTCCAAGGTGAGCGAATGGAAGAAGATCTGCAGTGGCGAGAAAAGATCGAACAAAAGGCCGCAGAAGCAACAGAGAAGAGGGCTGCGCTAGCTGGTGATATGGAGAGTATTGCTCCAAGTAGTACCACTGGAGAGTTTGAGGAGAAAGGCGATGAGGACCTTTATTTCTCTCCCGAGAAGAATAATGTCATCTTCAGCAGTGCTGTTGACGGCTGGGCTTTCACGGTCAGGCAATTCGCATCTATGTACGAGAAGAAGTTGGGTATCAAGAGGTCTGTTTTGGAGAAGGTGCTATGGGGAGACTACTATCTCGAGCCAAAGACGAGGAGGGTTCTTGGTTCTAAGCATCTAAAAGGCCGAGCACTGAAACCAATGTTTGTGCAGCTTGTGCTTGACAGCATATGGGCTGTTTACAATGCTACCATGAGTGGCACTACTGAAAGAGGTGATCCAACATTGCTTGAAAAGATTACAACCTCTCTTTCATTGAAAATCCCTTCTCATGTTCTCCGCTCGAAAGATAATCGCGCTATTCTGACAAATGTCTTTTCTTCATGGTTACCGGTGTCGACTGCTGTTCTCGTTTCCGCTATTGAGTATCTTCCTGGACCACGAGTATCCCAAGCAGAAAGACTACCATCCCTAATTGATGTGTCGCCAGGGGCGTCAGCTGTCGATCCACAAATACGAGATGCTATGATCAATTCAAAAGCGACCCTCGATGGTCCTTTCGTCGCCTATATCAGTAAGATGGTCGCTGTACGTGAAAGTGAATTGCCAAAATATAAAAAAAGGGCTGGACAAGGTATGACTGGAGAAGAAGCCCGTGACCTGGCCCGAAAGAAGCGCATGGAAATACAGAAAACGCAATTAATGATGAATGCTGGTGCTGGTGCTGGTGCTGATCATGGCGTTGAAGATATCTCGGAACCTTTAGAAGGCATGGCGTTGAACGGCTCGGTCGTTGATGAAGAAGAGGACCCAGAACATCTTGTTGGTTTTGCAAGAACATACTCGGGTTCGCTCTCTGTAGGGGACTCTATTTATGTCCTACCTCCTAAATTTTCTCCAAATAATCCTCATGCAGCACCCAAGCCACAGAGAGTGGCCGTGACTGGGCTTTATCTGATGATGGGACGAGGCCTCGAGATACTCACATCTGTGCCTCCCGGTGTCGTTTGTGGCATAGCTGGGCTGGAGGGTCTTGTACTGAAGTCTGCTACTTTATGCAGCAAGCTTGAAGGTGCCGTCAATCTGGCTGGGCTCAGCATGGGTACTCAGCCCATTGTTCGAGTCGCCCTGGAACCTGTCAATCCAGCGGATCTAGACAAGATGATTCAGGGTATGAAATTGCTGGAACAGAGCGACCCTTGCGCGAGGTATGAGCTTTTGAGCAGCGGTGAGCATGTCATCTTGACCGCTGGCGAGTTGCATCTCGAGAGATGCCTCAAGGATCTTCGAGAAAGGTTCGCAAGATGCGACATTCAGGCTGGCGAGCCGATTGTGCCATATCGTGAAACAATAGCCAGCAGTGCGGAGATGACGCCACTCAAGGACAAAGATCTCCCAAGGGGCACGATTATCAGTGATACAAATTCAAGGCAAATTACCTTACGGCTGCGGACAGTACCACTCCCAGTCTCGGTGACAACGTTTCTGGAGAAGAATGTAGCCTCAATCAGGCGCCTGTATGCAGAACAAAAAGCCCAGCAAGAAAAGCGTCAGGCTTCTGCAGCCGAGCATCAGGACGAGAGCGACGAGGAACTCGAACAAGAGAACGAGAGTGCTGAAGTCAATGTAGATTTTGTTTCCGTCTTGGAATTTCGAGAGAAGCTACGTACCGCATTCGCCGAAGCAAACGCAGAGAATGGTATGTGGAATAATGTGGTTGATAAGATCGCAGCGTTTGGGCCAAGAAGAATTGGTCCAAATATCCTGGTGGATGCAACACCAGAGGGCACATGCCAACGATTGTATGACGCCTTTCTCCCACAAGGGGTAGACTCTGATGCTAATTCTTTCAGCCTTCGAGAAAACGACACCCAAAATCGGCCTCAGCATCTCGACACCAAAGCTGCCAATAGAGATCTCATTCATCCTCGCGAGCTCTCGGACAAAGTCTCCTACGCATTCCAGCTAGCCACGGCCCAAGGCCCAATGTGCCACGAGCCAATTCAAGGCATAGCAGTCTTCCTCGAATCCCTCACCATCAATTCCTCCTCTGACAACCTCCCATACACCACAATAACTCCAAGCATTGACGCCAACAACACAGACATCTCATACGTACCCCACGCAACACCATCAGCACCTTCAACAGCAAACAAAGACCCCAACATCGGCCGCCTGACAGGCGAAATCCTCAAACTAACCACCTCAGCAATCCACACCTCCTTCCTCTCCTGGTCCCCGCGGCTCATGCTCTCCTACTACTCCTGCACAATCCAAACGCACCCAGACGTTCTTGGCCGCACCTACAGCACCCTATCCCGCCTGCACGCGACCATAACTTCCGAATCAATGGCTGAAGGCACACCCTTCTACAGCATCACAGCGCTCCTCCCACTCGCCACCTCCTTCAATATTGCCGGTGAACTCATGAAGAGTACGTCCGGGGGGCACAGCCGCAGCTGCTGTATCACGGGTTTGAGGTGCTGGATGAAGACCCCTACTGGGTGCCTAGGAGTGAGGAGGAGTTGGAGGATTTCGGGGAGAAGGGAGATCGGGAGCGCTGGAGCAAGGTTCTTTTAGATAGGGTGAGGAGGAGGAAGGGTCTGATTGTCAAGGGTGAAAGGGTTGTTAAAGAGGGTGAGAAGCAGAAGACGCTGAAGAAGTGAGAGGGTGACATGAAGACTCGTCAGAGTGAAGTGGAATGATACGAAAACTAGGAACGACCTCTTGTGATATTTAGGTGGGCTCGTGTGCATTTTCAAATAGGGGCCTACGTAAGAAGACGCGCAGAACGCTTCGTAAGATCAGATGAGGGGCGTGGAGCGGGTGTGCAGAAAGGTATTGCGTGGAAGCAGTAGGTCAGAATGGCCAACAAAGCGGCTATGAATCTGGATATTGTAGATCGTTCATGTCTCTCGAATATAGCTACTCAGACATGTTCGGGAATCATAAGTCGTGAATTCACTACTACATCAGTCTTGTCATTCAGCGTCGTGGTAGGGTAAAAATCATCAAGAGTAAGAACATTGCTGAAAGGAACAACTCGAACGCTATACAAATTTAAAGCGACCGTGGCGATACAGTAGCATAGTAGAAAAAGGATGCTCTTCGGCATCATGTCGAGCATCGGGGTATTTGTAAGTCATTCCGGTCATTGAAGCTGATGATCTAGCCGACGGTATCGTGGGTGCCGTTCTGATCGTATTGCGGAGGCGTTACTATAAAGAGCTTGCGCTCATCCTTCTATTCTCATTGTGTCGTTTCCTCGTTATGCTTCCTTCTGTAGTGTGTCTGCTGCAGTGTGCGCAGAGCTGCTGTTGCCCGAGAGCTTGTCCGATACTCACTTAGTCAAATTTATTTACTTGTGGGGATTGTTGCTTGCACCAAATGACTTGCAGAAGTCATCCTCAGAAGAAGTTGCTATGAGCTATCCAGCTCTGAGGGAAATGATGGTGGTCGCTGCTGGGATACTGTTGTCCATAAGTGGAGCTGCCAAAGGCGTTATCACTGATGTAGTGATTCGCACCGAGGCCTGCCCCCTGTAATACATGACGACCTTGGTCCAGCCAAGCATCGAAACCATCGTCGTTCTCGATATCAGGTAGTGGATCCATGATTCGTCTGTTGTCGACGACGAGGTAATTCTGGCCATCTGCAAACTCGCTACCGGAAAAATTGCCGCGCTTTGCTGCTGCCTCTGCGGTCTTGAAACACCAGTAATAGAGCACTCTCAACATTTTCCTTAAATGGCTCACTGCATTAGAATGATCGAAAGGTTGGCCGAAGGTAGAAGGTTCATGGGCAAGTAAAAATGAATATCGAAGACGCAACACACAGGTTGTGCTGTGCATCTGACTATTCAGCGTCGCGGTATCCACCTTTCCAGTCGTCTGAGGCAAAGACATACATTGACTCTGCAGCTGAGCGTGCCCCAATTTCTCCACCGCTCGAAGGACAAGGCGATTCAACATGGCAGCATACTTGAGCTGCCTCGAATCATTTATATTTAGATATTGGTGTGGCGAGACACCAGATACTGGTACCAAGCGATAGGTTGCTCGACTTGGCATGAGGGTCCAATGGATGAGCCGCTCCACGTCTGTCATTTCTTTTGGAGGGATGACTACTTGCGACCAGTCAGATGCAGCCGATTTTCCCATCGACTTGTCGCTATCAAAGAAGTCACCGAGCTCAAGATCCTGCTTCTGCTTGCTCATACGAGCAATCTTCTGAGACAATCGGGTATAGCATTCACCTGCATCTATTAAGTAAGACTGGGAATTCACATGTTCCACTCGAATGTGGTAGCGACCACGCAGAGGACACAAGAACTGAAGAAGAGCAGGCAGGGGGAATGTGTCAGGAATTTGGATGATTGCTTGAAGAGGGCGTCCTGAAGTCGCAGTCGACAAGGTCAAGTGGAACGTGCCATTGGAGGGGACTTTGTCGAAATACTCAAGCCACCGCGCTACCACGCATGGAATGCCTTTCCTTGCTTTCTCACATCTACCGCACGGATAAGATCGTTGGTCGCAGCCCGTCTTGTTGCTAACGCAATTGATGCAATTCTGCGCGTTCTTTCTGTTCCAATTGACCTTCTCTTTCTGCTCCGAAGTGTATGGCCTTTTCCGGTTTGGTTTTGCATCTAATGATGCAGGCAGGACTGGATCTACGTCCAGATCAATGATGGCAATTTCTTCACGTGTATCCATTTCCATACCCTCCGGTATGGATCCAAGCGGTCTGTTCGGAGCTTGAACACTGCAAACGGAGCCCGAGCTTCGTCTTCTCCCTTTGCTAGTCTTACGATTGACAGGTACATCGGAAACCCTTGATTGGGACATCGAGCCCCTTAGCCTTGCCTTGGTGATTTGTTGTGACGCGTTGCCCTTCTTAGGGCTTGTTGGAGGCTTCGTCATAGGGGTAAAGTGCCCTTTGGTAGGTGGGAAAGAGCCGGCTATATCCCCTTGCCATTTCTCGCTCGAACGTCGATCAACGATGTCATGAGGCTCCGCCCAGCTGATTCTTCGTGCACCTCCATTTGCTCTAATTGTTGGGACGTAAAGTCCGCTTGGAACAGCAGGAGCAGACGTATCGTACTGTGCACCGATACTTGTATTTGACATAGCAACGAATTGGTCTCCAAGGGCAGCGAAGTTATTATCATGATGAGGGGACATGGTGTAGGATGAGTGATAATGATTTTGCCCTAGCGTGGATTCGACAGGTACACTGTGAGAAAGCATGTCTTCAAGCTCCATATAATCCATACGGACGCCTGCTTCCACAACACTGCCCTCACCTGCAATATTGGGATCCTGGCTCTTCATACGTTCCTGCTCATCGAGCGCGTCGTTGTCGAAGGAATCGTGGTCGCTTGTAGCTGTAGATTCAAGGTCCTGGAACCCGTGCATTGGCAGTCTGGGCGACCACATGTGTGAAGAAGCATCGTGGTCGCTGCTGTGGGCAGCTGACCCAGCCATGTCGGACTCATCCACCCAGGGGTAGGCATTGAAGCCTTGGGAGGAGTTCAGCTAGCCGAAGCAGTCAGCAAAGGAGACTCCAGAGAATGGATAGGGTCATACGTTTCCAAATGATACCGAGAGGCCGGATATGTTGTTCAGATCAGCCTGGTTTGGACGATGTGGTATCGGAATTGGAGACGACGAGCCTTGAGGACTCTGCCAGATGTCTGGGTAGTCCTCGTACGCCCTAGAGGGTGGGTAGTCTCGTAGGTCCGCCATGGGACGAAGGTTTGGTACGTCACTGAGATGCGCCGTGAGTATGACCTTGGCATGGAGCAGGATGATGAACATACATAGCCTGTAACTCGTCGTCATCCTCAAAGTCATGTCTGCCGCCGCATTCTCGATCGCAACCACGCTCACGGGCATAAGGGTCGATCTGGTCGGTAATGGTGCTGAACTCTGAGCCCGATTGTCTTTGGTAGGAAGTGTACGACATGGCAGAAGCAACGGATATAATGCAATCAAAGTCAAATTGAGCATATACGAGAACAACGAAGGAATGAAGCAGACAGGGCAGATTGCAGGAGTGAAAAAATGCTGGAAGAGGTGAGATGTGCTGGTGGAGAAGTACTGAGAGCTTTAAATGGACATCGGTATGAAGGATGGAAAAGGTGCAAGGCTCTTGGTGGGCAGACCTATAAGAGGGTCAACAAGGCTGGAGCCAAGCCTAAACAGGCAGACAACGGGTGCATACAGCCAGAAGGTCACAAGTCGCTTAGAGGCGGTCTGCTAATTGAACTGAATTGCGTTGCAGACGCGAACAGTGCAAACGAACCGGCATTCCAACCACTGGCTTTGGCTCATGCCCTGACGACCGCCCGACTTGTTGGGCAGACAATCCACGCCCGGCCCTGTGAAACATTTCCAAGCATTGATGCTGTGATCGCTCTCTGCGAGCAATCTCGTGATTCAATTAGCTCCTTCCCATTTTTGATGTCCCAATGCTCGGTGAGAGCCAGTGGACAAGCGGACAACGGTGCTGCTTCGCAGAGTAAAAAGGGTTTGGGACGGTGACACGATGTCGTGCAGCAGTACTAGGACTGACAGTGGGCTGCTCTTCAAGCCATCCGTTGCTAAGCGGTGGTAGATGGACAATAGAGCTTCACCTGGCGTGTCGAAGGTGAATTGAGTCAGACAGATTACTTCGTGGCCGTCACCGAATGGAGATAATCAACAATCGTTCGTTGCTTTAGATCTGCTTCGGCGCTCTCCGCGCATCTTGCTCTGAACAGCTCCAACCACGCCTACGGGTGCGCCTGGAGATCTAGCGAACGGTTGGGTGCGAACCGGGGAGATCTAGTGCTTGACTTGGCGTAGGCCTTGACGCACACCCTGATGCAAGCCAGTCCCACAGGTCCTAGGGAGGATGCATTTGGAGTGAGGCAGCGAAACACAGACGAGGGCCAGCTTGCTTGCGTCACTGCCAAGGCTTTCTAGAAGCCCATTCGAACCGTTCTGCACGTGTCCTCGTGGGTTCCTTCACGAACGGGGTGGATGGATCAGCCTTGCGGTCAAAAGCTTGGGTTCCAACACTAATGATGCATCATGCACATTGCTAAAATGCCCAAATGTCACGATTTCCTTCTGGATAACGCAATCGCGGCGGATAGTCACATGCGAGCTGCCAACGTCAAGAAGGAGCGTGAACAGGCGTTCGTGACGTGAATAGCCGTCGGTTGTCATTTGGAAGACGTCCAAAGCAAGAGCTCCGATCGGTAAGCAAGTTGGCCCACGATGAAAGGGTCAGTCTCAAGGGGCTGGGCACTCGGCCTGCTCATTGTGTCTTCGAGCCCTCGAGCCCCAGCGTGTGATTGCCGCCGGCAGCAGAAGAAGAGACATTCATGATGCGATAGGTGAGCATGTCCTTGAAGCCATTCGCCCATAGGAACTTTGCACGGGGTCCAAGCACGCATCGGTGAGAGGCCTTCCAGGTCCCCCGAGTTGTTTTCGTGTCCTGTCGTGATTCTGCAAATGCAAGCATACCAATTGCATGGATATGAGACATGACACGCTGTACAATGGTGACGCTAGGGCTTCATTCAGGCGTGAACGCAAAGACGATAGCTTGCTGAGGGCGCGACCTTCACTTCGTCAGATGATTTTGATAAACAAACCAAAACGGTACGCTAATCAATGCGGACGCTAACCGCTTTCGGGGGATTTGCAATTTGTGGGGGAATCCTCCGAAATCCATACAATTGACGGATCAACCATTATTCCGTCTCACCCTCCGATCCACGCTCCACCCGCAGGTCAGCACTGCATCCACGCTTGCAGACCATTCATGCATGCAATATATTGATCCGACAACGGCGAGCAAGCCATGGCTGAAGTTGTGTCCCCAACTCAAGTTTCGCTGCCTCCTGACCTCGCAAGCACCAAGCAGACCACCATACCTCCCAAGCACCTAGTACCACCCCCAGTCACACTTCCTCCACAATCAGCTGTGCGCAGTGGTCACCTCAGCCTCGATACCTTCTCCCCAGTGAACCAAAATGGCAGCTTCGCCTTTGACAGAGTCATTAAAAATGGGGAGGTACACAAGCGCACAAGGAAAACGAAGGTAGACGTTCCTTGATATGTCTAATACGTCCGATTACTCAACTGAAGACCTCCAATAGCAGTGGAAATCTTTCCACCTTGTTCTTCGCCCCAACCTCATCTCGCTCTACAAGAGCCGAACGGAGGAACGGCTGCTAAAGCAGCTAGCCTTGTCCGACTTAACCGCCGTCACATATCTTAAAGACCCTAAGGGTCGACGAGAGCATCTTTTCGGTCTCTTCTCTCCTTCGCGTAATTGGCACCTCCAAGCGCAATCAGCTGCCGAAGCTCGGTCTTGGGTTGAATTGATAAAGCAAGAGGCGAGGATAGACGAAGAGGAAAAAGAGCTGCTCGTTGCTAGTCCGACATACTCTCAAACACCACAGATCGATCCACTCGGCAACGACAGGTTCGAAAGTGATCGGATAGGTTCATCGTCGCCTGAGCCTTCATCACGTCTTTCCACAACCACACGCGACGGGGTAAAGATTCCCGGCATTCGTCGTCCCTCAGCCGCCTTCCAGGACTACTCGGGCGATGAGATTGGCCCCTACTCCGACTTCTCGGACACGCCACCACAGAGCTTTCAGCAGCCTAGTACTTTTGGCTCGCTAATGAGCAAAAAGCTGCGACAGCCACCCGTCGTACACCATCAGACACCATACACAACACCTCTAGATCAGCAGACGGCGCGAAAAGCAAGCCAGACTAGTGGTCTACAGGCGGAGCACCAAGACGAGGAACGAGTGATATGGCACGGCTATCTCCTCTATCTAAAGTCTAAAGGTGGTGTGAGGCAATGGAAGCGCACTTGGGTTGTTCTAAGGCCAAAGCACTTAGCCTTCTACAAGAATGACGAGGTATGTACAATACTGCGTCGCTTCCTTTGGCTTCTTAATGCTCACAGGGCGCCAATAGGAGTATGCTGCGAACCTCATCCTACCTCTGACCACTGTCATCAGTGCTGTGGAGATCGATCCAATATCAAAAAGCAAAAAGCACTGTATGCAGATCATCACTGCAGACAGAAGTTATCGCTTCTGCGCTCCGAGTGAAGACGCATTGGCTGAGTGGCTCGGTGCATTGAAAAGCCACTTGGCCAAGAAAAAGGAAAAAGATAAGTCTCTGCCACCATAACGACTCTATATAATATTTCCCGCCATGTATGATTATGATTTGTATATAGAATGAAGACTTGCATGAAAATTTACGGATTGTGACGGGGATCCATGAATAATGATAGTCTCCACGCACAATTGAAGTCAATTGTACATTATACACATTATTGCCCCTCTCTTGCCTCTTGCGCCGTCTGAGACTACCTATATCTTGCACCATCCTTCTTCTTGTATACGTTCTTCTCTCCCTTTTTCCTCAAAAACTCCATGTTCACACCCGCCAGCCCAGCCCTCTCCATAACCCCATCCGTCCCCTCATCCCACCTCGTCCTGAACAGCCCAGCCCCTACCGGTAACAGTTCCTTATGATGAGTCAACAATTGCTTCAATCTCCAACCCTCTCTCTTCGTCTGCCACTTCCTCAGATCCTTGACATCCATCGCACTCTCCCCGTTCTGTTGGAGCACTATGACAGCCAGACGATGGTATGGTGCGCCCTTCTGTGCAAATGGTGGGAGCCAAGACTGTACAATATGCTTCTCCTCATTCAGGCTGCGTAGGGGCACTGAACGGTTCGTAGGCGAGAGAGGAATATTGACAGCCAGATAATGACAGCGCGAGGTGAATGAATCGTTCGCGACGTCTGGCACATCCGGGTCGACGACCGCAATTGTGACAAGGCGGAGTCCTTTGTCGAAAACCTGAATATTTAAATGGAGGGGGAGTTTGCTGATAACAGAGCCGACGAATTGGCCGGGCTGGACGTTTCGGCGTCCGAAGCCGATCGAGACGGAGGCAGTAGGGTTGAGGTGGGGGAGGATGTCAGGGACGAGGTGGTGTTGCTCGATTCTTTGCATGAGAAGCTTTCGGTCGTAGGAGCGCCATTTGCGGTCTGCAAGGTAGCGGTAGATGGGTCGGTCCATGTCGCCTGACCGTACAAAGGTAAGCCTCTGAAGATAGAATGGGTCAAGATCAAATGAAGGAGGCAACCTACCCATCCCATCCTCAAATCTCTTCCTAATGACCGGATCATTAATATCCGCAAGAATTTTCAGATCCTCTAAATGCTTCTGCATAGCAACTAATCGTCCTTTCTTACTTCCCTCCTCCCTCTGGGTTTGAGCGGGGGCTGCTTGCCATTTTGCAATCCGCCTTCTCTGCTCAGCTATCTGGACAAGCTTTTCTTCGCGGTCTGCAGCGAGGACTTTGCGCGCTTCTTGGAAGCATTGATAGGGCATTTGTTCAAATGGTACGTTGTCGCTGGAGAGCATGGCGGCACGGCGCCGACGCGAACCAATGGGGTAAACATGTTGTTCTCGGATGAGCTTCCTCTCCTGTCGAGGGCTGGCGGCTGTATTGGGGTTGAGTTCAATGGGGGAGGGAGGGTAGTAGGGGCTTTTGATTGTAGTGGCTGAAGGTTCATTGCATTGGCGGGACGTTGATGTAAATGTCCTTTCGTAACGAGTCTGACTACTTGGAGGGCTACAGATCTCTCTCAAGCATCTGTATGCCGGCCGAGGCAATCTGTGCGAATTCATTATCGATGTGTAGCAAGAAAAGTTTCAAACGCTTGCTTTGAGAAAAATCTCTTGGCAGTGACTCTTTCAATAATGTCTCGTATGCTATTCTTCATTATTCATGTTACTCTGTGCACATATAAATTTCGCGACGACAATGGAGAGTCAAACGCTACAACACTCTGTTCGAGCGTTACAGAAGGCTTCGCGATCGACTTACATGATTGGAGACCCTCTCATGGTTAGTATCCATCCTCTCTAACCCGTTGCTGAGATGCTAAAGACTTGCAGAGGTGCCTAGCCCCTCGTCTCTCGAGACCAATGGCAACAAAAACCCGAATGCCGCAGAATGTACAGTACAGTGACATGTCCCCGCCAATGCTTCGACGCCAGCCTCCTGTGAAGGAGGTCCCAGTCACAGTCTACAGCTTTCCTGAATTTGAGCCCTTGCGCTTTGCCTCCTACCCCGAGAATCACCTAAATCTACCTGTCCGAAGAGACATTCTTCAGCGAGCTGTCGTGTTTGAAGCCGACAATGCTCGTCAAGGAACTGCAAATACGAAGTGGAGAGATGAGATACATGGAAGTCATCGAAAACTGAGACAGCAGAAAGGACTGGGAATGGCTCGCCTAGGAAGTAAAACGAGTCCTATGTTGAGGGGCGGCGCTTCTGCCTTCGGCCCTAAACCACGAGACTTCTCTTCTAAGCTACCTAGAAAGATTTATGATCTGGCCTGGAGGACGGCGTTAAGCTACCGCTACAAGAAAGGGGAACTGATCGTTGTTCAAAAGTTCGATGACGAGGATGTGACAGGACCGAGACTGATGGATAAGATCATTGAATGGAACCAACTGGGAAAGCCGCTGGTTATCACGAGGAGACCGATGGACAACCTAACCGAGGCAATGAAACCCGGTGAAGGGGCGCGTGATAGAAAGCCTGGATTAGCATTGCCAGAAGTCAACGTTGACGTGAAAGATCTACTATCCCTTGGACGACTCATCATTGAAAAACGAGCTTTAGATTCGATTCTGAAAAATCATTCCAGCGATCTCAATACTATGGTAGCTACCGCCATTTATGAATAGCCTTCCAAAGATTCTGGGATTCCTAGGGCATGGCACGCGAGTCGGCACCTACAACGTAATTTGACACTATCTCATCTTACCGTCAAATCTAGAAGTCGTAGAGCTTAATACTGGGAGAGCGTCTTGCATGCTGGCCTTGCAGCTGTACATCCTCTGCGCATATACGTATCCGCCAGGCTGACTGCTATGGGAGAACTTGCACGCAAAGACGACATAAGACAGATGAATGGTATGCTCTTTCATAAAGAGTGATTTCACGAAAGCACGCGGGATACTCAAGTGCCCTGCAGCAGTGGTCAGCGTCGACGTTGCTTGACTAGCAAGATGTGCTGATTAGGATAATTGTTCGGGCCGGTTTGGGGATTAGAGGGCTAGCCCATAGAGGGTGGAGCTGCAAGACAAGTGAAGGAATACTGCAGGAGATGCATAGAAATCTTATAAACATAAATAAAGGTGTTCTATATATCTTCCTGTCTATATAATGTGCCCACAATCGCGGTCTTCATCTGGCCGCGGGTAGCCGAGGTGGAAAACTCTCCAGACAACACCTTTTTTGGCGTGACGGTACAACGTTCATTCGCTGCAGTGATGACCCGAAACATCTTTCCCTTAATGTTTTTGCGGCCAGGCTTACTCAAGCCGTCTTCGCTGAATCGGTATTCAAGTCCTCGTGCCAGTAAAATGCCCCTGAGAGCGAAAATCATCAACCCTTCATTCTCGACCCATTCATCAAAGGTACGCGTCAACCGCTCCAAAGAATGCTGATAGTGATGCTGAGAATGTTAGAAAATCACAATCGAAGACGGTCCTATGATTGACAAGCAGGTCCCAGGCGAAAGCCCATCTGATGTTCTATTCAATACGCATTATGGCGTCCGGACCATCGAGCTCAACCGGCCTGGAAAGATGAATTCTCTCAATGCATCGATGGCGCAAAAAATAATATCACGTTTACTTGAATGGACGAAATCAGACCTTGCGAACATCATTCTAATTTCAGGCGCTGCCGTGAGAGGTTCCCCCACTGGGAAGAAGCCTTTCTGCGCAGGGGGGGACGTTGCAGCGCTTGCAGAGCTGAACATAAAGGGACCTGAAGGCCAACGCCAGAGTCACGATTACTTTGCGCTGGAATATCAATTGGACCATCTTATTGCCACCTATCCAAAACCATACATTGCCTACATGGACGGCATCACCATGGGTGGTGGTGTTGGCCTTAGCGTACATGCCCCAATTCGAATAGCTACCGAGCGGACAATATTCGCTATGCCTGAGACTAATATTGGCTTCTTTCCCGACGTCGGCGGAAGCTTCTTCCTCTCGCGACTGGAGGGTAGCATTGGGGCCTATCTTGCTCTGACCTCGAAACATCTGAGAGGCGTCGACGTATACTTTGCCGGCATTGCCACCCATTACATTGACTCGTCCACCCTTCCGAACCTTACAGCTCGCCTGGCAGAGCTCCAATTCAAAGACTTCGACAGCCTTGACACTCGACTTGAGATCATCAATGCAACAATAGCAGAATTCGACACGGGTCTACCATTTGAAAGGTATGGAATGTTCGTAAGCGAGCTACGGAGAGCAGTAGATCGTTGCTTCAGTCAAGGCAGCGTCGAAGAAATCATTGCCGCTGTGCGCAAAGAGATCCGACGGGGTGTGCCTCGCGTTGTGAGGACATGGGCAGACGATACACTTCAGGCACTTTCAGAACGCTCGCCTACATCTCTCCGCGTGGCACTTCGCCTGCAACAGCTCGGAAAAGACTGGAGTATTGCCGAAACATTCCAGCGTGAGTATGAATTAGCGGGCAAATTCATGGCACACCCTGATTTCACCCAAGGGGTGTCCGCTCGTTTGATTCGCAAGCCAGCCGCTAAGCCAGTGTGGGAACCACCAACGCTTCAAGAGGTCAGCGAGCAGCGTATAGAAGAAATGCTCCAACCGCAAGAAGGCGGGAAGAAACTGGAACTGTTCAATACTGGAGACTACAGAAGCTATCCGCATTCGCTCGCTCTGCCAAGGGACGAAGAAGTGGCGGTGCTCGTCAAATCAGGGAGTATGTCAAAGGAAGCATTGATTAGCCATCTACTAGGCAAATACAATCACAAACTTGGACTGCGAGAAAAAGTGAATGAGATCCTGAAGAGGTGTTGTTCTGACAGTCCAAACACAGGCCTACGTTGGCGGGAGGAGCAATGAAACATGTCGAATTATTCCCCACGTCCAACGCAAATAATCAGAGCCTGTGTAGAAGAGGGAGGGGCTTCCCACCAGTACCCACGTCTGAGGGTGTGGCTCATTCGGTCCCTGCAAATAGGGGTCCAGGCTAGAAGAGCAAGTTTCCTGATACCCCGCGGTGCACTATCCGGTACGCATCCTGATTGACTTCTGCTGAAGACAAGGCCATCAATTGGCCCAAGCCCATCTTCAAGGGTCTCTGGACAGCTATGCGGGAGCATGATTGGCCAACAGTAGCCAGTTAGCCACACTTCTCTACCTGACGGATCTCGATTCAGGAACGCGGAATTGTATGCAGGGTTCCACGCCATCTATAGATGCGTGGTCTGGGCTGTCGTGGCTTGAGCCGGCTTCTGGTACGGCTCATAAGATTGTTACACGAACAACTTTGCCATTATCATTTTTACGTTATTTCCAGCTTCTGGCTAAGTTTGCTGCCGAATTCCAGATGCCGGTCATAGCAGGCCGGTGTCGCACCGACTCATCCTTATTTTCATACGGTCTAATGAAGCATGTGACCTTGTGAAGATACTCAGAGATGCAAAACCCTCGCCCGCACCGGTACATCTGCAAAATGTGGAGGCCTGGGAGGCCCACGGGTAGATACCCGGCGATTGAAAGGCCTACTAAGGGCTTTTTGAAATGAATCACATTTCTAACCTTCTTAGGAAAGGCTCGAAATAGATCTTTAAGTATCTCAACTTTCAAACAACACTCAATTAATTTGACTTATATTACCATTCTTAATATAATAAATGAATTATAAAATTATAAAATTTTCTATATATATGTTAATTATTGTACCTTAGTATGAAAAAGTTCTTGAATATCCGGGTTTATCTGGAGGTCTCTACTTGAAAGATGCAAAATTGAAATTGCAGGACAATCGTCTTGACAGTAATAGTGCATTCTTCGTGCCGAATAATTGCAATCACCATTCCGTGGATATGGGCAAAAGAAGCCGACCACGGGTGGGTAAGCCAAAGTCAAAAGATTTCCACGCTTACGTGGTGGTGAGTCCTTCCTGGCGAGTAGTGCAAGAGTCAACCAGTATTCGTATACTCTGCTTGCTGTTGAAAGCCTACGATGCACAAATGCATTGGAGGGCTTGCACTAGTGTCGCTCTTCACGGCACGTGGGGTTTCTCACCCCTCCAAAGACTGCCTATTTCGACATCCTAACTCTCCCTTTGGAGAGAATTGGTGGTGCGTCTTCCGCTTCGGATAATACACCCTACGTCTTCGATCTGTTCGATGCGATCAATGCCCTGTTGCAGAAGTTCAAGCTTTTGCCCTGATTAGACCCTTCGTGAATTCAATTGGCCCGGTACGATTTGATATGCACGATCCAGTCCCTTAACACAGCGCGGGTCGAAAATCGCCCGCTGAGAGGTAAGACCCTTTAAATGTAGCAGCCCCGCTCCGCACTCCGCAAAGCCACAGTCTATTCCAGATTTGCCACCATAGCTTCATAAACACCACAACTACATTCGCGACATTCATCTCTATCACGACCGACTACTCACCCCGCCCTTTATCGCCCTTTGCGTTCTCACTTGACTCTCAATTTTGCCACCTGACGACAGGATGAGTTCCACAACTTCGAGTATCACAACCAATGACAACTTCTTCAAGGCGTTTGGCACCGGATCTACCAACAAACGTCTGGTCGACAGCCAGCAGATCGCAAAGCCATTGCAGGACCAGTCAATCGATCGTATCAAAACCGAGAATGCCTCGTTCTATAGCGTCGACCCTTCAACCAACCCATCTGCATTCCAAGACCCTTTCCTCACGGCTGATACATCCGAATTGCCCACTTGGGCGCGCGAATTCAACCCACAGCAACCTCTATCCCCAATCAGTTCCGATACCATGTCTCCTAAGAATTGGTCGTTCGATTATCAGAGCAACGTTCCTCCAAACCCCTTGATCAACTTGCAATCCGACCTATCCTTCCGAACACAGTATGGCCAAGTGACTCCACCCGATATTGATGATGACGGTATCTTCGACCGTCAACTGCAAGAGCAGCTAAAACAGCAAGAGCAAGGATCAAAAAAGTCGACTTCGTCCAAGGAGAGCCAGCTGTCCACAAGTTCTGCGTCAGGGAATGCGCCAACAACACCTGCCGTACCAAAGCGTACTCGCAAATATACTTCTCGCAACTCCAAGCAGTCGCCTCCAGATCCCAATAATCCTGGTGAAGTTCGCCGATCCAAATTCTTGGAGCGAAACCGAATTGCTGCCTCTAAATGCCGTCAGAAGAAGAAGGAATGGACCCAGAATCTAGAAACTCGTGCGAGAGATTTACAGAAGGATAATAGTGACTTGCACACCATGATTGACTCACTCAGCCAGGAGGTTTTCTACCTTAAAACCCAGTGTGGTCAACATATTGGCTGTGATTGCTCGGAGATTCAACGATTCATGAAAGATCCTGCGCACGACTTGTCTTCACATCATCAGCAGTCTTGGTCTAGACATAGCCCTGTGAAATCATTTGATGGGCATAGTCGAGCTGGCAGTATTGATACAAGTGACTCGTCGGATCCATTATCGGCCCTCACGGAACATGACAAGCAGTTGGCAAACGACGACCACGCCCTGGAGGCGTTGCTCAAGTGCACCATTGACCACGATACAAGCGAGGAAGGGATCGCAGAGCGCGTGATAATCTGAATTTGAGCATTTTTGATGACCGGATGATAAGCGTATGCGATGCTTGGTATGCGACGAGCTTGCATGCTCATACTTGGTCCTGCGATGAGCGAGCTCGTGCAAGAAAAGGCGTGTATGAGGTGATGACGGGGTTCCTGATTTCTTCGCGTTTTGGCTCAGCCTATATACCTTGCTCAGGCAGCCATTTGTTTGTAAGATACCATTAATGATTTTACGGTAGTTGACAAGAACTGAAGGAATGTCAAAAAAGTCTACGCAATTGATTTTCATGACCACATGTGATTCAAGATCCAGCTGCCTGTCATTTCGTATCAACTTATAGTTGAGCGCGTGAACTCGTTTTGCTTGGTGAAATTTCGTGGGGTTCGGAGACCGCGCTAACACTGAACCCTGGGAGGTTGCTAAATTCGGAAAGCACTGTCAATGACCAGATGATCTTCATACCGAATGTGCTACTCTTACAGCTAACTTCCCAACCTGATATGCTTATGAATCCATGCTGTCGAGAAGTCTGCAATCGCATCATAGCCATGCAAAGCGCCTGACTTATCACGAAGACCAGCTCCTGGCTGTCCTCGAAGCCGGCACCTCAACAAGCCAATATGGGCTTTTGCTTGTCATGCTGCAAGGGTATGGCTGTAGCTTTCTTGCTTTCAGAAATGTAATAACCATGAGCTAGGGAGGCCGAGGGATGGCACCTATGAGCCGGCGCTCGCTGACAATGAGCGGGAAGCAGTTGCAGACTTGCTGCAGTACCTTGAGAATGTATAGCACTTATCCCCATCTCCCTCTCTATTTGCTGATAATGGTCTAGAGAGGAGAAACGGATTTCTTCAGCGGCGACCCTCTCCGATCCTTGAGTACCCTCGTTTATTCCGAAAATGTCGACCTCCAACGCAGCGCAAGCTTAACGTTTGCTGAGATCACGGAACGAGGTGGGCAAGAGTGAAAGAAATGCGCTGCCGAGACTCTGCTGACATGTCTGTTCTAGATGTTAGGGAAGTCGATCAGGACACGCTCGAGCCCATCATAGTCCTCCTACAGAGCCCAGACATAGAAGTGCAACGGGCCGCGAGTGCCGCATTAGGAAATCTGGCGGTCAATAGTGCGTCTACACATAAGAGAAATCATGAGTCTATGCTAAAGACCGTAGCCGAGAACAAGGTTGCGATCGTTCAGCTGGGCGGATTGTCACCTTTGATACGGCAGATGATGTCGTCAAATGTCGAGGTTCAATGCAACGCGGTTGGATGCATCACCAATTTAGCGACCCATGAAGACAATAAAGCTAAGATTGCAAGATCAGGGGCGTTGGGTCCTTTGACACGGCTAGCAAAATCGAAAGACATGAGAGTACAGAGAAACGCTACAGGAGCTCTACTTAATATGACACACTCAGGTCAGTCAACCCTAGCTTGTCAATAGAACGTCCACGCTGACCAATCTTATAGATGACAATCGGCAACAGCTTGTCAACGCTGGTGCAATACCTGTTCTTGTTCAGCTTCTTTCCTCTCCTGACGTGGACGTGCAGTACTACTGTACCACAGCACTTAGCAATATAGCAGTAGATGCAGGCAACCGCAAACGTCTGGCCCAAAGCGAACCTCGCCTGGTACAGTCGCTTGTAAATCTGATGGAGTCGTCATCACCGAAAGTGCAATGCCAAGCAGCCTTAGCACTTCGTAATTTGGCATCAGATGAAAAGTACCAGCTCGAGGTTGTCAAAGTCAAAGGCTTGCCGCCGCTCCTCCATCTTCTTGAATCAGCCTATCTCCCCCTGATACTTTCTGCAGTCGCCTGCATTCGCAATATCTCCATACACCCTATGAATGAGTCTCCGATCATAGACGCAGGCTTCTTGAAGCCTTTGGTAGAGCTCCTTGGCTCAACAGACAATGAAGAGATTCAGTGTCACGCCATTTCCACTCTTCGAAATCTAGCTGCCAGCTCGGACCGGAACAAACAGCTCGTACTTGACGCCGGTGCAGTTCAGAAATGTAAGGACCTTGTGCTGCAGGTACCCCAAAGCGTGCAGTCGGAGATGACAGCTGCAATTGCTGTCCTTGCATTGAGCGATGATTTGAAAAAGGATCTGTTGAACTTGGGGGTGTTCGATGTGTTGATCCCTCTGACGACTTCCGACTCGATTGAAGTGCAAGGCAATAGCGCAGCAGCGCTTGGCAATTTATCCTCCAAAGTAGGCGATTATTCGGTCTTCCTCAAGAACTGGTCAGAGCCTAATGGCGGCATACATGGCTACTTATATCGCTTCTTGGACAGCGGAGATCCTACATTCCAACACATCGCGATCTGGACGTTGTTGCAATTGCTTGAAGCGGAGGACCCGAATTTGGCGAGTCATATATCAGAGGCAGAAGATGTTTTGAAAATGATCAAAGCGATATCGGAAAGAAATGTTGAGTCCGACGACGAGGGGGAAGACGGGGAAGGTGAAGTGGTTGCTTTGGCTCGACGGTCACTGGAACTCCTTGGGACTTCGGGCAAGGGAGACTCTCAACGAACGGGCACTACACTTGTTGAAGGGTAACGGTTCTTGCCTGAGACACTGCATTCTACGCTTTCATGTCTGTTGCATGGCGTTCAGGGCGACTTTCACTGCTATCAGGAGGCACGAGGTGTCGAGCGTATATCTAGCGTCGGGGGGCTATTCTGTCCCTCCCATTCTTTGTAGATGTAGTGACAGTATTAATAGCACGAACATCGTGTGATCCTGACCTCCCAGTTCGTTGGAAGAGCATGCCACGAAGAGCATACCATGACGTGCCGGTAATTTCAGGACGCTAGTCACCCTTCTCGCTTTACGTCTACTTCTACCCTTTCCTTCGTTTCTACTTACAAATGCCAACTACCAGCCCATCGCTTCCTACATCTGCGTACCCGGGCCTTCCTCTCGGCTCTGCCTCTATCTACACCGCCGGACCCGGTGTACACATCCACGATGGCCAAATTGTCGCTTCCCTCCTCGGCACCCCCACAATCCTCTCTCCCGCAGAACATCCAAAAACTTCAAACAGTAAACCCATCATAACGATCCCCCGCCTTCTCCCTTCACCAGTTTACGGCACCACGTCCTCGGCCCACGTAAGCAACACAAATGTCCTCCCAGCCGTCGGCTCTCTAGTCCTAGCCCGCGTCCTCCGCGTCCGCCAACGCCAAGTCGATCTCGGCATCCTCTGTGTTTCGCTTGCCCCCACCAACCCCGTCCCCGCCGTCCACGACTCTCACACTGACAACGACGACGACTACTACTACGACAACTCCCGCTTCCATGTCTGTAGCGACGCCTACCCGGCCACCATCCGGCGCGAAGACATCCGGGCCACAGAAAAAGACAAGATTGTCTGTTCTGAGATGTTTCGGCCGGGTGATGTGGTGAAAGGCGAAGTCATCAGTCTGGGGGATAGTGCGAATTATTATGTGCATACAGGGAGGAATGAGTTGGGGGTGGTGATGGCGAGGAGTGAGAGGACGGGTGGGACGATGGCGCCGGTCAGTTGGAAGGAGTTTGAGGAGATCAGGGATGAAGGGGAGGGGCTTGGTAGGAGGATCAGGGAGGGGAGAAAAGTTGCTAAGCCGTTCTGAATTGAAAACTAGATGGAATAGGTTTAGGGATGATGCGGCCGAAGGTGTTCGAGGTGCAGTGCCTTTCAGACTCATGTGAAAAGAGATTTTATGGAAAAGTGATACCCCCAATTGAAAGTGAGTACAGTCGAGGTCCAATAATGGAAATCCAAAAACTTGAGATGACTCGATCGGCAGTATTGAGCAGCCGAAAAGCCACATGGAGTGGCCGATCGCTAGAGCACGCTGTCCGACATATTGGGCTTCTCATAATGATTTACCCTGAGAGAATACAAGTCCACGGGGCTTACCTTTGACCGACAGCTGCTTTCATATTTTCAAAATCTATCTTGTCCGGAGCATCCCACGGGAGAGCCTCCAACAGTATACATTGTCTTGACTGATTCACCGTGTCAGACGTGTTTGTCAACGGAGGTAGAGCGAAATCCATGGCTTATTCAACAACATGCAATAACTGACCAAATGCACGGGTCTCACTTGCTACCATAAGTGGTATCGGCCACAGCCATGAAACATTCATTTCGCACTTCAAGAGAGCATATACACTCTAGCGAGCTTTCTTTTGGTCAGGAAATCTTCTTTTTTATGATAACTCAGTTTCAAAGTCTCATAACGCATCAGCGATTCCGTTTAAAAAAATACTCAACCCATGAGCCCCCGGATCCGGCACTTCTTGATAGCCACTTCCTCCCACGTACACACTTCGGCCAAGACTCGCCTTCATACCCTTTGTCTTTTCTGCGCCCTGCTTGGCCTTCTCTGCAGCTTTCTTCACATCCTTCGAGGCTTCCAATTCTTGGACGAAAGGCACCAGGGCATCCATGAGTGTCCTGTCGCCCGGTTGCGCTGGGGTGTATACTGCTAGATTCTTGAGCGACATTGACAGTGCTGTCGCCCAAGTCTCAGTCGTTACCGGTGAAGGTGAGGAAGGAGAAAGTGAGCGGATGTTCGAGGCGAGAGCGTTGAGGAAGATGGCGTAAAGAGCCCCTGAGGTGCCATCCATTGACATCTCAATCGTAGGACAGATCTTCGCGAAGGCTTCCATGATATCATCCGAGTGTACCTCTTCAATCGCCTTCAAGGTAGAGTCTGCGCCGCGCTTAAGACCTACTCCACAATCACCGTCGCCAACTACTGTGTCATATCTCGTTACTTCGCCTTCCGACGCGATGATTTTGTTGAGCGCAGGAGTCAAGACTTCCTTGAGTCTTTGTGGAGAGAGGCGGAGATTAGTGATTTTCGTCTCTTTTTCCTTTCCTTCAGCTATCTTGGGCGGTGGTGGATATGATGCCTCCCATGTCTCGGTCGAGACGCAACGAGGCCACCCATCCGCATCAGCAGATGCATCAATGGCTTCGAGCATCGTCTTGCCAGCCCCCAGCCCAATGTCTGAAAGTTTGAGCAAGGTAAGGATGAAGCCTGGACCATCGAGGCTACCAAATAAGGTGCCTTGCACAATCCGTCTGGGTCTGATCTCGTAGGTGTGTGCAAGTTGTTGTGTCGCCTCGTTCAGAATAGCACCTAGCTCAAGATTGCTGACACCTCCGAAATTATTGAGCAACAAAAGAGTCTGGTCGGTCTTTTCTATCTTGACGTACGCTCTGTCTTTGTCGTTCTGGTCTAGCATTTGTGCAAGCATGATCTTGATGAGTCCAGGCAGATCGGTCACTTTCTTCTCGCAACCGGGCTCATTATGAATGCCCATGCCGATCTCGACCAGGCCATGCCCGAGCCTTTCTTCCTCCTCTTTCGCGTCGTCTATCCCTTTTCCCGGGACATGTACACGACTCAAGCTCGCTCCTAAGCTGACAAGGTTGTTGACCACAGTCCTCGCACTTTTTGCCAACTCTTCGAGTCCGACGCCTTTGGCGGCCAACGCCCCACAAATCTTCACAACCAAGGCAGTCCCACTCAAGCCTCGCCTGCCTACTTTCCCCCCTTCGCCCGACCCACTCCAACATCATCGCCTACCACTACCATCTTCACCGATTTCCCAAGGGGCCTAGCTTTCTCCACTGCCATTCCAAAATTCAACACGTCACCTGTGTAGTTGGTCGCTATGATAAGAATTCCTTGGCTTTCCACTGGCAATCGGTGCAGCAAGCAGGCTCTGACTTGTTTCGCACTTGGAGAAGCGAAGATTGTGCCGGCAACGCACGCAGTAAGGACACCGTCGCCGACGAACCCTGCAAAACCGGGCTCATGGCCAGAGCCTCCTCCGCACACAACACTGACATGAGTTTTGTTCTTGATAGAGGCAGGGTTCCGATAGATGATCTTGTTCTCAGGGTCGAGGCAAACGGAAGGATTAGTTTTCGTGATGGCATTGAGAGAGGTTAGGACGGCGTGGTTGGGATCCTTGAGGTAGTGCTTAGCTGCTGACATCGTTTATTGTCTTTTGTCAAGCGGTTGGAACTACGGAATGCTCAAGTGAGTGCAGATACGAGGCACATAGCCCGAGCAACCATCTGTTTTAACCCATGATCCCGCGTTGGCAATCCATGCGGGGAGATTGCGGGGGAATACATCAATAGAGAGGACCCTCGGCAAAGCTTCCGCATTTGGACCGCAATTCGATGACGATTCCTGACAGGCTGAATGTTTCCAGCCTTGCTGACGTCTTGCTAACAATGTGACTGCGCCGGTTGCTGTAGATGATAGCTCAAATTATCCCGAGGTCTTCGCTCCGGACAACCTTTCAATCATTGACGACTAGTGTAAGCTCCAACAATGCTCCTCCCGAGAAGTCGCTGACGTTGGGGGAAGCTTGCATTACCCCGCGCAATGCATATCACATCTATCCCAATGTGTGGGTTTTTTCAGGCTGTCTGGCTGATGAGACCTGGCTGATTGCTCCGGCCGATCAGGGGTTGGCTCCAGCAACAATTATGCCTACATTGTGAAAGATGACAAGACAAATGACGCCGTAGTGATTGATCCAGCCAATCCTGACGAGTATGTCGAGTGGATCAAGTGTTTGATCAGGCGGGTGACCAACGCTTTCTAGGGTTTCACCGGTCCTGAGCTCGCACATCCAAGATGGAAAGATCAATCTGACTGCCATCGTCAATACACATCAGTATGCTTTGTGAACTCCATCAATTATAATGAAGTCGCTCAGCATGGCTCAGCCACTGGGATCATGCTGGAGGCAATGACAAAATTGTACCGTTGGGCTCTCACCTCCAAATGAAAGCTGTGCTAAGTCCAAACAGCGCTCGGCATTTCAGTTGTCGAAGATTATTGGCGGCAACAGTTGCCAATCTGTGACCACTACACCGAAACATGGAGAGACGTTCAAAATCGGCGAGGGAATCTCCGTGAAAGCACTTCACACGCCGTGCCATACACAAGACAGTATATGCTGGTTCATGGAGGATGGAAAAGAGAAAGTCGTCTTCACTGGGGACACTTTGTTCATCGGCGGTACGACAGTCCCTTGGCCTTTTATCGCTGGACTCAAATAACAATAAAGACAGGTTGTGGGAGATTCTTCGAGGGTACCCCAGCCGAAATGGACAAGGCACTGAACGAAACACTTGCGAGTCTGCCTGATAATACCAAAATTTATGTAAGGCATTCTAGCGTGTATCTAGGGCGTTGCTAATACATTATACATCGAAGCCTGGCCATGAATACACGAAACAAAATTGCAAGTTTCTTGTGAAAGTCTTGCCAACAGATCCCGTGAAGAAGCTGCAATCTTTTGCGGAGAACAATAAAGAAACACAGGGCAAATTCACAATTGGAGATGAGAAGGTACTTCCCTTTGCGTGGCATCCAGTCATCCCCAGATCTGACCTCAATTTCTGAACAGGAATACAATGTTTTCATGAGGTTGAAGGTAGGCTGAAACGGTACACAAGTTCACCTCGATGCTAAACATCAGCAGGATCCGACTGTACAGAAAGCAACTGGAAAGACCGAGCCTGTCGAAGTCATGGGGACGTTGCGAGAAATGAAAAATGCCGGATGATAGATTGCGGTGCGAAATAACGACGCAACGGCGATGCGAATGCTTGTCGCTTTTAACCTTGTAGGATACATGATGCATCCAGACTTGCCTCCAAAAGCTAGGTGTGAACGATTGACCGGGAAGCTTTAGGCAAGTCTTGTTCGGGCGGAGCGCTTTTGTCAGACGTATTGCGAAGACACATCCACATCCACATCCCACATTCCAGCGTGACCCGTGTCAGTGAATGAACCCTGCCCAGACCCCGCATGACGTAAGTTACCACTGCATATCAAGATGCATTGCTGCGAAGCCCACCTTCATAGTCCCAAGCTCCGCGTTCTCCACGTCCTTCCTTCGCTAATATCACCCATATGCCGATATAAGTCAGTGCGCAAATCAACGCGAAGAACTCCACAGATTCCTTCCGACGTCTTCGAGAGAGAGACTCTATCGTGGAACAATGAGTGCCGTTGAGAATGTCGCCGGCGGAATATCGAGCGAGGCCGTTTCCGTCAAGAATCAAATCCTTGAGACTGGGGCGTCGATAGCTCAGGTAAGTAACTCTCGTTCCGTCTGGCATTCCAAATTCCATTGATCTGGATTTAGCCGACTTTTGGTCCAGTAAAGTCAATATGTGCTCATCTGAATGCCTTCCACGTCTATGCATCGGATTCAATGCGATGCGTCGAAGCGAACCATTACTGCTCTCATATTAGCGAGGGTTAGACTCATCGTCCTTGGCCTCAAGGTCTTCGAATAGAGAATCTGCAAGCTGACGTGATCACCATCTCCTCAGACGTCCGGCAGTGTCTCATATATGAAAGCCCAGTGCCAAATGCCCGCCTCATCGGCATAGAGTATATGATCACTCCAAAGTTGTATGGGACGCTCTTGCCAGAGGAGCGCAAGCTGTGGCATTCTCATGTTTACGAAGTCAAATCTGGCATGTTAATCATGCCTGGACCCAACTTAGTTCCCAATGCGGCATGGGAGGTCGCGGAAACTAAGGAAATGGAAGAAGTCATTGGACTTTATGGCAAGACGTATCACTTTTGGCAGGTTGACCGTGGCGACAAATTGCCACTTGGTGGTCCAGAGTTAATGATGAGCTTCACGGAACAGAGACAAGGTGATGTGATTGGACTCAAGGAAATTATTCAAGACCGAGACGAAAGATACGCCGTCAGCTCTGAGGAGAAGGCGAAGAAACGCGAATACATTGAAGAGCCCAAAGTCCACAAAGACGCTGATAGCGTATGGAAAGAAGAGCCAACAGGTGCATCGAAACTGACGGGTAAGATACGACGTAACCCAGTCTTTCTTCGTCGTTGCTAATAACAATCCCAGACACACATACCACAGTACGATAGGACAAAATTTAGATTCGTACATACCGTATATCTTTTCATAATGTATCACTGATCTCTTCTCCATCAAGTATGAGGATAAATTCGCCAAATGCCAAACACAAGGAAGCGTTGGACGAAGAGAAAAGGGAAGCTTTCTTCGGAAAGCAAAGGTATTCATTCTTGCTTCTGTGTCCACGCGAGCACGTCCTGAGATTTCATGGCGACGGCAAGCTCTAGCAAATAGAAGCGTATGCAGTGAAATAGAATAAAAATCACAAATGCTATTACAGGTACTGTGTGCACCGTAAATCTTGCCACAATAGATTTTGAAAAAGCACAACCCTGGCTCCAGAACCTCTAGGCAAGCATACAAGTTGTGGCATGCGCATACAGATCACGAAGCACGGAAATAACGTGTCACACTCCTTTAACTCTGTCGAGCCCAAATTATAATCATTTTCGTTGCCAAATTGTTGTCGGAATCATTGAAAGCGAGAATGGACAAATTCCGCTAAGTCCAGCTAGCGTCTCGCTTAAAGCCAGTGTCTTGGCGCCCACTTCTAGCCTCAAACGGACGACAACTTGATTTTGTCGTCCAGACCCGTTTCCTCCGCCCCTTCAAAAAGAACGAGCTTTAGAACCCTCGAGACCTATCCTTCAGTATCTGCAAGTATGTCGCACGAGGCAGTATGGTACAGCCGGCCCCGGGGCTACGGCAAGGGCGCTCGGTCTTGGTACGTCTACTTCGCCCCCTCCCGGTCGTCCTCGATCCATGTATTCAGACAAGTTGAACTGGGAGCAAGAATGATCGCTGACGCTTTGGTGACACTTTTGCAGCCGCGTGTGCACACATAAAGCCGGTCTCATCCGCAAATATGGCCTCAATATCTGCAGACAATGTTTCAGGGAAAAGAGCCAGGACATTGGGTTTACTAAGGTATGGATCTCTCGTCTTTTGGATCTTGCACACTACCGGACTTGGCCCTTGGTGGTAGCGCTTGAGACGGTATCATAGGGAAAGATGAAAGAGAAAGCATGTCTATGACGTGTGGAAGAGCCTGATTCGGTTCAGAGCCACGGCGAGGAATACTATGTACAATGACACCATGACGTGCCTGCTTTTACTTATGACGAGGTTGAGGATGCAGATGGACTAACGTAATTTTCCTCTTCTAGCATCGATGAGGAAACACGATCGAGGATAGAGCGAGAATTGAGGAAGATTGAAAGGCGTCTGGCAGTGGTGAAAGGGGAACCGATGGATGTCATGAGGGTAGAGGCTGGCTTATGGCATACAAGATAAGATCAAAGACGAATCAGAGAAAGCCAATTCAATGCCAATACCACTGCAAATATGCAATGAGCCACCTAGGGCCCATTGACCCTTCCTGCTACGTCTACTCAATCAAGTACGGAAGCAAAGAAATGGGTATACCCATTGTTCATGGACGTGTCAGACTCATCATATTCATTGCTCATTATCATATGCAGCATCACGACCACGCAATGGTCACTATCCATTCTACCACGACCTCCACACCCAACGGTCGAAAGACTCCGTCGTAAATCTCGAAAAGCAAGAAAAACGTCCCTATAATAATAACTCCCCTCTTTCGACTCCATCCTTAAACGACCTATAGATGGAAACGCCCTTCTTCGATTCCTCCTAACCTTCCTTTATAGCACCGTCTTCACCAGACTTCCTTTCACCATTGCTTATCTGTATCCACGAACCCTCCCCCTCTTCAACAATCCAACTCTTGCCATTCCTCTCCTCTGCGCTCTGCGGAGTTGATATCTTGTCCATCCGTCGTCCCATCTCTTCGCCCACCCGTCTGAGCCCCCTCAATTTTCTCTCCTGCGTCTCGGCTTTTCGCTTCCAATAGTCTTCGTTTCTCCTCCCTCGTTCAGCGATCTGCTTCCAATGGTCGCGTTCCTGTTGCGCATCCCTGATCTTCTCGCTTAGGGTGCCCTTGTTCCAGCTACCTCGCTTGTTGGCTTCGTAACTCACTTTAGGATTTCCACTTCCCTCTGGCGGTGGTCCTTCTTCCTTAGTCGCCCGTGCAGCATCCAAGCTCCGGCGCAAAGCGTTGTTTGTTTCCTCTCTCTGTTCGTTCTGCTTTTTGAGCCGGGTAATCTCTGCGTAAAGTGTAGCATTGTTGGAGTTGCTGCGGACACTAGTGAGAATGGTTTCAGGAGCTGCAGGTGGAGCGTAATCTGATGATCGAGTAGGCCTATGAACATAGCGAGCAATTTGCATTTTGTCAAATGGCTTTGGAGAGCCTGTTGAATAGCCGAGGAGCGCTCTGCGGGGAGTGCTTCCTTTATCACTGCTGTGCTTACCATTCTCATCATATGGCAAGGATGTACAAACGGGTGACTCGCCAACTACGTTATCCGAGCTAGTTGCATTGTTGTCGATGATGTTGTATACAGATTTCCGTTTCGGAGGAGAAGGCGACCGGCTTGAGCTATCACGAACGCGTCCAAGATTGGTCTTTGGTTTTGGTATCAGTGATTCTTTCGGTTGGGGGGTGCTATTGCTAGAAATTGAGAAGAAAGGGTCTTCAGAAGACGAAGACTGCGCAACTAAAAGAGTAGTGCTACTTGATGGTGGGTGGTGAGGAGTCACTTTGGGATCTGATGGGTCCCTTCTCTGGCTAGGCACGTGTATAGACGGGTCAGCACAATTTACTCCATCGATTGGCGGTTGTCTGACGTCGGCAGAAGAGTTTTCTGGGCGGTTGTTGGCTTCAAATGGCTGATCACCCTCTGAGTTGTGCGATGCACCTTCGACTGTTGGTTGCGATCCTTTCTCATCGACTTCCAACTGGGACTTTCGTGATGGGAGAGATGGTCGGCGTTTCGAAGATGGCTCTACCGGTGGTGGAGGCAGACCTATTTTCATAGGAGGCAGGGGCTTTTCGAGAGTACGTGCATGGCGGTGAGTCGAGTTTGGGCTGCTCCGAAAAGCCAAGACTACCATACTCCTCCCCGCTGCAGGAGTCGAGGCCGTCGATCTGTGAAATCCTTGCAGACTTGCGTCTCGAGATGCTGGTGTTCGAGTGGCGGATCGACGCAGACTGCTCGATGCCGACTTTGTAGAACGGGGTAGTGACTTCTTGGGAGGAAGAAATTGCCCCATTGCCATGTCATCATCACTGCTTGCACAATAGTGACTCCTCTCAATCACAGGCGTCCATGTCGCTTGTTCAGCCTGGTCTAGGGGACGGAGATCCTGATTTGAAGTAGACAAAGAAGAAAGATTGTTTGTGGACTTCGTGGCCAATTCTTCCTTGCGAATGTCCTGACTTTCAAGTAGTGAGTCGTCATTCTTGTTCGTAAGCAGGGATATTCCTGGACGAAAATTGCAAGAAGACTTGGCGTTAATGCCAGGTATTGACGATCTGGTCTTAGCCTTGACTTTTCGTTTCACAAGAACATCGAAAGGGTAATCTTCGGAGAGCTTGCGACCTCTTAAAATATCCAAGAAGAGTAATTCCTCATCCGTAACCTGGATAGAGTACTTGCTGCCCCTAGGAATAGCGGTGCGGTCACGTTGAGAATTATTATGAAGCCCAATCACATTTCTGCGTTTGACCAGAATCCGGAGCTGCTTGACGACCTCGGACCAGACTATTAGGAGAAGCTGCATGACGTTCGCTGCCAGATTAGCGCGGTTCACCTGCTTCGCAAGGTTTTCACTTGTCTCAAGCTTATTATCGGCGGCGGAGCGCTTTTTCTTGCTGGTTTTACTGTCAAATTCAGCTCTTGAACGAGAATTCCGTTCATTATCTGCCTCTAACCGGTCAGCATGGTCAAATTGGTCGCCAACAAGCAAAGGGCCTAGGCACACGCCCAGCGATTGGTGATCCATCAGCTCTGGGCGAGAACCGTCATCTCTTGTCCCGTCTAGGATTTTCGAGGCGGGATTGCGAGCTGCTTTGGCCTCATCACCAAAGTGAGCGACTAGCCCTAAGAGCGCCTGAATTAAGTTCGTCCGAGGAGATGAGGGTACTGAGAGTATGGCTAAAGCGATAAGTTTCGCTCTCAGCATAGTCATCTGTTGGTCTGTGAGAGAAGGGACTCGTTGGAGATTGAGAAAGATGCCTTGAATCGCCTCAAATAGCTCAAGTGATCCGAGAAGGCCGCCAGGTAAGCCCTTGACAACTTTCTTGAAAAACGATGCTACGTCCGCAAGCGTAGAATCCACATGCAATGGCAGTTGACCGGGTTGCACAGTAGCCTGTACCTTGGTGGGACTTCCAGCGTTCCCAAATTGATTTGCGTAGTAGTCGTACAAAGCGTTTACGACAGCGGACTGGCCAGGTATTCTAAACAAACCTGGAGCATTGACACCTGTACAGCTGTAAGCGGGAAAAGACATGCACCGTCCGCCTAGGAACTTACCATGCTCCAATAGAAATTTTCCAGCAACAGAAAGACAGGTGGGCAAATTCAAGCTCCCGACACTATATTTAGGAGGCAAAGTCAAGACGCTTAGCCCGCCGAGTCGACAGATTTCCTCAAGGGTTTTGCCCTCTAGGATGTTTTTGCGGCCATCGTCGCTGAAGGAAGGTGCCCTACTAAAACTCATCTTGCGTGAAACGGGCTTATACGTCGTCTTTGCCTTATACGTATGTGTGAGGGACGGACGCGGGAAAAGCTTGCGAGCGAACCAGCCATGTTTGTGGTCTTTTGAGGTACTCTGGATCGAGGAGCTGTCTTCATTGGGCTCTAGCCGTGATGTTAGCGACCTTGTGTCAACTCGAATACATGAAACCTGCCCTCTCGCTTAATACTAAGCTTTGGAAGTCCGTATTTGGACGCAAGACTGTTGAATTCGATATTGAATTTTGCGCTGGCAGATTTCCAATGCGCAGCAGACGAGTCCGAGAATACGCGATGGCTGACCCTGCTGACGGTACTCCAGGAAGTACTTGTCACGCGCGAGTCGTAAATTTTGTCTCCAGCACCATCATAAGTCTGCGCCTCCAGCGGCACTGCTGGTGGTCGCGGACGGTAGGGATTGTTTGAGCCCAGTCTGGGGCTTCTTGTACGGCGGTGCGGTATTACCAGCTCTTCAAAGGCATGACCATCTAGCCTATCCGAGAGCATTTCATCATTGCTCCGGCGCAATTCTTGGCCTATTTCTATATTCATGGGTGGGTGATGCCCCTGCGTCGACTTTGCTTCAGACTTTGCTGAAGGTTCTGGCAACTGCGCCATACTCGACTTGAGGAGGTTATGGGTGAGTTGAATATCGAATGATTCTGCTTTGTGCGACGGCAGCCGTGTTCTGCCAGGTATGACTAGGTTATCCAACGACGAGCGTTTCCTAGGTCGATTGTGCTCGATCAATGCAGTGGTACTGTTGTCAGCGCAAAAGAATGCAAAAGATCCCAAGGATTTTGAATGCTGCATTCCGAAGTATGTCCGTAGTTATGTAGAACGGGGATTATGAAGCCTTCATTAGTCGAATGATAGTCGATCTCCATGGCCGTCGCCGTCATTGATTGCGCCTGCTTGAAAAGCTTAAGCGTTGCTGCTGAGTGACGATCAAGATGGACTTTAAATCTTTTGCACTTTCAAACAAAGTATACTGATTTCATTCACTTCGCAGTGTGTCGATAGGGGTATCCGCTTTTATTTTAAAAAGTGTCAAAGACATAACGGAAAAGCAATTTTACAGTGAAGAGATCTTTCCATATGTGTCATCCAAAGCCTCATTGATCGCGTGGCAACGTTCTGTTCTCAAAAAGCTACAAGCAGCCAAGAGGTAAGGCGCCGATGACTGGCAAAGAACGCCAATCTATGCTAGGTCCTGCTAGCCTTTCTTACTCCTTTTTATCATCCTCAGCCTCGCCTTCTAGGAGAATATACTCTAATATATCACTCAAGCTTAAGAGTCCCGCAAGACGATTCTCTTCGTCCACAACGGTCAATCGATGAACTCGTGACTTACGAATTGTGTCAAAAATTGTATCAAGACTATCGTCAATCGAACAGGTGTAGATGCCTTGGAAATCGTCGGGGCGCTTTTGCAGCGCTTCACCCACACTCAGATTAAGCTCATCATACATGCCACCTTTGATCAAAGTGATAACATCAACAGCCTCGAAGACGTTTGTGACCACACCTTCCAGATGTCAGCTCGCTCAGCCTGCTAAGGGTAGCTCTTACCATCAGTGTTCAAGATTGGTATACTTGAAATAGAGTAGTTGACAAGTTTATGAATGACCTCGAACACTGGCGTTTCCATCCGGGCGGTCTGCAAATCCTTGTAGGTCCCAAGCTTCAGATATCTTAGAGGCTTGCGGAGCATTGTGATCTCCGAGACATTGACAGCTACAAATTTAAGGATGCGATACTGTGTCACAACGCTCACGACCATCGCTCGTCTGGTCTCGTCATCAATGTCGATCAACGGTATTCGGCGTGCCCTTGATTCTAGCATCCAACGACATGCCTCATATAGAGGTCGCCGTGGGTGGATCGAGACTGTTTCCAGTGGCTGCACACCAATGGCCTTCTCTATTTCTTCAATGAATATCAGCGCCTTAATAAGTCCCATGTTACTACATCGTATCGTGTACCTCGCAAGCTACTTAGCTTGAATTGATCGATCCTGCTCACAGCCTCGGGATTTTGCCAGTAGTACTGGATCAGATTGAGATAGTCTGACGTTGTCAAAAGACCCGCGAAGGTCGAGGTTTTTGAGTCCCATAGGGGTGCTGATACAATGCCTGTCTTCTTAGCTTCATACTGCACATGCCTAAAGACATGGCTGGGAAACATACCGTTCTGGATGAGAATGGACAGGCTCTTCTTGACTAAAAGACTTGTGTCGAACACGATCAAACGAAAGCTCAAAGGTAGAACATCATAACTCGTTCTCACTTTCAAGAAGGCTCGTATCTTCTCCTATTCACTGCCTGTGAGCACGTCATACTCGCTTGCCACGACAGTTGAATCTCTTTGCAGTGCAAATCTTTCTGCTTGGATTTTACGTTGACGAGGGACTTACAAGACCTTTCCTTTGCTCCCGATCGATAGCACTCTCCGGTCCAGTCTGTTCTGGGGCCGACATTGGGGCTGGAGGGTGAGATTGTCCGCGAGGGCGCCGCAGGTAGGACGATGGCGCGACGAAGCCTGAGGGCTCATGGCCTGGCTGAGCAGGTAGGCTAGCCATATCCGATGACCAACGGCCAAGCTGTGGGCGTGGGCAAGCTTTGGTGACTTTAGGCTTTGACTTCCGGGGGTCACCTCCGCGATTTACGGCTCAAGGAGAAGGGTGAGGCCGTCGATGATCATGTTGTGGGATGTCGTGTGTGGTTGGTAAGAAGCGATGTAGAAGCATTGATCTTGCAATTTGAGTAGATTGAAGGCAAGTGTGTTGAAGGATCGCAGTCAAAATTTTTGGGCTATATGAGATGTCGGAGACACTGTTCTTATCTCCCTCCCCACCTAACCGAGATCACACCAATGATAGCTCCAAGAAGCCATCCATAATTGGTGTAGTGTGAGGGCTGAAGCCTATGCATTAACCTCTTTGGAAGACATCTCGCTTACCCATACCCCTTCTATTATTCCTTTTAATTGGCAACACGTCGTTCGTGGCGGTGCAGTGGTGGCGATATGGCATCAACACTTGGTGAAAGGTCAAGGGAATCAAATCATCCCAAAAGGGACAGGTCTCCAGGGGCTCTTGACTACACCCCACGGCTCTACATCGACCTGCTCAAGCCCTATTGCTCCATCATCTGCGCCCGTGGCCTCTTCTTCTGCTACTCGCTCGGCTGTATCCTCTGCGTATCGCTCCCCCTTCATGTCATATTCTCTCCCTTGCTCTTCTAGCTTCCTCCAGTAGTCATCCCATAACCACTCCAGCGCCTTCTTTGTTGCATCCCTGAGGACCGAAAGACTAGGCAGCTCCCCATGCGTGGCCTCATGCCTTAGATCCACAAACATAGCCGGCAGTCCAAGTTCCGCTGCTTTCGTGTACATCGAGACCTTATATTTGGATGTCTGTGAGGAGTCAAGTAGAGCGGTCACGAACCGTGTAAGAGCCGTTGCATAACTGGCTTTGATGGAAAAGGTACACATATTAGGATGGAGAGGGTTACTGAAGGCGATTTGATGATCTGTGAGGACAGCCTCGGTGAGAAGCCAGGTTGACTCGATTGGGTGGGGGAGAGGTGGGCGAAGTTTCCACGCGGATATCTAGGCGACGAGAAGGTTCAGATCAAAGGAATAGGCAATACTGAGACCAAAACCCACATCGCCTGTGATCAAAAGATGCTGAAAGGAAAGATCTTGCAAAAGCCATATTTAGATTTCTTACCTGATCACAAGCTCTTTTCTGCCCTTGCCAGATGACGTCGGACTTGCCGCTCCTTTCAACGTCTGTATGACTGAATATGTCTACTGCAGGCTTGAAGTGCTCTGGATATAAGCATTCACGCACTCGCAGCAGCTCGTCTGACGAACGCCAAGGAGTCACAAGGACTCGAAAGCCTTTCATCGCATCTAAGCTTTGTTCATCAAAAGACTTTTACTGCATCCAATATGCTGCAGCGATACTCGTTTAGTAATTGATAATTCTTGGTCCTTCCATTTTTCACGCGAACCCGATAAGAAATCTGATGGATGCTGTTCTTAGAAAAGATTGACGAACCGTACATAACCTCCTCAAACTATCCTTCCAGTTGAAGATCAGTATTGAAAGGATTAGGAATTCTACACATCAAGGTACATTTATGGTGTCATAGTTTGGACATACTTCAAAAGTTTTAGTGACGGCCGTTATCAAGTATCACGATGTGGGAGAAAGGAGCGTGCGAGGGGTGCAATATAAAGGAAGCAAAAGGTCTCTCGTGCCGAGCCGTCTAGGGGGAAAAGAAGAGGTGACGCAGTAAGGAGATCGTCATCAAAAAGACAGAACGACGATGTATACGCCAACAATGGTGGGAACACTGTCTAATGGACAGGATGGTGTCAGTGACAGCAGCTTTATAATCTTTCATTCTTTGGAAAAATCCAATCAACCGACTTTGCGGAAGTGTTCAAGTTGCTTCTTCACTTCCGAGAAGTCTTTTCTAGGTGTGTACCAGTAGACCTTTCCAAATCCATCCAATATTTCCTACGACCGTATCAATGATATGGATGTGCTTCGACCCTACGGATTCCTTGGCCCCTCTTACGGCGTTCTTGGTAAAAAGCACATACGTGATACCGACTTAACCCTCTTTCCTGCCAAACGGTCTCCTACATTGGCCTTGTCTGCCCTCTACTACTTTGGAGAAGTGCCTCGAGTGCATTTTGTACGGATATTTCTTAAGCTTCAGCTCTTCTCCTGTGTTTCTTCTGGCCGCCGATTTTGACGATTCGAACTCAGCCGTGCATCAACACCTTATTCCCTCTGCGCTTTTATTCTAATTCACAACCCACCGAAAAGAGATATCCGAGCGTTTTGGAGCACATACAGATGCCATACCTCTGAAGCCAGGACATGCGATATGCTGACAAGAGAATGAGGACTCTGCGTGAAGCTACACGGTGCCAAAGCTCTTGAATGGTCGACTGTCAGCAGCGTTGCCAACGCTTTAGTGGACCGCTAGCAGTTTGAGCAAACGGACTAGTTCGTCCACGTAATAGTCGGTCCATCGTAGGGATCAATTTGATTGCTAGCTGTCCCATTTGATCTTTGGACCAACTGTTGAACTGTGAATCGTGCCACTGGTGGTTCAGTTTGGCTTCAAAACCGGACCATCTAAATGTTTGGCAACGCTGCGACTGTCGCCTGCCATAACATGATCTCAAAGGATCTGTGAATGCAGCTGTCCAATAACAAGTTCATCTTCTCAGGCTTACACGCGTAAACCGAGACAGCACCTCTCTCACGGATGGCTCAAGTACTTAAAAGAGCGAGTCCTAGGGTTGATCAGAAGTCAGTCCCGTCGAGATGAGAAGGTCAAGTGGGAGTGGGCTAGTGCCAAGCGCGCTCTCGGGCTCCCCCACTTGACTCTGAGTTTCCGAGCCGTCTTTAGCGTCATCTTAGTGCAAGGCCGCTAATGTCTTATCGCCCTACATTGTGATTGGCTTATTGTGGAAGACTTATGGAATGCCCTGGTCAAACTGGCGAGAATGGGTGCAGCATGTTTGGGATCAGTGACGTCTGTTTAGTGTAACAACTGACACGGTTTGAATACTGGGTTGCTCAAGTTCAAATATCTATGGGGGTATCATGTCTAAACTTTGCACATCATCTTTGACCACTAACACGCAACACCGCCTCCTTTGCCTCTTTCAAAACCAGAAGATGTTGCCTGATTCGGTAGGCTGCGGTTTCGCCTGCAATCCACTGTTATAATCCAGGCCCAGGTAGTCGGGGTACTGATCGTTGTTGACGTACGCGTCATCATTGTCGTCCAAGAAGAAGGTTTGATTGGATAAGTCGCCATAAGAAGGAAAGCATGTGTGTTGGGGCTCGCCAGCGACAGGAGCAATGCATTGAAGCTCGTCAACCTCCTCACCTTCCACGCTAGAATCATCGTCGTCATCAACATTTTCGGGAGGTTGCCAGGTTTCCTCGAGTTTGAGGTCCTTGCCTACTTTGATCTGTTGTGACACCTTGGGTACAGCCGGGTTGAAGATCGGGGAAACGACGTCTCCCTTGTCGTAAAGCCCTATGCCAACTAACTCTTCACCCTCGTCCTCCACCTGAGCTGGCTGTGCCTTGTGATGGACATGGCTACCACCGCTGGAGAATTGTTGTGGAGCTACTGCCGGACCAGCGAAAGTAGGGTTGTCGTACGGTGTGGGATTGTAGGGATAGTGCCACTGAGAAGTCGAACAGTCACCATGACGAATGTCCTGACTAAAAGGCTGTGGATAAGTTATATTGCACGGGGCTGGTCTGCAATCCAGATGAGAACCAAGCTGATGTGTATTCTGCTGCGTGGCCATGCCCACAGGAAACCCGTAACCCATCGTAAAAGCGTTGTGGATCGAATCTTCAACCGAAGGCGGCGTATTGGTGACAGCTAGGCTCTCCAATCCCGCTATTGTGTTTCCCATTGCCAACTCATTTGTGTGGATTGGCTCTTGGGAGTAATGCGAGCCTTCGTATCCAGGGTGCCAGCTGAAAGGTCTGACATCTTCGGGAGTTTGCCGAGCCTGATGGTAGTTCCACAGTCGATGCTCCCGCGTCAGATACGGATTGTCATGAATACTCCGTGTGAAGTCGCCCATCCGGTGGGCTGCCGTAGTTCTCCTCCTTTGTACGTTATGCGGGCTATTTCCCACTCCTCCAATTTTTACAATTCTTGCTGATGTTCTCCTGCTGCTATTCGATGAGGTGTTCGACTTCGTGGAGAGCCGACGCAAAATCTGAGATTTTGCAAACTGTCCCGAATGACCTTGAGGGATGGTCTCGCACTGCGGAGGAGGCATGGCAAAAGGTGATATCATATCTTGAGGGTCAGGTGGTTGATAAGCTTGCGCCATGTTTGTTTGAGAAGAACGTGGAGGCGGAAAGGATAACGTTGTGCTTATAGGAGTTGCCTCACGCTGGAACTGAGTGTCATCGATCAGACATCCTGCAGCTGCAGATCGGCGAAATGCTGCCTTTAGCAGAAGGGAAAAGGAGGACGATGGAGGATGGCAGCAGAAAATTCACCACGTCACTAATAATAAATGGTTATGGGGAATCATACTCAGGAGGCGTCAAGAGAGTGTCGCAACCAACCCCACCGCAGAAAGACAAACCGCATGACAAGATTTGAGGGAACCTTTCCTCAAACCGCGGGAGTGAAATAACGCTTGCACGGCATTGAAAGCATCGAGATGTTGGCTGACTAGATGAGTATTAGCTGCAAAGGAGGGCGAAATGCGTCAGGAGTAGATCCCTGCACAGCGTGTGGTGCTGCTAGGTAACAGCACGTATGGAAGCCGTGTTATTTAGAAAGGCACGGAGGGCGGCTGCAATTCCTGCAAAGTGAGCAAAGCTTCATCACGGTCCAGCGGTCTGTTTGGACGGGAAGGCGTGCGGTGGATAACCGGGTGAAGTGACTAGGATAGAGGTGGGATGGAGAGCGTTATTCGGTTGAAAGAGTGCAGCACAACAAGCAGAGCAGGACAAGCCGCCGGTGAAGCTAGGCAGCTTTAGTGGCAGTATTAAGCAAGTGGCACGCGAGACGGCGAGAGGAACCTGGCGACCTCCTCCCTTAGTCACGCTAACAAGGTAGTCCATTCTTGATCGGAGGAAGGGCCGCATCAAAGCGAGAGGAAAATAGCTCTGATGAGCCCTGGCCACTGGCCACTGGCGTGACACGGCGGTCGCGAACAGCCGTCTCAGGCTAAACAAAGCATGGGTTCAGAAAAGGGCTTGTAAGGGTCATCATGATAATGCATAGAACTAGGTACCTACTGTACGACTACTAGTTAGTCCTTCACTACCTCCTGGTAGCGGTGCCCTCCACTAAGATCATCTCAGGAGACTTGCATCGAGACTTGGATCCATTGGAATTGCGCCTCGTAAGCCTGCAGCGACTCGCTGGCTTTTTGACTCTTTGGCTCAGAAGCACTAGGGATGGGGGAAAAGGCTAATTTGAGACTCTTGCGCGGTGTGAGGGGACTTTCTGAGCTGACGTGCCTCGCAGGAGGGGAGGGAGGATGCAGGGACTAAGTTGTAAAGGCACCATGAAGGTACGTACAGCAACCGTTCGCTTATCATTCTTCTTTGTGCGTGAGGGTCTGACTTGGTCAGTTGGCTGTTGGCTGATTTGGGGGCTGGAACAACAACATATGACAGGCCACGAAGAGCGGCCAAGTGGGCCCGAGATTTCGAAACCCCCTCCGATTGACACGAAACAAACTCTTATGCGGCCCTCTTCCTCCCCTTTCTGCTTTCTGGATCAACCCATGCCCCACATTATTCAGTCTCACACGCGCCGCTTCGTATATTAATGGCTTCTGCCTGCGGCATAGTCACTGCTTCCTCGTCGTGAGGTGGGTCGGTTCGAGGGTAGCCGGTCGCCAGACCACATGCACTTGAGATGGGTATCACCGATTAATCACGCCGTTCTCAGCTGGGGACATGTCAACGGGAGCCTGCTCGCATAATCCGGTGTAATCTCGTTCGTTACCTAGCTGATAAGGCGTAGGCAAGTGGCTTTGGTCGTGAGTGCCGCCGCTATGGTCGATCCTATATACTATGATCGCCAGATGGAATGACTACTGGTCAGTAGTGGTCACTTGGCCTTTTCAACGTTCTCCGCCCCTCAATCAGAAATAGTCCATCATGCACCCAGCCTCAACGGATCTTGAAAAGCGAGTCGATTCGTGGCGCTAAATCCATAGCTTAAATTGAATAATTCCCGGCTCTTACGCACTGGGGTGGGAGTCTAAGAGGCGCAAACACCCGAGCCATTCCCTCCATGCAACACCGAGCGCACACCCTACCGAATCCCAACTGCGCGCTATTTCTCCAAGGTACACCTCCAAGTGAATGGCTTGCCTTAATAATCATCAACGATAATATCTCGCTGGGGCTTGCCAACGGCTCAAGATGATGGTAGGTTCCAGAATCACGACGCTTTCCTACAACACCTTCCTCCAACCGAACTTTCGATGACTAGCTGATAACACAGCTACCGTATGAGCGGGCACACTGCGGAGTGGGCTGGACATTCCCATTTGCAGTTTCCGCAGTCGAGACTTCCATCGACTTCGTCTCGAACACATGGCTTGCATAGCACCCGCGAGTGGCGATGAAGATCTCTTACAGTTGTATTAAGTGCTTGATGAATATTTGGGAACCTAATAATCACCAAGGAGGCACTTGTCTGAACAGGGCATCTCGGTCACTAGGGCGTGATATGGCCTGCGACGCGACTGGCTAGGTTTGCGCCTAGTCCCATGCAAACTCGCACGCACCACGATGGGTTCCGCGCCACAGACAAGGTCGCGGGAGACCATGCACAAGCTTGCTCTCTTAGGCGCTGCGTTCATCAAGACGTACTAAATTACCATAATCCGGTCACAGGGATCAGCCTTGCATCTTGGTTGCCGTGATCTCCGGAGGTACCTCGTGCAATTTGCAGCAGGTCACAGGAGGATTGCACCCTCAGAAGTGAAATTGTACCAACCGAAAGTAGAGGCTAAGAGACTCGTAACCAGTCGCTTCGTCAATACTTTACAGTTCCGAGTCACTCATAACAATGATTCGGCGACTCTGGCCGTGCCATGGTTGCTCGCTGTATTTGCTGCAACATGAAAAGCTCTGACGCTGGCCGGAAGGCTTAGGCTTTTCGGAGTGGCAGAGCGTTATATCTCCCAGATCATGAGATCTTTGATCCTGCAGGCGAATAAACTTCGACCATTGATAGCATTACATGCTCTATCCGGCCAACACCATCAAAAGACTCTGATGGTGCATGAAATGTTGAAATACCATAAATGACCAGATGTGTCCGACCCAGCTCTGCGGGCTTACTGTCGCTCGCTATGTGCTGTCTTGGCTGATTGCATGAGGGAAGAACAACGATGTCGTGACCTGTTCTTACATTCACAGTGTTACAGGTAGTGGCATCACAGTCAGGGCATGTACGATGATGGCTCTTTCGTCTCGAATTCGTTAGTCACGCAAGCGTGTCTGACAGGCGGCCCTAGCTGGCGCTGCAAATTCCATGGAGCGGATAATTCTTCCGTAGTGCGTCAACTCGTTGAGCAGCTAATTGGGCGCATGCTGTACTGAAGCTCGGCGTCTTACAAAGGCGATGCAGCTTTCTGGATCTGCACCAGAAGCCAATTGCGCATCCCTCCATTGCTCTTTACCCGGGGTCTAGTGTCTCCTTTGGGCGTTTCAATGTAAGCACTGACATGCACTTCTGTGCAATAATGTATTACGAACGTAGGAAAACATGAGATATCTCCGCAATTCGCTATCCCTGTGTCTGCGACTTTGCCCGCGTTAATTCCGAGATCGCTTCTTCTCTTGACTCTGAATGCTTGATTCAGTTCGCTGCTCAGCCTAAACGACCCTCCAGCGATTGGAGGTCCAGCTAAGAGCCGCTAGGAAGGGTAGACCCGCTTTCGACCCGAACCAATGGATTATGTATTCCGTAATGCTGAGTAAGACCCAATGCGGGAGGCCTGACGTCGTTTCGAGCTTTCGAACGATGAGCGGAAGCATTGGGCTGGCTGAACTGCAGACGGAGGAATTCACATTGGTATAATTACTGCGAAGGTGGAGTTAGCACTCTACTGCGCAATCAGTGGCCGTTGGCCAAATTAGATGGATTCGCTCGATGCAAGCGACGATACAAGTGAGGTTCGTATATCAACAATGGACAGGCATTCTATAGTGCTAAAAAGTTATCAGCTCTGCAGAAAGTCTACCGTCGGCGGAGCTGAATACCAACACGCGCTCGAGGTATGCTAGCAGCACTGCTGTTGACATTCTCCCTGCTCAAATGTCCAAGTAGGTAGTATTTGATGTAGAAGAAGCAAAAAGACGCAGATCTTCATTAGCCAATCCAGATGCATCTAATAATACAAGACTGTCTTCCAATGAGCGCCGGCAGAAGACGGCTTGCTTTGTGCACTCTTTGCTCGGGAAAGAAAGAGTATCTCATACTTCAACCAGAAACCAGCCAAAAGACCTTGATGTTGACTCCAAGATGGATAAATCGATGGGAAATGAGCGTCTGTCTCAACGGTCACGCATGCTTACGAAGAGAGAATTGTCTGATATGGCATGGGGAGTTCGTGAGCTATCGAAACAGCTTGCCAGTGTCAAGTTGAGATTAAAGGGGCAGACTATCTTCATCTTGACGAAAGTACATGACGTGACCTTGATTGACAAGACTAGGGAGATGGTTGAATGGTTGCTATCGAAAGAAAGAAATGCTTCGTATGTGGTCTACGTTGAGATCACTTTGGAGCATAACCCGATCTTCAACGCCAAGGGTCTTGTCCCAAAAGACCCATCAAGAGCAGGACGTTTGAAGTATTGGACCAATGATCTGGCTGCGAAACATCCTCTAACATTTGACTTGGTAATCACTCTTGGTGGCGACGGTACCTTGCTCTATGCTAGCTGGCTATTTCAACAAATCGTTCCTCCTGTCATCTCCTTCTCACTTGGATCTCTAGGCTTCCTGACCAAATTTGACTTCGCGCTTTTCCGTGATACCCTCGCCAATGCATTCAAGGACGGAGTTACAGTCAGCTTGAGGCTACGATTCGAAGGCGTATGTGTTTTTCGCATCATTGCAGCCTTGCAAAGCCCCTATCAAGCATCATCTCTATTTTTCTAGCCAGCAGTGGTTGCACAGTGGGCGCCACTTCTGACACCGGTGTGAACCTTCCCAAGACCAATGCTAATCGATGTATGCAATGCAGACCGTCATGAGATCCCAGCACAAAGGCCAGTCGCATCGGGATCTAGTGGAGGAGCTCGTCGGTGAAGAGGCTGACAATGATTTCACACATCGAGCAGAAGGTACATTTGAGATTTTGAATGATATTGTTGTAGATAGGGGACCAAATCCAAGTATGATGAACGAAAACGTCTTAATAATCACCGATTGCTGACGTCTCTCTACAGCAATGTCTGCACTAGAAATCTTTGGCGATGACGAACACTTCACGACAGTGCAAGCAGACGGTGTCTGCGTTGCAACGCCGACAGGTTCTACAGCATACAATCTCGCAGCTGGAGGCTCATTGTGCCATCCAGAAAACCCTGTTATCCTCGTCACCGCCATCTGTGCCCACACACTCTCCTTCAGACCTGTAATTCTGCCTGACACGATCGTACTTCGCGTCGGAGTGCCCTATGATGCCCGCACAGGCAGTTGGGCGAGCTTTGATGGTAGAGAGCGAGTTGAGCTGTTCCCTGGTGACTATGTGACCATAAGCGCCAGTCGCTACCCATTTGCGAATGTTATGCAACCGGGCAGGCGGAGCGAGGACTGGGTGAGCAGTATCAGCAGGACCTTGAATTGGAACTCGAGGCAGAAACAGAAAGCTTTCAAAGAATCGTGAGCAAATCCGACAGTATAATGAAATCATTTGAGACTTGTCTGCTTTCAATCATTATCTATTTGGGTATCAGTGTCTGACATGTAAGCAATATCGCAACCTGAAGGTACTATCATAAGATCTCATCCTCGTTCTCTTCTGCACCATCTTCCACATCGGTTGCTTCGACCGCCGCCTTTTCGTCGTGAATTACGAGCTTTTCATTCCCCACTTCCATGCCTTTTCCCCCTTCTCCCACATCCATTTCATCCTTCCATTCCTCGCATTCAGCCCCCGGGCTAACCCCCACACTTCGTCCAAGACCATTTCGATTCCTAAGTTTTCTCCGTTCTTTCCTCATAGTCTCCCGCGCAGCCTCCCGCTCTATCATTCCATCAATGTCCTTCCACTCCCCTCTTCGCCTTTTCTTCCTTGCGCCTCTCCCTTCACTGTCAATCATCTTCACCTTCGTACGCTCCAGTACATTCTCCGCTTTAGTTCGACCAGCTTCTAAGCGAAGGCGTTGCTTGCGCCTGAGGGGATTCTGATGGGAATTGCGCTTGAGGATGCCGGAGGAAGTGTGTGGAAGGAGGATTGTGGGTTCGGGGGGATGGGTAAGTGATTTGGAGATCAGGGGAGGAGGGGGAACCGGCAGTGCGACGAGCGGCACGGGAGTGTATGGAGTCTATGAGGGCACGATTAACCATGGCTGGGGTAATCTGGTATAGGGAATCTTCTCACTTACGTTGAGTAGCATTTTTGGGCTTTGGTGTCTTGCCCATTGTGGGCTGAATGGAGGAGGAGCTCGAAAGCTTTCAAACTTGTTCGAAAAAACAATAAGGCAAGGATATCATGCGGAGCTTGTTGCTTGTCATGGATCAGCTGGTCCCGGCAATGTGTTTGTGATTCGCTTTGCAAAATTCCCACCACATCGACCCCTAGAGATCTACGATGTATTTCTCATATTAGAAGCGCATCTATGAAAACGTCTCCCGCGTTGCCATTTTAGGCTGATTTGGGGCCTAAAGTACCCGACTTTGAAGCTTGTTGTGACGACCCACCTAACCATTGTCTTCAGTACCTTGATTTTGCAACGATTTAGGGCATATATCATTGAGTCACGATATGATGGCTAAAACCACATCATCTCCGATCGCCGTAGCTGCCTTGTTTCTGTTGTCGCTGACCCTGAATTGGGTCTTAGCTGCCTCGTTACGCGGTGGGCTTTTTACAGCGCCCGTCCAGCAGAATATCCCGCACTAAAACGTAGACTTCACTACTAGCGATGGCGTCCAAGCGAATGACCGCGAACCCAGTCAAGCCAGCTCGGTATAGACCAGGAAAGCCCGTCGCGGAAGACGCGTCGTCTGAAGAAGATGATGACGACTTAGAAGGGGAGCAGCAACCCCAGAGACCAATCCTGTCTGCACCACCCAAGGCGACGTCTTTCCGTCCAGAAACTAGTAAGGTTGCGGCAAATATCAGAAAAATAGAGATCAATGAGAAAGCTGCCGCAGAAGAGATTGCGAAAGCCGCAGCGGACGACGACTTTGTGACGGAAGAAAGCGAGGAGGAAGAAGGTAGCAAAGATAGATCCGAGAGTGAGCTAGACAGCATTAGCGAACAGACCAGCAGCGAAGATGAAGCGCCCAAAAAGTTAGTCCGACCAACTTTCATCAAAAAAGGCCAGAGAAAGGAGGCAAATCTGGTGGAGTGCAAGAATGAAGATAATCAATGGGCTGAAGAAGAAGCTCGGCGGAAAGAGAAGGCCGACGCGATGATTCAGGAACAGCTTGAGAAGGACGTGGCAGCTCGCGCTGCTGGTAAGAAGGACTGGGACGATGATGAACTAGAGGAGATTGATCCAGTGGATGACGCGGATGGTCTGGACCCAGAGACGGAGCGTGCTGCCTGGAAACTTCGTGAGCTCAAGCGTGTCAAGCGAGAACGAGAAGTTATTGAAGAGGCCGAGAAACAAAGAGAAGAGGTCGAGCGACGGCGAAACCTTAGCAAAGACGAGCGAGATGCGGAAGACAGGGAATTCTTGGAATCACAAAGAGACGCTAGAGACGGCAAAGGCACGATGTCATTCATGCAGAAATACTACCATAAGGGTGCTTTCTTCCAGAATGATGCTGTTGCTGAAGAGCTTGCGAATCGGGACATCATGGGCTCAAGATATGCGGATGACGTTGCGAATAGAGATGTGTTGCCGCAATACATGCAGATCAGAGACATGACTCAACTGGGTAGAAAGAGCCGCACAAAATACAAGGACCTCAAGTCAGAAGATACAGGAAAGTGGGGCCAAGACGGGAGTAGGGGCCATAAGAAAGGGGATGTGGAGGAGAGATTCATGCCTGGTGGTGGGAGAGGGAGGAGTGGGGCCAATGCAGCACCACTTGGAGATAGAAGGAAGGCTCCCGAGGATGCGCCCCGAGGCCCAAAGGATCGGGGTGAAGGGATCAGTAGAGATAGCTACAGGCCACAAGATGACTACAGGAGAGGTAGTCCTGACGCCGAAGAGCAACGGAAACGACCAGACTCGCGATCACGATCTTACTCGAGACGAAGGAAGCGCAGGCAGTCGTATTCATCTTCAAGGTCACGGTCTCCACGGCGAGGTCACGAAGCGGGCTTGAGAAGTCGGCGAAAACGGAACCCTTCGTCCAGCAGGGACCGGTTTGATGATGACAAGAGACAAAGGATTGATGCACATTGATGTTCGATGATCTGCTGAATTTGGCTGACTTTAGATGGTATTCCTTTTAATGCATCGATTTGATGACCCATCGAACTCCGCGCTCGAAATCATGAAGTGTCAAACTTCCGTCCTGGCTGTTTGTCAAGCTAGATCTCCTATCTAGGTCACTCTCATTTATTTGCCTCCCTCTTCACCACATCTTCCGAGAACCTAATCAAAAAGACAGTCTTCCCAGGCCACATTCCATTCACCTCTCCCGCATTATGCGCACTCACAGCAGCCGGCGGTTCGTTCGTCGGCAACCTCCCTTCTCCGTAGAGCGCCTGACCCATGCCCACCCCTGGGCCGCCTAAGACTCCGCAGACCACTCCTTCTATGATTCCAGCGACGAAAGCTGCGCAGTTCAATTGGCTCATCTCCTTGGGCACACTAATGTACTGGTTGACAAGCGGCTCGTTATCGCTGATCATGTATTCCCGAGAATTAGTAGCAGAGGACTCAACGGCATCGGCGGGGCGGTTGAAGAGGTGCCGCCAGAGCGGATTGGCGATGAATTGGAGGAGTGGCAGGATACGGGTGGGGCGGGGTTGCGGTGCGGTTGGGGTGGAGAGGCGGTGGAGGACTGGTTTGCCATGGCACGACTCAGCTCCTTGTAGCAAGCAATGGCTTGATGGAGACACACGTACGTAATGGAGTCAATCGTAGACCTAGCGGATATCCTTGCTCGTTCAGTCGCCGTTCTAAATCTTGTATACCGGTGACCTTCTTTTGCGCGTAGGCCACCATCTCCGCGAAGATGTAGGCAAAGGAGGCGCGGCTGAGCTCTGCAGCACGGGTACGATTGATATTTCGATCATAGATCGTCTTGCGATTTGAGGGAACACGGAGACCAGTGTGCTGTTGTTGCGGCTTGGATGAGCTTTGGGATTGGGATGGCGGGAGCGGGGAGGTGCTCTGTTGGACTGGATTGTTGGGAGAGGGTAATGGTCGGGGACCCGGGTGAAGAGGAAGGGTCGAGGACATGCCCTAGCGATAGAAAGTCGGAGTAAACGCGGTGGCTGTCTGTGTTGCGTTGTCTTGCCAGTCCTAGAGACCAGGCCAGAAGGAGCACCAGGGAGGTATCTGCACCGAGATCCCTTTGCCCAATCACATCGCAGGAATCCCGCAAAGGTCCGCAGTTTCCTCATCTGGATTTAGTTCTAGTCACAAACAATTGCATCCAATTTCATACAACGCTCTTTTGATATTCTACCCTTCCATGCATCCAACTTCGCCTTGTGGCTTGACCTCTGGCTCCATCACTCGAGGTGTCAAGCTCGCAAGAGTGAGGCCAAATCGACGACAAACAAACCGCCAATATCATGAGCTTTAGCTCTCATCAGTCGCAGCCTGATGAGCTTCGTACATTTCTGTCGTCTCCTAATACCACCTTCACAGCCTATGGCGTCCTCATCATCTCCATTATCTACTACGTCCTACGCCAGCTGGATCAAGCCGATCTCTCAGCTGCCGAGTTCATCTGGAATGTTCTCGTCTACTTGACACCCTCGCGGCTCATCAGTCTTTTGGATTCTGCCTTTACATCTTCGAATCCGACCAGCACGGCAGTCAGTGGATTGGGCTCTAGCTCCACAGGTCATGCAGCAAAGGGCAATGCCATGAGGCGCATACTAGGGTTTGACAAAAGTGGATTGGGATCAGTCATCCAGCGAACGCGGACACTTTCAAACTTAGGAAGCATAATCAAGCCAAAGCGAAGCAAAGCACCCCCAGGTCTAGGAAACTGGGACAACTCATGCTATCAGAATAGCGTGCTCCAGGGTCTCGCTGCGCTAGATCCGGTGCGGGATTTCCTGAACACTGTGACTGATGAGGAGTCAGAACCCACCACAAGCTCGACTTTGAAAGACCTCATCAAGAATCTCAACAATGGGCAGAACAATGGGAAGACATGCTGGACACCAGCGAAATTGAAGAATATGAGCAGCTGGCAGCAACAGGACGCGCAAGAGTATTTCTCCAAAGTTCTGGATGAAATTGAGAAAGATGTCGTCAAGCATGTCAGAAAACGGTCAAGATTAACGGCCCTTCAAGGATTGTTAGAGCTTCAAAGTCTTCCAACAGACGGAGAAGTGAAGGGCAGTATTACATCAACCTTAGTTGCAAGGATTGGCGATCTTCCAGACGAATTACGTTTAATCATTTCTAAAACCCCTCTTGAGGGCTTGTTGGCTCAACGAGTTGGCTGCCAAAGATGCGGCTACGTCGAGGGTCTGTCATTGGTTCCATTCAATTGCATGACATTGCCTTTACCAGAGGAAAACATTTCTAATACTACGCATGACCTTGAAACCTGCCTTGATGACTTTACCGCTTTAGAGCTCATCGATGGCGTCGAGTGCGTCAAATGCACGCTTCTGCAAGCAGAGAAACAAATGGTTGCGCTGCACGAAGCATTGCAAGCTGCTCCAGCGAGAGCCGTGGCTCCTTACGAGTCAGTACAGTCTCAACTAGATTCAGTCAGGCAAGCGTTAGATGATAGAGACTTCTCTGATGGCGCACTCAAAAAATGCCAAATAGGACCCAAGAGCAGGGTGTCTACGACCAAGTCTAGGCAGGCTGTCATTGCCCGTGCACCTGAGGCGCTGGTACTACACATCAATAGGAGCAGATTCAACGAACTAACCGGGGTACAAAGCAAGAATTACTCCTCACTCACCTTCCCGAAAGACCTGAATTTAGATTCCTGGTGTTTAGGGCAATCTCCAAGTAAAATGTCGCTGATTAACGCCACTGAGGAATGGAGAACCGATCCATCAAAATCTCTTCTTTCAGATGTATCGTGCGACAAGCTCCCTCCAGGCCTGCAATACAGGCTTCGAGCAGTGGTCACACACCATGGTAGGCATGAGAATGGCCATTACGTTTGCTACAGAAAGTCCCCTACGCATCCTGGAGCAGGCAAAGACTCCGAATTTTTGGAAGAAACAGTGTCTTCGTGGTGGAGTTTGAGTGACGAGGATGTGAGAGAAGTCATCGAAGAACACGTTCTTGCGCAAGGCGGCGTCTTCATGCTCTTCTACGAGCAGGTTTTGGCACCGGTCCCTGACCAGTCTACTGTTTCCGATGTAAATCATTGCGTGGATGTCATGACGACTCCAGCGATATCTCAAACGTCACAGATCGATTTAGAGCCCATTGATCTGCTCACCGCTGAGAAAGACCCTACGTCTGCTCACGAAGACGAAGCTATGACTTCACTCACTGTAAGCAGGGATCTGGATTGTAATGAAACGCCTAACAAACAATCCCATCGCCTTCCTCCACCAGTAACATGTTGTGATGATGCCAGTGGAGATTGCACTGTCCCGAATGGATGGAATGATGGACAGCGTGAAACATCACCTGCTGCTACGTCGACCCCAACACCCCCGTTAAAACCATGTCACTTTCCTTCAAATCCAAGAGGCAACATGAGTTTGCCCGACGATAAGACTCAGACCAATCGAGATGATAGTAACAGAACGAGTGCGACTGAGAGCATCGCGGGCTCGGTGCAATCCCACGAACGTCCTCGCAGCATATCAATCAAAGATCTTTTTAGCGACATCCCTAGTACTGTCACATCGAGACCTGCATTTAGCGATGGCGTTCCACTCTCGGTGCATCATCATGTTCCACGTTTGGTTCATCATCATCGTCCCCAGACATGAGTACCAAGCGAGTAAATATGATACCCCAAACAATGCTAATTTATGAGTCGTTTCGAGGTATATGACTTGCATTCGCTATGCAGACATGCTTCTGATCAAATTTTACAAGTTGGCCCCGCATGAAAATTGCCTCGTACATCATATCACACACAATCGCTCAAAGACTATGCACCAGGCACATACCGATCAATGTTCTCCGGTACAGGATCCCTCCTTGGACGATGAGGCCGCTCATAATCCTTGTCTCTCTTCCGATCCCGATCCCTGTCTTTTCGATAATACTCATCCCGACCCTTCTCCCCTTTCTTCTCGCTACCCCTGTCTCTGTCTCGATCCCGCTCCCTGTCTCTATCTCTTTCACGATCGTTATATCCACTCCGACGATGTCTATCCCTCTCACGATCTCTGTCCCTTTCCCTTGGCCTACCAGTCACAGTCCCTTTCCCAGGCACATAGCGATCGATGTGCTCCGGTGGATCATCAATCCTCGTCCTCGACCGCCCAGTGTGCTCGTCGAAGTACTCGCGACTCTTATTGGTGGTGCTCCCACGCTCCCCGTATCGACTGCTCGATCTCCCTTCGTCTTCATGGCGACCACTGCTTTCAGGTTCCTTGTTACGGTATTGACTGTGTTCGTGGTGACCACTTTTACGTTCTGCGGTGTGGCTGGTAGAGTCGCGGCGGTGAGTGATACGGTCGAATTCTTCGTCGTAGGATTCTTGGCGAGATCTGAAGGCGGACTTAGGATCTTCTTCCGTCCAGGAGGAGACGCGGTCGCGGGTAGAGGTGGGGTGAGGAGTCTGATCCCCGAGCGACATGGAGGATGATGGAAAGAGTTGCAGAGAAGCGCGGCGGTAGGGGCTGCGGCTTCGTTCGCGGGAAGCAGAGTTCATGAGTGTGGGAACATGTGCACCACGATGTGTGCTACTATAGCTAAGCTTAGGACCTGCATGCTCAGGTCTTACGTTATGCTTATAACGATCAGACGCTGGACCCTTTGGAATATTGATACTGAAGCTGCCTGGGCGGGATGGTGCTGCAGTTCCATCTAATGTATCTGGTTCCTTCTTGTTGCTTTTAGCTGCAAGCTCTGCTCCCTCTCGAAGTAGGCGATCAAGTGCCGCTTCCTCAAGCTCTTGATCCGTGGGCAGCCTGGCGGCTGGCGTAGCTGAAGATGAATCTGGCTCTTGGACTCTTTGGTTCTCCTGTTCCCTTTCCTGTTCCCTTTCCCTTTCTCTTTCTCTTTCTCTTTCTCTTTCTCTTCTCTCACTCTCTTGTTCTGCCGCAATTTGATCTAAAGTCGCTTTTCGCTTCGCCTGAGCTTCCAGCGCTGCGGCTTTCCGTGCTTCTCGCTCTTTTCTTCGCTCATCTGCCTGACGTAGCCGTTCGAGTTCCTTCATTTTTTTAGCCTCTTCTAATCTCAGAGCCTCTTTTTGCTCCTCTCGCTTTCGCCTCTTCTCTTCCTGCTGCCGAACTTTCGCTCTCTCTGATTGACGTCGTGCTGCTTCGTTAGCATACTCTTGCTCACTTTTTCGCCCTCGCCTCTCTTCCTCTGCGGCAGCAACATCCCCAATTTCTGCGCGCCTAGCCTCCCTAAGCGTCACCTCAATTTGACCTAGCTGTTGAGTGATTAAAGTTTCTAAGGATTGCTCCACATTCTGATATATGTCACTTCGCTCTGCGGCACCTTGTAATAATAGGGCCGCTTTGCGCCTCTCTTTTGATAGACAAGACGGGTCGCGCTCAACCTCAGCCTCAGCGACGCTATTCAACGAATCAATGAAAGTGTTTTTGTCTGACTATAGATGCAAACAGAGGTGTCAGCAGCTTGTGAGCACGATACACCCCAATGACAGGTTAGTAGACGTACACTGTCGTTGTATTGAGCAAATATTTGATGTCTGAGCTTATCGTAAATACCCTTTTTTTTTACTGTATGGACTAGACCATCAATAGCTGATTTCTGAGCTGCGCTGAGAGGGAGCTCCGAGATTTTGAACTTCCTATCGAGGGAGGGTTCCGAAGTTTCGACAGTATCACTAGTGCGATTGTTGATTGATAAGTCTGTGGGAGCCAGAGCCATGTCGGCGATCACACTTGGGCAGACAGTAAGTCACTTCAACGGCAGGGTCATAGGATCATGAAGACCCGCCAAGGTGCTACAAATTACCCTGTTGAGGGTCTGCGCGAGGGCAGACTTTAGAGATGTCGTGCAGCGGCAAAAAGATATCCCGAGCCCGAAGTGCCAAGACCGAGCACGATGCAACGCTTACCTTACATCGTTTTCCTTTAGACTCAATTGGGGCTGTATATGGGATTCAAGGCGTCAAGAACTGTAAATCAGGCGGTCAAGCTACCCGAAAGACTCATCTAGCCACCCTTTCCAATGGTGCACAGAATTGTCTTCTGGACTGGTTTCGGTGCGTTTCACTCTCCAATCCATTGCTTGATCCGAGTGCCTGTTAACGGCTTTTCAGGTGTGGCAGTACGGATATGGCAGCTAGGCATTGAGCTGCGGCCAATCTTCAATCGAACTTCATTATGGGTGTATCCAATCTATGGAGGTATCGGAGCAAGCTTCGGTTACTGGGTCAACAAAATCAACAATCGACAGAAGGCTATCCTTGCGGAGCGAAAACAACGACTGCTGGAGATGAGACAACGGAGGGTAGAGAAAGAGGCACTGAAAAAGGAGGCACTGAAAGAGGGGACACTGACAGGAGTCGAGGCGCAAGTGGATGGCGCTGTGCATGAAGAGCCAAAGAAGGGAGGTCCTATTCAGATGCATGGAACGTCGTGGGGAAGATGAAGACTATACAGCTTGGAATGTACACAAGCACTCTTTGTGAAGCGATCAATTACGTCTTCAGTTCTTCGAAAAAACGACTGAGAAAGGAGGGTTTTATGCCTATACAATCAAGGGGTGCTGGGGAAAGAGCAGGGAAATTGACGCCCTTACGCTCGATGGCTGGAGTTTGATAGTCATATGTTCTCCCGTCTCAAATCATTTACGATCATGTATCTACCAACAGCAATCCATCCCCAACGAAACCATCTCATCTGGCTGCTATGCCCCTTCGTCATCGCGTTCTGCCCATTCCTGTATTCGACAAGGCCACTGATAAAAACGAGACTTGCGGTATCCTCCTTGGATTTCTTCCTTTTGCCATGTATGATACTCCTTGCTGCCCCGATAAACAATGTTGTTGCGCCATCCAGGAAGCTAATATATTTTCTGAGGACGTTGACAGACGATAGTGTGTAGAGTTCCACTGGACTCTTCCACCCCTCCTTTCCTTTCATCAGTCCAGCAATCCAAGATTTTGCGCCATGATATAGACATATATGGTTCGGATGATTTGATACACCTTGCCCATCGAAGGTAATGACTACGTCAACTGTCGTCTTGGGCGGTTGCCCGCTCTTGCCCTTCCCAGCTGCAGGCACAAAGGCAGAAGACAGTACCTGTGCGATCTTCTCCTCCGGCCACGCAATACTCATGCTATCTGGAAAAGCATCGTCTTCCAGTACAAGTACATCAGTTGCTGCTCGTAAGCCCAACAACTTCGCTGAGAGAGCCAATTCCGCTTTTCGCGTCTCTCCTAGCCCGTCCGCATCGCCACTGCTTAGACATAGTATTTTGACATGGTTACCCAGCTCTGGAGCAGTCAATGTAGATAATGTAGGTGAAAAGAACATGGCTTCGTCATCTGGATGCGCGATCAGTAGACAAATACGTTTGTCCCTGAACGTGGGCAAAGATCTGCGGGTCATTTGAGAGGTGTAGAACCAGGCAGTGATGATGAGGATTGGAAATGCGAGAGCCAAGTAGAGCTCCATCGTTTGAATTGAGCGTTGCAAAATGCAACATTACGCATTGAATGAGGAAGTCCATTGGGGGAGGAGTCCTCAATAGATTTTTAGCGGGACAACCCACCAATTGTATTCTATCGCAGACCGAGCACTTATCTTCTTCAACGCAACAACATCAAGATGTCATGAGCAACCGCCGCCAACGACGGGCGCAAGCCCGCTCCTCTCACACTCCGTCTGACTCTACCGAAGACGTCAGCGTCCCTCTCTCACAACCTTCCCGCTCTCCAGCACAATCGAAAACTCTCCTCCAAATAGCCCATGAACGCCAACTCCTCTCCGCGTCAAACCCTACCATCCCACCACCCATCACCCACACAGCAATTCGACCCGATGGCACCCTCTCTCCCAACGCCCCAGAACCCCCAACAGAAACCCCAATCCTCGACACAATCCTCTACAGCACCTCTCTAACCCTCCTCCACCTCACCCTCACCCTCCTAATCCAGAACCAATACTCCAGCGCCCCACCTACATTTGCGTCCCTCCCCCTTTCATCCTCACCCATACCCTCTTCTCGCCGACTCCTTACCTCCTGTGTGCGCTTGTGTGGCTATTACATCCGCTAACCACGCGGGTGGAGAAGGCAGGGAGGCATCGGTATGTGTTAGGCTGGGGAGTGCAAGCATTTTGGGCAGTAGTGGCGACGGGGGCAGGGGGGATGCTGGTCCACACGACCAATAAAGCGGGGTATTTGGCGCATATGGAGCGGGCGCCGGGATTGGGTACGCTGGCGGTCTGGGGCGTGGTGGAGCTGAAGTGGGAGGTTGCCGTTGGGGTACTAGGGGCTGTGGGAATTTGGGGGTGGGTGAAGGGTTATGAGTTTTGGTGACTAGAATGGTCGGGGTAGGAGGGTTCTGGGACGGACTTACTTAAGCGAGGGAAACCTGCGAAAGGGGCGGGAGAGGACAGTGACTAGGACTCGAAGACTAAGAAGAATTGGGGAGTCGCAGCTCGAGAGATGTGTCAAGTAATTGAAGACACGAGAAAAGAAATGAAATAGATGCACGCTGGTACAGCGAGAACAACAGTCGTGTCGGAGATTATCGTTAGCGAAATTGATGAAAATATTAGGACTAGTATTCCCTTATATGTACATCGATCTACTACCACTTTCGAAGCTTAGATCTTCAGGCTTATGCCTATATGTACCCTTTCCCGGACGCCTTCGCTGTAGATACTGGTTCTCCAATGCATGGATTGGTCTGGATGGTTTTCACAAATGCCGCCGGGTGCTTTGCAATGCAAGGTCACATAATCAATATCAATAAAATGAAGGATTCCCGGTGGCAATCGCACGGGACCAATGAATGCACAATGCAATGATAGCTGTCAAGCTCGCCCAGAGGAGCTGTCAACCTCCACAGAATCTCCAAGGTCAAGTTCTTCAATTCGAGGCAGCTGATTGATATCGCCCTGGAATTCACTCAAGTATCCTGGAGGGGAGTGTGGCACATCCTCATAAGGCGGGGGTAGTTCTTCGTCCCAGCTGATTCCCATCCCAGCTCTCTCTGTGACAATAATTTTGAATTGCATACGCAAAACTCTGGCTCCTCCAGTCGGCGTTGCGTATTTAGCTCCCTTCAGCGATACCTGCTCTTCCGAGACAATGATTTCCAGGACCAGGAGATGGGACGATGACAATCCATTTGGAGACTCGACATCACAGACCGGTTGCTTGTTAGTATTTAGTGCGGCTGTGAATTCAATCTCAATCTGTCCGCCAGGAATATCAAAATCTGTCTTCCACCCCTGCTTGATGTCCTCTGTCGCGATCGTCCTGGTGTCCTCATGCAAGACACCCTTCCCTTCGCCCCCAACTTTGTGGGCATGCTTAGAACAAGCGGCACTGACGACACGACTTGTTTCGTCGATTTTCCAGCTCATCTTACGAACGCGCCACCGTTTCTGAGCGTCTTTGAGTGCTGATTCAACCAGTCCTGTGAGCCGCATCTGCACCGGAAAGGAACCTATCGGATGAATGACTGGAGGAAGGACAACGATAGCGCTTAAATTAGTCGGCGGAAACACACGTTGAGCGTTTCGATCTGATCCGGGCATGAGAGCGCGCTGCACAGGCAAGGCATATTCCGTGGCGAATTTATCGCCCAGGGAAGTAGTCGCTTCAGCGCGGAGGAAGTAGTCGATACGACCAAGCTCGCTATGACATGTTGCTGGGAGTTGACCGCTGAGGAGATGGGAGAATGGGAAGTTGTGAGCGCCGACCTTGAACAGGGTTGCTTCGGAGAGAAAGTTCCATTGACGAACATGCGAGATCTTGGTGGTACACTCAGGACAATCTTTGCCCACTGGTTTCCGTGTTGTCATCCTGCCTTGGAGGATCATTTCGTAAGACTGAATGGTGACTTCCGGGTCAGTGACGGTCAGAAGCAACTGGCCAGAGAGCAAGGCACCAGTGCTGTGTGATGGAGAGCCATGGAGAATCAGTGGTGGGGACTCGATCTCTATAGCCAATCTAGCGGGTTTGGCAGGAGCTATCCTGGGGGATGGTTTCGGGCTGGCTTTGCTCTTACTCGCCGGCGATGAAGAACGACCGGGTAGATGGGCGGTCAGGGACTTGCGGACGTCGCGCGAGTGAAGCCTGTCCATGCTACCTCGTGAAAGCGGAGGATCGGCCAGGTCAGTGCGGACGACGTGGTCGAGCTTTTCGGGATCGATGTTACGTTTGGCCGATTTCTTGGTGATGTTGGAGAAGACCGAAGGTCGATTCAAGACGCGGACGCCCGTTGGATGTGGCATTGTGCAGTGTGTGCAGTGTGTGCAGTGTGTGCAGTGTATGCAGTGTGTGCAGTGTATGCAGGCACTTTGGGCTGGCAATGGTAGGCTGGAGATGAAGGAGGGTGGTCCATTATTATTGTACTTGGTTGACGTTGAGTCAGGTCAGCCGGTGATTAATCAAATCCAGTTTGTATCGAGTAATGGTGGAGTAACAGTTTGAGGACCACGTGCCCTCGGTCGCATTATTATTACCTTCAGGCGCCTTTGACTTTTGAATTTGTTGCTGAATTGGGAGCATAAGAGTAAGGTATATTTCCTCATTTCCTCATTTCCTCGGGGACAGTGGCTAGAAGCGGGGCACTCCAGGCGCAAAGTCATGAGTCTGGTGGGTGACGAAAGAAGGCGCAATTCAATCATTTCGTCTTTTCATCGAAGACTAAGGTATTATTCTTATTGAAAGTCTTGATTCGACGGCATGCAGGGTCTAATAAGCTTATGCTATGACTACATGACTACTCATGAGCCTAAATGCCTGGGTCTGCACCCTCATTCGATCATTCGTCCGTGTGTTTACGTAGCAAGAATCCGGGGTAGGGCTCGCCCGCATTAGTGCCTCCCCTCGCTCTTCGTCCTGTACCCTGAGCGTGCCATTGCTCTCAATGAGGTAATGCCACCCAGTATATGGTGGAATCACCATTCCCCAACCATGGCGGAATGGCGTACCCAGGCATCTCAGGCGTCTACGAGTATGTACTTCGGGACCAACTTCGGTGTGAGCATCATTGATCAGAGATTAAGGACCTCTTAATACGTGAAATGTCAATGCCATGTATTTTACGGTAGATCAAGCAGCTTTGTTGCGTTTCCGCCAAGTATCCCATCCACCACTTCGGCCTTCTCAAAGGCTTCTCGGACTGCTTGCACGTTAGTCTTCACACTCATCCACTCCTCCGCTCCAGCCTTTAAGGGTGGAAAGAAGGGGTGATCGGTCCCGAACAAGACTCGATCTCTGCCAACGACGTCGGCGGCCGCTTGCACCGCGCTGGCAGAGTAGACCACTGCATCAACCCAGACATTCGTTGTCAAGACCTCTTGCAGGCTTCGTTCCGGTCCTCCGACCCGCGTCCCATCCATGTCATGATAGAGCCTTTCGTGTTCGATACAACTACTGATTCTCCCTGCAAGAAACGGGATTGTTGCTCCCGCGTGCGCGATGAGGATTTTGAGGCGCGGAAAGCGGTCGAATACTCCACTCACATACATACGGGTGAATGATATGGTAGTCTCCAGCGGAAAACCTAACGAGAGGTGTAGAACATGACCAGACTCGTGTGCTCTGGGACCATATACCGTGCTAGGTAATCCATAGTGCGGGTGGAGAAATACTAATGTTTGACTTTGCTGAAGAGTGGCGTATACTTCCTCGAGAGCTGGGTCATCGAGACCTTGACCGAGACCAGACGTGCCGATAATGACACCTTTGACATGCGGTGAGCCGCCGAGCGACTGAATTGCCTCGCAGATCTGAGGTGGAGGGGCTGAAAGAGGCAAGGCGCCGAAGGTATACAACCTTCCCTCACTGGAAGCACAAACCTCCTCAAGCTCCTGATTGATGGTCAGCGCCCACTTGGGGCCCTCAGAGGCGGGGAGAAAATCAAGCCATGGATTTGCGAGGCTGAGAATACTTTTCCCTATGCCATGCACATCCATGAACTCCAGTATTTCAGGCACAGAAGAGTACCCGGAGTCAAGTGGACGACCACGCTTGGCTGGTGGTATCCTTTGGTCATTGTCAGATGGTAAAATGATCAGTCGAGGTGAGGGAGAATCTGAATGAGTTGAGTCCTCATCCCCTTCGTGATTCGGTAGATCGAGAAGATACGGCACTTGCTTGCGAGAGCGGAGTAGTCGAAGGTAAGCTGGAGGGTAGATGTGGGTATGAACGTCTATCAAAGTAGACTTCATGTTACAATTGTAGTGCGCTTATCGGGTGGGACCGACCGGGCTTTTCAGCACGTGGTGGAGAGATAACAGTACCTGAGGTGTTGAGCGACGGGTCTGGTGGTGGGGGAGAGAGATCGATAAGCCAACGGAGCCCCACCAAGCTCAAGAATCATCCATCAGCAAAGAGTCAGACCTCAGAGAAGACAACTCTACAGATCTCAAATATTGAAACATGGCACCAATGATTGACAAGCAAAATGCGAAGAACAATGCGTCGCTGCCTGTAAGCGTTCTGACGAACGTGTCCACTCCTGCGGTTCATTGATGCAGAAGCCAGCTCATACCCCTCCAACCTCTCCTTGAGTCCTCACCAGCCACCGCAGACATAGCCAACGGTCTGCTTTCAGCCTTTCAAACAGAGGGCTTTCTCTACTTGACGGACTTTCAATCTGTCATTCCTCCTGAAATGATTGAAAAAGTCTTTACTCAGTCCGCTGGGTTCTTCGCACTCCCACTGAAAACAAAGAATGTATTGGAATGGTCCGGACCTCGTGCAAATCGTGGCTACTCCAGCCTCGGGCAAGAAAAGAACAGCCTCGCTTCCACCAAGGAGGGCGTAGGTATTGAGCGCGAAGAGATCGGAGACGATCTCAAGGAGAGCTTTGAGATTGGCAGAGAGAAGGAAGAAGGCTGTCCCAATCTGTGGCCTGTCAACGGATGGGACGAGGCGTTCATATTCAGAAGCACCATGCAAGACTTTTTTATGCGCTGCAAGGAGATACACAAGCTTCTCATGCGGGGTGTTGCCCTCGCGATGGGACTGAATGAAGCTTTTTTCGACGGTTTTGTGAGAACAGGAGATAATACTCTTCGACTATTACACTACCCTGAGGTTGCTCCTGGCGGCTTCGCCGGAGGTAAAAGGGTGAGGGCTGGCGCACACAGTGATTATGGAAGTATCACCCTCCTATTCCAGGACTCACGAGGGGGTCTCCAGGTGGAGCACCCGAGCGGAGGCTGGCTCAACGTGGCACCGATTGAAGGCACAATTGTTGTCAATGCGGGAGACCTGCTCACTAGATGGACTAACGACCTTATCAGGAGCACCAAACACCAAGTTGTAGAACCCCCGTCTCCTCGTCCTGATGGCGGCCATCCAGCCAGGTATTCGATAGCTTACTTTTGTAATCCAGACTTTGATCGAAATATCGAAGTGCTCCCGGGTACCTGGGAGGGTGAGAAGGGTGGTAAAAAGTATACCTCGGTCAACAGCGGCGACTATCTAGTGCAACGGCTGAGCGCAACGTACTGAGATAAAAGTTGCCTGGTGGAGTCAAATGTCAGTCTAACCAGTAGCTTCACACCTTGAATCGAAGCAATTGTAGATAGTGCTTGATCACAGATTCCGTAAAAGGCACTTGGCGGCTACGTCCTCAATCGGAAGATAGCCAATTGGGTGTTTCATCTTTGTGTATGACAAGCCTGCTCCTTGCAATCTCTTCAGCCTTTTGCCGTCCTTGTTCTATGTACAATCCCGATATCGAGGATGATTCTGTATCCCGTAGCTCGACAAAGCCAGTTTTTATGGCGTACTTAATGCCTTCGAGTGGTCGATAACGCCAGAATAGATCAACAACATCAGGAAGCAGCTGTCTTTGCCACATTTGAATCTGGCTGGTACGATCAGCACGATACCAACGCTGTCCACTCAGAAGCAAAAGAAACCAATTGTGGACAGACGCGAAAGAAGCGAAAACATCATCCCTTAGTCGGAGCGCCTCTTGCCGTTGTTGCTCGCTTGGTCGCTCTGGCATCTTTCTGTTGAAGTCTACAAATCGCTGGTGTTCTCGATGGTAGAGTTCTAGGCCTAAGGTAATGTATTTGAGCATTGGAGACAAGCAACAATTCCTCGCGAGACTTCGAATAAGCCGGTCAAGCATATGTAATGTCGGCTCGCAATTGTAGGGCTCACCGGTTAGCACTTTGAACATATCCTCAACTGCTGGAGGGGCAAGTTGTCCACTCTGCGCACCATCAAATTTCCGGTTTTTATATCGTTTAGTCGAAAGCATGTAAGCGCATTCAAGAAGTTCCGCCCAAATGGCTGTATCAATAAGCAATGCATATTTTTCAGAAAACTGACCCACGGCGCGTAGGGCTTTCGGTAGGTCGTTGTTGCTGCCAAAAGCGTGGGCGATGATGAAGAGCAAGCTTTGGTTGGGGTAGAAAGGCGAACTTTGTGGCATGCTGCTGGGTTCGACATAGACTTCAGAGCTGGTGGCGTCGACGTCCACGTCCCAGATACTATGAAGAGTTGCTTTGACGCCTTGTAGGTTCCCTTCTCGTGCTAGAGCTGTAATCAAATGCCCATATGATGTACTATCGGGCATCACACCCGCGTCTACCATGTGCGTAAACATTTGGGTCACCTCTTCTTTCAACCCACCAGGCCCAACACAATGGGGGTTGATTTCGATGCCGCCATGAATGCGGCGCAACTCGCCTTTGGTCCTGTTCTTTTGGTGGAACGGTATAACGCGCAAACGTTGGCGTTCATCGGGGTACCATGCATCGGACCACGACTTGGCCTCAAAGTAATAATTGTAGCATGCTAGATCAGGCTTCACATTTCGAGATAGCATGTCGCGTATTGCTATCGAGGCGCCAACGCCATCATATGCACCTCGTGCAAATTTCAGTATTTGAGCGTACTCTCTCGTTGACAGGGTACGTCCACTTTCAACTCGGCTCTTCCAAAGCCTAGCAAATACCATCTTCCTTCGCTCGATCTCTCGACTTTTTCGATGAACTCGACCACCCAAAAGCCCATAATGTTTCACATATCGTTCTGCAAAAATACTTCGGAAGGGAATAAATTCTTCCCAGGTTTCTGATCGTCGTAGAATTTCAAGATAGGTTGACGTAGGAATTGAGTCAGCAATGTTGGCATGCTGCAGGATTTCGTAGATGTTCTCAAGTAGATTGTAATCATCTTTCTTAGCAAGCACATTTCTGATCGCATGTAGGCCTTCTTCGACGGTAAGCTGGCGTTGTCCATCCCGCTTGAGGGCAGAACCAGAGTCTTCGTTGAGGTCTTTCCTTTCAACGAATTGATCCACCGCAGGACCCTCCAGCGCTGAAGCTCTTGTTGTTCTGGAAAAATCATGCTGCAAAGGAGACCCTGATGCCGTCACTGTCTGTAAAGGGTCTGTTCTGGGTGTCGTCTTCTCCTTGATTTGTGGAAAGCTGTGCAAACTTTTGGTTTCGGATCCATAAGACTCGTCCTGAGCTGCTTTCTGCTCATTGAAAGCAGAATATTCATCAGGATGCGCAGGCAAAACGGTGTGTTGGAATCTGCAATTTCTCACTTTGCGCAAGCACCGGTTTGAAAATCTAGGCCAAGGTAGAGTATAGAGCATCAACTCTTCTCAAAGATTGAATATTTTCATGAAGAAAGCGTGACAGCGTTGCATGTGTATAAAGGACGCCGAAATATGCGCATATATGATAAATTCTACGTGGGGACGTAGCGGCCGCTCGGTAAGAAAATTCGTCCGAGGGTTCTATCCACCTCTGGGTGTGTTCTTACTAATACTTACGATTATTTTTGTGACAGATTTCGGCGAATTTGATTGTGTAGAAATCTCGGAGAATGGACTGATCTCACTGGAAATCAACAGACGGAACAGCTGCCAACGAACACGTGTCCATTTACAGAAAGCAACACGCTATGAGCACCAGCTAAGATCTCGACGAGTACTGATGCTCATTCTCGTGGCGCTGATATCACATGGCTTCTTCAAGCGAGGCTCACGACATCGTCTTGTTGTCAAGCTGTCTCGTTTACACTGACCGTATTGCAAATTTGTCTTGCCTTTCGCTCCCCAAATCGCTTCTCAAGAAACCCGATACCTCCTTCATGACCTAAGCTCTTCCATACTACTGGAAGCGCCACAGCTATGTATTCCAATTATTTGCTTTCATTTTCAAGACATGGCAAGACGTCTATGAGCGTACTGTAAGCTGCCATTGTACAAGCTCCGCCCCTAGTGGCAAGGTATAGCAGCACATATGGGACACTGCAACAAACAAGTCTGGCGGCAAGACTGGGACAGCAAGACAGCGGTAGCGAAGGATACTGAAGAATCTCAACAGGACCAAGAGTCTTAGTCGCAGCGTCCTTCCAATGATCCTGTAGCGTGCTAAAATAAAGTAGGTATGTTTTTCGCACAATTATAGGTCTGACAATTGAAGCAGCGAGCTTTACAGGTGTACTAGATATTTTCTCAAGCCATGTGGAGAGTGATAGGGCCAGTATGTATCAGGATTATTTTTCACCAGTCCATTCTCCATGATTGCAATGAGCTGCAACGTTTATCAACACGTCCCGAGTTCCAGTGAATGTGACTAGAAAGGCTCCTCCGCTAAAATCGAGCTCTGTTAGGCTGCGGCGGTCTTGATGGTATTTAGGTCTTCTGAGAGCCCTGAGTAACGCAGCTAATGTCTAGTGGATGCGTAAAGAGCGACTTGGGTGGTAAGCATATAGTCCAGTGAGCTTCAAGCCAATCTTTGAGCTCCAAAAAGGTCCGCTTCTGCTGCTTCGTTGCTATTGCAATCTATTGATTGGGTTGGCCGGGTTGCCTTTGAAATATTTGTTTTGATCGTGACGAGGGTCACGAAAAAGAGCGGTGAAAAGACATAGATCATCAAATAAAATAGTCATATTGATGTTGCTGAGAGTTTCAATCTAGTATTAAGGCTCTCGCACCTTCCAAAATACGTAGCTCGTCCAAAGAGTGGTATTGCAACGATTCTCGAGACTCAATCAAGCAAGAAAATCCCGAGAAAAAGAAACGTGAGCAAGAGCGCTATCGGAGGAGGTGATCGCAATTCCCGAAGGAGGATGGAGTCAGATCCATCGTCAGACTCTCTCGGTCCGTGCAACTGACAGATTGGGTTCACCAACGCGCTTACTTCACACAGGAAGAGGGCAAATATCGACACGATGATTGGCATCAACGACTTTTTGTCACATTCTTTCAATAGTTCCGCCAATGCAGACCATAAAGATGCAAACCAGACCAACACACATCACGTTGGTGGTGAGATTGACGGAAGTACATGGCGGCCAAGACACCGACGGCTGTCCACGTACCGGCGAGCAATCGAACAGCAATAGAGATAAGGTCCACTCCAACAGGCTCAAGGGATTCTTGAAGAGAAAGCTACGACAGACTTGACCACCAGATACAGAAAACCGTAGCTCTGAAAGAAATGAAGGGGGTTTGTTTGCCCTCCTCAAAGTCTGTGCAACTCGTGGAAAGGCATTACCATTTACCATTGGTTGAGAAACGAAGAGCCGCGCCCGTTGTTCGGCCAACTTTCGTTGTGGGGACTGCTAGATCTGACTTGGAGCCCTGGCAAACAAATCCTGAGGTCCGGCGTCCAGTACATGTCGGTTTAGACTTGTCTATTGCTTCAACAGGTTTTATGACTCACAGACAGTAGCCACACCAATGACATGTAATTTTGCGTCTCCGATATGTGATACAGCCTTCACTAGGACCTCGATTGCCCACCTTTAGTGTGCTGCTTGTACAACGACGGTTCGCTGTGATGAAAGCCTCCTTGGCTCAAGTAAAGTATTGCCTCGCTAAGAGTGCGCAACGAAAATTCCCAGTACAAGCACTCGAGCAATATCAGAGGGCATTTCTCTTTTTACGTTCTAAGCTGTCATTATCAATAATAGGAAAGTCTGCAAGTTTGAGGCTCAGCCCAGCCTTCAATAGGTACGCTTGCTTACAGCGACTGAGATTGCTCGAGGGTCGGTTACTGCACGTTTGGGAGATGCGATAAAAGTATGCGAGTATTCGTTCCAGACCGTACGCAACCTCTTTATCTTGTGAAGGGGGCTGGAAATACAAACGCGCAAACGAGGCGGTGAGCGACGTTTCCCGAAGGTTACAGAGATCGATGACACGGTGCTGTACCGGAAATACGAGCGATGCGTAGCAGACAAAGAGTCCCGTGGAGACTTGACGAAAAAAAGTCCTACTGTGGCTGGAATGAAAGCAGTCAGCGATATCGAATCTTGGCCCTCTGTCGACTAACAGCGCCGAACTCTTGAGAAGCTCATTTGGTGCCGGTCTATGAATAATGAACTCGGTCACTATGATCAAGGTTGTCCGCTAAGCTTCAAAGCTCCTTCTTAGAACCCCAGTGTAGCATGGGGGGTGCTTGAGTAAAAGCACCTTCTACAATGCGGAAGATCCTTCCTATTAATATGAGCCCTATTCAGCAATGATGACATCCTCTTGCGTGAGCCTTGCCATTGGAGCGTGTTCTTAAAAACGCAAATACAATTCTTCAAATCTTACTGCTTCGACGGGACCCATCTCTCTGCGTCACCAATCCGATCACAAGTCAAACCTGAAGACCCTGGATTTGTGAAGCCCCTCTCCGTCTGCTTTTCGTAACTCACTTGTCTTAGCCTGTTACTTTCCCTTGGCGTCAATGCTGAATAGATCTCGACGCCAACAAGATGAATGATCAAAGCAAGCCAAAAGGGCCATTCCAAAAATCATATCAAGACTTGGTGCGATCTGCTCCCCTCGTCCCCTTTTGAGAGTTGCATACACAACGGCCTTATCCCAGCCGTGGTTGAATTGCAAAGGGGATACCAGTCTTTAAATTGATCGTTGCTTTAGAATATCTGGATGATTTCATTGCAACACATGCTAGTGTCATAAGAACCAATTCTGGATTTTATGAGCGCCGAGAAGATTATTATGATACGGAGCGTGATGATAGTCCCCACGTAGAACATCGTTCTCAACATCCATGCTCGATGCTGATCGACCTGTAGGCGCTCAATGTTGTAGTAGGCAAGCGATACGCCACTAGTAGTCAAAACAGCGAGCGTGCCAACTCCCGCCTAGGTCTCGATCGACCCACCAAAAGAGCGTCGAGCGATCATGAGGGCCCCAATACTGCTGATATAGAGGAGAGTAACAACGGCATATCTATTGATACGGTGAAAGGGAAGTAAGTTGTGGCGAATGACAGGAACAAACTGCCAGACCATCAAAAATCCTGCGGGAAGGACGGCCCCAAAGTGCATGGTGATACCGACTCTGTAGTGTCCTCCCTGAAACCAGTACCACCTGGTGCCATTGGCCAGGTGCCGAGCTATTGGCGAAGCTGCTCTTGGCCGAGCCAGCTATGTTCAGGTAGGAGATACGTGCAAATGTGAAGCCCCGCATTGCCCCTGCGAAGATGACGACTAGAAAGGTCAATAATGAGCCATAGCGATGTGCCTTTTACACACACAAAGCAGGAAGATATATCCGCTTCGAAATCCAAGATGGTGATAGACCTTGCGCCATGTTGAACACGTGAGCGAAGAGTCAAGGTAGAGGCTTTCCAAAGGAGTCAAGACCGAGAATTGAGCAGACGACAGCGAGTTCCTGATTACTGCGGAACACTTGGGGGGGGGCTTAAAAACACATAAACAATGGGGATGAACGGCAGTGTAACGCAGGATCTTGGGTCTTGCACAACATGCGATGCCGTGAAAAGGCATTGAGAGTCAAGCTAACACAACTTTCCAGGCATGCAGCCATCGGAAATCACACTTGACTTTTCGTCAGGACCGCTTGTCGTAACATATCATGCACGCTGTCTTTTGGGTGTAGGAATACGAAGAATGATATCATAAAGCTCCTTCTGACTCGAGGGCCTGCTAAGTCAGTCACCAGAGTCGGCAAGTCCAAGTTGGAACCTGCTCTGTGAACCAGATCCTGTACGTGATCCGAGAGCTGAAGCGCCTCCACTCTCGTCCCACTAGCATCAATAGGCAGGTGTGAAAAAGAAGGCACAATCAATCTCAGCGATAATGAGCTGTCTTGAGAGTTTTCGAATTTCAAAAGACACCATCGTTTTCAAAGCAGAGCAGCTTCACTAGTCATACTTTGCCGTGAAGTCTCAGAAGACTTCTCCAAGCTCGATTTATCTTTCTGTCTATACCCGGTGATTCCAAGACTTTCAATTTTCAGCCGAGTTCGCCGCGTCGAGGATTTGATTGCGGCCTTCCTCTGGTATAGCTTCGTTGACGTAGACACCCAAAACATCCCAACCCAGGATACGCCAAACCTCCTTTTTGAAGTTCGTCCTTGAATCTTCCGAGTTCCGGCTGGGCTGCGACTCTGGCAAGTTGGCTTCTGGCGCAGGCTGCTTGTGCAAAAACGGTTCGAAATCTTTTGTGCCTTCTTCGCCGAAGACAGCCTTGATGAGAGTATGCTGCAATTTGATCCACAAAGGCCTTGACAAATTACACGGAGGCGGCCGTGTCAACTTTGTCGTAGCTGCAATAGCCTTCATATCACAAGGTGCTCGCTGAGGAAACTTTGCCGCAACTTCGATCAACTTCTCCAGCAACCAGATCAGGTAAGGGGCTTGAGACTTAAGATTTTCATGGTTGCTCACACCTGTGCCGTCTACTTGTGCCTGCGCTGTTTCTTCCGGCTCAACCGTCGGAAAGTCGTCATCGTCCCACATCGCCCAATCAAGACGTTGACCGACTATCTTGAGGAGATGGAACAGCGTTCCTTCCAATATCTCCTCATGCCCCTTCATATTTGGCTGTAGGCATCTGAGCATTGCTACAGAAATTGAACAAAGTTTTGCTGTGCTCTTCTGGCGATGAAGCAATTCGTGAGATGCTGACAGAGGAAAGGTAAGACGAATGCTGTTTGATGTAGCCACACGATTCACTTGGGTGACTGTGCTTGTTTCAGATTCTGCGACTGATGTGCTGACGGTGGCCTCAAAAAGCGATCTGAATACTTGAATCATGTCGTAGATGGAGACTGATAACAAAGATTCGTCCGCTGCAAACCTCTCCATGGAAAGCAAAATTTTGGGATAAAAATTGGTCATCGCTGCTAATTTCTGAAGCGGAAGTTGCTGCATGCCATTCGTCGATACCTGGTCCGCCGCTACGACTTGGCCAATTAATAGCCGTATACCATGCAGCAAATGGCTATTAGTTGAACACAGGTTTCTGGGCGAGGTAGCATTGTTGTTGAGTGATTGCTGTAGAAGAAACAAGGAATCTAGGCAAGCGTCACCTCGTGAATGAGCATCAGGCCCCACTTTTCGTAGTGGCTACCCTCTTACCGATCCTATCGGCCTCGATTTCACTGTGGTCAGGTTCCTGCCCATAGTTGAGAATGCGACACATTTTTCGATGCTTGAGCTCGTTGAGACCAACCTCGTCTGTCAAAGATACTGTGACTGGTCGAGTCTGCTTAGGACTCGACCTTTTTCTTTTTCTCCTCGAATTTGGTGCGTGGGGTGTAGTGGGATTGCGAGGCTCGTGATCCTCTGCCGCCGAATCATGCACTACAATCTGAGAGAGTTGCATGACTCGCACATCCTCAGCTCTCTTGGAGGCCTCAAGCCAAAATACGTCTTCGTTGACAAATCTGTCAGTGGTGACAGACTCTGATCGCCGACCATCGACAATACAAGACCGAAGCGACGCAAGATAGTCTTATTTAATGTTAGCGCAATATTCAGTGACATGCTGGCTGTCCGTTTGACTTGCCTTCGAGTGACCATGAAGGTGGCTTGGATTTTCCAAGCAACAGAGCGATTAGCAATTGATGAAGCGCTACTTTGTCGAGACATGACGAGGGCGAATCTATATGAGCAGAAGTAGGATGCACAGTTGCCATGTAGAGATCATGCAGCGCCAGGAAGGGCTACCTTTTGTCATCACGATCGAGTGACGAAAAAGAGTGGCGGCAACTAGCCGCGCATCCCTCATTGCATTTTCAAGATGCACTACCATGGGCTTTGCCCATACTGAGAACGTTCGAGCATCAATATGCTGGCGATCGATTGCACACGTCCAATCCGTGTGCTTCGAAACAAGTTTGCCCCAAGTTGGATACATGCGCAGCTGCACCGTCCTGGGTTCCTGAATAGCTATGCTTGCCTTCTAGTCGCTGATAACATCATGCACTTCTCACTGGACACTTTGATTTTGTGACTGGTAGAACTACTCAATCCATTCATTCCAGGGTGTCACCGCCTGATCAGTGGCGATAGCCGTTGTCAAGCGCGAGGTGTCATTGGAGACCTAAGTGATCATCTTGACCGCTTGTATCATAGCAATTGCCTATCCACTTGAGGTTCTCGGTGGTAAGGCAAGTATATCTGTGTCAATCAACCTTGTTTCGACTTCTGCTGTCTGAGCTCCCTGGCTTTCCTTGTCTGGGAGATCGTCCTCTTTTGCCATTTCTTGACCAACACATAGCGTATGGAATCTTGCCTATATCAAGTCTTAGCAGCAAGACCGATTGAGAGTTCATCCGTATGGGCTTACATAAGCCATAAAGCAACCACAAAACATACCGGAATCGCAATCTTCCAGAAGTATCTAGCCACAGTCAGCGATAACCACATTGAGCAAGGGCGAGAGTGATGCTTACGCATCAGAGTTATTATGAGCCCCTGCACAGATGCCTTTGCATTAGCCTTGCTCGATGAAAACGGATATATGCAAGGCCAGTGGTGAGAACGATGGGCACGAACGGACAGATGTGGAAAGTGAGGAGACCCACACGGGCATACTAAAGCATCAAGACATACCTGTGAAGTCCTCGAAATTCATTCCGAAGTAGCCAGTGAGGAAAGTCAACGGTAGAAAAAGGATGGTCACAAGCGTCAGTTGTTTCATACTTTCATTCTGACGGGCACTATTCGTGTTGAAGATCAAATCAATCATGTTGTCTGCAGATCTCCTCATCTGATCCACTCCATCCATCAGCAAGACGCAATGGTCCTCTACGTCACGGAAATATATTTGAGCTGTTGCACTGATCGTGACACTAGAACTGATGCGTCCTGATCTCCCTGTGAGGCCAGGGGTGCCGACAGGCTCTGGCTTGTGGTCTCGCAAAGCGTTCACAAGGTTGACAATAGGGGAAATATTGCTCCTGAAGCTGACGATCTCCGATGTGAGAACATAGAGGGCTGAGGCATGTCTTACATCAGCTTCGGTCAGGACGTTGAGCTCTAATTCGCCTGCGACATCTTGATAAGCAGTGGCGACGGGGATGGAGAGATCAATGATAGCATCAATGATAGCCTGACAAATCATACTTGCGTCACTGGATCGCCTTAGAATGGTTTCCGGTGTATTAAGTCGCCGGATAAGAGGAGTCTCAACGTCATCAGCCGAGCTTTCAAAGAATGAGATGACAGTATTGTCCGAAGTGAGAAAGATGGACACCTGTTCGACGCCAACCGCTAGTCTTTTAGGCGCTAACGCCGAGTGCTTCTCCATATAATCAATTCGTTCTTGATTTGGTCCACCTAGATACCGCTGCAGAGTCCGCGTCTTGTTCGTGGCAGTCCGTGGCCTAGGGGTAATGCAATCTTGAAGTGAGCCATTACTCGTGTGTTCAAGTTTCGAAACAACAGGTCCCGACTCGCATTTTGCTTCCCTCCTCCTCCAGCTGCTGGGCCACCACCTACGCTTCCCTCTCTTCTGCCTCTGTTTTCTCCCAGAATCCCTCAGCTCTTTGTCATCCTTCTCAGCCTCCGATGAGTCAGAATCAGGATTGGAGTCAGCGTTGTAATGAATGAGCTTTTGAAGGGGCAGGACTATGAACGTATGATCGGAGTACCAATCTGCTTTCGTTCTATTCCTTGGGTTCATGAGATCTTCAATGGCTAGCCTATGTAAGTATCTGTCCTTTCCAAGGATTTCTATAACATCCCAGCTCAAGCCATTGACATTGATCCATCTGCAATCTGACCAGACAGGGCGCGGATTGGTTAGAAAGTTGGCCAAAGTGCAGTTGTCTAGGTGATGTAGCTTCATATCATCTTGGGCAAAATCGACAATCGTGATCTCACATTCCTCGTGAATCTGAAGGAGGCTAGACCGCGGCTGACCGCCAGAAGACACATCTATGCCAGGTTCTGAGCCTGGGAGCCATTCTTGACCTCGTCGATCGGGCCGATATGTCTTGGCCGTGTTAGAGCGAGCGACCTTTCGAAAACGGACCGAATCGGTAGGTGATACTGGAGATACGGCTTCTATCTTCTCGGTGGACGTTGGAAGCGATTGCGCCTCTAAGTCGAGATGCGTCGGCCTCAAGGGGCTTGTCTTGAGCTCGGTAGGTTGCCCTCCTGTCGCATAGTCGCGAGCCTGGGACGACATCCCTGCGAGTAAAAGCTTGGGACAGGTCGGTCCTCATTACAGTATATGACTTGAAGCGTTTGCTCTCTTCTTGCTGCACGCGTAAATCAAACATTTTGTGTGAACCAATCTCGATCTCATCTCAAACTCAAAGCATGCACGCCAATCTTTCAATCTAATCTCTTGGCACTGGTACGGCAAACCGGCACTTCCATGTGGCATTTGGGCGAATCCCTGCCGGCGCCAAGCGGCGTGTTGGGCTTTGCGCTCGGCTATTGTTATTTATTTTATCATTGAGGCATTTCATCTGGTCATTCGTCCCGCAAACAATGCATTGTCATCGATCACACCGATCCCCCTTCTCTCCCCGCAAAAGCTTTGACATCTACCTCGTGATGCTGTCAGCACAAATCGCAACGTTGGATCCCACGCCTTCGGTCTTAACCTTCTTCATGACTGGTTCTTCGACGGTTCACACACTAGAGCTTGTGGTGAAACGCCTTCCTTGGTCATACAAGGGGCACGGCGGTCAACTCGAGAGGAGTGAGGGGGAGGTCATGCAATTCTGCCTCATGATGGTAGACCGGGGAGGCAATCCAGTCAATATACTCACAGCCCTCCAATCTCGCCTCAGCACCCTCGTCTCCATTGAAATGTGTATCACCGTATGGCTTCCTCAATGGCCAGAACCGCTGGCTACTGCTTGATCCCATGGCCAAACCACAGATTGCCCCTGGCCCTCAATTTGCGGCGTTCGAAGCCCTTTCTTCATATATTCTGCATCGTTGATCACTCTGCTCGTTCTGCTTGCTGTCCTTCATTTTATCTTTTCTCCGAACTTGAGGGTACTGGGGCGCTTCTTCGTGTCTGAAACATACATAATCTTTCCTTCGCTTGAATATATGTGCTAAAGTGCAGAAATCGACTCCGAAACTTCCATCTATAAACACAAGTATGGGGGACAAGATATCCAGATATGTCAGCCTAGCTTTCTTGCTATTCACCTGTCTCGTCACGACAACTCCTCTCTCTCGCCATGGGTCATTACATTCTCGTCAGGCCACAGAGAAGCTTGTGTTCTGTCATTTCATGGTGTGCCCAGCACGGCTTTTACCATCTGTAGATGTGGCTAAAATATTTCCTTACAGGTCGGAGCGGGCAAAGACTCTACGGCTGACTATGACAACGACATGATAGCAGCGAAGAGTGCTGGAATTGATGCCTTTGCTTTGAACATTGGACGTGACGACTGGGTGCCAAAACAACTCCAATATGCTTACGGCTCGGCTGCCAAGAATGGCCTGAGCGTGTTCCTTTCATTCGATTTCAATTGGTATAGTATTGATCAAGCCACTGAAATGGCCACCCTACTTAGCAACTGGGTTACGCAGCAAGCCCAACTGAAGATAGGAGGCAGGGCCTTCGTTTCAACCTTCGCGGGTGACGGCTTGAATGTTAACTCTATCCGTCAGACTGTGAGGGCAAACAAGGGAGTAGAGTTGCTTGTTGTACCAAATTTTAATTACAAGGATCTCGGTGGAGCAGATGGTCTTTTCAATTGGATGGCGTGGCCTAATAATGGCGACAATAAGGCGCCAAGTGATGGAAACAACTACTCTGTTGCGGATGGTGACAATAATTATATGATGGCCCTCAAGCCTGACAAGCCCTATCTATTGCCGGTTTCATCTTGGTTTAGTTGCCATTATGGATTGGAAGTCCCGTATAGTAAGAACTGGGTATTCCCCTCGGACCTTCTCTGGCACAGTCGTTGGAACGAAGTCTTGAATTCAGGCGCCCAGTGGCTAGAGATACTCACCTGGAATGACTATGGTGAATCGCATTACATTGGACCACTATCTTCACCTCATAGTGATGATGGGAATTCCAAGTGGACGAATGACATGCCTCACAATGGCTGGTTATATATGGCAGTACCATATATTGCAGCTTTTAAGAACGGCGAGCAGAAGCCCGATGCACATATTGAGAATGATAATCTATACTACTGGTACCGACCGACGCCAAAAGGGGTGGAGTGCGATGACACTGATACGTGCAACAAGCCCTGGCCGTCGCCTACCCCGAATCCAAATTATTTCATGGGGAAGCCGAACGGAGCTGAGACATTATTAGATCAGGTCTTTGTCGTGACTCATCTCAAACAGCCGGGACAGCTCACAATCAACTCCGGTACTAATACAGAAACATTTGCCGCTCCAGCAGGAGCATCAGCCTGGGCTGTCGACATGGGAATTGGGGAGCAATCGTTCGCCGTCCAACGAAATGGCCAGAACGTCCTAAGTGGGACCAGTCTCAAGAATATTGTCGATCACTGCATTTGTGGCATATATAATTTCAATGCATACGTTGGCGTTCTGCCTCCCGGTCCTGCGGACGCACTCCAACCGGCAGGTCTTGCTCAGTTCACCTCTGGCCTGCAAGTGAGTTGTGCACCTACACCGTCTCTGGGCACGGAGACGAATGTTAAAGGTCCAGCCGCAATGAACACTGCTTCTCCAAAAAGCTCGCCACGAAGTACGGAACAACTAGCAATATCATCATCGAAGGCTGCGCCGCAGGGCCCTCCTACAAGGGGAACCCGGACTATCTCAAGCCTTCAGCAGTTGTCGCCAACCAATTGCCTACAGCCAGATGATGTATGGGCCGGACAAGCTGGTCAGTCTCAACCCGATTTGTGTGATACGAGCTCTTGATTTTGGTGGGATGAATTCGCTTGTTTCGATTATGCTATGTGTGTAATGAGTAAGCTTACCCGCTCTGTGAATATTTGTAAATATGGACGTGTTTTCTTGGTAGGCGCCGGTCGCATTGATACTACACCGTGCGTAATAGGGTGTAACCCTTTCGGGTCATTGTTATTGGAATTGATGTGGTGGTAGAAGGCTCAAGTATGATGTCGCGCTTAGCACGGTTGCCTGTTCGGATTTCATTAAGTGAGCACTAGGAGCTAAGTCTTAAGTACTGAACCGCATGTGGACCAGGTCACCGAGTCGTCAGACTCCTTCAGCCTTGCACAAGCCATCGCTTCAAGGTTCATGATCCATCCCGTTCGGTAAGTCCTTGAGGAAAGAACTTGGAGGCTTATCTTGCTTATGCGAGTTTTAATAAGCGTACATCGCGTCTCTGATCCAACAGGACCGAACCTATATTTGGGATTTGTTGCTTTGGAGCTTCTTGGCTTGTATCTTCAGGCTGAACATAGCCTTGCTACAAGTATTATTCTTGAGAATGATACTGGCTTGTCGTGGTCGTAACTATGTCTTCCTCTTTGACCATCTGAGTGCATCAATGCACTCCTGCGTGCAAAGTCTTCGTCCTGCTGTTGTCATCTTCATACATCCCTTTTCTTCTGTTTCCGCAAGAACAGATGTCTCGAATACCAATGTTTGCTACACTGCTGGTGGTATCCGTTCCCTTGGTCTTCGCCAATCCTCCTGTCAGTCTGATCCCCGGTGACGGAGGGAAGAACCAGGGGAATCCCTGCTATCTACAGGCACATCGATGTCAGTAGGCTGTCCTCTATTCCGTGCCACCACCGTATTATGAAAGCTCAGCTATCGTTGTTAACAACGAGCTATACTTCGAGGGCGGTGAGCATACGTTCAGAGCCGGCGATATTACGTCTCTAGATATGGCAGCTCTCACTCGCAATATTCTTTTAACGAATGTGTTGACCTTTACTTAGAGAGATATCTGTATTGGCTGAATTTGAATGCCTCCTTTGTGGTTGACGGGTTGATCTCACAGGATATCCTTCACCCGACTGAAGTGCCAGGGGCCCAAGGGTCGGGCGAGGGTACATTCTTCACGGATGCGGACTCAACGACAATGTACAGCTTTGGGGGAGTCAGAGGGCCAAACAACACCGATTGTACGAATACGGTTGGATCATATAACGCTACATCTCAAACATGGGCCAATATGAGTGTTAGCGGCGGCAATTTCAACGGCCTCGATCGAACTTTCACCGGCTCAGCAACAACAAGTACGGCAGGGTTAGGTCTCAGTTTTGTCACCGGAGGACTTGATGACACACCGGGGCCAAAAGGCATGGTTCGCTTCCACGCACCGAATCCAGATTCACTAAGTTGAACGAATGAGACTCAGAACGTCCCACCTCTTGTCGGCGCAACCATGCAATACGTCCGCCTTGGCTCGAGTTATGTGCTGATTGCAGTGGGTGGATATCTTAACGTGCGTCTGCTCCTATCAAATTTTGGCTTAAGCTACACGTTAACCTCTAGCAGCAAGGAGACTATGCTCAGCGAGACATGGTTCAGGTCATGGTATACGACCTTGATCCGCGAAGATGGTACGTTCTCCTCGAGGATCAGGTGCGCAGCCATGATCAAATTCATGTTGGTACCGCAGGTTCAACCTAACTGCCTCTGGTGATATACCAAGGCCGCGAGCGCATCATTGCTCAGTAGCTTCTGCCTCATCTGACGACTCCAGCTTTCAAATGACTATTTACGGTGGTTGGGACCTCGGTGGTGAGAGGGCGTTTGAGGACGTGAACGTTCTAGCGCTGCTATCTTTTCGCTGGGTGAGGGTTTCAGATAAACAAAACTAAGATCATCTACTAGAAGGCATCAGTGGTCGCTACATGCACATGTGTGAAATCTATAGAGACCGGCAGATGGTTGCTCTAGGCGGATTGATCAAGAATCAGAATCGAAATCTCAAGAATGAAAAGCTGTGACCCCTCACATGCGGCAATCTGTGTACTAGATCTCACTACATTCGAGTGGCAGAAACAGTTCTCCCTTACACCACGAGTATAGGGTGTGCCGGCTCCTGTGTCTAAGATCATTGGCGGCAGGTGAGTGTAGATGGCACGTAACACTACTCGTTGGACTAAAGTTTTTTTCTCAGTCCATCAGGTCAGGCAACAGTCAGGTGTCCTATCAACGGCTTCAATGATAGTGCTCCGGAGGTGGTATTCGGAAAGACAGTCCCAAAGTACATGACTTCAACCCTTAAAGGAACGTCTGCGAGCACGAATGGAACTACTACTATCGCTGCAAAGACCTCCAAGTCAGGAATATCACCCGGCGTCATTGCCGGGATAGTTGTAGGAGCTGTCGTAGTGGTAGCGATATTAAGAACGGCCGTGGCCTATCTCGTGCGGCGGCGAAGCAGGCGAGGCTCAGATGCACTACCCGCAGAATCTGCAGTGTCTGCATGGGACCCAATATCTGCTTTTCAAACGCATGAAGTTTCTGGTCACGACAGACCTCAAGAAAAGGACGGTGAGCATATCGTCGAAGCAGACACTAGTGGTAATGTATACGAGTTGCAGGACGTAAGATAGTACATGAAAGTGACTTGCGAAAGCTTCACAGTGCCTTAATAGAAGGAGAGCCATGTATGTCTTTGAGCCAATCCCAAACCGAGTTCCTCGTAGTAGCAGAGTATGTTCTACGGGAGAAGCGTGTTCCGCCGGCTTCTCTCTCCTTTTTCTCTCTTGCCGAGAATTGCACATAAGGCCTGACTTAAAGCTGACTCGTTATAATTGACTGCGCCATTTGTCGTCTTACGACCATAAAGTCTGACGCATTCAATCCCATACTCCGTGCACTCGTTCTGATCGGTGAAGGGCACACCATCTCCCTCAAGGTAAAATAGATGTGTGACATATTTGCGCCACTCATTCCTATCAGCAGTTGGATTCGAGCCGGCTGATGCGCTTTGACTCTGCACACATGCTCTGGTCACTGCATCGAGGTAGTCACATGCTGCATAATTGCCCGTCTCGCGATCAAGGCTGCCGTTCAGGATGAGGATTTTGAATCTTGGACCACTAGGCCCACTAATACGTGCACCGACTCCTTGCAAAATCAGAGAGGGGACGATTGACGTGTACAAGCTCCCAATGCTATAGATGAGGGCGTCCGCAGAGCTGATTGATGTTAAAACTTTTGGGTTTGCCGGTGGCAACATCTCGTGCCCATATGGATTGATGTACCATATACGTTCGATACGAGCTGGAAGGGGCTCCTCAGATACCTTAGAGAACGCAATATTAGGCTTCCGCAAAGTCGGGAGCGATCCAGGGAGATTAGCATCTTCAATGGTCGTATCGTTCCCATTGGCTAGAGGGTTTCTGTAACGATAATCATCCTGTAAATCCGCTTGGTTCAGTGCCGTCGGCTCACTGGGGTGACTAATCGCATTCTGGCCCGTGATGATAGTGCCGTTTTCGAGTCCCGCAGCAATATGGTGAGAGAAGTTACTGACAATTGCAGGTAGCACTGACGTTCTGGCTTCTTGTACCCCTCCCATCGTTGCGAGCAAGTAGATGGCCGACTCAAATGACCCTGAAAATAGTCTAGCACCGGTGAGGAACAAGTTACCAATCGAAGCTGATTGGAAAGAGAAAGTGGATGATGGAGGTCTATTCCTTTTCAAGATTTCAAGGTACAAATGAGAGAGTATCGATCGAATGAGCATCCCTTGAGCTGCTGGAATTTGGTCGTACAGCGACGATGTGCCATTAAGAATAGTGAGAAACTCGGCTTCCCCACTCTCTGGCATAGCCGCCAGCCGGTGGTTGAAGAGGTTGCGAATGTGCTCATGTGAGGGGGGAATCAAGCGAACAAGGCGACCTGTTTTTGTTGGCCTGGCATTCTGAAAGCATGGGCTTCCCCAACGGAACGAAGAAACAAATAGCCTGACGCATGAAGAAGATCACATTCAGACGGCATCGCATCAAGGAGAGCCACAGCACATCAGGCACACCTACTTCTTATGTCTCCTATACCAGGTCCGCCAAAAACGCGGATCAATTCGGACGATGAACCACCATTGTCTGATATTGGAATGATGTAGGTCAGAGAGCATCCGTTCTTCTGGATCACTTCATCAAAAACGTCCACCAAGTTGTTAGCTGCTGAGCCTCCGCTCAGCACGACGACTCTACGACTGGTGGCCATGTCGAACTTCAGAGTATCCTAATTACGAGGTTCGACGCATGCTTCGGAAGTCCTAGCGATCGATCATGCCCTGTACCGTATCAAAACGGGCGATTGCGTGTTGAGCCAGAATCTACTCATCAACACTCTTGAGTGTTCCAATGAATACTGCTCGTAGGCAGTTGGTGGTGTTAGCTGCGAAGAAATAGCCTTCGGGCGGCTATCGGGCGAAGTAAAGCCTAAGAAACAAACTATAGGGTTGCATGACACCACCCGCAGCCACAGGCAAGGTAGAGTAGCAATAGGAGGTACGAAGGCTCCTTTGACTAATGGAACCGCTCGTAGTATTCAATGGCAAAGAAGCGATTCATGATAGAATGGACCATTCATCTGAACAGACCACCTCATACAACGACTGTGTCTGCTCAAAGCTTTCAAGCAACTCATGCCTCATGCAAAACAAGCCGGGGTGTTCATGAAGATGGCAGATGAATTTGTACATAATGTTATTTTGTCGTCTTTTTCTTCTTCGTCCCTCCGCTTGTTTCTTTGAATTACGTCTAGGAGACGTTGACTTCTGAGCCTACGTTCTTTTTGGTCGTCGAAAACGGCCAAATCAGAAATCTTGATCACCCAGTGAAGAATCTCGCCGTGAAATTTCACGAGCATTACGCTCTTCCACTAGTGGCAACTTTAATCTCGAGGGGGATAACATTCTGGCCGACGCCCTTGTCCTTTGGACGTCGAACGATCTTTCGACACATTGGGCATTTTGACTGTCCTTTCCCGTCTTGATTCTCGCCTGCAATCAAACATTCCATAAGACAAGTGTGACAAAACATGTGACCTTGTGTAATGTCAGTAGTGATTCAACCGGACGGGACGTATCACTGACCGCAATGGGTTACAGTGATGTTTGTCATCTCCTCCATGCATATTACGCAGGTGACACCGGCTAATTTCGTCGGCTTATCCGCTTCATCCTGCTGGGCTTTCACCGTGGCTGCTCTTTGACGCTCGAGAACGCGAGCGAGATCAGAATCAGAGTTCACGTCTCTAAGATCCACCTCTTCAACTTTTTGTTCCGCAGACCCGACTCGCCTACGTTTATTAGATGTGGAGTTGCTTTGTGGTACATCTGTTGGGGGGCGTTTGCTTATTTTCGCATTACGTGTTGATGGTGCCATGACGGGCGAGTCCTCCGTGAGGTCGACAAATGAAGATGGAGTTTGCTGAGACTTGCTGGGAGATGGAGTGCCTTGGCGACTAGTGGAGTGCCAGCGCCTAGGTCTTGAAAATGTTTGAGGTGGTGTTAGGTGTCTAAAGGCTGGGTTGTATGGTCGAAGATTGTCCTCAGAAAAAGGGGCAAAGCGTGTAGGTGGTTCGCGAGTATGTAGAGGTGGGTCAAGGTGAAGATTATTTTCAGTCAGAGTGTCAAATGATGTAGAGTTTAAAAAGTCAGGCCTGAGGGTATCTTGGTTAGTCAAGCGTTGGGGAGTCACAAGAGTGAATTTGAGCTGACGTGGGTGAATGCGCTGGATGGACGGATGCTTGCTCCTCTGCCTGTCTTGCACTGTATCCAAATTCATCGGACCCATCAAGAAAGGTCACTTCAGAGGACGAATGCCATTCATCTATGATCGCATTCTCCAAAGAATCCCCATATGTGTATGTCCTGCTCGCCATAGCATCCATTCACTTTCACGCATCATCCTGTCCCTGGATCATGGATGAAACGATGTCTTGTCTTGACAGACTGTTGCAAGTTTGATCAAATCTCAACATCGAGTGAGAGCATGGTTTGGCAGATCCATGAAATAAGTCACTCGAGACAAATCGTTTTGGCAATCTCCTGGTTTTGTAGCAGTGGCACGTCAAAGCCTAGCAGCAAGGATCTTAGTTCCGCTTTAACCCCGTGACGCCACTGTTCATTTTAACAGATTCATCCCTCAGGACTTGATAAGGCGCGCGCATTGAGGACACCATCAGTGCAAGATGATGCTAGATGATGCTGCACACCTTACGACACGCGAAGACTGGCAGTCGTCAAGGTCAACACGCATTGATACCTGTTCAATTTCATTTCCAGCGCAGACGTCTCGCGACTCAGGCTACAACACCTGTCCCAGACGCGGCCATAAATACTTCAAGTTTACAAGGTAATATTCATTCGTACAGCAAGTTCATTTCGGTGCTGATTGCTACCTAGTGCCCGCAAGATCACGGTTCAACGAAATAGGCATTCAGCAACTGAGCGATAGCGTATACTCACAGATTTTCAAAGGACCAGCATCATCTCCCTCCACAGAGCTGGTCGATCTCAGTAAGGATCATTTGGGCCGACACCAGCTATGGGGTAAGAACCAAGACAGCTCAGCACCTATTGGCTTCGATCTCCCAAAACTTCGAGGTAGAACGCTAGATGAGCACTTTCATAGGCTTGGGAAGGATGCTTCAGAGCCATACTACACACTTGCATTAGACTACGCTCAGGCAAACCTACCCAGCCCCCCCGGAGATGGAACAAGCAAAGTGGTTGGACGAAGTATTATGAGGATGGCACCTTCGAAGCTGTGGATGCGCCCAACGAAGAGATGCTAACATTCGATACCGAGGTCATGTGGCGGGAAAGTTCTTTCGCAGTCATGGCTTGTGCAGCTAGCAAGACAGGATGGTATGCTTGGCTATCGCCTTGGCTTATGGGGGAGTCGAAAAGCGACTGCCATCTAATACCGCTAGGCAACCCCGAGAAAGCGCGGATTGTAATCGGTCATAACGTCGGCTACGATAGGGCTCGTGTCAGCGAAGAATATGCTGTGAAGCAATCCAGAAACTTTTTCCTGGACACTATGTCACTGCATGTCGCCGTCAATGGAATGTGCTCTCAGCAACGACCGACTTGGATGAAACATAAGAAGAGCCGCGACATTAAAGAAAAGGCTATTCGCGAGAGCAAATCTATCGAGCTCTCAAATCTGCTTGAGAGCAGATCTCTGAGCGAAGAAGAGGCCGAATTATGGGTTGGAAGAAGCTCAATCAATTCTTTGAGAGATGTCGCAAAGTTTCACTGTAATGTGACCATCGACAAATCTCAACGTGATGCATTTGGCGAGTTAGACCGCGACGGCGTTAGGATGAAGGTTGATGAGCTTCTTGACTACTGTGCTGCAGATGTAGCCATCACGCATCGCGTCTACAAGAAAGTGTTCCCATGCTTTCTGGATGTATGTCCGCATCCAGTAAGCTTTGGAGCCCTCCGCCACCTCTCCTCCGTTATTTTGCCTGTCAATAAGAGTTGGGAAGATTACCTCGACAACTCAGAGGCGACTTATCAGCGTCTCTCAAAGGCCGTGCAGCAACGTCTGATAGATCTTGCCGACAAAGCCCTTCAGATCAAAGATGACACACCGCAGTATCAAGCTGACGACTGGCTTTCGCAGCTGGACTGGTCTAGCCAGACGATGAAGATGGCCAAAGGTAAGAAGAAAGGGGATCCTCCCCGACCAGCTGCCCGGCAAAAAAAGCCCGGCATGCCTCGCTGGTACAAGGATCTTTTCGCAACTAACGACGCGGAGATCGCACTCACGGTTAAAACGCGAATTGCGCCGTTACTGCTGCGGCTCTCTTGGGATGGGTATCCTTTGACTTGGTCTGACAAGTATGGATGGACTTTGAAAGTCCCAAATACAAAAGTTGCGAATTATCAGTCCAAGAACCTCGTCAGGTGTGACTTGGCAGACGAGAAGAATTTGGCACTTCGTGATGACAGGAAGCACGTCTACTTCAAACTACCCCACAAAGACGGTCCCCAAGCCCGCTGCGCAAGCCCATTAGCCAAAGGGTATTTGCAGTACTTTGAGAATGGTACACTTTCTTCAGAATATTCCTATGCAAAAGAAGCCCTCGAAATGAACGCATCATGCTCGTACTGGATTAGCGCTCGGGACCGTATTTGCTCTCAAATGGTTGTTTATCCGCAAGAACCCAACTCTACTGGGCCTGATATGTCATCAGAGCCTCCGAATGCGAATGCTACGGGTTTCATACTCCCTCAAGTGATCCCCATGGGTACAATAACCCGACGAGCAGTCGAGAATACCTGGCTTACTGCCAGCAATGCAAAGCCGAATCGTGTAGGTTCGGAGCTCAAATCGATGATCAAGGCTCCACCAGGTTATTGCTTTGTTGGCGCTGATGTAGACTCCCAAGAGCTTTGGATTGCCAGTCTTGTTGGTGATGCTCAGTTCAAGCTTCATGGAGGAAACGCAATTGGGTTCATGACGCTAGAAGGTACGAAGACTGCCGGCACAGACCTGCACTCGAAGACAGCAAAGATTTTAGGTATCTCAAGAAATGATGCCAAGGTCTTCAACTACGGGCGCATCTATGGTGCTGGTCTCAAGTTCGCCTCAACGCTTCTTCGCCAATTCAATCCCAATATATCGGAGAATGAAACGCAGCAAATAGCTGCGCGATTGTATAAAGAGACGAAAGGTGTCAAGACAATACGCAAGAATCTAAATGACAGGCCATTTTGGCGTGGCGGGACAGAATCGCTCGTATTTAACAGCTTAGAAGAATTCGCCGAGCAAGAAAGACCTCGTACTCCCGTGCTAGGTGCCGGCATCACCGAGGCATTGATGCGCCGATATATCAACAAAGGTGGCTTTATGACTTCCCGGATCAACTGGGCAATCCAGTCATCAGGCGTTGATTATTTGCATCTGCTGATAATCAGCATGGATTACCTCATCCGCCGCTTCAACATCGATGCACGCCTCGCCATTACAGTCCACGACGAGATACGGTATCTAGTAAAGGAAGAAGAAAAGTACCGTGGCGCTATGGCACTACAAGTGTCGAATTTATGGACACGCGCTATGTTTTCTCAGCAGATGGGCATTGAGGATCTTCCCCAGTCTTGTGCTTATTTCAGTGCAGTGGACATTGACCACGTTCTTCGGAAAGAAGTCGACATGGACTGCATCACTCCCAGTCACCCGAACAAAATACCCCCGGGCGAGAGTTTGACCATGACCGAGCTTTTGAATAAGGGAAATGCGGCGTACCTAGACCCAACTGTAGAGCCCGAGGTAGCGATTGATCTAGAAACACATCAGTATAGTCCACGCCCTAGCGTTATGGCTGGTTTGTCACGAAACACAAGCGTCGACTTCTTCAAGGCTCAGATGACCAGTGAGAATAAGGAACTGGATATCATAATGAAAGACATGCAGAAACGAGACCCACGGTCTACACCTGAGAAGCCTACGAGTCGAAAAGCGGCACCAAGAAGACTTGCTTCCCCTAAGAAAGGAGTGGTGGCACCTTCTTATGCTCAGCTGCAAGAACCAAAGCTTGTGGATATGCCTCCGAACTACGAGGGTTTTATGAGCAGAGTGAATGTCAATTCGTCAAAGCCGTGGCTGTACAGGGGTTTATCAAAGGCTTCGGTGCATGATACACGGTAACATCAACGCGAATCATTTTGGATAAATCTCGCCGTTGGGGCATACGATTCTCTTTGAAATGAACGAAGCGAGGCGTTGGGGGGTATTGACAATGACCTGTCTATTGCAAGTATTGTGAATAGGATTTGTATCATGTAGCTTGCGCATACTGTATTTGATAGTTGTACATATACGACTCTTATCGCTGACAATTTGTAGCCCACCGCGACGATGTGTTGTAGTATCGAGAGAAAAAGCTGTAGCCGAAAGTGTGTCAAGCATAAGCTGCCCAGCCACAAAACAAAACAGCCAGATTTCGCTCATCCGTGGCTTGCTGAATCAACTCATTCACTACAGCCTGCACGCTCAATGTTGGACTAAGCTTCTTCTTCACGACCATCAGGGCCCTCTCAGCCTCACCAGCTTCCTCCCCCCGTTCTTGCCCACTCCCTCAGCTCCTTCGACGGGCGGCCCAGGATGCTCCGTCTGGGCCTCCTGCATCTTCTTCAACCTCAGAGGAGAAAGCGACCACGAGTACAGCGGATCATACCGCAAAACATCTAGAATCGTCATGATGGCATAAGACTCATTCCGTAACGCCTCAAGAGTGAATTCACAGCAGCGACGGAACACGCCTTCAGTACCTGTGATGCCCATTCCATCTACTAGGTCCCGTGTCAGTCGAAAAGGCACCACCTCGGGCACAGGGAGGACCCGTCCTTGTTCGAATGCAATTCCAAGATCAATATGAACGACCTCTCCCGTTTTTTCGTCGAGCAGTATGTTGTGGCCATGTCGGTCTCCTAAGCCCAGGATATGGCCAAGTATGGAGATCGCGGCCGTAGATCGTGTATACGCCAGGCGTTTCTCGAACCATTCGTCTGGTGATTCGAACCTCTCCTGGAAGAAATAATGTAGGACTGGGTGGAATTGCTCGCAGACCTTGCGGAATGTTCGAACCCTGTTCTCCGTGTTTGTGCTCTGAGCATCTTGGAGGTGCTTCCTGCACGCGTTCGGTTTTAGATCCTTGGGGAAATGGCGCTGGTGAGCTGGGAGGAGATAGTCATGTAATGGGACCGTGTTGGATACAAATTCAATGACACCAGCTGTAGCAGTAAGAGGGAGAACTTTGTAAGCGCGGATCTTGAGGTCTCGCTGTCGTGTAGCTTGATGAGTCCCAAGAAGCGAAGAGACAGCCCCAAAGACTTGTTCCATGATTGCGTCTTGTCGCAAATCATCGTGCCCCGATTTGAACAGCTGTTTGTACTTTAGCCCATCTGTTCCAATAGCGGTGACGATCTTGGGCATCGATATTCCAGAAGCTAGGGAGAATTCTGGCTGGAACTTCGCGATCGTGGTCACATGGCTGTAGTCGCAGTCGGCTCGAAGCTCAACGTCCATTGTAGGTGGCGGTATCTGCGTTTTCAGTACATCTTGCTCTACCCGCTGGCCTGTCTGCAGCTTTCGTAGGTAGACTTTTGAACCAGGCTTCGCATCTTCTACACGATCTTGTGCAAAACGCACAAAAGTGACGTTCATGTTGTGTAAAGAGAGCCACGTTCGACTGGCACGCGAATTGCTTTTGAGCTGGTCGACCACATTGTTCGCAGCTTTGTGCCGTGCCAAAGCCACATCGTCTTTACCGCCGCGAGTTTTGCTGCTGGCGAAAATCTGATACATACCGTGATAGGGGTGGTCAATGCAAACTCTAAGAATAATCTCAAACAGAAGGCTTTGGAAGTAGTCTTGCTTGGCGAGCAGACGTGAAGTCCATTGATTCATCAAACGGGCAAATTTCCTGCTGGGGACCTGAGGCATATATTTGGCCACTGCCTCATTGGCTGCGTCATTATCAGCGTTTTCAAGCCACAGGGCGGAAAATCGAAGAGTATCGTTCTCATGCCCGTCTGATGCTTGCAGACTGAGTAGGTAGTTCTCCAAGCTGTGTCTGAGTAGGGTCTGACGGCTCGACTCAAGCCTGCGGTATTCACCATCATCTAAGTTGAACCACTGCTGGGCTTTGTTACGATGACTCAACAGATTATCTTTCTCTTTTGCTTGTGATCCCACTGACTTGATCATTCGATCAAGATCTCGGACCTCCGTCTCCTTGCGCTCGCGTAGCTCCTTTATGCGTTGGAAGTCAGCGAAGCTGTCTGGATTCTGCAGCTGTTGGTCGCAGAAGGACGCAAACTCGTGAAACACCTCGCCTGCCTCGTGCCCGGTCTTCTCGCCTTTGAGTTCCTTCACGGCTGTTTTCAAGAGATTCTGTAGAATGTAGTCAGGTTTCTCGAGTCTTGCTTCAGCGGTATGATGGCCCTAATTGTGTCAGAAAATGAACTCGACTTCGGGAAGGTATCACTCACAAGTTTCGCAAGTAATTCAGGTTTTCCAACAGGTATTGACTGCGACTGCCGAGTATTCTTGTCGAGATTCTGAATGAGATCTTCGAGTAGCCTAACGGAAGGCTCTTTTTCCCCCTGGCTCCACAGAATGTGAGCACTTTCTACCTGGGAAGCCGCGGTGATGTCAAGACCGATCGCCTGGCAAGGCTCCACTAGCTGATCGAGATACGTTGCACTTGTCAATGCATTCTGAAGCGCACCATGTGTGCGGCTTAGTGCGGCCGAGGCCAATAGGACACGACATTCCATCAATCTCGAGTCTCGTAAAGGTGTGTTGAGCAATTGCTGTAGTCCCTGGCGCTTACTCAATGTGCTGAAGGCTGTCTCGCGACATGAAATAATGTCTTTAATATGATCATAGCTGGGCATTATCAGTATCGAAAGCTTCAGCGATCGGTAGACGTACCTTTGCAGTTGTAGCAGCTCGTCTCGAGAACTGAATTTCAGCACTATCTCCTGGAGCTGCTCAGGACCTTGCGCAGAGAACACTTCCTCCGCCTCAGTCAAAGCTGCTAGTGAGCTCATAACAGAACGAAATGACGCCCCAGTGGCTGTTTCATCACAAAGCTGGCTCATCGCCTTTGCAAAACCAGCGTCCAGCGCTGCTGTAATAGTGAAACAATCACGCGCGTTGTTGATCTTCCGGAAGACATCAAATATGATGCTGCTGTTCCCGGTATCTGCTTTTGGCGGTACGATATCCCATTGCTCTAACTTGCGGGCTGTACTCAGAGCAGCCTCGATGGACCTTGGGCCACCTTCCACTACTTTATTGACTAATGGCTGTGATAGCCCGTTGAGATCCATATTATTCAGGACTCTTACCATACTCTCTAAATCGACATTTATCACATTATCGGATCGGCGAATCTGGCAGTCGTAGAAGGCGCCCCTAAAAGACAAGCTCTTGAACCCAGCTTGTTCGTATTCTAGGCGCGACATCATCGATGAAAGACCAGATGATTGCTTGACTCCGTAAAACGAGAGTCACGCTCATCGAGCTGCTCGTATATTTGGGTTAACAATCTATTTGAAATGTCCGCTGACTCCTGAAGAGCTTTGGATCTTCGTCGTGTAGAAGCCTCCAGCCGTGCCTTTTCAGACATGGCCACCTCTACGAACATCAGGGCGGTCTTGTGCATCGAACATCGACTAGCGGCTATTGATGCTTGCCGAAAGTCGATATCAAGCCATCGAAGACGATCGGCCTTGACTGTCTCGTGCGGCAAAGGCTGGGTGCGTAGGTACAAAATCGCGTCAAGCAGAAATTTTATAATTTGGACGTTTATCTGGTCACTTGCACCTTGATCGAAAAGTCGACGAGCTATTTCTGAGAATTTTGCACTCGTGATCATAGGTCCTCCACGTTCCGCCAGCAGGGTCGAATGTAGAATAAGAGGGAATGTTTCCTCTGCTAGCCCTCTGACACTACTTAGCAGATGCGCAAAGGCCGTCATCAAAGGGTCACTGGGGTTGATCTGCGTCAGTGCCACGACCAGCGTCCGTAGCCAATTTGAAGCATCACAGCTACCGTCTGGTACAGAAACCTCATCCAGGCTAATTTGGGTTGGTTGATACCTGCGCAAAATCGTAACATTTGGAATTTCATATTGTGTGCAAGTCATGGCTATGACGAGATTCTTACCTAGGTACTTCTGACACTCAGAGGCAGAGCTTGTGCCTTGTGATTCCGTGACGATATAATTGAGAGCCATCTCTGCGAGTCCAACTTCAAAGAGATTTTCGCGTGTCAAGAGTTGCGACAATATGCTAAGTAGACGAGCTCTGGAATTGGATGGATCTGAAGATACACCGCCCGTCAACTCTTTTTGCGCCGGCTTGAGCTTGGTGTCTGCATTCACAATTTGGCCAGTAAGCCCTTGACGAGCAAAACTTCGTCCGAGAACTCGCCCACTCCATAGATGATAATCGATAGTTGCCAAGCTATCGCGACAAGTATTCAGAACAACACTTGCAAACGAGCTTGCCTCTTGATCATCACCTAAAATGTCCTCGTGAAAGTCTGCCGGCCTTTTAAAGGATGCGCCGAGAAATGAAAGGATGTCTCTCCGACCCGAATGTGGAATTAAGTTGCGTCCTGAGCGTTGGTCGTCAAGGAAGGTCATAAGAAGATCACCCTCGGGAGTCCCCCTTCTAGCGCTACCATTCTGGCGTATGCTGCTGATTGCTTGAATTATCTTTTGAAAGCTTTGGAACGATTCGTTTGTCAGTTCTGGCGATGTATACGATAGTAGAAACGATATTAGCCATTCGCGAAAGCGTTGACTATTTTCAATGATAGCTTTGAATTGGCTTTCTTGGGTCGTACTGTCCTGAGATGTAGCAAGAAAGCTCTTCATGGAAATCAACGTTGATACAGAGAAGCCAAGGAGAAACAACGGGACCTTCTTGGTATATGCCGCACTATGCTCTAGCAAATACTGAACAAGGCCAATAGCGTCGTTAGCGCAACGTGTATCAGTCAGAAATGGTCTCACTGAGTGTAAGGTCATCTCAAGTGGGTAGCCTTCCAGAGCTATATGGCCAACGATAGTGATGAGGATTCTGATCCTCCGCAGAACAGCACAAGCATACAAGGATCCCAGAGCGGTATGGATAGAGTTCATCATCTTGCGGAACACATAAACGTAGAGAGGTGCTACCCACATCGTGTCGCTCTTGGTGAAAGTGCGACCGCACAAATGGTCAATCTGAGCCAAAAGATACTTACTGCTGAACGAAGGTTGTAAATTCACTGGTACACTCTCGCTTGGTTGACTCATCAGGATTATTTCCTGATAAGCCGTACTTGCGTTTGCGTAATCTGCATCCCTCTGGAATGCCTTGTCGATTTTGTATTCCTGGTCAGCTCTCAAGAAGAATATAGCGATTATCTCGGCGAAGTGCTTGGTCGCAAGGATTTTGTAGTGTCCTTTGCCAAGTAGCTTGCGTAGTCGAGCTTCTGCGTAAGCCTCTGGATTCTCACCTTGAGGCAGCGAAATGTCACGTGCAATACAGTAAGCAGCGGCTTCCGCAAAGGAGTTTGTGAGCAGCTGAGCAAAAGGTTCGCTCAATGTTTTGGACAGATAGGTCATTTCTTCATCCTTGCCGCGCATTGTCATCTGTCCCACTACCTCGCCGTGCACATCGATAAGGAGATCCTTCAAGTCGCTGTAACCAAAAATAGCGAATGGCATAGCCTCCAGCATCTCATTCACGCCTTCAGGGTCCGTCCATGTATATATTATTTGCGGCGCGAAGAGCTTGAAAAGCTCTTTGCTGTCGGAGAGGTTGAGAGTTCTCGAGACATCGACTAAAACCGTGCTCGCGTGCTTAATTGAGGTGCGTACCATTGCTGCTGTTTCAAAAACCGAATACAGGCATCGACGTAGTAAGGTTGGCCAGGTAGCAGCCAGGGTCCCAAGGATCTTCAAGCGCAATGCAATTCCTTCGGCCCAATCAGGGTCACTTGGGAGCTTGTCGATCACGTCTTCTAGAATTTTTTCGTGGGCCTGAAGGACAAAACGGCCGAAGATCTGTGACACATCGCCCATTACTTCATATTTTACTATCAGGCCACTGTCTCGGAAGACCTCAAACAGAAGCGTACGAGCAGATTTTTGCTTATTGGTAGAGGATTCCTCTAGTTCTGGCCTATTATTGACAACCTGGCGGAGTAATCGTGCTGCACTTATGAGACAAGTCGCAGGCAGACTTGCAGCCTCCTTTAATTTGTTCAGAAACCACAGGTAGAGCTCTGCAGCTGTCGTAGCTAAATCGCCGCCGTCATTAGCAGTCCACATGGGCACCAGTGCAGCAAGAGCGTTGATGCAGATCCCAGTTGCAACTTCTGACTTTTCCATCTCGTAAGGTTTGATCACTACTTGTTGGATGTACTGTAGAATGGTATCGGCTTCATCCTCGGCCACAGTGGTCTCTGGCGAAAGCAATTCCTCAAGAATGCCTCCACATAGGACAAAATCTTGTCGTTTCAAGGAGGTGAGGTATTCTATGACTGAAGTAGAATTGGTGATCTCAAACACGCGCTCGCCATTTTCAGGCTCGTTTCCTGTTGAGATCCAGCACAATCTTGCCGTGACGTATGCTTTGAAGGCATCAAAACCAGTCTTCGCTTCAATCTCATCATGGATAAAAGATGGAATACGAGTCTTCTGTGAAGCTGTCTGAGTTGCTTGCGAATCGAACTCATCATCTAGATCCATAAAGTCAACCTCCCTCGGAGCTCCGTTAGCTCTTGATAGCTCTGAGCGGATTGATTCCCAAAATTTCCAGTCTAAGCCTCGAGCTACCTGAGTTACTCCCTTGGCCAACGGATCATCTCGGGAGGTTGCTGGGGTTACGTTGTTGATAATAGATCCAATGCATTCATAAAAGACATCCAGATATTCTTTTCGCTTTTCGTGCACGAGGAGAGAAGTTTTCAGACCATGTTGTATTTGATTCAATATCCTGACGAGAGACTGATGTGTATGCTGAGGCGGCATGATTGCAAGTAGTCCGTAGCCAACGACGCATATTTGGAGGATAATGTAAATGGTATCAGCATTCACGGTTTTGATCAAAAGTGAGCTATCATTGAAAAAATTATCCCATGCTAGAGAAGCCTCGTGAGTCAGACTTTCCAAGAAAGAATCCAATAGTTCTGTATGAGGAGACCTTCTGCTGTTGCTGTCTTGCTTGAAGCTCTTGGCTCGGACTAGCTGAGATTGATCGGAGGCTTGAGCGAGAGGACTGTCGTCATTCTGTAGGAGATAAGATATGAGCTTATAGTTTCGCCTGATTCTGAGGAAAGACTGCGAGAGACGCCCAAGGCAAGCTGGTCGTGATGGCGAAGATTGGGGGGTACATTGTCTGTACAGTCACAAATGAGTTTCAAGATACTAGCAATTGAAGCATGACGAGCGAGATAGGCGTGGTGCGACCGTTCGCTTGTGCGTGCTAAAAAATTGTGAGTTGCGTAAACTCAAAAAGAGATAGACATACCAGGACTCCAGCATTTTTCGAGCCATTGCAAGATAGTATTAGCTAACTGAGTATCTGTACGTGGGCTTTCTTTGCACTTTAAATGTATAATCGTCGACCACAGTCGAGTGGAGGCTCCATCACACCGCGCTGGACCGTTCAGACTTAGGGATGCAAGCATGCTGTCTACAGGAGCTGCAATTTTAGCATACTCAACGAGCCTGTTCGACAAGATAATATTGAGAGCCTGACAGGCTACTCTGCATGTAGCTGCAGAAGCTATATGCCGTAACAATAGTCGCCAAATCTGTGGCCAAAGCTCTAGCCGATGTGTGGATTTTGCGTATGGTTGACAAGCTAAACTACGGGACGAGCTCGTCAGCATCAAGAGCAGAAAACTATGGATTTTTGATAGAACGCACCTCATGATCGCGAAGATTGCCCATGACATCATTGTAACGTCGTCGTTTGTCAATTGCGACATCAAGGTCTCCAGAATTCGAGTCAATGAGCTATCCTCAAAATGTTGCCTGTCGAAAACGAAAGCAACAGTCTGGATCGCGTACAATCTGGTTTGATTCTGAGCAATTTGCACAAAATCGAGCAAATCTTCTGACCATCGGTTCATTTTCCGACGTTTAACATGCTTTCGAGATTCATCTTCTTTTTCTAGTCGCACCTTCGCGTCTTCCTCTAAAGCCGCATAAATGGATGAACATGCATAAACGACGCACCAGGGTTCCTCCGCCTTGAAAACGCCAAGCCGAATAGAAGCTGCTTTCAGACTCAACGGTGATTCAAGAAATGCTTGGCTTTCAATATCGGTTAGGTCAATGTCCTCAAGCAATAGCTGCTCTCGCCCTTTTCGTCCACAATACTGCACTCTCATAGTCTCAAGGAGTGCTTCGAGGTGGACCCTTACATCAAGGTGGGTGGTTGAGCGTAGTAAAGAGGGTAAAAGGATTTGTCCTTGAAGAATGATCGCTAACATGCTTTCGCGTTGGGCAAAAGTAGCCCGTTGCCACGACCTCTGAATAAGTGGGATTAGGTCGTTCAGAAGTTTCAAGGACATCGTAATGTCATTTACAATCGTACGAGCCATTATATGCTCGACAACTTCATAACATGTTTGATGTATTTTAGCTAGGTGAGGGTAGCTTCTTAGTAACAACAAAATGACTTCAAGGATTGACTCTGCTTGTTCCATAACTGGTGCGCTCGATGTAGATATTGCCAGTTTCAAACACATCAGTACATCCTCGTTGCTCCCTTGCATTTGAGGGAATGCAAGTGATTGGGAATTAGTTTTACTAAGCCCGTTGCTGCGTTCTGAGGAAACGCTTGCAGGCATGACGGGCCTCTTCCGCAGACCATTGCTCTCGATGAAAATGGAGTTCTCTGATTCAGGGCTGTATGCAGCTTTGTTGAGATCACCCGTGACTTGGATGCAGAAACCCGTCAGCTCGTGCCAGTCGTCCGTGTTCAAATGATCGACGTGCGCATGATAGCTAAGTAATGTGCTAAGAGCCTTGAAGTAGTCAATCAAAAGCGGTTCGCAGTAATCCCCATCCGAGGTTGGCAGACTTTGGATGATGTGATCGACTATAGCCTTTACGGATCTGCTTCGAAGCTTGCGAAGTCCAACTTCCACAATCGTTCTCACAAGACTTGCGCATGTTGAAAGCCTAGCACTTATTTTGCTGACTGTATACTTCGTTGCTCTCGCAAGCTGAGAGCTATCGACCTTGACGACTCGAAAAACGGCCTCAAGGATAGCATGATAGCTTTTATCGTCGATCTGTCTTCTAAAGCTCTTCAGTTATCTTGAACATTGGCCTGATAATCAGAAAGCTTACATTCTCGGACTTTGACTAACTTCGATTATGATCTTGCGTAAATCTAATATACAGTGGTTGGCGAATTGAATTCAATAAGAGTCTCACACTATACCGTTGACACCGCTAGTTCGGAGCTCGATTTTATCAGACTCTACCCTGCCTTTCAGAGATTAGAGTAGTCGAGCACATGGGACCGAAGGATTTACTGAGCGCAAGAGCAATGTCTGGCCTGCCATCATGATCGTTCGATCGACCCATTCTCGAGCCTTAAGAAAAAGGCGAGACTGGTCGTAGGAAAGCCAATTCTGGGACAATGACATGGTGTCAGAGAGCATTACAACGCCAGTAGGCCCTTGGAGGTTGTGACTCGTTCGTCAACACGGCTATTTAGACAAAAAGGGCGAGGAACACCCATAATTCATCAGGTTTTCACCATTGGGTGTTTGGTGTTCGTCTATCGCTCTGCCAAGTTTTCCGCGCGTTTGCTCGAGGCGCGACTGCTAGAATATATTGCGAACAAGGGGGCATTCTCTACACCTTATTGGGACTCGATGTCAGATCAGGGCGACCTTGAGATCCTACAAGGGATACATCAGGATCTCATAGACCTCTCCAAAGCTCAATTACGAAGTGTGGAGCGGCTCTGGGCGGAACTCGATGCACGCGTCGACGAATTCAGGAAGCTTTTGGATAGACCTAGAAAGAACGAGGCTAGCCGCAAATCTCTCCTATCTGGTACGTTACGCTTTTGGGTCTGCGCTCTGTAGTATTGACTGAATATTGGCTATAGGCACGGTCATCATCGATGACGTTGAGTATGCAGTCAATAAAGAGTTTCAGGAGAGTGCGACCCAGCTCGCGGATACGCTCGACTTGGACGAGATCCAGTCAACGAAACTCTTGCTTGAAACGCAGGGGCATATCGCAGCTTTAGATCGCTCTGTTATATCCGCAGCTGCTATCAGCTTTCATCAACATAGACGGTACCTCCTTGAATGCCTCCGCTGGACGATTTATTTTTCTCTTGACGCAGATGTTGAGGGTGACACGCGAAGCGCGAGCCGAGATTTATTGTCGTTGATATTGGAAACGAAGAATGGCACCCCGCAGAATGGCGCTTCGTATATACAAAAATGTCTGCAAACAATATTCGAAATGGAAGGCTGGTTACAAGAACTCGGGGAGAGAACGCAAGGCACCAGAGCGATGGGCCACACTCTCACACAAGAGGGCGACGAGATCCTGAAATTCCAGCAACAAAGCCTCACACAGCAACATGAATCACTTGCAGCCATAATCAGCTTGCTAGCCAAAGCAAGTTATTCAACAACGGAGAACTTTTGTCACCTCCTCGACCACTTATCGAAGATGGAGCGGTGGACCCAATTGACTGTGCACTATGCACCTATTATCTTAGCATTCATTCTGCAGCATGGGTCGCCGGAGGGTGTCGGATCTCTTCCAGAAGCGCGAGCTCTTCATACTAAACTGCTCGATACTAAAGATTCCTCTCTCTGGAAAATGAGGCATTTGCAAGCAGCGACCCAAGCTTGGTGGCTTGCAGAATATTCAGGTTGGTACCAGGAGCAATCAGATAGCTCTCAATTACAAGGTTTAGACCTTGAAGCTGAGGCCCGTGGTCGATCTGAATCTTTCTTCCGTGCCCTTCGAGATGGAGCCTTTGAATGTACGCTTACGATGTGTTCTCAAAGCACGCCAGAAGAGTGGTATGATCCAGCCAGAGCCTCCTTAGTAGCTTTTCTTCTCGGCGATGCACCATCGCTTCAACCAGAAGTAACCTCTCTCTCTGACTGGTTCAGACTGCTGTTCATGGAACAGCTAGAATCGTTCGTAGATGCCCTCATCACAAATATGCCAGATACTCTCCGTCAATTTAAATTCGAAGAAGACGACCAAAGGAAGCGAATACACTCTAATCTACAGTCCAAAAGCCAAGGAGGCACGCATGAGCAAGACCTCCACCTCGAGAGATTCCTGGTGCTCATTTCGTTCTCTTTCGACTCTCGCGTCGAAGCAGCTCAGTCCTTTTGGGGCGAAATCGACAGTAACATGTACGGTTTTTTGCAGTGGGCATCAAAGCGACAGTCAACCCCAAGCGTAGGTGCTTTTTGCGAAATGCTTCAGTCTATCTCGAAGAGTGACACATACGCGACCGCTGCCCACAATTTCTTGCTAGAAGACAGTGGCGTGAGCTACTCCAGGATACGAAGAACCGGCTCCCTCAGTTGGGCACTCATTCTAGGAGAGTTGTCGGTCTACGCGTCCAGGGTGCGTGAACCGGCAAGCTCTGGGAAAGGAACGAATTTCTATGGAGGCAAGCCAACACTGGACGATATTGAGGAACCAGAAAGTGTTTTAATGCTTGAGAGTTATTTGAGATTGATGTCTCATCTTTGTGGTGAGAGTGCAGAAGCCCGGGCTTGGTTATTCTCACGACCAAATCCTTCTATCCTGGACACTCTTTTTACGCTGTGCAGTCCCACTGTTCCGAACACCCTGCAAGCATGTGCTTTCATCATGGTACGATCTCTTCTTACCTCTCATCAGGCCGATACTGTTATGAATATTTGGAATAGTCTTGATGTATGGGCGTCAGGTGGATACGCGCCACTAAGTAGTGCCAGAGCCGCTAAGCTTGCGAATCCTGAAAGTTGGATGCAAGAGATCACATTTGGCGGCGTCGTTAGCACATTCGACCAAGCAAACGACTTTACAGCGCTTTTGCATACACTTATGAGTCCTTCGTATGCCCTCGATGGTGTAAATGAAAGGTTTTCCTTCCCTGAAAACCTAGGATCGTCGTACAGAACACCAGGAGTAGAGCCATACGTCGATCTTGTACTTGATAAAGTCTTTGCGGGAATGTCAACTCAAGTAGAGGATCGTTTGAGAAAACAGGTTTTAACTTTCAATGTCCTGACCTTCGTCACTACATGTTTGAGCACCTTCAACGAGGACTTACTTTTACTCGGGACCCGAAATTCTTCGGCTCTGACTGAGCTTACAAGCACATCTTCCTTGACCATGTATTTACGGCTGCACCCGTTCTGCAGGACGATGGAATGGCTTTTCAATGGACGGGTGCTCTCTGCTCTTTTCGATGCAGCACACGAAAATGTCGAAGAACTCATGACAGAGCTCTCTGGTTCACCTATGGTGCTATCACTGCTGCGCACTATTCAAACCATGAGCCTATTGATGGATCTCCAATCCACGTATCTAAACGTTGCCCGGCCTCTTGTGCACGCCCAACGGAATTCCAGGCAGCCGGCCGTGTTTGATTCTTCACTTGCATCGTTCGAGGACAGCGTTGCTTTACATCTTCAGCTTGTTGTAGACCTGGGTCTGTATACCGGGCTCGGCAACAGTGATCTTGCTGTTGCGTCATTAAAGCTGCTTGGAAAGCTTGCAAGCTCAAGAAGGCTTCAAATGCATTCGATCCAGTCATCAAGTCGGACGGGGAGTAGAAGCTCCCTCATTAACATATTGGAACGCGAAGACGACGTAGAACGGATTACGCAGCCCTTGATACTTGCCGTGGAAATAAATCCAAGAGAGTTGGAGCACGGGCCAAATTCAGATGATTGGACTATGAAGTCTGTGATTCTGGAGTTTCTTGTGAAGACGCTATCAGCCTCAGCCAATCAACCTTGCCTGGCACATACATTGCTTGGCTTTACAAGTAGAAACATGCTTGTTGAGATCGCTCCTGGAGGAAATTTCTCGAAAGGTCTCTCGCTATTTCACTCGGTCGTTCGGCTTGTTGCTGACTATCCTGACGGGGAAGAAGGGACAATGCAGATGTGGGCGCTGAGCCTTCGCCAGATGGGAATGGAAGTGCTCTCCATCCTCTGGCGATCGTCACTCACTTCAGCTATTACCTTGACTGAACTTCGAGAAGCGGAGCTCGTTTTCCGTCTATTCGTCAGACAAAGTATCATGAGTCTCGATACGCTCTGGGACGGGCATGCTATACGGGAGCAAGACTTTATGGTCACTGACGCAGCAGAAACGCTGCAGCAATTCTTATGGCAGAGGAATTCCTTTTACGAGTATGCTGTCATGGAAATTCGCGCTGCAGCTCTAGATGATGCTCCCTCTTTGAAGACTCGGCTCTTGTCTACGCTCTTCGGCTCCACCACCTCGACTGATGGGGAGCAATATTCGAATCCTTCGGTACTGGACCTCTTTGACTTTATGGAGTTTGAAATACCTAGTCTAGAATTCGTCCCACGACTTGGCTACTTTTCAACTACAGATTTCGCCCTGTGCGCGCAAGAGGTTGGAAGTGCCGGAGGTCGCAATTACAATCTCCAACTTGTCGAAGAGCTCATAGCTCTCAAATTGAACGACTTCCGGAAGCTAGGACGTTCGCAAATCACGAACGGAGGAGAAGAGATCGTCAACGAGGCTGAGCTCTTGTTGCATTATTTCCGAGCCGCAAACAGTTTGCACTGTCTGCGATCTGCCTGCCATCGAGCACTTGAATCTTGGAATCAGCTTTTAGTTGTCGCGTTTGAAGCTTGCGATCTGGACTTGGATGGCAGACTTGCTCTAACTTTGCAATCTCTACAGATTCTCACGCCTAAATTGGAAATGCTGGTAAACGAGAATGACCAACGTGCAATTCTCATCGCTAGCTCGGTGAGGATGCTGCTTCTGCTCTTGAATTCTGACGTCGTCGCCGTGCATAGTCCTGGCACTGGGGAGTTCGCCAATGACCGGCTTTATCAGGTCTTCTGCGCTGCCGTACGAGGCATCTCCACCCCAGGAACTAGTTTACAAATCCGCGAAACTTTGTACAGCTTATCCACCCGCTATCTTGACCTAACGACGCAGGCGTCAGGGTTAGCCGCTGCTCGGAAACAGGCCCTACATTTGATCAAATCGGCGGGCAATCGGACTATCGAAATCATGTGTGATGATGCTTTTGGCGCGACTCCATCTTGTAGGATTGCTTCACTCTCGTTACTTGAAGCTTTGACCAAAATTGCGGAGAAAGAGACTTCTGTGTACATCATTGATTCACTGAGTCGTACGAATTTTCTCCAAGTTATGGTAGAAAGTGTTGAGAACATACCAGCAGATCTTCAGGAGACCGACGCTCAAGGTAAGCCGTTCGCTTGAACTTGAACGTATCCGTTAACGTGCTACGCTATAGATATTCCGTCTCTACTTCTATTCTACGAAGCAAAATTCTCCTTGATATTGACACTGGCTCAAAGTAAGACTGGCGCACCTCGCGTCCTGGATGCGGGATTGTTCCACGCTATTCGTGCGTCGAGTCTGTTTTCCGTCGACCCGGATATTGGAATCGGTGAGTAGACCACACAAACACCAGCTTGTTCAAGATTACCGATACATCTAGAAATAAAAAATTCGGAGGCACTAGCAAAGTATTACAGGCTCCTTTTGTACATTACACGTATAATCACATCCGTAATTCTGAGCCGCGGCGAACACAATCAACAAGTCATTGAGGAGGGCAGAAAGTTCCTCTCAGAAAACAGAGCATTGGTGGTCGCAACATTCAAACGGCAGGCTAAAGTCGGAGGAGTCTCGTTCGACGACGAAGGCATCAACATTGTCGAACTGGTGGAACTTTTCACACTACTCATATCCATGACAAGCTTTTTGGACGTAAGTCAAATGTGTTGCAATTCCCTTTGATTATGGACTAAAATCGCCAAACAGTACGAAGAAATCAAGTACTTAGAAACACCCAGGGGTGTCGGGTTCACATGAAGTCAAGTGGACAAAGCTGTTTATCATAAAGGCTTGCTAGATGGCGGATATTGAGATGAATGATAACTATTTACACTCATTGAACCGACAGGTATCTAGCCGCACTTGGCGCTATCGAATCCGCGCTTAACATGTCACGAACGTAGATTATCGATGATGTCGTTAACGTAAGACTCATAACTCATGTCCTTCTCTAGTCTTGCCTGAAACCTTCTTGTTGCCCAATGCCAGGATCTAAAAGCTCCCCTTGAACCTAAATGCCATCAGCAAAAGCAGGCATTAGCGGATCCTTGCAAGACGTAAAGTCTCTTGCGCCTACATCTAAGCTTGGTGTGCAGAAGCCGCAAAGCACAATTGTCGACCACTTTGCACTTGCAAAGCAAGTGGTCAGGGAACGTGCAACCGACGATGCGCCGGGCTCGTCCCCAAGCAAGCGCTTGAAACTCAGTGATCATTCAACGGAGCTCGGTCCGCCTGTGGCAAGGTCACGGACTACAAGAGCCTGTGAGATGTATGAGTTCCCTACCAAAACAAAGCAGACGCCATCTGAAACTATTGATCTTACGTCCTCGCCAAGAAGCCCTCCGAAAAAATCTGCTATCGGATTTCCACGTTCAACGAGTCTCGCGCCACTAGTAGGACCTAAGAAGCTAGTCGTAAAGAATTTGAAAAGACCTTCAGGTCCCAGTCCAGAACAATATTATGCAGAGGTCTGGGATCGGCTTGACGCATCACTATCGGCTGTTTTCAAAGATGAAACGATCCCTTATTCCAAAGAAACGCTCTATAATGAGGTTATGATCATCTGCCGGCAAGGCAAGGCTGAGAGACTGCGCGATGACCTGGACAGAATCCTTGCGACTCATGTACAGCGAGAGGCCAAAGATTTATATAAAACTCAGTTTAGCACGGAAACGAACGTGGAGTTCATCGAACGGGTTCTTGAAGCATGGGCCACATGGACGAGGCAGCTAGCAGTCGTCAAGGTCATATTCTTTTTCCTCGACCGTTCCTATCTCCTTCACGCTCGTCTTCCTTCTGTGGTCGACATGGGAATCGAAAAATTTCGAATTGCAATGATTGATAATACTGCAACAAGTAATAGACTCGTGCAAGGAGCTTGCGATCTCATAAGGGCGGAACGAGCTCAGCAAAAGTCACCCGTTGAATTTGGTCTGCTCCATGGAGCTATAAAGATGTTCCATGAACTTGCCATGTATAGTAAGGAATTTGAGCCAGCATTCATGGCCGAATCTCAGAAGTTCTTTACTTTGTGGGCGGAGCAAACGGCAGCGTCAACTAATTTGGTCGGCTACGTTGAAATGGCCCGTAGATTGTTTGAACAGGAAATGGAACGTGCTGATGCTTGGAACCTTGATGCTACAACAAAGAAAGAGCTTGAAGGGTATCTCGAAGAGATTGTCATTGATGATAGAAAAGCTAGGCTGTGCGATAAGGTCGATGTCGGCCAGCTACTTAGATGCGGAAACATAGATTATCTTCATCAGGTCTTCACGCTTCTACAGCGGCGAAGACTGGGCGAAATGCTAAGACCGGCTTTTGAGAGCTACATCGTCTCCCATGGCTCAGAGATCGTCTTTGATGAAAATCGTGAGCAAGAAATGGTCCCGCGATTGCTAGCATTCAAGAGACAGTTAGATCAGACGTGGGAAGATGCTTTTGAAAAGCATTCAGATATAGGCCACACCTTGAGAGGAGCCTTTGAGACATTTATCAATAAGGGTAAAAGGAGTAATATGACGTGGGGCACTGACAACCCTAAGCCTGGTGAAATGATCGCAAAATATGTTGACTTAGTTCTCAAAGGTGGTTCGAAGGCGATTCGTGCATCAGGGATCAATCCGGAAGAGGAGGGAAAAGCCAATGAGCAAGATCGAGATCAGTCTAGTGAAGATGAGGATGCAGAAATTGCTAAACAATTAGACTCGGTACTCGATTTGTTTCGCTTCGTGCATGGGAAGGCAGTGTTTGAAGCATTTTACAAACGCGACCTTGCACGCCGACTCCTACTAGGTAGGAGCGCAAACTCAGATGCTGAGAAGAGCATGCTAACGAGGCTCAAATCCGGTGAGTAAGTCGTCTCGTCAAAAGCGATAAAGACTGATTAGACGCTTCAGAGTGCGGTGCGGGATTCACTCATAACCTGGAACAGATGTTCAAGGACATCGAGATGGCAAGGGATGAAATTGCATCTTACAGGGCAATGTTAGAGGAAAAAGATAAATATCCTAGGTTTGATCTCAACGTCAACGTATTGTCTGCTTCGGCTTGGCCGTCTTATCCTGATGTGCCGGTCCATGTTCCTGAGATCATATTAAAGGCCACCGCCGACTTTGAGCGGAATTACAAGATGAAGCACTCGGGCAGAAAGCTGCAATGGAAGCATGCCCTGGGCCATTGCCAACTAAGATCTCTGTACCCGAGAGGCGCAAAAGAGATTGTCGTCAGCTCATGCCAAGCGATTGTATTACTATGCTTCAATGATGTTGAATCGATGTCATATTCGGACGTGAAAGCCGCTACAAGTCTAGGTATGTAGAGAACTGTGTCGTACAGACCGAAAGCAGCTACTGATATATGCAGATGATCTTGAACTTAAGCGAACGCTTCAGTCACTGGCTTGCGCCAAATACCGGGTGTTGGGCAAGTCCCCCAAAGGTAAGGACGTGGACATTAACGACACTTTTGCTGTCAACCAAAGCTTCCATCATCCAAAGTATCGTCTCAAGATCAATCAAATTCAAGCGAAGGAGACCAAGGAGGAAAATAAGCAGACCCACGAGCGCGTGGCTGCGGATCGAGCTTTTGAGACTCAAGCAGCTGTTGTGAGAATCATGAAAAGCAGGAAAACGATCACCCACCCAGAATTGGTAAGTGAGGTCATCAGCGCAACAAAATCCAGAGGTCCTTTGGATCCAACCGACATCAAGAAGAACATAGAGAAGTACGTGGCCCCCCTGTGCTTGTTTCATTGCCAATGCTAAAGTGTATCTTTAGATTGATTGAGAAAGACTATATGGAGCGTGACGAGGATGCACATAACACTTACAGCTACGTAGCCTGAGCATAGCATCACCCTTTGATGATCTATTAGCAAAAAGATAGATTTTACTTTCCGCATACCTTATTCAATTTCCTAGAGCCCTGCTGTACGGGGCCTAAGTACAGTTCCTCGCGAGGCCTCGAAGTTTCCTCCTTGGTACATGCAAAGGGGCGGGAAGAGTCCTCAGACCTTGCAAACCACCGTCACCATGCTTCTCACGATAGGGTATCAAACATACATCAAGGCTTATGGCCCAGGGATCCCGCTTAATTCACAGAACACTCACTCATCTTCACCAACAATGTTCGCATGTCGAAAATATTTCATTCCTACCCAAGCAATCGTGACCCAAACCCACGCCATCACACAAGTCAGCACCATCAACGCGGGATAGTACCCCACAATCGGCAGCGTGGGGTCATCCTCTAGATCAGGCGGTGCGTACGGTGTCGCCCCGACATCCCAAGCCCAGCTCCAAACTCCGAAGCAGCTCCCCATTCCCACCACGAAGACGAGCCAGGTCACACAGAGGATGATCCATCCCCACCAGCTGGTTTCCGAATAGTCCCATTCCGAAGGTGGTGAAGCTGGCGTTGCGGGTGGGAGCGCTGCCAATGGCGAACGAGGCTTACTGGCTGATCGGGGTGAGCGTGAGCGAGGTGGCTGGGAGGGGAAATAGCTATCGTTGGGAAGTGGAAGCTGTTGCAAACTTGGAGGTATTAAGTCGGTAGGAGAGATTAAAGATTCATCATCGTCCGTAAGGGTCGAAGCTGTCGTTGACGATTTGGTCGTCAACGGGCGGCGGAGGTCGGGAAATGGCTCATCTGCGTCGGTCACTTCTAGAATCTTCGAAGGGTCACCATGCACGGGATGTGTAACCATTGGTACAGGCGGTGGAACTGGAAGGGGCTTAGGGGAAGGCAAGTCGAGAGGCGTCAACGGACTGATAGATGCATTCGTTGCTCCGAAATAAGTGCCCAATCCATCCACCTGTTGTCTGTCTAATGCTTGTACTTCATCCAGCGTCGAGGATGTGGCACGCCTGTCCTTGTTCTCCATGCGCAGCTTGCTCGTTCCGAGAAGTGCAGACTTCCGCAACGATCCCTTGCGGGTCCGGGTCTTCCTCTGTTGCTGGACCGCTGAAGCCATGGCACTCCCCGTCCGCGGACTGGGCGGTTCTTCCATGATCGGCGACACCATCTCCGATTTCGTCTCCGACTTGTGAGCATGATCAGGGCTCGAATTTGTTCGTAGCAAGCCCAGAGAAGCGGACAGGCTCCCCGAGATGCTCCTTCTGTGCCCGGGAGGAGAAATTGAGCCCCATCGCTCCTTCTTCCCAGAATCTTGATCGTGACTGCTTGTTGCAGCCTTTGCAGCGCTGATCGCGGCATCAGGAGTACCCATCATGCAAAACACTAGCTCTTTAAACAAATTCTATTGCCTTGCTCTTTCAAATGGCATCTCGGCCGGTTTTTCAATCTTTGGAATGCTGTTACCCATCATAACCATGGCCTACGATCTGCTCGTTTTGGCACTGTGACTGACGAAAGATTCACACATTGTAGTCGAAACGAAGTATGACATATCTCATCTTAGTAGCTTACGGTCCACTTCAGAGTGTGATGTACTAATGTGTCCCCAATCATGTGTTGAGACAAGATTGTATTCAATAACGAATAATAAGCGCTCTTAAGTCCGGCTTCATATTGCCGAATATCAAAAAAAAGCTTGTGGGCTAGAGTATGCGAATAAGTATTCTACATGCTAGATGCTATCCCACTCGCTTCAACGATTCTGTCCTTGACCCAAAATGCCCAGATCAAAGCGTGCGAAAGTTGTGCACCTCTCGAAGACAAAGAAGAAAGGAAAGGAGCTCACACTAAGACTTTACGCCTCTATCCAAGAAAACATCCCTAAATACTCGTACATCTATGTATTTCGCGTCAATAATATGCGCAACACCTACTTAAAACATGTCCGAAATGAGCTCGCTGACAGCCGGTACAGTCCCTCTTCTTTACTTCTCTACTGCAGTTCTTCCCTTTCCCCGCTCGGCCTCAATATCCTAGAACCTTCCAAGCCAACTCACCCTGACTAAACCCTCCTCTCCGCACAGACTCTTCTTCGGCAAAACCAAAGTAATGGCTATCGCGCTTGGCCTTAACGAAGGAACCGAGCCTTACCCCAATACCTCCCTCCTCTCGCCCCACCTCCACGGGAATGTTGGTCTCCTATTCTCCCCTCGCCCCGTCCCTGACATCCTTGCCTATTTCACGACCTTCCAGCCTTCAGACTACGCGCGCTCTGGAACTGTTGCACCTAGAAGCTTCGTTATTCCACCTGGCATGGTCTATTCCCGAGGAGGAGAGGTGTCGGAGGAGGAAGATGTCCCATTAGCGCATTCAATTGAGCCGACACTAAGGAAATTAGGGGTGCCGACGAGATTGATCAAAGGGAAGGTGGCACTAGAAAGTGAATTTGAGGTATGTAGAGAGGGAGAGGTGCTGGGGAGTGGACAGACAAGTTTGTTAAAGATTTTTGGGGTTGCGATGGCGGAGTTTCGAGTGCAGATTGTGGCCTGCTATAACAGAGAAAACGAAAGTGTAGAGGCATTTGCGCGGCATCCGGATGAGGATGCGGATATAGATGAAGAAATGGAAGACGGGGCGAATATAGAGCTAGACGAATTTGTTGGGTTCGAGGGATGACTATAGCAACATGTGCCGAAGGCAAGGCTCCAATTCAAGCGACGGCGTTGGTGGTTGGTTGTGGGGCAACAGGTAGCTGTTGAACCAGATTTCCCGTCTGCGAAGAAATCACTGTCCACTGGTGTATACTCACGAACGAAACTCCACGTACAATGACGAGGCGCTTTCGATCTCTTGGTCGTTAGAGAGCCTGCTCCATCACGAGTCAAATACCTTACCATCTTACCTGACAACCGGGATATTTGAGTTGTGGGACATTGATTACATACTAAACCTATCACTCCTCTCAAAGGGGTATTCGGGGAGTATGTGAATGAATCGGGGCTATCTTACATTTCGGCACCAACCTCTTCAACAACCTGGGTAAGCCAGGCAAGATTCAAACTGCGTTTCGCAATGGCTGATGAGTTAGTCCCTCTAATTCAGCCAGTATATTGAGATGCGTGATCTTCCGAAGCAAGTCCAGTAACATTGCTGGCCAATGTGGTGCCTTACCAAGCAGACTGCAATTGTTTTGAGAATGTAGAATTTAGATTGACGTGCTTGCAATCTGGTCGATATAGGACTGATTGTCACGGCCACCCAAGACGTTGAGAGAAAGAAGAGTTAGTACCTCCGAAGCTTGCGAGGATCCTCATATCCGCCGCCATCATAAGGTCGCTTTCTGTCGTTGTCGTCGTGCCGGCCACGGTCCCGGTCGTCTCTTGGTCTGACAGGTTCTCGATTACTTCCGCTGAAGCTGCCGCCGCCGCGATACCCAGATCTGTCGTCGTAGTCATTACGTCGGTCTCCGCTATACCCACCTCTCGATCCATCCCCGTAGCCATTAGCCTGGGAGCTTCCGTACCCGCCACCATAGCCACCTCGCCCTCCAGGTCCAGATGGTGCATTCGGTGGTGGGGCACCATAATTATTAGGAGGACCGCCGCCATTCCCACCTCTTCCACCGAACCCACCTCCACCCTGGTATCCAATACCACCTCTTCCACCACCAAAGCCACCGCGATCACCTCCCCTAAATCCTCCTCTGAAACCACCTCGATCATACCCACCTCGGGATCCCCCTCTGAATCCTCCTCCAAAGCTGCCCGGGCCTGCTGGAGCATTGAGGCCGCCACCAAAGCCAACAGGACGTGCTGGTGCTGATTTCGTATAACCCCGACCTCCTAATCCACCACCAAGCCGGCGTGGTCGCCAGCCTTTAACGGTGCGTCCTCTCTCCACATCGACAAGGACTCTGCGGTCTTTGATTCGAATGCCGTCTGTTTCTTTGTAGGCAGCTGTAAAATGAGAAGCAAAATATCAAGTTAGCCAAATACGAATATCCCGTACTCAGTATTGAGGTGTGGGCATAGGGAGGCAGTACCCTTCATATCCTTTTCACGTTCGTAGACGATGAATGCGTAGCCACGATGTGGCTTCTCTTTCTTCTTTGGCTGTTGATTCTCATCGCTCTTATGATCACCATTAATGCCATTACTTGCTGTCGTGATGTCTACGACAATCCGGATTCTCTCGATCGGCCCAAAGCGGCCAAACTCACGCTCGAGGTCCTTTTCGGTAGTATCATAGCTCAAGCGGGCAACAAAAAGGGTTTTGAAAGCGTCCCCCCTCACATTTGGGTCATCATCAGGTTCTGAGCTTCGAGTGTCAGCTAATGATCTAAGTTCACAAGTCGACAATGGAAAGATCTCACTTCTTTCTGCACCCTCCTTCAACACGCTGACAGCCGACTCCCTCTGTTCGGCCTTTAACCTCTCCTTTCTCTCGAACCAGCTCTCTCCGGGAATAATTGGCACGACCTCCTTATATTCTTGTAGGGCAGGTAGGAAGGCGGCAAGTCCCCCGATATTGTTGGTCTTTCTTCCTTCTTGGGGGTGATCGCTGGCCGGAAGGTAACGTAGCGGAGGGCGAGGAGAGAAGAGCTGGAGGAGGTTTGGGGGAAGTTTATGGGTCATTGTAAGTAGCACAGTGGAATATAAGATCAGCCAATTGGAGCGCTATGGAGAGGATGCGCCTTTGGCTCATATGGTGAATAGGAGATGTATCTTATGTCGCGAGCTCACATGCAACTCAATTTCACTAGCGGGTCTTGGCGTCCGTTCGAGGATCATGGGTAGAGTACCTTGAGGTACGGGGGTCGACAATAATCACTCTCTGAACGACTCGAAGCATCGCCAGAATGCTGTCATTAGTATTGTAGTGCAAAATGCCTGTCTCTGCATTGAAAGGTGTGTCGACAGCTCAAGTACGTTTATTCAGATGCAATCAGATTCCTCCTTAATCAATCGTCACAGAATGGTGTTGGCGCATTCATACTGCAGTGCAAGAAGATCGACTTCCATTATTGCGACTATGGTGGCTCATCTAGAGGCATGAAGTATGTCCATCCTGATCCAATCCCAAATCATTCGATACCAGCATTTCTTGACTCTCTGTCAAAGGCTGACCCCAAACCTAGAGCCTTCCTCAGATCTCCCCTCCTCCCGCGCTTTGCTACCGCACACCCTCAGATACAAATGCAAATCTCCCCCCGCCCGAACGCCCACCCAGTGGTCCGGGGTCACTACATTAACGGCCGCGAAAAAGCCATTTGCGTACGAAATCTCGAAGCAGAACAGATCGTGAAGAAGGTAGAAATACTAAGGGATGCGAATGGGGAAAAGCTCCAGAAGGTCCGGGGGGGACGAATGGTGAAGAGTGTGAACGAGAGCGTGAGAGGTGTCTGGGATCCTTTTCATGCGCCCGAGAGTGGTGCGCGAGATATACTAGGGGAGATGGTACAAAGATCAGGCAGGAAATTGATTGGCGGGAAGAAGAGAAGGAAGAGAAGATGAGGGTCACCATACAGTGTTAGTGATGAAAGATCTATTGCACGTTTCCAAGGCACCTAGGTTTCCATTCACCGCCCTCATGCCTTCGCCTGCTGAGCGTTGATGATATCAACAACTACACCGCAAATCAGCACTCTCCACCGGTCCCAGCAGAGAAGAAAAGAAAAAGGCAAAACTCACAAGCCGGTTTCAAACTCGCACCTCCAACCAAGAAACCATCAACGTCGTCTTGCCGCGCCAGCTCCCCACAATTCTTCTCATTCACACTTCCTCCATAGATCACCCTCGTCTTCTCCGCCGCTTCCTTGCCCACCTCTTTCCCAAGCCATTCTCTAATAGCCTTATGTACCTCCTGTGCCTGCTCTGTGGTGGCTACTTTTCCGGTCCCAATGGCCCACACAGGCTCATACGCCACCACAATCTTACTCCAGTCACCAATTTTAGCTTTCACAGCGTTCAATTGCCTCGTCACGACGTCGATCGTCCTGCCTGAATCTCTCTGCTCTAGCGTCTCGCCTATGCAGAGGATCACACTCAGGCTGCCGTCTAAGGCAGCTTTCGTTTTGCTAGCGATGAACTCATCCGTTTCTCCCATTACCACCCGGCGCTCCGAGTGCCCAATCAATGTCCATTTGATACCAGAGTCCGTGAGCTGCTCGGCGGAAATTTCCCCCGTGAAAGCACCATTGGGCTTGTCAAACACATTCTGCGAGCAGACTTCGAGTTCGGCCTTCAAGTGTTCACGGACGAGAAGAATGAACAGGGCAGGTGGGGCGACGACGACCTCAGTCTTGGGATCAAGAGGGGCGCCATTGAGGTTGTGAACGATGTCTGTAATACTTTTTATAGTACCGTTCCTAGAATATGTTAGCATGGAGGAGTACAGCGGAGGGGAGCGGCGGGGTTAGAGAGGACGGCGGGTCGAACATCTTGAAGTTTCCGCCCACGAAGAATTGGCGAGGCATGGTCAAGGTGTTCAATAGGTGCTATGCTAAGGGCTCTGCTGTAGGTCAATCGCTACCTTATAAGTAGAATAGTAGGTAAGCGGTCTGAGGATTTCGATGGGGAAAAATGGAGGGCGCACACATGGAGTCTGGGGTGGGGCTCTCACTGGGTGGAACCGCCCCTGCTCTCGGGAAACGAGTACGTACCCCTACCGCGCAAAATCTGGATCTATGAATCGAAGGCAAATGGTCAATAGGAAAATTTGACTGAAGATAGGGGAGGGAATTCATGAACGGACCACGAACTTAGGATGTTCTTCGTTGCGTAAAGTATCATACATGAAATTGCCGTCACTCATGAATAACCCCCCAAGTCATGTTGAATTCCCCTTCCGCGCCAGATGGAAGAATCATTACAAAACAGAATCTGTTGCTCACACGCGCGAGAAGAACACAACATCGAAGGAAAGCGAAAAGACGTTATGGAAGCATTTCACCACTTCGTAGACGAGAAACTGCTGCCTCTTGAATGCCGACGACGGAGCTCCCTGCCCTGCTTCCTCCTCCGCATCTCGTCTTCAACTGCTTGCTCGAGCTCCCTCTCCTGCTTCCTCCTCCGCATCTCGTCTTCAACTGCTTGCTCGATCTCTCTCTCCTCGACCTTCTTCTCCCTTTCGGCCAGCTCTCTGGCCTTGATGCGGCTTTGAACTTCCTTCTCCTTGTCGAGATGAGCCTGGTGAGAAGACTCGCGGCTAGAGTCGCCGATTCGCTCCATTGGTTCAAAGCCTACATTCGGACGCCCACTAGGCAAGCCAAAAGCATGATGCTGATCATAATTCGAGCTATGCTTTTGCTCAAAAATGGGTCGTTGGTGGTTGTACGAAGGCCGCCCACTGTTTATCGATTCATGTCGTTTCAGCCCGCTGCGGTGCCCAGCGTCGCGTCGCGGCAGCCCGCTACCCTTAGCCGGTTGGATTTCAACGTCGTCTCGCGCGTAAAGAGACCCGGGTCGGACTGACGATGAGCGATCACTAGGAATCGACCTCTTGTGCTTACGAACATACTCTGGACCATCAGGCTCGCTACGGCCTGTCCGTCCACGGTGCACGGGGCTTTTCATCCTACGGCGCGGACTAGGACTAGGTGTTCTCTTTGCTTTGCTGGAAGGGCGAATGTCGCTGGAGAACCCTGTATCCGTTGTTTCTGGATCGGAGACAGAAAAGCCACTGTCATCGTCTGATGCAAAAGAAGATTCGGAGGGTGAGTCATCAAGAGGAATTTGGAAGATCTTCGGGGCTTTTGGTTTGGCTCCTTTTGCCTTATCAGACTTGGGCTTCTGAGTTTCGCTAAAAGGCTTCTGCTGCTCCTTTTTCGCTTCGGCAAACAACTGCTGCCTAGAGTCCTTAGGTGCTCCCCGCTTAATATAGACTGGTTCTTCTGGGGCTTTCCTTGGCGGCATGGCTGTTTGTCTGTTGTACATTGGGCCTTCGGGAGCTTTCTTGGGCGGCATAGGCGCAGGAGGTTGCTGCTGAGGGCCTGCATGTGGATGGAACCTTGCACCAGGAATAGTTTCGGTATTTGCAGCTGTCCGGTAGACGGGGCCCGGCGCCCTCATCTCTTGTGGGCGCGGGTCGAAATTTTGAGGCTGATTGTTAAGAGGTGGGAGTTCGACGATCTCTCTCCAAGGGAAATGCTGGTTCGGAGACCTCACCGCCCTTACTGGGTTGCTCTCCTTCTGTCTTTGCCGCTTTAGTATCACTCGTAGCGCGGCGATGGTGTCGGTGTTCTTGCCGATTTCTTGCTTCTCTAGTTTCACGTTTTTGACCACCCACACAAAGTTTCGGTCAAGATCAAGCATATTACGATCCTTGAGAAGTGTGATGACTTGAAGACGCCTGTTGCCTGCAAGATCAGGGAGCTTGAGACATTTATCTCCGGTAAGACCCTTTTTATAGGCCTTGTCAACCCGTTTCTCGAGCTCACTCGGAGAAATTCGATCTTGTACACGCCGAGCGAAGCGCCAGCGACTTTGATTGCTCATAGTCCTCTCTTTGGTGATTGTGTACTGTTCGAAGGTGGGCTCTACATTGCGTAGAGCCGATTGATTGTGATACATTGGTGGGGGCCGAGCGTTCTGGACTCCAGCGTAATGTGCTTCAAGTGCGGGGCCTGGATGAGATTGAGGATGCACGCCCATCCGAGCAAAGGTAGCAGCGATGTCATCCGTGCCTCGACCAGCAGGCGCCGTGTGTTGAGGAGGAATCGGTATTTGCTGATTCATAGTGATCTTTCTCGTGTTGGTAGGTGGAGGGTGTGGAAGTCGCAGCAATGAATGTAAAAGTGTCAGGGAGGAATGAGGCTTGACAATGGCGGCAGAGGGGCTCGGACGTGGTGATGGTGGGGTCAGCGGGAGAGAGTGGTATTGCTGAGAGCAATGGTGGGAAAGCGCGATGGTATATGCTCTCAAGTAATCATGAGACCGCAAAGAATGCCGTGGACAGCGATTTTCATATCACAAAAGGGCAATCGGCAGTGACAAAGAAGTGAAGCTTGAAGGGAATGAGTAGATTTGAAGAAGGAAGGAAAGGACTTAGCTGTGCTGCCTTGTTTATAGCGTGGAGGATAGCTGAATCGTAGCCTGACCGAAGGATTCTAACCTTGTCAAGAGTGCGGGCAGGGCGCCCTTCTTCGCAGGCTCTCGGTGCACAAGGCAGGACGTTTGCCTAATTTTGATAGATGCTCAAACAGTCATTGTTACACGAAGCTTGGAAGGGCGCTTAGGGGCGTCGTGGAAGGCATTGCGGGCTGTCCAGGATGTTTGGTTGTTTGGATATTCCTTGAAGGCGAAGCAAACACAGACACACGAGCTTCCGGACTACTGCAAGCCCCAATGCAGTGGCCTGCGCCCCACCAAGTGCACAGCTCTTTGTCCCCTCAAAGAACCAATTGCGGAGCCAACGGACCGACGTAGGGTTCGAGAGTGTTGACTGCCATCGTGCTGGGTGCTAACGTCGACATGATTGCGTGCAGTACGCATGTGGGTGATTATTATTGCAGAACGAGCAGCGCGAGCAGCGCGTTTGTCCGTTGGTCCCGCCGTCAGTGGAGTAGCCGCTGAAGCAAGCTGAAGCGCATTCTCCAATAATGGAACTTCGTGATGAAGCTCGACATCCAATGGATTGCGGGGAAAGCATAAACACGCTTGGTCGGTCAAGATACGATGCCGGGTCGTCAACCGGTTGATGTGAATTTCGCCGAGGGCGCAGGCACCAGCAGTCCTTTACGCATAACTGATGAGAAATAACATCTAGCTGCTGACTTTTCCCACCCTGACCGAGGGTCGGATCTTGATCGTTTACGATTCTACATTTCAAAGAGTCTGGTAAAGCTGGAGGGATTTGGGGGCGCACCTGCACACCCTTTTCTACCCAGAAATCGGTGAGGGAGGTCTTCCTCACGCACGCCACACGAAATAGTACGCGCCCCAGTATTGTGTGACGCCTGCTTTAGTCGCCTCATCTCTGTCTAGCTTTGCCCCAGTATAAAATCTACCGGTCCATACCAACCATGTCGGGGGCCGCCGGAGCAAGACAGTGAGGGTCAACGGAGCCTCACACACCCCTCCCCAATTGGACCCATCTACAAACCGCGCGGTGGTTCACGCATGATGTAGAGAGACGGCAAACAATGAGGTAGTTATGTGCTTACATTCTTCTGTTGCCTGATCAACTAGCAATAGTACAAGACCACATTCCAACGTTGTCCAGCTGTTCAGAGCTGCCACCTTCTCGACGTTTGTCATCGTCCTCCATTGGAGGGGTCGGAGCCCCGTCGTAAGTGTGTGCCTGTCTCAAAATAAAGCCGTAAGGTAGCGATTTCGAAAACTTTCGTACAGTAGCAGTAACAAACTGAAAGAGGAAAAAAGAACCCGCTTCCCTTCTTCTCGTCCCCTGCCCCTTCCACCATGCCATTACATTTTATGCTCCTCCGTTCCGTGCGCAAAGTGGTATCACTGGAAAACAACACGATTGCCTGGACAAAAGCCAGAGAGGATCGAGTGGGTATCACGTAGGAATAGCGCTAGACAGCACTGGGGTATCTTATGCGACGGTGCTCTGATTCACAGTACCGTTTGGGGCTGCAGAACCTTTTAGCGCGAGATCATTTGCGTTCGTTGAGTTGAAGGCTTGGTTTACCTCGCTGCTGAACCCTGAGGTGTTATTAGACTGGGTGTTCTGAGGACCCCTCACACCAGGAGTGCTAGTGCTGTGTGCTTTTCGTGAGACTGCTGTTAGGCTCGGTAGGCCAGTCGATTCAGATGCAGAGCCAATGCCGAAGACTGGTGATTCCCATTTCTCACCCTTTGCGGCTAGGGCCTTGTATTCAGTAGCCTTGGTGGAGATACCGCCAGGCAACTTGATCTGTGGGAAGATCGAATCATTCTGCGTCATAGCAACATTGGCCTTTTTATCAGCGGCCGTCTCTTCAGCCTTAGCTTTCTTTGAGGTGACCACTTTTTGGGCTGCATCGGAATACCGCTTGTAGATATTGGGGGCGTTTTCGGGATCGTTCTGAACAGCTTTCGCAGCGCGCTCGGCTTCTTGGTGGATTTCAAATGCCTTACCGTCCAGAGTCGTGACTTGATCTTTGATAAGCTTCTCAAGCACCTTGCCTACCGCAGGTCGCAGGATCGCAAACATCAGGGGCCTGAAGACATTGAAAAGAAGCTTGTGCTTGGATTGCTTCAACTTGATGGTCAAACTCTTGATGTCAACACTGACAGAGTTGATCTTGAAAAAATGGGTCTTATCAGACTTGCCGACGGCCTTGTCTGTGGTCTCCATGGCGATCTTGAAGCTGAAGCCACTACCGCCCATGAAGATATCCATAACGCCAGTATCTTTAATCGCTGGGAATCCCTGCTTCCGCTTGATATAATAGCTCACATCCTTGAGGTCCATCTGGACGCCTGAAACAGAGACCATGACCTTATTCTTATTTTTGTTGGTAACGGTCTTGCGTCCCCAACGGAAGTAGTTGTCACTCCCGAACTCAAAGGAGTTGGGTGCCAGGTTGTCACTTTCAATCACAAGATTCTCAATAATGGCGTCAAATTGCGAATCAGAATACTCAATACGTGGAACGGGAACATAGCGCACGCTCTCTAGAATGCCGGGAACGACGACTTCGCTGAGGTCCTTGACGAGATGAGTCTTGAATGTAGGCTTTCCATTTTGATCATTGCCCAGGTCCTTGAACAGTTTCTCCACAGACAAAGCAAACTTCTTGTTCATTGGATCCTCATCGAATTGGCGTCCGAAAAACTTGAATTGGTCAAGGACGTGGTCGGTATGGTTCCTGTAACGCTCGCGAAGGAGAAATTGGCCCTTGTCATAAAGTTCGTTCCAGTCGTCGTTCGCTTCAGGTTTCATTATAAACCCACTCTCTTTCAGGCACTTTCGGATGTAGTAATCCAAAGCCTTGAACCAATTCTTGAGCTCCGGATCCTTCTCAGCGTCATCGTACACGTTCTTGATGGAATCGAAAAGATCATCGGCCGAAGTTGAGTTGGCAAATCGCTCCAACAGAGTCTTGATAGAGGTCAGCGCGCCCTCATTTGTTCCCACGAGACCTGTAACAAACCCGTAAGTCAGTTTCTGCTGACACCAATGAAGCGTCCGTATGCGCACCCTTGACAGTTCCTGAACCTTGCGAGGCGACGTTCTTCCCGTGACCACCGTACTGCTCAGCTAGCGTGAGAAGAGTTTCAACAGCTTGTTGGTCTTGGCATTGTCAGTTTAAATAAGAGTATCGCATGTAGGGGAAGAACGCACAGTCCGAGTGACTTTGAATTTCGACAACCATTTTCTTCAAACGGTAGATAGTCTGCTCGCGGCGCTCTTTCGGTAGTTTATCGCCCAAATAGCCCTTAGTCCTGCTCTGAAACTCTTTGGCCTTATCTTTCTGCTCCTGAGGAATATTTTGAGACGCAGTATTGGTCAAGTTGCCTACTGCTGTCTGAGCGCCAGCTCCTGCGTCTTGCTGTTGATCAGCGGTTGTGGCTGCATTGTTTGTCGCATTTTGAGCATCAGCTTTATTAAATGGCTTGTTCTTGTTGTATTGATCTTTCGCTTGGGTCTTCAAAGACCCAGCGGACAGATCTGGAACGTCATGCCAGGTGTTCTCTTCAGCAGGATGGTCAATCTGATTGAGTTGATCTTCACCGGGTTTGATTCGACTGGCAGCATTGGAAGCTGCATCACCGGCAATGTCTCGAACTAGAATCGTCGCATCCTGCACTGGACAGGTGTCAGGGGTAGTCAACACAGTGGAGTAGATAGCACTTACAGAGTTTTCGAAATTGACCATTCGACAGCAAAAGCGTACCAAGAGTCCTTAAGCCTTCGAGGGCTTCATTACCATGCTGCTGGGCAGTGCTTTTGTCAACAGGCGCGCCGGGAATTTTAGCATCGCCGGTGCCCAAGTGTTGTGTTGTCCAGATGAAGTCTTGTAGCAGATTACCTTGATTTTTGGTAAGAAGGAGAACTTTCGCTTGCTCGATGACGTCGCGGACGTCTGCGACCAACAAACGTCCCTCTTCCGAAAGCTTTGAGGATGGTGTGGCCAGAGGCTTCGATGCGAGGGCAGAGTTGAGGGCTATATCAACCTGTTTATTCTGTAGACAGAGATTGGCATACTGTCAGTGCAGATGAAAGAACGAGTCATTGCTTACCGAAGGCACTTTGCCGTTGGCGAATCCTGCTAGTTATTAGCTTTATACGATTTTCAATTGCGCCATCATTTGCCACATTTCAGGGGCGGTCGACCTGAACTTCGCTTTGGACTTACCAGAGTAGATACCGTACAGCTGAAGCTTCTGATTGACATCGGCCTCCTTCTGCTTGACGTTTGTGGGACGGTTGACCGTAGACATGACTAAGAACAGCAGAGATGTCTCCTTGGGGCAAAGGACAGGATGGGTATCACAATGCAAATATTAGATAACCAATGTGACCCGTTGAATGAGGGTCGGTAGCAATTGAAAGGAAAAGAGTATTAAGAGTGGTAACGGTCTTGGTATGAATGGTGTAGGAAGGAGGGTGAGAAGGGTGCTGATGAAATAATTGATGATGGCGATGATGTTGCCAGGGAGAAGGCCGGCAAGAGATTACGAGGTTGAGCAGTTAGGTTTGAGAATTGGCAGGCGTCGCACTAGTGAAAACAGGATCGGGGCGGGGGAAGAAGTTGGGAAGGGTCGATGATCTAACCCTCTCACCCTCTCCTACAGCCCATAGAAAGACGCGCCGAATGGCCCTGCGTTCTGGAACCGAACCAACCCTGCCGCTATCAACACTCTGATGATCTATGTCGAGCCTCCCTCCGCACGACCATCAACTACAGTAATGCTCTCGCTCTGCTCCTACCAACTGCCAACTTGATGGACTACGGGACTACTACTAGACTCTAGCAGCGCGTCTTGTCAAGCCACAGATGTAGAAGTTTGGACAACGTCAGAGCGGCAACGCGACAGTGCTCCATCCTTGGCATCTCTCATTGGCGGAAGGAAGAAAATGCAATTTCACCACGGATGGGGCTAGTAGCAATGCGGATTAATCTCCTGGATGATGCCTTCCGCAATTAAACTCTACGTCACCTTCTTTCTGCATCAGGATACCCATCATTACCATATTCTTTCATACTCCTCCCCGCCGACCTTTGCCACTCGCCATACCTGCCCAGTTTGATTATGTCCGATAAAGCCGCAGGCTCAACTGCCCCCTGATAAAGAATAGCCATAAAACTCCACGGTCCCAAGAGTATATGGCAAATTGTAAGATGGAGGTGTTTATAGACTTCTAGTCCTCATTAAGACTTCTCCAGCTTCTGCACCAGTCTATAGCCAACAGGTTCTAAATAGAGCTTGATCCCAGGCCATGATGTCATGCCATACGCGCCGAGTCGGCTCGTGCTCCAGCCTCCAGGTCGCCGTAAGGTAGTGCCCTGGCGAACCTTAACAACACTTCCTGATATTCAATGCCTCAATTACTGCTTTGGGAACGCAGGATGGTGTAGGTGCTACGCAGAAGTCGCGAACGACGACAGCATCGCTACCTTGGTTAGTAGACAATTACGTTGCCTAACTCGGATCATTAAGGCGTGGTCGCACGTGATCGAAATGCTTAGCGACAGAACGTCGGAACATGTTCGTCTCCCTTCTCCCAGAAAAGCTCAGTACAACCAAAGGCATTGATGAGCATTCCTGGCCTCTCGCGTGAGGTCGGATTATGTTACCTCTTTCACTGTGCTGAGTAAAGCCCAATCGGTCTGTGGCCCGATCGGAGCGGTCAGCAAGGGAAATACCTTAGCCAGAAGTGCAATGAGAGAAAATCCAAATGTGCCGATTCTTGGTGTGTCTAAATGCGAACGTGCGGCCCAAAACCCATACAAGACTGAACTCCACATCTAGGTCTACAAAGGCCGTGACCCGATCTTGCTCTCCAACCTCATTCTCTCCCCACAGCATTCGATCTTGACCCAGTCTTACGATTCCCGCCTCCGTCTCGACACGCGGCGGCCGCACAACGGAGACGGCTTTGGCATTGGCTACTACACACCACCCTCTTTAGGCTCAGATCCGTGCATCTTCACCTCCACAATTCCAGCATGGAATTGCGTCAATCTATCTCGACTTGCCTCGAAGACTCAATCGTCTTTAATATTTGCACATGTGAGAGCCACAACGGAAGGAACCCTGTCAGACGCCAACTGCCATCCCTTTTGTTATGGTAACCTCATGTTCATGCATAATGGTGGTATCGCGAACTGGACGCACGTTAAGCGAACCCTAGCCTTTGAGATTGGTGAGACTTGGTTCAACGCAGTTCACGGCAGCACTGACAGTGAATGGGCATTCGCTCTGTTCCTTGATTGCCTGGAAAGGGATGGCTACCATCCAGACACTGAGGAATTTAGCAGGAGTGGCTTCGGCCATATGACGTTGAGAAATGCCTTATTGCGTACCATAAAGCGGATCAACTGCTTTGTCACCCAGAGCCAGATACCTCACAGCGAGGAGGAAGGCGTTGACGGCAGAAGCCTGCTCAATTTCGCCGTCACGGATGGACATACTGTTGTATGTACGAAGTACGTGAGCAGCAAGACAGACGAGGCAGCAAGCCTGTACTTTTCGAGTGGCACGAACTGGAAATTCACTGGCGACAAGGGGCAGTTCAAGATGGAAAGAAGGGACAAGGGTGCCGACATTGTCTTAGTAGCGAGTGAGCCATTGACATTTGAGCGAGGTATGTGACGGAAACTCCTCTTCTAACCCACACAACTCAAAGCATACTGTAGATAATTGGGTGACCGTCCCCACCAACTCGACGATCACTATTCACAAACAGACCGTCATGATACATCCCATCAAGGATGAATTTTACAATGAGAGCCCTTCGCATCAACGATCAAGCGGATATGCTGTCAGTAAAGGGCTGGCGAGCAGCGGACCGGGCACTTTGCAATCGAGCTCGCCGCCAGAGCAAAAGATCTAAAAGCTTTAAAGGGCAACTTGAGGGTATGGTAGATAGTAGCAAGGATTGTCAGACTAATCAAAGCCGCCCGTGACTCGCTTAGAAGGGTTCGATAATGAAAACAATAGGAATCAGATCTCTTGGATAGACTCAAGCCTCCAGGGCCTAGATCACGTACGGTCACCAGCAGAAAGCTAGAGTGCTAGAAACGATCGATGTCCATCTGCACACTAACTTCCCACCTGCTGCCTCCTCCACCATATCCGCCTCCTAATCTACCCCTGACCAAACCTTGCACTCTTTCCCTTAGTCTGCTCAGGACCTCCTCGCTTCCTCTCACTCTCAATTTCAAGCCCGCCATACACAAGCCATAGTGGACCTGCCAAAACTTGATATCATCAATGCCGGTCACAGACGGATCGCTCTCTATATCCCTCAATATATCATCCACTGCTTGCGAATTATCATAACTCATCAACAGCATGAAGCCAAGTGTCTTCACAAGTCGGAAACCTAGAGTACACATGCTGATAGCTATTGTAAGCGAGATCAGCCGATCGATCCACAGATAGGTCTGAATGCTCAATAGTGGCAGGAGCAGCATAATCAGCGAGCACGATATTGTCAAAAAATGACTTGGATTCCCGAGCACGGAAGGAAGGGACTCGATGTATGCAAAACGCATAGCCTTCCCAATTCTAGCATGATTCTTCAAGCCCAGCGCGCTTATCAGCGTCGCGCCGACTGCCAGCAGAGCTGCTGAATCGACCTCGCCGGCAGAAATCCGATCGTGGTCGTGAGCATGGTGGGCCTCGTGCTCTCCCAACCCTTCTAGAATATGTTGAAGGTTGTGTGAGATCAGATCCAGGCCCATAAAAGCCAGAAGGACCGACATGGCGAACCCCGCCAGCACCTCCGCCCGCTCAAGACCAAAAGGATGGCGAATGCTCGACCGTTTCCAAACTTCGAAGTTGCCGAGAATATCCACGGCAACGCACAGCATTGCTCCTAGCGAGTCGAAGAGAATCAGGTGGCTTAAAGCAGTCAGAGCTAGAGACCCTTCGGCGCTCCAGAGGGTGTATGCAGCAACTGCCATATGGCAGATTGACCAATATACGCGATTTGTCTGCTGTCGAGACATACCGCGACGGCACTCTTGGAAAGTGGGGACAGGAAGGGAGTTCGGGAGGGATAGAGGGGGCCGAGCTGGTGGCTCGAGGAAGATTTGGTGGGAGACGCTGCTGTGTTTGTATTTATGGCCCCGGCGCTGCCCAATGTTCTGAGTATTCCATATCAGCCTGCTGTTCCTCGATCAAGCTTGGAGCGGGGGTGCAAACGGATTTCGCGTTGACGGGCGCCTTTGCCATGGAGGCCGGCTGGAAATTGAATACACCATTGGCGTCTTCGACCATCAGACTTGGCTTGCGGCCGTCATTGAGCCTCGAGCTCCCATTGCTGTCCAGGGAAATTGGCGTGTGCATTGCATTCGGGTCGCTCTCGGCGAGTGAAACGGTAGTGGTTAAAAAGGTGGGCATAGGGCCGTTGCGGGACGTCGAAAAGTTCTCCTCCAACGGCGACAGGGCTGAGGAGTCATATACCGACTTGGTGGGAGAGTTGGAGAAGCCGCCGAGTGGATCGTCAGGGGGTGGGGTGGGTGTCCGCGGAGGCAGAGGGATCGGACGGTCCGCCATTGTTCCTTTGTTCACTACCGTCGTTCAAGCATGAATAGTATTGGTGGAGAAAGCAGGCGGCATTGTTGTGAAAAACAAGCTTGAAGCGATATGGAGTGCGGACAGTATATTCGAGCTTGTTCCAGTGCCGTTTCCCTTGGCAAACATGTAACGTGGACACGAAATCATGAACAAAGGGCGACTTTCAGATGTAGATGGCTGAAGTTCTAATAAGTCAAATGTTACGGAGGTTGATTAGTAAAGGCTCGATCATCGCGCGGATTTGGTTCCTGACGCTCTCCCAACCTTGAAATTTCAGGGTCAAAAGATTCCTAATTAGGTCAAATTGATATATGTATCATTTTCCAATTACATTTCCTTCGCTGGCTCTCTTGACAACTTCCCTTTGTCCAATTTCGTAGGCACCACCTTTGCTTTACATTCCATTCAAATTTCAGGAAACTATCCATCCTCGAGCGTGTCACGATATTTTACTCAATTACCATATTGGTCAAGTGCTACTGGTCTCACATCGTACTAGATGAAGAACAAACTCTCTGGATTGCCACATTGTTACTTCGCTCTGAGATTATCACCTTCACGCCGCGTATCTAGGGAATCTTTCCATTCCGTTGCTTCCATCAGCCTTTTCACCTATGGAAAATCAAGACTATGCCAAGTACAACAGCACCGCAGAGCAGCCACACAGGGTCGTCTTCAATGCACGCTGTGAAACATGGACCAGCAGGCTTCTGTGACTGCTACTAGTCCGAATGACTGCCTCGCCACACCTTATCCCAGTTCCCAAAAGTGAGAACAAGCGGATCCTCTTTGGCAGGTCAGACAAAGCAGCAGCTTCCCGCGGACTGATAGATGAAGATCTAGCCGTGGCACCAAAATCATATTACCTTCGTAAACACCAAGCAACGAATTGAAAGCTTGCCAAAGGAACTACATAGACTCAAGCTGCATAAGCGCATATAGATACAGACTGTACATAGATCATTCTCCCGAGATTAAGTGTCGAAAACCAGTGACAGTCACAACATCAGCAGCCTCAAAGAAGTGGTTGCCGAGGCTCAAAGTGGCAGTTTGAACCGATGTTGGCGCAACAGACTCGTTTTTCGCCTTCGCGTGGAATAAAGAATCCATTGCTGCAGCTCCTTGATGTAGCAATGTCGCTCAGCTTTGCCTTCATACGGATTGCAAGTCGCAGTCACTTGAAAAGATGACGAAAGTAGAATGCTCGGATTTATGAACTATGTTCAAACCGCTTTTTACGACCTGACCGGATGGGCTAGAGACAATTGTTACAGCACTTTAACAGCCACATCACAGAGTAGACATATTCCGATTATTTCAGTGCTTTGGTACTAATACGGGATAGACATACTCGACTTTGAGACCCCACATGCCCTTCGCATACACATCTCGTCCCTGTCTTCTCCAAATTTCGCGAGTTCTTATTCCCTGGGTAGTATTGGTTTGCTCGATGGGTCAATATCCTATTTATACAGCAGCCGAGCGCTGAGCAGCCTTGCATCCAAGAGCAATCAGATTGGTTTGAGGTCTCTCATACATGGATACCGCCAGTCCCTAGAACTGAAGCAACCAGATCAAGCGTCATCATGGGAAGTATGGTATCAGGGAAAGAGAATCGACCGCAAGGATACCCTCCTGTATGGTCGATTATATCTACCAAGGTCAACTCTTGAAGCTTTATACATGCGTCGACTTAGTCCAAAAACGCAGTTGAAAGTCTCTTGTGTAAGCGACTCGCGGCTTCCGAATGGTGGTACTATTCTGGCCCATCTTCAGCACGATGCCGCAAAACATTCTACTGAGTACCTCTACAGTACAGACAGTGCTCTTCTCGGTATCAAGACTCTCTACAATTTTGGATATGAGCGTGAAATAAATTCCATGCGCCCCAATGAAGGTCTTGACTTTACGCACGCTACTGGAGGCTCTACGCCTACAGCTACTACAGGAGATAGGCTTTTGAAAGCTAACGGGCGCCTCTCAGCGGGAGCTGAAATCTATTACGGCTTGTTAAACAAATCAGGAGGGCTTTCCGCCGGCCTGCGCTTCATAACACTGCCTTCACACCCCGGCTTTCCATATACCATGACTTGCACGTTGAACCCTCTTATGGGCAATCTTAGTAGCAGCTACTCGGTCCTCGCAAACCGACGCCTTAGTTTTGGCACTCGTTTCGACTTTAATGTCTATTCCTACGAGAGTGACATTCAAATCGGGGTACAGCAATGGCTTCGAAAGAAGACCGAAGCTTCAGGCAATTTGTCATGGGCACGCGAGAAGATGGACCTTGCTGATCAGAGCAACCTAGAAGATGAGGCTCTATCCGGCTGTGTGAAGGCACGAATGGATCAGCGAGGCTCGGTGGCTTTGCTTTGGGAGGGTAGATTCAAAGACCTCCTGTATAGTTGTGGCACGACTCTCGATCTCCGCAACCGGAACAATATGATTAAATCTTTCGGTATTGAATTGCAATATTCATCGTAATGGAATATAAAGGAATCCCTTCATCCTACGGCTGGCTATGGGCAATCCACAAATACAAAGACCAGAAGGAGATTCTATAGCTCGACCCATTTCGGCAAAGAGACGTTGAAGTTCTGAGGGCCGTTCTCTACGTCTGCCGGAGTTGCGTCAAAGAGGCAAGAAGCCCGCATATTTTACATTGCAGATCCATATATCTGCTGTGCCTGTGCTCTTCAGACGGAGAAAAGATGGCTTTAGTGAAAAGTCCAAGAAAATGAAGTATCTTAGACAGGACCTTAGAGATCGGAATATCTTAGTGGCTGCCTCTGTCATATATTCGGTCGAACTTCAGCATTGTGAAGTTATTTGCATCTATATGGTGTAGCTCATGTGGGCTTCGTTTTGTGGCAGCCACCTCCATAGTTTCACCTATGCCTCTTCGTCCCGAATCGCTCCTGTCAATGATCCTTCGCAGACATCTCAACCTCGTAATACCTCTCGCGCATGTCCCGCGGTGCGTTGAATACATTGCTGCCTGGTTCCAGCTATCCGATCAGGGCAGCCAACAAATGAGTGATTACCGATTTGTTGATGGCATAGAATTTCAATGTTCAGGTATAGCATTAAATTGCCCCACCTGCTTCAATATACTTACGATGAAGTCCCCGTTCTAGATGACATCTCAGCTGCTTCGCCGTCACGTGGACTGCTCTTGCGGCTCCTATCTGACGCTTCAAGGTCCTTGATTCACTTTCGCGGGCTAGCATGTTGAACACAGCTCTTGTTGCAGTCAGCTAGGAGCAAATCCCACTCCCTGTCTTGCAGCCTGTGACGCAATAAACATCTCTCCGCCTCCCCTTTTGATCACCCGTCTCCATTCATCCAACAGAACCACAATCTCCTCTCTTATATCATCAATGATAGCATCCATCCTGATGTCATTTCTATCAAATCCAAACGGATCTTCCAATTGAGCTCCAATCCCATCAATGCCGTAAAGCGTGAACGTGACTAAAGTCACGATGGGCACGGTCCACCAACCCATTTCATCCACAAGAGCAAACGGCAGAACGCAGCCAAATAGCGCAAGCACCTGTCTCTGGTGGATGAGTAGCGCAACCGGAATGCTAGTGAGACGAATAGTCTCCATACGGCCATATGCATCGGTTATAGTGTTGACTTGCGCCTGCATCTGGGAAGCTTGTGGGCCGTGGAAAGCGCCCTGGTCGAACTGGCGCTTGATGTACTGCTCCACGAAGAACGTCAGTTGCAACGCTAGACCAACTCCGCGGTCATCCAGGCCACGAAAGCCCTGCGGGAGCAGATCACTGTACTCTGGGATAGTCGTTGGGGATCCCGTTCCTGGCCTAATGGCTTTGCCTGGGATGATCTCAGCTCCCCATGATGCGCGCAAGTGATTCTTTGTAGCATAGAGAATGGCGACTAGGATACGGATCGTGCGTTCCAGGTCGTCTCTTTCTGCCATAGCAGAAACGTGTTCAGGGTCTGCTTGTTTTTGAATGGCGTTGCATGCAAGGAAAGAGCGAGACAGGTTTCGCACAGCGGTGATGATCACGGTAAGATAGTTTCTGCCATCCCAGAAACGATTGTACGATGTCTGGTTGCGAAAGACCTGTCATGTGGCATCAGTGATCAATTATCGACAGTATTGTTCCGGCATGGCGCTTACAAGCATAAGGCCAGCAACGATAGACAAGCTAGGGATCTGCACGGTATTTCTTAGCTAGAAAAGTTTGAGTTGAAGGCACGTTGATCCGTACGATGGTATTTGGGAGGCCAAGATTGCGGTCAAGAATCTGGTCAATATAGACGACGATTGCGCTGAAAAGGGTATGCGAAACGACTGGTAGGAGGATCGATTGGTGGATCGAACCCTTGGTGAATCGTAGGGCGAGCGGCCATCTACAGACAAGATCAGTCCCTCCTCAAATAGCGCCAATATGCAAGAGTCGAACCTTCTCGGCTTTTTTCGAGAGGACCGCGCAAATGGGATTGTTGGCTGGCGGTGGTGGTATCGAGGGCTTTCCTCACTTTCGCTATAGGACGGCGCCATGTTGTTCTTCCTATGGACACGGCGATCATCTTGTTGTGCTCTTGAAGGCGCACAGCCAAAATTGCCCAAAATGCTGCGAACCACCGTAGATCGCCAGATGTCGTGGAGGTAAGAAGTCATTCCAACGGGCGCGTTGAGGCCCGGGGAACTAGGGCAGCCCCTCGGCCCGATGAAACCTAGATACTGCTCGGGTATAATTACCTAGAAGAGGTCCCGAGCCTGGGAGCCAATCTAAGAAATGCGCACTCGTGATTTGGAGTACGTGCCGGTCCCGTCCAGCGCATTTTAAGTTATATATATATGTGTATACGCAAGGTTAATTTTGGCCCATTGGATGGTCTTCTACGAGGTTTACCTTACCTTAGGTCTAATTACAGTCCGTTGGCGATTCAGCCTTCACTCGTGGGGGCGCTCAGGGGGAAAAAGGCACAGACTGTGAGGAACAGGATGGCTATTCGATCACTTCTTTCAAGTATCTGTGCAAGTTTTGCTAGCATAGCTTAAAAGCGTCACTCTATTGGGAATGCCTTTCACTCCAGGATCGGTACCAATCAAGGCAAGTTGAGTTTGCTACTGATGCAGATATCCTCACATTCGTTCCACACAGAATTTGTTTGACTGCAATTTCAACCCTACCGGGCATCAGCTGGTGTCTACAAAAGTTGGGGGAAATCCTGACTTCTTGCCGTTGATAGTGATAGGAATTTCCGGGGTTTCATCAATCATGTGAGGCACATGTCTGGCGCTGAGGTGTCTTCTGATTGCATTCTTGACATTGTCTCGCATAGGATCTGTCAAGCTCTGACCCTGGGCCATCTTCACAAACAAAACAACCGTCTCATCCAAATCACTTTGACGTCGTCTGCCAATACAGAGTGAGTCCTCAACTTCCGGGAAATGCTGCGAAAGAACATTATAGATCTCCGAGCTTCCGAATCTGACTCCTGCAGGTTTAAGCACGCCGTCACTTCGCCCCAACATGATCATACCTCCAGTCGCGGGATTAATCCGGACAAAATCACCGTGATGCCATACACCGGGGAATTGTTCGAAGTAACTTCTCTCGTATAATGTTTCACCCTGCTCTCCCCAGAACTTAATTGGTTGGCAAGGGAACGGCTTCACGCAGACTAGGTCACCTGCTTCACCCGTGCCTGTGACAGTCTTACCTTCATAGTCCCAAGCTTCGACCGCCATGCCTAAGCCTCGAACTTGGATCTCACCAGCATAGACCGGTGAGATCTGTGAAGGGGCACCGAAGAGTGAAATTATGTCAGTGCCACCAGTAATACTGCCCAAATTGACGTCCGAGCCAAAGCATCGGTATACATATTCGAACGTTGACGGCGCTAACGGTGAGCCTGTGCTGTAAACAGCCCGCAATGTAGATAAGTTGGCCTCCTGACTTGCATACACATTTTTCTGCTCTAGTATGGAGAGGTATTTTGCGCTGGTGCCGAAATGAGTGATACCCAGTTGTCGAATCAGGCTAGGCATAGCCATTTCGCCGTTCCCATCTTCATCTAGTGGCCGGAAGGGCGAGCCGTCGTAGAGCACGATGGTGGCACCAGTAGCAAGGCCAGAGACGAGCCAATGCCACATCATCCAGGTACATGTTGTGAAATAGAACAACTTATCCCCAGGCCGGATCGAACATTGAATGTCGTGCTCTTTCTTGTGCTGAATGAGCGTACCAACAGCACCATGAACGATGCATTTGGGCTTCCCAGTCGTACCTGAAGAATAGAGAATATAGACCGGGTGATCGGGTTCCAATTGAGTAAACTCCAAGCGTGAATCATTCGGGACGCTTTGTACGAATTGAGAATGCCAACAAGCCTTGCCGCTTTGGAATGTAAGGCTTGCAATATCAAGATTTGTATTCGGCACAGTCTCAAAAACCACGCAAGTCTTGAGCTGCGGCAGCGCTTCGACTATACTCTGAATCTTATCATGTGTCTGATGCACTCTACCATTGTACATGACACCATTGTCGGCAACCAGAAACACCGGTGCTATTTGCTGTATTCTGTCGAGTACAGCTTGAACACCAGTATCAGGGGAGACTGCAGTCCATACCGCACCGATGGACGTAGCTGCTAACATAGCGACAAGTGCATTGCAGTGGTTCGCTACAAAGCCAGCAACGCGGTCACCCTGCTCGAGACCAACAGCACGCATGGCATGTGAGCACTGCCTTACTCGTTCGCGAAGCTCACGCCATGTCACAAAGAACCTTTCCGTTTCGTTTGCCTCTATGACAGCGAATGAGTCTTCGGGGGGATCTGCAGTCGGGAACAGTAGATTCTCTGCAAAGTTCAGCTTTGCGCCAACAAAATAATGTGGGCGTGGCCACATTCGGTCTTGAAACTCAACAGCCTAGATTCATCAGCTTGCGAGGATGTCGGAATCATCCTCATTGGGATGACAATGAATAGTCACCTTCATGAAAGGCACCGAGGCGCGTACGCCAGTGAACTGCCACACATCTTCCCAGAAGATATTTATATCCGAGATACTCCATTGGCGAAGAGCCTCATAGTCAGCCAAACGGACTTCATGTTTTTTCTCAACAAATCTCAGAAATTCAGCGGTTCGAGTTTTGCTTGGACTTGCGGGTGTCCAGAGTAATTTGGCCGTATGGGACGTTGCCATATTTCGGCAAGACGAAAACTCAGAGCTTTAAAATACAAAGGTTGGGTTCGCCTGCATGGATTGTCTGTGAAGACAGCGATCAAGCACTACTGCCTATAGCTATTTTGACAAGCAGCTTCCTGGGGTATACTACGTTACCAAGGATCAGGCAGGAATGAATAGCCTCCAAGGTAGACAGACTCTGCGTCAATCATTCACCAATGAGACTGCCATCCCATTCAGCATTCATGCTGTAGCTGCAGGAAGTATGGAACTCATGAGTCACACGAGCGTGAGATGCTCTTTGTAAGCGTCGGCACATTTCGCAGTTACTTGCCAAGCTTTATTTATTAAGAGCAGTAATCTTGCGAAAGCTTGGCATCAACTTTTGCGCCCCCCACCAAAATCTCTAGCTAACATAATACTTCAAATGATAATTACTCTATGTATATTGGTCCTCAATATAAAATTAAAAGCTCATTTTGAAGTCCTTAATATAAGATTTTTAATAGTCTAAAAATTATTTCGATTGGAGCATTATATAAAAAGTTAGAAAAAGTATTAAATTTCTTATATATTAATCAAATTTCTAACTTTCTTTATTATAAGCTAGTTTTGAAAGTTTTTGATTTATCTGAAAGTTTAAAGCAATAGCAAAGTTCAAATGAGCTTAAAATTGATAAGTTTAGACGTATATTCGTTGAGTAATTTGGATTAAAAGATTGCTTATGTTTTGAAATCTAGTGGAGGGGGCGCAAAAGTTGTTGCCAAGCTTTCGCAAGATTACTGCTCTTAATAAATCTACCGACATACGCTAGGCCCATAGAATATTGTGGATAGTTTAGTCATATAACCCCTAATTATAGAATGTTAAAATACTTATTAACATTATTCTATATTGAATAGAATTCTATTCTTTAAACTATATTATCTAATTTATCTTTGTACTTTGTGTAATGGCAGATTATAGGAAGTCTAAGGCTCTTAATACCTAGCGGTGTAGTAGCAAAGTCCTCTGGCTCTCTTTCTAAGCCTAGGACATTCTAGCCAATTTGCCTCTTTCTCCTCGAACTTCCTGTGTTGAAGACAAGCAAACATCTTTGCCGGTCGCATTCATGGTTATCGAAGTCGGATCTTGGAGAAACCCGGCCGCACTTCGCACATCTTCGCAATGGACAATGATGGCCTTCGCATTCATGAAACGTGCGATTGCAATGAGAGCGTTGTTTCACCTCCATGCAGGTATGGTCCGCAATTTCTGACCATGGGAAACGTCCGCCGCATTTTCTGGACCTGGTCTTTGACTCAGACTTGAGGAAATTTTCTGGCAATGTCTGCAATGCTTTCTCGGTATACAGACGGCGTCAGCAGGATGGTTTCTTTTGCATATGTTGCAATATGGCTTTAAATAAGCGTGGCCATCATATTCCATAAGAAGAAAATATATCTTGCTAAGACAGCACTGCTTCTGGCACTGATGTTCCTTAGGCTTTGCTAAAAAGTATGGCCGAAGGCTTGCAGGACAAGGCCCCCATCGAGCAATACACTCATGTTGATAGTCGTGTGCAATGTTCTTCACGTACGTCAATAAGCACAAGGGACACTTTCTTGACGTACATGTCTGTTCGTGTTGACTGGGTATGGTGGCCGGAATAAGCTTTCGATAAGTCCTGCATTGACCGTTCCTCAATATCTTTGGTCGCGCTGGCTTGGGGTCGCATCTGTGTGGCGCATTCTTCAGGACAATCTTCCCACAAGGACCACACTTTTTGAATCGACGGTGGTGTTGAGTGCCCTTTGTGTATAGGGTTCGGCGTTTTTGACACTGTTTAGAAGTACACATCTTTTGATGTTTTTGTAACCTACTGATTGGTATTCGTTTCATACAAGTGTTGTACTTAGGGTTGCCCTTTGGCGCCATGTTCGAGTCTAGAAACCCTCCCTACGTGAACACTGGGTAATTTGCATGGTCTTGGTGCTTAGAGTACTTACCTGCGTCACAACGGACTCTTCAATAGCATATCCGCACGCACTAAGCTTGTCGTACCTGTCAACCAGGAGCGTTTGATATTGTGAGAGACGTAAAGGAGTCAATTCTCACAATGAAGAAAGCGCTTAAGATTATCCGCCAAAGTTGCGGAGAAGCTCATGTGTAATACTGCCACTGGTACCGATCAGATCATGTAGATGAGGAGACGCCCAGACTAGTTTTCCTGTAGAGGCTTAAATCCTCAGATCAGGTCAATCCTGTCAAAAGCGCTTGTAATAGAGCACCCCCAAGAGACCGAGTCCAGAGAGCAGCACGAGAGAAGTTTCCAGAGTACTCGACAGTTGAAGTAACCAAGTGTGAAGAGGGGAGCAAATCCTTATAGAGTACTTTCTGTCACAACGTCAGTTCAAGGGGGCTTTTACTGCTACATGTTAACATCTTCCGAGACAAAGCAATTGTACTTTGAACACCGTGTTGAAGAAATCACATTTTCTATGAAAAATCAATTTTCCCCTCGAGCCCGGTGGTATGGAGATGCAATCCGCTAGCAGCTTAACATGGTGCATTTCAGATAGTCGCTAAAGCCGAAGGGTAAAGAATCTCTTAAGCCGACGAACCTTTGTATGACCTAGCTCGTGTACCGGTATGTTGTCTTGCATGCTCAGATGTAGCATCATGAATTCTCAAAGGATTGTAGACTATTATTGACAGCTCCAAGCCAGCTGGGGAAACTCTGCTCTCATGAGATGAATACATCCAATTGCCTTGGTTATCGATTGATACTCAGATTTTCAGACCTTTTCCTATCTGTCCTTGTCCTCTACAAAGGCTGTAAATATTTAATGTCCAGAATGAAGACTCTTGAAACCCGATCTAGAACTCCGAGATATCTATCCTGAGCTGAATGACTCTGTCGAGATGTTGAAGCGTCCAACAGAAGGTATTGTAAACAGAATGGTGGAATGACTATGATGAACCATTCATCTGGCCAGACTGCAGATCAGCGAACTCCTGAAGGTAGCTGGCGAGTCTTTGGACATTGTCCACCGTGACAGCGTTATAATTACTAAACCTCACCTGAGTAATTTCGCCGTCAGTGGCCAGAAAGAGCAGAAGAAGTTTTACTTACTCCTCCCACCGAACGGTGCCCCTTCAGACCCTGTAATAACTTCCTCTCAGCACCTTGCAAAAACTCTTTCTCGCTATCTGCGTCTCCGTTGCCGACACGAAAGCAGATGTTCATTCGACTTCGTACACTCTTTTGTGGTACTACCTGGTATGTTTCCGGATGGGCGTCCAAGATATCGTATATTAGCTTGGCTTTGGAATCAGAGACCTTCTCCTGTCCAACAAGCTTTTGATCGCCATGCTCTTCAAGCAGACCGCGAACGACTTTACCAGCTATCCAAATATCGAAGACAGGCATAGTATTGTAGAGAGATAAAGATTTAGAGACATTCCGGTAATCGAAAACGGCAGGAGGTGATGAGACACCCACAGAATGGAGGAATGCTGTGTTGATCGGATCAAGGACGTCCTTACGGACGATCACAAGCGTGACGCCTGTAATGCCAACATCTATAGGGACTTCGGAGTTAGTCATTCTATTTCCTTGATTCCCTCATGAAAAAGGAAATATAATGCATGAGTATTCCCTAACAGGCAGGAAAATCGCTCGAAATCTACTTACTCTTTTGCGCACCACCCTAGCACAGTGAGCAGATTATTGTCACGGAACAGGGGGTATGTCTGGACTTACAAAGATCACAGCATACCTGTCGACGTTGAAAGGCCTACTGAGGAAGTTGGAGCTCATGTCAGCCACTACGCAATCATTATCTTGAAGGCGCTGCGGCATCGCAGGAAATTCTACTCCATCGACTGTCTCATTGTCACAATAGTACACAAGAGCGGCTCCATGCGGCGTCAGGCTCCAAGCTTCTTCCTTGGGGATGTCGCCAAATTTCCCGTTCTTTCGTGCATCCACAGCGACATTGACAGGCTTTCCCCCGAGTGGCGCGAGCAGATTGGCAGCTTCTTGGGATGCTAGTCAGAGAGTGAGTATTGCCTTTCTTCGTAGATTCCTCAAAGGGGAAAAGTTGCTCGCCATACCCTTTAGCGACCACGATCCAGTAACGAGATAGTCCAGTCTCAAATCTTCTCGCACTTCTCTCTTGACTCGCTCCAGAACCTTATCAGCATCTCCATCAAGATCGGCCATGGCTTGCCGCCTTCGTTTCTCTACCCAGAAAGCTACCATGTTGAAGACAACAGCACCTTGATGGTATTCATATAAGCGTTGCTTCATGTGATCACAAACTCGACCTCGAATGAAAGCTCACTCACTGAACTCCCCGCTCCCACCCCCGTGCAGGAAAAGAACTTCATAGTCATTAGGGATATCCAATAATTCAATGAGTGCATCTCTCGTATCTGATAGAATGCTCTCGGCAGTCTTCGAACGATGCGAGATCTCGGCAAGTGACAAACCACTGTTCTCGAAATTCAGGAAGGCCTGTGCGCCTTTCTCGAGAATCGAGGTGGGTAGCGGTGCAGGGCCTGTTGTGGACTCGGACTTAGCGTTCCTTAAATGGTAGCTACTCGCGGGATCTTCCTCTGTAGGTGCACACACCGGCTCCGAAGTATGCCACTTCCTCTCTAGAAGGCATATTGAAAGCTATCCGAGAGAAGGTGTTTTGAAAAGAATAGGGGATCGTGAGGGGTTATCGGTTGAGCTTTACAAACCAAACCTTTGCACTGATTTAGAGCACCAGTAATACAGATTTTGGGTGACAACTGTACAAGCTTTGGTTGTTCGTCTGCAAAATGTCGATGAAATCTGACAAAGCTATGTTCGTGAGTCACTTGGCCAAAATGGGCGGGCTGATATGCTCAACATGGAGCCCGAAAGGTTAAGGCCCCATTTGGCAACCCGGAAATCCAGCACCCGAGGGTTGGTGTGTTTGAACGTGGCCACGCTAAATTACAGGCGCGAATTAGGGGGAAAGCAGCCTTATGTGGCCCCCCTATAGGCATCTCTCCCAGGTACCCCTCCCTAAGATGCCCCCTAAAATTGAATTTGGCGTAGCCACGTTCAAACACACCAACCCTCGACCGCCAGTGATTTCTAGCCTATTGTAGAGCTAACTCTCCTTAATTAATATATAAAAGAATAGCATTTTCTAGTTCCACGTAATGCGACGTCAACATTATATAGTGTTTATGTACTTTATCTAATAGCCATATATTTAATATTAAGAGAATAACTAAACAATACTATCTAAATTATCTAAAAAAAGACGAAATTATCAAAACCGTATATATAAATCAAAGAGCTTTTCGTCTTTTTAGTAAGTCTGAGCTAATGATAAAGTTTGAATACTACGTATTAGTACTTAACTGATTTCTAGGTTGTGCAACTAAACGGGGCCTAAGAATTAACGGCGCTGAAGCGCCAAGAGAGGTGTCATTTCCTTTTTTTGCGGCTGGCGGAAACAATAATCAAAGTCCGCCGCTTCCGAAGATTCCTCTTCCTCTTGCCTCCTTACATAAGACATAAGGATTACAGTCACCCACCTTCTTTTGACATTGGTTTATTTCCTTTCAGCATTGGTGTGCGTCGCGGCCGTGGGTTTGAGAATCCTAACTTTTGTTTCCACCTTGACCATTGAATTACGGCAGTCGCGACCCAAAGCCTCTCCTTACGGATTTCGCTCGGAGCTCTATGGATAGCACAATGAACTCAAGACGACAGCATAGACGATACCTATAATTCTAATATATTATCAGCCTTTTGGACAGCAAGTCTAATCCCCTCTGACACTGATTGCGCATTCACGGGCCTCGGCTGCACTCCGGATCCTCGATTTGACTGAACGCACTCGACAAACAACGAAGCATCTCACTTACATGATCTTCAGCCGGCAAAGTCTTCTATCGTTTATCGGTAGTGAAAGTCAATTGCGGTCTTCACAACCTCACTAGTATCGGGCAATCAAGCCGCATTCGATCTTTACTGGTTTCATTGATAGCTATTGCGCATCCTCAGCTGTGGTAATACAAGTTTCAGTCACAATCGATTGATAGCAAAGGCTCGGGTGCCCCGATACGATTGCTTCGAGACACTTATCAGACTCGTCCTCCCACTCCTAGTCATGCCCCGAAGACAAATGAATCCTTTTGGCGGGGGCAGCGCTCCTACCATCATGGCAATGCCTATGGAGCCTCCTCCCCCATACACCGAGAAGCCATCAGATCTCAATGATATAGGGTCGAAGATGTCTACTCCTAAGATGAATAAACTTGCCAATTTCTTCGCTACGATTCCTCGAGCAAAATCCGAATCCCATACTGCGGCGACGGCATTGAAACTGGCAGCTGGTTCGCAACAGCAATTGAACTCCTCACCGCAGCATATTAGCTCCCCTTCTCTCTCTTTGCCGACCATTTCCCTCTCGACCTCTCATACAGACGCTGGCCCTACGACGCTTTGGTCTCCTCCGTCTCAAGCAGACATGCGCAAAAAGGCAAAAGAGCATGCTCAATTTGGCCCACTTGGTCACTCATCACACAGATACACCAGTCGCCATGTGGGGAAGGATTTTCCAGAACCTGTCATGGATGAGCCTCCTTACTACTATCTTCTGACGACTTACATCAGCTATCTGATCTTGATTGCGTTCGGGCATGTTCGGGACTACTTTGGAAAGCGTTTCAGGCCTCAGCATTATCGTCACTTGCAGGCAAGAGACGGATATGCACCTCTTAATAGTGATTTTGACAACTTTTACGTCCGGAGACTGAAGATGCGGATCAATGATTGCTTCGCAAGACCTGTGACGGGAGTACCAGGTAGATTTATCACACTGATCGATCGCCATTCTGACGATTTCAATCTAACGTTTCAGCATACCGGGAAAACAACCGAGACACTGAACATGAGCTCTTACAACTATCTAGGTTTTGCTCAATCCGAAGGCCCATGTGCGGACTTCGTAGAAGAACAGGTCAAAAAGTATGGGATTACCGTTACAAGCCCACGAAATGATGTTGGTACCACCGATCTGCATCTTGATGTTGAGAATCTCGTCGCAAGATTTGTAGGCAAGGAAGCTGCCATGGTCTTCTCCATGGGCTTCGGCACAAACGCAGTCGCCTTTCCAGCCCTGATAGGCAGCGGATGCCTTGTCATTTCTGACGAACTGAATCACGCCTCTATCAGATTTGGGACGCGTCTATCAGGGGCAATGATCAGTATGTTCAAACACAATGACATGAACGCACTAGAAAAGGTTCTCCGCGACTCTATTGCCCAAGGACAGCCAAGGACACACAGGCCATGGCGAAAGATTTTAGTAGTTGTCGAAGGCCTGTATTCTATGGAAGGTTCTATGTGCAACCTCCCCGGTCTCATTCGATTGAAGAAGAAATACAAATTCAACCTCTTTGTCGACGAGGCGCATTCAATTGGTGCTCTTGGGCCAAGGGGTCGAGGCGTTTGCGACTACTTCGATATTGACCCTTCCGAGGTTGATATTCTAATGGGCACGCTTACAAAGTCATTTGGCGCCAATGGTGGATACATTGCAGGGAGTAAAAGCACGATTGCGAAGTTGCGACTCACAAATGCTGGATCAATATATGGAGAATCCCCTGCTCCGCCGGTGCTTGCTCAGATCTCATCAGCTCTGCGCATCATCGCTGGCGATATCGTGCCTGGGCAAGGCGAGGAAAGGTTGCAAAGGTTGGCTTTTAACTCCCGGTATCTGCGTTTGGGCTTGAAACGCATCGGATTCATTGTTTACGGCCACGATGATTCTCCAATCATCCCCATACTACTCTATAACCCTGCCAAGATGCCAGCTTTCTCCCACGAGATGCTGAGCCGAAAGATATCGGTCGTCGTTGTGGGGTATCCTGCGACACCTCTAGTATCTTCGAGGGCCCGCTTCTGCGTGTCTGCCGCACACACAAAGGACGACCTCGACAGGCTCCTGAACGCATGCAACGAGATTGGCGACCTCCTCCAACTCAAATTTTCTTCAGGCATTGCAGGAGGCGCGAGACCACTACCTGAGGGTGTCACGCTCGAGATGGAACAAGAATGGAAACGAACTGCGAAACCGAAGGAAATTGCGGAATATCAACGTCCACGTTGGAGGTTGAACGAAGTGGTGAAGAAAGGTGTACAAGACGTCAAACTCCCCCTTCGCTGAATCAGTCCATTCTCATCACCATCACCAGCACACCTTGGATTAAGCCCCATAAATGGCTTCCTCTGTTAACTTGTCCCATTCTTTCAAGCGATCGCGTTCGAGCAGAGCTCTCAGGCTGCTGGAGAAGTCTTCCTCCTCATTGGAATAAGGATTTCCTCACATGTGCAAAGAAGACAACTTGAAGCTAACGGCATCAGTCATCAACCCTTTTCGAACTGTATATAGATATTCTGATAATCGATAAGACTTAGAGCGCATAAAAATTGTAGAGCTGGGCCTAGGTAGCAAGTAATGGCTGAGCGAACAATAACGAATGTCTAATATGCCTTGAAATTCCACAGCGCCCCATTCGTACAATTGCATATAATTCGTCAAACCCATTCCTTACTGACAAGGCATGTAATTAAGGCTCCGCCTCGTCGAGCTGCTCAGGGCTCAGGTGCAACGGCAATGGAAGGCCCTATGATTTACACATTCCTTGGCATGCTGGTTTTCTCTCTAGCTCTAAGCAGCCAATATAATCTTCAGATTTCCTCACATGGTCAAGAAAGCTTTTCCGCAGTCGGCCTCAGTGACCCTTGAGGGTCTTCTGGCTTAACACACGTTGATGTCTCCTAGTCATTGTTGCCGTGCTTTCCTCAGTAATGACCGCTATCAGAGCTTCAACGTTTTTCAGAAGTCTGATCATTTTCTTCACAGTATTAATCGTCTGTGGCTCGTTCTTCGGGTCTCGACTTGGCTTGTTTGCCTCTCTTCGTCAGTCTGTGCGTTTTCGGCAAGGGGCACCTGCCCTTTCCACCTCAGATGAGAATCTCATAGGCCGAGGCTGGCCTCAGATCATCTGGCAGACCAGTAAACGCCCTGATTATGATCTCTATAAAGAGGAGAGAGAGGTATACAACACCTGGCGCTGGAAAAATCCGGACTACCAGCAGGAGCTCATGACGGATGAGAAGATGGAAGAGTACGTCAGAAAGCAGTACCCTGCAACCGACGTTGAGAAAGTGTACTTTGAGATGCAGGACTATATCATGCGCTCTGACTTGATCCGATACCTCATTCTGTTGAAAGATGGAGGTCTCTACAGTGACCTTGATGTTGGATGTGAGAAGCCCATAAACCAATGGTTACCCCTCGATATTGAAGAACAAGCTGGTGTCGTCCTTGGGGTAGAGGTTGACAACAAATTTGGTCCTGATGGCAGGACGTTTGATGGTGGTGAAGATCTTTTTGAATTGGTCAACTGGACTATAATGACAAGACCTGGACAGCCCTTCATGAGGTTTCTCGTAAAGAGAGTGATAAATAACGTGCGCAGGATGACGAAAGCTCAAGAAAATGTAGTTGGAGATTTGGAGCATAGCGTCCAGCAGGTGCTTGACACCACCGGGCCCGGCGCGCTCACGGCTGCATTCTTCGATTATGCCTCAGATATCACTCGGAGCAAAGTCACATATCAGAATTTTACGAAGATGACGGAGCCAAGACTAGTCGGAGAAGTCGTGATACTGCCAATCTATTCTTTTGGCGCCGGACACCAGGTTCAGTGGGGGGATTCAAACCAGCGCCAGAGAAGGTTCTGGTCCATCACTACTTCAATGGTAGTTGGAAGGGGGATCATGCTTGGGTGCCTCCATCGACATCAAAGAATGACGAATTTGATAATGATTGACGAGCAATCCTGTAAAAGAGATGCCACATGAAAGCATAAGCTTTGAAAGAATATGGATGTTCCAAACATAAGCAAGATTGTTGAGCAGCAGCTAAGGCACAATAGTATTCACTGTGTGGGCCCCAAAGATTTGGCTATGCCATAGCAGAGCTTCCATCCATGCATGAAACCTGGTGAGGAGTCGTCATCTGCAAAAGGAAAAGGCGACCCCGTGGAAGTTGTATCAGGGACATCACCGACAGTATGAATATAATGGGACCCCGGTTAAGTAGGCCCGCCATCTTTGGCGTACTTTCAAAGGCTTCAGTGAGTAGCGTCTGTATATGGCCCACCGGAGGGGCTCTTGCAACGACCCTTGCTCAACTACTACAAGTGCACAGCATCTGAAATTCGTGCATCATTGTGATCTGAAATGCTTGGGTCTCCCTAGACTGAGCAAATACTCTTGTTGGGCTTTGGAGGAGGCGTCATCACACTGCTCTACTAGCCTTCGCCCAGAGATTTCCTTCTCGCTCGCTTATTGCCAACGGCATATGAGAGTGACGAGATGTAAAAAGACTGCTGGCTGGAATTACCACAGGATGACGGTGCGGAGTGAATGCAGGGCACTGGATGGCAGAGGAGACTGATACTCATTAGATAAATGAGAAGAAAGTCCATACAACGCAGAAGGTCTTATCAGTCATCTTGCTGCTGTAGGACCCCCCAATATAGACTTGGCTTGCATGCCCAAGTCAGAGTTTCTCTCATTTAGTTTCAAGAATCACAAGGAACTTGCTCATTCACGCGTATGCTCGTCTGTCAGAAGCACAGGGCCAAACTAGATCACAAGCAGAGTAAGGCTGTACACACTGCCTCAGGCCAAATGTAAAAACGACTCCTGCTGGTCCGACGTCCTAGCGCTTCACTCATCGGACTCTTCCTACCACTCACAGCTTGCACTCACTCCCACTCCTCGATTGCGCTGTTTCTCCCATGCTCAGTGCCGCTTTTCAAGTGGTATTGTCCTGTTGAGTCAATCGGACATTCCTCTGACATCCCAAGCGCGTCTTACTCTCCCCTCGGCCCCTTAGATCCGGCTCCCAAAGTGGCAGCGATTGCTATGATCCCCTTCCGCTAATATCGTGGACATTCGTGCTCAATAGGGGCTCAGTGAGACTGGGACTCTGAGGTAGCTCATGGGGGCGCCTCAACCTGATCGAGGACTTCCTCAATTACTCTCTCCGGCGTATAATCCTCCAACAGCTGCATAACCGCAGCCAAGTGGCTACCGTACTGCATACTCGGCTCTGCAGCAGGCTTCGTGATCCGGATCCGATGAGGGTACACTTTCCTTGCAGCCAGACCAATGAACGAGGGAACTACGAACGCAAGATTGTGAAGGGGAGCAAGACACCTGCAGCAATCAGTGAAAGGACAGTCAACATGCTATGAAGCGCGACTTGCCTGGCAAGAAGATCAAGATGTACTGTGGCAATTGGTGAGACGCCCCCGCCAACCGCTCTGTGTGTACGCAGGAAAACGACGACATTATGAAGATAACTCTTTACCTCCATGCTCATTTCTATGCTGCCCATATGGTCTCTGGCAGCTTTAATATCCTAAAATGTAGCTGTTAATCATGGTAAATTAGGCCTCTACCGCAAAGGGCTACTCACAGCTTCGGTCAACAATGGTTTTTCGGTGAGGCTATCAGTATTTGGCAAGGCATCTTGGTTTTCGTGGTGATGTGATATGAATATATGATCAATCTACGCACAGTGAGCAATACGTAAAAATTAGATAGCGTAGGTACGGCGAACAAGATGGCCTAGTAACGGCGCTTCGGATGTGAGTTGGATTATCGTGAGCAGAAAGATGTTCGGGGCTGTATGGATAGCTGTGTGAGTGAAGATGCGTTTGGTCCGCATGAGCTTGGCCGGTCAGAATCAGCGTTCAAAAGGTGTAAAAGCACTCCTGACGGACCTCGAGAGCTTGGACTTGCACTTTGTCATTAGCACGCGAGAGTCCCGAGAGGATAACAATATTAGGAATCCTGTATGCACTCTTCATCTAGAATCAGCATTGGCGGAAGACGACTAGCTCACATTCTCTGATGTCAATTGACTGGCCCTGCGAAAGATATCACGTAGAATTATAAAAGGGAGTGCTTCTGTTCGATTGGAATGATCACATTCTTCCCGAGTTACGATTCTTGATTGGAATTTATATTCTTGAAAGACTGAAAAGGGAAGGAGAGAGCGATTTTAATTACGGCAGGCAATGAGTTATAAAATTGGGATCTTGCCCTTAAGAAAGCAGGTCGTATGCATAAAGTGTTGGTGAAGAAAGCTTCGTTACCTGTTCGGGAGCCGAGCGCTCTGTCCCGTAGGGACTGCCGTCTGGTCGATCTTGATCCTGCTTCAACAAGAGAGCTGAAGCAAAGCTTTCAACAACCGTAGACTCGTCACATCGGACGACCGTACACGACAAACCAAATGTATGACGTGCAGTCTATGTAAATACTCAGCGGTCCGTTTAAAGATACTCTGCAGATCACGCTACCAGACTGAGCTTATTCGTCAGCTGATCAAGGCTATGAGAATCAGTTCCTATAAGACAGTGCTGTTGAGCAATAGAGCTTAGAAGTAAGGCGATATCGATGTCGGTCAGCCTCTGCACCTTCTCGGCCAAATTCGCAGTCATTATCTGACTAGAAGCCCTTCCGGATTTCTTTGAGACTACCTCAGCACAAGAACTTCTCACACGCTTTACCACCTGAGGATTTGCGTCATGGCCTGAAGCATCTCGTCAGACTAGCTCGGAATTGAAATATGAGGTCACGCTAGTCTCATATAGATTTAGTAAATTTCTCGAAGTGTTGCGGAAAGTCGGCGCGGGAAAACCTTTCCCCTCCCAGTTCTAGCGTCGTTTCCTGAAATGCTTGAAAACTAGGGCAAATAGGATTTCAATATTATCAATGGACATATTTGAATTAAACATTTGTTCTCCGATTTCAGATAGCAAATTGAAGCAGTCTTTGTTGAGATGTTATCAAGAACAGTACTCTAGTTCAATTGACATTCAGGTTGGGAGGGAGCTCGCGGCGCTAAAAGTCTCTTGTAGGGCTCCTCGGGCTCACTGATTTTCACTGATTTCTAGGTGGGCTTTATAAATACCTTACCAAGATTACATGGGCCAAACGGTGTTCTGCATAGATTATCTCGACCTATTCTCTGCACATCCAGAAGCCAAGTAACTTTTCCTAGCCGTGCTAGGATTGGCTGATATGGCAGGCCCTACAGCCGGCTGGGAAAAGGCTGGTGACAGTTTCTACCGTAAAATTAAGTTGTATGAAGCAATCTTCGACCCAGATCTAGAGCTTGAGAACCATCTTATTGCTGGAGCTCCGTATGCTGGAGCTATAGGTAGACGTTGCAGAAGGTTCTCTGAACGATCTTACAATACTGATAGCTAGTAGCGCTTCATCGTGACCAAGGGAAACTTCAGACTTATCGATCGAAACAGTCTACCAAACCTTGCATCGATATTTACAGCTCTGCGGGAAAGCTCATCAGGCGAATAAATGTGAAGATCGTCATTCATAATTTTCCCAGTGAAGCTGCAACGTAGGGATTGCTAATGAGCCCAGTGGGATAGGGGCCCAATACGAGGGCTAGGGTGGTCGGAGAATGAAAATCTGATCGCAGTTTCAGAGGACGGCATTGTGAGATGTTACTATGACCTCCAATCTGACTTCACCCAATTCTCCCTTGGCAATGTAAGTTCACCGGAATCATGCTGGAAGGCGCGACTCGCTCACAACACAAGGACTAGGGTGCTGTAGAGCACGGTGTCAAAGCATGTCGTTTTTGGTCTGAGGGGTTTGTTGCCATGCTATCCAATCAACACTTGATTGCAGTTACGCATTACCTTGAGCCTAGGCCGAGACGTCTTGCCGTACCCCCAACGGACACCATACATTCATGGACCATTATTCCGCCCGCAGAAACCCTGTCTAGGTCGGTCGAAGTCCTTCTTGCCGTAGGTAGTACCATCTATGCTGTTGATTCGGAAGAAGCTGAAGACCGAGCTCTACCTAATGGCCCGTTTAAGCATATTGCTGTATCACCCAACGGACTTTACACGACACTATATACGGAAGATGGCAAAGTATGGATCATCACGAGCGATTTCCAAACCAAACTTGGCGAGTACGATTCGAAGATTAAAACCGTACCAAATGACTTACAATGGTGTGGCAACGATTCTGTGTTACTTGCATGGGAAGATGAAGTGCATCTGATAGGCCCGGATGGCTCCAGTTTGAAGTAAACCTCGAGCTTGCTGTTTCCTCCTACACCGTCTAACAAGCATACCTAGATACTATTACGATGACTGGGTCCACATGCTTCCTGATGTTGATGGCATACGTCTCATCACAAATGAAATCTGCGAGTTTCTGCAGAAAGTCCCAGGTAAGAAAAAATGCGTCATTAACTCCTTTTCATGTTTAGCAAATTGATAAAAGGTCAGATACATCCGAGGAGGTTCTCAACATTGGCTCGACATCCGCAGCTTCGGTGCTACTGGATGCTGCGCAACAACTGGAGAAAGAATCACCCAACGCGGATGAGAACATCCAGCTGATACGGCCCAATCTACCTGACGCAGTTGCCACTTGCGTGAAGGCCGCTGGACAACAATATGACGCCACCTGGCAGAAGCAGCTACTAAAGGCTGCCTCCTTTGGAAAGTCGGTCCTTGACCTTTACAGTAGTGACGACTTTGTTGAGATGTGCCAAACGCTGCGAATTCTAAATGCGGTTCGAGATTACAAAGTTGGGTTACCAATGACTCACTATCAGTATAAGCTTCTGACACCAGAGAAACTGATCCAGCGCCTTGTTAACAGGCGAGAGTACCGTCTGGCGTTGCGGTTATCAAACTTCCTTCGTCTACCTACGAATAAGATTTTTGTTCATTGGGCTTCGCAAAGCGTTCGATTATCTCAAGCAGACGAGGAAGCTCTTTGTGGAAAAGTCGTCTCCCGGCTAGCTTCAAAGCGCGGCATCTCTTTCGAGACCATCGCTCGTGCTGCCTATGATGAGGGCCGCAGCTATCTAGCCACAAAGCTGCTACATCACGAGTCTCGTGCTGGTAGGCAAGTTCCGCTTCTACTATCCATGTCCGAAGACGAACTTGCCCTTGACAAGGCCATCGCTTCAGGTGACACTGATCTTGTTTATTTTGTCTTGCTGCACCTGAAAAAGAGTCTTCCTTTAGCTTCTTTCTTCCGCACCCTTGGCAGCCGTCCTCTAGCAACTGCCCTTGTCGAATCTTCTGCACGTCTACAAGATCAATCGCTGCTGAAGGATCTTTATTATCAGGACGATCGAAGAGTCGATAGTGCGAATCTCCTCTTTTCCGAAGCCCTCTTCCAAACCGCGGCCCAGACAAAGAATGATAAGCTGAAGCTCGGATCAAAGCTTCTTGCGGATAGTAGCAAAGACCTAATTTCCTCACAGACTCTCAAGATATTCCAGGAAGCATCCTCACTCGTACGTCTACAGGCAACACTCGATAATGAGCTTGCGTCGGAGGATCAGACAAAGTACACTGGATTCTCTCTTAATCACACCACCTATCAACTGATACTACACGCACAAACTAAGCGCGCGCAAAAACTGTCACAAGACTTCCACATGCCCCCAAAAATTTACGAATGGATACGTCTCCGCGCCCTTGTAGCAGCGCGCAACTTCGTCGAGCTAGAAGACGGCGCCGCAAAGACCAAGAAGTCAGCGATCGGATGGGAAGCATACTTCAACGAAGTGTTTGGTGCAGGGAACCCGAAACTTGCTGGTGGTGTCTTTGTCGCGAAGTGTACAGGGCTAACCTCGAAGGAACGATGCGAGATGTGGATGAAATGTGGAATGGTGCAACTGGCAGGCGAAGAGTTGGTGAAAGTGAAAGACGTTGACGGCTTGGAAGACCTTCGAACGCGAGCTGGACCTGGCGGAAGTGTGGAGCTTGAAAGGATGATCGCTCGAATCAAGACAAGGCGGTGAAGAAGATCTCCTTATCTCGAAATGTAATGATTCTTCACGCTAGACTAGACCTTCCACTCTGAATAATGCTTCTGACCTCCTAAATACTATGCTAAAATCACCGTCAACTTAGCTGCATTCTCCTCACCCTTCACATCACGCCTAATCCTCCCTGAGCGGGTTTCTCTGAGTCGACACTGAAACGTTCATGATCATCGGCGATCTTTCTCTTGAACAGACCAAGATCCTTAAGCAATTCCGCCATCCTCATCTGCATCTCAATAGCCTCGGCCTCAATTCTCTCGTCATCATGATAACCCTCGTCCTCATCTATTTCGGGTACGGGCCTCGTATTCTCTTCTTGTGCCGCGAACTCCGCTTCTCCTTTGCCAATTGGTTGGTCCCTATCTATGCCGACATCATCCTCTTCAATTTCGGTATGTGGTGTGACTGTGATAGGATTTCGGAGACTCTCCACCGCCAATTTCAGATGCAATCTCAATGCCTCATTCTGTTCCATTAGTTGGCGAATTTTGCTCTCACCAACCAGCCTCTCCTCTTCCATCATTCTCTGCATCCTTTCGACTTTACTCTGATACTCTTCCAGCTTGTCATCTCTAGCACCAGCTCCCTTCTCAGCCGCGTTCAATGCCTCTCGTCCCCGTGCCATCCGCTCATTGGCACTCTGATTAGCTACACTGACCTGGAGCTGCAATTCTCGAATGGTGTTTTGCATGTCTGCAATTTGCGCATCCCGCTGTGCAGCCGAAACGGAGTCTTGGTTCACGATGGCTCGTGTACGGATATGTTTGGCTTGATCCGCGTATCTGAGCGTGCTGAGTGTCTCGTCATAATCCGATGGCGCAAGGCAGGCGATCATGGCCGTTTTACTATTTCCACCTAGGGAATCTTTCAGGAGCCATGTCAGGACGGAGTCTCGGTATGGCACAACATCTTTACTTCTGCTTCTTCCCCCATTGTGCAAGCGGCTGTGCCGAGGGTCTGCCAGTGCGGCTATCACACGACCCAGAGTAGTCAGTGATTTGTTAATGTTGCTTCCTTCGCGAAGCCGAGCCCCCGTGGCTTCAGTAGCTTTTGCGCGTTCGCTTCCTGCAAGATCGACCAAACGAATACGTGCCAATCTCTCGGTGGTGCTGTCAGTGGCAATATCGTGGTGTATCTGCTTCAGCATGATGGTAAACACCGCATGAGAACGAGAGGATGTATCATTCATTTTCGTCGACGCTGTCGTTCTGCTCACATCTCCAAGACGCATCCAACGAAGGAGTTCTGCGTAATTGCGGACGGGGACATCTGTGAGGTCTTTCACGTAGGGGCCTTCGGTAGGAGATTCTCTAATTTTAAGGTAATACGGATGCTCGCTTGAAGAGCGTTGCACAGGTGCAAGAAGATCCCGAACATGCTCGTTATAGACTTCGAAATACGAAACCCGGACGGTATAAGATATGTGGGTTGAATCGCACGACTCAATCCTTTGAAAAAGATCTTCACACGTCCGCGGTATCAGACCTGGTTCACTCGGTGTACCCATCATTGTGTATGATTTTCCAGAACCCGTTTGTCCATAAGCAAAGATGCATGTGTGATAGCCTTCGAAATTGTGGTCAAGGAACTCTTCCCCTAAAGCGTTGTATATCTCTTCCTGGTGAGCATAGTGCTCTGCGTTTGGATTATGAGAGCAAAAAGAGTTGTCGAATGTGAAATGTTTCTCCTCCATGATCTTCCTGCTCTGAGTACGCGAGTTGGCCGCGTCTGTAGCATTTGGTATCAATAGGATTGTCTCCTGAGTTTTTGGGTTCATCTGGACGAGGCATTGGGCTCCTCTTTCTTTCTCTGCGCGTGAAGCTTCAGTATGACAAGGAAGTCGATAGGGTTCCAGACACACCTCTTTGCAGAAAACCCCTCACCCGAACGACCACCCTTACATTACCAGCACCGTTATCAGGGGTAGTACGACCCATTTCTACAAGCTCAGACTCCCGGGACCGCAGCGACGGCGTTGACGCGGAGGATTTAAGAGCCTGGAATTCAGACATACAACCAGGAAGCCTTCGGCGATCTAGCGCCATGCTCTTGAAGACGCCCTTAATCAATTGCTTGTAGGGTGTTATGGTAGCAGTGTCATATGTGCAGACGTTCGGTAAATAATCCGCGTCATCGCGTAAATAAAGGTGATCTGCGACAGGGGGCGGCACAGTCACGTGACCCATCTCCATTTCGCTTACAACCAGGATAAAGGAGGACTTTACTAATGCAGAAGCGGCTGACAGTACGGAATCAAAGATCAAGGACGCGAGATCCTGATCTTCTTGACAGTTTTGGGGGCCCATCGCCGTTATTGAGGCATGATGATGCATTGGGACCAGGTCGCCTTTTCCAAACAAGACCGAGAAAACCCAAAGGCAAGGTTGAGGCTCTTTGTATGCATCCATGGCGTCAATCATTAGCATCCTCAAAGCTTCTTTTCTTTACTTCACGATCAAGTATCATCATTTAGCAGCCCCCGAATTACCTATTTGACCTTCACATGTTCGAGAATTTCCTTTCGGCCCCGGCCTGCCGACGATTTGCATCGGTCTTTCGAGTCACAGAAGCATTACAGCTCACACTCGAGACTCCTGAGCATCACCGCAGATGGTTTGATTCATGGGTACCTCCACTTTCCAATCGAAACAATTACCTGACTGGCAGATGTTCGACGGTGAAATCCCACAGTTCGCGTACAAGACTGTCAGGTAAAGTGTACAGATCAACTGAGAATTCCCCCTCTGTCCCAAAATCTTGTCAGCTATATGTACCCCAAATCACCCAGGGGTTCTCAGGAAATCGTCTCACGCTCTACGTCGTTCTTTGTCATCGTTTCTGGACTCTTCTTGTCATGTATCATCTGCACAATAAGCAGAAGGTCATCTTCGCTCATGCGCTGCAAGTTATCCGCTAGCTTATCCATGTCAATCTAATCACAGATCTGCTTAGCTTCAAAGTCTTTCAATAGGCCAAAGGACCCCAAAAGCAGATCAAAAGAGCATGACCCTACCCCTTTGTCTGGCCTTTTTTTCTTTTTGGCGCTGTCAGCACCCTTGATGCCATTCGCGTCACCAGGTATGGGTCCTGAATCTTTGAGTAGATTTAGTAGCGTAGGTTTGGGATTCTTAAAGATCTAGCGAGCGGGCAAAAGTCAGTTGACATCCTGTGCAGCGTCACAAACCGTTCCGGGCGAAACTCACGGCCGAGTGTCTCGACTCATAGCGCTCTTGTTGAAAATTCAGATCATGTTGTAATGGAAACTCGCCTCCCTTGTCCACGGCAGTAAGGGTGATGAGCATGTCAAACTCCCCCCATCCTTGCTCATTGATTCTGAAAGGCGGACGCTTGAACGCTGTTGTTTGGCGATCTCGTTAGTCACGGTGCAGGAAAGTGTGGGTCGCAGTGCAACAAAGCGCTGAAACTTCATACTCTGGGTCTGTCGCTCATTGAACGTTTCGTGCAATCTGTAGACCGCCTTTTCAAAGACGTTGGCAGGGACCTGCTCCCCATGTTGATTCAACAGGAAGATCTCGACACTCCATTCTCGTAATGGTGGCTCGCTAGATTGGTCACTGAGAGTATGTTAATGATCCGTGCCAGGGCGACGACTGTTGAGTCCATCATACACAATCCTCTGATGTGTGACAAACTTGACTGTTCTCTTAACCTGAACGGACCCCACCAATAATTTAGCAATGAAATTCGTGGTGTTTCCTCTTCTAAATCACAGATAGGATTGAAATTCTGATCGAGCTTACCTCAGGCATAGTGCATAGACAGCATACATAAGCTAAGAAAGATTGATCGGAGTTCTGATCATGCCGCCACCCTTGTGATTATAGAAAGGTAGGAGCATGGGCGGGTGTTTTGTCCGCACCTCTCGCCTTTTCATAGGGCTGAACCGACCGGGTGCGTTAAGCGTGCGCCACAACCTCCCCGGGGAACTTTGATGCCCAAAGCCCCTTTTAGAACATATTTGGAAAGCTATGACACTGCATATCTATCTACTACTCTCAAAATCTGTCTTGGGCTATGATTCTGCAGCCGGAGCTGGCTCCTTGCCCTCCGAACTCTCCTCCTGCGGGAATAACCTCATGTTCTCCTCCTGTGCTGCCTCAAATGCGTCCTTGAATAATTTTGCATCTAGGATCAGAGTCAGCAGATGGACCATCCCTCGTTAGTGACTAAAGGTAAGCACGTGACAGTACAAGCATAGACTTACTGTCGCTATTCGCAAATCTGATGGCAAGCGTTACCGGCTCTGGCTCGCCTTCGCTCACGTCTGCAGCGGCGTTCCACACCCAGCTTCGGTCACTCCCAACATTAGCTGTCAATTTCATATCCGGAACCACTATACTCTGTTAGATCTCATCTTCGTTGGAAAAAGTGTAGGTCGTCCGAGAGTTACACACCATAATGATTAGCGCAGACTTTCAGAGTCTTGTCCCTCCTCATGACGAGCCGAGTCTTCATATTCTCCTTGTGCTTTAGAAGTCTCACTTCTCCAGTTCCTCGCTCTTTCCATTCACGTGAGTCCTTATCAAATTTGAACAATTTGGCACGCATTTTGAATGTCTGCTCCTCTAGTTCTTCATTGGTCCTTGTCTCGATTTGCTCGGTCAGGTGGACTACAGGCTCAAAGTGCACCTCGGGCGATTCGGGCGCGTCATCCTATGCGGTCAAGCGCATAATCAGTATCATTTCCTCTTGAAGGCGTTGTTCAATTTTTGCCATTCAGGAGCCGTAGGAGGCACGCAAGGCTCGAATGCAATTACAAGCGTTATGAGAAGAGGGAGTTTCACGACGCAGCAGAAATCTTAGAAGCTGATGTCACATGGTCACTGCGGGTAAGAAGCCGCTTCCTGAATCAAAGCTCTACGGGATGGGGCCGCAAGTAGCAAGAGAGGGGACATATAAAGGCATTCTTACACCGTCTTCGTTCCCTTTCCCAACCTCTTTGGCTTCTTCCTGGTCCTTTTCTTTTTCTTTCTCCTTTATAGCTTTAGCACTTCCGCTTCTATCCTCCTCCCCCGGTTTGGCTTCGTTGGATTCTTTCTTTGCGCCGCCGCCTCCGCCAAACATGCTAAACATTGTGTCTTTTACACCCGCGGCGGCATTTGTAGCAGTCTCTGCAGCAGTTCCAGCTGCCGAGCTGGCCATGCCGGTGTATGTCGTCGTGTGTTCTTCCTTGCTTGATTCTGGTTTAGATTCTGTTGAGGACATAGCTGGTGCTGTGGCGGAAGGATTCCTGCTGTCTGATAAGTGGCAGCGACAATTTCAAAGTCCGTTCTTCAAAATACGTTGAGCACCCTCAACAAATTTCTGAAGAATGAACAAGTCCCAAGCTCCTAAACAGCTCATGCGTGCAGCGGCGTTCTGAGTTGACGTAGGAATGCCAAGCTTTTCACTAGTCGTCCCGTCCAGGCAAGGCCCCTGATTGGTGCCTACCTGTAAAAGCTTACCTGTGGCCTCAGGTTTGAATCGTGCCTGCAATAAAGATATGAATTCAAATGTGAAGAGGCTTTCAAGGCGGAGAGATCAGTGGAATACATATATATTTGGACTATCTGCAAGAGCTTTACAAGCCATCGACAACCCTACATGATAATGAATGAGCTCCTTTGAAGGATACCGAGACGCCCACCACAAACTGACTATTCTGATCGAGAGACCTTATTGGACCGTCTAACGTCGGTGTCTTTGAGCTGAGTTATCAGGGACTTTGGTACGCCCTTCACCTTCCACCAGGTCTTCAGTGTCGTCTTCTGCACATTACGGGCCTGCGTAGACCTCCAGTCCCGGAACCCCTTGAGCGATGCTGTCGGGTTGATATTCTCTGTGGTCGCTCGAAACGCTTTCACATTTTTCATCAATGTAGTGATCTTGCTTCCTGGAAACACTCCTAGCTTAGATGCGATGGTATTCTTCAGTAACCTAAAATTAGACGATGCCACACTACTGCCGCAATATAAACGGTATGACAGATGACGAGCAACATCTCTTGTCTGCGTGAAGACGATATCTGTCAATGTTGTTCCCTGCTTCCAACGTCGCGCAAGATTGCCCTTTTGAACACTAGGCTGCCGAGCTATGATCCGTTTATTCTTTCGCACAATCGTTGAAAGGTCCTCTTTAGTCCGGTCAAAGACGGCCATCAGGCCGACATGCATTTGACTGAGTTCTGTCTGCATCGATGTGCTAAGAGCCCGAGTTGCTCGTTTCCACGCTGCGACCTTGAGCCAGTACGAGCCGAAGTCAACTCCAAAATTCTGGTGAACGAATGGTCGTGTGTCCGTCCAAACTTCCACATTGAGCACGCCGTAGGCTTCTTCGCGGGGGATTTGAAGTGCACAAACTCCATTGAACAGGGTTAGATGCTTGTACGGCAATGCCATGGTTTTCCGCGTAATTTTATAAGAGAGGGTCGGGGCCACTCTCGATTTGGCGAACCAGTACGGGGGCATCATCACAATATGGCAATCTCCAAGGACGTGAACTTGGAAGTTTTCTGACCTATTGTTAGATTGCAAGGCAGGATTCAGAATGAGAGAGGTGATGTCGGTTCCTGGATACTGTTGCTTCGATGATTCATGGCATACCGAAGTTGGCATGATTGACCCGCTTGTTGTAAATGAAGAGTGGAGAGGAGTTGAAGTGACAGTAGCTGGCTTTGGTGATGAGCAGGAGGATATCGATGTTCCATTGGTTTGGACTGCTAGTCGGCCAGAGTTTGAGACATGTGAGCCAAACATGATCGCGACATTCACCACGCAGAAAGTCATGAAGAAAAGGCCAAAAAGCGGAGCCCAAGGTTGATGCAGTTTCTGTCGCAGGGTTCGAGCGTAGGGAAGCAACAACTGAGGACAGTATGCGATGAGTGGATCGCTCTGCTTTTGACTTGCAGGAATGTCTGCCTTGCTCACTCGTTCGCGATTCATAAAACCTTTGACATCGGCCAGACAAGCCAAATTGCGATTCATTTGACCAGCATCAATCTTCAAGAACGTGTTCAGGTCGACTGGCAGGCGCTTCAGTGTATACGATTCAGGAATCTTCGGCGTCTGGCCCCTCAAGCAGATGTGAGGTGTCATGTGATTGAGCGTCATTGCATCCGCGTGTGATTCCCACTGGGGTAAGGCCTTGATAAAAAGCGACGGTACAGCATGACGACTCATGAACATCTGAGCCAAATGGAGGTCTCGTTTGGCTTGATCATCGTCTCTTTCGCCTATACTGAACACAGCAATGTCAGGCAATTTCCAATCCTCCAGCATTTTGAAGGATTTTCCTTCGTGTGCTGAGCTGAGGGTGGAGCCATCGGCAAGAGTTATCTGCAAGATGTCGATCCCGTTTGGGGTTTCAAGAAAGGTCGTCTGCTTGCATTCTTCAACTTCTAGCTCGACGCCGCTTGAGCCTACGAGAATAACTTCTGGATAGGAATGATCTCCGAATGGCGGGAGCGGAATGACGTTGAATTTAGAGGTGCGGGTATTGGAAGAGCTCAGCGCAAATCCTTGAGGAGTTGCAGCCAATGCCGATGCAATTTTCTGAATTATTGGTTCTCTCAGTGAAGAATCTCCGACATAGAAGACCCGATAGGATTCATGACCTAGGTTAAGTTGGTGGCTGGCCATACTTTGGCAGATACTTGCTGTCAGCTCTTCCGGAGGGCATTCCGTCGTTATGGTGTTGTCGGTTGGAAGACTTCCCAAGTTGAATGATACCTCCAGGGGGCAGCGAGATGTCCACTCTGTCTTACTAGGCTCTTCAAATAATATGTGCTCATCGGGAGTCTGCAGGTTGTTGAATGAACCGTCTCGTGGTTTAAGAATGGGAGTCTCCGGAGTCTGAGGGTTCGAGATCATTTCTTGCTGGATACAGCCCTGAGAGTTTGGTTGCGCTCCTTCATCTTCGCGGTCCATAACATTCGGGCTCTCCTCATGGCCGCAGCCAACTTCCAGGCCATCGCTAGAGGCAACAGACTCAGTCATACCATCTTGACTCTCATCATCTGTTGTGATCACACTTCTGTCATCGATGAAGTCGTAGGCGCTATCTCCAAGAGAGCTGGTAGCCTCATCGGCTGAGCTATCGTCGTTGGTATGCGAGGCCATTGGAATGAGCTGAGACCGAGATAGCCACCGAGCAGGGCTACCCTGGACAGGCAAAGTGGGAAATTCGAGCGAAAGTTCTGGACCGTCCCCGTAGAAATTCGTTCCACCTAGTGACTGCATCAGGTCAGCTCACAAAGGTGAGAAGAAACAGAGAAGTGATCGTGTTAGAGTCGAGCACTTGAGGGGGAGTGGCTTAGGGATGTCATGAAGCCACGTGGAAAGCCTACGGAAAGGCAACATATACAAAGGAGAAGCTTGATGTGTAGAGAACAGAGCGAGGTGTAGAGTAGACACTTTCAGAAGTCACGACCAAGGCAGCTAACCTTATGAATCAGAAGCTAGTGACCAGATTCACGTGTTGTGACGGGCAACATCGGGGTGCGTCACCCAGCCGAGGAACAAATGATATCAAGTAGAACGTCTGAATGTATTCAGTGAGCTTTTAATCTGCGTCATGACCACATCTCAGAGCTTTGTATCTCGTGTCAAGCAATGTAAAGGAATGCTGAATGACAAGGTGGGGTGATGCCTTGCCCGCCAACTGCGCTTATCCCCAAGCTAAGATAAGCAACCTTGTTGGGAATCCCTGTAAGAAAATAAGGACTCTACTGCCACGAAGTTTTCAACTTTTTATTGGAAGCCGTCGTGGACATCGAGCAGGGAATGATACGGATACTGCCAACCAGTTTAATAAGAGTCCAAATGACCTTCACTCTACATACTCCATGCTCGATCAAGCCCTCAAATGTATCTCGTATATATACAGGTTATCAGTCGACGCCGTCCGATGCAATACTTCATGCTGCCACAATTGCTGGTCATAAAGCTCAAACATTAATGTGAAAATTTGATGGTCGAAAGTGCTGCAAGAATTGAACTCCTTCTGCCAGGAGCTACGCTGATGCCCAACCCCCAGCAACTTCAACCCACTCCGCCAGGCAGCTCCCATGCTTTCCTTCTACATCCACGATGTCTGTGTCGCACTTACATCTGCATCCAACGCCATTCTCTTTCACCGAGTCCCAAGTTTCCCAATACTCATCCTCTCTCATCCTCTCTTTATCGTCCACAGTAGTCATCTCAAGAAAAGGTGGGCGAGCAAGTTGTCGGTTACCTGGGGCATTGGCTGGACAGTGCTGGATGGTGGTATGTCTATAGCCAATGTCTCGGAAATAGTGAATGTCCTTCGGTGCGAGCAAGGCGCCTGCTGCAAGCGAATGGATGGGCGCATCTCCCCACTAACACACAGTCAGCTGAATCTGTTTTGCACGAGACAAAGCATTCGCTTTACTCTTTCCATCCAAAAGCCGCCACTCCGGTCCATCATGTCAAAGAAGTCATTGTATTCCTTGCTACGGAACCAATCCAACCTCGCGATCTCAAAATTGCTCCAGAAATGGCACATATTGTATGTCTCGCCCTCCATGGCGTCGGGGTCCACCTCCGGTAATCCTCCGTGCCCTGGTTCCGTGTCTAAGAGTTCCTCTGGTAATGCGTTTGGGTCCTCGGGTACTTTTTCCTTGGGTGGTTGCCACTGCGGGTCGTCTTCGGGGAGGGAGGCGCCTGCAGGCATAGCAAACATTTCCCATAAGCCATTGGAGGTAATGTTGTTGATACGCTTAAATGCTGAAGCATACCGAAAGATGTTCGGGACGGTTTCCCGTAATTCCTTTACCGCAATGGTGAAGCCGTAGGTCTTGTTCGCTCTCTCCATGTGAATGAAGGGATCACTGCAATGTTTAGCAATAGTGAACACATTTTGCCACCAATGCGACGTACTAGGTCATATCGCAGAAGTACTTGACGTCCGGCTCAATCCTCCAGTACCAGTCGTACTTCTGTAAAAGCTCGTGCTTATAGAAGAATCTAGACTTGAGTTTTAGTATTTGCATCTCATACTTGCAGTGAAGTGGTCATACCCAGAGTAGAATCTGCACATGTGATGGTAGCTCTCCATACCACCATACATGATTGCAGCATCTCCCTGCTTCCTTATGCCTTCCTTGGCCGTGTCCAAGTTGACCCAATTTGGATAACCCCACATCCCTGGGTCAATCTTGCCAAATTCAACGCTTCCACTTGTGTGATTCATAACAGTCTCCTTGAATGTCATGTTGAAATCGGCATCATTGAGGAAGACGTAAGGGTAGTGGAACCATCGATTGAAATGTCGCTCCATCGACTTAATTGATTGGACCACTCCGTTCAGCTCCTGATTTCGAGCAAGCACGACGAACACAGCATTGGCCCTTGGACCATCTACTTGAGGCTCTAGACATCCTGTCACAAATACTTTATCGTGTCTCTCGCTTATCTTCCTACGAAGAGCGTTAGCAGCACCTCCTATGCTACCGTCCTTGACAGGGCAGGAACGCACCTAATAGCAGGTGGAGCTCCAGCCGGCATCATGAGACTTCCTGGCGAGGAATTATGTTTTGCAACCAGTATTATGATTAATATTATAACGATCAGGGGAAAGAGAAGTACTATGCCAAGGGGCACCGATACTTTGGAATTGCCCCTCAATCGTATGCGCCGCTTAAAGAAAGATATTGTAGGGACGAATCGGTCTTTCTCATTCGTGAGGTCGTGGAGGGAAGGAAGACTCGGAGATGACGGTATGCGCTTTGTTATATTCCGTACAATCCCCATTATGGGTATAACTAGCTTAGCGCAGTGTTCCAGAGGTTGGACATGTGCTTTTGAGCGGAGGAGGTGAAGCTGCAGAAGAGTCCTAGACTCCCCGCACAGGCAACAGCCGGTCGTGCATGTGGTAGCAGCCAGTCAGTGTGGTGAGGACCTCCGAGGGGCGAAGAGAGACTTCGGCCACTGGTATCTATTTCCACAATGTAGTATTCGCTTCACACGGTCAACAAGGTTATAGTCATCCAACTCCGCGATCGTAAAGCAATGGTACTTCGGCCGCGCTTCAGTCGCCTGTGTTTCGCCAGTAGGAGTTGATAGGAGGTTGAGCGGAGATTGTGTGTGCTAAGTGACTGTAGACACCGAGTTCGTCAGGTTTCTCACTGATAATACACTGATCGAAAGAAAGAACAAAAAGAACTTCTGAACGAGCGGGCCTGTAACGTAAGTCTGCTGCTCATTTAAGAGGAGTCGTACCAGACAGGCCAATGCGGACAATTGAAGATTCGTTATTGCCAAGTCCTGCGCCTTACCAAACTTGTTCTGGCGTCAGAAGAGTTGACCCCCCTACCGGCCACACCCTCCAACCGGCCAATCTATAGGCTGCTTGAAAGTGGAAATGCGCACTTCCGATCATAACGCTGTATATTATCTGGACTGGCTAGGGGGTCATCTCTTCTAAGCTAAGCTGTCGCGCTCTTAACAATTTTCGCCAGAAGAGGCGTCCCTAGCAGATAGGAAGATGGTCATCATTAGCTAGATAGGGTTTTTACCGTCATTTTGCACTGCTAACAGCTTAACTTGAGGCTGCCAGTACATCTGAAATGACTATGGCTTCAAAGAAGCTCGACTATGGTCTGCTGTGTCTCTCGAGTATGTCTATCGTTGCCATTGGCTGTTGATTCAGAGTCAGTAGAGCCTGCCTTCATCCAGAGACTGCGAAAAGAGGCTTTGGGAAGTGGGTCGAAAAGCAATGAGGATTTAAGCCCTAGCAAGAATTCCCGAAATATTTTGAAGTCTGCCGATGATAGTGATCAACCAACCTATGTGATGAAGCTCTCAGCGACTCGGAGGGAATACTCGACTCGATCGCTAAGCTGTCTTCAGATGACAAGCCACGACAATCTTTGGAATCAGCACTTAACCCTTCCCAAGGCACCCGGCCCTCAGATGAAGCTAAGCCACCGAGAGCGGCAGTGTCTCTGCAGCCTGTGACTTCAGTAGGTCGTGCTAAGAAAAGAAGACTTGCGAGAGCCTTTTGGACAGAGGATAACGCTTGCGAGGAACTCAACGAGAAGACTTGCTCTCCAAAGACCAAATCAAAGCCAAGGTCATCGCCCGCGAAAAGAAACAAACTTTCATTTACCTAGATCACAGTACGATATCCGTCAACTGAGCCGCTGAAAATCTTATCTCATGTGCACAGGAGCACAACGGTATAATAAACGACGTAGCAAGTCACTTGCTGCATCTTTTGCAAGGAGTGTCGAGACCTTTTTGTTCGCAGCTCGCCATTGTTAATTCGATATTGCTTGGATCTTTATAGCAAGGTCTACCCTATAGTCCTATGCAGGATTAATATATTATATGAACTTTATCACAACCTACACCCGACTACAAACTATTTCACAAGTAATAAGTATTTGAGCCTGATCTTGAACAGACATTATGTAGGTGTCGATCGAACTGCTACAACTGTGACATCGCTTGGAACAACCCTCCTAAGAATATGCCCTCAAGTCTCGTAATGGGATTGCGAGACTCTCGTGTTGTGTTAATGATTATGCATTGCCTGAGGTAGGTAAGACTTAGCAGTGTAGGAAGTCCGTTCGAAATGATGCTATAATCTAGCTATCAACCAGTAACGCTACCTTGATGCCATCTCGGTATGCTGGCTCCGAGCTTGTACCGCTAATGGCTATGGCGCCATCACCCTTCTACACTCGATACTACCTTGCTCCCACAATTACAGCAGCGGAGATTAGATTCTCTATTTACCCGAGTTGAGACTGTCGAACATTTAGCTAAAAGCCGCGTTCCATTTGCAGATTCTCCCAGCTGAGATCCAGTGAGCTAGAAGAGCGGGGTGAAGAATAGAATAGAGAGAGGAAATGAATTGATACTAGCCTGCCTAGTCGGTTTTTCCCGAAATTTCACCCTTATGGTATCGTCATCTTCTCCACCGATGTCAAGCGAAAGCTCGTCACAGTATACCAGTAAGCGAGGAGTGGTCAAAGGGCTAATTAGGGCGCCATGTACCCACATGCCAATACACAGTATATTAAAGCTTTCCGCACCCAAAGCATTTTTGCTCTCTCGAGTCACTAGCAGTATGGCTGCTTCCCTGACTGTCCATGAGGCCATTATTTAGGTTCAACATTTTAAAGAATGATACTTATTGACTTTAATCGCACCTTCACAAGCGAGCAAGACCTCTTGAAATTATGATGATTGAAGCTATGAGGAACTTCGTACTTGAAACCTTTGCGATATCTAATCATTCTAACGGCGGGCTAAAACATTCTAGGGCAATTAACGTGTATAGGATAGAACTAAACCTTTAACATAAAAAAACTTCTACACTTCTAAAAAACTAGTATATAAATAGCTTAAAAACAATATTCTAAATAATTTAATTTATTTTAAAAGTAAAGGCTAATATTAAAATAGTCTTTTATTAAACTTTTAATTTTATAAGATTATAATAGTTTTTTAAAATCTTATAAGTTATTTATAAACTATTTAATATTATAGTAGTAAAAATTATAGCTTTTTTAGCTTCTTTATACTTAATTTAATATAATTTTTAAAAATTTTCTATTAAAAGATCTTATAATATAATTAAATTATTATAAATTTAAAAGTATTATAATTTTAATATTTAAACTAGTAAATAGTATTAGCTAATTTAATTATAAAGTATATAAGTTAGTTTTCTTAAAATATAAATAATAGTTAAAAGATAAGTAAAAGTAAAATAATAAAATAAAATTAAGTTATAACTATTTTAAATCTTATAATAAAGAATAAAACTTATATTAAATATAAGGAAATTTATTTAAAAAGAAAAATAAAAAATCTTATATATATAACTTTATTTAACTTATTTAATAGTACTTAACTTTTAATTATTTTAAGCTTATTTAATTTAAAAGTTATTTAATATTCTTAGTACTTAAGTATATTTAAATACTTTAGCTATTTTTATCTTTTTTTAATTATTTTTTTTTATAATTTAATATAGTTATAGTTTTTATTTTATTATAATTATTATTAGAATATTTTTCTATATATATATATATATTAATTACTTGCCTTTTAATATTATAATTTTAGTATTTAAACTAGTAAATAAAATTAGCTAATTTAATTATAAATTAGTAAATTAATTTTCTTAAAATATAAATAATAATTAAAAAATAAATAAAAATAAAATAATAAAATAAAATTAAGTTATAATTATTTTAAATTTTATAATAAAAATAAAACTTATATTAAATATAAAGAAATCTATTTAAAAAAGGAAATAAAATTTTTTATATATATAATTTTATTTAATTTACTTAATAATATTTAATTTTTAATTATTTTAAGCTTATTTAATTTAAAAGTTACTTAGTATTTTTAATAATTAAATATATTTAAATATTTTAGCTATTTTTTCTTTTCTTTAATTATTTTTTTTATAATTTAATATAATTATAATTTCTATTTTATAATAGATATTTAATTATATTTATTATATAAAGTTATAATAAATTTTTTTTTTAATATAATTATTTTTAGTTATTAATTTCCTTTATTATATAATTTTTTTAATTATATTATATAATCTTTTAATAATAATATTTAATATTATTATTATATTTTTAAGAAAAAAAAGTATTATAAATATTATATTATTATATATTATTATAAAAATTATATTTCTTAAAGTTCTAAGTATATAAAAATTAATTATTTAATTTACTATATTAAATATAATAAATATAATATAATTTTTTTTAAAAAAAAGATAAATAAATAATATAATATTTTTAATAATTTAAATAAATAAAAACCAACTATTTATTCTAAATTATTATATATTTATAAAATAAAATAATTTTATTTAAAAAAGCTAAATTAATAAGATAATTTTAATATAAAAAATATTAATAAAAAAAAAATTATTATAAAAAAAAAAATTATAATTTAATAATATATATTTATTAATTTTAACTTTTAGATTAGATTTATATTATAACCTTATATAATAGGTATAACTAGGTAATCGCTATAGAATAGAGACTATAGCTAAGGTATATTAAGTTATAAAATAATAAGCCTTAAAACTATTCTTTTTAAGGTTTTTATTTAATATAGGATAATAAGGAAATAATCTATAGCTAAAGGGGTAATATTTAGAATAATAAAACTTTAGTTTTATTTAATTTTTTTATAAGAAAAATTTATCTTAAAAATAAAAAAGAATATACTTTCTAATATAATTACTATAAAGTCTATTAATTATTACTTATATTTTATTAAATATAT